AGCAAATATCCAAGAAAGGTTGGGATCACGGCCCATAACTCTTCACCAGGTAGTCTGTAGTCTGCGGAGAAATGCCACGAACCACCAGGGCAGGATAGGTTTAGAAGTCGTATAGAGCCCCAAGATCAGGCTCTAGTGATTACGTGAGAAGCATAGGTGCATCGACAGATACAACCCCAAGAACCCACAGTCGGTGCACGTGATATCAGCAGAGTAATGAGCTATACAAAACTATCGAAGGGAACATGCACTAGCATTTTCAGCTCCTTTCAACCGCCAGTAGGTCTAGCGAACGCATGTGTATATAGTCAGGTATCCTCCCCGGACCCTGTTCAGGACGAACAGAGATTCATTCATCCTTTGTTTCGCACCCGGATATTTGATAAGGACCTCTTTCAATCAAACAGAGACGAACAGACTTTTTTCCTCCCTTCAAGCGTCGGAACATTGTTCTGTAGGATATTCATAGTTAAATATATCCGGTTGCAGCGTTCTCAATATCTATCTCCAGTGGATGTACTGAAAGGTTTCTAAACCCGGAAATCAATAGAACAACGACTCGAGTGTTTGGTATACTTGTACTGATCAAGAGGCCTCTTTTATTTGTGGTCTAGTATATGTTGCCTGTCGGTACACTCTGTTTGTTCAACAAGACTCCAAAAAGATGTCAGAAGAATCGAAGAAGATTCTAAAGAGTCTCTCAGACGAGTTGGAAAAAGGTGAGCTGGATGATGTTGGTCGTCGTCGTTTGATATCCCAAGCCCGAAAACTGGTTTTGAGCTTGAAAAACGAAGGGGATGTTATCATGGACGTATTTTTTGCGGTGAGTTGGATCCCACTTGACCCTCAAGACAACGTAACGTTGATGGTGATTCCGTGTTTTCCCTTCCAGCCCCTACAAGGAAACGTGATTAAGGTCATGATGGACCTCGGCCTTTTCAAGGGTTTGGTCAGTGGCGGACATCCCCAAACAGCTGCTCAACTAGCAGAACAATCCAACAAGAACATAGACCCGCAGTTGTTGAGTAAGTTTTTGTCCCGGCCGGTGTACAAGACTTGATTGACGGTGGCTGACATTGAATCCCAGACAGACTACTTCGCTTTCTGGCAGCCCACGGCTACGTTGATCAGGTGGAAGACAAGTATCAGGGCAATTCAGCCACTCGAGCTTTGGCAAGAGACGAATCTGAGTATGGCGCTGAACACAGGTGAGATGAACATGGTGACAATCTGGAAACAGAGCATCTGCTGACCCTTATTCCAGCGTCGGGTTTCTCTATGATGGATACAACAAGATACCCGAGCATTTGAAGAGAATCGGCTACGTCAACCCTGCCGATAAGAAGTATTCTCCCTTGAGCCTCGCAAAGAACATGGACGGCAAAGATACGTTTGAGATACTTGCTGTGGACCCTGCGCTAGAGGCGACGAACAAGTGGTTCCGAGCCGTGAGCGCTCAATATACGCCTTGGATCCAAACCTACCCGTTCCTCGAAAGGGTCCCCATGGTCAACGACGGAGAAGTCCAGTTTGTCGACGTCGGTGGCAACCTGGGACATCAAACGTTGATACTCAAGGAAGCCAATCCTCAATTGCCCGGCAGGTTTATCGTTCAGGACCTAACGAACATTGTACCTGCCACCTCGCATCTTGCGCCGGCTGGTGTTGAGTTCCAGCCGTACAACTTCTACGACGAGCAACCGGTGAAGGGTGCCGCATGTTATTACATGCGATACATCGTTCATGATTGGGGCAATGCCGATGGCATCCGTATCTTGACGCGAGTTCGCGAAGCAATGAAACCAGGATATTCGAAATTGCTCATCAATGAATGGGTCGTGCCGGAACAGGGAGCGTCAAGGATGGTCACTGGTGCTGATATGGTCATGATGGTGGCTGGAAGTGGCATGGAGCGGACTCTGGCACAATTTCGCGAATTGATCGAAAAGGCGGGACTCAAGATTGGGGAAGTGTTTTACGCTAAGGACGAAATAAGTCCAGCTATAATCGAGGTGGTAGTTGCATAGTTTAGGGCATATTCTTGGTGCTGAACCTCTCAATTACATTCTTCACTGTCTTTCTTGACCCCAGCGTGAGTTCCAAGGAGACTTCGTCTCAGCCACCTGCAATCCCAATCATAGTTCGCCAAGTGTAGTTTCAGCTCCTATTAGTGCCTCTGTATATCTGCGTGTCACCTTCTCGATCATGAGTCCTCTGAAATACCGTTGGATTTCATCTATGCCTTGGTCTAGTGGAAAAGATCGGATCGACAAAAGCGGTAGTTTCCGGATCCGGTATTGCTCCACCTTCCGCTTTCTATCTCAAGTGGAGATTCAAAAGAACCAACACTACACAGAGGTCCCCATCGACTTCTCCATCGTTAGTTGCGGAACTTGTTTATGTCCTCTTTTGGACATCATTTTACTTCTTCACCAAGTTTCTGGGCCTAGACTTTGCAATCCTAGAATAATCTTTTGAGAATGTCCCACGACTCCACGGTCAAAAGGTTGGGGAAGTTGCGGGGATCCAGTATCCTCCATTCTCCTTTGTTCTTTGGTCATAGGAAACGTGGGAAGATGCTGGTGCCACAATCCTGTGGATCCCTATCTCCATCATGTTTATACAGTATATATCGTCCACGACTCGGCTATCCATCTCCTTCCCTCAGACGTCTAGAATACCGTCTTCCAAACCATCATCATGCCGTTTCTTGGTATCCTTGAAGACAGGAAACTTCGACACGTCCCGGGAACCGTGGTTCTCGAAGAAGGTGCTGATCACGTTCGCTCGGGGACCATCACAGGCCGACTCAAGCATGGCAGCGGCCGCAATTCTCACATCATCTTGATCCCTCAACCATCAGACGATCCGAACGACCCACTCAACTGGTCGACTGTCAAAAAGCTGACTGCGTTCGGCGTCACTAGTTTTGGCTGCATCCTCTACGCAGCCGTGATATCGGGGATGCTCAACTCTGTCTGGGCCAACATGTCACTCGAGCTCGACACCAGCATCGCCAGGCTGGTACAGACAAATGGCTATCAAGCGCTCGTCGTCGGCGTGACTGGACCGATATTCAACGCTTTGGCGCGGAAATACGGGAAACGACCCATCTTCTTGAGCGCCTCGATAATATGTCTCGTGGCCAATATTGTCGGATCTGCCGTAAACACTTATAACGGCCTCCTCACTTCGAGGATCCTCCAAGGCTTCGCTATTGCCCCTTACGAGTCTCTCATCTTCACTTTGATCAGTGACATGTTTTTTGTCCATGAGCGCGGCGTGTACGCGGCGTGGATCAATTTCCTCTTGGCTGGAATTTCCAATCTCGTCACGGTAGTGACTGGTCCCATTGGTACAAACCTCGGGTGGCGTTGGATGTGAGTTTATGGTTCGGTTACGAGCCACTATCATGCTGACGAAACCGATAGTTTCTATCTGATGGTTCTTTTCACTGGCATTCAGGCTATTCTGCAATTCTTTTTCGTTCCAGAAACCAGTTACAATCGCAATCATCAACTTGATCTTGACGAGATCGGAAACGACGAGGAGAAAGGTGAACTCGATGAGAAGCGCATTGAAGGAGCAGAAGCCTCTATGATATCGCATACTGAGAATCTCGAGGGTGCCATCCCATCTTCTTCAGCGATGTCCACGCCAATCAGACCGAAGTCTTTTCTGGAGAACCTCTCCATTGTCAGCGGATCTTTCTCGGAGGAGAATCTGTTTCAATTGTGCCTGGCACCTCTTGCTGTCTTTAGCAATCTCGCCGTGGCTTGGGTCATCGTGGTCAACTCCATGTTTGTGTGTTTCTACGTCGTGATCGCCTTTGTCCTGTCTCAGTTGTTCTCAGCTCCACCTTATCTAATGGATCCGACTTCCGTTGGATATCTATCGTTTGGGCCCTTTGTCGGTGGTGTGATCGGGACGGTGGTGCTGGGCGCTACATTGGATCCTTTCATAATATTCTGCGCTCGCCGTAACAAGGGCGTTTACGAGCCAGAGTACCGACTTGTCTTCTCGATCGTCAGTCTGACCTGTGGCGCTGGACTTATCGGTTGGGGTGTGGTGGTTGGAAAACACGACAGCCCGTACGCGGCCGCAACTCTTCACGGCCTCATGCTGTTCGGGGTGATGATTGCGTGCGTGACTTCATCGGCTTATGCTTTGGATGCGTATCGCAGTATGGCAGCGGAAATCTTCATCGCTACCATGACGGTTAAGAATCTACTGGTCTACGGGTTCAGTTATTTTCAGAATAATTGGGTCGCAGAGGCTGGCGTTACAAGGGTTTTTTACGTCTGGGGTGGAATCAGTCTGGGTCTCAGTTTGACTGCTCCTATCGTCTTCTTCTACGGGAAGAGGTATCGAAGTTTTTGGGCAAGGCACAATCTATTGGAGAAATGGCATATCAGGACTCACGAAGAGTAAGCGTAGGGCAGGCTTGCTACGGATGGTTTGTTTGCCCGAAAGACGTCAGTTCAATTCCTAGATGCCAGAGGACTTGTCTTTGGAGCGAATGACTCTATCAGGATGCTGACGAGTTCAAAAAGTCTCTTTGTAAAAATATTCCGGACTCCCCGTTCATTTTGGGAATCGATTGCTGGAGTGAGGTCTTGGACTTTCAAGGTGAAGTGGAGTTGCAACCAAACACTTAGCTCCAGGGGGATTTTGAGGGTGGTTAAGCCAGCTTATTGAATCGGGGCTCGTCAATTCTCTAATCAGGTAGTCATAACCACCAATCGCTAGCAGTAACGGTAACCCCAGGTCTTAGGCCACACATAAACATTGGGGAATTTTGTTACTGAGAGGTTTACGTAGAGCCTCGTTCGTGGATTGGAGAATCTCCGCCATGATGGCGCCTCTCCAGTTCGGCTCCATCTTTATTTCCCCCTCGACTTCGATTTTACCAAACTCTCCCATGTTTCATTTCACTTCTCCACGATATCACATACTGGTAGTAAACTTCGAACAATGTGCAGCCGCCACGTGCCGAGAAGATGCATGTCAGGTTCGTCGAACCACAGCAGATGCCCGAGGTTCCTCGTCCGGAAACAGCATCATCGCATGTCATGAAAACTTTGACCTTTGTGGACAAATCCCAAGAGAAACGAAACTTCGTCTGCCCGGTGTGCAAGAGGACGTTCAAACGCAGTGAGCATTGTGCTCGGCATCAGCGCGCTCATACTCAAGAACGACCATTCCCCTGCAAATTCTGTGACCGCCGCTATGCACGCCGGGATTTGGTTGCACGGCATGAGCGGGCAGTTCACGCGCATGGATCCTCAGATGTGGCTCCTAGCGTACCCGTGCCCGGTGTGAGCGGCACCTCTGTCTCTACGAAAGGTGATGATCGCTTGAAAAGTGGAAGCAATGCTGCCGCAGAGGATAGGGTTGAATCTTCAAGACAAGAAGAAACGGCGACGATGGCACTGTTCTTTGAGCAAGCTCCAGTCGCATCTCTGCCGATGGAATCATCTCCACAAGATACGAATACTAACCAGGAACATGAAAATGAGGACAGTGCTGTCCATCGACGGAGTTTCCTGGAATCTTTCCACCCCGAAAATGGTGTTCACGCATTCAAAAGAGCGGGACGGAGTTCCCTAGAAGGCGACTTTGACATGTTGATGAACGACATCCAAACCACGGACCAGCCTTCTTCTCTGGATATATTTGACGAGTTAAACTTCTTCGACCCGTACAACGGCATGTCACCACTTCCGAACATAACACTGAGTCCCTCAGTGCAGACAAATCTACGGGAAACCAATCATACAACGACATTGCGAAGTTTCAACGCAACAAGACCAGCTACCTTTCAACTGTGGGGACAAGAACAGCGGCAGCACCGAAGCACTCAGGTTTCCAATACAAGTGCCACGAATGCTGTCTTTCCCTTGCTTTCACCCACCACTGATCCGAGCAGTATCCCCACTTCTTCAGGTCCATCTGATACCTATACTTGCAGTCCAAAGAGTTCAGACTCCGTGTCGGGAACCAGCCGAAAACTACGACTTGCTCCGTTGACAGAGTCTCATCGTGACACGATTCTACAGGAATGTCACAACACCCCCGTGGTGGCGCATCGAGACGACGCCAAACACATCACCCTCCCATCGACCAACACCTTGAACCAGCTCTTGGGCACATTTGTCGATGTATTCTTGTCGCACCTTCCAGTCATTCACCTGCCAACCTTTGACCTCGACAAGACTCAACCTCCTCTCATCCTTTCCATGTGCGCGATCGGCGCCTTGTACCGACTCGAACGAAAGATGTCTCTAGATTTATATCTACAAGCGGATCAACTTTTGCTTCGAGAATGGCACAAGCCAGCTCGACGAGAAGAAGCATTTGAAAGTGTATTCAGTAAATACGAAAGGAGTCGTCGCCGTCACGATAAAGGCCCCGAAACTCGTCAATGCTCATCATCTCAATTGTGGATGGTTCAGTGTAGAGTACTACTCACATGGTTTGCTTCTTTTACTGGGAACCCTACACTCGTGAGAAAAGGAATTCAGGACGTCAGCATCCTGGTAAATGTGAGGGTTTTCGGGATCGTTCTTATGTTTACGGTCAGTGACATTGCTAACATGTTGCCCAGGAATACCACAATCGTAAACGAAAATTGAGTCCCGAGGAACCATCCACCCTTTCCAACTGGTCTGAATGGTGTAACCGTGAATCTGAAAAAAGGTGAATTTCTGCTTGCTTTGTTTCCTCCCTCATGCGAGGAATAGGCCTAAGATTGATATTTCCCAGACTCCTCCATTCTATATTTGTACTTTGCAGTCTCATCACTGCGGCTTACGACATCCCACCGGTCCTTTCAGTACTACAAGATGGAGAGGTAGAGTTGCCTTCTGAAGACAAGTTATGGGTGGCACCATCGGAGGTCATGTGGCAGCAATGTGTCAATCAAACAGAGCGTGTCAAGGCTGTCAGTATTATCGACGGAGTTTCTTGTTTCATGAACAACACCACCCCCCAAATCCAACAGACTGATTCCGACAGCGGTCTACATCCTTCATGGCCTCCATTCGCTGTCGTGATCATCTTACATGGAGTATCGATTCAATTCTGGCACATGTCACAGTATGCGGACTTGACGAGGTCCCAACGGGCCCAGAACTTGTCCTTCTGCTTTTCCACCACCGCCGCCGCCGCCAGCAGCACTCCAACGACGGCATCCCCATCTCTCGAATTTCTACTACACGAGCACAACGAGACCATCCTCGACAGGTGCCGCTCACAAACCCCACGACAAACCAAAGTCCCCGCAAACGACGGTCTATGGGACGAGACCGAAGGACCCTTGTCTTTTAATTGTTTGTGCATTCTTCGTTTGATCCACCTCCGAGCCTTCACAGGAGCCAACCCTATCGACAAGGGCATCTTGTTGACTTCGGATCCCTCCGAGGTGACGACGGCCTTGCAGAAGTTCATGTCCAGTCCACAGACCCGAAACGTGTACGTCACAAAAACCGCCCGTCAGGCCCTGGAAGGTATCAAGACCCCCTCGCAGGTAGGGTGGAAATTGGTGCAAAAGACCGTGGGTTTCAAATGGAGTGTAGACGTTGCGATTTTTTACTGGGCTTTTGGTAAGTAATGCCATCATCCACCACAAGCCCTGCCCATGTGGGAATATGTCAGATCAGGATGTGAGTCAGTGAAGAGCTAATGGTCACTTTCAGGCCTATTCTTTGTAAGATGGATTCATACCATCGAGAAACTCATCAAGGGTCACCACTCCCATCACCATCGCCAACACCACGACATGCCCAGCGTCGATGAAGCCGAGACCTCCGTCTTGGAAGAAACTCGACGCACTTTTCTGGAAAATGACCTGATGACCACGACGATGACCACGACGGACGTTGACAATAATAATAATAATGATCCTTCCGATTCTTTCGACGATACCGGCGATAAAAACAACCACGACAGATCTTCTTTGGCCGCCCAGGTCAGTCGTCACCTTGCCGTCTACTTCACCGACACTTGGAGTTGGGGCATCACGGCCAGGTTCGGTCACGTCTTGAACCAATTGGCCGAGATTTGTGAACGAGACCTTTTGAGTCTTTTGGCGGACCATCCACAGGAAAACCCCCACGGAGTGACCACAAGACGGTAGAGACACACCTGTACGGGGAGGAACCACAGACGACCTGTTAAGAGGACAACTCGTCACCTACCTGGATGGCCGAAGGAGCCACAAAAGACAATGGACAATTGAAACCCTGGTCAAGTACTATTACATCCGTACCCAAAAACTCTCTGTACTCTCCCTCCCTGCGTGTGATACATATACACGGCACATTGATGAGGATGGGAAAATTCCTGACGACTTCCATCTGCAAGTTTTACGCGGGGATGTAGACCAAAAACCATTGTCGTATTGGTTAACCTTGTTCTGTGATAAGACGAGTACACTGTGCATGTACGAGTACTCCCTGAGTTACTATTGATACAATCCAATCCCAAGCCCAGACCACCAATGGCAGTCCCGCTTTGCGCCTAGTGCTACTTGAGGACCAAAAAAAAGAAGAAACCCATGTTTTGTTTCGCTGCCCCCGTGCATCGACTTCGCACCTGTGAGCAGTAACCCATCCCAACGCCTATTCTTCCCATCGACCAAATTTCTACACAGTGGCCCACTCAACAGTCTCCAGTGCCAACAGCACCAAGATCAACGTCGAGGGCAAAATCCATATGACATAACTTTGAAACAGAATCCTGCTCATCAAGCTAGGATACACATTGTTTTGAGTAGTGATCTGTCCAATCTGTAAAGCGACGGGGGCTCCCGATAACAAAAAGGCTACAATCACAAATATCTTGTCGTCAACAATACTGACTGGAACGTATTTGGCGATCAAGGCGATAACAGGAGCCATCACTACCGTGGGCAGCACCATGCGCGACACCAGAGCTGCGTAGAGAAGCTTTCGTTCTTCATTTGGATCGGTAATGGCACCCACAGGATTCTTGGGAACTGTGTTCTTTGCCAGGTTACCACCGAGGACAACCAGAATCAGGGGAACTGCAACCGCGCCGCTTTGATCAATGGCTCGCGACACTGAATTGCGGACAAATGTGCCATTGTCGTAAAAGAGGTGTTGCAATGCAGGAATCGATGCGACAATGATTGCAATTAACATGGCCCAGAGTGGAGGGTTCATGAATTCCCAGAGTCCCGCGAAGAATCGAGAGATTTTCATCGACATCCAAGACAGAGTCTTCTGAAGCGATTTTGGCAAAGAGTTGAAAGCTGAGTTGGCAGTCTGTCTAATGGCATGGTTGGTCTTCAACGTATGGTATCTCACGAAGTTCTTTGCCTTGTTGACGTATCCTTGAATACCACCACATTCTTCGTCATATTTCTTGTTATCGGATGTCTTGAGCCAAGCTGGGTAATTCAACCCGTGGTGTGGCGCCACCATCCCGTTTGTAGGGGTAGGCATGAGCTCCGGCACACTGCTGGATGTATTCAGGTTCCGGTGTGAGGAATTCCTGGAAGATCTCGCGGAGAATTTGTTACCATCACGAGGAGTCTTCAGGCCGTCGGATTTGGACGTTGTCGGAGACTCGGTCCCAACTTGAGTCTGATCATCCTCGTATTCTTCAAAGTCATCAGTGCTATCTCGATCGGCATCATAACTTGGACTCAGCAAGCGCTCTTGTTCTTGATCTGAGTCTGTATCGTCTCGATATGCGCCGCGACCTCTTTCAAGCTGGTCCACTTGTTTCGTGCCACCTTCTTCCACGGTGTAGGATTCTGGCGGCGCCAGGAGCACGTTGTAACCCCAACTCCAGCGAAGCAGTTGACCCAGTTGTTGAAAGATGAGCAAATATAGAATCCCTCGGGCCGCGACTTCATCGTCGTTGTCATGCGGCACCTTGTCCCAATGTAAGCCCTTGAGTGTCTTGGAGAGCGAGATGACCAGCGATATGGGCAAAGAGTTCGAATTGCCAAAGACACCCATTGCGATGAGGAAGTTTTCCTGTCTCTTTCGGAACTTGAGAAACTTGGCAATAATCCGGGCTCCCAGGTATGAGACCAATGTTTGCATCACAAAGATGACGGGGATAATTGCCAAGTCAGCCAGTTTTTCCGCGGTCAACTGGGACGCCAATTTCTGAAAGATCAGGCATGGCGTGAAAAGCATGATATTGAGATTGGCGAGGAACTTTTGTGCTTCGGCATCGAACATACCCTGCCTCGCCACGATGTAGCCTGGCAGACTGACGCAGACGACTTCGAGTACGGCTTCGAAGACAAGGAGGGTCAAATGCCCGAAGTCGGGATGGCCGGAATGCGGAGGAAGTTTGTTTTTCAGGACTTCGATTGCATTTCCAACCAAAGGGACTTGGTCGCGAGCTACCAGCGTTCCAAGAATCTGTCGGCCCTGAAACGAGACAGGACTGGAAAAGTATTGGGAGAGAGGCATCGTGAAGGGGAGGCTCGAGAGCCTTTCGAGGAGGTCGGAGGAGAGGAAGGAAGGTATGAGAGTCGGTTGATCAGAGAATATGAGCTCGTAGTTGTGATATTTGGACGGCGATCGTTCTGTTATTCCGTGACGGCTGCCGGCGTCAACGAGGCCCAAGAGGCCGGTGTTATTGGCTGCAACTTTTTACGGAAGCAGGGAACTTTGTGAAAGGCAGAGGCAGCAATCAAGAAAACAAAAATCCAACAATTGTCATTGTCAGAGTGTAATAAGTCGTGCCGCCGACTTAAGAGCAGACAAACGAATTGAAGGGGAAAGATAAGGGAAGGTCGAGGAGGTTGAGGTTGAGGTTGAGAGAAGTAACTGTGGTGTCGTTCGTGACGTGGTTGGGGGCGCAGTTTGCTTGACAATGATGTATTTATTACTTGGTTGCGAGTGTTACGGCTACGGCGTATGGAGTGCGGAATACTTGGGCTGCCAGTCCCAGTCAATGAGAATAGCGATGAAGAAATCCATAATTCCATGGCTACGATGCCTTGTTTCTGAACTCCTGCAACACGTGTATCTGCACTTTTACGGAGGAATCGAAGCATGTGAATCTCCTGATTTCTTCCTTCACGTACTCCGTACATATCTTCCTATGTACTTGTATTCTACTCCATAATCATTCTTAATCATTCTTAGTGCTCTTAGTCTGTCATATGTGCCCATATACGAAGTATCGTCAACCTCCTCTGCCCCGACGTCCACTACTTAGAAGCGCCTTCCGACACCAGGTACTCACCTACCTCACCTAGGTGCTCATGCAAGTGGTATTGATCCATGCCAACTCATTCCTACAGCCATACGGATACTATAGCGTTGGGTGAACTTTTATATGTTATATTTTAAGCTCATCGGGAGCACAGGCTTAAAAGTGTTTTCAGTGCTCCGTATGGACACAATTCATGCCAATCCCAATTACCATTATTCATCCGGATGCCTATTCTATACCCAGATCTCACCTCCTACTACTACGGACTACTGTAGCCACCAGATCTACCTTGAATCGGTTCTTACAAGTTATGCAATACTCTGGCTAGAATGGAAAATAGTGGTATCGTTATCAATGCAAATCAACGAAGTAAAATCAGGTACAAATACAGTCGACGCACACGAGAGCCGCTTCAACTCCATCCCTGGCGAGTGATACTCCGTGTCCATGTCAATATGCTAAGCCAGCACTTTTGTCGCGCCACACGCCTTCCGTCCTCTCCCTGCTGCCTACAGTGTATGTTGCTGAGTTCGAGGATCATTGCTTTGGCTGAACCGTCCACAATACATACCCAGTGCAGAACCATCAATTCAGACCATACTCCTAGCGCACAAGGAACAAGGCTTTAATTCTCTGTCGGCGCATCTCCCGCCACCTCTCTCACAAGAGAGTCGTAGCTATTGTGAGATTGTCTTCCCATTTCGTAATGTTCGTTTCCCTTCTTTGCTAACTTCCGCCACGCCAGCCTGGAACAGATCTTCGAATCTAGGGTAGCCGTAACCTCTGGGGAGACTTCTGGGACGACCTGGAAGTTCCAATGCGTCTGGCCTGGTACGCATGTAAGAAAGTCTGCTGTTAGCCTCAGCCTCTGCGATTTCATTGTCTGCGTCATTCCCGCCTGGGCCACTCTACAGCTCTGCCTCAGGCCCATCATCCATCTCTGCTCGAGCAGCAGCTTCAGTTCGAGCCTCGCCCTTTGCATTGGCTGCTTCTCTCTCTAATCTGCCTTCCTCTTGCGCTTTGGCAACTTCGTCATCTCCAGCGACTTCTTGCTTGACTGCTGTTTCTTCCGTCGGTGCTCCTGTGGCGTCTGGCTGGCTGCCGGACGACGCTGCCACTACTACAGCACGGGTATCATCAGCAGCACCCTCGACTTTCGTTGTCGTCGAAGCAGGCATATCGCCATCGGTCGGTTGCTGTGCAGAGGGCGACTCTGGAGGAGTCTTCTGTTGGGCGGGCTTGTTCTCGACGCTGATGGTAGACTCTTCATCAGCTGCATGCGGACTGATGGTAGTGGCAGGCTCAGCATCCGCATCTCCCATCTCGACGTCACCATCGGCGGCGGCCGCTACAGCAGGCGAATGTGGCTTTGAAGCAACCGCAGAACCACTCGCAGGTGCAGCACTCCCACCTAGAATTTGACGAATCTCATCGTTCAAACTCTCGTCTACGTTCATTTCGTCCCCAGGAAGGCTCCAATCTTGCTGTGGCGTTTCAACCCCGCTTCCAGTTTCGAGTCCAGAGTCATTGCCAACATCCGTGATTTTGCGATAATTCTGAATGATGCGTCGTTTCCTACTGCCGAGACGTCCATTTGAATCTTCCACAACTTCTTCATCGCTATCGGATAGTTCTCCATTCTTCTCAACGTACTTGTCTGCCCTACGCTGAGACACGCGGATGTCGCCAGTCTGTTCTTCGTCTAGATCGTCCAGAGCTGCTTCGTCATCATCGTTCATCCCGAGCGACTGGCTGGGTACGTCAGTCATCTGTACAGATGGCGCGTGGGCAGTTCTCTTCAAGTTGTCGAGGACTTGAACTAAGATCTTTTCAAGGTACTCCCTGGAGTTGGCATTGTCCATGTTGGATGGTCGCACATCTAGTTCGTAGTCAGGCGCATAGTACTATATGGAGTTAGTCCAGGTTTAACAAAGGCCCTTGCATGCATCTTACCTCGTAATAGTCGTTGTAGGGCAGATTAGGGTGCATAGGCTCTCCAACGAGGCATCCAGTCTCAAAGGCCCAGGTTCTGGCGACATTCCGCATTGTGTAGCCACCCCCACCTACAATCAGAGTGGGCAAATTGAATGACTTGACAAAGTTCACACAGTTCGCGTGACCCTTCATGCTGAGATTGAAACATCCAAGTCGATCGCCCGAGAGAGAGTCGCCACCACATTGCAATACGACTGCTTCAGGTTGATAGAACTCCATGATGGCTCGGATCACAGGTTCAAAAATACTCTTGTAGGAGGCATCGTCAATGCCATCACGGAGAGGAAAATTGACAGCATAGTGCTTGCCTAACCCTACGCCAATATCCCTGAGCTCACCAGTGCCAGGAAAGTATTCGCCGTACTTGTGGAAAGAGGCGGTCATGACTCTGTCGGTGGTGTAGAAAGCTTCCTCAACGCCGTCCCCATGATGGACGTCGATATCAATGTAAAGAACTCTCTTATGAAATCGTAGCAGCTCGATGATGCCCAGGACGATGTCGTTGACGTAGCAAAACCCACTGGCTTCACTCTTTTTCGCATGATGCAGACCACCGGCCCAGTTGATCGCGATGTCGGCTTTTTGCCTATTGAGGCGTGCCGCGCCTTCCATGGAGCCACCCGCGCTAATACCACAGAACTCAAAGAGTCCGTCAAACACGGGACAGTCGTCTCCGACGTTGTATTTTTGCTGCTCTTTTGCATATGAATCCATATTATCAGGTGTGACCTTGGCTAGAAAATCGATGTATTCGTCTGTATGGAATTGCGTCATTTCATACTTGGTCGCAGGCTTCGCACGGTAAATTTCCATCTGTTTGTAGAGGCCATAGTTCATGACAAGGGAGTGCGCAAGTCGTATTCGGTGAGGCTTCATGGGGTGACCCGATACGTAGGCGTAGTTTCCAACATCGGAATCGTAGAAGTATGCCACCCTCTTCTTGCTGTCGCCCTTCAACTTCGGGGGATCAACTGGCGCGAAAGACATAATGACAGTGGTTCAGTCGCGCAAGACGACCAGGAACCGACGAGGTAAATGATCGTATGCTCAGGAGGAATGACAGACTCTTCTTGCGCTTGCTGAGGCTCTCGATCAGAGAAGGTCGTAGCTAGGACGATTGTTGGTTGAGAGGGAAAGGGTGCTTTTATAAGAGAAGGTGAGGAGGCAAAGAGTGAGAAAAACCGAGGGCCAAATTTCTAAAGACGTTTGACTTCGTGTGTTAGAACTGCTGCCTGCTGATGTTCCAGAATATACCAGCTTTGACTGGGTACCATAAGGATCACAGAAGTTGTCAACTGGTTTACATCGTTTTAACAGAGTCTCGTCTCCAACTTGAGTTCAACGCGGAGGAGGAACAAGTGTAAAGCCTGACATAGAAAGTTGACCGAGGAAGGACTGTTTAGACCTGCCGCATCATTTGGAAAGGGGAAGGTTGGCCGATTCATCTTCAGGCGGCGAGGCGGTTACGCGGGTTTGTAGCTGTGACTTGCGCTGCATCTTGACTTGTCGTCAATAAATCGCCAACATCTTCAATAAGAATCACCGAGTCTTTCAAACTTGACGATCTCCTTCTCTTCATATCGTACTATCCAGAGCTCTCCCAAAAGTCCAAATCAATACATATTACCTCCGATTCCGTCGCAGTTCTGTCCGGCGCTTCAACGCCACGATTCTCAATCCTCCCTCCTGTACCGATCCATTTCTTACAACATAATCCACAATGGACCGATTCAATCGTATGCTTGCGGCTGCCTCGGGCATGGGCATCCCTGGAAGCGCCCCTGGCCATGACACAAATCTTGTCGATAACTCAGAAACCGTTTACATCTCCTCCCTTGCTTTGCTGAAAATGTTAAGGCATGGTCGCGCCGGCGTACCTATGGAAGTCATGGGTCTCATGCTTGGAGAGTTTGTGGATGACTTCACCGTGCGAGTCGTCGATGTATTTGCCATGCCACAGTCCGGAACTTCAGTCTCAGTAGAATCCGTTGACCCCGTCTTCCAGACGAAGATGATGGACATGCTACGTCAAACCGGTCGGCCAGAGACTGTAGTGGGATGGTATCACTCGCATCCAGGATTTGGATGCTGGCTATCGAGTGTCGATATCAATACCCAGCAATCATTCGAACAGCTCACACCTCGTGCGGTCGCAGTTGTCGTCGATCCCATACAATCTGTCAAGGGCAAGGTCGTTATTGACGCATTCCGCCTCATCAACCCGCAAACCATGATGATGGGACAAGAACCCCGCCAGACCACTTCAAACTTGGGACATCTGAACAAGCCTTCGATCCAAGCACTCATCCACGGATTGAACAGACATTACTACAGCATTGGGATCCAATACCGCAAAACAGGGTTGGAAGAGAATATGTTGATGAACTTGCACAAAGAGGTCTGGACAGAAGGTTTGGAGCTGCCGCATAGCTTTGGTGGCGAGAGAAAACGGAACGAAGAGGGTCTGAAACAACTTGTCCATCTCGCAGAAGGCTACGAGCGCAGAGTCAGGGAAGAGAACGAATTATCACCGGAGCAGCTGAAAACTCGATATGTTGGCAAGGTGGACCCGAAGAAGCACATCGAGGATGTTGGGCAGCGATTGATAGAGGACAATATTGTCGCCGTATCAAGACAGGCGATCGACAAAGAAGCCAGCGTCCCCAAGAAGGCACATCAGACAAATGGTCACGGGCTGGCAAATGGTGCAGATGGCGACATGGATGTGGACGAAGAACTGTGAGTCGGTCACGAGAAAAGATCGGCACTCGACTGTGTAACTTGTATCTACAGATTTCATGGCGGGCATGGCGTTCGGCTGCTGCATAGACAGGCGAAACATTGGCGGCACCTGCGGGAATGTGCAAGACTCGACGCAGAAAAGCGTTATGAGATGCTAAAAACCTTTGACAATACAATTGTTTGATAATTAAAATTCGCTTACAATTCGCTCGTTTCGTTAAGTCATGCAAAATCATGATGCTGACACAATCAAACCCAGAAAAGGACTTTAATTCCTTCTGGGGTGGCAAAGGGCTTCGTTGGCCCCAGCGTCCATGTCTTGCCTTTGAAGTCGGCCTCGGTCAGTAGTCGAGACACCAAAGGGCCCTGCGTGTCCACGCCTGGATTCCCGTCAACTTCAATGTACTCCAGCCGGGGCATTACTGCCAGGACATCGCGAAGCAGATCGCCGCAAAAGTCGGTGTAGAAATTGAGCGAGACTCTGTACTTTTCGTACGTCGGCGTACTCGGGTCGCATTGCACAAACAGTCTCAGGCTTTGCACGGCGGACAATTTTCCCAGTCGTCTCGCCAGGAGCTTGCTGACCCGCCACGTCTTGGGCGGACTGGCCCAGCTCGAGCCCACCACCATTTCCAACTTTGTCACCATGGCCCGATACATCGGGCGCAATTCTTGGATGATGGGCGCGGGCGTGAAGTCCTGCAAGGGAAAGATCCTGAAGCTCAGAGAGCTGTACAGAATGTATGATGTCTCCTGGTGCATCCTCCTGCTGACCGCCAGGATCGAAGTGCGAGTCTTCTTCCGTCCATCCTTGCCTCTGTAACCCGGCTTGCCGAACAAAATCAAGCCGTAGATCTTGTTACGTATCTCGGCGGGCAGCTCGAAGAACTTGAACGGTCCGCCAGGCAGGGCCGGTACATCTGGTTCCGGGGAGTCAGGAGAAACCTCCTCGTCGATTGCCTTCCTGGAGAAGCCCTTTTTCGATTTCAAGCGATCTTCGGGAATAGGGAAGGCGTTCACGAGGCCGGTCCTCCAGGAGGGCGGCATTTGGGGGCCTGGTAATATGGAGGACGAGACCAAGTGCACACGCGACCGGACTCGGGTTTCATGCACTCATTGCGACTGTAGGGCTGACAAAGTAGGAGGAATGGATAGCAGGCAGTAGAAGGTGAGAATGTTGCGTCCTTACGGGGCGACGAAGATCATTGGGCGAACCTCTTCTCGCGCTCTTGAAGAGGACGGCGTGGTTTACTCTCCCGAGCTAATACAATCCCTCGAACATACAATGATTGTGATCGGCGGATCAAATTTCCTCGGTGCAACTTTCATGAGAGGAGAGAAGAAGAAGAAAGAAAAGAGGAGGAGAGAAGAGACTAAAGAGGAGATGGAGCAGCAGCAGGTTTCTCCGCTTTTTCCCGCCAAGGCAGTAATACATTGACCCGAGCGCAGTTTGGTGATGATTCTGTTCTGAGTGACGCTGGGGAAAGTTTTCGAAAGCATCTCCAAATTCGAAGCGTGCAGTGGTTCAGAGAAACTGCTGCTACTGTCTACCTTACTATCTTGAAATCATCCCCGGTATCTTCGAGGACTTCTGGCAGGTGGTGTTATGAGTGATCCAGGATGTTAAGCCGCGCAGTTTTGCCTCTCTTGAGGCCACGACAGTGCCGGCCTCTGATTGCGCATGCTCTTTCACCAGCACGAGCCTACAGTCGCTCCCAAGGCATTAAAGGTCCCGACTACAAACATCCCACCAATTCCCAACCAGATGCATCGAAAGAGCCCCTTCGAAAAGTCCCTCTAAGTCCGGCAAACCCTGCCGCCCAGGATGACCAACCTCCAGAGACGCCGCCGTTTGGAGTCGACCCTGCTCGAGACCTCGATGATGTTTCTGGCTCAGTGTCGAGGGCGACAAGAAGGTCAATGAGGGACCGGCAGAGACAAAATGCGGCTGCAGGAGAGACACAATCGGAACAAGAGACCACAGATGCTCAGGCTGAGTCGGAGCCACAGTCTCAGCAGCCTCTCCCTGATCTGAGACAGGGTATTCCATCGACCTTGGATGCAGAGCTGGGTCGAGCCGGGCAAAGTCAGCAACCTCACGCACGAAAGGCCAGCCTCAACATCACGGAAGAATCGGACGAGCCGAAGCCTTCTGAGGAAGGTGACCGAGGTCGGGGTGAAACTCCCCGCCAGCAATACGTCTCATCCAGTGACCGGAAGAAGAATGCGGTTTTCAGATACATGTACTTAGCACTAGGCCTGGGCGCCGTCGGGTACTCCGTCTACTTGGGACGCAACTGGGAAAACGAAGAGGAGGCAAAGAAGCATACCGATGCTCCGTCCGGCTGGCAATTGGGACTCTTCTGGAAACGAATCCAAGCTCGCCTTGGCTCAACCATGAGCTACTATCGAGATCCAGTAACCACCAAGCTGCTGCCTGACGAAGATCCAGATCCGAACATGCGATTCCCTTTTACCCTCGTCCTCAGTTTGGAAGACATGCTCGTACATTCTGAGTGGACAAGAGAGCACGGGTGGCGCGTCGCCAAACGTCCTGGCGTGGACTACTTTCTGCGATATCTCGGGAGCTACTACGAAATTGTTCTGTTCACCAGCCAGCCCATGGCTGTGGTCGAAGGGTTGCTGAGGAAGTTGGACCCATATTCTACCATCCGATGGCCGCTGTTCCGTGAAGCTACCGTGTACCAGGATGGCCACCACGTCAAGGTAACTTTCAAATCTCGTTCTAGAAGCAAACAAGTGCTGACTTTTTCCTAGGACCTCTCGTACCTTAACCGTGATCTCAAGAAGGTGTTGATCATGGACACCGATCCCAACCATGTCAAGAATCAACCCGAGAACGCTATCATCCTCCCCAAATGGAAAGGCGACCCGAATGACCAGACCCTAATTCAGTTCATTCCGTTCCTGGAGTACCTTGCAACAATGGGATTCGAGGACGCAAGAGAAGTGCTCAAGTCTTTTGAAGGCAAGTATATTCCAGCAGAATTCGCGAGACGGGAGAAGCTCCTTCGCGAGAAGTTCGAGAAGCAAGAAGCAGAAAAGAAAGGGCACAAGTCCAAGAAGAGTTTAAGCAGCCTAGGCTCCTTCCTGGGATTATCCAAGCCTCATGAGGAAGAAAGTCTTGGGGAAGGAAAGATGCTTTGGGATCAAATCCGAGAACGAGGACAGCGGCAATACATGGAATTCGACAAGAAGATCAAGGAGGAAGGCGAGAAGTGGTTGGCTGAACGAGACGCCGAGGAGAAGAGAATGCAGGAAGAGGCCATGAAGAACATGAACCTTGGCGGATGGTTCTCGGGAGTTTTGGGAAGTGGTGACAAGCCCGCAGAGGAGAAGAAATGAGGTGGTCTAAAGTAATACTTTGATCGAGTGACGATCTGTATAAAAGTGCGACGTATGTAGGATTTAGGGGGGTTTTCCACGGGCAGTGCGAAGATGAGTTCAGCAGGTCTAATCGACAAAGCTGGGGCATCATCCTCCGTATTAGGCCGCCATATCTCCATTCATGTACAGTTATTTTATTTATCCTTGAGTGGTGTTTGAGACAGACTTGGGTGATTTTAATCGGAAACAAGACTTGACGGATAGGGTTGCAGTTAGAATCCAAAGGAGCAACATGTCCGTCCATGCTCGGTGTGATGAATTCAACGTTATCCATAGTGTGAAGATTCCAGGGTTGCAATGCCGTAGAGGTACATCCGTAATCTGGGGAAGAGATGGTGGTACTCTTACGGAAAGCTGAGGTAGAAGATGTTTGATGTCAGGGAGCCACCGACTCCTAGGTGATCGGCGAGGCTGTCTGACGGTCATTTCAAGAGCCGGGACCTGATTCCTACTGCGAAACACAGTGTGGCCCCCCTTTCGCTTCCGCCGGTCTGACGACGGTGTTTTCCGAGCAGAGATTGGGGCTCTGTCGTTAGACTGTGTCTGGGATCTAAGAAAAGAAACCCAGATGTTACTTTTTAACTGGGACTGCGTAATGCGATTGGAATGTTCGGCTTCGCTTGCTTCCTTTGCTGTGCGCCATCATCTTTAGGCACCTCCAAACTAAGCAAAAGCAGGGTTCCATTTCTTCTTCCATTCCAGCTTGGCCCATTCTACTGTACGAGTACGAATTACAGGGGCCACCGCTGACCACCTGGACTGGTTGGACTTAAGCTAGGTACCTTAACTAACAACTGGACTCAACTCTTTGTGCCGTGGCCCGAAACCGTTCACTACTACTGAACAAACCCCCGTCGTCGCCCTCTTACCAAACATCATACTTGACTGTACTTTGGCAAAACATCACCATAATCCCAACTGGTCGACATACAACACCATCGAGAACCGACTTCAGCGCTCACCATCACGAAGCTTGTACATGACAGTCAACATCGATTAATAAATTGCAAAGCCTAAACGTCGTCGTTTCTAAACGCCATCTCAAGGGAGCTTCTCCTTCGCGACGCGTCCATGGAGGAACGGGCAACGAGGGCCCCCATCAGCAATGTCCTCTCGTTTGACATTGTCTGAATAGCTTCTTTTTTTGGTTTACAGCTGCACTCTCTCTGCATCATGTCGCCTGTTATGCTTATGCGACCATCGTCAGTCCAGACTTCGTCGACCATTTCTCATGATGACATTCCGCCTCAGCCACTGGATCCGAGTCGAAATGAGGCTGACTTCTTCCACCCACCGCCCACATCACATGACCATCGCTCTCCCAACGACCAGCCTCAACCATCGTCCAACGGCTCAGACGAGCGGACACGAGATGCAATTGCCTTCCACAAATTGCCCACCGAGGTCATAGAAAGGTAATGACTTTTTTTTTGAATCCTGTCAGAACTGCTTGGCTCTCCCCAATGCTCGGATGGTTGTTGTAAACATGTTTTGCTGACCTCATCCAGAATACTTTGGACGGTCGATGTCAACAGTTTCGCGTCTTTAGCCATCTTGAACCGGGCTTGTTATAAAGCAGCTCAGAACAGGGAACTATACGCACATCATCTATCCCGTTGTCCGTCATACGCATTGGCCAACACCGTTATAACTGGGCCCTTCCGGAAGAATGACCTGTATCGACTCAAGACGAAATTTGCAGCCGAAGTTCGTCGGAATCTGTTCGAGGCATATCTACGACCTCGACAGACCTTGATCAACTTGATCTCGGTCAGCGCGAGCTCTTCTGCAGCCTTACCCGGAGCTGAAGCATTTCGCTTTGCATTTTCCCCCAATGGCCAATGCATACTCGCACTGAGTTCCTCAAGGATATATGTCATCGATGCAATCACGGAGCCTGTATCTGTTACTCACGAATTGAAGACGCTGAGACGGCCACTGGCAGCTTCAGTGACTGACGATGGAACCACACTAGCGGTTCTATCATCCAAACATCAGACTAACATATACAACTTGACCTCGAAAGGCGTACAACATGTGCAGGTTATCATGATGGACAGTCCACCTCGGACCATCGCATTGGCTCCACAAGGCACGGTTTTGGCAGCGGCTTATGATGGTGGTGTTGAAGTGTTCTCACTGGCTTCTACCGCTCTCTCGACGGATCGGAGAGCCGTCAGGAGTGAAGGGGTGGACAGTTTGAGTTTCTCCGGTGATGGGTCGATGCTTTACGGCAGTACGCAAAGCTTAGAGGAGCCGTCGGCGGTGGTCATCACTGCGCCCTTTTACACGGAGAACGACCTCCCACCGAAGGAAGTACACAGTCGAATGTGGACCACTCAGATACTGTTTCCCCAGCTGAGTAGCGTGTGCAGTCACGCAGAATTGATGCAAGGCCATACGGAAGGTGACGCCAGCTGGCTTTTTGCCTACGATCATTCCTTGATGTCCTACCGAGCTGTCAGAACCGATGATACGCGGACAGGCGTAGCCTTTTTCCTCAACCCGACAACGAATCGCCGCTTCAGCATGCCTGCGCCTTCTACGGCCCCAACTGCCACAGCATGTGGCACTCTAGTCGTGGCTGGATTTAGTGGGAGCGGCCTTTGGATCTACGGAGTGCCAGAAAGGCTGGATGTTAGTCCCGACATGGGCTCAGTCGTCGAACGACACGAACAACGCCTGCAAGGAAAAGTTTCCCTGACTTCTGCTACTGGACACCTCGAACCGCTGATGGCATATTCGCCTTCGGTATCTGGAAGCAGCGAGGAAATTGAAGAAGATTCATTGGCGGCAAAAGTTGACTGGCGAGAAAGTCTCTTCGTCAAATGTTCACAAATAAGGACACTGGATGGATGCACGGCAGCCAAATGGGTTGAACGATGTGAAGTCCGAGAATGTGCTTTCCCTGGCAAAAGATTAATAGCAGTAGCACCCGGCGGAGTTGATCAGTTTGTGGAGGAACTCGGAGACGAGACAATGCCCGTCGACGGTTCGCGCGTATCGATACTCGACTTCGACTATGGGCCGTCTTCTGGTCAGGATCGTGAAATTACCATCGAGGTTGGTGACAAAGAGCCGGAGTTGCTTACCGAGCAAATTGGTGATATGGATATCGAGGTGGCTATCGAGAGACGTCGTAGCGTGCGGGACCGTGGAAGAGGCGCAATGAGGATGCCTCTCGGGCGATCTGTAACCACGGCATCTGCCAATCAGTCTTGGAATCAACGACGACCTAACAATATCCCATCTCCCGCATCTTCGCCTCTTGATGTGGATGCACAAATAGATTTGGCCAATGCCTCTCCTCGAACTCCCAAACAGCCTCCGGGAAATCTACACCGGTCTATGACAGCAGCGGGTTTTGCCACGGCACGATATCCACCACGTCCGCCGTTGGCATCACAAGACACCGGCCATTTGGTTTTTCACAGGTCACCTGAACAGCAATGGCAATCTGGGGAAGGGTGGGAATCACCTCCTCCGCCATATTCAGGTGGCTTTCCCAGTCAGGTCCACCCAGGTCCGCCTCTAGGCTCGCCTCTCGTGCAGCCTCGTCCTAACGCAGGTCCTGGCCAGATGCCGATGCCTGTGCCTATGCCTCTCGCGGGGATTCCCGAAAACAGTCATGTCCCTCAACAGAGTCAGGCACTCATGTATCAGCCTAGCTTTGGCCACAACCAGGGACCTTTGTCGAGCAATCATCCGTTACATTTTGGTGTGCAGCCTCATAATGTACCGCAGCCTCTTCATATCAGACCTCCAGAAAACACAGCAGCTCCAGCTAGCTCTGCGATGCCCATGCCATTACCTTCTGGATATCCAGCTAGACAACCAACCGATCAGGACCAACGAATCTCGACACATCAGGCATTCGTCCCAACGATATCTGCAGAGTCCTCGTCACGACCAGTGTCTCACTCTGACAGATCATCTCATCATACACCGGAACGAGAACGTGTATCACCATTACGTGTATCTCGCCCAGAGCCTGATTCTTTCGATGCCATGCCTGTTCCACAACACTCCCAGAAACCATCTGACTCTGGTTCTATCACTCTGACTGGTGCTAACCTTCAAGCTCGATTGAATCACCCTGTCCCTCCAACTCCGACAACGCTCGAACAGATGCGTAACTCACAGTATGTCACCACTGGACCACCTCCACCTCCAAAAGTTGAACCGGTACCTGCTTCGGCCTCTGCAGCGGGGTATAACTTCTCTCTTCCAACAACAGATCAAATGGCCAACCTAAACCGTCGCATTTCACAGACTGTGAGAAAACCAGTGCCATCGACGAATGGCGCCGCTTTCCAAAATCACAACACAGCAATGCAGGACGTTAGTCGTCCTTCAGCGGTGCCTCCATCTCCACCAAGAGGAGCGTGGGGTGCTGCTGGCGTCGCAAACGCTCCCTCCTTCAACAAAGCCATCACGACACCCAATGGTTTGGTTCGAAATAACTCTCGCGGTAGTGGTCGAAACATACCCATGTCTTCGTCGACTCCAAATCTGTTAGCTTCCTACTCGCAACGACCCCCGATCGGCAGTAGGCTTGACACCATCGAGAGCATATCGAGTTCGTATGGACCAGGGGAGCCGGGGTCAAGGTCACACAGTGTCGCGGGACAGTTGGTCATGCCGAATCAGATGGTGTCTGCAGGCTCGTTCGCGCCACAAGGGCAGTCTGCATACCAGGAGACGAGGTCCTGGACAGGTGACAACCCTTCTAACCCATCTCGCCTGACCCGAGCGAAGACGAAGAGAGGCAAAAAGAAAAAGGGTGAAAGTTTACCGGATCAGCGACGGTCACAAACACTACCCGCGGACAACAGTCCAACTATAGGCAAGAAGGAGAAAGGAAGTCGATGTGTTGTCATGTAGATATACGACATGAAGTTACGGACGAGGAACAGCTTTTTACTATATTGAGAACAGCCATATCAGTGTTCATACCTTATTTTTACGGGAGAGACGCATTCTTTGTTGAAGAAGAAACATGGCATGAGGGGCAAACAGAAATAATTACAAGATATATATAATTTCAAATGATCTATTTACATTGTGCAAACTGCTTCTTTTCAATGTTGACGCATTCCGTACCGTGTACAAGTGTATCATATCATATGCCTGCAGTGTTCAAGGCAATCCCGTACGTGGGTCCTTGGTCCTTTTGTACTCGTCTTGATGTCGCTGGCCAACAGCACAAGATGTCTTCTTGTGTCTCCGGTCCCGTCTTTCCACAGCGCTACCGGGCAAAAAAATGAAACCCCCTTCATCCTAGACGTGTGTCCCGTATCCATACGTACTCACATGCGGGTTCCATTCCGAGATGCAAAGTCCAGTTGGTTGCCGGCCTTGAATTTTCTGACGGGAAGAAATTGCTCCGACTAAAAGTTTCGGAATGGGACTTTCAGCGCTGGGGGGCCGTTTTCAGGCCTTCCACCCGTCATTCGGTTACAGGGCGACGTAAGCCAGATGACAATTTGATCCGCGGACATTGGTATTGAAGTACGGTAAGTAAGTACAGGTAGATTTCCTTTTGTCTTGAGAGCTCATCTTTGGGGAAAAGAAGAAAGAAAAAGAACAAAACTTCCCATACGGTCTGTGTGGGTTTCTGTCTGCAAGACTTGTTGTTTTCACTTGAAACACTCCAAAGAAAGACCATCACCTGTCGAGTACCCATTTTACACTTGTCTTCTCACACATACGTCCTGACAGGAAGAGTCACAAATGTGGTTGTCCAACAGCTCCGGTACCATGAGCGGCAACATCCTCTTCCTCGTCCCTCGACTTCTCTTCATTCCCATCTTTCTCGTCATCCTCAAAAGAACCTACTCTCTGGTGCGGAATTATATTCAAGCCCGAAAACTAGGAATACCCATCATCGTCATCCCACTGTCCTGGCAGGATCGAGAATGGTTACTGTTTCGACCATTTTTCAAATGGATCGACTCGGTTCCGGTACTGGGATATTGGTACAAGTACAGTGAGCTCGGTTGGACCATGCACCACCGTTACAGACCTCACCAGAAATACGGGGACGCTTTCGCCATCGTTTCACCTTCCAGTGTACTGGTCCAAATCAACGACCCTCAAGCCGGGACGGTATTACAACGGGACTATAAAATTTGGACGAAACCTCCCACGCTCTACGAAATCTTCAATCTGTACGGCAAAAATCTGGTGAGTGTCAATGGTGAAGATTGGCAGCGTCACAGGAGAATCGTGAACCCGGCTTTTCGTGAACAAAACAATAAAATGGTTTGGGAGGAATCTTTACGACAGGCAGATCAGATGCTTGAATTGAGAACTAGGCGTCCTAAAGATTCAAACCATGTTGGTGGCGACGGCAAAGAGGACAAGGTCGGCGACGAGAGGGGGGGCGACGGCAAGGCTACAATGGCGGATTTGTTTACGGATTTTCACCTTTTGGCCATGCACGTCTTGTCGGCGGCAGGGTTTGGTCATTTACACGATTTCTCGAGTGGTCTACAAGAAGTACCTCCGGGGAAAACAAAAAGTTTTTCCGGTGCTTTGAACTTTGTATTGATGAATGTTTTACCCGTCATGATCTTTGGACCCATGAAGTTACCAAGGTTCTTGACCTGGCCCAAATTCCGAGAGACCCAAGCGGCCGTCAAAGATCTCCGGGAGTATTTGGCCGAGACGGTCTCTTATACCAGAGCAACGACTCAAAGTGGTGGTGGTGGCGGTGGTGGTGGAAAACAACAAGCGGCCGATATCGCCACAGCTCTAATCGAAGCAGACGAGGCGGCGAAAAGAGAAGATCGACGACAACAACAGACGAACAAATCCCTAAGTGGTGGTGGTGGTGGTGGTACTGGCGGAGGTAAACCAAACTATTTGAGTGATTCGGAACTTTTTGGAAATTTGTACGCCTTCAACGTTGCAGGTTTCGACACCACCGCAGGGACCTTATGTTATGCCACCCCCTTTCTCGCCGTCAACCCGCAAATACAAGAATGGGTCGGTGAGGAGATCGATTCAGTATTCGGTTCTTCCAATCCACCACCATTGTCATCGGATTATGAAAGTACGTTTCCAAAACTGACGAGATGTTTGGCCGTCATGGTATGTTTCCTTTTCTTTGACACTCTATATCCTTTTCATTGCTTGTTTTCACTCCGCTGAAACTAAAAAAAACCGCAGTACGAAACTTTACGACTATGGGGTCCTTTACCAGAAATGGCAAGATTCGCCGCAGGTGATGGTCAACATTTACGGGTCGGTGGCGACGGCAAGGTGATTTGGGTACCGAAAGAAGTCTACGTCTCCACCAACTTTTTCGGTATACACACCGACCCTAGATTCTGGGGCCCTGCCGGACTTGAATGGAAACCCGAGAGGTGGATCGTGAGGGACCCCGACACCGGGGTGGAAGCCATAAGGACCCCCAAAGGCGGTACGTTTTTGGCCTGGAGCCACGGTCCACGTGTCTGCCCCGGTCGAAAATTCAGTCAGGTCGAGTTCGTGGCCGTCTTGGCCACGCTCCTCTACAGGTACAGGTTGAAACCGTGGGTCGTGCCCGGGACAGAAATGAGGACCCAAAACGATGCAAGTGAAGCTTTGATGCTGGCCGTCAATGATTCACAGTTTTCTTTGACCACGAAAATGGCACGCCCGGAAAAGGCAGGGGTGGTGATTGTTCCTAGATAGATACCTAGGGTAAATGATCGGGGGGAGTGGGGGACTTTGGGTGGGTGAGATCGATTGGATTCAGATATCAAACAAATTGACGGAGTTGAATATTTCGATGTGGATGGGATTCATTCCGTCCGGACTACTCTATCAGATCTGAGATTGGCATTCCCTGTTGCATGACAAAGGAAAGATGCAACATGACACGATGGGAGATACAACATAGGAGGGAGATACCATGAGCAAAAGAGGGGGAAAAAAGAATTGAGACAAGGAAACAAATACAAAAGATTTTCGGAGATTTGACCTAACTAGTATACGACGACGACGACAGGAGTATATTTAAAATAATCGCTCCATCAAACCTAGAAACTCCTTCGCTCAATCCTGCTCAGCCCATTTGCACACGATTTACAGGATTACAAAATTAAAATTATGATTTGAATGTCAAAAGTGAAAAAAAAACAGTCCCGACACAAAGAGAAAACCAAGCGGGCTCGACCGGGGGCCCTTTTTGAAAGAAGATATAACCAAGACGTTTTGATAGATGATCTGTTGACATGAGATAGTCACAGGAAATCCAATCAGACGAGAAGACCCGCATCTTTTGAGGAATCAATACTTGGACCAGGGACACCAGAGTCGTTGGTTCTTCTGTGTCTCAACACTTCCCTACTGGGAACCATGGAGAGGCTCGGCATACCAGCGTGAGCTCCCCGCCTATTGGCATCTTCCTCTTCAGCCCAAGCGAGACTCTCGTCAGGTAGTAATATGGCGCGGTCGATACTGACAGGCAAACCTCGATGGCGTCCACGAAGCATGACGACACAAAGAACGAGCTTGCTCGCCGTGTGCCACGTCCCGCAGAAGGAGTACGCCGCCCAGGGAATGCCCACCGAGATCCCCACGCACCCGTACGCCGACACGACCTCGAATACGATGTTAAAGGTGGAAAAGTTGACAGGGTCTCGCTCGAATTGCCCAGTCTCGATGGCCGTGATCATAAAGACCGCAAGGACGAGAATCCACAAGTCGTGTCCAAGTTGGCCCCGGAGCTGCTGGCGTACAAAGTCTTGCCGGGTCCACGTCGTGAGATGTTGTGGCGACGGCGCGGAACCAGTGCCATGAGTCCAAGTCATGGTTTGCTTGAGGCCAGAGATAAACCTTCGACCTGGTAATTCCTTCTCGGTGGAGGGTTGACCGCCGCTGCTACCGTTTCGCTCGGCTTCTTTTTCCGCTTCTTCCATGTCCTCGGCGTATATCCCCAAAGACCTCTCTTCGTATACGTTCGTGTTTCGAATCGTCATTGCGATGGGAAAGGCCGAGATATACATCATGGCGACGTAGAGGACCAAGAGTCCCGACCGTAGGCCGGCAATAGACACCACATAAAACCCTCCACTTCGGACCGCAAACGCTTGAAAGAGTCCGTCCAGAACTCGGAAATGTACCGGAATCGCATCAGTGACGGGATTTCCAATATTCAAAAGTTCAAATGCAACCCAGTCGATTCCATTCAGCATGACTAGGGAGAAAACGAGCCACCACGTCTGTGCGGCAGGGAACAGGTTGGTGTAGACTCGTCGAGGGTGATCGAGGCAGAACTCCAGAGTCTGGCGTCGCCGTTTCCATGTAGAGGAGGTGGCACTTTGCGGGATTGCCTTCTTCATTGTCCACAAAATCAATCTCAAAAATGGCGGGAAACAAGTGTTGCCCGCCAGAATGAGTAGACTCATTGTCAACAAAACATAGTAACTCGTTTGTAGTACGGTCGCATTTGCATCCAAAAGAGCCATGCCAGAATTATTGAATGCCGAAATAGCAAAAAAAGCTCCTGTCCAAAACGGATCGAGGCCTGTCACAAGGGTAAGAAAGGGAAAAAATGTTTCTTCCAGGCAAGCAGATATACTCACCATTTGTCAATGTCATTCCAGGACGATTGGCTTTGATCCAAGCACCGACGCCCAGCGCTCCAAAGAGCTGGAACAAGATGAAATAGAGCGGTACGACCCATGAGAGTAAGCATATAGCGTCGTACTCGATACCGCCCAATTTCTTGCGTTCTTTCTCACTCAAGCCATGAATCTGACTGTTTCTTCCTAGGTAACCGTTGACGGTGTTGATGTATTTACTTAGTTTTGAACCAGAGTCGTTGTGTAGCTTGTTGTCGTCCTCGGCAATGGCCTCATTTTGATCCGGCAGAAATGGTACGTTTGTGGGCATAACGTTCCTCGGATGATTGTCCAAGGGCCGGGCTCCGACACCACGACCTTCGAAGAAGCTGGCTCTGTGACGACTCAGAGGCCGAGGACGCACATGGTCTTGGCTATGGTCTACGGCAGGAAGCATCTCTGGGAAGTGGATATGACCATCTTGGTCATCTTTTGCGGTTTCGGTGTCGTTTGCTGATGCTGTAGAGGCTGCAGTGTTTACATGGGACAATGATCGGTCCTGACCTATCGAAACTCTGTCACCGGGGTGATCCTCGCGTTCCTCGATAGCACGACCTCGAACAGCCCCAGAAGCGACGGCTGATTCGCGGTCTCCGGAAATGCTAAGCTTACGCCTAGAGAAAGAAAAGCTCAGGGTGCGTGGCCGCATCAACCGTCTCCTTTGTCGCTGTGCTGCTAGCTCGACAAACCTCTTTTCGAAAGCTCGCTTGCGGACGTGCAGAATAGCACTGGATACAAAGATTGCGGAGCCGGCGATAATGAGGAGAAATAGCATGACTTGTTGCCATGTATTGCTATAGTCCGATCAGCGTGAGAATTCACCAGATATGGAGGGCCTACATACAGCTCTGATAGGTTGACCGTGTTCAGGCCTGAGTAATTGACAATCAGCATAAGTGGTAGCAACAGGACAGAATAACAAGACGCACCAGCCTCGGTCATTGCAGATATGCACAAGAAAAGGCTGTCGATATAGCGGACCGATTTCGCCGGCGTAGATGAACCCCAGAAAATGAGGCTGGCTAATAGCGTCGTGGCGCAAAAATAAAAGTAATGAAGATGGATGAAGGAAACATTCTCTAAAGTCGTCCGGAGACTTGTTCGCCATGTCCGAATCCGATTTGGCCCCATATTGATCGTCGACATGGCTTGAGTAGGTGGTCGAAACGGGGGTCGTTTGACAATTGTAGGCAATGGTGTTTGCAACACAGCACAGTCGTGGTGGCTGTGAGGAATTACGCTTTCCCTCCGGAAGCGTGCTCTCCTTTCAGTGGTTGATCACGGATAGCCCGGATCAGGGCAATTGTCGTACCGCATGGTCTGTCGTGATCAGGGCTATGTCGCTTGAGTAATGCGGAAGAGTACGTTGAAGTGCCTGGTGAGAAGGGAGAGATGAATCGAAGACGTACGGAACAGTTAAGGAGAAAATCAGGCAATACGTTGGACAATGCCAAGACCGACAAGCGAAATTTAACCTAACCCAAGTAGTCATTTTCTGTCTGACAATCAAATGCTCTCCCATATGTACCATAAGCCCATAATATATCGAATGTCTGACAAGCTGTTGACCGCACATCCATCGTTAGCAAGGGAGAGAGAGGCTCCTTTGATCACCACATTCTGCCTCGCGCCTTGGAGCACCGATTTTATACACATTGACGCCTTGTGGTACGAAAAACACAGTGAGTGGAACTTGAGAGAGGCGCAAGGACGGAGTTGCGTCCGAATGGGACTTGGGCTCAATGCAAACGTCTTCGAAGCATTGGGCCATAAATCAGGACACGACCCTTCTCTGCTATTGCCCTCGGTAGATCACATATCAAACGTGACACCGACACATCCATGAGAGTCGCACAAGCCATGTGCCTCTCTGGAACTCTCTTGAAGTCCTCTTGAGAAGCCCTTTCGTCATTTGCCTTCATCTCCTTGTTGCATTCGTGCGTTGACCGGCGACCACGACACCAATGGCTCAAGAGCAGATTCAATCGATGCATCATCTCGAGACGAAAATGGACTGTCAGACATCTGTCACTTGAGTCGATTCTTTCATCGTATTCTTCGTGGCAACCAATCATTGGAGTCAAGACAGAGTCTATCATTTTCTGACATTATCATTAAATGTTCTTGCCAAGTCAATCTTGGATATCGTCTGTAGTGTTCAAACTTGGCTAATGAGCATCCCTGCCCAAACGAGAACATGGCCGTCCTTTATAAAGTCATAAGGCAAGCCGGTAGGATGCTGGATGACTTTCAGTGAATAGGCCCAGTTCTCAGGCCATGGTGAGTCTTACCTTGGCGAGTAAAGTCGCTTGACCGATACCCATGTTCTGCCCAATCCAAGCCAGACAATTCCGAAAGTGCGTCTGCATTTCAGGAGATACGACTGATAACGTCGAAGTGACACACAGCGGGTGAAGAAGTAGAAGGCCACCCACAGCTTTACCTGGGATGATGCCTGGAGGATTTAGTGGAGGCATATCGACAGAGCCAGTCAATATGAAATGGACTGACGATGCAAGGTCAGATGCAAGGTCTTGCACTTCAGAGTATAACCTCCCAAGGGGTAACTTCCTTTCGGACTCCGGGAACTGAAGTTCACACCTTATGAGTCTGTCGAGGTACAAGAGGCGAGACTTGCGATAAGAACTCCACACGCCGGCGACGTATACTTGTGGCGGTCAGTCACCATCGCCGTGATAATTGATCACCACGACAGAGTCTTGGGAGCACTCACGGTCAAAATAACTTTCCATCTTTCCCGGCCAATAGATCGGACCGGCCGACCTGGCTTGGGTTGGGGTGATGGTTCCTATTGTCTTCGGCAACCACTCTGGCGGCTGGTTCTCGGGCCATTGGGCATATTCATATGCGAGGAGCATCATTTCGTCCCTCAAAGTTTGCAATTCCTCGGCACCGATATCCCCTGGTGATTGCAGCAGCTGTGTCATCTTGTCACTGAGAGGCCTGGTCCTCAGCATGATCGAGTCCAGAGTCTGTACAGGATGGGCTGATAGCGGAGCGCAAAGAATTCCAGAATTGGGTGACGGCTGTTCATACCACATTCGTCAGTAGTCATCCAAGATGTAAAGTCCTCCGATGCTTACCACTAGTCGATCTGCGCCTATCCGGAGAGGATTCGACATTTGAAACAACTTTGCACCCTCGAAGATACTGAAAGGCGAATGCTCCGATCCCAGAATGGCCGAGACGCCTTTAGAGTGAGCGCTGTGAGCACTTGAATATGCCTCGGTGGTGGAAATGATCTAACCACGGTGAGCTTCTGGCCGTGAGGAGGTATTTACCATCGTTCCCTACCTCATAAAGTCCAAGCAGGACAGCGGTCACCAGCGACTCTACGATGTTGAAAGTCGCAACGTTCGAGATGGTTTTCTGAAAGGATTGTAATAGTTGAAAGTAGAGAAATTTTGCTTCCGCGCATATCTCTGGGCGATGATGCTTGTTTCCATAGCTGGCCAAAGACACAATGGTCACGGCTCTCGATACTTCTGACGAAGATCCGGTATATACGAGTAGTTGTCGGAGGCCATCAAGGTAGCCTCGTGATAGTGATCGATCAGAAGATATCACAGAGTAGTCGTTGAGAAACAATTCCCGGGCTTCCCGCTCTAGAGCAGCATCGTGCCAGTCTGCGCTCGTGTAGTGCGCGACCTTGGACAACGGATTCTTTCGCCTTGAATGCTCGGACTCAATCTCGTGTGCTTCGCGAGTGTCTGAGTGGTCGCGATATAAATCGTGGCGATGATGCCGGAATATAATGTCGGATTCATCCTTGTATCCGCCGCATGTGCGCTTGGCTTTCACACATCTATTACACACCTGATAGTTGACTGCCATCAGCATCGAGACAACACATCACGGGGTTTATTATATACATACGGGTCGAGCCTCGTCGCACTGTCATGTCAAGTTAGTAACGTCAGTCTGCCCAGGCTCTCGTGACAGAGGTTCGGGCTTACCTTTTTGCGCCTCTGCTTGCAAGTTTCACATCCCCTTGACACGCCATGATATACCATCTCGGTGGCTTCAGATTATGACTGGAGATTGTCTGTTCAGACTAATGATTTTGACCAATTGCATGAATTATGAGCGAGCGTGAGAGCCCAACGACTGTTGGTCCTGGAAGACGATGTCCGGTATACGTCACCACATACGGCTAGTCTTGCGCGATATATCATGGCACTTTAATTAGCACTGTGCACCGTGCTTCATTGAAGATAGCATGCAGTATCCGTCCTTCGAGGCCGGGAATGGGCTAGGGATGTTCGTATCTAAGTTGAAAAGGATACCAGGTAGGTCAAGATACACGTATAATTGATTATCCGTCAGCGTAAAAGTCGTATTCTAGTGTCCAAGGCACACGGATGCTGTAGACGTTGTTAACATTATCGTCCGCTCAATCCCGGCGACGTCCCACCCCGTGCTATACCCAATGTTACTCCGTCCGATCGTCCAGGTTGTGCTCTGGGCATTGTCATCCAATATCCCATGCTCAACATGAGTTGCGCTATTCTCCCTCCACATGAACAATTCGTTATACCCCTTCAAGACCCCTCACAGTCTCCCCCTCCGCCCCGTCAATCACTCTCCTGACGTGCCCCTGTTCCAACTTCCTCGCCCTCTCCCTACCTTCTTCCAACCTCTCCACACCGAGCCTGATATTATCAACGTGCACACTCAGCGGAATCTCCTTATGAGCCTTCAACAACTCCGCACTGCCAACCCGTGTCCTCAACTCCTCCAGTTCTGCCCCCATGGCCTGCAGCTTGAGTATGGTCGCCGACACATGCGCCCAAGCAACTTTTCGATACTGCCCGACCTGTCTCAGCAAGCCGAGCTGGTTATTGAACTTACCCAGCTTGGCCCGATTACCGCCCAGTAGTGTCCACAAATGCGAAAGTATCTCGTCCTTGCCCGCTTGAGCGGCGATGTTATCTCGCATCGCGATCGAATGGATGATTTCAAGCCGATCCTCCAAGTTCTGTAGCACGACCAACAAGGCCTGGGCTTCGTCGATGAGCCTCTCGATCTCATCACTCACTATGCGCGTGTGCTGTATATACTGGTCTAGTAGCCTCGCCTCCGTGAACTGCATCGGCGCAAACGGCGCGAAGAGCCGATCCTGGATGAAACTTGGTATGAGGCCTCTTGAAGACTGTCTGATCGCCATGTCGTCCAAAACACGCTGCGTCCAGCGTGCGGTGCTGAGTACGATATCGACGCCTCGACCGACATGAGAATTGAACTTTTGTAGATCGTAGGATGCAATACGAGCGGTTTCAATGAAGCCGTCAAATTCGAGGACGAGCTCGTTTCTTGAGGAAAGCTGCGAAAATCGTACAATCTGGCGGAGATCGCGGATTGATGTTTCCGAACGTTTCATATCCAATGGCAAAGCGACGCCTGCTGCGGACTCGGACAGAATCTCTTCAAAGTGGGATTGTGTCTGCATCAGAGCGTCGAACTCGACTGGAGCAGATGTGCCGGAGGAGAGAGTCGGTGCGTCGAAGCTTGTAGAGACGTACTCGCAAATGGGCAGATGGAGAAGGGATATGCCTGGAACGCGACATATAGGTGAAAGCGCCGTGTAGACCGAGGATGTGAGAAGGTTCTTAGCTAACATCAAGATCCCAGCGAACAAGTATGCGGCAAGAAGCCACGATATGGGTTTCTTAAGCGTCTTCAGAGTCTGGATGAGGATGTCCAAGATCCATCCGGCAATATGACCTGCTATCTGCAGTATATGGTCTGCAGCCGTAGTTTCCTGAGCGGCATTCGATCGAGTCAAATTGGTGGCTGGCCTCGGCGAGGTTGTAGGGCCTTGAAGTCTCGACTGGATAGATCGTGATGGTATAGGTGGTTTGCGTTGCCTGGGCGGCATCTGTGTCGAGGTCGTGCTTGTTAACATGCTGGGCATGATGAATTGCGGCTCCGGCACGCTGACCTTCGTTCGTCTGGAAGAATCTGAATGATGCGAGGCAAGCTTCGGTCCCGAAAGCGTAATCTTCTCGGAGGGTTCCGCTGTAGTCTCTTCTTCTGATCTCGAAGAGGCTGAACGGCCGTCCCAGCTAATGTCGTCGTTGGCTTCATCTTCAACCACCCATGAATCATCCATGGATCTTGTACTTTTGGTCATCATTACTCTCTCTGGAGTCACTCAGGAATATGTTGAAGATAGAGCGTGGTGGTCGTCGTCACTTGGGCTGTGATTCACAAAAGTGATCACGATGTTGGCGCCTGCTTTTGAATACTCGACGCTCCAGCCTTGCACGGGTCGCGTCGCTGCGTTGGGAACCTCCAAAGACAAGAGTATTCATACCATTGTGATTCAAGATGAATCCTCGAGCGTTTGACTCAAAAGACGGAAACGGATATTCCAGAGAGACACAAAACATTTGAGCGTCATCTCAGGCACCTACAAACGGCTGAAATCAATTTACTTGTTACCAAGTCGCGTAAACGGTCGAGGCCTGTGAGAGGCGACAACTTCGTCTGCCCAACGTCATAATCTTGGCGCTAAATTAGAAGGAGCCACGAATTCTTGCACAAGTCGTGGATTTTCTGGTTTTCTGGACTTGGAATATTGATGGCGAATATCTCCATGTATTCATGAGTTACTACATGGATCGAGGAGTCACTGGTTCATGGGATAATGTGAAAGACATATCAAACAATCTGTCCTTATAGACTTTCTCAAGGTCAACGACGTCGTCTCTATTCGAGTCTACGAAGGGCGAATCTATGGATTTATCGCATCGTAACCAGTTCTTCTGCACTTGTCTAAACATGGTCAGCGATATTGTCACGATGCATATTGGAATACTCACTGGGTGAATCGCAACACAACTGTCAAAGTCTTTCTTCGTTGCACCCATCTTAACAGCCACACTAAGCAAGTCAGCAGTTGTTCGGTTTATCTTGCCTATTAGACTCACCCAAAGCCCTGCATCATTTCGTCACACCCTTTACCAAGGATATGCAGACCAATAACCTCTTCATTTGGCAAAAGACAGACGAGCTTGAATTCAGTGGGCTCTTTCTTCTTTTCCTCCGGGGGGAACCTGTGGGTGGTCAGCCTCGAACGATATCTCTATGCGATACATATTGGGACTTACACATCGTAATACATGGCAGAGAATTTGGTGTGGTACACCTTGATCTTGTCCTTACCATATCTCTCGATAGCTTCTGGTTCTGTCAAGCCAGTAGTGCCGACTTCGGGGTGAGAGAAGACGACGGACGGGATTCTTTCGTAGTCAAGGTGTGAGTCTTTCAACTCGGGAGGTCCAAAGAGACGGTTTCCCAGCATTCTGCCCGCAGCAATGGCCACCGGTGTAAGTTCGACCTGAACATATGTTAGACAACACCCAGCCTTGCGTAAAGTATACATACATGTCCAGAAACATCACCCAGTGCATAGACACCAGGAATCGATGTGTTCTGGTACTTGTCCACAACAATGTGACCGGTCTTATCGAGCTCGATGGGGATCTTCTCAAGTCCTAGTCCTCGGGTTTCTGCACCGCGGCCAATACCCCACAACAGCTCGTTGGTAATCATCTCGCTCCCGTCGTTCATGATGAGCTTCAGCTGCTTGTCGCGCGGATCGGATGGATCCTTGGCCGCTTGTAGTTGGATAACCTCCTTGATGCCCGGGTGACTTCGGTGAACATGAACACCGAGCTCTTCATAGTGCTTCGTTAATGTCTCCTGAATCATAGGGTCGAATTTTCGTAGGAAAGTGTTGCCTCGGATGAACAGATGTGTCTCGACGCCAATGGCGTTCATGACACCGGCCAATTCAACAGCGATATAACCAGCTCCGACAAACACCATCTTCTTTGGTAGATGCTTGATCAGGAAGTACTCGTCCGACGTGATACCATATTCTGAACCCTTGATGCCTTCAGGCTTCGTGGGGAACGACCCAGTGGCAATTGTGATGTGTGGTGCTGTTATCCGGAATGGTTCACTTCCGTCTTTCGGCGTGACCTCCATCTCGTGCTCGCTGACGAAACTCGCAGTCCCATGGATCAAGTCAATGCCTTCTTTTGCCCAGTTGCTCTCATAGGCGCCGTTCAGCACTTTGATCCTGGCGTCCCTCTTCTCCACAAAGCTTGTAAAGTCGAACGAGTTGCCGTCTCCGAAGGAGTATCCGTAATGCTTGCCAGCCTTCATGGCCTCCGCAATGGAGGCGAAGTTCCATGTCATTTTCTTAGGGACACATCTGCCAGGAGCAAGTCAGCACAGGATCTTATCGCGTGGAATGTGCGTTCAACTGACCCAACGTTCACACAGCAGCCGCCAGAAACTCCAGCGTCGACGATGCACGTTTTTGCGCCATACCAGCCACTGGCTCTTCTGGCTGCACCACTCCCTCCTGATCCTCCTCCTATGACGATGTAGTCATACTGCTTCGTGACGGGGGCCATGTTGAGTGACGAAGTAGAAAACTGCCTGGATAGGCCTGTGAGTCGCGAAAGAGGTGCGGGGGAGGAGGAAGACGAGTGGGCAGGCAAAGACTCGTGGAGTACAGGCCTTGCGGTTGCCAGTGTGAGGGTGCGCAGGGAGTTAGCAGACTGCCTGAGAAATCTGCCAGGGCGAATTGACATGTCACTCGAAGAAAAAAAAGAAGACAGCAGGGGCTCTAAATGAACGGGCGGTTCGTATGCAGATACTCTTCTCTGCGATGTACGTAGCAGCAGCATCGGGCGATTGATGATGTGATACTCGGTACAATTTCTGCGGATCGATGGGCGCTCCGCCAATCCCATGTCCAGCTTGGAATTTGCTCCGGCATCTCTGAAAACCCAAATTATTAAGTAATTGAGGCCTAGATCGCAGCGCTTACAAAACCATGCTGGACTTGCTCTTTGTGGCAGGTTACGGTATATCTTTCAGGAAGTGGGGTGTGCATGTATAAGTATCAATTGATCATATAAAGGGCCATGCGAGAGACGGTCCTCTTGGCTCTTGCGAGTCTATGTAATACAACATATGTCTAGTCACACTCCCGACTCTGACTGTTGCAGGCACTTCGGCTTAGAGCTTGGACTTGGCCTGCCTCTTCTCTAATGGCTTATCACCGATATCGATCTGCTGCCACCAGGGATATCCATCAGGGGCATCTTGTGGTACCTGGCCAGTAAAGTTGACCTGCCTCTTCTGCAGAAAACTCTCCACTCCCTCAACATTGTCCTTACTCCCAAACAAACCATGAATGATCTTCGAATCGAGGAGGTGAGCTCCCTCAGCGCTGTCTGGGCCCCTGTACATGAGATCTCTCATCATCTTGGTCGAGACCGTCGATGTGTTCTTGGCAACTTCATCCGCGAGCTCGAGGGCTCTGGACAGTGTAGCTTCGGGCGTGGGACAAGTTTCAGAGAACAGGGTTCCAAACAACGGGTGCTCGGCTGGGTAAACCGAACCCGTGGTGGTTAGATGCAAAGCTCGAGAATGTCCAATCAGTCGCGGAAGGAAGTATGACGAGCAAGCTTCCATGATGATGCCGCGTCTGCTGAAGACGAACCCGACCTTTGCTTTTGCGTAGGCGATCCGTATACAAGCAGGCAAACACATGGTTATACCGACGCCGACGCAGGCTCCTTGTATAGCGGCAATCGTCGGCTTGCTGCACTGATGTATAGCGAGCGAAGCTCTCCCACCACTGTTATTTGTCAGTTCCCCCATGTGGTTTTTGTGTCGTTCGACTTTCTTACCCGTCTCTGTGATCTACGTCTCTTTCTGTCTTCGGGTTTCTGATCACACCGTTCTCGTCCTTGGCTCCTATGAAGCCAATGTCGAGGTCTGCGCCAGCACAAAAGCTCCTTCCTGCGCCAGTGAGGACGACCACTTTCACCCTCGGGTCAATATTGACAAGCTCGTAGACCCTCTCCAGATCTTGCCGCATGACATCCGTGAATGCATTGTGCTTCTCTGGTCTATTCAAGGTAATCAAAATCACTGGTGTCGTGGTACGGGAGGACTCAGGGACATGGGAGACTTTGATATGTTGCAGGGGTAGGGATGTATAGGATTCTGGCACCGTCAAGGGTTGGCGAGGTGCTGGAGGCATCGTGGCTGCGGGTCAATGAGCGAGTAGAACGGGTGGTATACGGAGGAAGAGTTTGTAGATGCTGGAAACGATGTTAGCATTATAGCTCTAGTCATGACCTTGACCATTCGGCTCTCGAAGTAATCAATAGGTTATTGTGCTTTGAGACATTATCCTCGGTTGAACTTTGAAAGATGTCTCTTCACCCGCGGTTGAGATTTGGGGGAGCAACGGATCATACGCGGGGATAGCTCGAACCCATCGCACAAAGAGCATTCGTGCAATATGTATATTGGAGTGAATGTTTCAAGACGCAGATAGAATATCAATCAATTGCAACCTTGAAAGATAGAGGAGTGTGACAATAGACACGACGATAGGCAATTGCAGGCACTGTGCTCCAGGAACAGGCCGCGGCCGCAAACAACACCTCGGCTCCTCAAATACCGACAATATCGACTCTTCATCGAGACAACACCAGTTGCCGACTATGCTTTCTAGGTATTCATTCACGGGATGCCGACATAGTAGAATTACCTTACCTTGAGTTCATCTACCCATTTATCTCAACATTACCTACTCTAACTCCTTAAACATGAAGCCCTCTTTCATCAAAGATGGCGGTACAGAGTCCTGAATCTCTTCTCCAAAGCTTTGCTCCAGGCAAAAACAATTGATGAAAAGATATTAAGAGCCAAAAATAACGCGGATGAGAGCCCCGAAGGACACTCAATAGCGACGTCTACTGCGATGTGCAATGCAGTGACACCACCATAGCAGCCTCCATTCTTGAGCGGAGGTGCTCCCACAAGGTAAGTATGAAGAAGAAGAAAGAAGATTTTCAGAGAGAGGGAAGGGAGAGCCTCTTTATATACCCTAGAAATTAGGGGCTAAGACGTGCCAAGCCTTAACTTTTAGGGCGGCAACGCCAAGACGAAGTAGCGCCTGCTCCGTCTGACTGGCAATTTTACAGTGACAAATTCCATTTTCTCCACCTACCAATTTTTGTCTGACGACATATGCCCGAGATTGCTCTTCGAAGTGGCCACGAGTACTCCATAGAAGTTCCACCTACAGGCAGACAGCCAGGTGGTCAACAATGGAATTGAATACTTGCTTTCGAAGTACGGATGTCTGTCCGTACCTTAAGATCCTATCAACTTGCAAAGTATTCAGTGATCAGACAGGATTTCAAAAGTCTCGGATTGATTTCTCGCCATGTCCATCTATCGAGTTTAAAGTAGCGTAGGCACCTAATTTCAAACGCTTCTATGCTTTTAGCACAGTTCCAGAGTACTCATCAAATCTGTCATACACGGCTCTTGTGGTATCAATCGCTCCCTCAAGCTGACAATAAACGACCAAACAGACCATTGTACACCCTTGACATCCATCGTAATCGTCGCTATGCATACGCATCGGACACTTCATCTATCTCGACTGCCCGGCTCCCATCGTCTTCCATGCGCCCGTAATCCAAAATACCATCGTCATATGTCTCCTCCTGTCGATGAGGAATGATACTTTTCTTGATGTGAAATGTTTTGATAATGTCTTCCCAGACATCAAAATCAAGCGTGAAAACGGCTTGATTCCGCTTCGTTTCTTGTCTTTCTGCAACGCTACGTTGGGCTGCAATACCGAGCGTCGGAAGGCCATGACCGTCAAAATCCAGACCGACCTTACCTTCCTTGACTAGGAAGCTGACGTAGAATAAATTCTCTACCGTCTGTCCGAACGATTTCGGGTTGACACAGAAGTCGAACAATGATACACAGCCGTTATCAGCCATGCGATGGCGCAACAGTATCTCTTGGATCTGTTGGTCTGTTAAGTCTTCCCCAATCTCTTCACAGTCTCGATTTACTGCCTCATCTCCTCGCGAAAGGTGATCATCCAGCAACCTTGCAATCTCGGTGCACACTGTGGTAAGACTCGCTGACTCCTGTTTTTCCAAGTCTTCGTCGTTAAGTTCAATTGGCCGTGAGGCTTGCGTCAACTGTGATCGTGCTTCCCGAGCCTTGCGCTGAGTTTGTTGGCGAATTTTCTTCTGAAGAGACAATGGTCCGAGCAGGAATCCTGTTAAGCATGGACGCGAATTGTATAGAAAGCAGGCATTCTTGCCCAGGTATTCCCAATTCATTGTATCGCCTTCGTCGTCTTCGTCCTCTGCTTCGGCTTCAGCATGCCGGCGTCGACGTCTTTGAGTCTCACTACTCGCATGTGCTTCGGGGGTGCGATCGGCTGCATCGTCGCCTCCTTTCATGAATCCGATACATTTTGTGACAAAGTCATCCACATCGATGCCGGCTGAACCATCCCCTAACGTAAGGCTGTTGATTTTCCGGTAGGATAAGTCGGCTGTCTCGACAAGCAAGCGAGAGTCGATCGTGGCCTCGGATGTTTGCTTGACACTTTTGTACAGTTCATTTGCCTCCTTTAATGTCTCTTCCAAGCCCTTTGAATCTGGTCTTAAGAATTCACTCTTGGAGTCATGCAGCTTTCCCAAGAGGTTGCGCAGTCCTTTACGCACGAACCGTCGTTCTTCTGGATTCTGATCGGGATCATAGAATTTGTTGGTGCGTGCAGTAGTCGTCTCGTCATCTTCATCACCACTGACTCGCCGCCGTTTGTTTGCGCTTGGGTTGGCTTTTCCGTTGTCTGACATGAAGTGTGCTCGACTCCTTCGTTTGGCCTTGTTGGTAGGCTCGCGCAAACGGCCTTCGTTTTCTTTATCCGAGTCCGAAGCATGTACGGAAGACAAGATAGATGGGGCCAACGGGCTTGTTGCTCTTACACTGGCGGATTCCGAGGGCGGTTGTCGGGGGTTCAAACGCGCCATGGCGAATGCATCGCGAGGTGAGGGGCAGTGTGGTTCAGCGTGGACAAACCAATGTGAAATACATTGGATCAGTGAAGAGGCTCCCTGTGCACTGTACGCGCTGTTCAGGTCTACTCGGGTCAAGGTCGATCAAAGTGCGTTTGTCCAAGTTGCCTGCGACTATTCGTATGGCGTGCACAAGAGCAGGAATTAACGCGCCTGCTGTGGCTGTGACGCGATTAATTCGGTTTGGCGCGCGTTTGCAACTCCGGAATCAAGCTAAGACTATTTAGGCAGCCATCGGATATTCCTACATTGCTACATCCATTCATCCTTCTATCGGCTCTTACTCGTACTACTTGACTGGTGCATCAAGTGATGCTTGATCATTCTCAATATGTTACTCGTATTGCGCTCTTGAAGTGTCTCACCCTGATTCTGCGTTCATGCCGCCATGGATACCTACACATTTGCGACCTCGCGACAGATTGATTACCCTGTGTGTCTAAGAATGTAAGTTCACTGCTTGATGGAAGCCCGAAGACTGATTGGGCGTCAGAAACACCTTGGAAGGCAAACAGTCTACGATTCCTCAGTCTGTACTGTTGAAACACCCTGAGATTCGCCATATTGGATCAATCCAGAACCCGGTATCAGAGCTCTACGCCACTGTTCAATTATGGGCCGAGTCCAAGCCTCTTGGGGTGTCTGTTCAAACTCCTCATATGTTCTTCAAAAACAACAGGACCTGGAACAAATGGCTTGAACTCCCAGTTCCAGTTAAAGATTGCCCCGCATCGTCGCAAGTAGCGATCACAATATGGGATCTCTCGCCTTGTCCTATCAATGGCAGCGTGGACCACTCGGTACCATTTGCCGGGACGACTATTCCTCTCTTTGATGATGATGGTGCCCTCAGACGAGGTCGCCAGAAGTGTCGAATGTACCGCAAAAAGATTGCCGACGGGCATCTGCCTTCCACTACTCCGCACATTCCACGCCCGAAGCGGAGAAGGAGGAATGAAGAACCTCCCGAGGCTAGCCCTGAGGAGGAAGAGTTAGAAAGACTCGAGCAGCTCTTCAAGAAGCACGAGATGAATGAAATCCCTCAAAACGATTGGCTTGACCAACTAGTCTTTCAGAAGGTGGGCAAGAAGGCCCGTGAAGTTGACGAAGCAGCGACAAAGCGGTTGAGTATGCGAAAAGCTGCGAAGCGAAGATTCTCTAAAGATGAGTCGTCCAAGGTCATGGCTGGAGGTCTCCTCGATCAACATGACTCAGACATGAGCGATTCTGAGTCTGAGAGAGAAGATGACGAGCATTTTACCTTGTATATTGACCTTCCTCGATGGGATTTTCCAGTGATTTTTGAAGACCATGAATACAATCCTCCGAGGTTGATGAAGGAGTTTCAGTCAAACTTGTCAGCGTCTATGATGGGCTCCAAATCTCCGCCGGAGGTTCGTTATGGCCCTGGAATTGCGACCGGCACCTCGGTTGTCGATGGTGATGAATACCCCGTTGTTCAGATATTTGATCCTGAACAGTTCCAGCGAGAGAATCCCTGCGAATCAAAACATCGCCGTCTTGTCAGGAGTGATAGGAACGCATTGTACGACGTCGATCAAAAGCCAAATGCTAAACTTCGGGATGAGATCAACGAGATCTTGTCTTATGGACCAACACAGGAACTCACTCCCCAAGAAAAGGACGTTATATGGACTTTCCGTCGGCATCTTAGCCGTGACAAACGGGCTTTGACGAAGGTAGTCAAAGCAACAGACTGGAATAGCCCTAGCGAAGCCAGACAGATAGCCGAACTGATTCCAAAGTGGGCGAAAATTGATGTTGACTCTGCCCTTGAGCTTCTTGGTCCAACCTACGATAGTGCGGTCGTACGAGCATATGCGGTCGACCGCTTACGACAAGCAGGAGATGCTGAATTACTATTGTATCTATTGCAGCTCGTTCAAGCCCTGAAGTTCGAACAGTACGATTCCCAGGCAGAGACCTTGCCATCCTCATCCCTGGCAAGCTTTCTAATCGACCGCGCTGCCAACAACTTTGTATTGGGGAACTACTTACACTGGTATTTGATGGTCGAATGCGATGATCAGGGCCCAGATACCAACGCTGCGAATAGGAAGCTGTTTGCAAGAGTCGAATATCACTTCATGGTCGAGCTGGAAAAGCGGGCACCGGAGCAAAGAAAAACCTTGTTGAGACAGGCCGAGATGATTGCCGTCCTGTCGAGAATCAGTAAGGAAATCAGGTTCAATCGGAGCAACCGCATACAAAAAATTGAGATGCTTAAGAAGTATCTTGCTGACCCAAAACATGAACTAATCAAGATCGATCCGCCCATTCCCCTCCCACTGGACCCGGAAGTCGAAGTCAGTGGCATTTTCCCTGAGGAGGCGAACGTATTCAAGTCATCCCTGTCTCCACTGCTGCTTAATTTTAAAATAGCTGGCCCAGTGAATGCTGGTAGTTCTGCATCGCAAACACGTTCCCAAATCCAGGGCAAGTACCCGATGATGTTCAAGACAGGTGATGATCTCAGGCAAGATCAACTTGTGATCCAGATCATTGAGCTGATGAACAATTTGCTCCTGAAGGAGAACCTGGATCTCAAGCTCACGCCATACCGCATCCTCGCCACCTCGCCAACAGCAGGAGCCGTACAATTCATTCCGTCTACAGCAATCTCGGCCGTTTCGGCAAAATACAAAGGTTCAGTGCTCGCATACTTGAGGGCGAACAACCCTGACGCTTCTGGCCCTCTCGGCGTGCGAAAAGAAGCAATGGATACATACATCAGATCCTGTGCTGGCTACTGCGTGATTACTTACATCCTCGGGGTTGGAGACCGTCACCTTGATAACCTCTTACTTCAACCATCTGGCCACTTCTTTCATATCGATTTTGGATTTATCCTTGGGCGTGATCCGAAGCCATTCGCTCCATTGATCAAGCTATGTAAAGAAATGGTAGAGGGACTTGGTGGAACGACGTCTCCACAATACGCTCAATTCAAGCAGTATTGCTTCACTGCGTATACGACCTTGAGAAAATCAAGTTCCCTCGTTCTCAATCTGTTCAGTCTGATGGTGCAGAGCTCTGTTCAGGATATCAGGCTAGTGGAGGAACAAATGGGCGGGATCGGTGGTGCTGTTGGAAAGGTCAGGGAGAGATTCCACCTGGATGTCAGCGAAGAGGAGGCTGTAAGATTATTGGATCAGGTGTTGGCCGACAGCGTCAACGCAGTGTTTGGGGTGGTGATTGACCGGCTACATGAGTTTGTTCAAGGTTGGCGGGCATAGATTGAGATTTCCGAAGGGAATCTGGAAAAATCTAATCATAGACCTTGTTACAAAGAGATCATTTTTGTGGCCATGGACAAGGATCGTGATTGTAACCTGACGTTGTCGGCAAGGCTGCGGTACTCGTCCCGTACTCGTATACAGTATATCTTCCCCTCAGCCTTGCCCCGCAAATGAACGCTTCTCAAGTATTACGAGTAAATACTTCCTTCTAGAGCCACCAAGTACATTATCTTTTCCAGTTGTCTATCCTCACTCAAATCTGTACATGCTCGCTTCTAACTAATAGGACCTGACATCACAACGCCCAAATCACCCTATTCCCCACCCGAGTAAGATACAAAATGTCCGCAGCATCGCAACCAATTTCCGACGCCCAGTTTGCCATCGCTATCCAAGACCTGCCCTTTGAAAACCTCTACTCCAAAGCCGCCGAGATCGAAAATTCCATATCACATCTCACACGCTCCAATGAGCAACTGCAGAAATACATAGACAGCATCACGTCCGACCAATCGCTTTCAGAGGAGACGAGACAAGAGGGAGACAAGGACTGCTCAGACGCGATCCACGAGAACGTAATCGTGATCAACCGCCAGAGGGATAGGATTCAACTACTGAAACAAGAGGTCGAAAGAAGAGGAGGTCGATGGCACGAGCTGGACAAGGAGCACAAACAAAATGGGAACTCGGGCCCGACATCGACAAATGGAGAGCTAGCGGTAGCATACTCAGACGCAGGCTCATCGAGGAGACTGACAGACGAAGAGTTGAGACAACAAATGCTCGAGCGACTGGCAGAGGACGACCATGGTGAAGACAACGGCATGCATTTGTGATGTGAGTAAGCGCTCGTGCGCAGAGAACCTACAAGTCAATGCAGGCGGTACACGATTCCCAAGTCACGAACATAACGAAACTACATACCTGAAAAGTCATTCGCACATTCAATGTCAAGATTCATTGCGTCTCAAGATTTCAACAGTTCTACGCTAAGAGTGCGTTTATGATCTGTCACAAGCTTCGAACCAAAGGGCTCCGCAGTATCTTACACTTTAATATGGATGGAGTTTTCCGAGGCGTCAACGAGATAAGTGCTTGAACTCTGGAAGAGCAGCGCATGTCTCATACGCTCGCTGATCTATTCAACACTAACTTCGCATGATACCCTACCCTTGTCTCGACTTACAAGGACGTGGACGAGAACGCCAACTGACCTATTCTTCGACACAATCCATCAACTGCTGCTGGAAAGCAACGACACAATCAGGAACTGATATACATGGAATGCGAATGATTGCAATTACGCTTTCCAATGTGGCCAAAACCACCAATCTTCAGACCAGGGGTGATGTGGCCTGGGTACACTGTAATCGTGTGGTTCAGACGACGACACATCAGCACGTGTGCGACTAAAGTACGCCTGACTATTCAAACTGGCCTGAGTGGATATGTATCGAAGCTTTTCTGCTTATTCATGGAGATACGAAATGAGGCGATGCTTCCACAGACTCGGTTCCAAAACCAGCGAGGCTCCGAGTCACGTGCGAGGCTGTTGGGGTGAACCCAATATCAAACTCTGACTGTATCCATACCGCGTCATAGATATTTCTTCTTATCGCCTGAAGGTCACCGAATCGGAGACTTTGGCTTTTCGGATGGTTCATCGACCATTATATACGCGATCTTCAGTTCCTCGATAGGGCTTTGCATTCCCACTATTGTCTCGATCATGGTCCCACCGGTGACATTAGGGTTCGGACTTTCCCATGAAGCCGCTGACAAAAACTTCTTAAGTCGGGTCATGACGACCTGCATATTTCGGTAATGACGTGTTGGTACCCCTGTCGACAGTTTGGTCGGTCCAGGTAAGATCCGATAGTTCGGGATATACATGCTAAGTAGATATCAATCATGCATCCGATGTAAATCAGTCAACTCTAGTCTCCCTGAAGAACCTCAGAGTCCTCCGTGATTTCCTGCAAGAATGGCTGATTTGTTCAGAGACACCGTTGCAGGTCAGCTTCTGCGTCTCGTCACTGGCAGAAGAATCCTTCAGTATCCTGAGGAACGAGATTCATCAATATGGCAGAAGTATCTCAACCCCGAGAAGTCCGCCAACATGGCCATGTACGGCAGCACGGAGCCTCCCTCATCGGAAAAGAGAGAAGAGGTCGAAAGGGGAGAATCTTCGAGTGATGAGAGGCGACCTACACCTGAGCGAAACTCGCCTTCTCATAGTTCCTCCTCAACCACTGTCGATGATGAGAACGTTGTTGTGAATACCCTCAGCAAGACCGCAGTCGACCCTGAAAAAGGCCGCGACGTGCACATTGTCGACTGGTACGGTCCAGATGATCCGGACAACCCACAGAACTGGAGTTCCTTCAAGAAAATCTGGGTGACCTTCGAGATCTGCTTGCTCACCTTTTCGGTCTACATCGGCTCCGCGATCTACACGGCCGGTATCCAGGACGTCTCTCGTGTATTTGGCGTTTCCCGCGTCGCTGCCACTCTCGGACTGACGCTGTTTGTATTGGGATACGGAGTAGGGCCAATGCTTTGGTCTCCAATGAGTGAGGTTCCACAGATCGGTCGCGGACCCATCTACATTGGTACTCTCGCATTGTTTGTCGTCCTCCAGGTGCCTACCGCGCTCGCTACGAATTTCGGCATGCTCCTTGCTTTCAGATTCATCACTGGGTTTGTCGGCTCACCCTCGCTGGCCACCGGAGGTGCCACTATCGGAGACATGTACACCCCGGCAAAGCGCACGTATGGAATGGCGGTTTGGGGCATTGGCGCGGTCTGTGGTCCAACCATGGGACCTCTAGTCGGCGGCTTCGCAGCAGAAAGCAAAGGCTGGACATGGACAATCTGGGAGCTCATGTGGCTATCTGGCTTCACCTTGGTTCTCTTGTTCTTCTTGCTGCCGGAGACGTCTTCTGCCAATATTCTATATCGTCGGACCCTGCGCCTGCGGAAACTTACCGGCAATGACAAACTCATCTGCGAGCCACAGCTCATGGGGGAGCAGATGACAGGGAAAGAGATTGTGATGATGGTCCTCGTTCGCCCATTCACCCTGTCTTTCACAGAGCCAATGGTATTCTTGCTCAATCTGTACATTGCCCTCATCTACGGGTTACTGTACATCTGGTTCGAAAGCTTCCCCATCGTGTTCTCCGGCATATATGGGTTCAGTCTTGGTCTCGAGGGCACGGCATTTCTGGGCATCCTTGTTGGGGTCTTCATCGTGCTTGGACCTTTCATCTGGTACCAGCGCAAATACATCGAGCCAAAGTTCAACGACAAAGGAGAATTGCAACCTGAATGGAGACTCCCTCCAGCTTTCGTTGGCGGTTTTGCGATTCCAATTTGTCTCTTTTGGTTCGGATGGTCAGCTCGGCCCGACATACACTGGATAATGCCGATCATCGGCTCCGGGTTCTTCAGCATTGGCGCTTTTCTCTTGTTCAACTCGGTTCTCAATTATCTGGCAGATGCGTATCCTGCTTATGCAGCGAGTGTGCTGGCAGGAAACGACTTCTTCCGATCTTCATTCGGCGCCGCATTTCCCCTTTTTGCAACGGCCATGTACGAAAATGAAGGAGTGGGAAACGCCAGTTCGATTTTGGGAGGCATCGCAATTGCCTTTATTCCAATTCCCTTTTTGTTGTTCAAGGTAAGTTTTTGAGATGTCGTTTTTGGGAGATTTTGCTAATGACCAAACAGTATGGCGAGCGACTGAGAATGAGGTCCAAGTTTGCTCAGAAGGATTATTAGGTCATTTCACAGTATCTGGCCAGATCATTGTTGTTTATTCTGCAATCTATGAAGGACTTGCTACGTTGGTGTCCCTTGAGAAGCATCGTCGCTTCAGGTTAAGAGCACAAATGTACGAGCATGTTTAGGAATGTTTAGAGGTAGCAGGTTGAATCTTTGGCAATGTAGCGTCATAGATTTACCGGAGACATTAGATAGATTAATCAAACGAAAAATTCGTCTAGAGAGACACTGAATAATACAGGATGATTGGGAGGATGAAAGGAAGTGGCTATGCGTGTAGAGTCAGGCGGGACCAAAGGGTTCCTGGCTAGGTCTATGGAAGTACCTAGGCGGTGTAGATAGCTATGCCTAGGGCGCCAAGGGTCACGTGGTGTCGAGTGCTACTACATGCGGATAGAAATGACCTAGATTTGTGTTACGCCCTTGGACTAGCGCGTCCTCCAGACCACACTTAATGGCACCACATCATAAGGCTGAACTATCGCTTCCGAATGAACAAAAGGTCCCAAAAGGCAACGAGAAATCTCGGTACTTGTGACAGCTAGTTTCATCTCGCAAATATTATGGACATTCACACCACATACACTCCGTTCTTTTGGTCAGAGGATCACTGATGCGATTTCAACGAACCTAGCGGATCCCTTCCAAACCACCTTCTGCTACACCGGGGCTGTGCTCAGAGTCGACCTTCACCGGCCATAAATGCAACGGTTCGCAACCCTAGACTGAGGAGATACGTATATAAATGCCTCTTCTAGCCCAGGTTTGAAGGAACTGTCTTCACGATTCCTGTGCCAATGACCCTCACTACAAGCGATAGCACAAGAGTCATTCCATGGCCGCTGATAGAACCATGCTTTGCGGATCTTGTCAGAAGATTTGGGCTAGAATCGATTCTGGCCTACCTTGCGACAAACAGACTTCTGAGCCTAGTCTTTTTGAGTACGCACAGCAACCGAATACATGGACAGGCTCACACCATACCAGTGATGGCAGCTTTGTTTCTGCTGTTCAGGACAACTGTTATATTTGTACAACAATCGAGAGAGACTGTACTCGCGAATTGCGCAAACAGGCCGCCTTGTTTCGCACGTTCTATCAGCTCCAGTCAACAGATAATCCGGATCAAGACGGACGCCGCTATGACTTGGATTTCACGGTCGAAATTCTACGAGGACAACCTCCCATCCCACAACGACATGTTTTTGACTGCAGCGGGATATTTAAGATTCTGCCCAAGCAAGGTATGTTTCTAATTCGAATCATCTGGTGGTTGAAACTGATCGAGCGAGTAGCAATATCAGTTCCCATGAACCCACTTCCGATCACTAAAAATACGTTTAGCACAGCTTGTGAGAAGCTGGTCCGTCGATGGCTCGAGGACTGCTGCAAGTGCCACAAGCATTGCACTCAACGATTTGATACAACGAAGAGCTCGAGGAAGCAATTACTAACTGGCTATCCAACCCGCATCCTGAATATATCCGCTGCACGAGGAGAAAAATTCAGCTTGGAACTCTCGGAAAACCTATCGAAACTCCCCGAATACGTTACATTGAGCCATTGCTGGAACAGAAGCATGCCGCTCAAACTTGAAACAGGGAATATCGATGAACTGAAAGCAGGTATGCCATTGTCGAAACTTTCCAAACGTTTTCAAGATGCAGTGAAAATCGCTCGCTGGATGGGCATCGATTATATCTGGATCGATGCTCTCTGCATTATTCAAAATTCGAAATCAGATTGGGTTTTAGAAGCGAGCAGAATGGGGGAAATATACTCAAACTCATACTGCAACATTGCTGCCACGAGCTCTGAAGAGAACAAAGGTTGCTTCACAGACAGACCAAGGGAATTGGTGGAGCCCTGCGCTGTCTCCGATCCTCTTTCGGATGACCCAGAGAAGACGCATATCCTTGGGTACAATGATTTCTGGTGTAACAGCCTCCTAGATACCGCTCTACACAACCGAGGGTGGGTAATTCAAGAACGACTGCTCAGCCCCCGCACAATCCATTTTGGACAAGAACAAATTTTCTGGGAATGCCGTGAGATCAAGGCTTGTGAGGCTTATCCTGAAGGCATACCGGAGGCCTTTTGTGATTGGAGAACGCGAGCTTGGGGACGGCTGGACGAGGCGCTCATAGAGAACGGCAAATACTCGAAAGGCACAATGGCGCAACAACACCCAAGCTTCCTACAGAGACTTTGCGCCTGGCTCAAGGGTACAACAATGCCGATGTCGGCCACGACCGCACCCTCTCCAGGACTACCCACAGCCTACGAATTCTGGAGCAGGACCGTGGAGCGCTATATGGAGTGCAAACTAACCTATCAACAAGACAAACTTGTCGCAATATCTGGTATTGCCCGAAAAATCCAGGAAGCCACCGGAGAACGTTATCTCGCAGGGCTATGGGACAATTCCTCTCTTGCTCCTAGTCTTCTCTGGTACGTGCTTGGGCGCCGACAAGCCGACAGTACCGCCTCGGTGCGATACAGATCGGTGGAAGATGATTGCCGTGCGCCGTCATGGTCTTGGGCATCGATGGAAGCCAAGATTGTTTGGCACTGGCCTGTTGGCTGTGAGTCAGTCTTGATCAAGATCTCCGGAAAGGAGGTCAATACAACTGTAGGGACTGAATTGACCGGGGTTGCATCCGCGAAACTTCACATCGAAGGCCATCTGTCCGAGGCTAAACTACGCATTGCGGGTCATGACCAAGACGGTTATGCCACAGAGGATGGCTGCTATGCATTACAACTCAAATCGCAGGCAACTTCATCTCAACAAATCACTGAGCTAGAGCCTGCAGTCTTTCTCGACACCCCTTTATTGCCAGATCATTGTGTTGATGTACATCTTCTCCCCGTGTGCACGGGATGGAATGGGCTTACCGGAGACATTGACACCCAGCTTTCTGGGCTGGTCCTCAAGAAAGTCACATGCCGATTTGAGGCCAAATACGAAAGAATTGGCATATTTGGATTGGATCAGACGCAAGCATATCTTCTCTATGGTCTCGGCTCGGAAAAAACAAACGATTTCAATGAATACATCACAAACCTGGAAAGGTCGGTGATTACCATCGTCTAAGGAATGGCTGGAGGATTGCTGTCCTGACATAGAGAGTGTATCTGATATTCTGCTTCTCCTTCTCGAAGTGATCATTGCGCTATTTCATCCAGTGCTCGACCGTAGTCTGACAGGCGGCTCATACCCTCAGAGGGCGCTACGGTGCAGTATTTCTTGCGAAACGGAAATCGATTTTCATGTGCCAGAAAGAGCCAGATCGACCACAAGTCCAACTTCAAAAGCAATCTCTTGCACTTTGCGATGCGCATCGTGCAGGAGAATCTCCAACCGAATGTGACATTGGAAGCGAAATAACCAACGGCATTGGTCCATGAGAGATACCTCCCTTCCGTGGCTTCATAGAGGCGTCGACTTGTCCACTCAGCATCTGTCAAGAAGAAGCAGTAAGCGAGTGTTCAGCCTATCACTTGCCTGGTCTTCCTTTCAAGGACATCATAGTGCAGCCACAACCTGCAGGTCGACGTTTGGTTCTTTGGTCTTGACAGAAGGTCCCTTATTCTTCATCATGATAGGCGAGCATGCTTCGCTTGTGAAGAAGCACCCAAAGAGTACTCCTGAGCGATGTGGCTATGCTTGAGCAGAAATCAACTTAAAGGCAGCCGTCGACGCAGAATGAAAGAAATTTCTTTTCACAATCGCCAGTATCTTCACCTGCGCAGTGTTTATATGGTAGATCTGGCACAATTGTCGCTTCTACCGCCCACCAAAGCTCGCCTGGGCATGGGCCTACATCACCACTCAATGCTCTATTCTCCTCGACGAATAGGTGCTCTTGACCTAGGCTGGCAGGGGCATGAAACCCCGCGCCAGGCAACTGGCCCAGCCCTTTCAGCAGCCCTACTCGTCAAATGGTCGGAAATATTGCCTGACAAAACAGCCTAGGCTGACCGAGTATTACACCTTTTGGCTGGTCCTTGGCAAGCTTTTGGGTCTGACAACATCTTTTTCATGTTGATTCTGACAGGATACGTCCTAGGTACATTCATGGAAATGTCTCGGTGTCCCGCCTTTCGAGTCCTGGCGGTCATTGATCTGGTGTTTGACCCTCCTCAACCTGACTAAGTGACCCGTGGACATGCCACCCGGACTTTGCATAAGCTAAATGACTGATTTATGCACACCCTACGCCGACGCTCATGGGAGACATGCTGATCCACATGCACTGAGCGTGCCATTGCTATCCTTCAAGAGACAAGCTTTGGGAGGAGCGTCGGTATTTCTCACAAAGGAAATTCTACCTCTCTCTCATTATCACTTCTGGTGACGACCTATGGGGAGGTTGTCACATGGACTGATACGTGAAAGGACGAGCTAAATGATTCACAGTTCCCCGGAGACACCTGACTGCATGACGCTCGCAGAGGGCGTGCCTCCCTTGCCCTGTATCCGCAACCTCGAACATCCTACACTTGCCTTGGCCCCGTCGTCAATACTGTTACCCGCCCTTCGGCGATTACCATTTGAGGCAAAGTCAAAGCGAGCAACGGACTCACCAACAACCCTGTTACCTGCAACACCCCTCATGGCATCATGCCCTGCTGGGAGGGTTCTCGCACCCCCGTCTTCACGTTCACACCGCTTCGAAGAATGTCAAGAAATACAGGCTTTAATCACTCTCGGCGGGTTGACAAGTATTTCTTCTCTCACCCCTTCTCATTTGCATGTCAAAAGGTCTCGAAGCTGTCGCTGGCCGACTTTTTTGTTCTGCTCAAAGCAATATCATCATGAAGCAAGTATGGAGCTGCCCACAGTGTCTTGACGGCACATTTCCAACCGTCGGCTTTGACTTCAGTTCCAGCGCTTTTATCTGCCACCTCTGCGGCACCCGTTTGGAGAGTCTTGAACTCACCGAAGACTCTGTCGACTCTTTCCCGTCACCTGAGAATGCTGGAAGTGGTTACAATGGTCAGCATGCAGGACCTCCAAATATTCTGAACAGCAGAGGTTCTGGGTACATCCTCCTTCCTCCAGGATGGAAACACCGTACGACCAAGTCGCTGACATGTCCTGAGTCAAAACGCTGATGTAGTCACAGACATTAAGCTGAGAGCCTACCCTGGTCAAGCCAACCACATCGCATTGTGCGGATGCGGGAGGTCCTACGGGAACATGTCCAATTCCGCCAACAGCAACCTCGTCAGGCACATCAGGGATGAATTGGGGGCATACCCTACCCCCTTTTGCGACACTTGTGGCATGGTGTTCAAGGCTCCACGGTACTTGGACACACATAAAAAGAGGTCGAGGAAACACTCCAATGTGTCACATCATGGCTCTAACGACATGATATCTCGCTCTGGCTCAAAATACGAGTGTCCTCACTGCAAGAAAAAATTTCCCACTCGGGATGAGCTCTACGCTCATCTGAACAACAAGCACAGACCCGAACTCCAAGGTGCTTCCCATCGTGGTTGAGAATGTCTAATACGGCTCCTAGAGGTTGACATTACGAGTCATGACACATGAGCGTGTTTTTCATCTTGAGAAGGATATGTCTCATAACGCGAGGAGGGTAAATTGAGCTGAAACTGATACTGCTAGGCTATGGACTAGATGACATTGATCATGGAACTACACTACATCATTTCCAAATTACGCCAGATAATGAACATTCTTAATCAGCAGACAACGATGGTCTGATTTTCTAGATCGCATTTGAGATTGTCGAGTGTCAGGGAAGGGTGAGTATGAAGAGCATGACCACAGAATGTGGCAGAAACCACCACTGCTCATCAAGAGCCACCGGGGGGCGAATCTACCGCCGACAGTATGCCCTTGGGGTTGGAGAGTAGAGGGAGAGGCAGAGGGGCCCCAGAATTCCTCGCAAGTGTCAATGTGATGGCTTGCAACATACGCGTCGACCAGTGTTCCATCCCAAGTCCAGATGTTGGTTTGGGATGTGATGGAAGAGTCAACGGCACAACCCTAGGGCGTCCGCTGGGCAACTAAGTGCGAGTACCGTGTCCACTCGTGTAAAAGTGTCAACCGTGGGTGAACTAAACATAGTCAAGTGGCCACGAAAGGATAAAAAGAAAAGCGCAAAACCCCACTCAGGCACGGTTAGCACAGAAGGCCATCAACGAGATCGTGCGACGTCATGGGGCAAGCAAAGATCAGCCAACCGAGAAGGCGAGTGAATTTGGTCAAGGGCGTCCTCGTCCGCTCTGGCGCGTCCGCTGAGGCTTGGTGGGGACTTCGCGTCTGCATTTCAGAGGTGGGAAGTGTGATGGTCTTCTTAGCGCAATGGGACTCGTAGAAAGGAAACAATTGACGTTGGTGGTGGTGGTGAGGGTGGTGATGTTTTTCCGATCATGTCACCGTGGCGTGTTTTGAATCCAAACCTTGACCTTCGAGGGATCGTGGACTCGCAGTGACGTGCGCGATGAAAAAGGCCAGAAGCCAGAGATACCTCACTAGGGGGAGGGGGGATGATCAATACTAGTCCTTTCCCCCCCGGGCGTGCTTGGCCCATTCGCGAGAGGCCCAGACGCAGGACATGGGTGATGGGCGTCGGGGTATTGTACTGTAGGCGTGGCGTCTCGCGTGGTTGACAAGGGTGAAAAGGACGACCCCCGTCGGCCATCGAGCACGACGGAGGGAGCTGGTGTGTGACTAGTGGGCGCCGGCAAGAATGTGACATGGAAGATCCCCCATCCCACAATTCGGTTAGGGAGCGAGGATTCACTAAATCCAGATAATTTTGTCAGGGCTCATCGAGTGGCTCATGTTTTCGCCGACCTGTTCGATGGTGAGTGCAGGGTATCCAACGGGGGAGGGGTTGATAGGCTTGAAGAGGCGCCTCGTTCGGGGGTGTCGATTGAGGGCTTCGTCGACGGACGCGGCCACTAATGCAGAATCACTCGATCCGACTTGTTGTACGGATGACCAGGGCCCTGGTCGGAAAGGGGGGTCGAAGAACGAAAGTGGAGTAGAGACTTGGGCTTTGTGCTTCTTTGATTGGAGGACTCGTACTCGTACGGGACTTCACGAGAGCCCCAGAATCACAGTTGTGAATTACGCCGTGGTTGTCTACAGTAATGTAAATATCCTTCCGAAAGGGTGAGTTGTGTCGGTCGAGGGAGGTGGTGGAGGGAGATATTGAAGGTGACTACTACGGGAGTGTAGATACAAAACATGTAGAGAAATTCATGCTACAGTACATTCCCGGGACAAAGAGGATCGACCAGAGTTATGCTCGTACAGATAGCAAGTTGTACAGTTTGGATGAGTACGTACTTGCTAGGGAGGAGGGGAATGCAAACTAGTCGACTTTCCATCCGGTACGGTGATAAGGTCACCATACGGATACAAGATGGACAAGGCCCCCTCGTCGGCGGTCGCTTTGAAAGATCTCAAGACAAGTACTGGAATAGAAAAAAAGGGGGGGGGTTGGTGGTGGCTCGACTGATGTTGGATAAAAACAACGGGAGTTTATTTTCGGAGCCTCACAGCCCAAACCATTTTAGGTATGAAGTGTGGCTTCTTATCGATAAAAGGGATAAAAGGATTGGTGGTGGTGGTGGGTGGTGGTGGTGGGTAATCGGCGCGACTACCCAAGGAACGGAAGTTTTCCCCCATGTACATAACATAACAGTACTTGTACTCCCCGTACCAAGACAATTTCCATACCTCCTCTGGCCTCGGGCTAAAGCAAGTCCACTCGTACTGGTACTTTGTGTGAGTACCGGGGTTGTGCAAATCGTGTTGGCTTTTGTATGGTTTGTTTGTCCAAATCTGGCTTAGTATCCACACTCCACATGTTATATGTGGTTACTGCACTGTACATACAATACATCTGATGTACTCGGTGTGGGTGATTTGTTGTACACCAAATGTATCTTTATCTTAGTCATCCTGTACCTCACTTTTGTAATGACATTCCTTCTATCAGTATCGACTCCACGGCTTTGAGAGTGAATTCCCGACAGTAATTGTACGGGAACAGGTCATCCATACACGTACTAACAAATGTGTGTGTATCCTTATGTCGCCAATAGTCCTCTGACATGTCAAGTCTGTTAGGGTTCAAAGGTCTTACGACCAAGGCCAAAAAATATGAGGTATCTATGCCATCACTATTACTGAAGAGGTACACGGCGAACAAAGCAATGATTGTGCGTAATGGTCTGAATTTCTTATCTTGTATCCGTCTGAATCAAGATTATGTTTTGAGTCAACTTCTACTGACTGTCGGTGATTTCTCGATGTTTCTCCTGGAAGATTCATACTCTCATCAATGTGTTATCATTCCGAAATCTCCAAACTTCTAGACTCCTGACTGGATTATCGGTTTTGCGATGATACCAATATCAACGGTGGAATCACAGATCGCAATCCTTTCCCCAATCACTCCAAGTTCCCTGACACCAGCAATGCCACGCACTGGGGAGTCCAGCCTGGCAGGTTTTGAGGATAGTGTCGGCACTGCAGGCAGGCAGTTTCTTGTTGTTGCAGCTCATGACGCCTTCAGGATGGCTCTTGGTCGTATCACTATGCAAGACAGTACTTTAGCGATCGTGGTCTGTCACAGAAGAAGACCCAAACTTACCACCAGCAGCTTTGTTCGCACATCTTGCCCGTCAAACCTGCACATGCCGGAGAAGCAATGTCCATGCCATTCTTGATGCCCTTGTTCGCTTCGCAGGTGTTGTAACACATGTCGTTGGCGTCGTGTGAACCAGGTTCACCTGCAATGACCGAAGTAGAGAGTGTGGCGACCACGACAGCAAAGAACGCCGAGATCTTCATTTTGGGGCTTTCGTTGGACCTTGTGAGATTTCAGATCTACTGAACGCGCGAGATTAATATTGTTTGCCAAGTCCGGAGGGGAGATCCAACTTACTCACGAGGCTTAGCTATTGTTGTAAGAGCACTTTGAGGAAGAAGTGGTTGTGTTGTTGATATTCAGAAATTGGTCAAGACGAAAGATTTATAGGAGGGGAAGCGTGACGCGCACGCATCTGTTAGTGAAGGGAAGTTAAGAGGACTGTCACGACAATTCTTACTTGATCGTCACTCCTTTCAAAAGTGAATCCAAGCAGTAGCACACTGCAGATAATGAAAAAGGTAGGTGAGGTGTTATTGTACTGTTGCTCTTTGTCTCGTTCCAGGTCCGACGACCATATGCCGGAAGCAGTACACATGTGTGTTTTCTGTGCAGCCACATAGCTTTGAACCATGGACGGGCCTTCATGGTTGCAAATGTCTTGTTCTGGGACAAAATGGCAGCGGAGCTTTGGGGTCTTGTATGGTCGCCCTGGACAACTTGTCGTTGTTCTCTGGTTCAAGATGCATTGAGACGAGTGGTTTGTCTGTAGATCCAAATTCATACCTTGATATGAGCGACCATGACATATTTATGAGAGGTCAACCATCATGGTACTCGGCATCTTTGATTTACGGAGTCCAAAATACCTACAGTTAAATCCACCACCGGCACTAAGGAAAAAGGAGACGATCATGACGCTCAGCCTTGCGCTACGTACGTTTCAAGTCAAGTGACATCATCTGCGGATTCCCCACGAGGCTGCGACTTCTCACTATCATCAGTTGCAGCCTAAACTCGTCCTGGAACATCAACATCACTACAACAGCGCAATTACAACACGACACAACAAAGTGCAGCACATCCTAGTATTCATCCCTCCTGCAGACCATCGACCTGCCAGTCATGATCTCTGCCGAATAGTGTCGACGGATCCTGATTCCACTACTCACCCTTCAACTGTTAACCGCCGTCGTCGGTCATCTTCTCGAACAATGGATCCTCGGTGCGAGGAGCTCTCGAATGTGAGCTACGCCAACTTCGGTCTCAGCCTGTATGTCAATCCATGCACCTCTCATCTTGTCCTTGCGCAAAGGCACGTTTCTGCTGACACTCCGAATGCAGGTTCATTCTCATCGGCATACTCGTCTCCTATCTCCCTCAACACATTCGCATCATCCGCCTCCGTAGCAGTTACGGATTGTCTCCCTACTTTGTCCTCCTCGGCACGACGAGCGGCACATGTGCCTTTGCCAACATACTCGTACTACCGAAATCTCGAGTCGACGTCGCATGTTGTCGAGATGTTGAGTCTTTCCCGTGCGTGGCGGGCATGTTGGGCATCGCGCAGGTCGGTGTACAATGGAGTTGTTTTACCGTCATGTAAAGTTCCGTCCCTAGTTCTGGCCGTCGCAAAAGTATAACTGACTATTTTGCAGCCTATTGCTTTTCCTCATCTTCTTCCCTCGGACGAGCAATCCTCTTACCGATGACCAAGACGATCCTCCGAAAGACGACCTCGCTCCCTCGTACCGTACCGCGCTCACGGTGACCGCCATCTCAGTTCTCCATGCCGTGGTCATTGCGATCCTGAGCTTCTGGTTCGTCTATGCGAGACCAGAACATGCACAAGGCTGGGCCAATTTCCTGGGCATCTTCTCCACCGTCCTCGCATCCATCCAATACTTCCCGCAGATATATACCACGTTCAGACTCAAGAGAGTGGGCAGCCTCAGCATACCCATGATGTGCATACAAACCCCGGGCAGCTTCGTGTGGGCGGCCAGTCTAGCAGCAAGATTGGGCAGTGAAGGCTGGAGCGCATGGGGCGTCTACGTGGTGACGGGATGTTTGCAAGGAACCTTGCTAGTCATGGGCAGCTACTTTGAGATCATGCATCGAAGACGCGAGAAGAAGGAGTTGCAATCAAGAATGGCGGCCGCTAGTGGAGACACTGTCGCTACGGAACAGACACCACTGCTCAGATCTGACGATTGAGAACAATACGTACTATTGTTTTGGACATGCGCCATTGGGCTATATCAAACAGAGCAGCTTCTCTTCATGTCAAGTGCGGAACCGGTGTCTTTGATGGTGACGGCTCTTCCTTTGCGTGTTTCTTTCCGTCTGCAAGCGCAGTCATTTCTTCCAACTCTTTATCAGTCGTCCCGTCCAGTGCAGGCTGGCCGTTCTCAGAAGTATATCGTGCGTCGGACAAACTGATGCCGTACCGCAGAAAGTCAAAGTCCTCCAGAGATTCCAACATCTCTGCCCACCCATCTCCAATCTCCCCTACGTGTCCAGGACTTCCGGCCAGCGGTATGCCCTGCGTGTGATCTAGATCGTCTTCCTTGTGCTCCCCCGTCCTTCCCGCGAGCACCTCCTCTTCCCTGCCCGAGTAGACGTCACGCAGACCCGGGTGCGGACACCACACGACGCGCATCCCCGCCCGTCTCCCCGCCTCTGCCCCCGGGACGCTGTCTTCAAACACCAGACACTCGCGGGGCTCGATGGGCCTCTCCCCTTGCCCCTCGGTCATGACGGTCTCGTTGATGGCCTCGAGGGCCAGGAGGTATATGTCGGGTAGGGGTTTGCCCCGGCCCTTGGGGATGCGGTGGTCGTCGCCCAGGATCTTGTGCCTCTCGGGGAAGACGTCGAACAGGTCCCTCAACCTTTTGGTCTTGATCTCGTAGTTCCTCGAGTGCGAACTCGTGGCCAGGGCCAGCTGGACCTTGTTCCCCCCGGCCGCCGGACTCGCCGCGCCGTGCGAGGTGGTGCGGGCGTCCTGCAGCCGCCGCAGCAGGTTCTCCACGCCCGGTAGGGGTTTGCAGTTCCTGAAGGCCTCGGCCTGCAGTTCGACCTGCCTCTTCATGAACTCGTCGTGGGTGATGGGCAACTGCGCCCACTCGTGAAAGATCTTGCCCGCGGCGGGCCCCGGCCGGCCTTGCAGTTGGGCCTTGATGTGCCAGGGGAGGTCGGGCCGGCCGTTCTCGCGGAGGATGGTGTTGGTGACGACGGTGTAGGCGTCCTCCGAGTCGATCAGGAGACCGTCCATGTCGAAGATGCACGCTCGGACAGGTGGGAATCTGTTTGGGGAGAGGAACGTTAGCCATGATGGGTTCGAGTACCAATGGAGGGGTCCAGGGCGAGTCACAACGTACTCATCATTACTATCAGAGGAGGCCATGATTGCGAGGGGCAGACTGCTTGATAAGGGAGTGTGAGGAAGGGTAGTCGAATGTTGCCCAAGTTGGACACGATTTATTCTGTACAGGTGAAAAGAGAGAACACAAATAAACGAGTCCGTAGAGAGGGAGAGAGAGAGAGAGAACTGCGTCCAACTTTTTTTCAAATCGTCCCTCGCAGATCTCTCGAGCTCCGCTTGGAGGTTCTGAATGAAACCAAGATTTCTCGTTTATCTACTCCGTACTCCGTGTCGAACTAGATCGTTCGGAGATCGCCCGTGTCACAAAATTCCACCTTCGATTCGACGACACTGACTTGAGGCTCCGTGTACTGTACCTTTTTTGTTGTCCCTCTTTGTCACCATACGAGGGTACTGGCATCAAAACCATGTCCTTCAAATCCACGGGGCCCAAAACACGACCAGATCCTGTGAAACCGCCTCAACAAGCTGCAGCAACAACCAATCCCATTGCCACAGGCCCATTGCCTCCGTCATGGACAAAACAATCCCGTCGGTCCTCTTCCTCGTCGACCTCCTCCTCCTCCATCGCCTCCTTCCACTCGGCCCGTTTCCCAGCGGATGAAGAGTCCCGCATGCTCGCTTCTTCCCACGAGCTCAAATCTCAAGCAAACACGCAATTCTCACGACAAGACTTTTCGTCCGCGATCAGCACCTACGACCGAGCACTGGCAGAGTTGCCGAGCTACTTGGACTATGAAATGGCCGTGCTCCAATCCAACATCGCAGCGTGTCACCTGAAACTCAGCCAGTGGAAAGACGCAGTCGAGAGTTGTGACAAGGGTCTAGAAGGGTTGGAACGAGAACTGCCCACCAAACCTAAACCCAAGTCAAAATCGCAGAACAAGAACAAAACCAAGACAAAGGACCACGAGGACCGGGATTCGAGATCAAACGAGAAGGGGAGCAAAGGAAACAACTCCACAAAACCGGGCAGGTTGAATTCAGACACCGAGTCTTCGGGTTCTGAACCGCCCTCGCCCACGGTCCGGTCGGCACGAGACGAAGACACGACGGTGGTCGAGATACCTGACGAGGCCGACGAATCCGAGGTCCTTGCCGCCCTCTCTCTCAGCGACGGACGCAGATCCGACATTCACCGCATCAGGACCAAGTTACTCCTCCGTCGAGGTCGGGCCAGGACCAACGTGGAACCCCAGACGTGGACCGACCTTTCCGCGGCGCTGGAAGATTACAAGACGCTCCAGTCGCCACAATATTTCGACACCCTACCTCCGTCGGACCAAAGGACCGTCCGCCAGGCTTTGGTCGTTCTCCCCCCCCAGGTCAACCGAGCGAAAGAAAAAGAGGTGGCCGACATGATGGGCAAACTGAAAGACTTGGGCAACGGCATCCTCAAACCTTTTGGTCTGAGCACGGAAAATTTCAAAGTCACCCAGGGCGAAGGGGGAGGGTACAGTTTGAGCTTTGACGGGGGTGGTGGTGGTGGTGGTGGTGCCAAAAAGACCTGAAGTTTGCATTTCTATTTTTTGGCTTCGTCGCTTTTTATGGGGGAGGATCAATGAACTGGTTGATCGATCTTCCAACCTTGCATTACAGTCTACAGTCTCACAGGTTACAGCATTACCCCCCAAAAAATCCAGCGTTCGACAGAGTTGCAAGTCACCATAAAGACCAAAGAACCAAGGCTTGGTCCAGGCCGGTTGCCGGAGCAGAGTGTATTGGAGTGGGATTGGATAGGAACCGTGGCGTGTCATTTTGTACCCTCTCTACCTGTACTAACAAAAGAGTGATGACTTGATGATTAACAATGACAATGACGAATACAATGAATCTAAGATCATGGGTTACCAAGATGCCACGGAGAGGCAAGGGCAGTAGCATTCCATCGACTTCACCTTTGTTGTTAGCATAATATAGACCGACATATGACAGCATAGAAAAAGGGAATGTTGATCAATTCATCGATTGAAGCACATCTGTGATTCCTTGCTAGAAGCAGCAAAGCACACCGACAGGGAACCATATATCACAACATCACAGAACCTGCTTCGATGCCGGGTTGACCTTCTATCTATACCTTTGAGCACTTGTCCCCTTTTGCATCCAGCACGGCCCTTTGCTCTCTGCTCTCTGCTTCTCTCGCTCTCAATCCGTCAAGAAAAAATTACAAGGATAGCTTTAGGCCTGGAATGTCTCCATTTGGGCACTACCCACAACTTTTTTTTTCCAATTCTCGTTGGTATCCTATCAGTTCTCCATCCAATAACACTCGTGGCCGTGTTGCAAAAAAAAGGGGGGAAATGATGAAATCTTGACGTTTTCAAATATGGCCGTTCAATGTATTCCTGACTGTGCATCACCTGTGTGACAGCAAGGGAAAAAAGGGGAAAGCACTCAATCATTCAATGGTCGTTTCAGGTTGGGGTATCTCAATCGTCGTCTCGTTTGCCCACGACTGCTTGGTCAATGCAGTCCTGTCCTGGTCGTTGTAGCATTCGTGGAAAAAGACTGTTTGCAGACGCTTCGTCTGTCAAAGATTTCAGACTCAAAAAATCCTTCTCAATCGTACTCTGCATCTGCGTCTTCTTCTTCGTTGTCATCGTCAACAAATGGCTCATTCACAATGGTGTCATGATCTGGAGCGAAATCTCGAGTGAATACAGCTGACATTTCGTCAGAAGGCAGGAGCGGCGAATTGTACGGAGCCATCGGTGGGCCCATTGTCATGTGCGCTGAGCCAGTTGGCATTTCCCAATCACCTTGCTTGTGCAATCCTGCATCTCCGTACCCAATCAGTTCATGGTTGCCCATCATATTCGGGGTATGACCTCCAAAGTTGTCGGTGAGGGTGTTCTCGGCACCAGCTCCTACGCCCCAAAACTGCTGCTCGTCATGGTCGGAAGCAGTGTCTCCAGATGAGTAAGTTGACCGAGAGCCAGGTCCCGAAAACACTGGAAACATTTCGGTAGCCTCGCCAGAGCAAGGAGAGGGCCCGACTGCTGACAAGTAGCCCATTTCCGGGAACATTTGCGGGGTTCTTGGGGTGTGATAACGCGGCTGCATACCACGAGTGCCCGTATTCATGTATGAGCCAATTCCCGGTCGTCCGAAGAGGTTCGTGGAGTTGACGTTGGCGTAGTGTTCTGCAGTCATTTCTCCAGGCGGTTGTCGATCATTCAATTCCGAGCTGTTCATTGCAAGGGTCTGGAGACTGGCCAAATCCTGACGATTGCCAGAACCTGGAACTCGGGTGCTGGGAGCTATAGGGACCAAAGTTCGGCGGTGGGACCTGGTATTTGAATCAACAGGACTTGCCTGCGCTCTGCTGCCATCGGCATGTCTCTCCATCGCAGGCTCGATCTTTCGGCGCTTGTTGGATCTCTTGTCCTCTTCAACAGCCTCCTTGCCTCTCTTCATCAGCTGTCCCTTCTGCTGATTGAGTCTCTTGTTCGAGACGACTCTCTTGTAGCTGGTAACTGGATCATCAACGATCCTCAGCATGTAGGGTGTATCGAAGAGGTGCTTGCAGACCGACTTGGATCTGGCCATGGTATTCACGATTTTGTCAAAGCGCTCCTTGAAGGTCCAGCTGTGCCGCTTGCCATGTGATTTGCCCGCTTCTCCCAGGTAACCTTCAACAAGGTTTTGCTCTTTCCTAGAGCGGCGGATGCAAGCGTCAAGGATCTTCCAGCAAAGTGCTTCTACCATGTGATTGTCATGACTTTGGGTCTTGAAGGCATCGGAAACATCACGCTTCCTAATTTGTTCAACGTCTTCATCGGCGTCCGAATCATGGTTTTGTCGGTCGGTAGGGACACATTTGAAAGCCATGAAGAGGACTCTGACGTGCGCCTTTCTCATATCGAGGGTTGGTGGGATGCTACTGTCAACTGGTCCTGCTTTTGCTTGAAGCATCACATCGTGATACTTGTCCGCGGTCAAAGCATCTGGGAACAATGTTTGTGTGTCAGCAGGTACAATACCAGATGACAGATCTTGCGAGGTTGGTAGTGTGTCAGGGTCTATGTTGGCGAAAGGTGAAAGGCCTCGCTGGTCCACTGGAACCGCTTGGACTTGTTCGTGGATCAGGCGAGCTCGCTGCTCAGCCAGCTGATGATGATTAGCTGCCATGCTGTGATTCCGTCTGTGAGGGAGTATGCGTTTGCTGGTTGTGGAGGAATGCCCGATATTGACTGAACTTGAAATTGTTAAAGGTGCAGACTCGAATGATTTAAATCCATTTTAGTGACAGACAAAGGGAGGGTGGCAGCATTTAGTACCGCCTCGACAGTGAATCCGAGTCACGCTAGTCCGGCAGAATAACGCGTTAGTATTCAAGGCAGTGAATAGGTATATGTGAAGTAAATTGTCGGCAGAAATCGCCTTAACGGGAAGTGCTGGTATGGGGAGGGCACTGACGGTAATAGTATTGTTTTGAGACTCGTCTGTTTCATCCATGTCACCCGAAGAGAAACCCTCATACACAGTGATCAGCCGATATGGCGCCGATGCTCGCTCACATGGACGGACTGTTGGCTTCGTTTGCCGCCGACTCATGTTGACTTAACCTGCCGAGATCGAGTGCGATGAGGATGTATTCCTGTCTTGTATTTGACTTGTGCGGGTCTCGATCTTGTTTTCTGGCCCTTGCGGCAGTGCCGCCAATATGAATGGGATTGATGCTTTCATTGCTCCCAGCGACCAATGACATAACTTCGGCTTGAGTATTGAAGTCGGCATGCTTTGAGTGACCACAGATTCTTAAGTTGGAGCGAATTGAAATTGCTGCCCCTTCCCCGGTTGTTGTGCCTGGGGCCTCGAGGCTTCCCACCAACAACCTCGAGGACTTGACTAGTTGCTTTACATTGTTGTAACAAAGGATGCGATTGTATCAGACATTGCTCGGCCAACAGAAACAAAGAGCAATAATGAAAACAATAGGTAAAGTGACGATCTTCTGAACAAGAAAAGGCTCAAGCTCACATCCTGAGTGAGACCTGGGGGAGCTGGGAGAATCGACTAATTAACAACTCAGCAGAAACACAGCTGGTATAGGGACGAGTGTGAAGAGTCGAGGTGGACTCCATTGTGAAGAGAAGAAGCCGATCCGTGAAAGAAACAATTGTTCTGCCTCTCTACCCTGTTAGTAACTGCTGCGATGAACGATTGAAGATGCAGATGTACCCAAAGGTCAGCTACCAATGTCTGTACGCGGTCTATCTGTGGCGAAGGTAAAAGGGAGTTTAGAGAACACCAAAATCTGCAGCAGGCCCGAGACCTTATCAATCAGGCAGAAAATACCAGGGCGGCGTTTGCCCAAATCGTCTCTGATGGTTCGACAAAGGAAGGATCAAAAAGGCGCCGTTGTGTTCTTGCTCTTGCAGCGGAGGCGATACTTGTGGTGGTCGTCGGAGGCTTACCAGGAGGTCCATCAACGGGAGCAAAAGTCACATTTTATTGACCATTATATGAGTCGATTTCATTCACAATCATATTGTTTGAGTGTCTCGATAGTTGATGAAGGCAGTGACGATGAACGAGGTCTGGATAAAGCCCACCAGAATATGCGGGCGCCCAGACGCTAAGGGAAATCATCTCCGAACTTGTAAAACTCCACTCATGCAAGGCTGAGGAACATCGGGATGCCTGGTCCATCTTGTAATTTACCCCAACAAGCGAACGAACGAAAGAAGTGGGAGACGAACACAGGAAAATTGTTCTACACAGTGGCAGTAAGAAATTGCGAGGTTACCTGAGGACCGATAGCGGCATGATAGTCATGGTAGAGCAATGATTATAACTGCCGAGTGTTCGAGTAGTCCGTTACAGTGACCAGATCTTTATTGTACTATCAATCACTCCACCAGCAAGCTCTCCTTCATCCAGGCCCGCACCGAAGCGACGCTGGCCAGAAGCTGTAGCCAGAACGCCACCTCTGCTGTGTACCGCGGTTCCTGAAATTGCATCTACACGCCGAGTCAGCGATCAAAAGTTGAATGGGGCGTGAACTTCTTTACCATTATGTGCTTTGAAGGAAAAAGCTGGTTGAATTGGCCCTTCTTGGTGATGGCAATCTTTCCATACTCTAACTTCTCCGTCCACTCCTCCACCCCAAATCTCATGGCCACCTTCTTCGTCTGTACTGGTCAGGTTGATTGAGAGCCGCTGGTTGGTCTGAGCATTCCGACCAACAAGCCATGATAACAACTGTCCAGTGTTGCGAATGTCATAGATGATGACCCCATCGCTTTTTCTCTCGGAAATATACAAATACCTTCCATCCCGACTCCAAGCTACTTGTGTAATACCACTACCACCAATCTGGTCATCAGCTGCTGTGTCCTTGACTGAGAATACTCCAACGCATTCGCCCTGGCCCATTGAAGCATACAAGCCAATTTGACGTCCAAACGTTCCAGCAGCCAACAGACCTGATGATGAGTCCACAGCCAACGTTGATACAAGCCCTCGCATGTTCGTAGTTGCGTTATAGTCGCTGGTCTTCCGTTTGGGACCAGTCTGTATAGATGAGATCGGTTCTTGACCAGGGCGAGACAGGTCGCAGAGCGAGAGTAGTGAGTCCGAGCCGGCAATGAAGCGGTCACCCTGGGGTGTAAAAAGCAGCGAATTTGGGCAGATATATGCCTCCGTCATAGGATTGACCAGAGGGTAGGAAGCACCCAAATGTCCTGAGATGGCTGAGTTCAGGCGAATGGGATGGTCTCTCATAGATGATAGAATCAAAGTCGTAGAAGGATTCGAAAGGTCAAAGAATGGATATGCAGCAATCGCGTTTACCGGCTCCTTAGATGGGATGATACAGTAGGGAGACAAATGGTGCGGCTGTTGGTCCTCATCCAGCAGATCAGGAGGTCTAGCTTTTGTTAGCTATGCCTCAAGGAAGCCAAGCGTAACAGCCTACACGACAAAGGTATGTATAGAGTTGTCTGCCAGACTTGCGACGAGGCTTGTGCCATCCGCAGTCCTAGATTGTTTAGCCACAAAGAATCTCTTATGATGACGGCGCTGCTCTTACCATTGTAGACTCCTCCAAAACCTCTCCGTGGAACTCTTTAGGATTGCCTTGTCATCAAAAACTTCCTCACTTAGTTGTCCTGCTGTTGTAGCAACACATTTTGGTCGAAACATCCTCTCCTCCTAGGGTCGTCAAGTGTCTGCAATCTACATTGTGCCCCAATAGCTTTGGCTGGACGACAATGAGTTCCAAATCCGATGGCCCTCTGAGTGTCCCTCCCAAGAGGATGACAAACGCTCGAATTGTGAAGTTTCTTGAGGAGCACTCCGGAAAAGAAGTCAGAGAACGAGGAAGAGACCAAGGAAAAGAACAAGAGACGGGAAACAAGCAGATGCCTCTATGCTCGAACGTAGACATTCCTGTGAGACCTGGCACTCCTCATCCATCAATTACGGTGAACCATGCGGACAGTCATGAAGTCATTTCCGCCGCACCTGAAGCGCGTCCTGGTGTTCGACATGGAAAATCACCAACACCGCCTTCAGTCCCTCCAGGTTCTGTCACACAACCTGAAGTTTCGGTTGAGCCCTCAGTCAAGAGGAAGCCCAAGTACGCCAGAGTTGAAGATCGTCCGCGTCTTATTCCTCAATCAAGACGACCTCGACCTCCACCGACTCCTCCAAGTTGTGTTGACTATCCTCAAGTTTCAGTTCCTCCGTTGAACAACTTCCAACCAGAACCTACTCCGGAATTGAATGGACCAGCAAACATGGCTTTCAACTTCGGAACTTCTGCGTCCAAGCCAACAATTAATCTAGGCATGAGCACCAACGCACCAGCCAACTCTGGAACCTCACTCTTGTAAGTATTTGGAAATAAAAATATATGGAAGCGCATTGCTAGCACAGCATCCACTGTCTTTCTCGCTGCTGGACAGAAACTAATACTATGCAGCGGACAACCCGCTTCGCAACCTGCCGCGGCCACCTCTGCAACCCCCAATGCAGGCGCATCCACCCAACCTCAAATTGATCTCGCTCATATGCGATCCACCACTAAATTCGAACAACTCACGCCAGACCTCCAGCGTGAGATTGAGGCAGTCGATACCATGATCTACAATCAGATCGCCCTAGCCCAACAAGTCTCCGATCTCATTCCCCTAGTCATGGGTGCGGGTGAAACCATCCCCAATGGTGTTGATTTTGTCACCCAAAAATTAGAAGAACTTGAGACCGGTCTAGGCAATGACGCCGAAGCCATTGTGGCCGCAAAAGAGGGGGACATTAAAGAGAACGAACAAGAAGCCAAGGCAGTCTTCCGTGCAGTCGATCGACTCAAGATGCCCCGTCAATATCAAGCAAGTCACACCTCCAATGAGAGTTTCGGCCAATCCGGCGCAGGCGGCATCTACAGCGGTGCAGGTCTCAGTGGTTGGTGGAACAATCCTCAGACCCTTCGTGGCAATTTCCGTGGCACCAATGCGGCAGGTAACACCATCCAGCTCCCCAGTGACGACACAGAAGAAGTCCAAGGACCCAAGAGCCTCATTGATGTCTTCAATACTCGCGTCAGTGGCATGGAAGACCGGATCAAGGAACAAAAACTACTCCTTGAGCAAATCGAGCAGTTTACCAAAAGTCTCGAGGGCAAAGTTGTCAGCAAGGAGCGCGAAGTCAACGAACGTCTGGCCTATGGTGACCGCGACGGAAGTGTAATGAGCGAAAAGGAACACCAGATGCAAATGCTACGCTACGTCTTTGGTGAAGTCCAACGCAGCATGTACGATGTTGCAGACAAAGTCGCCGCTGCTCGTGACGAATTGGCCCGACTTGACCGCGACGGCAACTAATTCGCTAGTTATGTTGCTGGGTGAATTGTTTGCCACACAAATCACCCTTGCTCAGCTCATACTCATTGCTCATGGAGCAAAGAAGACTCTTTTCTGTACTTGTATGATCATGACACAAAGGCGATACTGGATTTGATCCCCCTGGGTTGTGGGACAGGAAATACGCAAAAGGTTTGAGTCCTACAGGGTTTGGCGGTAGTGTGCTTTTGGAGATTTACTCACTCACTCGGCACGACGCAACCCACAGCCACAGCCACAGCCACGACTCTTGGGAATGCTTCAACCAAACGATTGGAATGATAGTATTGGGTTAGCATTTCGGGGAGTCGATAATGTATGAATAATGAGAATCACGATGAAGAATCACAAAACAGTCAAAAAAGAACAAATCACACACACAGACACAAGAGAGAGACTTGGACCACGGAGATAGAAAATCAAAGAATACTAATGGCCATAGAGGTCCCTGTTCTGTCTCCTCGATAGATATTCTTGAGTTTTTTCCACAAGTTCTGCCGAGACTATGCTTCCACCTGCGAAGATGTCCGATTTGGTTCCGTCTCGTTCCCATCGAAACCGTCTGAAGAAAACGCCCTTTACTCGTGTGGAGTATCCCCATGCACACATCATCTCGTCTCCCCTCGACATGTGACAATATCGATGTCATTTTCAACCCCGATGCCAAAAGTCATTGCGAAAATCACAGACGAGGCACGAAAAGGGTTCTCCGCTGAAGAGGGCCGAGGCAAATTGAGTGAGACGATCAGGACTTCTTTTTTTCAATTCTTCATTCTTTTTTTTTCACTCCGTGTTGGTGTTTTTACAGTCTTCTTTTTTTTGGTGATTCCTTTCAATTCTTCTTTCCCGCGGCGTCACCCGTACCACCTTTGCCCGACCCTCCCTTGGCCGCGTCCTTTTTGGCCAGGATCGCGGCCTCTTCGTCCTCGATCTCCTTGTCGATCTTGGCCCCCCTGGAAGGTTCGTTGCCGTGCATCCGGGCCGGTAAGGTCGGGTCGATCTGACCGGCCTTGTCTTCGGCACTCAGGGTGTGTCGAGAAGAATCATCATTCTGTGGTCCGGCGGCGGCCAGACGGTTTCCGATCGACCTTTGGTCCTCTTATGATAACAACAAAACCGGTCAGTGTCGTTTTTTGTGGTCATGTGATGTGAAAGGCGAAGGGGGGGGAGAGGGGGGGAGAGATCAAGTGTGCAATAAATGGTTGGAACAAAAGGTTTCAAAACCTACTAGAATCATTCGACTGGTGACTGTTCTTTTGACCTTCTTCGTACGGGTTTGACTGAAACTCTGGCTTTTCACCGTCTGGCGGTACACGTTGATCACCCGCCTCGTAGACGTTGGAATTGCCGACACTTGACGTTCCAGACATTGTAAACAATGACTGATTCAAGGTGATCTTGCGTCGTTGTCCGTGATTACAGAGTAAGGAAAATAACGAGAGAAATGTTTTCGTTCAGATGGTCAAGTTTTCCCTGTCTGTGAGATTCCAGAAAAGAAAGATGAAGAGTACAAGAAAATACAGAGCACTCCTTACCCTACGTCGTCACCTTTATTTGTCCCTTGTGGGGGGGTTGAAATGGATTGAACATGACATCACAAGAAAAAACCCCTACAATACGACATGGAAAATGCCAAAAAAGAAGAAAGATGAGCAAAAACGATGAAGTCATGAATGATCCACATACAACGGAGTCAAAAATCCTTGACGGAACTCAACACGAAACGAATCGTACTCGCAACTCTCCGTAACGAGGTGAAAATGTCTCCAATGGTGTCATAATAATCATGCCTCTGTGTGTGTCAACTCGTAAAAAACAACTCGTTAGAGTAGAGATGACGATTTGTCCTCACCCAAAGACTTTCGCTTGTTCCTGGCTAAACCAAAACAGTGAGCTTGGTACTCCGTAAAGACATACAAAGTAATACAACACGTGCTTCAGTCATATATCCATCTTTGCAATTTCAAAGAGTGTTTTTATTTTTGAAAAAAGGTGCGCCAAATCAGCTACGGATAAAGACAAACAATACCAAACAGAGAGAGCGGAAAAACGCTTGAGAGTCATCGCTGTCGTCAATTCATATAATGGTACTAGGTCCTCGGTACTTCACTCTTTCAGCTACCAGTGCTTGTACTTGTACTCGTACTTTCGCTTCTCTCCATTTCCTTCTTCACCAGTCTGACACAATCATCCATAACATCGCTTCCCACCCTCCAAGTCCGAAGTAAAACTCCCCGTTGATGCATAATCTCTTCAGCTCTTGCCCATCTCCTCTTCCAAATCTCAAGCTTTTTATCGTACGTACCACCTACCATACCTCCGTCCCCTCCCGCAGCAGGATCACCGCCGGTGGCGCCAGTGGCCCAACGAGCTGCAGCAGCAGGATAACTAGACAGACCTCTTCGAGGAGGCAGAGGAGGATTCGGTCTGCTGTCACTGCTGATGCCTGTCTGATCAGCAGGCCGAGAAGGAGGCACTGAGCGAATCGGTGGGAGAGCATTGTACGCAGATGAAATTTGTCTGCGAGCGGATGCTATATATCCTTCGTCATGAACAGAGGACTGGCTAATAGAAACCGTACTCGCAGACGTATTTGTTCGTGATATAGGTGGTGTGGGAACGGGCCCCTTGCTCGAAGATGTGAGATGCGACGAATTTTGGTTTTGACGAGGAGATGAGAAGGGTGCTCGTGGCAGAGGTGCAATATTGGAGCTTTCCGACCTAGCACTACCGCCTCCGCGTCGAGGTTTGGGTGGCGGTGGTGGCTTTTTCTTGCCCGTCTCATGGACCTCGGTATCCGAAGCCGATAATCTATCGTGGTTTGTAGATTGCATTGACGTAGTCGAAAAATTTCGTAGGCTGGACGGCTTGTTTGGTTTTGCTGGAGCGGCAGGCTTCTCATTCAACAATTTGAGATCGTCCGAGTGTGATCCTTTGGCCTTGTTGCTTTCCGACTCAGGCTCGTCCCTAAAGTCGATCAGGTCCTCTTCCCGTGGTGGCATAGAATGAGCTTTGTGTTCCGGCTTGGGTCTTGTAGGCAAGGCAGGTCTGTCTTCATTATCTTCGTTTAGCTGATTTGACCGAGGAAGACGGCTCCCATCGTTAGAAGATATCATAGAGTCTGGGGTGGTGTTCGAAATGGCTTGATCAAAAAACCCCTTGTTGGGGGGCGTTGTCACATCGCGGATGAAGACGCCCAAAATCCGCTTCGGATATTCTAAGACGACATCAGTGTAAACCTCGAGATCGGCTTCCCCACTGTCTCCAACCAGGACGAACTTCCGATCGGGAAAATCATTCATCAGCCGATTGATCGTGCCTCGCTTCCGCTCCGCAGCGGGTTCAAAGATGCCCTGCAACATTCCAGAGTACTGCTTAAGATGGATTGAGCCAGCTGGAAGGCCTGCCAGAGCAAAATAGCTTCGCAGCAGAGGATATAATTGCCAGGGAGAATTTGACACATAGTGGAGCTTGACCCCCATACTCGCCATTTTAGCATACCATTCCTTCACGCCCTTGATAGTCAGGTCGCCCAGTTCGCGAATGAATGTGTTTTTGAATATTTCCCTTGCACCACTGGCAATGGCTGAATGCTTGACTGTGTCATCAATGTCGCTGATCAGACTGATACCTTGACTCTCTGTCACAATCACTTCTTCGGTGGCAGATAGTTTGTCCGAAGCCAGGACTCTGACCTGAGCAGGGACGAAATCCAATGCCGCACGCAGGTTAAAATGTCCAGACTCATCTGTCGTCACCGACTTTGACGCAGACTTTTGGTCGTTGAAAAAGAATACCGTGATAGGAGTGTTGGCCACAGGCGTTGTCATGAATGGTTTTAATCTCGTGAGCAGCAGTTGGTTAGCAGCCGCCAATTCTTCACGGTTCATGTTTGCAGGTTCGTTCCAGGATTCGCGCTTTTTGAGTGAATCCTGCCCGGGATCTTGATGTGACGAGGTTTCTGTAATGAGGTTGTTGTGTTGCGTCAAAGACCCATTTCGACTGCCCTGACCATGTTCCCCGTTTCCGCTCGCTTGACTGTAGCTTCCCCGTTGAGCCGCATCAGCCTCGATCTCGCCGTGACGAGCAATATTCTCGGCTTCTCTGGCCGCAATTTCATCTTCAAAACGAGAAGGGCTGTCCTCACGCCTTTCCTGGCCAGGCAGCCCTTGACTGGAAGCCCGAGACGATGTTTGATCTGTCAAAGGGGCATAAACACCACTCAAACGCCGGGCTACGGCCAAGAGAAGACGATTCTTTCTGTTCAAGGGACCAGCTTGTGGAGAGTAGATCCATCCCCGAACATCGACGTCTACAACAGCGTTGGCATCCTCGTACTTTTCCCATTCCCTCTTCCAATACTCTGCATCTCCAGTGCTGTGTGGTGACTCTACTGACTCGTGTGTTCCTGGCGGATATCTGCCGGCATCTGTCGGGTTCATCCTACTTTTCCGGTGTTTCGTAGCGTAACTTGGGAACAATAGCATCTCCTCGTTACCGCTTCTAACGATATCCACATCTGGGAAATCTCCAGGCATGCTCCCATCAGTCTCACTCCCCTGCATTTTCTGCGTGATTTGCTCTTGGTATATCTGTCTCAACTCGTTCGCCGCCTTCAGGTACCCCCGCACCTTCTCACGCCTCGAGCCTGGCACCCTCGCGCCAGGCTGGCCATAGCTGGTCATCTGATCGGCTGATCTCGCACTTGACGAGCTTCTGGTACGAGCATGGTGTTTGCCATACAATGCACGCAAGATGCGGCTCTTCCTTCGCTGAATGAAGGGCACAAGACCTCTCCCTGCCGCTCTTTTCTCTTGTTTCCTTCGCTGGCTACGGACGATGGCTTGGTAAATACGGGACTGTGCTCGTAGCTTAAGTCGAGGGATGTATTCGTGTCGGAAGCCCAGGAACCTCTCACGCGCACGTCGATGGGTGTTGGGAAAGAGGTAACGCAGCAGGGAAAAGGTGTTACGGGACCGAGTTACACCTCGGAACGGAGGAGCCACGGTGATGGAGATAAGGTCTGACGGTGCAGGTAGGAGATACGTAGCAGATAAGGGGAGTATATGAGAGGACAACAGAAGGATAGAAGGAAGGCAAGGAGGTAGTTGTTGTAGGCATTGTAGGCATTGCATAGAGTCGATGTTGAAGATTCGCGCAACCTTCCATATCGAGGCCCTTGTGCCACAGTACGTCAGACTCTTTGAACGGCATCGACGTCCGTCCTCATCGCAATCTGCATTTCCTTTACTCAGCGTTACATAAATGATGCGATATTCAGCACAAAAAGCTGCTTCTAGGAATTCTCTGGTATCTTCAGAAGAGAGCGTGGGTAGCTGCGACAACAAGGACATCGTGACGAGTCAGCTGGATGTCATGTTGTGATCTATCGACCCAGAGCCCCCTATCATTGCTGCTTGTATTATGCTCTATGCATCATTTCCACTGCTTGGGAATACACCATGCCCTTCACTGATATCCTCCTTGAGTCGCTGTCCTCCAACTTCTAGAGGCTTCGAATCCTGAAGAACGAACAAGAGTCTCGCCCACTCCGTCTCGCTGGGGTTCTTCCACGTATGCATTGTTGCTCTCTGCACCGCAACATCACTTTCCTTCATAAGCGTCTTACTTCCATCGTCCAACTCCATGACGATCTGTCCGCTGAGAACCACCCCAAAGTCCAGGCTCTGAGTTCTGTGCATCATCGACTTGTTTCCCGGCGCAAAGTCCACGACGCGGCATACCGTCCCGCCCTTTTTGACAATGTTTAGGTTGCTTGATTCCTCGATTTCCTTGTGCGCTTTGACATCTACTTCGTCGTTCAAATCCATGGGCAGTCCGTTTGACGTGTAGACCAGCTTGTGGCTGACTCGCATGCCTGAATATGGGGCTAGAGGTTTGTCGTTCGAACTGTGAATGATGGCCTTTCCGGAAGCGTTGTGGGTGGTTATGTGCACCACGGGGGTACGCAGAGGTGACATAGGGTCAGCTTCGATGCTTGACATCTTGATATGCTGCGCCTGGATTCTGGATGGTCTTGAAAAAGGGAGTGTAAAGTTTAAGTGCTTGCGGTGTATCCCCCAGTCGAAGAGTTGCAGACAGGGCAGTATTTAAGGCCATTGATTGAATTCACACATCATGGAGAGGCGCAATATATAACATCTCGTTATCCATCTCACCCATATCGTGCAGGACAAAGCAGCAGCTCGACCCCGCTCGTGGGCACATTTTCCGTGTTGGAAGTCATCTCATGGGACGGATACGGGAAACATAACATGGAGCCGTACCCACAGGGGAAAAGTAATGGCTGAGTTACGATCGGACAAGACTGACAAGAATAGTCAGGTGAAATGCAGTGATTGTCTTCGACTTGGTACATGAAGTGCTCGATTGATTCCTGGTGATAGGGTCTGGACGGTGAAGTTCTTAGAACACTTCAAGAAATTGGTGGGGCTTTGGACTCTAGCAACAGAATATGTATTTACACATCACCATTGGTAAGAGGGTTTTCCGTATTGATTTTGATGCTGTTTACCCGGAGACAGAGCCTTCTAATCCTCCATGTTCTGCGTAGTGGAGTCGATTTCTAGGAGGATGTTATAGCTCCTCTCACGTAAGTTTTGTGTCACTGAGTCTCAAAGGCTAGATTCATTTTCGTCACCATCTTGGAACCCAGCACATCCCGAAGCCAGTTCATTCGTCCTTCGGTTTCGAGGTGAGCAAGTTCCTTCAAGCCAACGCTCTCCGAGACCTGTCCGAACGTGGCCTTTTGTCTCTTCAATACGTGAAGTGCCACTTGAGCTGCCATCGGATTGAGGCCAGCTTTTCGAAGAAAATTTTCCCCGATCGTTTCATCGTGAATCAATGATAAGTTATCGGGGATGACGGCACTGAGCTGACTCGGCTGAGGTATAGGCAATCCGTACTGATGGATCAGTGTCCAGACCCAGCTTTGAAGGTTATCGCTCATGGTGCTCGAACCCATGTTGGTTGAGATCCAGATTGGGCGAGCCTCTGTGTGCCTGTCACTCTTACTCACACAAAATTCAGCGAAAATGGCCATGATATCTTGGATATTCGTAGAGACACATCCACCAGGATCGGGTACCACAACAAGGACAAATATTATTTCGTACTCTGGTGCCAATCGTGAGACTGTACTCTGTACTAGCCCTTCTCCTGCTGAGCCGTATTGACCGGGCAGTTTTCTCTGGTTCAAAGATTGTAAATTAGTAAAGATGAGGCACGAGCGAGGATTTAAGATGATATCTGGCGAGTCCATGTCTCGGTAAATCATGGATAATGAGCCCTCTGCGTTAGTTTCGAGAGAGGCCATGAGGCATCGATCTTTCCGAAGCATTTCTGTATTGATAACAATGGACTTTGGGGGGTCAAATTTCTCCAAAGCAAGTATATCATTTTTCAGGCACATATTCGTCATGCTGGCCATAGCTAATGGCGTTAAAATCATCTGAACTTGCCGCTGCGAGGCGACTTTAGTATCGTTGTGTGGAGATATCCTGATAATGTCCGAGCCCTCTGACGGTGTACTTTGTATCGGGTCATCCGATAGCTGCTGCTGATTGGCGTTCTCAGAGAAGATCGCTCTCTTGAACTTACTACCACGAAGATCCAGAAACGTGCTCAGTGACTTCGCCGCGGAAAAGCGACTGGTCCCGTGGGGCTTGGATTCCTTCTGAGCTACCACAGACACATTTGACACCGGACTGCGGAGTTGAGAGGCTATCAATTCTTTTAGACGGCCTCGATTTGGCTGAAAAGAGCCACGTGGTGGCATCGTTGGAATTTTTCCTGAATCCGACAGCTGTTTCTTCCTAGATGATTGGATATCAAGTTTGGCATCAGGGGCACATCTCTTCTGCGGGACCTGGGCCAGGGGCTCCGCTGAAACATCCTGACGTAGGTCGTTGTCAATGTCCATCTGCACGTCGCTAAAGTCTTCAGAGTCTAGGAGCACCAGACCAGGTCGTTTCCAAAGCATTTTCTCGCTCGGCATGATATTTGGTGAAGAAGCCATGATTTCTGGAAGACGTCCGGCATCGTTGATGGATTCTCTTAGGATGTCCTGAAATTCGGCAGTGTCAAATTGGTGCCAATTCGAAAGATTGTTCTCTTCGAGTGTTGTGGCAAAAAGAGTGTGGAGCTGAGATTTGCTGAAGAGGTCCTCCAAGATATCACCCTGCATTGTACACGTTCCTGCTAATTGATATCGGGTCGGCTGTAAGTCCGGAATGCATGCTTTTAGAGACTGTGCCTGAGTTCGAAGCTTCAAAAGTACGGATAAGGCTGGGCTGGAAATGTCAAAGGGCTGCGGCCTGATGACTCGTGTATTGTCGACACTATCTTGGCTGACATTTCTAGGGGCCCTTATTCCCACCTTCAATAGTGTTGCACTATCTCCCGACTGTTCTTGCATCTTCGGAGAAGTATCGATGGGCAGCTCCTCAATCTGCGAAATTGCATGATGTTCGGCGCTCACTATAGTAGCAGCATCCGTATCTAAATATTCATCGACCTCGAGCTGGGGTTTGCCAATGTCAAGTTCATCCGTATCCTCTAGACGGCTGTTGTGTTTGGGCAATAATGGCGGGCTCGGACTAGGAAGCAGGCTTGAGTGCATGAGCGGGTAGGATTCGGCTTGTCTTGTGTCCTGGTTCTGGTTAGTTCGAAATGGGCAAAGACCGTACAACTGACTGTCTTCCAATCCAGTCCCTCCATCAGAACACGGTACTTGTCCATTCCATTCCCTTCATCTCTGCAGTTCTTGGATATACGAGACAAAGCCTCTCTAGAAACATGTAGCCTCTCGTGTCTCACCTGATCGGAGAATCTTTCGTAGCTCCTCCCAAAGAGAGCATTATCCCATTCTTCTGCGGCTTGGTCTCTGCCTGCAATACCAGACGTTTCAGCCTGGACAAGAAGGCTTTTCAACCCAAGACCAGCGGCGGCGCTTCGCTTGAAGTTCCAGACGTCAAATGCGTGGTCAGTAGACAACAAAGGCTCTTCAAGCTTGAGGCTTTTCAACCTGTGAAACCTGGGAAATAGGTACTGGCCTGATATATCTGGACACGGATCTTTGATGCTTTCGGAGAGAATCTGACTGGCATCTCGACCCAGCTGCAGTTTCGGCTCGTGAATAGATGCTTTGTAGGAAGGAAACGTAGGATCAGACAAGGCAGCATCAACTTCCACAAGATCGCATTCAGGTTCGAGAGCATCGAGATATGCGAAAGGATCCTTTTGACCGTGGTCGATTGCAAGACCATGAAATCGCGCGTATTCAAGAAGAGATGGGGTCGACATGAATGTCGCATATTCTGGTAGATGGCAATGGGTATGGCAAGAGTATGAAAACTGCTTGTTCTGAACAGCGAGTGTATAGAGTGATGCCAAGACCAGTCTTCCCTGCAACAAATTCTACACCGAGGATGTAGAGCGTTTTTCATGGCTGCCTCAAGAAACTCCTACCTTTGATACTCATTCAGTTATCAAGGGATCTCTGGTGGGCCGAGAATGATACCCGTACAGCTCTCTTCTGCCCAACATTTCTGAAGGAGCGTCAAGACATCAGCAGCATCGTCACAAGAATGTATGAGAATTTGCGAGAAATACTAACCCAAAACCATTGTTCCCTTGCAGGAATGGGTAGCTTCTATAACCTGTGGTATCTTAATCACTCAGAACGCACTCCAACATTTCTCCTTTACCTGACGCCTGTATCTAGTTCACTCTACTCGAGACCAACCCAATATGTTTGTCTATTCCATCTCAATTGTTCCAGGAGGTTTGCTGGTGACATCGTACACAACACGGCAAACACCGTCAACTTCATTAACAATTCTCCTGCTTACTCTCTTCAGGAAATCTCCATCAAATGGAAACCAGTCGGCTGTCATGAAATCCGTGGTCTCGACAGCACGAAGAGCAATAACCTGAGCGTGCACTCTCTTGTCTCCCATGACTCCTACCGCTTTGACTGGAAGAAGTGCTGCGAAAGCCTGAGAAATTTTTCTATAAAGGCCGGCCGCGACAATCTCATCAATGAAGATCTTGTCGGCATGACGAGCGATCTTGAGTTGTTCTTCATTGACTTCGCCCAGAATACGAATGGCAAGACCTGGTCCAGGGAAAGGATGTCTCCAGACCAGATGCTCTGGGATGCCGAGATTCGTGCCCAGTGCTCTGACTTCGTCCTTGAATAGTTCTCTCAAAGGCTCGATGAGCTTAAGGTGCATACCCTCTAAGAGACCACCTACGTTGTGGTGTGTCTTGATCGTAGCGGATGGACCCTTGAACGAAATACTCTCAATCACATCTGGGTACAATGTACCTTGGAGTAGCCACTCGATATCTCCAGCTTTTGGAGAGTTAGCTGCAGCTTCAGCAATAGCCTTGGCTTTGTCCTGAAAGATCTCGATAAAAGTATTGCCAATTATCTTGCGCTTCTTCTCGGGGTCGGAGACTCCTTTGAGTTTTCCCAGGAAGAGGTCGCTTGCGTCAACTACCGTGAGATTGATACCAAGATGTTTGGTAAGCGTCTCCTTGACAGTCTTGGCTTCGTCAAGCCTCAGAACACCATTGTCAACCAGGACGGCATGAAAACGGTCTCCAATAGCTTCCTGCATGAGCTTGGCAGCAACAGTAGAATCGACACCGCCTGAAACAGCGCCGATGACTTGACCTTTGGGACCAACAAGTGCTCGGATGCGCTCGATTTCTTTATCAACGAACTTCTCCATCGTCCAGTCTTGCCGAGCTTTGCAGATGTTGACAGCAAAGTTGCTCAGAATCTGAGTACCACGGGGCGTATGTGTGACTTCGGGATGGAATTGAATACCGAAGTATGGTTTGTCAGTGCTGGCGATGCCTGCGAAAGGGGAGTTGGCTGTTGTCGCAATAGGGTGGAATCCATCAGGCAGTTTAGACAGTTTATCGCCGTGGCTCATCCACACCTCGATATCATCCTCGATACCCTCGAAGAGGCGGTCGATGTGTTCTTCCTTGCCCGAATGTCTCTCAATTTTGAGGAATGCATGACCGTATTCCCTCTTTTCGCCGGCCAGAACATTCTTGCCGTGATGCCATGCCAGTTCCTGGAGACCATAACATATTCCTAGGATGGGCACGCCGAGGTCAAACGCCGCCGGATCAACATGTGGTGCACCATCCTCGTAGACTGAATAAGGGCCGCCCGACAAAATGATGCCCTTTGGCGTGAAATGCAATTCTGAGATCTTCTGTGTACATGGCAGCATCTCCGAGTAGATATTCAATTCGCGCAGGCGACGCGTGATAAGGTGGGAGTATTGCGATCTTGAATGGTTTGTGAGTCATGACGGCGCAAAGAAAAGCATCTAGAGAGCCTACCCAAAATCGAGGACAAGGACCGTGTCAAAGGTTTTAGCGGGAACATTGACCGCATCTTCGGTCGTCTCGCCGTTGGCAGCCATGGTGACTGGGAGATCAATTCAATGAGCCCAAAGGAAAGGATTGAGAAGTTGAGCGCGGGAAAGAAAAAATGATTTATTCGTATTGGGCGAGGGGTTCGACATTGGTGGAGACGCCAACAGGGAACAGAATATCGTACTGTACTCTTCCCCGCATCCGATCAAAAAAGTTGCTGGACCAATTTCATTGACTGCGCTGGTTGATCTACAGACGTGTTCGATAAAGAAACAACACAGGCCAAGCACACATCTCGAGATGAGCAAAAGAAAGGAACTCGGCGACAAGATCGTCGATAAGGATGCTATGGTGGATGACGCGAGCGGTGACGAGGAGGTAGACTAGACTCTAGGCAGTTCATCGCAATCATGGCTGACTAGGAGCACAGGATTTTGATACACTCAATGTCGATTTCGAATGGTTTGATCCGCAGCCAGAAGTCGATTTCCACGGAATCAAGACCCTACTCCAGCAGCTGTTCGATGTCGATGCTCAGCTGTTCGAACTCTCCGCACTGACCGATCTTATCTTGTCGCAGCCAACATTGGGATCAACTGTGAAAGTGGACGGCAATGAGACGGATGCATATGCTTTTCTGTCTGTTCTCAATCTGCAAGAACACAAAGTCAGTGACCATTCACCGCGACTCTGGGAGCGGGCTGTTAACTAGTTTAGGACAAACCTTTTGTTGGCAAGATCATCCAATACTTGCAGTCGAAAGCCAAATCTCAGCCTGACCTTGCACCTTTGGCCGACATACTGTCACAAGCAACGATTCAACCTGTCGGTCTGATTCTGACTGAACGCCTAATTAACGTGCCTTCCGAAGTCGTGCCCCCGATGTACACTATGTTGTTAGAAGAGATTCAGTGGGCGATAGACGACAAGGAACCTTACAACTTCTCGCATTATCTCATCCTGTCCAAGACCTACACCGAGGTCGCCTCCAAGCTAGACGCTGAAGACGATAGACCCAAGAAGAAAAAGAAGGCTACAGGGGGGGGTTTTGAAACCATGTACTTCCATCCGGAGGACGAAGTCCTGCACCGCCATGCAATTTGTCACGGACAGTATGATTATTCGATCAAGCAAGACGAAGGCCATTCGGATTCGAAAAGAGTCTTCCAAGAGCTCGGTATCAAGCCTCAAGGGCACGTCATATTGATCTCAGGAGAAAACTTCAAGGCTGCTGTCCAAGATGTGGCCGAATACCTGAAGCCATAGGATTGAACTGATGCAAAAATCTATCCGGTCCGACCAATTGCAATACTACTCTTAGTCCCATTGAGTGCCTTTCAGTCTTTGCATGAGGTACTCGACTTCGACAATCTTGGTCAAAGGTATTACGACCTGAGCATACATCTTGACCACGGCCTCGACATTGATCTTCTCTTCTGCTGAGGCTCCACCTTTGGTGGCTGCAGAGGGATCCTTGCCATAAGTCTTCGCCTTTAGCCGAAGTCGCTCGAGGACCTGCTGCTCTACCTTCTGATTAGTGATGGCGGCGTCGATGCCTTCACGGTCTTCGGCCTTGATGAGTTTCACAAATCTCTCCGTTTCCTGCTGGAATTTGCTCTCGGCTACGAACTTGCCGAAGTGTATCCTTCGCGACAGAGCTTGCAGACATGCAACGTCACAAGTCGCGGCGCTACCATAATTCTCCTTTGTCTCACCTCGGTCTTCGCGTTCGAACTTGCGGCAGGCTTCTGGCAATACCTCCTTTATATACTTCTCCTTGATAACCTGATTGACATTTACGTCGTTGTCATGAAGGATCTTGGGGTACTTGATGGATTGGAGCATGGGCCGCTGAAGGACTTCAGGGAAAAAGGCATACTCGTCGGGCGCATCATATCGACGAATCGTAGAATGGAGACGCTCGGTTTCGGATAGAAGGTAGTCCATCAGCGAAATGACCGGAGGCAATGCTAGGTTCGTTGTAGGCACCGGAAGAGCAATGGGATCGTAGATGGTGGCATTGAGGGGAAATTGGACTCTTTCGATTAGATGAAAGGTGATTGTATCTTCGAGTCGGCTGCAGACACCTCAATCAGATCATGTCCCATAGCATGCAGGACCTTCATCGCACTTACATTAGCTGAAAACGAATATTATCCAGATCTAAAGCCTTCGAGGCGTCTGATAAATCTAGTGCTGTGTCCATGTTGGAATTGGCCAGTTTTGGATTGTTTGCAAAATTGTTGTGTGCTGGTAAAAGTAAGTAGGCGTAATCACGATCTAAAGCACGGACAGAGAGAGAGACAGAGAAGCTCCAGGGCCATATTAATGTATATGTGAAGTAGGAAAACACCAAGGTCGATTTCCGATCAGGCAGTCAACCGTCAGCAATAACAGTGCGAGGCCCGACGTCCATATCCGCTGGGATTTTGACTCCGTAAAGTACGTCAGAAAACTGCGCTTCACCTCGACCTTCGTTGTGCTGTTGCGAACATGCACGGAACAGGACCAGCACCAATTCGTATTCCGTACTACCCACTCCACACTCCGTCTGTACCTTGTCGACAAGTTCACTCCTTGTACCTTACCTAGGTACAATACTCCGTACACACCACCTACTACTGCTGCAGGCTTAGGTAAACGCGCACCCAACTACGGAGTACGACTAGCACTAATTGCTCTTCTCCCTCCGCATCTTTACAAGTCCAGCTCCAATATTTCTCAGAGCCTCAAAGCCTGCAGCCAACCTATCACACGTCATTCTGTTCAACACGTCCACATCCCTACACCACGGCCCAGACGCGATCCTAGAAAAACCTCCTCTGCCAGCGCAGAATAGCAGCTGTATGGCCAGCTCGCGGTCGCACAGCCGGAATGCTTCCCAAACACGTAGATCCCCCGGCGACGGGGATGATTCAGTACTCGGTGCAGTACTCGATGTAGGTGTCTTCTTTGGTCTGGCGCTCGCCCCAATGAATACTGATTCCCGGGACAGACACGGCAGCTGGAGGCCTTCAGCCGAAAGGTCACAGCTACCGCGAGCCATCTGATGGGTGACAACTCCACGCACTATCCCAGCGCTATGACGAGTATATCGCGCCAGATGCGTCGGCCAGCGCTTCAGAGAGGTGTCCTTAGCTTTTCACAACAAGCTCCTTCGGAAATGGTCAGGGCGAAGTTGTCTACAAGCGAGATAGCCCACCGCGCCCTCACTTACATCTCCGATGATCAACTTCATAATATTCCCGAACACGATGAGAATAGCTATTCCCTATTCCAAGGCTTCGAAGCCTCGTTACCCGAAGGCGAGAGTGAACATCGGAAGGGACACCGACGGCGGAGTTCTAAACAGCACAGGCTTCTGGGTGCTGGAGATGTTGAAGAGGAGGGCCCTCCAACGGTACAAAACCTGAAAAAGAAACGCAATACTGTCAACCACAGACTGGAAATGATGGCTATCAGGAAGAACATGTGCACGACTGAGATAAGGGAGATCGACAACAAGATTGCAAACCTCCACAATATGAGAGGAATCGTCCTTGACAGGCTTGCTGGCCTCGAGAATGACGAAGCCGAGGTCGAGCACGAACTGCTCGAGCTCGATAATAAGATTGAAGAGATGCAGGAAGAACTCGAGGAGCAGGGGCCGCTGGATGACTCTACCAGTACACTCAACCCTCCAAGAGTAGATACACCCGAGTCCGAGGCTATGGATGCCTCCTTTATGTCTCAATCGATATACGAAAAACTACCGACGGCGACTTCTCCAAAGTCTCCCAAAACAAAACGCCGTCCGACATATGCAAAGAGAAAGTCCATGCCTGTTTTGCACGAGCATCTGGAACCTGGTTCTCATTTGAAAACCATCCCAGCCCACAATGACACCATAACGGCCTTAGATTTCGATCAACCGTTCGGCACTATGGTTAGCGCAGCTCTTGACGACACAGTTCGTGTGTGGGACTTGAATCTTGACCGGTGCATGGGCTTTTTGGAGGGTCATACTGCATCCGTTCGGTGTCTCCAAGTCGAAGATAACATTGTCGCTACGGGCAGTCTCGATGCGACCATTAGGCTCTGGGATCTCAGCCGAGCCAAGTACGAACCTTATGAGCATAAAATTGTCGAGAACGGAGACGGAGGACAAGGTGGAGATGACGAGGACGACGGCCTCGGCTTTGGCAACGAAACCGAAGATGCTCCTCCACCCCCACCACCCGATGCTATGGAGGACTGCCCGCTGTTCGTCCTTGAAGCTCACGTCGACGAAGTCACTGCTCTACATCTACGCGGAGACATGCTTGTTTCAGGCTCTGCCGATAAGACTCTCCGACAGTGGGACTTGGTCAAAGGCCGCTGCGTGCAGACTCTTGATGTGCTCTGGGCCGCTGCTCAAGCGAGTACTACCCTGAACAGTACAGAACCACAATGGCGGCCGACCGGACGAACCGCCGATGCTAGCGCAGATTTTGTAGGCGCTCTGCAATGTTTCGACGCCGCCTTGGCCTGTGGCACTGCTGATGGAATGGTTCGACTTTGGGATCTTCGAAGTGGCCAGGTGCACAGAAGTCTCGTCGGACATACAGGACCCGTGACTTGTCTACAGTTTGACGATACTCATCTCGTGACAGCCAGTGCAGACAGAAGCGTCAGGGTAAGTGCTTTGCCTTCTTAATTGCGAAATCTTGACTAATGATGGTCAGATCTGGGACCTCCGGACAGGGACAATTTTTGACGCTTATGCTTATGACTCCCCAATCACGGGCATGATGTTCGATGCCCGACATATCGTGTGCGCTGCTGGTGAAGATGTGGTGAAAATATACGACAAGGCTGATGGTAAACACTGGGATTGCGGTGCAGGTGCAAACCTCTCTGTTGAGGACCGCATGGCTGGTACGACCACCAGCATTGTCGAACGAGTCAGATTAAAGGATGGATACTTGGTTGAGGGCAGACGAAGTGGTGAAGTTGGAGTTTGGACTTGCTGATGGCGAGCCTGGAAGATCAATGTACAACATTCGGGTGTATGGATGAGCGACGTCTTCACCACGACCGACTGCATATGCCACAATATTAAGCACAGGCCTATGGATTTATACGTAACCTGAAGCAGGTGCGATTACATGGACATACACTGCTCTCCTCCTCAGACAATACTTCACTGTTAACAACAATGATAACCTTTTTCCTGGGTACCGCAATTTTCCAGGCGCCTCAAACTCCATGATATGCCCCAATGGTATTGCGTTCCGTCGTTTCCAAAGAGCTCCTCCTCATGTACACCCTCAAAGCGGTCGCTCTAGATATGGCCGGATGGCGCTGGAGCAGAACCCATCTCTTGTCAGACACCCCTAACAATACACTCAGCGTTTGCCCATTCGCAGTGTGAGACGCGGACGCCCTTGTGGTCGGTGGTGTCTCGGGACGTCATCGGGTGCTCTTCCCGATGCAACATTGTCCACGACGGTTCCCGCCAGTTCCCAACACCGAACGGAGGAGCCGCGGTCACCCCCTCGCCTATCTCTCAGGACCTCCAGGTGGACGTCGTCGAAGAGCGGTTTGACGCGCGCCCTGACAAACGCAGGCATGTCCAACGGAGACGGCAGGCCCCGGAGACGATCCTCCAATCTTTCCTCGGTGTACAGGAGAGAAATCGGCTGGCCGAGAGCCTCGTACAGAATCCTCCGGTGTTCTCTTGACCTTTCGGGGTCCACCACCGGAGGAATGACCGTTGATGACGAACTGTCCGTGTCATAGCCCTCCACGCTGATCACCCCACGGACGCATGACTCTGTCGACGGGGTCGACGGAGGAGGAACCCAGTCTGTGGGCACTTCCTTGGGCTGAGCTGCGGCAGCCACCTGTCTCACCGGAGTGAACGAACGCGACCTGAGGACCTTCTTCAAGTCCCGGTCCGCCTCCCGTCTCGATAGACCATGGACGTCACGGGCGGCACGTCGTGAGCCGGTAACATTCTCACCCTGATCTGGCCGACCGCCGGTGCTTGTGTTGTTTGTCCCATGGCGGTTGCCGCCGCTCTTCCGCCTGCGGTTCTTTCTTCCTGATCTGGTCCGGATGAAAGGGTGGCCCTCGGGGATCGAAACTCTTGTGGATTCAGACATGATCTCCGTCGGTGTTGGAAAGGGGTGGTTCTTGGAAGAAGAAGATAATAATTCAGACAGTCGACGCTGATGTGTAACAGGAATACAACTTGGAAGGTCAGTTTGTGTGTTTTGAAAATCAACTGTACGCGCACATGTATGTGCCAGATGGCAATGGCTCCTTCCCTCGAGGAACATGGTTTTATATGGTTTTCTGTGTGTACTGGGAGCACATGTTCCGACCTATTCAAGCAGCACACCGCGCAGCATTAACCTTGTTCTGTTGGGAAACCCTTGGTTCAGAAAAGAGACTTTTCGCTTTTGGCTGGCATCCTCGAAATGACCTCGTTCGATTCGATCCATCATATCGAAAGTCACCGGCCTCACCGACATTTCTTTTCTTCTTTCAGATTCGGTACCAGTGATTCGCACTCGATAGTGCGGAATCTTACGTTCCGGTTCGTCAAAGGAACAGGGGGTCTTTTTTTCAGGCATCAGCGACAAAGGCGAGACAAGACAGTACAAACGAAAAACCACCGCAAGTCCAACACCGATACCGCGTACTGAAGGCAGCCGGGCGCTTTTAGAGTTGGCAAAATGTATGGAACTGGATGGATGTTTTGACGAAGAGCGACCGAAAAGGGGACGAGAACAAGCAGTATTTTGCGAGAATGGAGGTGGGTATCCAGGTTCTGCTGCCTTTCTCTTTTGAAATATGCATGACAGTGTCGACCTTTTGGTGTGGATGGAGGAGCTGCTCCCCCCCCTCCCCCACAACGCAACTTACGATGTGTATCGGAGAAGAGTCAGTCATGGGACTCGTCACTCTGAGTCGGAACCTCTATAGAAATCGAGAAGGGCAGGCAGGGCGTTGTCCGATTCAACATCCAGGAAGCAATGTCACGATATCCTTTTTTGGTTTTGTTTGATGATTCGCTTTCGGGGTAAAGTTAAGACCCGGTTCCGATGCGAGCGACATTACAGTTCTGCATGTGGTGTACCCCCCTGGTTCATTTTTGTTTTTTTTTGTTATTGTTTTTTGCCCCGGAAATGGACACATACACTCGAGCAATCACAATGTTTGTATGAAGTCATGGGTCCTGGTCGATCGGCTCGGTTGGAAAAAAAAAGGTTTGTTGCCTCACGAGATTTGGGCTCAGCTCTGGTCCTTTTGAAATGGAAAAACAACCACTTCTGACGACGGACGCCCCGACCAGGCGAGGTTCTAGAATCCTTGCTTTTTGGGAACCTTTGTTGATAACTCTAGGACCATCACCAGCACCCGTCCATCACGCGAGGGGGGTCACTTTTATCTCGTTGGAGGACATGGGGCCAAAAAAAGGGAATACACGGAACATCAAACGACTTCTGGAACACACAGGGCTTATCTTTTTGTTTTTTTGGTGAGCTCCCTTTTTGGGTTTTACTTTTTTTTCTGGTGTCTTGTCCACACTCTGCGTCGTGTCACTCAGGCATCCATCTGTTGGAGTGAGACAGGGGGGGGGGGGGAAAAGAAGAGTCGTCTTTGGTTGTCGGCCATTCGTGATAGATTACCAATAAAATCATGTCACAATCGGTAATAATGGTCTATTGTACTCGTAGACATGTAGTCTGGAGAGAGTCGCCGCTTCATATGCATAAAACATACCGCAATAAGAGTTAGTAGAACACGGAACAGAAACCCGAATCAAAAGAAAAAGTGGAGTTTACTAGTCAGTCCGGAATACTCCATACTCTGTACCACCAGTTTCGTATATTGTCATGTAACAAACGACCACGATGAGTATACCAAGCCTAGTACAAGGGTATCTGCCTAACCTTTTCCCCTAAACACCATGGCCGTTTTCACCCATAAGGCGGACGCCGTATACAGTAGAGATACACACACACACACTATGTTACCCTCCCAATCCCCCCCAAAACTCAAACCAAATTCAAACCACGATACCAAAAAGAGTCTTCCAACTAACAAGACTGATTTCATCGCCTAGTTACAAAACACCTGGTACGCTAGACACAGAGAGCCTCACCACTCCAACACTCCACCCGCACAATAAACAATCTATAATCATGATTCGTCGTCGTCGTCGTCGTCATCATCGTCATGCTCCCCAGCTATCCCCTTTCTGATTCTCACATCTTGAATGACCTCTTCGACCAGCTCATCGATCGAGTCCAACCAGTCTTCCCTTGGAAAAACTGGGTCACGGAGCTGGTTGAATATGAGTTCGATGTCCATCTCGTCATACATCACCGCCTCAAATTGGGTGAGGATGTCGGCAAGGAGGACATCCGTCGAAAGATCAGTACTCGTCAGTGGCGTCCTCTCGATGGTCATCCGGTACCGTATCGCGGTGAGTGAACGGGGACTTGAACCCCATATGACCAGGTTCATCTTGCATCGGCCACACCATTTGGTAATGGAAAGTGGTAGCTCCGTGACCCTTTGTAAAAGAGCCCTGGCTTCGGAGGAGAGGCTGGTCATACGTATATCGTTTCCTTCGTCGACATAGATGCGGATGTCGTTATTGTGGTCAGATGGTTCTGTGTTGCTTGAGACTAGGGTGGTTGCCGTGGAAGAGTATGAGAGGGTTGGGGAAGGGGAGCGAGAGCGCGACATTCTGAAGTGGTGGGTAATTGGTGTTGACGAAGTAGAGGGACGTTGTTAAAGACGAGCAGAGAAAAGGCTGGAACGTTGCAAAGGCGTCAAGAGAAAGGTGAGTAAGAAGGTTCCTTGTAAAGGGCGTCGAGGGTCTTCGTAAGTAGAGTAGAAACCAAGGATCGACTTGCAGAGATCGCCAGAGTAAAACAGCGGGTTGTTGATTTTGAATATGAAAAGGATTCCTGAAGCAATCTTGCACAAAAATAAGTGATGCATATTGAGGGGAGACAGAGCGAGATATATATGCAGGTACCGATACACGAGACTCGAATAGGAGTGAGCTGAGTCGCTTCTCTCTCTGCAAAGGTTCTCGCGAACCAGTATTGGAAAAGTCAAGTTGTGGATGGATCCTCCCAAAACCGTAAACAGCCATGAAAAAGAAAAAGGTTTGAATATAGGTCCTCAAAGTCATGAGCGTATACAATGTGACCGATGCCAACGCAATCCATGAATCGAAAGGTCTTCCTCTTGCCATTCTAGTATCTGGTTAGCACTTCTCAGTCGGCAAGGAATTGGCAAACTCATCAAAGAGGAGCGAACCACCATCCAAAGGAGCATGGCAGCCTCCAGTGTACAGTGGTCCAAAAAAAATCTGCTTTGACAAGCCATACCAATGTACCAGTAAGCATGCTGCGAGCTCCAAATGAAGTAGTATCAAGGTCCCACACCTTGTCCGTCACTTCGAGTCATACCAGAAAGCATCCTCGACGTCTCAGCAGAGCTCAGTCAACACCAACCATCCTAAGTGAGAGATAGAACAAAGAGCTTCACCCCAAGGCAAGATGATGACCCAAACCCACCGAAACAAATGGCAAGTGACAAGTACAGACAAGCCAAGGCTTTGATCCTCACTCGAGAGAGGTCCTATCCTCATCACTTGGTGTGCCCATTGTCTCGAAGGCCTAGGTCTCGATCCAGCCCCGCAATCCACTGCAATGAAGAATATCCTACTTGAAAGTTTGGAGGTGATGCCGACTTCGTCCACGCTGAGACGACTAGACTTCTGGAGCTTGTTGCGACAAAACTGAATCCCTGGACCAGTGTGGAAGTCAAAGTAATCGAAAGGAGGGCATTGTGCTTGATAGCAAAGGTGGCAAACATCTTGAAGCAGGTGCCGTTACCCATCAGCCTTATCAAATACGCAACCGAACAAATCGTTTCATTTCCAGCAGTCATCCCTCCTCATTTATCTCGATATCCACGAAAACCTTGGCATTGTCTTTCGTTGTTGACAGGCTCTCACACCAGGTTCGACGTCCAGCCCCGAATAAGCAGGAAACCTGCTTCTCTCGTGTGTAATACAGTAACCTCGGAGACAAGATTTTGATTTCCTCTTCCGTTATGCCACAAAGACAAAGGCGAAGGGCATTTGCCGTGTTTCAGGTCAGGGCGCACAAAGAACATCTTAAAAATCGCCCTCTTCCCACCGAAATGAGGTTCATCATGTTCTCAAAGATCCGAAGATCATGAGTCCACTGGATCGGCGCTCTCCGTTTCACCAATGATGAGACATGATGCGGAAGATTGACGCGGCTGATCAGGATCTTCTGCGAGCAGAAGCACGCATCTTGTAGCTGAGTGCTTTGATGCGAGTTTGACGAGTGGACTGTCGTGCAGAGACGATGTGATTACGGGCCAGAGGTGGAGAGGAGTGGCAATCGAACCTGCGTTTGATCGTCCGAGGAAGCAGTACATTCTTAAAGCCGGCTGGAGTAGGCAAAAGGCCAAGATGGAGAACCGCCGATATGAAGCCTCGCCTTCACCTCAGAGACCTGGCTACTGACAAAAGTCCGTTTCTGGCCAGAGGATCTCATCAGCTCCGAACAAAGACTCCCAGCAGTTCTGTGTGCAGGCTGAACAAATTTGCACTCTAGGCATGTAATGCGTCCGCTTTCTCGAAGAACCAATCTCCTCTCTCTCTTGTGCCCGTCCCACGCCCACTTTGGTCGAAACATCCATTGAAGATCTAGTATATTGTCCAGCTTAGGAATACCGACGCGTGATCCTTCGCGGATGCTTATCAATATCGACGCATGGTGAGACCGTCTTTCACTGCCTCTTTCGAGACTCTGGGCGTCTGAATCTCCTTTGACTGCACCCGATCCATCCTGCCATTCTTCACCGGAGCAAATAGTTGTCAGAAGGGACGCAGGTGCAGCTAATCAGAGATCGACAACTGGGCCGCGAAACTTTGAACCGAGAAAACATCTTAGGGTTACGTTCCGAATACGTATCCTGCCAATAACCATGATCCCACCCCAAGCTCTGATTGAGACCCTGCAAAGAGCCTCGAACATGAGGAGGATGGATAAAGGCGGCTTGAAAAGCTCGACTTGTAGACGGGAAACTCTGTGGAGGTTGAACTGTATAATTCTGCCTTGCAGGCGAGAGGGTGCTGGACGAGGATCCGGACTCGAGAGGTGATCCAGTAACATTGCTTGAAGCCGTTGAAGTATTCGGAGATTGACATGGAGGATTTAAACGAGAAGGTCGTGCTGAAGAGAAAGCGAATCAGTTAAGGATTGTATAGAAACTTATTCGAAGGATAAGCTGATGGGTGTTACAGAGTAATGGCATCAAGAAATCCGTTTGTTTACAAAGCCCTGCGGTTGTCGCAATTATTGACTTAACCAACTTCGCAGGCGTCTGGGGGCGACTTTACGCGACGCGTCTCGCGGGGCCGGATCAAGTTAGTTGCAATGCAAGCACTTTCGGATAATCAAATGATCCATCACCATATGTACAATTTAACAAGAAGTCATGTTCAAGTCTGTTTATACCGTTTGTCTGTGGCTTAAGGAAAACTCAGTGCTACTGGGATTTGAACTGTATTTGCTATATATAACATTGTCTCATATCCTCGTCCTCCAAAACATTATGTATCATCGTACATCGAGGTCGCCAAATTCCATGCAGCGGGTGTTTCGTTCCACCACAGTTGAACCCAACTCGACCTTGCAATTCATCTTTGCCACTGCTACTTCAGTGATGCGTTAGATGCCTTGAGCACGTCAGTAGCACATCCTGGGAAATACTCGATGAACAATACTTGGGCCGAATTCAAGGATGAAGGGTTTGTGGTAGCAGCACTTTTGCCCGAACTCTGAGCCTCTTGCTGGCTTTTGTATGCGGCAGCCTTCTCTGCTCTACATGGTTTCAGCGTCAGGTGATGCCAAATGGACATTGTTGGTGCTGCTCACTCTCTCTTTCGGATGTACTCGTTCTCCAACACCTTTTCTCGATCCTTGAAGTCAGGCATGTTGTATCAATGAATTTGTCGGTCGATCGAGCGCTTTCAGTCTTCTTTCCGAAAATTGAACGGTGTTTGGGAATGTTGTAGCATTGGAATCTTCAGGCAGCGAAGATAATGTAATGGTTAGTACGCAGTGCAGCCTGTTTTTGAATCAATATACCTAGAGGACGAGGGGCGAATGACGTAATCAGGATGAAGAGCGTGCCTCCCACCTTCGTGAGAAACGTAAATATCAGGGACAATTTTCTATGCTTGTCGAGGATGTTGGAGTCTATGAAAATGAGAGACTGTTTCCGATTTGGTGTCTCACTTTCACGCTGGGAATGATCCCCTTGAGAGCGGAAGGTCTGAAGATCGTGCTTCAATAGTTATCGCCGATACGAATTGCCCTACATAGATCCCTTTCACGAACAACAGATTGACGGCTCTGATACATCCTCTCTCGGAACTAGCGGCCGTAATTCCGAGCGCAGATGGGCTTGTTATCACGATAACGTACCCGAACAGCATCTGTGGGGAACCCACATCCGAGGTACTATTTGTGAGGACTGTTAAGTACCGTCTTCGCAGACACCGTCCTCTCTATCCTCCTCTTCCTTCTCCTACTCGTATCGATCCGCAGGAACTCAAACATGGGGGCCACCGAAATTGCAATCCTTCCCATGAAGGAGGGCAAGACTTTTGACGATATAACGACCGCCGATGGCCAACTGCATGCCGATCTTGTCAAGACTCTGGTCGCTCAGCCAGGTTGCCAGCGATGCTACTGGGGTCGTCAAGTAGAGGATAAAAATATATTGAGATGGTTTGTCGATTGGGATAGTGTCGAGTCTCACCAACAATTCATGAACTCTGAGTATGCGCTTCTTACTCTCATCGGCACACGCTAACCGACCTGTCCAGGGCCTACAACCCCTTCCTGGAGCGCTTCAGCAACTTACTGGGAGGGGACCCTAAACTTTATCATGCTCACTTCGTCCCTCATCCTCCTCGTGCAGTCCTCAGCAATACCACCTCTCCTACCACGGAAATCGTACATATGTACTTCCCAACGTCGTATTCGGAAGAGGACAAGAAGAAGGTCGCGGATGACACCAAGGCCTTGATCGCTGTCCTTGAGAAAGAAGCAAGTACCTACCGAGCAACAGCTGGTGGCTGGGTGGAAGAAGATTTGGTCATTCCGGGAACGAATGAGAAGGCCAAAGCATTTGTGCTGTTGATCGGCTGGACCAGTGTAGAGGCACACATGGCTTTCCGCGAGACGAAAGCCTTTGCCGAGAATGTCCACTTTCTGCGCGGTGCGAAGGACCTGAAGAAACTTGAAGCCCTACACGCAAGCCTGACCGAGGTCACCAGGACTTCGTCTTAGGTCCGGTCAGGTTGGCGATATGCGACTTGACTTTCAGGCTTGAATTGCACAAAGTCCCCGGGAAGAAAGACACATGCGGTCGTTCGGCGGTTACAAGCGACGATATACTCTGTGGCTCTACTCATTTTCTCCACGAGTCAACAAATGCCTTGTCATATTCATAATACCCTTGTGCCTCCAGTCCACAAGTTGCCGTTGCTTCTCGATTATCCTCTCCTTTCGGTCCTCTGCCAGCTCGTATATATAACACGATGAGCCATCACAGCCCGTAGATCGATCAGCATTGTCCCCATTTACTACAGTTCGTATGGCCCAGCACTGAATATCTTGCTGATTGTCAAACAGATTGATTCGACTGCTAAGACGCAAGCCTCGATATCATGCTTACATGCAGTGTCCGTGACAAAACGACCGAGGTCGAAATGCTCAGGGGTTGGCAAGGCAAGCGGTCGTTGCGTCATGCCCCTGCATGATCCTGGTCCGACTCTTCGCCCTTGTCCTATTTAGGCATCTCTGAATTGGCGAGGCTGAACTGGGCGTCTAGTTCTACTTACGATCTCGTCCTCATTCCTTTAGAAGCCTCGAACCCTTCAACCTCGTTGCACGCCGCTAAGAGATTGTGTCTCACCTCGTACATCCAAGAGGTTTCATTTAACGACATCTAACTCGACTACCTTCTTCAAACCCTCCATACTGCAGCGAATTACATAGGCATCATGTCACAGCCGTACCTACCAAAACAGCCTGACCTCAAAATCATAAATTACAAGCCAGGTCCTAAGACACAAAGGCTATCAAAAAGTGAACTCATAGAGATCGAGCCTCTTGTCCTCAATCTCCACGGACAGGGTCAGAGCCGTGAGGCCATGCGTGCACAATGCAGCACCATGGTTCAGAAACCAATTACGCTCCCGCAACTCGACACGATCAGACAAAGACTTGGCCTCGCTGTTTACGATGAATCAAAAGCTTTCAGCAGCAGCAGGATAGAAACTGATGAGTCAGAAATGGTGCCTGGCTTCGAACATGACCCTCAAGGTGCAGAGGCTTCGCGTGGCGATTTCAGAACACGTGAACGTCAAAAAGATTCCATCATGAGCATAGAAGAGGATATCACCTCTCTTAAACGACAAAGTTTCAGCCATGACTCTTTTCGGACTCAACATGAAATCGTGCCCAATGAAGATACTCCGATGGCTAATGCCGAGCAACCCCCCGGATGTGAGGAAACTCCGGATCCTGCTTTAGCTATCAGCAGTACTAGTCCTGTGTTCGCCCAAGATCCTGCTGAGGCCAAACGGCGTGCTTCGAACGCTGAAATTTGTGATCTTGTTGAAACATTTGCAAGATGGGATCCTGACTACAAAGAATGGCTTTAAAATGCGATTGTCCATGGGGGCACACCTGCTTTGTCGCTTGTGTCATTGAAAGGCATCGGTCTGACGTACAAACCATCAAAACCATGCTGGAAACTCTACCGGGACACTCTACAGCAGAGCAAGGATGACGAAGATGCCATGATTCGTCTTAATCATGCCGCCATCTTACTTCACACTATGAAAGCTCCCGAAGCTGCATTTGATATCTTTTTCAGTATCTACAAGCATTTTAGCATAGTGCCAGGCCAAAAGTCCTCTGTTGTTATCCATAAGATACTCAGCACTGTCGGCTGCGCACGTTCAGCACGAAATGTAACCCATTTCGAAGTATCAATGGCAATGCTTGACGAGATTTGTGAGGAGCTCCTCGCAACCCACCATGTTAAATACCTCGAAAAAACCAGTATCTGGAAACTTTTGGACACTCTGAGAGCGCATTCAGAAAAGCCATTGGAGCTCGAGGCTTAACAGAGCAAAGGTTTTATGGCACTTTATACACTGCTGCCAGTATATTCCTGCGGATTCAAGAACATAACTTTTGAAATCTTCGAGCTTTGGTCGCGGAATACTGAAGGAGGGCGTGATGTCAGCCCTATGCAACGCCTGCAATGCGACAGTATGAATATACATATGGTCGGTGCCCTTGAACCTACAAGACTGTATGTGAAGAGGAGACCGGATCTCGCCGATTATTTATTGCGAGATCAATGGGACCGCCCAGGCCATTCTGCTGCTCAGATTCTGTCCTTCTTGTTGCTTGAAGACAGGGTTTTCCAAACAGCCTTTCAGCACAAGTCAGATAAAGACAGATCTTCATTCAATTGGGTTGAATTTCCATATGTCCTCGAGGAACAAGCCATAGCCTTTGTGCCATTCCTTCTGATGGAGAGGATAATTCATGACGAGTTGTCTGGTGGCGATGGAACCAGAACAAGATCTTCCCAACGACCAAACCCTTCTTCAACTCTTCTGAGGACAATCGACAAGGTCACGGAGTCCATAAAAAGCACCCTTGGATACGCAGCAGTGATTGGTTAATATATTTCGCATATATCTCAAACGGAGATGACTCCCTCGAAGTCCTCGCAGGCAATACCGGAGGATCAACTGATGGAGACCGCCGGGATAGCGATGAACGCTATATCTCCAGCTGATCTGTGGTTGAGAACCAAAGACCAGTCTCAATCAGAGTTGCCTGGGACTGCCATGAAAGCCGACACGGCATCGATTTGTGGTACAATTGCACAGTCTTACACTTCATCCAATAGCTCCAACTTTCGCTCCTTCAAATCGATTGGCAATCGGGCTAGACGACTTGCTGCGTCAATAGGCATACATTCCTGATGCTCAACTAGCTTGATCAACATGTGGAGGACGATCATCGGAGATTTGACACATCCATGGAGGATAGTTTTCTATATTGTTGGCGTTATAAATATTCAAGTGAGAGTTTGACAGGCCTGACAGTGACAAGAAAACTTCATGGAAACGGCCTGGTTGTCCTCGAAATGTATGATGGTTCTACCAAATGTGCTTCTCTTCTTCAAGGAGATAGCTTTCCAGCCGACTAGAGATTGATTCTTCCTTGGTCAACGACTTCTTGAGCATTGGCTTGTCACATCTCCGACGCTCTCATTGCTCGCGACCCTCTTTTGAGCAAGGTCTGCTTGTTCAAGAACCTTTGCTGCACCGTGCCATGGCTCTTTGGCAAGGTCTGGACGAGGCACCATGACATGTTTCTTCTCCTGAACCCCATTCTGTTGCGGGGAGCCAACCTTCGCCGGTGTCACTGCTCGAGATATATTGTCAAGTTCATCCCTCAAAGGATCTTGGTCGTTATTGGAGGGGTAGTCAGCGTGAGAGGGTCGTTGAGGGATGTCAAGCCCTGAAAAATCATGCTTGTCAGTGGTGCAGGCGTTCGAAGTCGGAGTCGACATGATGGCTAAGGCGAATGTTCTCCGGTTAGCGGCGTACCAGCATCTCTCCGGGGGAAATCCGAAAACAATATACTTACAGGGATATGGTTATACTATTTCTCTCTCTCTCTCTCTCTCTCTCTCTCTCTCTGTGTGTGTGTGTGTGTGTGTGACAACGCGCCTGGTATGATTCAAGACAAGAAGATGAATTTTGACGGAGATAGGAGGCCATTATATATACATTGTACCGGACGATTCAAGCGAGAGGCTCACAAGGCCTACCTTGCCCGAGAGACCATGGACGGGCTGGGTCACAACGCATCCAAATTCACGATTTCCTTTGTTGGACTCACCTACCTTCGCAGCAATCTCGGTGAACTTGACGACCAACCACCCCCGGTTGATCCTTGAAACCACACAATTGTTCACGTATCTGGCAAATCGAACTTTGTCGGGTCGTGTGTGTGTTATCACCCAATGGCTGTCAAGTTGCGTATCGACTTACAGTAGAACAAAAAGGACAAGCTAATTCGGTCATTGTGGGGTCTCGTGCCGGCGTAGTGCCCTCGTGAACGCTGGAGGTCTGGTGAAGAAGCTGACAGGGTACAGAAGATCAGGATTCCCTCATTGAGCAACCGCCCCCTTTCGCCTCTTACCCGAGCCCTGGCTTACCCCCCGGGGACCTGACGGGCCGGAGCGACTAGCCCAGGATCCTTGCGCCTACGAAGCCAATCCTGTCACAGTATCTTACGATGTCATGTCCATCTTCGCTTTTTTATCCCGGCCCGCAATGGGAGCGTCGCATCAGCCTTACTGCGTTGCTTGCTCGCCGCTAATTCAATTCGCAATCTTGCAGCACAAAAACCTGGCACACTTTTGACGCCTCCGTCGGCTGCATGCAAATGGTTCGGGGATGGGGCCTAGATGATTGCTCATGGGTTGATCCGGTTGGCCCTACGCACGCAGATTTACCAGACTTGGTAAGCGACATACGGGGGAACACACTCGCGTCAAGCTTTGGGTCCACATCTGCGTTGACGTCGTTTACAATGTACTCGTACTTTGTGATGAAAAAAAGAAATGTTACCTTGCTCTAACTTTTCTTCTTTTTCCTTCGCCCTGACCTTGACCAACTACGTACTTACCTTGCCCGAGTCAGGCAACCCAGACGATCATGTAGAGAGATGGTCTACGACTGTGGGAACCGCACTGCCACCCGGAGTACGAGAGCATGCATACCCCCTGGTACAGACCCGGCCCCACTACAAACCAATGACCAACTTGACTATCATGACTCGTGAGCTCATCGCTCTAGCACTTTGGATATCTCAAAATGAGTCCGACGCACCATCAACAGGGGAAGTAATTGGAAATGAATTGGATCCATCTGCAAGGGGGGCACATGGGTGATCGACTAGTGGATTACTTCTGTAGACGTGCAGTACACTAAACGACACCGATCAGGCTGATACGCAGATTTACCTTACGTGACACTCGATTATGCACCTTGAAATTTCGGGGTCCAGGAGTACAACAGGAGTTTAAGCGATCAGAGTAAGAAGAGAAAACAAAAGTGTTCGGTATAAGATCTCCACAAATGATATTGAATCTCTCAGCCTCGTGTGACAAAGCTGAGAAGAAGTCCCTAATTAGGAGGACCAGTACATGTGAATAATCATCGGCACCGGGCCGGAAACAAAGAACGGTACATATGAACCCTCGTACATGAGTCGTAGACATCAACCACGTTGTGTTGTCATTGGATGAGTGTCCATTCAATCGAAAACAATTCCCGATTCTTCCAACTCGTCATAGACCATTTTCAGTGCGCCACGGGGAGATTTGCCGTACATGACAACGACGAGAGCTTCTTGGACAATGTACCGTTCCGGTCCTCCTTGAGACGATGACGACGACGACATGTATTGCTGACTGTGCTGAGTAGTGGTGGTTGTGGTGGTGGTGCGGCTCCGAGGCAAGAGACACTCGACGGCGACGGCCATGCAGTCGAGACCGTAGTGGGCGATTCGCAGGCCGAGTTTCCACGACGGGATGCCACGATCTTTGGCGATTTCTTCCAGACTCTTTCCGCGGGTGAGGTCTTGGATGATACTCTCGGTTTCTTCGATTTGGGCCAAGAGACACCCTCGTTTTTCCTTCTCGGCGGCATTCATGGTGGGAGTGGGACTGGGAGGTGGCGTGGGCATGGTGTCTCTGGTTGGAGTCGTGACTGGAGTCGTAACCGGAGTTTCTTGCATCTTTTCTTTTACTCAAAAGAAGAAACAAAAAGAAAAAACGTTGGAGTGATGTGATGTGAGATATTTGGTCCCCGTTTCCAAGTGCTTCAAAGCTGATCAAGGTTGCTGGTTGTGTGTGTGAAGACAGAAGGAAAAAAATGTGGGATCAGAGTTGCATGAGAAAAGAAGAGTGTTTTATATAGCATTCGCTGATGATGATTCGAGAAACAAACTGAATGTCTGGAAGCACTGCGGTGAATTCTGTGGTGCCATGACTTGTTGCGTTGTAACAACTCCACGACATCATGTTTTTTGATTTGGGTCAGGGATATCTCTTTGACATATGAGACTACAATAAATGTATTGAGAGTCTACTGTCTCGAAAACTGTAGTCGGAGGATAATTTGATGTCTGGTTTGGTGTATGATGATCTTGGACAAAGAATCGTCCTAGACCCAATTTCACGTCTCCACCAACTACTCATATGTCTTTGTCGCTTCTCGATTTCTCTGTGTGAATCATCTTCCTTCTTTCAAAGTACGTATACAATATATCTGAATCGTGACGAGACACTGGTCTCAATAAAAACAAGTTTCTGATACCGAAATGAATGACGAACTCTTCACTCAAGGTAGAACATCCCCTTGATTCCTAGTACGCTCGACATATATGAGACAAGATCAGCCTTGAAGGGCGAAAAGGTAAAGGACACAACATACGCGGTACACCATTGTCGATCCAAACGGTGGCCAGGGGGTGCCAGAGTGCAAAAAGCTCGCAAGTGATGGGCATCAGTAAGACGGTACAATAGGTGTAAAACGTGTCGGTGAGATTGCGAAATCTACAAGGAACAGGATTCGACGAGGTAACACAACCTGTTTTTGGGATTTTTAAAATTTCTTGGTATGATTTTCGGTTCTATACAGTGACTTGCACTCGGTCTATATTACTTCGCCGTTTGACAAAAGTTCAAATACATGGCCCATGCGAAAACGAGATATAATGGTCGAGTCTCGGACTCAAGGCCTCCAAAACGCCAAAGGAAAGAACAAAAGTGACCAAACGATGCTCCGCCACACCTGCAGAGCTCACTTACCTTTGTTTCTTCTCTTTTTGACTTACCTGTTGCGGTGCTGTATTTGTTAGTAATTGTCCACCCTCACAGACGTCAGTGCTTCGCTGAAGAGCTGGAATAGTAGCTGATCTCAATGTTGATCCGAATGTGATGCGCTCCTGATGAAGACGAGCCAGAATGTACGTTTCCAGAGACGTGTGGAGCTACATTCCGAGAGGAGGAAGATGACGAACCAGAAGGAACAACTGTGCCTCCCCGACGAACTTCTTGCACAGGAACCAATTGACCATCGGCGTCGTTGACATAGCGTTGTGTCGAAGTGCCTGAGGCGGAACGTGCTGAGCCGGAGCCATGGTAGCCTTGGTTGCGAGGATCGAAGAGCTCAAGTTGACCTCCACCGCCTCCGGTGGCAGTTCTTCTGGACGCCGAAGATGACGAGGCACGTTCGATAATGGTTGGAATAGGTTGAACAGGAGGAGCACTACCACCACCACCACCACCACCACCAGTTCTTCTCGAAGCAGATTGTGACTTGGCACGTTCAATGACTTGGGCGGTTTGACTGCAGCTTCCTGAACCGGTAGCGCGACGGCCAGCAGTGCCACCAGCACCTCGTTCTATATCTTGATCAGCAACAAATTGACGAGAAGATACTTGAGAGCGTCCGGATCCCCCTCCTTCTCTGCCTGCATTGCGCGAGGAAGAAGAGGAAGAGCGAGCCGCTGGATTGCGATGATGATCTTGTGGCGGCGCCAGGTAGTTGCCGTCGACGGTTTGGACTCGATTGCTGAGCAAGCCGCCAGGACTCACGTACCGATTGGTGTTGCCTTGATGGGTCGAGGCCGTTCGGCTAGCATTGGGATTGTCGCCATTCTTGCATGATTGACAGGGCTGTTCTGCGCGAATTTCCTTGTACAAAACTTCAAGAGGGCGTTTGTCTCGTTTGCTGCAAGGCGCGCCTGGAGAACATATTTCGTCTCGAGTTTCTCGGCTCACCAAATCATGACAACGGGGACAAAAGTAATTCTTCTTCTTGGTCCAACACATGTTGATAGATTGAAGATTCGAGAGTGGTTGGTCGGTTTTGTTTTGTAGGACTGCCTCGACTTGATTCGATCGGGTTTGAACTTGGGTTGTTTGTGTGTGAAAGTTGTAAAGCAATCACTTGATTGATCGAACTCGAGTTTCGGGTCCTACTCTGCAGGACAATGTTTGGTGAAGAACTCGACAGTTGAGCCCGGGCTTGCGCCCCATTTAAATGATTTTCTCGAGGAGATTCAGGAGCCGGAAGTCGATAAAGGTCGTGTAGTCCGAACAAGGGAGGCTCGAACGTGTCGTCCGACAGATAAAGAGAGCCTCAGAGCGAGACGATGCAGAGTGCCGTCGTGCAATTGATGATCTTTGTTCAGAGTCGCCGAGATAATGAAGACTTGTCAGCCATGAATAAAGACTCAACGAGTTTGACAGATACCTGAGAGGTATTGAGACAAAGAGTCACCGTGAGGTGTTTGTCCGATCACGCCCTGTTTCCTTTGTCATTACTGCGTCGCTTGGTGCAACATCACTGAGTGTAGAGTGGTGCGGTCACCACTAGTCATTCTCAGCTGACTACCTATACTTCACTTCAAGCTTCAAAAGATGATAAACAGATTCGGTCGTTGTGGTTATCAAAATCTGCTTGGATGGGTATGTCCATTATATTTGATGAGGTTTTCGGAAAAGGGGCCGAGCATATGGGGAGTTTCCCAAAGTCCAATTCCAATTCAAGAGTGGAACTGCACTGCACATTGCACGCTAGCACATACGATTTTACAGAGGCACGAGTTTTGATAGACTTGTTCATCAAGATTGAGAGATCTTCATTGCGACATAAAGGGTGCTCTTGAGTCGCGTTTGTAAACTCACAACTTACCCCTGGCAAGGAATCTTGTCGGGATATCGACGTATCTGGCCCGTAAATATTCCGCCGTGTTCTTCCCCAGAAAGTCCACGGTAGCCGTACTGGTGGCGCCTCTGTCCAGCAAGTTTCGGAACAAAAAGTGCACACCTCGCAGATTCGGGAGCTCAAACCTGTCGATCTCAATCTTTGGTACTCTCGAAGTGTCATACTCCTTTCCAAGGAGAGTCTTGATCGCCTCAACCGACAACAAGTTCTTCAACCACACATACTCATCCTCATTCCTGACCCAAAACCCACAATTGCAATCTGCCCCTTTGTCTCCGGAGCGGGCATTGACGATAGTCCCGAGTGGCAGTCTTTCTGTCGGACCAAATTTAGACAGATCAATCTGTAAACCAGCCATGGCCTGGCTGGGCTGTCTCGCGGGGAAAACTTTGGATACGGTCGGTGGTGGGATCAATGTCTCTTTGCCTCCAAAGTGCACCTTATGTGCTACCTTGGACTGGTCCAACAATGTCACGTAGTACTCGAAATAAGGCTTCGGAATACCCATGCGGTAATCGAGATGGAATGTCGACCCCGGATATCCTTGCATGATGTTGTCAATGATCGGTCTCAAGAACTTGGGAGGTGCGATGTCCTCTGACTTGCGTGCCTGTGCGAACACGCGAATAACCGAAGTCGCTGCGTTCTGGTTGTCCGCATCAGGCAATGGTCGGCCCAACATGCTGAATGACAGGGTTGTGAACTTGTCGGAATAGGGCTTCAGACCGTTTCGAATTTGTGCTTCGGTCATTCGGGCTTTCGCGTCGACGTCTAAACCTGTAGTGAAGTAGAATGCCTCGGCTTGGAAGCCTCCACGAGCAGTGAGGCCAACTTTGGTCGTTGGTGGTGGCGGAAGGCCTTGCACGCCGTGGAGAGCGACACGATCGGGCCCGAGCTGTTCAAACCAGAGTTGGTCCAGGACCGCAGTGACATCGGAGTTGAAGTACCACGGGCCTTGGATTTCGTAAAGTAATTGCGACGAGCAGGTATGTATTGACACCACGCCGGCCGAGTTTTTCTGCTTGGTGATCACCACGGATCCGGTTTTGGATATTTCGGCAATCGGGTAACCTATGTCGGCCCATCCTTTTGGCGAATTCTCAAGAGCTTTGAAGCCGCTAAAGTTGCCTCCGGTCACGTAATTGGAGCACTCGATAAGATGGCCGGCGACAAAGGCATTGGCTAATTCGGTCAACTGAGAACGTTGCCACTGGTGAAACCAGTATGCTGAGCCGATTACTGGAGAAGCGTCAGCAACACGCCCACAGACGACAATTTGAGCGCCTTGTGCAAAGGCTTCGGCGATTCCCAGCCCACCGAGGTAGGCGTGGGCGTATATCGGCTCAAATTCCCAAGACGACAAGATTGCGCCAGTGTATATGTTCTTGAACTTGGAAGAGCCGTCTTTCAATCCGGCGTTAATTGCTGGAAGCACTTCGTCGCCTGAGATCCACGCTACAGGGATGTTGAGGCCCTTCTTCTTGACCATCTCGCAGACAATCTTGTATAATGCTTCGGTATCGGCATTACCAGCATTTGCCGCCAGTTTGATGTTATATTTGGCAAGGTCCTCCAGCGCAGGCTCGAGAGATTCCAAGAAGGAAGCCTCGAAAGCAGGACCAGCGCCCATGATTGGATGGGGATCAGAATTGGAATTGCCTCCCTGGTCCACTTTCCGACCTGCTGCAACCGTCATGTTGACTTCGGACATAAAGTCACAAATAATAACATCGACAGGGTCTGTGGGATACGCCTTCGCAAACGCGGCAACGGCATGTCGACGGTCAGAAACAGAACCAGAGGCACCTGTGCCATTAGCTACGTTTCTTAAGGTCTTGTCCGTCAGTCCTTACCAGCAATTCTAATCGGTCTAGATGCCATGTTGACGATTGAGCGCTTCCTTCAATATCGAGAAAGAAGACTGAAAAGATCCACGGCTAGATAAAATGACACTTACAAGACTTGCGACCTACATATTAAACGAGGAAACGTCGCACGGAATGATATATCCTGCGATATCACAAAGTCCACGTCGGTTATCGAAAGTTGGAGAAGTAGACGACATTCCGAGGCTCGGTGATCAATCGAAGGCGGAGAAGACCTCACGCGTTCAACAAGGCTGAATTGACGAGGCTGCCAGGTCACGTGCAATCGGAGAATTGCGTGCGAACGGAAATTTTACAGGGAATAATAACTCAGGCATAGGCGAGGCCTCGATCAACACGTCCGTTTAGTACTGTTCGTATTCGTGTGTACGTAGTACCTGATTCCCTTCATGGGAATAGGGAGACTTTTCGTCAACATCGTTGAGCTCGAAGCCCGAGACCTACGCGGTCCATGTATGTGAGACAAAAAAGAAAACATCGTCTTGGTCAGTCTAGCTGACTATCATCACCGATTGCAATCTTGAGGATCCGTCCATGCTCCTATTCCTTGCCGACAATTGCTTCCAAAGGACACAACGTGCTTGTCATGCGTCGGTATCGTCGCTCTCAACCAAAAAGTCAATCGCCATGTTCTTGTTGTACACAGCCAACAAACCATCCAGCAGAATGATGATGGTAAGGGGTCATCGTGAAACGAAATAGAATAGAACTTTTGTTGACAAACACCCTCCCATACCAACTAATGACGCTAAAGTGATTGCACTGCTCACAACGACAAAAGAAACCGTATTTTCCCGCTCCAAACGGAAGAGGAAGAATGGACGAACGCCTGGAGTGCCAACATGCTCAATGTTCACTAGATCCCGCACGTCAGCCTGTTATACATCAACGAGGTAGGTTTAACCAACCTTCATCGGCGCATAGTTGCCGTACGAGTGAGCAGGAGGCATGCCCATTGAAGGGTAGATGGGCGGAGGCGGTGCAGGGCGGTATGGTGTGCCGGCCGGTCCCGAATTGTTCTGGCTTCGGCCCCAGCTGAGACGGACGCGCGAGTTCCCAATAGGATAGCCCTGCATCTGGTTGATAGCCATCTCAGCGGCATGGCGTTGGACGAATTGGACAAAGCCACAGCCCTTTCCAGGTGGAATCTTGACGTATGTAATCTCGCCAAAGCCTTGGAAGAAAGAGCGCAGCTCATCCTCGGTAACGTAGCCCGAGAGACCTCCAACGAAGACGGTCGTGTTGTTGGGATCGGTGAATTGGTTCATAGGCTGAATTGATTGCTGGCCACCGTAGTACGGCATCGGTGGTCCTCCCATTGGTGGATAGCCCATGGGACCAGCGCCGGGCATGCCACCCATGCCACCACCACCACCACCACCCATCGGTCCTCCCTTGTTCTTTGGCGTGGCAGTCGAGATGCGCATGGGGCGGTTGCCGCAGTAGACACCTTGCATTTCAGTCAAAGCGCGTTGCTGGTCACTTTCGTCGGAAAAGCGGACGAAGCCGTAGCCACGAGACATGCCAGAGAGTGGATCGGTCATGATCTTTGCCGACTTGCAGGAAGGGAAGCGGCTCTGGAATAGAGAGACGAGGACATACTCGTTCACTTCCGGGCCCAAGTCGCCAACGAAAATTGAGAACTCTGGACCACGGTCGTCACGTCGATCGGCCAAACCGCCACCCGAAGCCCAATTGAGTTTGAAAGGGCGGTTGGAATTGGGCATGGGTTGTCCGCTGAGTTGGAGGGCTTTGGCAGCAGCCTGTGGGGTGGAGAAATCGACAAAGCAATAACCGGCGTTGCTACTAACATGAGTTCAGAGACATGAAGGAATAGAGAGGGAATTTATCACGTACCCTGAAAACTTGTCGCGGATCATCTTGACACTGACCTGCTCACCCATCTGGAACCAAAGATTTCGGATGAAGTTTTCATCAACCCATGGTTCGAGCTCGCCCATCCTAGACTAAGTCAGTCTCGGAACGACGATATCAACTGATAGTCGAGCCTGCTTACCAGAGAGTGGTTTTTCCTTCAGCCCCGGGGCCAGATTGAGGAGTGCCGCTCACGTTGGGAGGCTGGAAACCGATTTGTTGCTGAGCTGAGGGATCGGCCGACTGGCCTGGAGCAGCTCCATCCTGTGGAGGAGGCACTGATCCGGGCGCGCCATCTTGTTGGGCGTTCGGGAATTGACCGTAACCTTCGAAAGACATGATGAAACCCGAAAGATCGAACTGACGAATTCAAATGTTGCAAATTTCTATTGTAAAAGAGTCAGTATTGGTCAGAAGAAGAGGCATTGCAACAATCCATGTTCTTGTGAAAGGACTCTGTTGGCACCTCGCGCGGCTGAGTGACACGTACCAAAGGTGAATTGAATGTGAGAGGTCACGAAAGATGTTTCGCACCGAAGTATTGAAAGTATTATGATCAAAGTTCAACAGCTTTTAGTGCAGAGAACAATATCCCTAAGAGCGATCTTGAAAGGGTGCAAGGTGCGGAAGCGGTACGAATGGTTCTTGGAGAATCGAATGTGAGTGAATATGTGAAGTCTAGGTGAGTAAAGGTTAGCCAGAGTCATTCACATTCATGTCAACCTGCTGCGCCAAAGTTGGCCCTGGGCAAAGATGCGAGCCGAGTAGAGATCTGCGTGCTTGCAAACATTCTCTTTGATTTTCCAGAAGCTGTCCAACGTTGTTCTTTGGCTTCACCATCGCTCTCACCAGCAGGCCCCTCCGGCCGCGGTTTGACATGGCCAAGCTGCAGTTTGTTTGTCGCATTGTGCCCAGCAATCCTCCTCTTGCCTTCAAGGTCTAGATGAATGGTGTAGGAAGAATGTCGCACGTACCGGATCAAATGCGCAGTGGTTTAAATGGGGGCCAAATCACAGCCAAAGCGACAGATTCGACAGGCAAACTCGAGAAACTCCGAGAGCAAAAGGATGCGCCAGATGTAAGCAGGAAAGCAAGTAGCACTGCAACACTAAGAAGACGCGCAGACAACAAGGGAGACCAAAATATGGGCGTGAGGTTGCGGGAATAGGTAGAGAGAAAGGAAGAAAGAAAGAAAGCAGGATGGTGGTGGGAGGTGGAGGAAGAAGGCGGATTCTCGAGTGAGGTAAGGTTTGGAGTTCTGTAGTGGGAAAAGGCAAGCGAAGGATGGTCAGTATGCCTGAGCCTCTGGGCGGGATGGAGACTACACCCACACAGTTTAGGCTGGCTATCGCGACAGTTTTGGCGTTCACCTCGGGGCTCTAGTTAGGCCCTAGTTGGGCACCTGCACAGCTGGCCACTTTAGCTTCATGCCTGGAAGTCTCGATATGCAGGCACCGAACTGCATGCACCTCCCACCTACAGTAGGGCTCTCGTACCCCCCCAAATCTTCACGCGTCTAGTATCTGCACCACAATGTGAAGGTTATTCCCTGAATTCTCTTCACGCCCAAATATTCATCGCGAAAACTCGGCGCCCTCGACACATACCGCACATGGTCCCGCTCTCGTCCCTCGCTTCGACTTGTCGTCCAAACGTGCTGACATGTCCGGTCATCTGTCTCATCCGAAGAACGCTATCAGACCGTGATATCCGTCTCTCAAAAAAAACCTACCCCTCCTCTTCTGTTGCCCTAACGAACTAGCAGCAAACTATCTTGTGCTCCCCCAAACTCGATCGAGCTCAATCTTGCACCAAAGGAGGCCCCCCGGAGCCCAAAAAGACAGCTGGTACTATTGCGCCACTATGAGAGACCCCTGTCAAAGCGCGATACTGAACAGCTATTTGCTCCTCTTCACCGGGCTACCAGCCCGAGCTGACTCCACTATTGGTTCAAGCTCTTCGATCGTGTTCTGCCCCGAAGTATCTCGAGAAGCCAAAATGAGGGACGACCACAGGAAGCCAGAGGAGTTGGGGAAGACCATGATGACAACTACACGCACGGGTTGAATCATCGCCCAAGAAGCACGCGGGAGCGGCAGGCTGGTCAAGGCCCCTGACTACGAGCTTGTCATTAGTGTCTGACACCTGCCACTCCTGCACGCTCAATATTACTGTATACTGTACTTGCGGACAGACATCACTAAACCGAAGCTGTTCGTTGTGTCGCAGAAGCTGTTTGTATATTACGCACCTCGTACCGGAAAGGATGAGCAAGGCACGAAAAAAGGCGATCAAGCCAATCAGTCAATCTACTCCCAATCGGTACAAATGACCTGCATATCCGAATCACCAAAGGACTGATCGTCCTGGCGCCGGTCTCGCCTATCGACATTTTGCCGCGGTAGCGAAGCCCCTTTCGGACGAGCTCGAAAAAGACGAAAGAGGGACCCCGGTTGGGTGGCTGGTGTCTGGTCTGAAGAAAGACACTTGCCTGGCGCCCCTGAGGCATGAATACACAAGGTGAAGAGTCGCTTTGAAGAACTTGGCAGGTCTCGATAGCGTAGACAAGAGCACGGGTTTCACAATTGCATGCCGCAAGGGCGGAAACCTCAACCGATCCAGGAAGTTCCGGGTCAAAGCTGACGTACGATAGGTTCCATTGAGCCTAACAAGCCTTTAGTGAGCCTGGTTGAGCCTTAGTGGGGGGTGAAGAATCGCCAGCTGAGGAAAGCGTCGGAAGTTTTCGCTCTCGTCCCTCTGCTTGACAAAACCTGCTACGGAGGACAGTAAGGTACGTATTACATTTTACCCTGTCAAAAGGACTGTAGTACAAACCTGGTATCTTCTAGGCACGAGGCTCTAGGCCCAAACAGCAGCCTTCTCGGCCCCTGTCCAGTCATCCCACACTCAACGGGGACAGCTTCACTCGGGCTACCGCTGTACTGTAGTTACTCCGCGAAACCGACGTTTTGTTCTCCCTGGCGTTTAGCCTCAAGCCACCGTCCCACAAGACCTTTCTTACGAGATGCATGCATGCTGCAGAGGTGCGCAATAATTCCTCCGACCCTTTGCTCTGCATTGAGTACTCCGTAGTCCAGCAACCTCTACAACAGTAAACCTTGGCTGAACTCTACTGCATGTACGTAACGTGCTCGTAGGGCTTTATTCTGGGCCAGAGCTGGCCATTATGCAACCCCCTTTTCCCTTTGACAACAATGATACATACGTGTTTGTTTGGCTCAGCATCCTTTTTTTTTACCATACACTGTGCATGCGACTACAATACCTACCTAGGTATGCCCTGGTCTCACTTTGACCACCTCGTCGGCCACCGTGAACGATTTCCCTCATCTACCTACATGGAAGGTGGACAAAAGGTGACCAACAAATTGCAAGTCATCATCTTTAGTAGATACCTATTCTTTTTTCTTTTTTTCTTTTTGCTGTTTCTTCTCGCCTTCACCGATGTGTTTGGATGATATTTTTGATCGAGAGACATGGTTATCTCCTCGTACTCGCTTCTCGCTCAGGGGGAATTCGATTTCGTAGTCGGTATTTGATGACTTTGTGGACTTTTGACATGTGTACAATATGTTACTGTGGCTTTGATGAGTTTCGTGTCGTCACAATTGACGAGAATCGCCCCCCCCCCCTCCCTGATCTTATTGTTTTTTCTGGTCTGCCAGTTGTATCCCCCGTCGATACTCTTACTCTCCGTACCATACCCAGGTATATTCCGAGTTGAACCTCGGGAATTACTTATCTTACCTACCAGACGGATGACCCCGGTGAATTTTCCATGTCAATAATGACATATGACAATCTCAAGGCTGGAATTGAGCCGCAACTCGATCATGCAACTCCTTCGAGCGTGCTTTGCATAAACTCCCCTACGAGTACAGTACTCCCTCTCTCATCTCCACTGGAGGCGTAAACAAACATACAAAACCAATACTGTCGACGTACTACCCTGTCATCTAGTCTTTCCTCATTCATGGCTTTTACTTGGGTAACTAATAGCACAATCGAGTCGGTAAGACCATCAAACGTCATACTACTCGTAACCGCATGAGAAAAGAAAAGTTTCCATCACGAGTTGACGTGCATTCTTTGCTTTATCTTTCATTACAATTGTTTTTTTTTCATTCGAAGTTACCTTCGCTATGTTACGCTGAAACCCCGCCGAGTTACAAAAAGAAAGAGAAACCAGCTCTCACAGCACTCGACTTCCCCTCTGTGAAAGGAGAGGAGATGTGATGCCTGGTAATGAAATCCTTCTACGTTTGAGTACCAAGCTCTAATAATTCCAGCCTGTTTTTCATTGATCCATGAGCTCGTTTCTTTTCGGTTTGTCCTGAGCTCCTTTCAACCCATGTCGCGACTAAAACGAATCGCTTTGCTGATGAAATCGGCACAACTTGATATTTCAGGGAAAGAGTTTTGATGTGCATATGGGCAAGAAAAGGTGAAAGTCCAATTCGAACCCGAATTGACAAATGCTTGCTTTGAAACCGACGAATGTGAAATTTTTTTTGGTTTTGGCGGATTTAGTACCCTGCAGATGAGAATACAAGGAGTATTTCATACTCGAGTCGAGGTTGCAGGTTGAAGTTGATGGTTGACGGTCGCAGAAGGAGTCGCAATCACTGGTGGTTTTCAACCGATGATGAATGTTTCCTTCCTAAGAACCGTCAAAGGCCGATGAATCTTTTGGAAGCATTGCATCTGTGCATTACTTTGCATTGTGATCATGTCCTGGACGATCACGCAACACCAGAACTTATGCCACTCAAGCCAGCAGGGTCAAATTTTGGAATGTTCAGTACCCATTTCTGAAATCTGGAATCTGGTTGTCCACGGGTTGCCAGGCCGTCTCTTTGGTAAGATATCGCACGTCCACGAGCCTCTTGTCCTTGGCACCAACTTTTTTGATGGATGCCTCTTCCTCAAACCCGAAACTTTCCAGCCACTCCTTCAACCAGATCGAGTAGTCGTCTTCTCTGTCGTCGATTCTGGCAGCCTTGCTAAAGTCTTTCTTTTCCTCTCGAGGTTTTGCTGCCTTGCGCTTTGCATCCAACCCGTTGGCACGGCCGTAGAGCGAGCCCCCCGCGTTAACCCAGTCCTTTGATGCCTCGGCCGCAAGATGGAGCCTGTGCTTGTGTTCAGGAGTGATTGGATTGCTGAAGCTGCGCACTTGGAAAATAATCTTGGACAAGTCACGACCTCCACCCGAATTGTACAGATGTCTGATCTCCGGCGCAGCATGGAAGTCGTAGCCACCCTTGTTGACGTGGCCACGGTCAGTAGCGTCGAGGAGAGCGTCCATAAGACACCGCCCCACGCCATTCTGACGGAAGTTGGGTGCGACATAAATCTCTAGCTCGGCCGTCGTAGTCTCAACATAGTGGGATGCTGTCCAGTCCGTTGCACAAGCCCATCCAATAATGTTCTCATCATTGACTACGGCATTGTGGGCGGGGTCGGTGTTTTGAATGGAGTGATCTGGGTTGACGCGATGGTTTGAAGGCTTGCGTTTGGCATTCTTCCGATTTCGCTGCACGGCAACGATGAAAGGAAGGCGAGCTGTGGTGGATATGTTGTGTCGTAACTCCATGTCATCTTCATTTATCCCCTGGAGTTCAGATGGACGAACCCCATGCTCAATATGCCAATTATAGATGCGAGTCATTCCAGGGTAGTCGCTTCGGACGGCTGGGCGAAGATATATGTTTGTCTTCAAGGGTTTCGGCTCAAACGGCTCGGGAGAGGCTTGTATTTCGGTCATGGTATTCTCTGCAGATACGCGCCGAGCCTCAAGCTCTGTTTGTTGACGCTCATGATGCTGCATAGTTCGGGTGACAAATTTGTCAGCAGTTTCTTCTCTGTATTTCATTGTCTCGAAATCATCCGTATCGAGAATGGTGACAGCCTCAAAATCTGGCAAAGACTCCAACTCGGGTAGCTCGCCGCCTTCGACCCATCCAAAGTATCTTGCATTTTCCTTGGTGAGTACTGTGCCTCTTGAGACGAAGCCGATGCCATCAGGATGCCTTGTGATGTCCTGCACTTGTTCGACAGGAAGCGCCTCAAACTCGAACTCAGAGCTTGAGTCCTGTAGTTGACCAGGCTGCAAAGAACAGCGAACCTTGTGCATCATTCGTACAGTATTAGCGCCCAGCCATCCCTCAAGGCCGCTGATGAAATTCGGGTTGCTGCTGTGATATTGAGCACGGCTTTCCCAGTCCACTGGAGGCGGTTGCATTTGCCCATCCCACCCAATAAGATCACACTTGTCATTTGGGGGCTCTCTTCGCTTGGCGACGGTGCCATTTTCGCCATCATTGGCCCAAGCCATTGGGGTGATGGAATCGTCATTGCTGGTTTCTGTGCCTTCAGCATTGCTGTCAGGGTGGAACGACGGAGGTTTCATTTCCCAGGATCTCGCCCATTTTTGCGCACATGTCCCACGACGTCTGCGAGCTGCAGAGGGTTGGTACGGAGTTTTAACCAGAGATGGCTGGGAGGTGGGATTTGTGTTTGTTTGGGCAGAGTCAATTTCGTCTGAAGAGTTATGAATGCCTCTACTTGTTGCCGAGTCGATGGGATTGCCAGACGCATCCGGAACAGCGAATTCTGAGGGATCATCAGCTTCTGCTCGAACATTGTTGAGACCTTCTGGAGAGAACGTTTGGCTGCCATGCACAACTTTCCACTCTGCGGGTTCTTTTGAGATGTGCTCTTCTCTTTGAGCATTGGGTTGACGACGTTTCGGTGTGTTTTGATCCTCCGACACTACTCCGGTGTTTAGCGGAGTTGTGCCATTGGACGTCATGAGATGTTCAGTGAAGGCTGGAGAGATGGGCCTTCGCAAAAAGTCAAGAGTTGCCAGTCCTGTGTTCACAGTTTCGCCCTTGGCCTTTCGTCTCATGCGCACATTTGCTTCCCGAAGACCATTTTCTTGCAGTCGTTTGATGACACTTTCTGGACTTTCCCCCTCTTGCTTCAAGCTATCATAGGTCGCGGCCTTCTTATCGCTTGCTCGTGTTGACATATTTTGTGCAATTCCTCGGTCATGTGAGCTACTTGGATGGGTCATCAGCTGTGCTTTTCCAGAATGTACATCCACCCAAGATGAATTTGTAGCAGCTTCTTTGCGGACATTGTTAAGTGATTTATCCTCTCTGGAGAAAGATGGGCCTGCCTGCTTCAAGTCCGGAGCGTTCGAGCTTTGACCTGTTTTGCGTACGGCAGGCGGCTGCGAGGGGTGTCCGTAGCTTCTCTTATCGAAGCCAGGTATGTCAATGGAACTGGAACCTTGAGACGACGACAGCACACAATGCTCTTGGGAAGGATTTGGTTCCGAAAGAGAAGCGAAGACCGGTCCCTGTTGCGAACTTTGCGGCGTCAAAGTCCTTGTTGCGATACAGGAAGTGGAAGGAGTATTGCTGGCTGGTTGATCACCGACCACTTTCCAGGCCTCTCCCTTAGACGAAGAGGTGCCATGCTTGTTGGAGTAAGAGGTTTCCATGTTTTTGTGAAGAACAGACCTGAGCATTGCGAGCACCGAGTTGGACAGATAACAAAGGCATTCAAAGGTAGGGAGGGTGGAAGAAAAAAGTTGCAATGTGGGTGTGAATGTAGAGGAGTAGATGTACCTTTATATCACTAGATATTCTCCTTGGCACACAGGAGGTGGGCGCGTATCCTGGATGTGAAAACCTGGCGACAACCTGGTGAAACGAAAGTGAGATTGAATTGATTTTTCTCTTCCACGGTCGCAGGCCATCAACAAGGTGTCATGATGTTCATCCGCTATCAGGGGCACAAAGCATATGCCGCGCCCGGATATCAGGAAGATATTGCCTTGCCTAGTACCAATGCTCTTCAACGCCTCCCCACTCGCGATCTTGAACGATGATAGAGGAGGAGGTGCTGGCATGCTCGGCTACTACAGCAGGGCTTGCAGAGTGTGAATTTGCATCTTCTCAGTTGAGATACACCTTCGCCTGCTAGGCCATTGGAAGACACTATTTGGTGATGAGACGTAAGGTCACTGACGGAATGACGAAGACATGAACCAGGTAGTCGAGTGTGAAGGTGACGGTGATACTTGCATCAGTAACGAGCCCTCGAAAGTGTCTAGGCGACCACGTTGTCTCAAATCTGCTTAGCGCCTGCAGCCCCAGATTGATGGCGCTGCGGCCTAAGATCTCAGGTACGCATCATTCGTCGTATCAGGCACACAAACAGTTCATGCACATATCCCAACGAGTCTCTACAGCAGACTTAGCGTCGAGAACATTTGGCCCATTACCCAGACGAGACCAACAGTCCAAGGTGCAGACACATTATGCAGCGCAGCTCATGCTAAGGGCGCTTTCCCGTGTCCCTGTCTACGAGACAATCACAATATGCTGTCCATACTTCGCAAAGCTCGCTTGAAGGATAAGGAATTGCGAATATTGATGCTGTACCAAACGTCTCCTCTCTTCGAGTGTCAGCAATGCTAATTCAGGAAAAGAGGATTGGATAATGCCGGGAAAACTACCATAGTCAAGAAGATCATGAACGAGGATGTCAACACCGTCAGTCCGACTTTAGGATTTATCATCAAGACGATTGATTTCCACGGGTAGGTGCAGTCTTAAACCCGGCCAGACATTGTCCTTCTAAGCAGTGCCAACCTACAGTTACAAGCTCAATATTTGGGACGTCGGAGGGCAAAAGACCATCAGATCCTACTGGAGAAACTATTTCGAAAAGACAGATGCCCTCATTTGGGTGGTAGATGCCACTGACAAGCTGCGCATAGATGACTGCAAAGCTGAGCTCAAGGGTTTACTGCAGGAAGAGGTCAGTCACCTTTTGTAAGCGATCCAGGACAACATGAGGTCTGACTGTTGGACAGCGTTTAGCCGGGGCGAGTTTGTTAGTGTTTCTGAACAAGACAGATGTGGCTGGTGGGATGGACGAACAAGAGGTCACAAGAGTCCTGGAACTGGAGAGAATATTGACGCATCGATGGGTGGTGGTGTCTTGCAGTGCCATGACAGGAAAGAATCTGGAAACTGGACTAGACTGGGTTGTTCAAGATGCCAGAGACCGGCTGTTCTTGTATTAACGAGGTTGCCATGTCTACTGTTCCTCTCTTGTGTCCGTACAACTACTCGTAGACAGTAGAACGCCATGTTTGAGAAGATACGAAACAAGTGCTTCATGAATCGCTAGGGACCCTTGCAGAAACCCTTAGGCCAGACGTTGGCCACTGCGTATCCGTAGATCGCAGGGACAGAGACACCGGCCAGATGCGAGACCGCAGGATCAGCCTTGGCCAGGGTCATTGAGGTCGAGAAAGTGGCTGCGATGAAATGTTCCTTACTCGAGAATTGTCGTCAATGTGCACCTAAATGAGTAGTATGAAGACCCGGGTTTGCATTGTTTACTCTCCCACGAGAATAGTTAGGGACTTCGGGAGTAAACAATTACGCCTATACGGAGTAAATGTGCGCGACTGAGACCCGCGCCCGCTGAGTTTACAAGCTCCGGACGAATCCATTAGCTGCAGTTGCGGCTGCGGAGACGCGCCCGAGTCTTTCACCTGCGCAACAAACAACATTGAACACTGCAGGAAAATCATAATACACACAATTCCATCTTCGTACCACTCCACACAATCTTTATCTGCATGGCTCAGTCGCCTGCGCCCTTTCTCTTCCTTGACATCCGTCCTCTGTATTTGTTCACTCCATGTCGTTGAGCGCCGGTCGTTCCCTAACAAACAACTCGCTCCTTTCGGCCTCCCGGGAAATGCTTGCGCCCTACTGCTGACTGCCAATCCTATCTATCTATCCTACGCCCAGATCCGACAATGAGCGCGTCAAACGATGGATCCGAGTCCGTGGATCAGTTCCTGGCTCGGATCGCCAGTCTGAACTCGAAACAAGGCCAGGAGGAGGCGGAGCGTTCGAAAAGAATGGAGGAGGAGATGATGCAAGCTAGAAAAGAAAGACAGGCGAGAAGAGCTGGTAGGGACGAATTCTTGAATTGATCTTAGCTGGTGAGATGTTAACGATAGACAGAACGTGCCCGTTCTCTGTCTCCTTCGAAAACTGGCCCCACGCCGTCTTTGCGGCTTGTGGGTGACACTGCAGCCAAAGCTGGCGCTGGTATTGATCCTCCAGTCGCTCTCACACCTCCGTCCAAGTCACAAACGCATGGTCGAGCCGGGTCCATGTCGCCCAAAGGAGGTCGCACAGCACTGTCGTCCGTGGATCTCTCGCGGTCCCTTCCACGTCCTCCTCCTGATATGCAGTCGATGCCGAGCCCACCTGCAAATGCCACTGCTCTGTCACGGAGTGGAACATTATCGTGGCAACAACGGCCGTTGTCGAGAGGGACCGGCTCATTTAGGTCAAGACCACAATCAATCGCGTCTCTTGCCGATGTCAGTCCGACCCCACGACCAGAACAACCAAGACCCTCCGACGAGATATCGAGACAAGATATTGCAGCTTCTCTGGGTTCGAAAGATCCATCCTGGTTTCGCCAAACCGCAGACAGAGGTCTGAATTCCGCTGCGTATCGGAAGAATGATGGTGCTACTGATGGATCTGCTTCTTTCTCAGGCCGGAGCATGCGACTTCCTGGGATGTCAAGAGAGTTCAATAACACTAACGAGCGTTCCAAGGCAGAGCCACAATCATCTACTCCGACTACTTCACCGCAGAAGCAGGCATCGACACCGACGCTAGATCATCATCAGACACCCGTTCTAGAGCCCTCACACTCCAGCAGACCAGCTTCCATGGCGGCGACATCCCCGGCTAGATCTCCAGTACTAGACTTGCCCACCTTCAAGCCTCTGGACCTAACAATGGGTCAAGATTCTGACGCACCTGGAGTTGGGCGCACTCCAAGCCTGCTCTCATCGGCAGCGCGCCCAGCCTCTCCCACGAAGGGCTTGGGGGGCTTTGTCCAAAGCGCAATGATGAAGAGATCCGACAGTGTCAGTAAGAGATGGAGTGTTCAGGCCAATGCTGGCTTGAAACGTGGAGATTCTATTGCTAGCGCCCAACCCGGCAATCTGTCCAGCTTCAGCCCCGGCCACAGTCGGAATTCCTCCAAGGATGCAAGGGCTTTAGTAGAGGGCAACTCTTCACCACTGTCAAGTTCAAGACCCGTTTCAAGCCATGGGTTGGATTCTGTGGCTCCTGCAAGGGGACGACCGCTCACACAATCCGATAGCAAAGAAGTTGAATCACACTCTCCGTTTTCCAAACCCGTGGAGCCATCGGAACCAACTTCTCAGCGCTTCAAAGAGCGACCGACCACTCCGCCACCACCCGAATCACCACTGGGCCGAAGCCCTTCCAAAACTATGGATCCTCGCCGCTGGAGTCCAACAAAGGCGAGCTGGCTGGAGAGTGCCTTGAACAAACCCGATTCTCCACGATTCACGCCTGCTAAACCTGAAATACCAGCGTGGAAGCTGAACATGCAGCGCTCAAAGCTGGAGCAGCAATCTCAGACATCGGAGGGGCCTTCGCAAATTGGACCAAAGCCTAAGGCTACAGCTGATCAACTACAGTCGGCATCTTTGGGGCCAGCATCACCACTTAGAGGTACTATCAGAGAAAAAGCAGCTCCCAACTCAACACCGCGGAGTGAAAGCTTAGACAAAAGCCTAGAAATAGCGCAGAATACCTCCGACAAGCCAGGTCCCGTATTGTCAACAGAAGCCGATGCCGAGAGAAAGGCTGCGAAGCCTGTTGTTCCGTTGAAAAGAAATGTCACACCTGTGTCGGCAAAGACATACTCTGTTGAAGGAAAAAAGGATGCCCCACTGAGCCAGGCTCAGACGGAGACATCAGAGAGCAAAGAAGACAATAATGTGGCTGAGAAGATTGAGCATAAACCTAGCACCAGACCGCTTCCCCCAAACCCCAAACCGCAGACTCCTCCCAAAACGGATTTCCGAAGCACCTTGAAGTCACGGGGAGCGACTCCAGGAGGCGGTAACGATGCCGAGCCTGAGTTCAAGGCAGTCTTTGGCAAACTAAAGCGAACTCAAACTCAGAATTATGTTGCCCCTGACGTCCTCAAGGATAACATTGCTAGAGGGAAAGCTGCACTAAACACTACTGGGGGCCCACAAAAGACGAAGCGTGTCGATGTTTTTAAAGAAAGTATTCTTCAGAAAAAGGAAGCAATGAAGGCAGGTGGAGGTTCGGCTGGGAAGCGGCCCGTGTCGGGCCCTTCGATAGACGATCCCACAGACTCAGTACCAGAAGCACTGGCGAGACGAAAAACCTTGCATCGGACGGCCGCTTCTATGGAAAAAGTCGACGCCACAAAAGCATCTGATTCTCCTGACTGGGCAACGTCAGTGGCTCCCACACCTGAAAAGGGCCCTAAGAAACCCCCAACGCTGAAGAACAAGATGTCTGTATCTTCTCACATCACGAGCGAGATGCCATCGAAGCTCAAAGATACTTCATTCGAGCAAGACAAATCAGAACACATAAAACCGATGCCTGTCACGGAAGCCTCAATTTCAACTCCTAAACGGGTGCAAGCACCGACCATAGGCGCCAAAAAGCCTGCAGAGGCTTTCAATGCTGCGCCGGCTCCTTCAGACACAGCCAAGGTGCCAGAAAATAGCAAAATTGCTGCACGATTGAATCCTGCACTCGCTGGCCTTCTGTCTCGTAGCGGAAGCCCAAGACTGCCAGGAGAGCAAGCATCCCAAAACAGCAGCAATTACCAAGTGTCGTCGGGCGAACGAGAATCGAGCCCAGGCGCATCAAACAATGCCCAGGAGTTGACGCATATGACCAAAGGTCGAGCAAAAGGCCCAAAGAGAAGAGTTCCAAAGTCTGGTCTGCCATCCAAAGAAGCCACATCCTTGAGGAAAGAAGAGATCGCAGAGCGCTCGAATACATTGGCCTCCAGTGGTTCTTCTGCAACAGGGGCTGAACTGAAGCCCGCCGCTCTGTCCTCATCGCGGTCCCTGGGCCTAAAACCTCTATCAACACAACCACAGTCCAAGGATGAGTCTCCAGAGATTCCTTCAGATGAAGCGAAGGCAGCAGTTCCAGAAGTGTTGCAAAAGCCTGCTCCTCCAGAAGCAAAGCCCAGAATCTTTCATCAACTTGACGGCGCTTTCTCCAATGCTCGTTCTCCGGCGCCAGACTCGACGTCAAAACCTCGACCTGCCGTGGCAAACAAATCTGCAGAAGTTCGGAAGGTGTCACAGCCGGCCACGCCTAAAAAGTTTGACGTTCTCAACGATCGTTCTCAGGCTGTAACGTCGCCTCCTGTGTCCAGCGGAGACAGGACGAGCCCCCCAAGTTCTGCACGACCTTCGGCCATGCCATTGACCCCAAGCAAATCAAAGTTGAACACACCAAAGGCCGCCAAAATTCCTACAGGAGGTCCGATCAAACCTGCCATTACAACTCCTGCTTCCAGGAGCCATGGACTTGGGGTACAGTTGGGCGCGTCCACCCAGCAAGTGGTTGGCACACCAGAGCTTACGCCGCCACCTGAGGCAGAAGTCGCTTCTGCTCGAATGCTTACTTCCTCTCGCAAGACACCATCACCGTCAAAGCCATCGCCCATAGTCAAGCCTCGGCTCCAAAAATTCTTCGGCGATTTACCTTCGGCGAGGGACCGGGCAGACTTCAATACGGAAGCTTTCTTGTCCTCACAATACACCAATGCTGAGAAACCGAGGACCATTTCAAATCAGATCTGGGAAGTAACAGGCGATGGTAAGAGAAGCCCAATGCCACCTCAACAGGAGCATATTCTATTTGAAGACTGCATGTATTTGTTGGTGCATTGCATGCAGTCTGCCAATGGCCATAAAGCAAATGAAGTCTATCTCTGGTGCGGAGATGAAGTCCCGGAAGCCAGCGTTGAAGATGCCCAATTGTTCTGTCGAAAGGTTGCGCGTGACAACAGTGCTAAGTTGCAGGTTGTGAAACAGGGCAAAGAGAGCTCGGAGTTCTTCCAAGCATTGGGTGGGATTGTCATCATCCGCAGGAACAAGACTTCGGCCCTGTATATGCTGTGCGGTAGGCCACATCTTGGGCACGTCGCCTTTGATGAGGTAGACCTTGTGACATCCAGCCTATGCTCGGGATTTCCTTTCCTCATTTCTGCTAGATTTGGGAAACTGTATCTTTGGAAAGGTCTTGGTTCGAATCAACAAGACGTTGGATGCGCAAGACTTATCGGCATGGACTTGGGCCTTACCGGCGAGATTGAGGAGGTTGAAGAAGGGCAAGAACCTTCCGGCTTCTGGGATGCGTTCCCGACCAAGTCTCCAAGACGGACGAGCTCAACGGGACGTACTGGAGCCACCCAAGTAAACACCCATTTACCCAAACTCTATCGAGTTGAGCACGATAGACCAAAGTCGTCAGGAGGCTTTTGGGGTCTCCGTCCGGCTTCGCCTCCAAAGCAGTCCAACTTGGCAGTCCTGGAAGAAATTGTCCCATTTACGCAGCAAGATCTAGACTCCAGTCATATACACCTGCTCGACATGTATCAGGAGCTTTATGTGTAAGTTTCCATCCCCAACAACAGGGTCGTTGCTCTACTGACGTCGGTGCGTACTATAGGCTCGTTGGTGATTCAGCCAAAAAGCCCGCAGAATTTGTGACTGCTGTCCAGGTCGCACAAGAGATGGCCGTTCTCGCGCCATCGATCCAAGACCGGCCCCTCTTACCTGCCTGCTATGTGATCATGGGTGATCCTCCTGAAAACGTCAAGAACATCTTCCGAAAGTGGCGAGCGGCTAGAACGGTGGACCCAGGCGAATCTATGTGTGTACCTGTAGCAGATGTACTGCAAGACCTTGGCATTACACTGTAATATTCTCTACATATTCTGTTGAGGGCATGAACGAATACGATGTCCTCTAAAAGCATCGTTCTCGCTTTACTTCTTTTCAGCGACCATTTGGGTACGCACATGTTTGCACACTTTACACGATGGATGAACAGATCACGGAGGCAATTTGTCGGGATGAGGCGAAACATGGATGGAGTTGAATTGCATGATACGATTAAAAGACACCACGCAGCCGCGTAACGGACTTGACGTTGGTCTCGATCTCCAGATGAAATCCTACTAGACTCATACGCGCAAGCATTTGCTGTAATCAAGATATCATTGCGGTCTGTACGGATAGTGTTATCGTGGTTACGATACTGGCGTAATATCCACCAGCCTTCCGTCGCCTGATTACAGCTATTGTACACACTGGATAAGACCTCATTTGGACGTAGATAAGCAAAGACGCGATGGCGGTCAGAGTCTAGACTCACATGTCGTGCTCCGACTGCGGATCCTGCGTACTTGGTGCTTACATAAACCGACATCGGGATATTTCGAACGCAGGTTCCGGTGTCGCGTCATGACTCGACGCCATCTTGGGATCCGAAAATAATTTCCTTCACCTCCATTTCCACCCAGTATCAGACTCGACTTCAGTTATCGCGACCTGGATTCTACCAACCCCCCCCCTCCGGCATTTTATCCATCATGCGCTGACATTTTATTCTCGAGCTCGTTTGCAGCGCCCCTGGAACGACCGGCAACATGGATTGGGCCGCCCCAAATGTCACGCATACACGTCCCAACACTTCTCGCCTCACAACACTCCCTGGCCCCACTAGCAACGTCAACCTGGACCCGAGACTCCAGCGAGAGTTGTCGAGGACCGATCCTTCAGTCCCCTTCAATCCAAAAACCAGGTACCTGCATCATACTTGGGCTCAGACATTCTTTTCACGGCCTGAACTGTACTTTCAGCCCTCCAGTGTGCCCGAGCTGCAAAAGATTGTGACACTCGCCCGCAGATGTCGCAAAAGGCTGTGCGTGACCGGTTTTGGTCATTCGCCCTCTGACTTGACCTGTACTTCCTCTTGGCTTCTTAATCTAGACAATCTATCCCAAGTGCTCGAAAAGAACGTCGACGGCACTCCAGGGCTGATTCGGTTTCAAGCTGGCTTGTCCCTGCACAATCTCAACCTCGCGCTCGCCGAAGATGGATATACCCTGCCGAATCTGGGCTCTATCGACGTCCAATCCGTTGCAGGGGTTATATCAACCGGCACTCACGGTTCCAGCCTCAAACATGGCCTCTTGTCCGATTCCATCACCTCCCTGACAATTCTATTGTCCAACTCACAGTTGGTCACATGTTCAGCGGCCAAGAACCCCGAACTCTTTCGGGCGGCGCTATTATCGCTTGGGTCGCTTGGGATCATCGTAGAGATTACTATGCAGGCTGTTCCCGACTTCAAGATCTCTTGGTCGCAATCACTTCATACACTTGCGTCGGTCATTGAGTCTTGGGACAAAGACCTTTGGACCCAAAAAGAATTCACGCGGGTGTGGTGGCTGCCTTACATGCATCAAGCAGTCATTTGGCAAGGCGCTAAAACGGACGCTGACCTACGACCTCCCAACACGACCTTCTATGGCGGTGCTTTCGGATACTATGTATACCACAATTTGCTCTGGTTATCGAACTCCTTCCCACGCATCCTTCCGTGGATCGAATGGTTCGTCTTTGGCATGCAATATGGCTTCAAGCCGGGGAGTTATACCATGTCTGCTGTTCAACCTGCTCGCGAGGCCCTTCTCATGGACTGTCTGTATTCACAATTCGTCAATGAATGGGCTCTCCCCCTCTCCAGAGGCCCAGAAGCTATTCGCCGGCTCTCAGCCTGGATCAATCATGATGATGCCGCGGCCGGTATTCCCATCTCCAGCAAGGGCGTCTGGGTACATTGTCCAGTCGAAGTCCGCGTTACACATACAGGACGTCTCAACTCCAAACAAGAGTCTGCGGTGAGACCATATCTCGACCCTACCGTACCTGACGGGCCAACTCTTTATCTCAATGCCACTTTGTACCGACCTTATGGTCAGGATCCCCCTTGTCACGAGAAATACTACGAAGCGTTCGAATATCTCATGCGTGAGATGGGTGCACGACCCCATTGGGCCAAGAACTTTGCTTTTACCGGGGCCAAAGAGATCAACATCCTGTACGGTAACGACATGACTGAGTTTATGAAGATTCGTGATGAGAGCGATCCTGAAGGGATGTTCTTAGGTGAGTGGCACAAGAGGAACTTGCCTCTCAAGCTGGGGCGGAAGAATGGCGCAAGTCTTGGTCTCATGGAAGAAGAGGTGCGCCGATCGAAGAGAAGCCTGGGGTGGGGATATGGTGATGGTGTCCTTTGGGAAGGCAGCATGATGGCTGCTGATGGGGAAGAGAATGAGGAGTCCGAGAGTCCCATCAGCAAAGGCAGTGATGGTACGCCGAGTCCTCCTGCCACAACTACAAGCGAAGAGTCGTTTGAATACATGGCTAAGGGCGAGGCGAGCGTGTATGCTACAGAACGTGGACAAGAGTAGCGGGAGAGGAAGAGGAAGAGGACCAAGAATGGGCCTTGTATTCGCCGCGCGACTTTCGTTTTGATCTCTGGTGGTTTCCTTTTCTGCATTTAGCTCCACGGTCGGCCTTTGACCTTCAACTTACCATATGAAAGAAACCCATGATAGATTTGTATTTGGGAGTTACTTAAGTGGAGTTTCTTTCTCAATTCTCAGGCTATACATGCTGCATGTTTATCGTGTATCACAGCGAGTGGGATGCTCATATCGAATCATGGACCTTTCTGCCCTTTGCTCCACCCTACAACCGACTAGAGACTTCATTATTACGGCACATCATAAACTCGCCATAAGGACAATACTCCGTAAGACCGTCGAAATCCGTTTACTTTTCACCTTTTACCAATCCACCTTCACTCGTTTCCCGACGATTGTTATAGAGCAGATGAGAGTTCTCGTCGTGCTCTCCTCGTAAGACGAAGCCTTGGATCGGGATCCTATTTCGACTACCATTCCAAAGATCCATGCACGATAAGGAGTCCCTGGCTATATCGTATCAATCCAGTTCTGAAGTGTAGTCACTGTCCGTTTGTGCTCTCCATGGACACTGCTACATCCCAGTCACGGCTCGACTTGTTCATTAGAGTCTCGGCAAGCTTCATCCTAGCCACTGTGGTATATGTAAGTTGTTTTTTTTGTTCAGACGATGTTTCATTCTGTAAATCATAGTACTAAAGACTCAAACCTCTTTCGACTCCTGACAGACAATTGGAGTCTGCATATACCGAGTCACGCTGCATCCGTTGGCAAAGTATCCCGGTCCATTCCTCAGCAAGATCACCGACTGGTCGATTGTTCTACAAGCGAGGAGTGGTGATCGACATCTGGACACGTGGGCCGAGCATCAGAAGTATGGTAAGTTCAGCGAGGCATTGAAAAGAGAGATGCATCGAGATTTGACAGGGCTGTCCTCTTAAAAATCGTTGTTTAATGGTTACAAGGTCCCGTTGTGCGAATCGGACCGAATGTCTTATCTTACAACACCACTGCTGCCTTGAAAGCCATCTACAGCAGTCGAAGGTCCAATGTGCGAAAGTCGGACTGGTACAAGACCATCGACGCCGGTTCGAAGGCGTTCAGCCTTCATTCCGAGATCGACGAGAAACGCCACGCGTTCCGGCGACGAGTGATCGACCAAGCATTCTCGGACACGGCCATCAAGAGTGACGAGGATCTTATTGTCAAAGACGTTACGACGTGGGTTGATGCGTTGGGAACCGAAGTCGATGCGACGACGGGCTGGACCAAACCGAAAGACATGAAGGACTGGTGTAACTGGCTCAGCTTCGACATGATGGGAGATCTCACGTTTGGCAAGGGGTTCGGGTGTGTCGAACTGGGCGAACATAGATTCGTGCCCGAGGTTGTCCTTGACGCCACAAAGTTTGTCTACGTTGTACGTACCCTCTCAGCCAATTCCTCCGTGATCTTGAACACATGGCGAGTATCATTCATTTCTTCGCGACAAGCCACCCAGGTTGTGGGGAAAAAAAGGAAACGGACTGACGGGGAATTTGTGTCGCTAGGCCGGGTTTTGGCCCTTCATCGACCTCGTCCGCCCTTTACTGGGCACGTCGTGGGCGTCGATTCTCTTCACCAAGGACGCCGCACAGGGCGAAGCTTACATCAAGTACGCCAACGGGATGATGGAGCAACGCATGGCCGAGGAGCGACAGTTCGACGACACCAAGGCGAGCAACCCCCGCCGCAAAGACTTCATACACCACCTCCTCCACGCACGCGACCCGGAGACGGGCCGAGGGTTGAGCGTCAACGAACTACACGCGGATTCGGCGCTGCTCATCCACGCCGGATCTGACACGACGGCCCTCACGCTCAGCGCGGCCACGTTTTACCTCACGGATCCCCGAAACGAACGAGTCCTGACGAAATTGACGACCGAGATTCGTAGAACCTTTGACACGCCCCGGGACATCCACTCTGGACCGGCACTCGGTTCACTCACGTACCTGCGAGCAGTCATCGACGAAGTTCTGCGTCTCGCACCGCCCGTGCCGTCGCACCTGCCTCGCCAGGTCCTCCCCGGAGGCATGGAGATCGAGGGCGATTACGTCCCCGAAGGGACCGTGGTGGGAGTGGCCCCGTTCGCCATCCAGTACAACGAAGAATATTACCCCGACCCGTTCAGGTTCAAACCCGAGAGGTGGATATCGGGACCCGACGAAGGCGTCGCGACCGCACGTGCGGCTTTTTGTCCCTTTAGCATCGGACCCAGAGGTTGCGCAGGGAAGCGGGTCGCGTACTTGGAGGTCAGCATCGCCTTGGCCACGTTGTTGTGGAGTTTTGATGTGAAGAGGGCGGCGGCGGCGGCGGCGGATGAAGATGGTACGATTACTACCACGACCGACAACAACACTAGCAACAAAAATAACAACGACAACAAAAACTCGAGACACGGGAACGTCAGGGGTAGAAGGGATTTGTATCAATTGTGGGACCATTTCGTGGCCGACAGGAAAGGTCCGATGGTGCAATTTAGAAAGAGGGTCGACTAGTTGACGGGGAAAAAATAAAGGATTTTTCTTAATTACAAAGAAAGAATATCCATACCTGTACACAAGTACGGGAGTATGTAGGTAACGGAGCACTCTATAGCGGTACCAAGTGGATTTTTACAGTATGGAGCATACTAGCCAAGTATTTACTGTAATTGATGTACTTGTACGGATACATACGGTAGTATCATGATATATCCTGAGCAGGGCGTGATTTTTTTTTTAACGTGCCGGTGATTCTTGGTCCTTCCTGGTCCCTGGTTCTTTAGTACCGAGTGATGAGATCCTGATCCCAAGGCCCCTTGCGAGACCTTTGTTCCCAGCCATTATAACGTCTGTATTGCTTTTTGTTTTTACAGTACCTGCCCAGGTACCTATACGGCATGACACCACTCAGAGTAGAGTACCATTCGTACAGAGTATTTATAGTATAGAATACGATACGGAGCACGGGTGTACATTGGCAAGTGCTGCTTACAACTTCCAGTCGCCAACCATTCCCTGGGACAAAACAAACCCCTTGGGGATTCAACCTGACGGGTTTCGGTGACTCGTGTGCCCTGAATAAGGGACTTGTACAAGGATACAAGGTCCGGATGGATGAGGAATACTGCACACAAGGAACTGGGATAGACTTTTTCTTTTGGTCTAGACCTCTCTACTTGCATGGTTCCCGGTTTCATCCTTCTACCCCGGTTCCTTGACATTATCCCTTCTCCGTAGTCACGGACACTTACTCGGGTGATTTGCTCCTTGGATGTTGCAGTACACGGCACCGTCAAGCACAGTCCTTAACGTGGCAGGGTCATTTTGCGTCATTGAATGCTTTTACATGATAGAGGAAGAGCGTCTCTTCTTACTCAACCTTGAAGAGACAATCATGTCTATGGAGATTGTCATTGCGACTTAATCACCATCTTGTCTATACAGGTATCAAACTAAAATGAGATAGATAGAAAAGACTCTCTCGTAGGTGGTACGTGTAGATCAAAAACACTCTTCAAGTACCACCGGATAGGCAATGGACCCTCCAAAGCAGGTGACGGTCTCACAGGCCACAAAAACAGAACAACTTTTTTCTCCTTCTTTTTCCTTTTGTTGGCTCAGGATGAGACCGAGTCATGATCCAATGGACGTATATCGACAGGGACTTGGAACCGTTTTCTTCCCCCGATGATCCAGTCCGCGATCGCAAAGATAATGACAGCACCCATGACGGGACCACCGTAGTTCATGTTCGCCTTGGTCACTGGCACGGTGGATGGCCAGGGCAGAAAAATGGCAACGTAGACTCCGTAGCAAAAGGCGAAAAGGTTGATGGGTAGGCCGAGACCGCGCGGCAGCTGGAGGAAAATCTGTCAGTTACTGCCTGGAGTTGGGTTTAGGAGAGTCAGAAAAACTTTACCTTGAAGGGACCATAGGGCACGGGAAAGCCGCGTAGCTTGTGGATCATCCAAAAAAGGATAGGGATGAGGTAACTGAGGTACAAGGCGAGCGTATTGAGTGAGAGGATGGCGAAGAAGGCAGTCGTGCTGCCGATGTTAATAAGTTGTAAAAGGAGAACGACGGCGGTGATCAACAAGAGAGCGTTGAGAGGAATTCGCAAGGTCGGGTGGACGTGGCCGAAGAAATTGGAAAATGGGAGACCCTTGTCTCTGGCAAAGGCCCAAGTAAGACGCGAAACCGACGCCAAACTGGAGAAGACGGCGACGACACCAATGAAGATGAGGAACGTCATGAGGACAGTGGTGGCTGCGGCACTGCCGGTCGAATTGTAGAGGATTTGGATGATGGGGTAGCCGGTCGGAGTTTGGGAAACTGTGATCGGGTCGCCGATGCAGAATAGGACTGTGATGATGAACCCGAATGCCATGATGCCGTTGCTAATTTGGTTTGTTAGAAACCTGATGGATGGAGGCACAAAAAGCATAGGATACAGGGAAGACTTACATCAAAACCGACAGAACCATACTCGTAGGGACTACCTTGGGGGCATTCTTAACTTCTGCAGCCACTGTAAAGAAGGTGAGCAAGTGTTTCAAGAACGACGACGCCTCCATGTTCAACCGCTGACACTGTCAAGTGGCATGGAAACAAATCAGGAGGCCAAAACTTACTGTGTAGAACACCGTCAAACCCTGCCAGAGGGAAAGCACCCGAAAGAAGTCCAATGCTCCACGACACACCTGCACTACCATAGCCACTGAGGCCGGTAAAGGTGGTGGTAAAGACAAAGTCGGCAGATGAACGAGGTGACTGGGATGATATCAGTGACCGAGTTCCGATTCCACCTAACGAATTCGACCACTCACCAAAGCCACAAGAACTACAACGAACACGATGAACAGAGCCACATGGACAATACCTCCGACCACTTCAAGGGGAGCCAATATTCTTCGAGCCCACTGTAAAACAAAAGCAAGTTAGTATGAGATACCCATCGCGGCGGCCAAAGTGGCCTAGTAGGAATGAAATTTCCCTTCACATGGTAAACTCACAATGTTGCAAATGAGCGGAAGAGCGAGAATGGACCAGGCGAGTAGGGTACCATGCCAGCCTTTTGGAACATATGTTTCTGGGTTGTTTAATGCGATCAAACCTTGGATCTGAGGACTTTGTTAGCCGACTGCTGCAATATTGACCGCGAGAGGTCGAGAACGAAATGCGCAAATGTTTGCATCACACGTTTCACAGGAAAACCCATACCAAAGTACCCTCCAAGTAACAGACTTGTGCGCAAAGAGCCATCCAAGCAAAAACAGTGATCCAGCCTTGAAGGAGGGACCAGAAAGCAGGACTACCGAAACCTCTGGGGGCATACAATGCCGACCATCGATACTGTGCACCGACCACGGGAGTGATCGATGCCATTTCGGCCAAAGACAGGGCCAGGGACAGTGATCCAACAAGACATAGTAGTAATCCCCAGACCAAGGCGGTCGGTCCTCCATTCAACAAACCGGCCTGAAAACTGGCGGCAAGAGCTTCCCATGATGACTGTAAAGTGGCGGGGAATGCAACCGTTGGAAAGAATGAAATGTATCTCTGTTCAGATATGTTAATTTATTTTGTGGTTTTGTTCGTATATGACGGTCAAACACGTACGTCCAAGGTTTGAGGCGTTCGAACTTCACGACCTTGTTGATTGGCGCCTTTCGAGCCGTATTCTTGCGCATCGGCATCAACCGAGCGGGCATCACTCTTCGCCCGATGGTTCAATTCCATGTCATTACCGTGCTGTGCCATAATGATGATGATAAATAGATCCCTACGAGGGGATTGCGCTGGAATGTCGTCAAAGAGGGAAGATAGGCAGAGGGAAGAGAAAGATCCCAAGCTGTGGAGAAGATCAGGGAAAAGATGATGATCGGAGTTGCCTCTCTCTCATCAATCGGCAAAGAACGTGTGCAAACGTGGACTAGATCCCCTGCACTTTCTCTAAACCCAGAGCAAGAAAAGATCAGCACTGAGGCTTGTCAATTTTGAGATAAGTCACCCTCGTGGCTGGGAGGGTTTGTGGTTCTGGATGACTGCTGAGTTTAGCCCAAAGTCGTGTGGACTGCTACCGAGATAACCTGACGCGATCAGGGTGACCACTGTGGACAAAAGATGTGGATGAAATTTCTGTTAGGAAAGTCGTCGGTGGCCGGGCTGATAACGAAGGGCTCGAGTCGAGGCCAAGTTCATGCACGCACCATGCCTCGCTCGGTTGGAAGCTCGCGATCGCCTTCACCCTTGACTGCTTGGGTCGGTAGCGAAACTGCTGCTAAGAGGCTGTATGAGGCTGCGCCATTGGGTACACCAAGCATTCTAAGGCCGGGGGAGCCGGGGCCAGCTTGAGGCCCGTGGAGCGGTGACTCGGGCCGCGATGTTTCAATGGCAGAGACGGCTCTTCCAAGCCCATGAGGCTAAAGGCAAACCGGCCTAAATGTCAGTCAAGTAATTCGACAATTGGATCGGTGGAGTGAGGGCATACTGTGCTCATTGAGTCAATGTCCGGGCGACGAGCTGGAGGGACATGGGCGAGTAACTAGGGATCATTTGGCAAGGATTTTCCCGGTGCTGACCACAAAACTCCACCTGTCAAGATGAGGAAAAGAGAGGTGCTACTGTAAGGGGATGGGTATGGATGGTGGTGTTGTTGGCGATACGCAGCCTGGAATGATGAGCAGGATGGTTAGTCAAAACATGGCGCAAACCTTTTCTCGGTGGGTGGCTTTGGTCTTCCCGTGTCTCTAGCGCCCAGTAAAGCGCCAGCGACGCCCCCAACCATGCTGCTTTCAGGGCACTTACGGGCGCTTTAGGGCTCTTCGCCCCTCGAGGTCATGCCTAGAACGTTCCCCTCCGGTCTGACCTTCATTCCGGCTTCTCGGAAATCCCTTCGACCCTTGTAAACATCCACATTCAGCACTGTAAAAGCCTTCAAGCGCCCTTGCATGCCGTCAACTACCGTCTAGCGTCCATCAACGACAATCAACCTTTGACGTGAGAGTCCATTCATCGTCAGAAAGTCAAATCCTGGCTGTCCCCGTTCCGCGACGTGATGATGGGATCATGCTGGTAGTCAAGCTCAATCCTCCACCTCCTGTGATCGACGCGGCCCCTACGTTTTGGTCCTTTTTTGTCTTGGAATCTTCTTACCTTTAGAGTAAAAACCTTTTGGCTGGGCCTTTGGCGAAACCGTTGCATGGCAAGGACGTTTCGAAGTCTGGTGTTTGTCACTTGTATCTTCGAGGGTTCTGAATGCCAACAACACAACTTCAGTTATACACACCATCTTTTCGGCTATATTGGATCTTGATTGATGTCCTGACAGAGAAAATTCCGTGGCATCCCTCGGCTGCTGCATCGAGAGAATGTCAGACATCAACCCTACATCACCTCCGTTCGAAGTCGCTTCGCCCAACGACCGGGGCGTATCGGTGTCTATTGTCAATGTCATTCTGATCATCTTTACTGGCATTGTGGTGATTTCCAGAGCCATAACAAGACTGACCATCACTCGCCTGACTGCTTTGGACGATCTCGCCATTTTTGCAGCTCTTGTACGTACACAGACTCTCAGAGCGACCCGATATGTCCGTGAGCCACTTGCTAACTAAGGTGTCAACTTGTGCGCCAGGCCTTTTCCATAATACAATGTATCTTTGTTCAAATTTCGAGGAACCATGGATTAGGCAAACATCGGGATAAACTATCTTCTCACCAATTCTTCGAATATAGCCGGGTACGTGCGCTGGCCTCGAATCGGCACGCAACCTACTGACAACTTGCTGTCCAGTTCAACTATGCAGGCCAACTCCTCACCATCTTCACCTTGATCTGTGCCAAATTGGCGGTTTCGCGCCTCATCCTGACCATTCGTCCAAAGCAACCAGTTCGCCTGGCCACTTATGCCACCGAGGGAATCGCCATCCTGTGGGCTGTGACGTCCATCTTCGCTCTCGCCTTCCAATGCGACGTACCCAACCCTTGGATCCAAGGCCCTGGAAGATGTGTAAATCTGGTAAGATCTCTCGATTGATGCTCGACGCTCCTCTCCAGCACATACGGACGAGACTGACCATTGACAATAGAAAGGGTTGTATTATTATGTTGGAATATTCAACCTTTTGACCGATCTGGCATTGGTCATCCTCCCTATTTTTGTAGTCTCCGGACTTCAGTTGAAGATGTCCAAGAAACTTTTTGTCTTTTCACTGTTTGCCACAAGAATCATGTAAGAAAGAACTCGCTCCTTTTTGGCTTCTTTGTACGAAGCGTCACCCTGGCGCGCGCGCGCATGTATCTCATACTGACAACATGGGCCGCGCACATGACAGAACCGTCGGAGTCATCATCGCCGAACTTGCCACTCTAAACCCTTACCTTGACGCCGTCAAATCCCAGAATGGCGACCAAACCTTCGAGATCGCCATCCCCACCCTCCTCAACCAGATCATGATCTTCGCGAGCGTCGTGACGGCCTGCGTGCCCAGTCTGCGGAGGGTGGTGACCGAACTTCAAACCCGGCAGACCGGTTTGCACGTCGACCGGGCCCTCGAACTCGCCTACGGATCCGGCAAGTACGGCAACGGTACGGTCCCGACGGCCAAGGGGTCGAGCTCGGGCTCGCACCACGGAGGTGGAGGAGGCGGTAACACATCGTCCAACGTCGTCAACGGCGGTAGCAGCAACAACAACGGGATCCCGTACGGGCACAACATCCACGCACCCATCGGGAACATGGCTTCGATATACACCTCCCACAATCGGGAAAAGACCACGGCAGACCACAGTCGCCCGTCGAGTCAGGAGCACCTGAGGCAGGACGGCAACATACATTACACGCAAGAGTATAGTGTAGCGACCCTCGATGACGAGACTAGGTCCACGCCTTCGGAGAGACGACAAGAGTCGGAACTCAATTGAGACAAGAAGGAAAATCAAGAACAAAGCGGAAGCGAACGCAAAAAGCGAAGAGAAAGTTTCTTTGGATGCAAATTGTTTTTGATTCTTGAGAATTGCAAGCACTTTTTTCACCTTTTTACGATGGATGCGCACGATTTCCCAGGGAATATGTACGGGGTGTACGTCCGTACAAAGGATATTGCCAGTCAAGGAAGCGTTTTGAGTACTTCGAGCCAATACTGGTTTTCCCCCTCAAGGACTCGGTCATCTTCGCTTGCTTGCTTGCTTGCCTCCTTCCATTGTTCCACGTGGCTGACCGCTCAAAGCGTTGCTGGGGAGCGGGGATGATACTAATAATATAGGTGTTTTATAAGGGGTATATGTACGTAGTATACAAAACTCAATCAGGCATTGCACTCTCGAAGAATTGACTCCAGTCATAACTCGTATTGACGTGAACGAAAGATTCCCAATCCATTGTCAATTCATCGTCGGACAAGATCCATCCTCCTCCTTCCACCGAACAACACTGTCCGAATGAAGTAGTACCGCCGAGATTAAATTCGACCGTGTTGGTTGTTGTCATGGACGACGTTTGGTGGTCCTGCGGTGACGATAATGTTGACGGCGATGACATCGATAAGGACATCGAGGCCGACTGTGGTTGTGACATTGACGATGGTGATGGATCCAAGGTCGGACGCAGAAACGGTTGTAATTGATTAGATTGAGACTGATCACTCATCGTCATCGTCATCGTCGGCACCCCTCCAGGACCTGATGATACTCGTGGCGAATTCTGCATCTGCGTCCGCAAATGTGTCGATTTGACCCCCCGGACTGATTTCGTGACCGTACCGATTCGAACTTTTCCAAAATAAGGGACGACGGCCTCAAAAGGTTCCGCGTCGTCGTATTGACCGTGACGAGCCTTGATGAGCCTCTCCAAAAGGTTGGACCCTTGCCCTGCTACACTGCAAGACAGCTTGTTCGCCACGTCGTTCAGAACCGCACTCACGCTGTTGACGAGTTCCCAATCTTGTTTTTCCTCTGGAAGAATAACGCCACCACCATCGGCTGCTGCCGCCGCTGCTGCTGGACGCTTTGAGGATGACGAGGATGACGATGTCGACGTCGAAAGCAAATCCACAACCAGGGTGATTGTTGCACTAAAGGCCAAAAAGTCCATGAGGTCGCAAATGACCGGCACGTCACCCGTGTGATTATCTCGCATGCCCTTGTAAACCCTAATACAGTCCCGGCACGCCTCCAAGGCCGCCATCCTACTCAGCTCGTACATTTTGTCCGACGACGTTGACGATGACGACGACGACGATGACCCTGAAGATTTTGTTTTGAACATGTACGGCATGTGCAACGTCTTGCACACACTGAAATAAAACAGTTTGATGGTTTGTCGACCGTGAGCGAGTTCAAAGGGTAGAGTCGTGTCGAACTCGGGATTCCACCACGACGAGGGCATTCTGGTCTTGCACCGTTCGAGGTCCTGGTCAATGTCCATCGTCACCGAGTAGTTGACGGTCTTGTGGTTCATGTTCCGATCGACGATGCGTCCCGCTATGATGGCCAGGTCGTGCATGAGTTGTGACTCGATCGTGGGGCCCGCGTATTCTTTCGCCAGGCTGGGATGGGAGTCCGAAATGGCGCAAGGCAAACCCAAGACGACCGACAACATCCGGTCGATGTGCCAGAGTTGTCTCCATATGATGTTTTGCTCGTCGGTCGTCGTCGTTGTCGTCGTCGCCGTGCCACGATTCTGAAACCCCAAGAGCAGCGCCGTATTCATGGCACGTCGGTTGGTCAGCCAGGCCTTGCGCGGTTTGCCCATGTCGATGCTGATCCTCATCTGGAGTTGCAGACACTCCAACAGGTCCTTACCTTGACCCCGAGCCCCAGCTTCTCCCTCGATCGAGAGAAGAGTGTCGGCGGCATTGAGGAAGTGCCTGATGATGTTGCCACGAGAGTTTCGAAGTTCTGATCCCTGACACGCAAAGTCCTGAGGGAGTTGGTGCATGCAGAGCGTCAGCCAGAGAAGGGCCTTGGCGATGATCAGAGGTCGTCCCGAGTTCAAAGAGTCTACGATGAAGTTTTGCGCCGACAGTATTCGAGGGGCGCCGGCTGTGGCTCCTTGGCCTGGTGGTCGCATAGGCCATATGCACCAGAACCGCTCACTTGCTTCGAGGACGAGTCTCAGGTCATCGAGGGTCGGAAGTATCGGTGCAACATCCTCGATGGCGGCCTTGATCCTGTAGTCCGTACGGAACGTCTGCTGTGGTCTGTCCTTACTATTTGGAGGTGGTCTTTCGATCTTCAAGGCATCTTTGAAGAGGTTGACCAACGGCGCATCTTCGAATTGATCCAATTCATCTGAGCTATCGCTTTGCTGGTCCGTCTTGGACCATTTGATGGAGCCTTCTTCCGTGGTACTCGAGACTACCACGGGATCTACCCCCAGCGCCGCCGCGGAAGGATGCTGCAGTCGCTTTTGACGCTCACTCTCCGTCTGCAACTGAGCCCACGCCGTCGTCTCGGGGTCAAGATTCACGGTGGTGGAGATGTGGCGCACCATGGCTTCCAGGCTGGCGAGCCTGCGCCGCAACTCTGCCTTTTCCGGATCATATTGTTGTTGGGCACCTTTTCTCTGGCTCGTGGGCTTTTGGGGCATGCATTCTACCCCGTGGAGGCTGCACGCTTCACACGCTCGACCATCGGGCGGGAAAGCACAACGTACCCTTCGCCGGCGGCACTCCGCGCAGCTCTTCGTGCCCAGGCGCATACGCTTGGGCGCATGACGGTGTTGAAAGTCGCTGGAGGACGCCGAAGTGGACGGTGTCATGGCAAAGATTCCTTCGGATTGGTGACAAAAAGTACTTTTAAGCGAGCTTAGCGGGGACTCGCCGTCCGGAGGAACAGAGGGATCACGTGAGCAGCACCGTTTCTGTGCTGTCGCATGAAACAACGACCACTGACTCAGTGCTTGGGTAATCAGAAGTTGCAAAGGTACGACTCGTATGATCAGCGATGGAAGAAGAGATTCGGACCAAGAAACCACAATTGTGCAAACCTCGAGGACCATTTGTAACGTCGGTTGACACGGATGCATTTCAGGCTCCGGATGAGTAAGAAAAGAAAAGCTTCGCATCAATTCGCACGAATCTAGACCCGAACAGGCAACATCCCGGATATAGCACGGTGAAGCACGTACCCCTTGTCGGCAAAGTCGAGCGAGATAGATGCGAGGTGGGTGGGATGGTGGTGGAACGAGGCAGAGGTGGTCGACCATTCATGTACATTTTGCAGGTGATATAAGTAGTACTCTGGATCCCCGCCCGCGAGAAGGGACTCGAATCACACATACCAACACCCAAGAACTTCGCTTCGCATTACCCTACTATTCGCACCGGTATATCATTTCTGAACACTACCAATCATGGCCACCCTCCAAGCACAACTTGACAACGTGGTCGAAAACTTCAAGACCCACGCCCCCGAACCGGTCCGCAACGCCATCTTCAAGGCCACCGACGACTTTGTGGCTTCTTTCGACCCAAAGGCGACGATCCAGGTGGGGGACACGCTGCCGTCCTTCACCCTCACCGACGCCGTCGGCAAGCAAGTCAGCAGCGCCGATCTGCTGGCCAAGGGGCCCATCGTGGTCACCTTCTACCGGGGCGAGTGGTGCCCCTTCTGCAACCTGGCGCTGGGCGCGCTGCAGAAGCGACTGCCCGAGTTCGAGGCCAAGGGGGTCACCCTGGTCGCCATCACCCCCGAACTGCCCAACAGCTCGCTGTCGACGGTGGAGAAGAACGCCCTCAAGTTCCAGGTCCTGTCGGACGTGGGCAACAAGTACGCCGCGAAGTTGGGGATCGTGTGGCAGCAGCCGGACTCGCTGAGGGAACCCTTTGCCAAGTTCGGGAACGACCTGAAGGCTCGCAACGGCGACGACTCGTTCGCCCTCCCCGTGCCGGCCACCTTGTTGGTCGACGCCACCGGCAAGGTCCGCAACACCTTCATCGACCCGGACTACAAAAAGAGGGTGGAACCGAGTCAGGTCTTGGAGTGGATCGATGCCCTCTGAAAATGCCTATCTATTGTCTGGTCGGCCAGAAGTGAAAATGACGATGAAGATCGAAACTCAGAAGAACCCTTTCGCCATGTGCCATGTGACAAATAATGAGAAGATACTGTTGAAGAGGTTGAAGAGGTAGTCTGCACATGTATGGACAAACTCTAGAGGAGCAAAATGAGCACTAGAATTCAATGATTAGCCAGAATCAAAACCCATCAATGAATCAATCAGCAATGAACATTCTCAACTAAACAAAAGACTAATCATTATGACTATTCGTATTACCGTAAAATCAATCCAACATCAATCTAAAACTCAGCAAAGACTCGCGCGCACAAAGATGGGGGTATCATGAAAAGAAACCTTGCATGCAGTGCTATACTGCACTGAGACCTCCTCCATTACCATTTATTTCCCTGGCAAGATCAATTTCTCCGCCTTGTGTGGTCCATCAATCCATCTCCCAGCTTGTGTCAAGGACTGAAAATCTTTTGACAAACAACCTTGCTGACCTTGATCCCCTTCCGCTTCCGCAGGTGACAGGTCATTTCTGAATTAGACGCGACTGCGACGGAACCATGGTCGTCGAGTATAACTGAAGAAACATGGTAAGTACAATGTTGACATCGAAGATGAGTGTAGTGGGTATCTCAGGCTTACGCTCCATCGGTGTGTCGGACCTCCTTGCGTCTCTCGCGGTGGATGAACCACAATCCGACGATGGCGCTGCAGATCCAGACGATGGCCGACAAGAAGCTAAACGCCTCGTCGGCTTTCCACCGTCCGCAATATCCTCCGTGTCGAATGCCGCTCCAGTCGAACGTGTCACCGCCGCAGTTCGTCCGACCGTCGACGTAGTTCACCAGGACGCCGAAAGCGGCGAACCAAGCAAACGAGAGGAAAAGGTCGACCGGCCAGTGGAAGAAGCCAGCCGCGAAAGGCAACAGCCACAAAAGGCCGAAGAGGATGGAAAGCGCGGCGACTATCTCGACGTAGATGAAGCGACCGAGAGGCTGGCCGGTGCCGCTACGGTAGTCGTGCAAGTACTTTGAAGTGACACCTATGACGACCTGTAATTGCACATTGCGTTTTATTTTAGTTCTGGGCTCTCTTTCACGCCGACGCCACATGTGGGTTTCCACTTACTCCTGCAAACGCGATCTCCGCGACGCGCAACACCATGGATACAACTCTTGAAATGACGGGCATCTTGAAGTATGCAATTTGTGGATGCCGGGGGAAAATGATCTTTGGGCAGTTGAAAAGGTTGTCCAAGAGACAGCAGACGAGGGAGGAAAAGAGGTGGAAGAGAAAGAGATGTCCCAATAAGACTTGAAGATCATTTTTGAAGTGTCACGGGAGTCCAGTATCCAGGTTGGCAATCAAGGTTGGTGTGTTTGCGTTTTGCAAGGCATCAGCCAAGTTTGAGGTGATGCCATCCATGCCCCTTGTACAAGGTCAGGCCATAACATTGGTCTTTTCCGCTGATCACTGATCGTAGTCACCAAATTTCACTTGGCGTATTTCTGGTCGTGAAGCTATCTTGACACCGACAATCACAGTGACCGCGTGACCGGTGACGAAAAGATGGTCGTGGTAACAAACAAACGAAAAACAAAAACAAGAAACATGGCACAGCCTGATTGGGGCGCTTGGAAATGATATCCTTACCTTGACCTGGGGCGTCTCTTTAGCTCCTTGTACTCCCTGCAGGTACTGGTCCTTACAGTGCAAACTCGTAGCAAGCGCGTGACTATCTCCAGCAAGTTCTTGGTCATGAATAGTCCTCACACAGGGGAGAAAATGATGATCGACTGAAAGAAAAAAACAGGTTGTAGAAAAAAAAAGAGATTGCAGGAAGGCGACGAGGCACGAAACATGGACGAGTACGCGCCAGCCTTTTCCGTGGCTGACGTCAACACAAGGCTGTAAGGCTGACAACCAAAGAGGACGCCGAGGAGATCGTCCCCTTGTTGTAGTCGAGAACTCCGATCGACCTACGTATCATCGATCATGCTTATAGCGGATAATCAGTGCCCAGCGGTACAGCGCGTACTCATTTGGTCAGTCACTCATGCATGATATGCTCTCATTAGCGACATGAATAAATGCCGATCACTCAAAATGCCACCCTCCACGTAGTGTCTGGCTCACATAAAAGTGGCCTCTATGTTCCTGCAGATGTGATCTAACACGTAAACAACGGATCGGAGGTATCCAAAAAAACGGCGAGCCTCCCAAAATGTCCAGCCTTCAGACTCCTGGCAAAGCATGCCTCCGGGTGGAAAAATGCCTACCCCAGTTAATTGCCCGACGATATAATTATAAAAACAAAAAAAAAAGCAAACAGCCTCCTTCGTGGTCTTCGCAGATATCAAATGAATGAAGGAGTCATCTCATCCATACTAACCATGTCTCTCCAGTCTATGCTTGCCCTACTGTTCTCGTCCAGGGCGAGATCTTGCTGTTTCCAGAGCGCCTCCACAATCGTCCTCGTCACCATAATGTTGTCAATTCGTCTTGCCACTTCCATTTCCTTGTAGGTCCGGAGTATTTGCAATCGTTGCTCGTCACTTCGTACTTCGCAGGCGACGACGAACAGCGGCCAAGGGCTGGTGCAAATTTCCATCGCGGCGATCAAACGGAGGGCCGACTCAACTAGAGCTTGAATCAATCGAGACAGCGACGACACTCGAAGAATTTGTCGACGAAAATATATGAGTGCTGCCACATGGTAGAATTCTGCAGTACGTTGGATCCGTACTTCGTCGATTTGGGCAGACGGAGCATCCTTTTCAGCCTGGACAACGATGGTTTGCGACAAATTTTCGAGTCGGTCTTGGATCTGATCCACGATATTTTGATCGTGCCGAGCCTGACCACGCAGCTGGTTGGTGCATGCGACCAGCTCCATTAGTTCCTCCGAGCAGCCTAGAGATCCGACGATCTGCGAAGGAGAATCAGACCCAAATCCAGGGAATAGCAGATCAGTCTCAACATACTATTGTCTTCTCTTCTGAGGACAAAGGAAGATTTACTAGATTGTCATTTTGCTTGTCTCGCTTCAGCTGCGAGAATTGCCCCAGGACGTCGTGGTATAAAACCCAGCTTCGCAGGAAAGGCGAAACTTCGTGCCGTGTTTTGTCAGTGCCATCGCTACTCAGGACACTTCCCATCAGACTTCTTGCCCCGCGGAGATGAATCATCCACATGCCGTCCGTTGTGTCAAACACTCCGTACACACAGAGAATCATGCACGCGGCGAGTTTTGCGCTCGAGTCACCTTCCATCTCTGTTTGCAATGACTCGTTCAGAAGTCGAAGTGCGCGGGCTTTGTGTCGTAACGCGTGACTGGGTCCGCTCACGTGGAAGGCGCAGAGGGCCAGAATACTTTCCAGCAGACTTTGTGCGGCCTTGGTCTGCTGGGACAGCGCCATCGGGAGGAGCTCGTTTCGAAATCCATTCCGAGCATCGTCTACGGTGGTTATAATTCGAGCTAATTTCCCCTCGACTTGGCGAAGTCAGCTTCACCTTTCATCAGGCAAACGACATATAGCAGATGCAGAACTCACAGTACGAAATCAGTCTGCCGTCATCAAGAGTGAAATTGGGGTTGGAAACGGCCGGTAAAGTCCTCGTATTCAGGCTCAGGAGAGGCATATGTGTCGAAGATTCGGCCACAAGGTACTGATTCGACAATGCAATATCTTGAAATGTCGTATTGAGAAAGTCTACGGCGAGACTAGGGAATACTTCCTGGCCGCGCTGAATGAGATGCCCGCTGGCAGCGGGAATTGAGGGCTTTCGTCGGCCATCGTACTTTTCAGGCCAGACTAATTTGATGCCGAAGCCGCCGCACTTTCGATTCGTTCGTAGACAATTGTTACATTCTGGAAGGGTCTTGTCACATCCAATTTTCCGGTCTGGATAGATCAGTTGGCCGGAGGACTGGTCAGTAGTTGGTAGTTCAGACTCACGCTTGCAGGTCCAGCAGGATTTTTCGGCTTTCATCATCTGGGCCCGGTCTACGGCTGCGAGTCCTTGAAGGCATCATCCGGGTATCGAACGAATCGTCAACAGCCGGCCACCTCCAATCTATTGCTCGAGAATCGATGGGACGTCGATCGTGGTGACATGTGGTATGATATTCGTGGAGATGCCGAGGAAATACGGAGTAAGCTGAATCTGAATCGAGAAAGGAAAGTTAAGCGAAAGATGTGGCGTCAGTATCAGATTTCTCTTGTGGTTCTTACCGCGACCATTGCAATCAATTCTTCCATTGTGATGAAGCAATTGTCCGGTTTTGGTTCGGCCAGAAGTTGGGTTGAACATAATTTTAGATGGTGCCGACGATGGGTCACATCTCGGCCGGCGGCTCTCGACTCGAGACGCGCCGGCAGCATGCCAATGATGGAACCACAGTCAGTCGTCTCTCACAAGTACGAGTACCGAGAGCATTGGTTTTGCTCTGATAAATATGTCGTCGTAGCAGAGGAATTTTCAACTCTTGTCAGTCATGAAATGTCAATACTTTCGCGTTCAGAACTTGATATACGAAATATCACTGCTCAATTCGCGGCATTCATCATCACATCCAGTGTGTTATCTCGTGTCAAAGGAGCCCCATGCCGAGGAATGTGAACCGGCTCATGACTGGCTGTGGTCGTCCGAAAAGCGAGAACATTGAAGTTGATCGCACATGGTCCTCGGGCTGCGTACGGCGAAGACCCTCTGTTTTAATAGAGGTCAAAATTCGACACGAGACTTGACGATCCTTGGGACTTCGCAGAGTCCTGCCTGTCCACGACTCTGCGAGAATTTTAAGACTATAAGATTATGATCAGCAGCACTATGGAGCAATTACCGGGCTGGCTGGCTGTCCGCTCGCATAAGTACGAGTCGTTGACCTAAAGGACTCTATATAATAGAGCCCCAATCCACATACCCAGGAGGTTGATTTCCGCATCTTTAAATCCTCTCACAAATCGACTCTTTCCGGATACCTGGACGCGACTTTTCTTGGTGATATAACACACCTAATAACAAAATCTTTGAGATTTGTCAAGTACCTCAGCTACGAATGAACACTTCCGGCGCGCAGGGACACAAGACTAAAAATAGTCTAGTGCCGATCGCAAAGTCCTGCCATCATTGCCTCTTCCTACACCCACTACACTCCTGATCAAGGTAAGGAGTACGAGTATTGGAAGCAACGGCGTTTCAGAGCGATCATTCCTCCCCTCATCTTCAATGCGATCGTGGGTATTTGATCATGGGCGATTTGTCATGGACACTCCGCAATTTTGATTCCCGATCGCCCTCCTGTTCCGGCTCCTTCTTAGGTATTGACCCAATAATCATTCATGCTCTCTCTAACTTGACAACTCGTCGGCATTGTTGGTAGATTGATCGAGCCGGTCATGCCACTGGCCTACCGTCCACGTTTAATATGTGAAGAAATAATCCGGGTGCTTGTTCCCAATCTCGTCGATCGAGACATTTCTCATCTCCGCCGCCTTTTCGCTGGACTGCTCCTTTCGCTTCTGAGCATTCTCGTACCGCAAGAGCAGCAGCAACAGCCCACAAAACACGGTCCCTGCAGCAGCCATTCCCAGTGCTGCACCATGGCCTTTCTTATAGTATGGCGGGTCGTTGTAGACCTCGTTCGACCCAATCGCAACGGCTTGGCCGATCGAGTTGATCAGGGCTGCTGCGCTAGCACGATACGTGTAACCGACATTAATCGTCGCCGTCCACGTCAACACGATCACGACGTTGGGATACATACCCATTGCGACAATACAAGCGCCGGCAAAACGACCGGGGGCCCCCTTGAGAGTCAGAAGGAGAATATACCCGACAGCGCCGATCATGGTGTTCACCATGATGATCGGTCCGCGCGTCTGCAGCTTGTCGGATATCCGGGCTGACAAGAGAATATTGACAAATGCGCAGGCATAGACGATCACGGTCATAAGCTGTGACTTGACGATCGACCACCCAAATGAACGCAGGATAGCGGGCAGAAAGTTCGACAAGGACGTCAAGCAAAACAGGTTCGCGGACTGGACCACCGCCATCAACCAGAATTTCGGATCGAGAATGACCCGCAGGATCAACTTCGGCATGATCTTGGATTCACCCGTGTTGAAGGCCTGGCGACTCCTTTTGATGATGATAGCCTTTTCTTCCTCGTTGAAATACAATTTTGTCTTCTCTGGTGTGGCAGGCAGGAATATCCAGACAACAAACGCCCAGCCGATCGGTACGACGCCTTCGATAAGGAACAACCACCGCCATGGATGCCAGCCGTTGACGTTTGCAAGGTTTTTCTGTACTGCATAAGCGATCAGGCCATTGAACGCCCCAGCCAGGGCGGATGTGGACCAGAATATCGCCCCCCGGGTAGCGAGTTCTTTGTAAGTATACCAGAACGACAGGTAGAAAACGGCGCCTTGAATGAAAGCCTCGCATGCACCAACAAGAGCTCGGGTGACCATGAGCGACGCGTAGCTATGCACAAGGAGTGTGCAGGCTGTCACCACCCCCCAGCCAAGCATGGCGAGACCAAACTGATATTTTGTGTTAGGGGATTGCGCTCAGTTTGTTTGCGAGATACTTACCTGCAGCGGTGGTCCAATCTTGCGGACCATCAGTGTACCAGGCAACTGAAGTACCAAGTAACCGACCAGGAAGATGCTTGATACGTGGGAATATTGACTGGCGGTCAATTTCAGGTCGGTGTCCAGGCCTGAGATTTTGGCATTGCCCAAGTCCGAACGTCCCTAGACATCGTCAACGGATACTCGTAAGGAGAGCGACAATGTCGTTAGAGTTACCATGGACGCAAGAAAGTAGACAGTTGCAAGCAGTGGTAAGACGATGAAGTCAAGCTTTAGCTTGATCTTGCGCTCACGCTTGCGGTCTTCTAGCAGCATCGAATCATTGCGCTGCGACCTAGAGTCCTCCACCGACTCCAAGGTGATGTCCTTATGGTCCATGATGATGTTGACTCCCTACTAGTGTGGATTGTCAGGTATAGTCGCGGTCAGGGAGCTTTTTGATTGTTCTCGAAAGTTCTTGTTGTCATTCTTTTGATTTCTCTGACAATATATAAAACTTCTCTTGCCAAGGACTAGCCCATGTGTAGGACTCAAGCACAAGGAGGCTATGCTTGAATGAAACGTAGACCAAGAGCATAGCCCTACATGTATAGCTCAAAAGTCCGCAAGCCTTACCCCATATTCTGCAGCGGATGTGGAGAGATGTGGGTCCTTTTCTGTGCGATTTTCGCATCAAAGCCGAAGTGGTGCGCGTTGCTTCCTACCTTAACAACAAGCCAGATTGCGAAAAACGCCTCAAAGCCGGCGTCTGATTGTAACTCATGCCGAGGTCTGTTGCCTGGCGAATGCCCCGAAGGGATCTCCGCGCATGTGAAGTTGCGATTCAAGTGTTTTGCTTGTAACTCTGTCTGTCTCGTTCCGTCCTGTCCATGGCTACGACACATTGTGATGGCAGCGTGGTGAGAACGCTAGGTCACAATATTAATGTCCATGTAAAAGTGTCAGAACCGATGTGATTTTCAGTTATTCGAGGAACATTCTTGAGGCGAAGCGCTTGGCATGTTCCAGGTATAAAGTCATCGAAGTCAGTCATGTGCGATGTATGTGCCATCCTCGGTCTCAAAATCGAGAGTCGAGCTGTTGAAATCCAGCAATTCCATGAATGACTGATTCCAAACATCGGAGGGAAGAGACGCAGTCTCCTCAAGCATTTCAGATATGGGTTTGGCTGGAGTTGAGTGGCCAGCGTCATCAGCTGTCAGCTGTGACTTGTCAGACGTTGATGTTGGAGACACAGGATTGAGTCTTTGTAGCAAGTGAGATTTCAAGTTGCGCTTTCCGCGAAGGTTTGCGGCAGCTATGAGGGCATTCAATGCAATCGATGCGCCTCCCCCGACCTCGATTTCTGCTCCAAGCTCAATTGTATCCGGACTGCCTCGGCAAAGCACTTCGATGACGGAAGCGGCTCGACCTGGCTCAGTGTATTGGTGCGATGAGTAATCCTGGAGTTTGGTGTGTACCATCTGAATTTTGCGACGAGACTCTGCTTTCCTCTCGGTCGAGGTGGATCTGTTGAGAACGGAGTATTTGATTAGCAAAAAGGTTGCGACCATGACCCCAAAGAAGAAGCTCTTGGGAAATGCAATGTGTTGATTCACCAGGCTCGTGTCGTAAGTGTTGCATGTTGGGGTTCCGAGATCATTGCAATATATATCAATGACGCGGTAGGCCGTTGTCATAGCTAATTGCTGCAATGTTGAGCACAAGGTGTCAGGCTCAAAATACTGTTTGTCTTTCAGTTGCTGGGTTTCCTTCACTAACGCCAGTGCGTACATGTGAAGCTTTGCCATCCAGAAAATAAAACTTAGATGGGAATCAAAGGAACACTGCAGCCGAGCCGTAATACTATCAAGCTCTTGATCACACAATTGGACGATGGTGTCTCGTGCGAAACTGTCCATCTCCCCGACGAGAGAGTCATAATGCTTCGTTAAGCACCTTAAGATTTCCGCTTCGACTACTAATTTCGTGGGCAAATTGTCGAACTTAATCATGCGCTTGATTGTACGGAGGTCGTTTGGGGTTCTCAAGGGCGGGGTTAATCCGTTCATGAGTGCAAGGCTAGGAATGATATGTTAGCTCATAGACTGCGCCCAAGATTATTTGACCTACTTAGTGCTCGTGATGAAGCACTCAAGCCAAGTCTTCGCCATTCCACGGCGAAAATCTGCCTGAAGGCTGACGAATGTGCGCGACGCCAGATCAGCAGCCAGTGGTAGTCCCAGTTGTGAGGCCGCATGCACTGCCATCACTGAGTACATAGAGCTGGGATCCTGTTGCTGGCGCATGACGGGCAGTGGCCATGTACAGAGGCACAACATCGCCTGGACTGTGTGGAAGGAAAGCGGTGTCTTCACTACTGTCTGAACCACAAGATCGGAGTATGATTCAACGAGAAGGTTGGACTTGTGGACGTAATTTCTGTTATATCTGCTGGCGAGAAAGATAATGGTCCAGAAAAGAAAAGGACTCGTCTCGTTGATAGTCTGTATTGGCACAGCGGTGTCTATGATCGGAATATGAGGATGAAACGACTTCTGGAAGCTGACCACGTAGGACTTAGGAATCTCGAATTGCTGGCTGAGAGAAGACGACTCACAGTCTGAATAATTCCAAAACCTCCACCTTGTCAAAAGAGCAACCACCCAACTCTGCATTGGAAAATGATTGGGTTGATGCGTCTTCATCTGCCAGTTGAAAGGGAGCTTCAGAGTGGTGTCCATTTGAGACCTGGGGAAGCTGTACATTCTGCACTGGGATGTCTTGGGACAAGGTCGTCCTAGCTGAGGGACTCCGGCTGCTATCTAGTCGATCAACGTTGGGCTGTGACTTGAGCGTTTGCTTTAGAAGCCGCAGTTCTTTGGTCATGGACTCAAGGCGCCTAAACGAATAGGTTAGTTATTTTCTCAGTAACGACAGCTGCGAACATACTGCCGGGCTGGTGTCCGTTTGAAATTCGCATCTATGGCACAGCATAGATTGCGCTTCTCGCAACGCGAACAAGGACGAGGGAATGTTTCATCAGCATCACAGCGAAGCTGCATCGACCAAGGTCAGCGTTTCTGCCGACCATCGGGTTCAACTAACACCCACCTTTACTTGTTTACATTCGGTACAAGCCTTGACAGGCCGTCGTCGAGCACCAGATGATTGCATTGCTGCATATTGCGTCGAGCCATCAGCATTGACTGCTCAACGCAAAAAAAACCATCGACAAAATTTAAAGATAGTACTGGCAAGCCCAGACCGAGGTGTACGTACTGACAGTGGCTTGTGCGATACGGAGTACGGAGTACTCTCAGACGACATCCATCTCTCCTCCTTTAGATTACTCACCCTCGGCTTACCTTCCGCTCCTGGAAAGGCGCATCCTAAGAAGAATCAATAAAGTCCATCCATATTACCATTCAGATCACTCAGAATAGAACTTTGGCTTATTCTCCCCAGACTAGTGGTGCTGATTGGATTCATTGTCCTTAGAGGATCCGTTAAAAGAGAAGGAACGTGTCATCTTCTGCTGAGGTAGAAGCATGAATGAATGATTTATATAGAGATGTTGCAGTCAAGGCTGACGCCTTCACCAAGTTGCCCAAAAAAGATCTATCATGCTCGGACTCCGTAAGGAAGGTCCTTGTCACTTCCATGCTGAGCTATCACAAAATATTGCTAAGGGATTCTGCATCGAGGATACAAGCAACGAGGTTTACGTTAATTTAGAACAGTATCACATGAAAGCGATATAAATTGCAAGTACTTATTATACTGGAAATGTTGATCTTCAATGTTAATTTTATTGAAACAACTATTCTAAGTCTCGATCGTGTTTTTGATTCTTTGTTATCATCTCCCAAAAGGAGGAAACACATCGTGATCATCGTCGCAAATCATACTAAAAAACTCTATGCCCATGCAAGAGGTATCATCCCATTTTTCCATTGTGAAAAACGCCAACGCCGTGATTGACATAGAGGAACAATCGCTCAATGCTTTTTTTTGATCCAACATTTGTGAGGCATTTAGTCGACCTCCTCAACGGTTGGACCATCATCACCACCAGGGCCACCAGCACCTGCACCAGGGAAACCACCTGGACCACCAGGCATTCCACCTTCACCACCAGCTCCGTAGAACTTCATCATGATGGGGTTGGCAACACCTTCGAGCTCCTTCTGTTGAGCCTCGTACTCGTCCTTGGTAGCGGTCTGGTTCTCGTCCAACCAGGAGATAACCTTGTCAATTTCAGCCTTCAGCTTCTCTTTGTCAGATGCATCAAGCTTCTCATCGACCTTGGAGTCGGAGAGAGTGTTCTTCAGCGAGTAGGCGTATGATTCGAGACCGTTCTTGGCAGAGATACGAGCAGCCTCAGCCTCATCTTCAGCCTTGTACTTCTCGGCCTCAGAAAGCATACGCTCGATCTCTTCCTTGGAAAGACGACCCTTGTCGTTGGTGATGACAATCTTGTTGGACTTGCCGGTACCCTTCTCAACGGCGGAGACGTTGATGATACCGTTGGCATCAACATCGAAGGTGACCTCGATCTGAGGAACACCACGAGGGGCAGGAGGAATTCCGGACAATTCAAACTTGCCTAGCAGGTTGTTGTCCTTGGTGCGAGCACGCTCTCCTTCGTAGACCTGGATAAGCACACCCGGCTGGTTGTCGGAGAAGGTCGAGAAAGTCTCGGACTTCTTGGTCGGAATGGTAGTGTTGCGCTTGATGAGAGCAGTCATGACACCACCAGCAGTCTCGATACCGATAGAAAGCGGCGCAACATCGAGAAGCAAGATTTCTTGAGTCGACTTGGATGAAGTGTCACCAGACAGGATAGCAGCCTGGACAGCAGCTCCGTAGGCGACAGCCTCATCGGGGTTGATTGACTTGTTGGGTTCCTTTCCGTTGAAAAAATCGGAGACCATCTTCTGAATCTTGGGGATACGAGTAGAACCACCGACCAAGACGATCTCGTGGACGGAAGACTTGTCGATCTTGGCGTCACGCAGGACACGCTCAACGGGCTCCATGGTGGAGCGGAAGAGGTCCTGGCAAAGCTCCTCGAAACGTGCACGAGTGATCGAGGTGTAGAAGTCAATACCTTCGTAGAGAGAGTCAATCTCAATAGAGGTCTGAGCAGATGAGGACAGGGTGCGCTTGGCACGCTCGCAAGCAGTCCGAAGACGTCTGAGAGCACGGGCGTTGGACGAAAGATCCTGTGGAAACGTTAGTATACGAAGTAAAGAATCAAGAGAAAAGGAGACTGCATACCTTTCGGTGCTTGCGCTTGAATTCAGTAACGAAATGGTTGACGAGACGGTTGTCAAAGTCCTCACCACCCAAGTGAGTGTCACCAGCAGTGGACTTGACTTCGAAGATACCCTCTTCGATGGTCAAGAGTGAAACATCGAAAGTACCACCACCGAGATCGAAGATGAGAACGTTGCGCTCACCAGTGGCCTTCTTGTCGAGACCGTAGGCGATGGCAGCTGCGGTAGGCTCGTTGATGATACGGAGCACATTGAGGCCGGCAATGAGACCAGCGTCCTTGGTAGCTTGACGTTGAGAGTCGTTGAAGTATGCGGGAACTGTGATGACTGCGTTGTTGACAGTGCCGCCAAGATAGGACTCGGCAGTCTCTCTCATCTTGGTCAGGACCATGGATGAGATTTCTTCTGGTGTGAATTGCTTGTTCTCGCCCTTGAACTCGACCTCAATGACTGGCTTTCCACCCTTGTCGATGACCTTGAATGGGAAGTGCTTCATGTCAGCCTGAACCTCAGCGTCCGCGAACTTTCGGCCAATCAGTCGCTTGGCATCGAAAACTGTGTTCTGAGGGTTCATGGCGACTTGGTTCTTTGCAGCATCACCGATCAGACGCTCAGTGTCGGTGAAGGCGACGAACGAGGGGGTGGTTCGGTTGCCTTGATCGTTGGCAATGATTTCGATGCGGTCATCTCGGAAGATGCCTACGCATGAGTAGGTTGTACCTAGATCGATACCTATGGACGACATGTTAGCATGCTGTTGTTGAGTCGACTCGTGGTCAGGTTGCGGTGTTGACTTACCAATGGCTGGAGCCATGTTGTCTGGAGAATTATGGAGGATAAAGGATCAGGAAAGATTATCTTGAAGAAAATAGAAAAAGGATATCACAAGAAGAAGGATTTATGTCTTCTAGACTGTGAGAAATAGTGTTTCAATGTGTTCTGTGTTGATGAGGATTGCAGAAGTGGAAGGCGCATCTGAGGCACGATAAATATGATTTTTGGTGGAAGGGCGAGGAAGGCTGTAGAAATTCGACCCACCAGTGAAGTTGCTGGTGGCCGGTTCACGACGATTCGCTGCCTTTCCACACACATGGAGAGGCTTCTGGGAGGTGCAGGTCAATGCACATTGCACCCACTACAATGGAGACCATTCTTACTTCTCATTCACTTGTGCAGAGTTTTCGCATGATTCTGCCGCAATAATGATGCCCTGGTTGCCCCAGCATTGAAAAATGAATGAGGGCAGCACCGGTTACGTCATCTATACCTCACCCAATTCACAAACTGCGGTCACCTTTACGGAATAGCTTGAGACTGACTAACGAGTACCCCGCGCTAATTCCTTATTGCTGCCAGCAAAAATTATTTTTATACGGGTACTAAGGAATTGTCGCGGTCTACCACTCTACTGTACAGTATCACTCAAGCTTCAAGACGACCATCACAAGCCGTCACTGCACGCAACCTCACCGATCTGGAAAGACTATGCCTACTCCCTTCTCCGGATGCTGTTCTGAACACTGTGCTTGATGACGAAGGACTCGATGGTCGCCCGTTCCCCATACTCTCTACTTGTGTCCCTCCCGGATGTTGACGGCTTCCTGCCCTTCCATTCTCTTCTCTTGTGACGTGACGCTTACTCCGTCGCTGCTGCAGCCATGGTCTGAGGTTGACTAGAAGGAAAAAAATATTAGCCATGTATCGGGTACTCATCAGGAGACATGTCATCATACAGTATCCCCCGCAGGCAAATACTCCCAACCACAACACCAGCTCGGATCCGTAAATGACCATGCCGAGAATATCCAATCTTGGTTGGAACAATACCGAGATCAATGAAGTCAAGTCTCCCATGGCGTCAATGGCCACAAAGATGAACGAGATGCCTCGGACTGTTCTTTCCTTGTAGATATCCCAGTAGTGCCGCAGGACTCCGGCACTTAAGAAACAAGCTGACAGCACGGCCATGAAAGTGATTGGCCATTCGGCATGGTTCTGCTTTGCTCTCCTCAACGCAAACACGAGGCCACATTCAATGCCTCCCATAGCAGCTGCCACCGGCATCACGATCGAGATGGATTTGGTCAATGGCCATTGGTTCCCATAGTATTTGCATTGGATCCAAGTCAAGAGGCTCAACGTCGTCAATATCTGAGGCTGTATCTTGAGAGCAACGTTGAAATTCTCTACAATGTTATAGATCCCCAATGGAATACCTGCACATGCCCACAGAAGCATCATGGTGGGTTGTAGACCCGTGGTATCATGCCGCCGATAATTGATGATGATTTGTGGAATGAGCTGTAGGGTACGAATTAGAGTCAAAGTCTGCTGGCCTGAAGATGGGAATACCATACTTGAACGGACCAGCATATTGCGCCCAAAACACCAAGGACATTCGCGGCAATTGGCACGTCCATCTCCAGCCACCTGTTTCTCTTGCGCGAAGCTGAGTTTCGCTATCAATAAGCTAATTCGACGGTCAAACAAGGTTGATAGCAGCAGCAACGGCCAGAAACTCGTCGGATCACGTGAAAGTGCGCCGGGTTTGCCATATTAGGATTAGCGTATTTCACGTACTCTGTACCTAATACTATGGAGGCTTGGCATAATTGTAGCCGCGACGACCTCCAATGTTTGCCCGTCTCTTGTGGTTGTTTGGTATTGTTTCGACTCTACACATTTCTCCTTTGGATTCTCTACCTTCCTTGCCTTCAAACATCCAGACATGTCAGCAAACGGCGAAACCGTGCCTGAAGGCGCGCCAGAAGTCACCAGCGAAGCCACTTCTGTCGGAAAGGGCAAAGGCAAGGCAGTCGAGCAGCCAGAGGCAATGGAGGAAGACGACGAGTCCGAAGAGGAGAGCGGCCCTGAGGAGGTTCGTTCATGCCATATTTCTGTTTGTCCCCTTGACCTTGCTAACAACTGTCACAGCAACCTGAGCCTGAACCTGAAGAAGAAGGTACGTTGGCCCACCTAACCCACCTCACCAATCCCTCACCGACACCTGCCTACGGTGTCGCATGACCGCGCGACTGTTGCGCTTACAATCGCAATACCAAGAACTCACTTTCGAGTCACATATCTAACACACAAAATAGAAGACGAGGACATGGAAGAGATCGACCCCGACAACATCATCCAAGGCCGCACCCGTCGCAAGCAAATCAACTGGGCCGAGGCGGAACAGAAGTCCAAGGACGCCGGTGACGAGATGGACGACGATGAGGATGACGACGACGAAGATTTCGAAGCCGAGGACGACGACGAGGAGATGAAGGGTTGAGACGAGAAATAGAAGACGCCACGCCTTGTCCGCCTCTTGGTAGTCGCATTCGCAATTCAACGTCTCTTCGAAAGAGTCACCACTTGACACATCACGACGAGTTTCACTGCCACTATCTCTTTTGGACAGCGTGTCCCTCTGACAACTGGATACCCTTGAAGGAGGTCAGAAAGTCTTCACACATCAAATCTGTCATACGCTTTACAACTTGTAACAATACGACCTTCGCATCGCATCTTTCAATATGACCCAGGCAGACCCGAAAGCAAGAAAACAAGAAAGCATCCCATCTGCCAGCTGAATAGTGGGAAAACAAAATCAATGGACTGGTTTTCGAGTTTAAGGGTTTGGTCCTCTGGACTCGAGTCTGCCTTGGATCGAGCATATTCGGGAGATCATAAAAAAGAAGAAGACAAAAGTCTCGAGCGCGCTTCCTCCAATGTGCCAGGCATGCGCTTTCTCGGTTGGTCAACCGCTCACGCATGCATGAATGTACTTTAAAGCCAGCATCAGCCATTGCGGGGGGTAATGAAATACACACAAACGCAAAAAAAGAAGAACGATGCGTGAATCCCTCAGTTGTTTATCTTTCCTTTCTTCCGTTTTCTCCCTCCTTCAACTTCCATCCGAGGTTCAAGTTGTAGTATACAACACAACCGCGGGAACGCTCTTCGATCCCAACGTGAAATCTGCACTGCATCCCACAGTGCCATCAATCGTCTCCTGTTCAACGAGAAATCAATCGATCAACCGTGACCTGCTTGGTGCCCTCTTTGCACCACCACAGATTTGTCTCTTGTCGCCATCGTCAGGAAGGTTAGTCCCCAGTAATGAATGCTCTTTTCCCCTGAACCCGTCGCAGGGTTTGTTTTCCCCTGTCGAAGACTTCCGTACAGAAAAGGGCAGTGTGGTACAACGTAGATGGAACGCGTCGTCTCTCTATTCGAACATGTCTAAAAGTCACTACACAACCCGCCCCCCCTCCCTCCCCTCCCCTTCCTTCCTTTCTTAAAAAGGAATCATCAGTCTAATCTCTGAATGCCCCTGTCACCGCTGTCGAGACATAAGCTCAGGTATAGATCTTTTCGTTGTAGAAATCTGCTATAGATACCTCCCCAAAAAATGGTCTGAACAGATAGCCAAAGTAACATTGTCCAGATCGACCCTTTTTGTGACAGCGAAAGCTCCTCGAGATCGACGATTTGCAGATCTATATATTGTTACAGCTTCAAAAAAAAAAGATGATATAGTCTTGCGCGCGCTCTTGTCAACTTGAGACTCCATATCATCCAGCCGCCCTTCGCCATGTTTCCCATGCTCATGTGCCCAGCGTGGACCAAATGCCAATACTTGACTCGCTATGGCCTTTCCTCACGCCTTGCGCTCCCACTACCCTTCTCTCCTCGCTCATTAAAATGCATGTTTGATGGCCACACTTGGTAAAAGTAAATATCAGCCAGTCCCCCCCTCCCGGCAAAAGATCAGATCATACAGTATCATTTCGAGTCCCTCCAGCTTCTGCCGCCGACGCAGCAAGTTCATTTTCCTTTTGTAGATCTTTTCGCCTCCTTGTACAAGGTGGGCAGCACCAAGTTGATAGTTCCAAGCTGGACCGGTCCTGTACGCCGAGCCCAGTTACCAATTCTGCCCCTGTTTCAGGGCCATTCGTTTTTCTTTTTCCTTTCCCTTTGCGTCGAGGCTTCCACCCGACAGCTTCTTCGGCACAATTGATGTGATATGTTATCCCCGGGGTCTCACATTCCGGGTCTACACAGTATACAGCGCTCTTTCTGGCTCGCGGAACGGGTGTCGAGCAATGGCCACACCTTAACGTTCGATCTATACTGGGTTGCAGCCGTTCATGATGTTGGACCCCCGGTGTAGGTGGATTCTGAGATTGTGGGGTATCGCTCTTTGACGTATCTGCCTTGAGATGGCGGCTGCTTCTCCGCGTCGGGGTCTGTGACCTCAAAGTCCCATTGTGACCAGCCTGCCTGGACGACTCGGGTGGAGGCGAAGCTCGGAATATTAGTGCATTCACCTCACAGATCGTATCATCATCAATGGTGGCGTGTTGTTTGAGTCGGTCCAAGAAATCCAAAAACACTTCCAGAAGCTCCTCATTGCCATGTTTGAGCCATGCTCGATGCTTACGCGCGAATCGCACGAGGGAGTTTGGAAGATACCTGGAATGTTCGAGTTGTTCTTCCATCCGATGTCGGTCCCATCTCTTATACAAATCTCGCTCGCAATCGGTCCAGCCACCGCGCCGGCCTTCAAAATCCAATCTTTCCATATGGAGCTCTACCTGCCATTCGTTATCAATCTCATCCTCGGTCTCGGACCGACCATCTTCACTCGGAGAGACAGGTCGATGGCTAATCGACGTGTGGACCAATTCCTGCTCCCCGTATTTCGACAATAATTTAACAGCCTTGAACTTCTTCCGCCGCGGTGTGCGGAAGTCAGGGATTGCAGTCGCTGGCTTGGGGAGTGGCAAAGGTTGATGCGCCGACTGAAGAGTTCCTCTGGATCCTTCCGGGCTTTGCTTCTTGGTTTCTGTCGAACCAACCCAGTCACGATCGCCATTTGCATAAGCAGGTAGATTGAAAGGTTTCGGTGGCGCCTCCCAAGCTATAACATGTTCGTCTCCCTTCTTCACTGTTGGCGGGTGATTAACCTTGATTTGAATGTGAGTTAGCTCTTTGCTGACGGGATCGCGCTGTGGCCTTTGTAGTTGGAAACTGTACTTGGCGTGCATCGTCGAAAGGTGAAAAACCAGGCGGTCCAGCTTCGAGGTCTTCCAGATTGCGCACAGTGGGCATCGGTAGCCCTTCACTGTTGCATAGCGAAATTTTTGTTCCACGGTCGAGCAGAAATCGTAGCACACTTCGGGGTGCTCAACAACGGTGGCATCCGCACCGTCTGTGCGACTCTTCAAGCCGTTATGGAACCCACTAACTGCTGAGCCACTGATACCGTTTGTAGACAGCTTGGCCAGAGTTGAGTTGCTTCGTTCCGACTCAAGAGCATTTGTTTCTTGGTCAGCATTGGAAGCTTTTTGTTCAGGCGTTCGAAACAAATCTAGATCGAGGCCATCGGGACGACGCCTCGTCGTACTTGATCTAGAACTTGACTTTTGCCAGATTGAGTCAACCTGAAGACCGTATTTTGTTCTGTAAGTGCGTCCCTCATGCAAGAAAAACACACTGAGGGCAGTGTCAGCTTCTGGGGCTTGCGGTAAGTGCGTATATCTCGCAACCACCGCGCCTTGTAGCACCTCTGCGCCATTCCTTTTGATATCCGGCGCAAAGTGATCGCCGTCGCTTTTGCCCAGTAGAGGTATGGGAGGCCACCGGCTATCAGACCTGCATGGAATGATCTTGAGCTCCAGAAAATAATTATCTATCAGGGCGAAAATCTCCTCATTTCTCACCAAAACAGACACTTTTAGTTCACTGGCCCTGATGCTGAACGGCTTTTCTAGTTCGACATCCACAAAGAAACCATTGGGCTCAATTTCTCTGGGACTGACGTAGCAGTACTCGGATTTTGAGACAAGTGGTGCGATGTTGTAACCATCGCGATTGTCCCATACGGTCAGATAGCACTGGCATTTGATCGTTTCACGCTTCTGCCGTTTAGAGGGCCGTTCGCCATCATCGTGTGCATTGTTTTTGAAGTTGAGTTTCTTTCTGATATTGCTCAAATCTAGCGTCAACTCAGCGTCAGGCTCTTCGTACACTTTGTCGGAGAATCCCCGAAGGCTCCGACGTGTCTTCCGCTCTGTTGGGTTTCTCCTGTCTTGCAGGGAAGTTTGTGCAGAGCTCGGCATGACTGGTAGACTCGAATGTGCCGCTAATGGCTCTTCTGAAGAATGAATACTGCTGGACACCACGCCGTTGGCTTCTGCAGGCCCAGCCGATGTCTCCGATGTCGCGTTTCTAGATCCTTGCGTGGGGATTTGGCAAACGTTTGTCGAAATTCCAGCCTCGGGTTTCTTAGTACACCTTTTCTGATGATGATCCAGGATTTGGGTAATATTCCGTTCGAGCACTATTTTCTGCCGAGTTTCGCTGCTTTGTAGTGCAAAAGTGAAATCCCCGACTAAGTGGCGCGCGAACCTCCTTTCCGGACGAGCAAGGTTGTGGCTGTAAATACGACTCATCATCTTGAGGGAGAAGCAGGTTTTTCCTCACAGCTTGCTGGTCCAACATCCAATTGGCAGTTTTGGCGATAATTTGACGCGCTCCGTTGTCATTTCTTCGAAATGACTTCTCGATCAGATGAAAACATAACTCCGTGAAAAGTTCGCCCGCCTCCGAGAGCTGTTTCTCGCAATGATAACACGAGTTCGATATGAAGAAGCCTTGCAGAGGTTGATATTTCTAGAAGCCTTGTTGACGGGACGCGTTGGTTGCTCTGAATACGCGCGAACTGTTAACAATGATCTCTGGTGCCTGAAGTGTTGGTGCAAAGCTTAGAACGGGGACAGCAAGAATAACGACAGCGTGGAAGGAGCGGGTCTTGAAAGGAATGACTGCATGAGGAACAATCCGATCAATCAAGGGAGGGGAGTTGAGCGTTTGCCCTGGCAGGGCGGGAAGTTCTGGTGAAGGGAGAAATCTACGGTAAGATTCACGGTACCATGTTTTAGTCTGACAAAGCCATTTATGTCATCCAAGACATAACAACGCACTGAAAAGGCCAAATTGAGAGATAAATTATTTTGTATGGCGAAATCATGATCTTGTTCGGTTAGCGGCGGGACTAATTATTGGCCAACGCGTCTCCTGGAATTCTGCTGACTAAGAACTTCACGTCCTTCTGGTCGTCACTTTACCTCAATTCTTGTATGGTACAGCAGCCTTTCAGCTTGGTTGGTGAGGAAATGAATCGTCTCGTGTCACTCATGCTTCTCAGCCTGCCTGTTTGATATGTTCAGGGGTGAGATTTTATCCGATTGAGTGAATGGATGAACGACCCAGAACTCGCAAAGACCATGTTATGATCCGCCTTAATAGATTTCTATTCCGGTGGCGCAGAGTCATCACAAACACACATTCAAGACTCAGCGTACACAACGCAGCCATCTCCTTCAAGAAGTAAATGAATGGGCGAACCGCGAATGGTGTTAGTCCTGGGCAACAAGCATCTTTGCATATGCCAGCTGAGACCGCCAGAGTCGGACCCTCTTTCCATAGATATAAGCGAAACAGTGACGACGCGAAGAGCTCGCTGGAGCTACCACTACTGTTCGACCGTGAGTATGTATGAGACTTTGTTGATCCCACTAAGTACTTACGTGTAGAAGAACATCTGTGGCCCTTGTGGTGCGACCGGCTCATTCACCAACACTGCAGAACCTCGACGAGTCAGCTTTGCCACCATGGTTTCTTCCAAAATTCATGATCGACTTACGAGAAAAACCATAGAACAAGAAGTGCTTGATGACCATGATGATGAGGAAGACATCGATGCTGATGCCGAAGTACGCGTCATTGACATAGCTTCCAACACAACCAGCCGAGAACTGGGCCCCGCCCGATGTTCGTATTGATTGATGGTTCATGTACCAAGCAAAAGCCAAAAACAACATTGATGGCAGTGACACTGGCTTGTTAGCTACTAAGGTACCCAAACAGGTAGTAGCCAAGGCTGCAGTAGGTTGAATTTCCCAGACCAAGCAAGAGTCGGAGCTCTTGCTCATACTTGCCATGGTTTCGACGGCTAAATCATTTTGCACTCCAGTCAGAGATAAGTTTCCGACTATGGCGCAGGCCAAGAAGCCAACGACAATTGTTAATAGGGGTGAATAGTTAGCTCTCCATCATTTCATTGGAGAGAAGGTAAGAATGATGTGTCGAAACTTACGCTCAGTTCGTGTGTATCCTAATTGCGTCGGGGTCGAAGTCTGATCGTATGGCGGAACTGAGACGATTTGTGCAATGATAAGCATCAAGCCGACCAGCCATAGGACTGGAAATGCGAGCGTGATCACAGCCCAGATCGTCCATGAGTTTTCCAGAGCTCCGAATGGTGTGAGTATGAAAATAAGGAGCGAGTCTTTACTAAGAACTCCTTGAGAAGATTTTAACCTTGATCCGAGCGATTGACCGGGCACCGCAGAGGATAACGATACGACTTCGGTGTGCTGCGTAATACTTCAGACTCTTGAGCTTCTCTGCCCTTGCGACATCATATCTCAGCACGATTAGACTTAACGTCGTCAGCAACCAGAGAACACATAAACATACTCCATTATTGGTAATATTGCTGGTGTCAATGGTGCCGTGTACATACACAGTTTCCTATCCGAAGGGAATGATGAAAAAGCAAGGCAAAGGCCAGCAAAAATAGCCAGGAGCCAAAAACACTATCGCCAGCCAGTGGTTGAAGCTAATGTACCCGCGACAAGAACAGGAATGTTGGAAAGCGAGTGGTAGCAAATGACGACAATGGCTGTACGCGTGGCCCGCTCATGGACGTTGAAGCCTTTGAACTTGGTCCCTTTCTTGCGGTTAACACATGATCCAAAGTCTGGATGTGTGAACTTGCTCCCGTTTTGGGGCCAAAAAACGTTCATTGAAGTCTGGATGTACATAATGTTCTGTTCTTGGGGCCAGAAAGATCATCGCTGGCAGGCCTCGTTTGGCTCACTCCTTCCGACTCTACTGCCAGCGGTGGAACGCTTCTCAGAGACGTCTTATCCATTCCTGTTTTGGTTGATGGCCATTGAGGAAAGACACAGCACGGCCAGGGAACGAGATAGGCTTAGAGCAGGGCTCTGCGGTCTAGGTCTCTATATTTACTGCCGATGCAGTGCCGCCGTCATTGGGTAAACCACCCAGGAATTCCACTTTCAGCTCGTAAAGACCTTCAAGGCCCTCTTCTCCTGCGCCAACAACGGTGGCTATGTCTTGCTCGCAGTCAAAGTACTTCCCATTCAGCACCTTCCCTCGGCCTGCCGCCAGGAACGCGCACGTCTGGGCGCATTGCGCCGGTAGACATTTGAAAGTCTTGTGGAATTTGGCCCACTTCTCTACTTCTTGCGGGTATGCCTCCTCAACGTCTGCGTGGAACGGGACTGGTGGCGAGTTAGGAGAGGGATTCTTTTGTTTTGAGGTCTCACAGCGAAATAACTCACGTCCTTCCTGACTCAACGTCGCCCCAGGGTGCAGAGCGTAGACATGAATGTCATCGCTGAGACCGTCCAACTGTAGCTCCTTATGGAGACACGACACCAACCGAATCAAAGCACCCTTTCCGGTACAATAGGATCCAGAGAATGGCATCGGCAAAGTGCCGGCGCGCGAAGCGATGTTGATGATGCACCCTCGACGTCGCTTTCTCATCCCCGGAAGTACCTGGTAGATACACAGTACGGCCTATATTACGGTTTGAGCTGTGTCAGCGATAGAGTCACTTGTACGCTGTACACAAGAGATGACAGCGTACGGCTTTTAAGTTCCACTCGAGGCCTTCCCAGAACTGTCGAAACGTTTCCATCGCCATGGGTCGCCGTGTGCCGCCACCGACATTGTTCACCAAGATGCTAAAGCCCAAAGAGTTACACGTCACTCTTGCGCCGAAACTTGGTAAAGGGGTTTCCACTCACTCGACAGGACCCAAGTCTTGTTCGACCCTGGCGAAGGTACTGACACAAGCTTCTTCGTCGAGGACATTGCAAGCGTAGGCTCGAGCCTCCACCCCGAGCGCTTCACAGGTCTGTCTTGTGTCTGCCTGGCGAGCCTCGTCAAGGTCCAACAATGCGACCTTGGCCCCAGATTTTGCGAGGGCCACCGCAATCGCTTGGCCGATACCTTACAAAATTTGGGAGGTCAGTAATTTCTAGCCTTAGAGCGGAAGCTCCACACAAGGAGATAACGGAGGTCGGATACGCTGTGTTCTTACCACGTGCCGCACCTGTAACGACGGCGACTTTGTCCTTGTTCGCCTGGCCGATTGTCTCTGGGGCGATGGCGGGATAGACGCTGGTATGGAGCTGGGGTGGTCGAGACATCATGCTCGAGGTTAGCGTGTTAAGAGGCTAGCTAGAGGGAAGAAATGCAAATAAGGTCATCCTTTTTCAAATATGCCGTTTTCATGGCTTATCTACATCAAAAACACTTCTCCAAATAGTCTCTGGCGGACAAAATGCGTCTCAAAGCGTTCGCTACGGTGATCACACGAAAGAAACACTAGCGACATGCGTCCAAGGACACTGGCGAAGGTCCCCTCTTGTGTATGCCGAAAAAGGGAAACCCTCTGTGGGGGCTTGAAAGCTCGTTGGTCGGCCGGGGTGGGGGGGGAGCCTTATAGGGCTAGTTAGATGCCCCAGGATGGTGTGGGAAAGATGGAGAATAGTTCGCAGGGATCCTGGACAGCCTAACATGCACTCAAGCCCAGGAAAGGACAACAGATAAATCAAAACAAAGTGCATGTGGGCGACTTGACGATATACTGGTGAGGTTGTCACCCGGGGGGAGACCAGGTTGCAGTATCTATTATATTGGATCTATTTGCGTCTGTCTCTCCACTGTGAGCTACGGGCCCCAATCTGTACACATGTCTCTAATTTTCTTTTGATGTATCTTGATGTCTCGCGTTCTCTCCTAGCACACGATTATACCCAGCTAAGCGAGATCCGTTGTAGTCATGATCCGCGATGCAGTGTCGTGACCATCTGCGGAGGATTTGATAAATTACAGTTTCTCAACAGCCTGAGTGGGCCAGTACTGTTTAAAGTCGTGCCTGGAAATGGATTGAATTTTTGTTGTCAGCAAAGAAAAAATTGATGCTCTAATTTTCAAAGTCTCGTTTCGGAGGCTCTCTGCGTAGTCAAAACAGAAACATCAAAAGAAAGCCTGGGCGGACTCACCCAAGGATATATGCGGACTCCAAGAGCTTCCTCCTGGCGTCGGATCCACTGTTGATCGTCCTGAAGAACTCGTCCTCCTGGACCGCCTTCTCGGGGTCAGGGGAGCACTCCCGCAACCGGCACGTGTTGCCGTAGCTGACTTTGTGCGTGACGTCGTGGTACTTTTGTCGTCGGATGTCGGCGTACTTGTCGAGAAGCACGTCTGGGCTTGGATGGTTCGGGTTGTCGCGGTCGAGATGGCGGAGGACGCCGATGAGGGTGTCGGCTAGGCCGGCGGCGTCGCAGATTCCAGTCGTGAGGCCCATTCCTGTTTTATTTGGTTAATGACCATCAGTTTCCGGGGGAGGGGGGAGGGGGGTGGCGGAAAGGAAGGGGGGTTTATACCTCCGAATGGCGCACACGCATGTGCGGCGTCTCCTGCCAGTAAGGACCGGCCTTTGCGATACGAAGGTGCGGAGCGTTGGTGAATGCGGTACGGACTGACCATCTCGATCTGATAGTCGTCTTTGGACAGCGGCTTGGGGCCGCGTGGGAAGATGGCTGCAAACTTGGCGTGGACGTTCGCCAGCACTTCCTCCCGCGTGAGATCTTCCCTTTCGGCGTACGACACCCGCCACAATCCACTGGGGTCAATCCGACCGATCAGGCAGAAGTGGTCCGGGTCGACGATGAATTGCGACCGCTTATAGCCATGCTGTTCAAACGGGTAGCGCACATTACACGCCACCAGCCACTGTGGGATAGTGAAGCCGTCATAGGATAAGCCGAGCAGTTTCCGGACGGTCGAACGTCCGCCGTCGCAGCCTGCTAGGTACTGTGCTGAGATTGTCCTGGTGCCGGTCGGGGTCGCTACTGTGGCGGTGACCGAGTGTCCGTCGCGAGCCTCTGTAATGTCGGTGATCGAGTGTTCAAAAAGTATCTGATGGGGAAAATGTGATGTCAATGTCTCAGTAGAAACCCCGGTCATTCTTGGAAATTCTCATTCCTGGGGGTGTAAATACGTACCCGTGCATTCGGATATCCAGTGGCATGCCGCTTCAAGATTTTGGCCAGTTCAAACTGGCCGCATATGACAGGGTCAAACGATCCGGGGATCCTGTCCTCGGGACGAAACTCGCCGATGACTTGGTTATCGACGTTGATCCATCTAAGGCGGAGATTGTGGTCTTCTTCGTCCATGCCGATGGAACGCGCATCAGCGGCCACGCCAGCCCGTTCGAGCTCGATAACGGCCGCAGGACCATAGGCCATGGCGCGCGGCGAGTTGTCGACATCCGGCAGGGCCTCCACGAGGACGACGTCTATGCCTGCTTTGGCCAGGAGAAGCATCGTCAAGAGGCCCACGGGTCCAGCCCCGACGACCAGAACCTCACAGTTCATTGTCGAATCGGTGGCTTCTGGTGACTGGACGCTGGCTTGCTGTGTTCGACCGGCCATTGTATCGTGCGAGGCCTTATCGTTGACTTGGGAAGAGACTCGTGGAAGCTCTGCCTTTGTTGGTGGACGCACTTCACAGGCATCGAGAGCGAATCTCTAGTCGGACGCCCCCTTTTGTTTGGGGGGGCTGATCTTGGTAACCAGACAAATTGGAGCACAGTACTTCCGCAGTAAACTTGTGTCCATCATTTTGACTCGGCTCGAGACTCCATCGTCAATCCACTGTCAGGAGACCCCAAAATTGGACACGGGACTCGCTGGAGGGGAACAGGCTGTACTGTAGTTCTTCAACCCATGTGGAGGCCATACCAATACGGTAAGGCTGATCGCCCGGAACAGAACAATGCAGGGCATCTGGGGTATCGCCGAGGTGCGGCATTGCCCCACGGGGAGCTTGAATACCTAGTTGAAGAGAGCCATGTGGTGGATGTGCATGGACAGTCTCCTTTACTCCACTGATCAGTGTGTATACGAGGCACCAGAAGTTTTGCCATCTTCTTTGGGTTCACGCAAATTGGAGACGACCTGATCGTGCTCCAACAGTAGAGTTTTTCACGAATGTAGGCGGGTGATGCACCTCGCTTCCGTGTACAGTATGCAATGAGGTTTACCCCCAGACGTGAAGCCATTATGGAGAAGAGCATGCTGTTAATAGCTTTAGCTTTCTTCCAGTGGCATGTGACTCCCCTCGGTGGGTTTGATCACTCTCTGTAAGTGGGGGGATCGTCTACAAGTGGTAATAACAAGAAAGAGTAGGGCAGTTAGTTGCTCCAAGTGGTGTGCAGACAGCCTCCAAAAAGGCCATCGAGTCGCTGCTACTATGCTATGCTCGTTCACTATTGACATCGACCTCAATACATGGTCATAGGTCAGTAACGCCAGACGTGTGTGAGATATCCCCGATTGCCAGCTATGGGTAGTATGGGACAGGAGAGCCGCGAAGGCTTGCCATTCAAGGTACGTGTACAACAGCACCGTTTTCACTGCCTATTACTGCCATGCTGATAGTGATACTATGCTTGTAGCTCAAGAATGAAAACCTCTTCCACAAAAAGAGCCACGTACATGGCGAATGGATAGAATCCATGTCAGGCGATTGGTTCAGTGTTGCAGGTATTGTTGCTCACTTTTTCCCGTGTTCACACTGTGAGGTATAATCACCCAGAAGAAGCTGACCAGCTCTTTTGTTTTATAAGATCCTGGGACGGGGGAGATATGGGCTCATTGCGTCAACAACACCACGGGAGACGTCGACCGGGCTGTGAAATCTTCCCACGCCGCCTTCCAATCGTACAAGAAGCTCAATCCGATGATACGGTCCCAGCTCCTGGCCAAGTTTGATGCGCTGATCCGTGAGAATCGCGAGGACCTTGCTCGCATGCTCATCTACGAAACTGGAAAGCCGTTTGCAGAAGCCTGTGGGGAGATTGACTACGCCACCTCATTCACCCGTTGGTTTGCTGGAGAGGCTGAACGCATTTCTGGGACCGTCCATGTGGCTGCCACACCCAACAGACGGGTGTTTACCGTCAAACAGCCTATCGGTGTGGTGGTGGGACTCGCTCCCTGGAATTTCCCTATCGCCACGGCCTTGCGCAAAGTGGCGGCCGCCCTGGCCGCGGGCTGTACCATCGTCGTAAAGCCCTCGCCCGAAACGCCGTTTACAACCCTAGCCTTGGCCTATCTGGCACAGCAAGCAGGGTTCGCCGCTGGAGTCTTCAATGTGCTTCCGGTGAGTCTCGAGAATACGCCGTCGGTCTGCGAGGCACTCTGTAAACACCCCCTCGTCAGCAAGGTCACGCTCACCGGGTCGACGCGTGTCGGGAAACTCATCACGAAACACTGCGCGGAAGGACTGAAAAAGGTCTCCTTGGAGCTGGGCGGTAACTGCCCTTATATCATCTTTGCCGACGCAAACTTGGAGCAGGCGCTGTCTCACCTCATGGCCCTAAAGTTCAAGCACGCCGGGCAGGTCTGCGTGACTGCCAATCGGGTCTACGTTCAAGCTGAGGTATACGACAAGTTCTCGGAAATGGTGGCAGAAGCCACGAGGAAGCTCAAACTCGGTCACGGAGCGGCAGAAGACACTACTATCGGGCCCGTAACGACACCCCAGTCCCTGGTGAAGATCGAAAATCAAGTCAAGGATGCCGTCGCGCATGGAGCAAAGGTCATCGTCGGAGGACAACGCGTGACTGATCGTGGTGGGGGGTATTTTTTCGAGCCTTCTGTTATCACGAACATGACCCAGGGCATGCTTCTCACTCGCGAAGAAACTTTTGGGCCTGTTTGCGGTTTGTACAAGTTCGACACCGAGGACGAGGTGGTGACCTATGCCAACAACACATCTCTTGGGCTCGCGAGCTACTTTTTCACAAAGGATGTGGATCGTACGTGGAGACTGCTCGAGAATCTTGAGGCTGGGATCATTGGGATGAATACTGGTAATTCAGGCTCAGCAGATAGTCCGTTTGGTGGTATCAAGGAGTCAGGATATGGTAAGGAGGCCGGCAGAGACGTAGCCGTTGGCGAATACTTGATCACGAAGACGGGGACTCTTACTCTGGAAGGACAATATTAGATCACGTTCGAACTCATAAATAGCGAATTTAATGACTATGTTCCTCTGTGGAGTGTTCGGTGATCACTGAACTGTTATGAGCTCAGGACAGATTCGTAATGTTGAGAGTGTAGCATTGCAACAGAGACGCGTGGGCGGATACTCGATCGCCTGAAGCTATACCTAACGCGTAGCCAACGCTTTTGGATTCCGGCACGTCTTCCCGCCCCAAGTATGATCCGAGGTACCCCAATTCACTCTCTCTGAAGGTTCCAAAGCTTGAGAAGTTGAGCCAACATCATCTTGGACACATATTGCCTGCTCGCCTGCCGCCACTGACCATTTGGGCGGTAGACACGTTGAGCAGTGACAGTAGATTTTGTCAGGTGGCGTAGATGCCTAAAGTGGACTTCCCCTAAAAAGCCTCGGGAAGTTCCTGGAGAAGTCGGGGACGGACATGTTGTAGACGAAACCGCCACATTGCCTTGGTGGACGGAACCACATGGCCGCTACCCCAGGGAGTGCTCGTAGTATTCCTCAAATACTCACCAGTGAGCACATGCTCACGCCTGGAGTGGAAGAACAAGAAACCTCCTCGTAACCCTATCTACCTTGAGCCCCCGTGTTGAACGCGAGCAGAACCATTTCGTTTTTCACATTCATCAGGCAAGTCCAACAACAATAAAGAATGGGAGCCATGGCACCACCTTCGACTTCTTCGCGCGCTGGGCGATTGGCTGGAAAGGTCGCCATCGTGACTGGTAAGTGCTATTCCATGAGCGGTACCAACCCTCCCCTTGTCACAAACTCTGCCAAACCTGACCTCTGCCCACAATGGCTGACGAGTTTTGTGCTTTGGATTAAAAAGGTGGCGGATCCGGCTTCGGCGCCGCAACCGTGCTCCTCTTCGCATCCGAAGGAGCGCGGGTCCTCATTGCAGACATGAACGAGGAAGCTGCGAAAAAGGTTGCAGCATCGGCAAATTCCGCCAACAATGGTTCCGTCGTGTATCAGAAAGCCAACGTCGCATCGCGGCAATCCTGGGTCGAGCTGGTTGAGAGAATAGAGAAAGACTTTGGCGGGCAATTGGACATTTTGGTCAACAACGCAGGTACCAGTTATCCGTACAAGCCGACGCTGGAGGTTACCGAGGAGGAGTATGATATGACTATGAACGTCAACTGTAAGAGCATCTTTTGGAGTATCAACGTGTGCGTGCCAGCCATGTTGAAGGCAGGTCGCGGGGGTTCAATTGTCAATACTGCTTCGATTGGTGCTATGAGACCTAGGCCCGGGTTAGTCTGGTACGCCGCCAGTAAAGGGACCGTTGCGAATGTGAGTGGTTTTTGGAAGGAGTGATAGACCCTCTGAATGCTGACTCTCCCGTCACTAGGCAACAAAAGGGCTCGCGGCAGAGTTCGCTCCCATGGGCATCCGCGTTAACTCGGTTTCTCCTCTCATCGCCGCTACGGGGCTCTGGGAAAAGTTCTCAGGTGTGCCGGATACGCCTGAGAATAGAGCGAAGTTCACAAGTGGCGTGCCAATGGGTCGTCTGGTAGAACCAGAGGAGGTGGCCAATGCGATCCTGTTTCTGGCTTCAGACGAGTCTGCCTTTATCGTTGGCGAGGATATCAAGGTGGACGGTGGGAAGACGATCTGATAGATCCATACAGAGATGTAACATTTGTGCAACGTTGGCACCATGTCACCATGTACCTTGCTGCATTCTTGACGACCGGCAGTACAAAGCCATGTGCTAGGGGAGATTTGGACTCAGATACATTAGATATCGAAAAGATTTCAATCGATTCGAATCGGGAAATGTCCATAACTCCGCTAAGGTCCGCACTATCCTCATTGTGATCATAGTCATGTCCTATCTTTAGAAGTAGGAAGATACTGAAAGTAGTTCAAAGCCAGCAAGAACTTTGTTTGAAATTCAACGCAGAGGTTGCATATACTCATCCTCTTTTCATCAGTCAATGCTCATTGGATCTCCACCTGTCATCTCAGAACCACTTTTTGTTTGTTGTGATGCGCCATTGACATTGTTCGGAGTCTCGGTCTCTCCCATCAAAGTCGTATGCATTCTTAGACTCTGACACCCTGGACAATTATGCACCACTTCATGCGCAAAGAGATCGCAATCAATGCAGAAATGACGCCGGCACACGGGGCATTCGTATCTGCTGCTTGTTGTAGCAGCATTTGTAGAGTTCGACTGGTCTCTCGCGGGAACAGGCGGAAAGGCTTTCAAGCAGGCAAAGCACGCCTTACTCCGATAAGCCTTGGACCAAGGCACTTCCAGCCAGTTGACGAGTGGAAACAAATGGTGGTAACTTCGAGCCAGGTGAGTAGACAAGATGAGCGTCAGTCCACAGACCGGACATTCACTTGGCAGACTGCAAACCTTCGCATCGCAACGTGAGCATAGATATCCGTCTCTGGAAGGTCTCGTATGACAGGCGCATAAAGATGGATGATCCTCGACTGTTCGGGAAGGAAACCCCATCATTAAAAGAGAATTGGCTGATTTGGTCGCTTGACTGGTAACTGGAGGCGTCGTGACCGCCATGTATAGTTCTCGGTAATGTTGCTCGTGGAGGACGACACCATAATTTCCCAAGTTGCCCTGGTTGGTTTTTGAGACCAATTCTGCACAGATAGCGACTTGGGCTGCTAGGCCAATTACTGTCGCTCGGATCTTGTCTGCCACAAGACTGTCGATTGTGCGATGGATGTCTCCCGGATCCGACGTATGAAGAGCACCAAAGATGAGCAGAATCTCACGCGTACCATGACTGGGAGCATGAAACAACGCAGCCCGAGCCATTTCGAGGGCATTTTCTAACGATGGATTTCCTTTCGGTTCCTCCTTGCGGATTTTTTGAATAGCAGCGAGATGTGCGTTGGGATTTCCAGACATATCGCTGATGCGAATTGCCACGCCATCGCGCGTTCCCACTATACCTAGCTGAGATATAGGATTTTGTTCGAAAAATTCTCGAATGAAGGTCTCGGTATAGAGGAGGGTGAGCATGAACCGAGTCGGCCGCAGGTCCTTTTCGTTCATAGATAACGACATGTCCAAGATGAGAATGACATGTCGAATTATGCCACGCTGAAGAGGTGTGGTATCCTTGAGGAGCCTGTGTCCAACCATGTATCAGTAACCACTCTACTGTTTGAAGTCGTCGTGCTTTCGATTGCAGTCCTACCTCTTCCTCTTTCCTGCCTCGAGTAGACCTTCAACAGCACCGGTGATCGTGCCATCAGCGCCTTCAGTCAACAGATCCCAAGTCCGGGTCACCTCGAAATTTTGACCACTGTCACGGTCGGTGGCCCTTCGAGCCTGGGAGCGGCCCGGGGCACGAGGCAGGTCATCGTCATCGTCCACGATAAACTCGTCCCCTGACGCCGGCATCACATGGGAGGAAGGTAGCAGGGACAAAGAAGGACGAGGAATCAATTGATCGCAGATATGGAGAGAGCGCGGGTTTGGAGACGCAGGTTACATGTACTAAATTAGTTTAGTCGAGGTACCAAACTTCAGACGGCCAAACATGACGAAGCCTTTTTTCCCCTCGCCGTCGATAAGCGGGCGGCTACTGTACGAATACGAGTGCTGTAGTGGTACCACGATAGCGGGCACAGTACGGAGTACTCTCGTACCCATCCCTCTCACACTCCGCAGCCAGTTCCTTTGCGCAGGTTACATTTGCACCAGTCCGAGTTCGAAAAGGCACCTTCCTCATTCTCTCATTGCACTGGGTCTGCTGCGTCTCAGGCAGCAACTGGCCGTGCGGCATTACGAGATCGAGGTTACCTGCGGGACAACTGCAGAGGTATTTGAATGCTGGAGCTTAGACTCACGGCGTTCCTATTGTTCTCTTCTACCACAAAGGCTGGCCCTATTTTCAACCGCACTCAGTCCTTCCGCTCGTTTTCGATCCTCTCACGAGTGTCGAACAATACTCGTCCACTACGATCTCCCCAGCAAACACTATTGCAGGTACGCTTTTGCTCGGCTGAAGCTCGAGGAGTCATGGCACCACCTACAGACCGAGATATCTTACCTGATACTATCAAACCTGTGAACTATGACCTGTCTCTTTCCAACCTCGAATTCGGCGGGAGCTGGTCCTACGACGGTCTCGTGAAAATCACTTCCAAGGTCAAACAGGCTACAAAAGAGGTTGTTGTCAATGTCAAAGAGCTGGAAATAAAGGGTGCCGAAGTACTAGGTCAAGATGGCAAAGGTATGTTGATCAGACTGCACAGGAGGGACGTACACTAAATTTGTACAGCAATTGTGTCGTCAATGGCAGATGTGTCGTATGACAAGACTAACGAGAGAGCCATCATCAAGCTCTCCGGGGATATCCCTTCTGGAGATGCTGTCATCGCTATCAAGTATCGAGGGACCATGAATAGCAAGATGGCAGGTTTCTATCGTTCGAAGTACAAGCCTGTGACGACCCCCAGCTCAAGCACACCCACGGACGGCGAGTTTCACTATATGTTTAGCACGCAGTTTGAAGCCTGTGATGCGCGACAGGCATTCCCATGTTTCGATGAACCAAATCTGAAGGCGTCATTCGAGTTCGAGATTGAGATTCCCGAAGAACTTACCGCTATCAGCAATATGCCTGAAAAGGCTGTGACGAAAGGCAGCAAAGATGGGCTCAAGAAAGTCTCGTTTGAAAAGACGCCCGCCATGAGCACGTATCTTGCTGCTTGGGCCTTCGGTGATTTCGAATACGTAGAGGATTTCACTGCACGCAAATACAACGGCAAGAATATTCCTGTCCGAGTTTACACAACTCGTGGTTTGAAGGAGCAAGGCCGTTTTGCGCTAGAGCATGCTCACAAGACCTTGGATTACTTCTCGGACGTTTTCGGCATCGAATATCCCCTTCCTAAATCTGATCTCCTGGCTGTACATGAATTCGCTATGGGAGCCATGGAGAATTGGGGTTTGGTGACGTATCGAACTACTGCAGTTCTTTTCGATGAGGAGAAATCGGACGCTCGATTCAAAAACCGAGTTGCATACGTGGTTGCTCACGAACTGGCCCACCAGTGGTTTGGTAACCTCGTAACAATGGACTGGTGGAATGAGCTGTGGCTCAATGAAGGCTTTGCCACCTGGGTGGGCTGGCTCGCGGTTGATCATCTACACCCGGAGTGGGACGTTTGGAGTCAGTTTGTGGTGCGTAGAATGTCTAAAGGTAACTTTCGGTCCTTTTGTTGACATGAATACAGGCTGAAGCTGTACAAACAGCTCTAGAACTCGACTCTTTGCGCGCATCCCACCCGATCGAAGTCCCCGTTCGTAACGCGCTCGAAGTTGATCAGATTTTTGATCATATCTCTTATCTCAAAGGAAGCTCTGTGATCAGGATGTTGAGCAATCACCTAGGACAGGATGTATTTCTCAAGGGGGTCGGTGATTATCTTAAGATTCATGCCTACGGTAATGCCAGAACCAACGATCTCTGGGCAGCGCTCAGCGCGGCTTCGGGACAAGACATCCAAGCATTCATGGACCCTTGGATCCGCAAGATCGGCTTCCCCGTGGTCACTATTGCTGAAGAGCCTGGCCAGATTGGCATCCGCCAGTCAAGATTTCTGTCCACAGGCGATGCCAAAACGGAAGAGGATGATACTACATGGTGGGTTCCGGTCGGCCTCAAAACAGGAACGCCGGCCAAGGTTGTGCACAGTGCCTTGACCCAGAAAGAAGACACTGTTCGTGGCGTTGACGATGCCTTCTACAAAATCAACGCCGACCAAAGCGGTTTCTATCGAACTAACTATCCACCGCAACGCCTGGTGAAGCTCGGCCAGTCTCAGGACCGCTTATCTGTCGAAGACAAGATCGGTCTTATGGGAGATGCCACAGCTCTTGCCATTGCCGGAACAGGCACGACATCGGCTCTGCTCTCGTTATTGGAAGGGTTCAAGCACGAGAAGAGCTTCACCGTATGGCAGCAAATTGCAAGCTCCCTCTCCAAAGTCCGATCTGTGTTCGCCACCGACAAGGAGATTTCAGCTGCGCTGAAAAAGTTCTCCCTAACATTGGTTTCCCCAGCTGCAGAAGCTATTGGGTGGACATATCCCGATGATGAGGATTGGTTGACCGGCCAATCTCGGAAACTTCTGCTCGGCATGGCTGCTGGTGCCGGACACCAAGGAATCATTGCGGAAGGCAAGAAGAAATTCGCAGCTTGGAAGGCTGGGGATGAGAAGGCAGTTCACCAGAACTTACGCAGCGTTGTTTTCAATCTTGCTGTTGCAAATGGCGGTCAAGAAGAGTACGATGCTTTGAAGGCTGAATTTAAGAAGACGACAAGCGTGGATGGCAGAGAAATCTGCATCCAAGCACTCGGCCGATCGAAGAACCCAGATCTTGCTTGGGACTTACTCGAGTTCGCCATATCTGACAATGTTCCACCTCAAGATGCGCATGGAGGCATTTCCGCCGTTTCTAACAACAATGAGACGCGAACAGTGGCCTGGGAGTTCACCAAGAAGAGCTGGGAGCGGGTGCAGAAGAAACTGGGAACGACGGGAATAGTGATTGATCGGTGGATCAAGACAGGATTGCCAAAATTCTCAGATACAGCCATTCGGGACGACATTGCCAAGTTCTTCGCGGACAAAGAGACTGGATCATTCAATCGCAGTCTTGTAATTGTTTCTGACTCCATTACCAGCAACGCGAACTATAAGAAGCGGGATGAGGCACAGTTGCTTGAATGGCTGAAAGCTCACGGCTATGCATGAGAAGAGGCATTGGAACGGGCATGCACAGGTGACAGGGGATCAGCAGCAGATAGATATCACGACTTCCATCATAAGTAATCAGCTGGCCGTTTGTCAAGTACTCGTAGCCTGCTGTAGTGTGGTGTGGCTTGCAGGTGCAGCCTGATTGATGAATGATTCAATGGTCATGCTGCCAAACGAGGCCTCCTCCACTTGGTTCACGTGACCGCAGCTGACGGCCAATCTTCAGCGCCTTGGAACTTCCAACCTGGCCTGCTGTAAACGCCAGTCCAGGGACACCCTCCTTTGCCATCCATTATAATTGACTCGATCTCTCACTTTGACTTCTTGTCTTTTCCTTCTTTCTGCATTTCATCTTGATCCTTGACTGCCTCGGCCCCAGATCGCACCTATCCATCGCTGACCCGCATCGAATCAACCTCGTCAACCCAATCGTCCACACACGTCAGAATGAATCCGGAGTGGTGAGTCGGTGTTGGATACCGCCAATCATGGCCGGACCAACGTCTTGAGAGCGCAGTCGCATTGTACTGACCATGAATAGAGTCTTTGTCCCCCTCCATCGATAGTTCCCTCCATACAGATCAGAAGAGTGCCTGAAACTGCGGATGTTGACACGTCTTGACCAGATACGATTACCTCTTCAAGCTCCTCCTCATCGGAGACTCCGGTGTGGGAAAGTCATGCTTGCTATTGCGATTCGCCGATGACACATACACTGAATCCTACATCTCGACTATTGGGGTTGATTTCGTACGTTGATCACGATCGCAGGCTGCAGCCTGTGGCGACCTGCGCTTCGGCACGGCAGGACTGACGTAGATACAGAAAATCCGAACAATTGAACTCGATGGAAAGACTGTCAAGCTCCAGATTGTACGCTTGTGCTCATCAGAATTACTACCGCATTACTGACTTGCCTCCAGTGGGATACCGCCGGCCAAGAGCGATTCCGAACGATCACCTCATCGTACTACCGTGGCGCCCACGGTATCTGCGTGGTCTACGACGTGACTGACATGGATTCGTTTAACAACGTAAAGCAATGGCTGCAAGAAATCGATCGGTACGCTACTGAGGGCGTCAACAAGTTGCTCGTAGGCAACAAGAGCGATATGGCGGACAAGAAGGTTGTGGATTACACAATGGCAAAGGTTGGCTCAGTTTGACCCGTGGATGACATACCCATTTGCTTACAGGAAATCAGGAATTCGCAGACAGCCTGGGCATCCCGTTCCTTGAGACCTCGGCCAAGAACGCTTCCAATGTCGAACAAGCGTTCTTGACCATGGCTCGCCAGATCAAGGAACGCATGGGAACCCATACTGCCAAGGACAAACCCACGGTCCAAGTCAGTCAGGGCCAAGGTGTTCAGTCTGGCTCGGCTGGTGGTTGCTGCTAAGTTCTTTCGCAGCTTTTCTCGCAAACAAGAAGTTGGCGACTGATGCAAGATGTTTTTTTAGCGGTTGATGCTGAGGAAGGGTGGCTTATGCAGAGCAAGGGCATTGAGTGGAAATTTCGTATTTCTGCACACTTGTCTCGAATTGAATTGGCAGGCGTTTGGGCGCGTGGGTGAACTTCATACATGTCTAGACTTCTGCTCCAATAGGCAACCCATTTCCCAGGATGAGATCTTTATTGGATTCAAACGGTTCCCTGCTTCGACAGGCTAATGATGGAACGCACGAGCTGATCTTTGAACATTCAGACCTAACCATGAGAGACAGCTGGACGAGGCATTATGCTCATGGCAAAGTGGCTTGCAAAGGGCATGTATTCCTCCCACTTGAAGCCTTTGAGATTCTGTTTACTCTACTCTCGTCTCTATTGTTTCTTTGCTTCAACCTGGATGTGATCGCTTTGTTGCGGGTCAAGCTTGCAACATATGGTACTGTTGATTGAGAGATGTTTCCACAGCTTGCTGATGTATGGCGACAAGGCTGAACTGTAGGGGTCCCACTACATGTCGCGAGGCAAGCCTCCATCGTTGTCTTCCAGGTCGCCGTCCCAGGTCCATCGATGAAGATGACCATTTGCACCGGAGTCGCCAACCATGACCACATCTTCGTTTGGATATCCCAGCATCGACAGCAAAGTGTTCTTGGCGAAACCGGTGAAGGAACAGCTGTCTATACTGCCATGACCACTCTAGCGAATCTACTCACCGTCTCGTTGTCACTAACGTTCACTCAAACTCCCTATCACAGCCATGGACTCATCTGCGATGTTGACCGATTTGCCACTGTCACAAAGCAATACGTCGTTTGCTAGCATATCGTCCTCTGCCTTGTTCCCTTCGTCCATCAGCTCGACACTCCTAAGCTCACGGTCGTCGTCGTCGTGTGTGAAAAGTGGCATCTCAGGTGTTGCAGTTTGTGGCGAGACCATTCAAGGCTCATCCAAGGACACAAACACCATGACAACCACGAGCTTCGATTCCGCCGGGACTACATTGCCTCCAATAGCTATTTTCGGGACCTTGACACCTCCTGACTTGCCAGATGGCTCGACCTTGCGTATCATTGTCGTCTCAGTACCCAGTTCGATCACGACTACAACCTCATCAACAATTCATTCCATCACCAAGTCAATTGCGACTCTGACTGTTTTCGTTTCAACCAGTGTTGAACCAACTACGAGTAAAACATCATCATCATGGGTTGCGAGTGTTATTGAGAGTGTCAAACATTCTTCTTCCTCAACGTCTGTCGCACCGGTCCCAGTCACCAAAACGACATTGGCTACAACAGCGCGAACCACCACCACGACGTCTTATCCCATTTCCACAATCATTTCTACATCAAGTAATCCGTCGGATAGGTTTTCAGCCTTGTCATCGACACTGTCCCACATGACACCCTTGACGACGTCCTTTGTTTCCGTGCAGCCTGTGCAGCCATCCTCAGCCTCAGTTGCAGAGCCGAATACTACTCCTGCTCCTGCGACGTCATTCACCAGCACAGCTCCATCGACTTCACAAACCCCTACCTTGGGATCCACCTCGGACCAATCTCAGTCTCACTCACATGCCGTAATATTCATCGCTTTACCGGTGGCACTTGGTCTTGCAGCACTCGGTTTGGCATTGTTGTTTCTCTGGCGCCGATTTGCCCCCACGTCGTTCTACAAAGCACAAGGCAAGACCCCGGGATACGCGGCGTTTAGACACTGGAAAGGCAGGCGTAAGAGAGAACGTCGCACGCGCAGCCTGCGCACGATGGAGGCATTGTCTCACTCGGAGAGCGGCTACAGTGGTTATCATGGGTACAATGGCTTCCACGCCGATTTTATCGGTGGAGATACATTCGCGCGACGTCTCAGACAGTACGAGCAAGAGTCGATGCGTGCACGAGAGAAATTCAGCTTCGAAGCGCCGGCCACGCCACTCTCGGGTGGAGGAGGAATCAACAAGAAGGCGACCGGTGGTGGTGCCGGTGTTGGCAGCGTCAATTCAAGCCCGTGGTACAAGGGCAAAGGTGCCGCCGCCCCCGCGACTCCAAAGAGGAGCGTGGAATCGTTGAAGACAGTCACCCCGGGTGGTGCTGGTGCCGGTCTTGGTGGAGGAGAGAGCAGCGGCGCCGGTCGACGCATGTTCGGCCCATTCAAGAAGGAGTTTAACGAGGAGACGGGCAGCTTGGAGAGTTGGGAGGAGAAGTGGTTCTCGTTGGGCAACGAGGAGGGGGGGTCGGGGGGTGATTTCGAGATGAAGAGCATGAAGAAGCCCTTTGAGGGCCACGCGGAGCGCGTCGCCGGGCCGGGCATGTCCTGGCGCAAGTTGGTTTAGTCAAGATAAGGCGAGAAGCAGGTAGACAATGACAATGAGCTATACATGATGAACGGGGTGTGAGTTTGCTGCACAAGTCGGTGTTTGAACAAGGTGGTGTTTTGGTGTTTTTTGGGGAGTGAGCTGCAGCATTGCAGTTCAGGGGTAGACTGTAGACAATGAGTGAGTGAGACTGTAAGTAATGTACAAAGTGAGGGAGCATCAGGTGAACTCTACGGATATCAATAGGAGGTCAAGAGATTGGGCCTAGTGTCTACCTGGATGACAATGGATATGGATACAGAGCTTTAGGGAGGATTGTATTGGTGTACTACATAGGGACAAGAAAAGGCTTATCTATATAAGGGTGAGTACCGTGTACCATATAAAAGGAGTAAGTAGTTTACGATCTTGTAGATCAGGTCCACCAGAGATCTCTCTCTGATGAGAGAGTTCAGTGTGTTTAGTTTTGGTCATGTAAGGCAACAATGCACCTTTCCTTTCCAAAGTACAAGCTACTTGGCTAGGTGGTGATCAGTTGACCGTAGGACCTCAGGAGTAGATTTAAACACAAGTTGTATTGTCGAAAAGGCACACGCCAAGGTATCAAAAAAGAACAAGAAAAGAAAGGGCGGCTCATCGACACCCATCAGCCAAGAAGGTGGTGTAGTAGAGGATTTTGGAAATTTGTTTTCCCAAGTCGCGCGTCTCGAGGTCATGATAACCAAGAAGTTGTCCTTCTATGGTCGTGTGCTTTGATACCAAATAGGAGAAACAACTTACCATCCGCGTGTGGCAAAGTTTTCATCTTCTCCGTGATTGTGGTTAGTGGTTCTTTTGATGGTTTGTCTCTCTCTCTCTCTCTCTCTCGGCTGTGTGTGCCGCCGCGGATGAGAGAAGACTGTCATCATGATAGACATTCGTTAGCGGGGGAGTTTGAAGGAAATGTCAGAGTCGGAAAGTCAGGATATTCGGCATCTTCTTTGAGTTCAAACAGCACGCGAGGTTCGTGTTCAAATGACGGATGTGGCGCCAAGAGGTTTTGAAGGTTGTCAACAATCACGGCCAATTCACGGACCATTGAATGGAGCATTGCGGCTCAACTAAAAGGTTTCCTCTACGGAGTACAGTAGTACTGGAGAACCCCTGGAATGTCTGCTTGGAAAAGTGACAGGTCCCTAAGCCAACTACGAGGTACTGTATTACGAGTACTCTGTAGCCATAGCCACAGCCACGAGAGCACTTTGCATACGAGTTCAAGACAACACGCACGCAATACTGTAGGTCCTTACGTAGGTACGAACAAAACTGGTAATTCACTCTCTCCCCCCCCCTCCCCATCCGTACTTGTTGCGAGATGGTTCCAAACATCCGCTCTCCTGGGCAAACTTGAGAATTGATGTCTGGGCGACGTTTGGTCTAGCATGCAAAGAACCACCATGCTGGGTACTCCCTCTCCCTCCCTCTCTGTTAGATGATATTCCAGACTCCATTTTGCCACGATACTTGTACAGATTCATGACAGCTCGTCCGTGTACCTCTGTCCCCTGATCTAGTACCAGTAGCGAGCGGACCATGTCTTATCACACACAGACACACACTCATTCACTCACTCAGCTACGCGCGCTACAGCTAGGTGCGGGAACCGGGTACCGGGCACGAGGACTCGTTCGTCGTCGTCGATCTCTTAAAAGAGCCGCACATCTCTTTACGTGTTCTCCAGTTTGGTTCTATTGATGGTGGACATATGACCTTTTCGAGTACTCACTTACCCACCACTCTTTGTTCCTTCATTTAGAAGTTTTATTCATTCATTTGGTCGTTACAATGTTTTATCCATCTGTTCTGTCACTCCTTTTGACACTGCCAATCTTATTTGCAGATGCTCGTACAAACAGGAAAAATAGCAAAAATGACCTGTGGACAGGCGCGGATCTGTTGTCGTTTGTTTCGGTAAGCACACACAAAAAACAATCAAGAGGGCATTCTCACCTGGCAAGAATCTTTTTCAAAGAATGCTGTAGACGGCGTGTACAGATGTCCAGGAACCCTAACAACAAAACAGCGGCCAGATATACGAGCACCTCGATGGAACGTCACCAAACATTATCCCGATTTGATCACTCCTGGATACTGGTTCGTGGCACCATATACCAACTGGGTCACGGTGCCTGACCGGCTAGAGTACTTGCCGGCTCAGGTCGGACCGCACATCTATGACGGAGATGGAGTAAGGCATACTCTAACACAGCCGATGTTTCTGCAGCTGATCTTTCGTGTAACAGAATCTCATCTGGAGTGGTGCGGCGTTGGCCCATAACCGCAACGCATTCGACTTTCGAACCTTTGGAGTCAACGGCTCTACGCACCTCTCGTACGTCCTGCACTACAGTGACAGAAAGGGTGACGAAGAACAACATGGTGAAGGCGTCTACCTTGACTCCTCGTATCGAAGAAAGGGCAAAGTCACGCACAAAGTTGGCCGGGAATTCAACTTTCATGAATTCGACATTCGCGACGGCGGGAATTCTGCCCTGTTCATTTTCACAGATCCGACCATTAAAGAGGAACCCAGCACCGGTAAATCTGGCTGGGTGGCGCACGATTGCATCAAGGAAATCGATCTCCCGACGGGCGAAACCAATTTCTGGTGGTGTCCTCTAGACAACGGCGTCCAGTTGAACGAGACCTACGACAAGATTCCCAACATGCAAGATATCAGTGAAGCTGGGCCGTGGGATTTTCTGTAAGTCTTTCGGATGGGGATACTGGAATTAGTCATTATTAGACAACTAACAAGGTCGTTTTACAGCCACGGCAACTCCATCGACAAGTTCGAGGACGGCGATTATTTGTACTCTGGTCGACATGTCAACACGATATATCGAATCAACCACACCGACAAATCGGTTGTGTGGAGGTTGGGTGGGAAATTGTCTGATTTTAAAATGGACTTCAACTTTTCCTCTCAACATCACGCATTGGTCCAGTCGGATGATGGATCAAAAGTGAGATTGACTTTTCTCGACAACGCTGCGGACGATCTGAACAGACAGCCCAAGACTTCAAAGACTTCCTCGGCGAAACTGGTCGAGTTGGACACCGATACCATGACTGCAACGGTGAGATTATTGTTTTTATCCGATCTGAAGGTATTATGGGTTATGTTGCTGATACTGAAATCATAGCTGGTCGACGCATGGTATCGTCCCGATGGGAAACTCAGCGACAAGCGTGGGAATGTGAACACGATGCCCAACGGCAACATTTTTGTGGCGTGGAGCGAGCGCGGGTACATGACCGAGCACACTGCCATGGGGGACGACAAGAAGCTGGTCCTCGAGGCCAAATTCACCTCGAATCGGTTCTCGACTTACCGGGCGTTCAAGGCGAACTTTACCGGAAGCCCGATCGAGCGGCCGGTCGTCAAGGCATTCGCGACGCAGTCGGAAAGCGATGCTTCGTACTCGATGACCACGTTCTACGTCAGCTGGAACGGGGCCACCGAAGTCAAGAGGTGGGAGTTTTTTGGCTCCCACAATGAGGATGCGAGTGAGTTTGAGTACATTGGGACGACGGACAGGACCGGATTCGAGACCACATTTTCCGAGAAGGGCTTGTGGACGCACGTATACGCAAAGGCACTTGCAGAAGATGGGGAGACTCTCGATTCGAGCAACATCGAGCAATGCTCCGCTTGGCCTGGATCGCCCCCGCTCAAGATGAACTCACAGACTGGAGGGACGATGACACATGCTTCGAGTGACCCAAGTGCCGCAAATGTCGCAAGTACCACGGGTACAGCGAGTTCATCGCGCGTCTCAAAGGTCTCAAAGGTTTCAAAGACATTTGCTTCTGCAATGGCAAAGACATGGGCAGATCAAGCCAAACAGAATCCCGTGGCGCTGTGGGTGTTTGTGTTTATGCTGGGACTACAAGTCGTGGTGGTGGTTGCCATGTCTCGATGTTACCGCCGTATCCGTCGGACTACTTGGAAAGAGGATCAAGTCGAATTGCTGTCCAAGAGAGACTTTACGGATTGAAAATACACAAAACGTTTCGTGAAGCGATTTTAGTTTCGGCGTTACGCAGGAAGCAATGAATATGATCTTTATTGTCTGCACTTATGTTACTTGGCTTGCCTTGGAGAAAAGGAGATACGTGTATACATATACAGCTATGGATATGTTGATCTTACGGTCCATACAGCCGATATGAGTACCTAAGTACATGTGTACTCCGCGCAATATGAATAGGTACGTACTAAATACTCCGTACCGCGTTCCACTTGAGGCCTTGGCTTGTTTGGAGTAACGAATCCATTGGTATGGATGACAGGGGTGATATTCAGCTACTCCGTACTTTACAAGTCATCAGTCAGTACTGCGTACAAGGACCGGCATAACAAGGAGTCTCTCCGTGGGGTATTCATCATTTTCATTTTCATTACTCCGGCTATGATGATTTCTCTTTCTCCAGTTGGTTCCCCCAACTTTTTCTCATTAGAAAACCGCCAAGATATCCCTAGTCCTTTCGCAGGTATGGGAATCATTGTCAGGCGCCTGATGTCTCCGCCGGCCATACACCGACGCTCGTCCATCCATCTCCAACTTCGTTGTCATGATGCCAAACTTATTCTAAAAGGCGACAAAGATCACCGCTCAATCACCGGTCGGCTATGCATCCTCGACTATTTCCTTCAAACGAAGATCACTCGACTCGTCCCTACAACACCGAGTTGAATCTTGGCGTACGTCGATTCGCTCGACAATACTCCGTACACTACTTACTCCTTCGCATGCATTAACTCCCCTGCGAAACCATGGCCAGGGATGCTACGGAGTAGAGCTCGCGCCACTCATACCTCCCTACTCATCACCCTCGGCAATGAGGTGACATCTGTTGCCCTGTAAGGGAATAGGTTTATCCATTTTTGCGGGGGAAAGAGAGAGAGAAACCAATGTGCCCTGATGATCCCTCTGTATGTACCCGTACACGGCACATGGCTGGTGCGTGCTCGCTCGCTCGCTCCCCTATTGTACCAGGGTGGTGGCAACACGCGCGCAACGCAGGGGGAAAAGAGAGAAAAGGTTCTAAACACGGAGTAGAGAGCTCGGTAAAGCTGTTATGCCATCTACCGGGACTTTTTCTCGAAAGGTGAGATTACACACACACATTTGGGGGAGCATACAAAAAGAAACTGTTCAAGCTGCTGGGACTTTATAGAGTTGAGGTGTCTCTTCTACCCCCATCTCTCTTTATCCCTCTCTCCCGCATCACTTTTGTCGTTGACATTGGCCTCCAATTTTGACCTTGTGTTCCCCCCGGACTACGCATGCGGGTGTGAGGAGTTCCTAAGCTATTCTTCGAAAAAGAACATCCTTTCCCTCTCTCTGCGTCTGCCTCGTTTTGTAACTCACAGTCGCGACAACTCGATAACCATGGACATCGAGCACGTCGGGGACGAAAAGTCCAACAACAACAACAGGGACTCTGTGGCCCACAGAGACAAAGTTGGTCTCTTGGATGCCTCGGACCCCATTCAACCCTCTTCGCCTAGCACATTCTCAGAGGAGAAACCTACAGTCATCACGGCCGAAACCGTCAACAACGGTGGTGAAGAAGGAGCCCACAACGCCGTCGACAAGCCTTATGATCCGAACCTGGCACCTCGATATTCCCAGAAAGAAGAAGATGTGGTGATTCGTAAGCTCGACTGGCACTTGATGCCTTTGATTTTTGTCTTGTACAGTCTTTCTGTGCTCGACCGGTCGAATTTGGGCAATGCCCGTATTTCCGGCATGGAAGACGATATCGATCTCACCGGTAATCGTTATGACTGGTTAGGAACGGCCTTTTATATTTCTTGTAAGTTTTTCCTTTCTCGTTTCTTTTTTTTCCTTTGTCTCGTCCGGGCTACCCACTACATCCTGTCCACTCCCATGTTTTAATCGTCCCCCATTCGATCCTTTACCAACCCCTTTTGTTGGTGCCTTTGGCTGACACAATGTGCCTCCCCTTCAAGACATCCTCTCCCAGTGGACGCAGATGGGTTGGAAGGCCTTCCCGCCTCACCGCTGGGTCGCCTTCGCGGTCTTTGGGTGGGGCGTCGTCTCGACCCTCCAGGCGGCGTGTTCCTCCTGGGCCGGCGTCATGGTCTGCCGGGTGATCCTGGCCATCTTCGAGGCGTCCTTCGGCCCCGGCGTGCCGGGTTACCTGTCCTACTTTTACCCCCGCGAGAAGTTGGGCCTGAGGACGGGCATCTTCCTGTCCGGCTCGGCGGCGGCCAACGCCTACGGCTCGGCCCTGGCGTACGGCATCGCCCAGGCCAAGGGCAGCATCGGCCCCTGGAGGATCTTGTTCATCGTCGAGGGGGTGCCGACCTGCCTCCTCGCCTTCGTCGCCTGGTACTGGCTGCCCGACTCCCCCCACGACGTCAAGTTTCTGAGTGAGCGGGAAAAGGAGATTTCCATCGACCTGAGTCTGAGGCAACCCGGTGACCGCACGGGCAAAAAGGGTCTACAGTGGAAGCAGGTCCTGGGCGGATTGTTGGATTATAGATGTGAGTCGTTTTTGTTTTTTTTTGTTCCCTTTGGATTCAATCTCGACCTCCCTCCTCACCGAATTGGAGAGCTAGTTTTGGAATGAAAAAAATTCCTGACAATGACTTTTCAAAAAAACCATACAGCGTACCTCCCGCCGCTCATGTACTTTGGCTGCAACGTCTGCTTCGCGTCCCTCCCCCTCTTCGTCCCGACCATCATCTCGGAGATGGGGGCCTTCAGCACCATCCAGTCCAACGGCCTGTCCGCGCCCCCCTACGTGTTTTGCTTCCTCGCCATCTGCGGCTGCGCCTGGTGGTCGGACCGGGTCGGCTACCGGGGCCCCTTTGTCGTCGTCCCCGCCCTCCTGGCGGCCGTGGGTTACATCATCCTGGGCACCACGACGGGCGTGGGCCCGCGGTACTTTGGCCTGTTCCTGGCGGTCCTGATCTTCGTCAGCGTCGCCATGGTCCTCACCTGGGTGGGCAACACCCACGCGACCGAGAGCAAGAGGTTCGTGGCCCTGGCCATCCTGGCCACCGGAGGTCAATGCGGTCCGGTGCTGGGCACCAACATCTTCCCCAAAAGCGAAGGCCCTTATTACCGCAAAGGCATGTGGGTCAGTTGCGGCGCCTGCCTCTTGGTCGTCGTCACGGGTTGCATGCAGATGGCACTCTTGTGGAGGGAAAATAAAAAGAGGGACGCCAAGTACGGCAGGGACAGGGAGACGGTCCATCTGGAAGAACCGGACGAGTACGGCAACGACAAACAATTCCGGTACATGATTTGAAAGTGACCCAGGAAGGGAGAGAGAGAGAGAGAGAGGAGCGAAACAAAATACTCTGGTCGTTCCCCAGAGGAGCTCAAGGAGCTACCTCGTATACGAGACTTGTCCTTTTTTTGTCACAAATGTCAAACCAGTCAACAAAAAGGCCTCACGAGCACGAGTACAAAAACTTGACGATAGGTTTTTTTGACAATTACAATGACTACTACAAGGTACTCTGGATTGTGTCGAGACTCGGTCTCGATTATTTACTTGGTTGTGACCAAGCCAGAACAAGAAAGAAGGTAGACTACACACCCCGCCCCCCCGGTAGCTGTCCGTCGTGGTGGCTGAGCGACATGGATATACGTACAGAGTAGGGCCCCAACAGGAATAAACATTTCTCTAGACTGTACCGAGAAAGGAGTGTAGTACAACCTTTATACAAAGTTCATGAATACCGCAGGTAGTGTTTTTCCGTCATAGACATCTACCGACCTTTCTTTGGCCTTCGAAACGTTACCACGACTACGAGTACACAAAAGTATCCAGATCACATTAGATCCAGGACGTGCAAAGATCGTCGTCGTGGTTGGAGTCTTTATCTTCATGAATTTTGCAAGCCAATCTAGCTCGCGCCCAATGTACATATTTACAAAGCTCTCACGAGAAAGCATTCCCGCAGCAAACGCCTGATCCCAATGCCCGTAGAGTAGATAAGGCAGGTATGTAGTCATGCCCGTAAGAATCCCTCGCTCAAGGCGCGCGCATAAATGAACAACGCACTCCACATACGGAGTAGCATTCACCCAGTTCCGACATACTTGAACCAGAGCGGTCGGCAATCTTCTCGTTGCAACCATGATTCACCGGCGTAGAACTGTCCTGCCTCACAGCCACGGCATTTTGGAGAATTGGGACAGTTGTAAAATGGGATGTGGTTGTATCCGATATCCTTGAACCTGCAAATATTAATCAGTTATAACGTCTTTCTCACAAAGCAACCCGGATTTCCTTACCAATGAATCTTGCTGGAGTCTTCGAATAGTCCCAAAGCAATACTGTGCACTGGCGCATCTCCCCATCTTTCGTAGAAGAATCCACCCGACCTGTCTAGATGTGTAAAGTAGTCTTCATACACTTGTCCCCGCCAGAAGGAAAGGTCTGCAATCTCGAAATTAGACCAAAAGTGACATGTGCTGTAGCCATGAGCTTTCACATTGTGCTCTGGTCTTCTTTCGTTGTCGGTCAACCATTGCATGGCGTTGTTCTTGTGCAGATATTCGGGATGCGAGGCCAGAAACTTGATGGTTTCCGGCCAAAGTGAAGGGATGGATTCGGGCGAATCGAACAAGTTGATGTTGAACCCGTAGGTCTTGTTGTGGTCCTGCATGTAACGAAAGACATCGTAGTCGACGTCACAGAAGAACTTGACCTTTGGCTCCACGCGCCAATAGTACTGCGTGTGCTCGAGGGCAGGATGCCGATAAAACATGCCGCTGTTCCACCGACACATTTGGTGGTATGAGATCTTGCCCGCGTATTGTACGTCGTTCTCTTTCAGGATCTTGGCAGACTCGTCAAACAGTTCCTTGCTGACCCACGAGGGCATCTCCCAGTGCTCTTTGGGGATGAGGTGGTAGAAGCATTTCGCCTTGGTCACCTCTTGGGTCTTTTTCTTGAATTCGTCGGTGAACGGGACGTCGTTGAAAAAGGTCCAGGGGTAGTTGAATTTGTGGTTCCACGTCTCTTCGAGCTGTCTCATGGTAGGAAGTAGTTCGGAGAGTTCTTCGTTTCGGACGAGGGAAAGGAGGGTGGCGTTGATCCGCGCAGACTTGGGACTGTCGGGAGAGTAGTCGTGGTCGGTATGTCTCCAGAGAAGGCCGTCCGGCTCACCGACCGGGTCGAGGAGCGGATCACGCTCCATGTTACTGATCTTCCCGCCATTGCCTTCGACAGGACCGGTGTTTGGCGGAGTGAGGTTGGGTGTCGGGCGCAAGTACTGAAAGACGAGGAAGAAGAGCAATATGACGGACAGTGCCCCCAGATACCTGACGGGTCGAGCGACTGCCATTGCGCTGAGAGAGGGTCGGGATCATCCGTAGGCCATTGACGTCCAGTGTATTGTCGGTGGAAGGAACGATAGTGGTGTATGAGATGTGTAGGACGGAGGAAGCAAACTTGTCCACTGCGATTTCAATTCATTTCAACCTCCATGTGAATCGAAACGACGCCGACTGCGCCGTTGACCTCGAATTGCGCGGCCTAAACGAAATAATCGTCACTAAGTGACACTAAAACGGCCACTAATGCAACTTTATTGCTTGCCACTAATTCATTCGCTAAGAGGCTGATTTTCTCCGCCAAAATTCGTCAATGGATGCTGGAGGCGCAGAAGAGACAGAAACAGAAACATCTTTCTCGCGTTCAACTTTTTCTCGAGTACTTGTTGCACAACTACACGTTGACACATCACTATCGGACCAGAACTCTGAACGTATCACAACTCGAGACACCTATCCTCTTGCCGTCATGGAAGTACTCACAGAGCAGCCCAAAACCTCGACCTTCACCCCACTTGCCGAGCATCAAGCAACCACACCAGCCTCGTTTTACTCTGGTCCTCCGGTTCTTCACTATTACAGCGATCGCAGCAAGATCCTGATTCTACAACATGAGGTCGAGTCCCTCCCTGCCTTCGCTCCTCTACTCTCAAAGGCCCGGTCTGTTTCGGCATCACACTCCAATGGCACGGAAACCAACGGAGACACCAACGAGACGCAATCTCAAAAGGTCCTAGACAACGTCGATGTCTGGGTAGCGTCGGACAAGCTCTATCTGTTCTCAGCGTCTGCCAACTCGGGCGTCTCGATTCCATATCCTGCAATCTCCCTCCATGCGATACAGTCCCTCCCGGCACCTGACACTTCGGAACTGTCCTCCGATGCGCCTGCGCCGTCACAAGGAGTGTATATGCAACTGGTCACTTCGTCCGAAGAGACAGACGAGGAACCAGACTCGATATCCATCACCATAGTCCCTACCGCCTCTGGGCCTCCCGAACAGACCACGGGCGACAGCAATCCCGACCCAATTGCGACCGAAGACAAGCCTCTGCAGACACCGGTCACGGCCATGTTCAACGCGCTCTCAAATTGCTCCAACTTGCACCCAGACCCCGTGGAGCCCGGTGACGAGGAGGGAGACCAATACCAAAGCCATTTGTTCCAGACCGGCCTTGCCTTTCCCGGCGCGAGCGACGGTGGACTGCCACCCGCGATGCCAGGTAGCGGAGGTTGGATCACTGCCGAGAACATGCACGAATTCTTTGACGAGGAGGGCAATTGGATCGGCAAAGATGACGATGAGGAAGAACAACAAGATGTCGAGGAAGGAGCGGAAGGCGAGAACCTCGGCCCTGGTGCTGGGACGGTTCGTCCGAGACAGGAGGAGGACGGGGCGAATGGCAATGGCGAGGCTGCCGATGGCAACGAAGAAACAAAGTGGCAGAGGACATCGTGAGGCGTATGTCATATCGCAAAAAATGTAGATGTTAGAACAAGAAAAAGGTCAAATGATACCCGTACAGTAGATCAGAGGCAGAAAAAGACGTATTGTATCATTGTGCGTTGGTCGCGCCCGATGTCAAAAACCAAGGTCATTCGTGCCTATCTCCCGACTTTCGTACCGTATGCAAGTGCTGGTGATGTGGGTTAGGAGAACATGGTTCGTTTCTTTGGGAAAACGCCCTCCAGGCTGTCAGCGAGCAGTTCCAAGCCGTCACCGACTCCGCCAGCGCTCCTCGCGACTCCCCTCAGGCCAGCGAGGAGAAAGGTGACATGCCTCTCAAAAACGTCCTTGATTCTCTGGATCTCCTTTCGCACCGAACTGGCCTCGTCAAGAATGAAGGTCGAATAACCCTCACCCATGCCCGAGTCGTCTTCTTCGTCGACATCATCCTCGTCGTCTTCACCTGCGGACTCGACGCCCCTACGCGCTCCTAGCCGACGCCTCCGACGATGACTCCTCGCCGAAATGAACGAGCTGGCTTCAAAGTCGACGGACCCTCTCCGGCCAGATGCTGACGAGGACGTGGAAGTCGGCGCACTGACGACGTCCGCGAAGCGAATACACAGATCCAGAACCGCGAGCATGGCGTCGCGAAGCGGCCTGACGCGCGGGGCGCTCAGACAAGCCAGTTCCAGATCGCGCACGTACGCGGCGTGGGCGGCGATCATGTCGTCGACACTAGTTCCCGTCGTGAGGCGAGCGCGCATGTCCCGCGTCATCGGGCCCACTGCGCACATCGTCAAGTGAGCATAAAGGACGTTGACATAGTGTGCGAGCGCCATGTACACCGCCCGTGCGAAGGGCTGGTCGCCCGGATCCGTGCCCAGCGGGACGTTCTGGACGTAGAAATAGGCGCGGCGCTCGAGAATGAACCTTGCCCTGCGGATCTGGCTGAGGGTCAAGGCGACCCGTTGATAGGCCGTGATCGAGGCAGGTGAGATGATGTTGGCGACCGGCCAAGGGAGGTGGTACGACAGTGTGAGCGACGAGAGGATCTTGACCGAGCGGCGACGACTTTCGATGCTCCGGGACGAGGTGTAGGACGAGGTGACGGAGATGTTGTCGGCGTCGACGCACGGCGTGGCTTGGTAGGCCTCGGCCACGAGGTCGGCCACGAGGAAGCGGTCGTTCCACATCTCCACGCACCGGTCGATCTGGTCGAACAGACGGGTTTCGATCCTGTCCAAAATCACCCCGTCCTTGCCGAGATAGAGGTAGTCGAAGGCGTCGAGGAGCTTGTTGAGCCCGCAGGCCGACTCGAGGACGTCCTTGAGAGCTGCGGTGGATGTCGCGAGTAAGCTTGTCAAGTGCTTGTTGAAGACAGCCTCTAGAGTGGCCGATAACAATGGTATCGCCGAGTGTTCTTGAAGATATGCTGTTTCCGTAACCGCGCCACGAAAACCCAGGGAGCCACTGCCATTGTCCAGCGACTTTTGTTGTAAGTGCTGCAGGAAAGCAGCAGTTTTGCCGGCGGCGAAGATATGCGAGACGAATGGTCTAAGAAAGACTGGCATGTGCTTGTCGTCATCGGATAGTGCAAACCAGTCATGCCATAAAGTGGTTGCATTGCGTGGCTTGCTGGTTTTGTTGATGAAGAATGTGCTCGTATCTTCAATCCTCCCCGTGAGTAACCAGGTATCTACTGGGACGGAGTAGAGTTTCAGAGCCGAGAGGAACAAAGGGGTCAGTGTCCTCAAAGCGAGGGCTGCGCCAGAAGCGCTGGCAAGTTCGATCTGCTCATGCAAAGCGTTTAGAGCCGAGACAGGATCATTGTGAGCGAATCGTGGCAGAACTCTCAGGATGTCAATTAAGGGGATAGCCCTCTGCTTGATGGTTTGAAGAGCCTGAAGTAGGCTGAGGACGCCGTTAGAGGAGCGTTCGTGTAAGATATTATCTTGCATCTGACATATCGTACAGTCAAACGATTCCAGAATGTCCCGAATGCGGCTTCGCAAAAGCTGCATCACGTTCGAGTCCTGCCCGGCCGAAAGCCAGCGGCGTATCCATGCAATTTCTGAGCCGATCAGTCCAGCATCGCTCAACACCGCCCTTGATGTCTCAGAGCCCAAATGGGCAATCTGATACTTCGGGTCCACGCGGATCCCGCGGTCAGACACTTTAAAGATGGACGTTTTGAGACCGATAAACATGAAGAGGGTCTCCCTTATGGCTTGTCTCTCGGTGATAGCAACGACTTGGCTTTGATCGCGCCAGAATTGTGAATTCTCAAGCTTAGAACGCGCAGAATCATCGTCTGCAGCATCGCCGTGGTCGAAGAGATGCTCGCGATCAAATTCGCCCTTGTGTCTCTCAAAAACAGTCTCTGGGGACGTCGAATTGCTCGATATCACAGCTTCGTCCTCATCAGAGCTGAAGTCGCTGTACTCGGGGACCATCCATATGTCGTCCTGGTGATCAATTGGATCATCAACTTCAACATCGGCCCATCTCAACGGACCCGCTTTTTCCGACTGGGATTGAAACTCAGGAAGGTTCTCGACCCGACTATATCTCGCGGGATTATCGGATAAATGTAGCAAAAGATCCAGAGCGTCTGGTATCCAGCGATGTTGGTACTTTTCCAGTTCCTGTCGTCGCGTATATAACGCCTGAGCCAGATCGTCCAGGTTGAGAACTTGAAACTTCTCTTCAAGTCCCGTGAGCGTCTCTGCGACAGCAAATTGATTTGTCCGGGCATGGCCATGGTGCTTGATCCTCCTGGCAAAAGTTTCTTTGTGTTTACGTTGGTCGGCGGGATCAGCTGATGATGGAATAAGGGAGACAGCGAGCTGCTCGATCCAGTTGTTCATGGTGGTCGTAGAAGCCATGACAACTGCCTTTCAAGTCCACAATCCCTTGGCATTATAGAAGGATCACCACGGTGTCTGGGAAGAGGGCATACTGGACTGGGCGTTGAGTGATCATGTAGTACGGAGTAGAAGAGTCGACGTGAAGAGACGCGACTGGAATCCGAATTACGGTACCGTGTAAATAGGGATGGATGCTCAGCCAATCGTGATGTCGCCTGCGATCTTGGCGGGACAAGCAATAGTCGAACTGGTCCGACAGTTGCCGCTTTTAAGGCGATCTACTCGCGACTCACTTTCTTCTATTGCTCTTCATTATAAATGTATGCACTGCACTATGCACAGGCGGTCGAGACTGGATTGCTGGGATTTCAAAAACGACTACGGTACACATCGCAGAGCTCTCCAAAATTCCAGAAGCAATACCATCCACCCGTGGGCATTGGTACATTACTATCCTCTCCAGAGAGACCTGTCTCGGACAACACAATGGTCGGGCTCCCAGAGATCGTCGCCCTGGTGATTATGTACAAGATGGCTTCGAAAACATTGTTCACTCATGTTTTTCAATCGAGCATTCTGAGCTGCGAGTCGCTGTAACGATACTTCAGCAGCCTGATTCTCCGCCATCAACTCGTGGATCCTCTCTGTCGCTTGACCGAGTTGCCTTTCAAGCTCCTCAATCCGACGGATCTTGCGTTGGCGATAGGCTCGCTGGCTGTGTGATTTTCAGATTGAGAGCCAACCCCAAAGCAAAGCATTCAACAAACCAAAACGACATATGGAAAAACTTACGCGTCTCTGTTCTGACTTCGACGTCGGGCAAGCAGAGCATGTATCTTTTCGCTAGGGTCACCCTCCTCCTGCTTCCTGGGTTCAGAATGCTCATGTCCCTCATCTCTTCCTCCCACGGTAACGTCAGTAGGGGGATCTCGATTTCCTCCAGAGCCGTACGACTCTTGTGTCGCTACAGAACCTTCAGGGTTGCCGCATATGTCCGAATAAATCCACGAGAGATTCCTCTGGAAGAGGTACTGTACAACGAGTCAGCCAGGAGTTCTTTCTCAAGGTCACAAGTCCAACAAATAACGAACTACTCTGAGCAGTAAGCAGTACTCACGTTAGACGGAGCTTCATCAAAGATTCCGGCTCGGTTATATAGTTCGAATTCGGCCAAGACAGAAGAAGAGTCCATCTCTTCAGAAGCGATATGAGAATAATGGAGATCAGCCATCTTCAATCTTTTCTTTCGCTTGGAGAACTTGAATAAGCCTGTATACAGTTTACCTAGACGGTGATGCTCCCATATCCTCGAAATGCAATTGATGAAGCTGTAGATATACCTTCGAACGTCATTGCCTTTCACATGCAATCTAGGCCTAGCTTACCTTTGGCGGCCGTTGGAGCAGCAGCGACTCACAGGACAAGCCGTTGAAAACACCAAGGATTCGACACGGACTATTGAAACTTTCCGCAGATTCCATTCTTTTCTGAAAGTGACCAGAGCGCGGACCAACGACCAGGGTTCAAGAGGTCGAGGATCGTCGATAAGCACAACTTTTGGAATTCGCCCAAGGGCGAAGAGCGGGAAGAAACACATGAGGAGGTCATCTTTGAGGTATGTTGAAAGATTATTCACTCATAGCATACCGAGTCAGGACATCTTACACTCCTTCTAGAGGCAAGCCTAAGGGCATGCAGACTTTGGAAGAGAGGCCCGGCCTACAGCCGCAACATCGATTGTCCGATGGAAGTGGAGATTCTCCAGAATGCCCAATGCCTCATTCTCCCTGTGGTAAGATATCCAAGGAGAGGAAATATCATCCGTGGTGCTGCACAGCCATGATCTACTCGACGTTCGAGACCGATTCGAACGAAACCATTGACACCAATTCCCTCCGAAGAGAACCACCATTCGGAAGCCGTGGACTTTCGTTCGGGAGCCTGACGTTTTGGAGCAATGATTGCCGGAACAAAAGTGCGATTCCCACCATTGACTGTTCGAATGCTCTTTAAGCGAAGTGTTCAACCTCGCCCAATAACGCGTTTCAAGGGGGGTGTCGGCTTGGTTAGTATTTTGTCCTGTGCGTGAAGCCGCGAGACTAAACCTCAAGATATAGACGAATCAGGAGGAAAGACTGGGTATTCCCCCCTCTGGAACTGACGCGAGGCCAGAGCACGGGGCGACCTAGTTCTCGTGCGAAGCTAGCATATTCCCGCGATTGGGCCGATCCTTGGCCACTCCGGCTACACCTACAGTAGATGCTATCCAGGTCTAGCCTATCAACATTTTCGTGGCCAAACTTCGAATGACGTTGGTTAGGCACAGAACGAATCGCAGAGACAGTCTGCATCTGGAAGATATCCAATCCTCCCGGGTCCTCTACCACTTACGCAGCGCTGAGATATTGCGCCATACAATGCTGTTCGCCGGACTGTAGGATCAACGTTGCGCAAAGGTCGTGACGACGTTGTTAACGGTTTTCATTACATTGAGTCACCAATGTTCCTGCTGTTCATCATGTTGCACTTGTAGAATGAGGTTGTCAAGCCACCAATTCTGTGAGAGCTCGTATACCTCGAGGGATTCGACGAAGGGAGCGCAACGGCCAGAAGCCATTGGCCGAAGCTCGGGAGGCCGTGTGGTTTTACCCCAGGTGAGAATGACGAGCTCATCCTAAGAAGGTGCGCCCGCGGTATAATCGCATGCTAAGGATCTTATTTTCCGGTGTACAGAGGCAGTATTGTACGAAAACATAGTCCTCCCAGACTTGTGAAAGTGTACGTGTGTCATTGGTTTCAGTTGACCCGCGAGAAGTGACGGCCTCAGACGTCCGGACTCTCTGCAGTCATCAGCGTCGTACCTTGTCTCAGCGTTTGCTCTCACTACCGTCTTCGCGTCCTACCCTTCGACTTCTTCGACTGGAGACGGAGGCGCAAAGCTCGTGTTTGTGCGGGGGTAGCGGGACTTGATTTGTAAAAGTGATTGAGCGCAGTCAAAGAGGTCAGTCATGGCGTAGTTAGTATCCTGTTGCAACAGGTCCTGCTCGTGGAGGCCACAATTTTAGTGGGGTAGAGTAAGCACATGTTAGGTCAGCGTTTGTTCCTGATTGTTCGAATATGGATAGTCCATTTGCTATATTCATTAAGTTAACAAGGAACAGGGTTTGAAGCAAATCGGATTCTGCGGAAATACTCACGAACATCCTCCAGGTTTAGAGTCCTGACTCATTGAGCGGGTTTGTGGAATCATGAACATGCTCTGACCCTTGGTTCTATGCCTGTTTATAGTGGAAGATCAGTAATATGTAGATCAAGGTAGAGTACTGTAGGTAGAGTCTCAGCAGAAGACAATGGACACGGGTTCTCGTGCGGAACCGGGGGAAAGGACAATTAAGGTATCAGGATTTGGAGCCATCAGGTCTCGTTTGATGGGATCAAACAAGTCAATGGACTATGTACAAGACTTCTAGGGCCGCACGAGTGTGAGTGCGAGAGCGCAGGTAATGGCGCTGATGACGCTAGTCCCGATTGAGCCAGACAATAACAGCATGTGTGAACAATAGGGGAGAGATTCAGTCTCTTTTTCGCCAACATTCTATCTCGTAAGATTAAAGATAACGATCATCACCAACATCGACTGTACATGAAGCTATACGCATGCAGTCTCAGCTTACGGTGACCGATTCATCATCTGGGTTTCTCGCGCGAGGTCGTACGAGAGTTCAGTGGAACCAGTGCGCACTGATATGGGGGAACTGGTGAAAGGGACAACGCCCCAGCCGGGAAGCTAATACCAGAGAGTCAAGCTGGAGTCATTAAAGTCATTAGTCGATCAGTAAGCCGACGTTTTCAATCATCGTTGGTGCTGTTCTTCTGGATCTACCTCCTCTCGTCTCCACGCCGGAGTGCGATGCTTTGATCAATTCAGACACAACATGCTCTAAATTGGATTGGTTAGCCATTTTGGGGCTGAATGAATAATGAAATTTTCATGTGCAGTTATGAGGACGATGGATCGTCAGGATCACCATCAAGTTTGCCGGAAATGGTACTTTCTTTTGCTCCGACTACGTGCAATTGTGACTCGTGCGAGATGCTGGTCAGTTGTCACCCTCAGCATCAATAGTGCCAGATTTGACTCTGCGGATACGAATCAACACGAAATCATTCCTTCCGAGCTGGCCGAAGCCAATGATTTTGCCAACCAAGTGCACGCGCGACACAATGGCTGGAGAATCAAGATGCCAGAAGACTGGACCATGAGAAGTATTTATAGACCGCCGAGTCTTGCTCTGGTCCCGGTGATGACTCCAATCACTCACTCGAGACATTTCTCTTCACACGTTACATCTCAGATTTTTCAAACAATCCTCAACCATGGTCTCTGACGGCGCCCACTTCGACTTCATCGTCGTTGGGGGAGGCACTGCTGGAAACGTAGTCGCTGGGCGTCTCGCAGAGAACGCCAATGTCAACATCCTCGTCGTCGAGGCAGGCGTCGGCAACTCTCATGAGGTCGACGAGATCACCACTCCTGCCTTGGCAATGGACCTCCGAGGAAGCAAACACGACTGGGCTTACAAGACCACCATGGTGAAGCGTGATGACTATGAACGTATCGAGAAACCCAACACTCGTGGAAAAGCCTTGGGCGGCAGTTCATCTCTCAATTACTTCACCTGGGTTCCCGGCTGTAAGCCAACTTTCGATCGGTGGGCAGAATACGGAGGCAAGGAGTGGACTTGGGACCATCTGCTGCCCTACCTTCGGAAGAGTGCCACCTACCATGATGACCCCAAGCTCTATCTTCCCGAGCTCAAGAAGATCGGCGGCGGCGGCCCCATTCCGATCTCTCATGCGGAGCTCGTCGAAGAGATGGAGCCTTTCCGCGAGGCTGTGATCAAGGCTTGGAAGTCGAGGGGCGAGAAGGTTAACGAAAACATTTACGACGGCGAGATGAATGGCCTCACGCACTGCTGCGACACCATCTACAAGGGTGTCCGATCGGGAAGCTATTTGTTCCTGCGCAACAAACCCAATGTCACCATTCTGCCCGAAGTCCACTCGAAGCGTCTTCTCCTAGACGCCGGCAAGACCTGCAAGGGCGTGACGGTCATTGACCCGGCAGGAAGAGAGCTCAGCTTTTACGCCGACCGCGAGGTCATCCTCTCCCAGGGAGTTTTCGAAAGCCCCAAGCTTCTCATGATCTCTGGCATTGGTCCCGCCAATGAACTCGAGAGGCACGGCATCCCCGTCGTGGTTGACTCTCCCCACGTAGGCCAAAACCTGGTCGACCATCCCGGCGTCCCCTTCGTGCTGCAGGTCAAGGAGGGCTACGGCATGGAGGACTACCTCATCCGCCCGGGGTCCAAGCAAGCCGCGACCGCGTCGGCCTACAAGAAAAACCATTCCGGCCCGATGGGGTCCGGTCTTCTCGAATTGGTCGGGTTCCCTCGCATTGACAGTTACCTGGAAAAGGATGAAGAGTACAGGAGGGCCAAGGCGGCCAACGGAGGACGCGACCCCTTTTCGCCCGAGGGACAGCCGCATTTCGAACTGGACTTTGTGTGCATGTTCGGCAGCGCGTTCCAGTGGCATTACCCGGTGCCCAAGCACGGCAACTACATCACCATTGTCGTCGACCTCGTTCGGCCCATCTCCGATCCAGGCGAGGTGACGTTGAACTCTGCCGACCCCTTGGTGCAGCCCAACATCAACCTAAACTTCTTCGCCAACGACCTGGACATCATCGCCATGCGTGAGGGGATCCGATTCACCTACGACGTCCTCACCAAGGGCGACGGCTTCAAGGACCTTGTCGTCGCCGAGTACCCGTGGGAGATGCCCCTCGATTCGCCAACGGATATGAAGAGAGCCGTCTTGGACCGCTGCCAGACCGCCTTCCATCCCTGTGGGACCAACCGTCTGTCCAAGGCCATCGACCAGGGCGTGGTCGATCCGCAGCTCAAGGTTCATGGCATCAAAAACCTTCGAGTCGCCGACGCCTCTGTCATTCCCGTGATCCCTGACTGCCGCATCCAGAATTCCGTGTACATGATCGGAGAGAAGGCGGCTGATATGATCAAGGCTGCCCACAGGGATCTCTTTTAGACAGGTAGTTGTCTCAGATCAGTCGTGTCAATGAGTATCGCATTTGCAAGTTTCTAAACGCATACATACAGCTTTGATGCTAATGCGTGATCATCTTACTGTAACGAAGCCATCACGTGCGTAAAGTTCTGTTATATACCTAGTAGTCACTCTTTAAAAAAAAGTAGCTTGTTTGGCGAATATCTCTATTTGTCTATTCCAATATAGTAGGGTCTTAGTAACTAACTATATTAACGATGATTTAACTCATCCTCACCATGCTTGGTTCGAGAGCAAAGATGTGTTATACTCTCGCGATACCATTAAAATGCTAAATTTTGAATATGAAAAAGGTCAGTCAATATAACGACGTCTTATACTCGTTCAAATTCTACGACTTTGACGAGAATGGGCGGCATTGGCAGGCTTCCATCAGACTGTTTCCGTGACAGCCGATATCAATTCAATCTCTCATATCGTCCCGAGGCGTTCAGGCCCGATGCGTAGTGTGGTCTGGTGGGCAGCTCATGGAAATCGCTTTCCTGTAAAATCTCTCCAACGGACGCAACGGTCTGCTTTTTGCGCCACCTTGCTTTGACAGTTGCCATCAATCCGGGCAATTCAGATTCTGGGCCCACTAGAACGGAACCAGGATGTTTGATGTTGAAACAGAGCAGCGCGAGTACCATCGGAACGGCTTCAAGGATGTAGAAACAGGCTTCGGAGGATACCAAGGGGTTATTGGAAGATGTTCCTCCCGAGGAAAACTGGATCAGTCGAAACATGATGCGGACCTGCAATGGAAAGATTTAGTTTAGTATGAACCACATAGGAACGAGATAGATGGTAGAGGGAGATTGGAGTAAGACATACCGTGATCAACCCCAATGTGGCATACAAAGCATACAAAAGGGACCTCCACTCTTTCGCAGACGTCGCACCGTGCAGTTGTCGGATCTTTTCATTCTTTGTCATTTCCCGTTGGAATTTAATGGCCAGTCCGACAAAAATAAAAATGAAGAACTGCTGCAGACCAATGCCCCCCATGTAGATGTGAATTCCCTGCATCTGCTTCGCCTCGGAAGCCGTGGGACTCGCCCAGCTCCCCCCGACGAGCTGGATGACGAACGAGACGAAATCCAGCGACACAAACCCCGCAGCCAGGGTAGACGCAGGTATAGAGAAGAGTGAGCGACCCGGGGTGAAGAAGTAGATCAACCGGCCTAGAACCATATAGTCAAATGCGTTGACCCCTGTTCGATGGTATGAGTATGCCGGTCGAGGGAGGGAGATAGTTTTTCAAACCTGACTTACACAATGGGGCAAGAAGAATGAAAATCTGAAAGACCAGATAGATATTGGCATTCTGCTGGTGGCGGGTGCTTAAGGTGCGAAAGGTGAATGCAATGGTCTCCCAGGAGGCAGCCATGATTATCACCCAGCAAAACTTCTGTGATGGAAAACAAAAATTGGTCCCAAAAACTAGAACATGGGGATGCCGGGGAGTTTCCCACCTTCTTATATGCAACTGCTTGACAGATGTGGACCGAAACCAGGATACCAAACAAAGCGGCGAAGACCAAAGCTGCACCAAAACTGGGATAGTAGTCCCATAGAGCATTGCAAGTTCCAGGAGGAAGATATCCATTTTTGTCGGGCGTAATCGTCTGGAGGCAGGTCGGAATAGCGATGTGTATCGTCTGCGGAGCGATTGTCACATAGCTGTTTGTGACACCACCTTTGATAGTGATCACCTCAGTGGAGGTAAAGTAGACAACTCCCGAAGTGGATGGGGTGCTAGTGGTAGGCGTGGGAGCCGCCTGTTGTCGGAATTGAAGCATTGAAGAAGGGAGAGATGATTGTGCGGGACTGGAGGCCGAGTATGGCTCAAGAACGTTGTTGTTTCAAGGCCGTAGACAAAGCAATAAATGCGATAGGGAGTAACAAGATGGCTCTGGTCTTAGGATGGAGTGAGACCGCCGTGAAGGACGGAAGATTGAACCCGGGCACTTGAAGGCAGGTACTTCTTCAAGAGATATATATTGTCCATAGGAGGGCTCACCAAGGCTGATATAGCCACAAACAAGGTTGGTGGAGGCTCGGAAGTGGATAAAAATTGGTCAAGTCAAATGCGTCGCAAAGTCCGAGCCGGCCAATCAGTGATATGAATATGGTCCGCACCAGCCAGATTTGAAGGTCTGTCTTCTCCAATGCCAGAAGGCTAGGTAAATAGCATTATTGGCGGGATTCTGCCGTTAGGAAAGTGCCATCCAGTCACTTTTCATGACCAATTCATCATCAGGTTCCCAAAACACGGAATGCATTTGCGTCCAGACGACCTCATGGCCTTCGTCATCCTGGCGAATATCCACGCCTGGGTTAAGCATAACCTCCCTGATACGCTCCTCTTCTGAAGGTACTTCGGCATACCTAGGGAGAGAGCTCTGCACGGTGATCTCGCTCAGGGTAATATCATGCTCCATCTCGACCAGACGCTGGCCCACACAATACATCGTGTTCATGTCCCAGAGGTTTTCACGGTCAATCCCCAGTTTCTTCATCAAAGACAAGGCGGCGAGGCGAGTAGGTAGAGACCGGCACTTCATGACGACAAAGTACAGGAGAGGCGTAAAACCCATCTCGCATATGAATTTAGGACGAGGAGAATGATCTGGTGATCCTCGCAGCACCACCTGAGATGCTAGGTTCACTATTGACCGGAATTTGTCGAGATGCCGATCGTACGCCATTTCATTTGGCTCTAGAGCCACGTTTACCCAAATCTGGGTCACCAGATATCTCATCTGAAGAAGGTGACATCTTAATGGGCCACTTTCCAGCGGCGGCTGAGCAGCCTGAAACTCGGAGAACGCATGATACCACGCATGCAGGGACCTTTCGAGGCGTTCTTGCTTCTCCCTAATCGAAGCTGGGACGTCCATGTGTCGCAATGTCCCTAGACGATAATCTCCGGCGGAGCGGATGAATCGAATCGATTCGGAGAGAAGAATGTCGAGAGAGCATTGGGCATCCGCAATCTTGGCGAAATGGTGTTGAAATTTGGCGTCCAGGCCTGCCACATAAGGAAATGACGAGACCGAGCACCCAAAAAACAAAGGAAAGATACTCAACCGACAGAAAATGATGGGGAGGTAATCATGGCGTATAACTAGCGATGGTGCGGCCCTGTTGAGTATCAAGATACCGTTGCGGCAGTGCTCGATGGCCGAGTCCTGATTCCCTTGCAAAAACTCGACACAAATGAAGAGCGCACACACAAGTAACACCACTGCGTCATCCCGAGACGAGAGCAGCTCCTTGATTGCTGAGTTATAATGGCGCACGGCGAAGTAGTCTGTTGATGCAAGAAGTGGCGATTTGTTCATGCCTTGGAACTGCTCATAGAGCGAGCTCAGAGCCACCACCGCATGCCTGACGGCCGGCTCGCGGTGACTCATTTGTAATACCATATTTGTCCAGAAGTAGGCGTCGAACTCGCCTGAGAGGGCCGGGCCAGCCACATTCCGGAAAAAATCAAACGCCCTGGCTTCGCGGCCATGGCTACCGCTCGAAGTCAGGCGGCGTTCTTCGTGTAATGACAGAACAACCCGAGGTTTGGAGAGGTAGCCATCACATCTCCTGCCCGTATCTGTGCACCTTGCGCAGTGTGGCTTTGTCTCGTCGCATTTTACCTTTCGAATCCTGGGAGTGCGGTTAGCGCGGACTCTTTGAGGACTTTGGGAGAAAATAACGTCCACATACTTGCATGTGTTACAGCCTGTTTTGACCTTCGGTTGCCCCTTTCTAACCATGGCATAAGATCAAAATCCAGGGATTTAGAAAGAAAGTCCGAAGTCTCCAGTAATGATCAGCTCCATCGATATAGTATCACGCCGTTCAGGGCAGCAGAAACATCCCTTGGAGCAGGGTCCATTTTAAAGCAGGCGGCCCCCAATTGCTGTGGCGCGTACGGAGTAACTGCAACAGCCTCATTATGGCAGAGTCCGAGCAAGCCAATAGGAACACTGATCAATCCTGACGTCTTCTTCACACCCGTACGGAGTATTACGAGCTTCCGAATTCGAATACAGAGTGGCCTTACCAAACAGCGCCTCGTATATGCATGCTCCACCACTGCGTGTACGGTGCAGTATTAAGAACATGTTGGGGTTGTCGGTAACAACGCAATGGGGCCATAGTGACATAGATTTTCCCACAACACAATGGTACACAGGGAACGAGATTTGCCGGTCACATCTGTTCTCAGGTCAGTTCGCGGTTTCTCAGATGTCTATCGTTACGAGATGCTTTCAATGTCTCGATCTGGTCGCCCTCAACCAGTACTACACCAAGTTACAACATGAGACTTTCGTCCGCTTTGGTGGCAGCTTCCGTCGTACCTCGTAAATGAAGCCAAATTCGGGCCCGAATTGCCAGGGTGCACGCCCGATACCATCTCACACGGGTGAGTCTCAACGTCACTTTATCATGTCTATGAGGCTAAATCGTGTCCCTTGCAACAATATGTACAAAACTTCTATCTTTCTCTCCCCCCCAGACCGTTATCTTTCTTATTCTTACGTGACTGCTCAAGGCCAAGTTTTCTATTTTCCGTCCTCCAACCGTCAAGGGCGCCATAATGCCATCGCAGAGAGTGCTCATCGTCGGGGCAGGTGTGGCAGGCTCGGTAGCAGCTTTCTGGCTGGCCAAGTATGACTTTGAGGTGGTCGTCATTGAACGGTCCAAAGCCGAGCAGAAAGCCGGACAAGGGATCGAGATCGAAGAACCTGCACTTCAGGTTGTAAAAGCCATGGGCATCTTGGACGAACTGAATGAGAAGAAGACGGGCGAGCTCGGGTTCGAGTGCCACGATGAGAAGTTTCGTGTGCACGGTCGCCTGGAGACGGGCGCATTTAGTCCCACGGGCAACCTCGAACTCATGCGAGGTGACCTGACCGAAGTCCTCTACAAAGCTGCCGACGGATCTGCCAATGTGAAGTACCACTTCGAAACGACGATACAGAGTCTACGACAGATACAGGATACAATCATCGTGGAACTTCAGAGAAGAAACGACAAATCCAGTTGGACCGAGGAATTTGATTTCGTGATAGGCGCCGACGGAGTCAAATCACATACGAGAAGGCTCACAATGGGACCCCCTGAAGTCATCAAGTGCTTCAAGCCCGTCGGCGCCTACGTGGCATACTTTTCAATTCCGAAGGAAGATCGGGACTGGCCCTACTCTCGAATGTGCGCCTTCCCCGGCCGGCGGATCATCTGGATCCGGCCGCTTGGAAAAGATGACAAGATAGTCTCGGTGTATCTGATCCACCTTGGTGGCGACCTTCCTGACCTGCACCGAGCAATTGCCACTGGAGACAGGCCGAAGCAGAGGGAACACCTTGCCAAATTATACAGTGGCTTGGGCTGGGAAGCGCCACGGGTCGTCGAGCACATCATGACCGCAGAAAACTTCTACGCGGACGAGCTTGAGCAGGTCAAACTCCAGAAATGGTCGCAAGGGCGGGTCGCGCTCGTCGGTGATGCAGCTTGTGCTCCGACCAATTTCACCGGGTCCGGCAACCAGTTGGCGATCATAGGTGGATGGGTACTGGCTCAGGAGCTGTCGAGACACCGAAGTCCAGCGGCGTTTGAGACGTACGAGAAGAGACTGCGCGCATACGTGGAACAATGTCAGAACATCCCGCTCTGGGGATACGCGCCCTACATTTTCATCCCACAGACAACTTGGGGCATCAAGTGTCTTCAATTGTTTTTCGTATTGATTTCCTGGGTGGTACGTTTCCTTCTGTGGTCGAACCTGTCAAAATTGTTCCCAGAGGGGCATGAGATCAATTTCAATCTGGAGATGGAGGGAGTCGAAGCAAAGACTGCACGGTGAAGATTGTGTATTTGCCGGCACATATAGGGCGCTTGCACTCTCATTGGAATATTTGATCCAATCCCAGATCGCGTCAATATATGAATCTCCCCTCCTGTCTGTATCCTTAGCACACCACTCAATCCTGCTAGCAAGCCATCATCTAGTCACAGCCGTATCGCGCTTCTTCTCACATCCATAGAGTCTCAATGCAGACCTGATGTTATCTCGATCTAGTCTTTTTCAGACAATTTTTGAACCCAGGTGAATATAAAATGATAGAATTCACACCCCAAGTTCAAGCAAACATTAAATCTGAGCAGATAGAGAAGTGGTGGTGGGTATTGGAGGCACTTTGGTAAATTTTTGGTTCTCCGCGTTGTGCGTGACCTTTCGTCATCTCGGGCGCGTTTGGGGAAATCACAAGACAGCTTCGAGGTCTAGACGCAGACACGCAAGTCGACACGAGCAACACCTGGAATTCATTTTTCCAGTGTAGGTGTTGCCAAACAAACATGAAAAGACCATCGAGATCCAGGTCTCACAGACAGCTCGAGCTCGTGGTCGACAGCTTCTTTTTCTGCCCCTCCTGTACGATATGGCGAACCGGTCGACCCGGTCTGCGATCTGGTTTCTTGCGACGAGCCCTCTCGACGACCCGACGAAACTCTGCTGCGATTCCCACCTCACACACGGCCGTCAACGCCACGAAGAATGTGCCCGCGCGCTACAAGCCGCTCCATGAAGCTCTGGGGGAGGTGTGGAAGAAGGCCTCGGCGCAGGTGAACCTGAGTCGACTACAACTTGCGCTGCAAGGTCTCGAGTCGGAGACCCCCGCCACGAGGGTGGCAGTGTTGGGACTGAACGTCCAAGACACGGCGCGGAGGGTCGTGCGATTACTGCTCGCCGACGCACTGGAAGATGAAGGGTCGTGGGAGAAACAGATTCTGGATCCCGGGGCTGCCTTCAGTCACGGCCTGGTGATACGGTATGGTCGACCGCCGAACCCAAACCTACCACAACCCAGGACCTCGACGCCGGTTCTCTACGTGCCTTCGGACGTTCTGCTGAGGAACAACGTCGAAGTATTGGTCTCGACGATCCAGGGTTTGGGCAATGGCGAGCTGCTTCAAGGCGCCCACACCGTCACCGCGGATGCGTTCCTGTCGCCTTCGGTCGGCACGCCCACGGCGGCAAGTGGCAGGCAGGTCGCGATCAGCCAACCTGTACACAGCACGTTGCTCGTCACGAACGGGTTAGGAGAGCTCATGGCGGCCGCAGAGTTGCTCGCTTCTACAAATTTTGTGGCTCCGGAAGACCGCAGGTCGGTCCAGTCGGTGGTGAACCTGGAGGGTACGAAGACGACGGCAGCTCACGGACGACAGGTGCTGATCGTCGATGCGACCAAGGCGGAGGAAGGTCTCGCAGCGATTCGTCGGTCCGTGACCGAGGCGAGAACTTACGAGCACAAATGGATAGATTCTGGCCTTCCTTCGTTGACGACCTGGCTCACCTCTTCATCTGCCGCTCGCTCCGAGGGACCTATCCCGGCAACAGTGAAGACTTTGATAAGCTCGGTTCTCACCAATGCAACGAGGAACTTACAAGCACAGGCTGCTTTAGAAAAGCGATCCAACGCAGCTAGGAGTATAAACTATACGACAAAGGCTACCCTGGAAGACTTGATCGAAGAGTTTTCTCGAAATGCACATCAAGAGCTTCAGTCAGGATTATCGTCCGCATGGGGTTCACGAAACTGGCGGAAACTAGCATGGTACAAGCTCTTTTGGCGAGTCGATGACGTCGGATTGATCATTACCGACCTCATCACGAACGCATGGCTACCACGGACCGAACGAGCCGTATATGAGCTATCTGGCCGCTTTTCCCAGGCAGGAATATCTCTAATGGATGTTCCGCAAAACGGTAATACCGTGGCTCTTCCCGAAACAGAGAAGATTGAAGAGCCTACCCAAGTATTACAAGCCCAAGCAGGAGTTGCGACCGAACCGGCCGTAGAACCAGTGCTGGTCAACAGAACGGGAAGAACAGAGATCGAGATGGCAGCCATTGCACGTCCAGTGCCTTTGTCGTCTTCGATTTCAGCCATTCGTGCTACTCAAATCGATCGTGCCATCACTAGTCTTACCAGTACGGCTCAACAGATTGTGCTCAAGACACTGTCCTTGACTGGTCTCTCAGCTGGACTATCTGGCCTGACATATGTATCCGTGGCGGGCAGCATGTACGAGGCTGGAACCATCGTTGCTCTCGGCACGGCATATGCCCTGTGGCGCATGCAGAGCGACTGGTTGAATGCCACCAAAACTCTGGAGACGGCATTACACGAAGAAGGTAAGACGTTAATTCGGAGGATGGTCGGCCGAATGAGGGACTTGGTTGAGCAGGGTAGCAAAGTTGTCGAAGATGAGGTCGAGGTTCATACACGGAGGGAGGCCGAGGATGCCGTCCTAAGGGCGAAGGAGGAACTTGAACGTCTGAAGTAGTCAGGTAGTCGAGATTCATAATGATCATGTCTGGAGTCTGTAGCACATCTCTACATCACCATCATGATAGTCTTTGACGGACTTAGCTGACTTGAACTGCGTCATCGGGCACGCCTCTTCTGCTCTTGAGGCACCGCGCCCAGAATTGCATCATGGGCAACACCTCTTCCCTGTTCTTGGGCATCGTGTCGCCGGCCTTCTTCCACCGATGGTAGGTGACGAACTCGAAGACGCCCTTGACACGTTTCAAGGAGCTCGAGTCGGCAGCCGCAAGCGGCGAGTTCGAACCCGAAAGGAGCAAGACGGGAGTCCTGTTTGTCGTTTTGCTTGGGGCGGGAAGGGATAGAGGCAACATTCCGCCAATGGCCATGACCCCTCCCAGGGAAAGGGACGACAGTGACGCGTGCAACGGCACCGCTAGGGCCACGGAGCCTCCTTGCCCGTACCCAAAGACGTGGATGTGGTCCGGCCGGTAGCCTTGTTTGGCGATCAGGGTGTCGTGGATGACGTCGCGGGCGACGAGGTCGACGGCACGACTCGTGGGTGATGAGTCCGGGTCGGCGTCGAGAGACCCTGTGCTCGCATCGACGTGAAGATCGTCGGACCAGGAATGGGACGTGCCGTCAGGATCCAGCGGGACGGGGAGGGGGAACGGAGGGTTGAGGGTGATTGTCAGTGCGTCTGGAAGGTTCAGGGCACGAGGGAACGAGAAGAAGTTTGAGGCGTTGTCGCCCAAGCCGGGCAGGAACAGGATCACATTGGTCGGCGTGGTGTTGGGAGGGAGGTGGATTGTGGGATTGAGAGACGTGGGAAAGTCGCTGGCTTCTGGGAGGGGCATACTTGGTTGTGGCTGTGCCTGGTGCGTGTAGGATATTCCACATGTGCTGTACTCGCTAGGAGTTGGATGTGGGTGAGGCGATTCGAAAGTCCACAAAAAAAAACAGGGCACAAGTGAGGCTGTGACAAGTTGTTACCTGTGCTCGCGATCGAGTAATGTCAAATCTCTTCTCGAAAATGGTACAATATGTATGGTCGATCAGGCACATCTAACCGAGTAAGTTTACCCAGGGTTCTTGTACATAATTCGTACTGGTTATGGGGAGTTGGTTTGGTTGTCGTGAAAAACATGTTCCAGCATGACGTCGAACTCAAGCTTCGATTGGAGAACTTGGCATGCGAAACAAGCATCAGCCCCCTGGAGAAACCCTGCAGGGCCCTTGGAACAACTACGGCTTTAAACGCCAGTTTTGAAACAATCATACGTAGTACCCCTCGCCTTACCACACTTTGTTGAAGTGATAAGCCAGAGTGTACAGCATCCTAAGAAGGCACAGTAGTGTTGTACAGACGCTGCAACGAGCTGTACATGGCTACTGTCAATCGCTTTGAACAACGCTAATATAATTCTCTGACTACCATCACCATGTACTTACCACTCGTAGTACTCCGTATTTCTTAGTACATTCCACGATCGAGTCCCCGCTCATCCCGTTTTCTGATCCAAGCGAGCTGAAAGGACAACCCGTTGCGCTGCGGCCACATGAGCCACCACCCGAACTTTTGCATAGCCACCTGCTCGGATGGGTTCCTAGCTGAAAGAAAAATAGTGAAACATTCCGACGTTTACAGCTGTGCCTGGCAGGACAGAATAGAGTCCTCTGACTCGTCGCATTGCCGTACTTTTCCTTGGGTTGACGCAGTGGGTTCTTCACGACCAACCGATCCGAAACAGCTTTGAATGGCCCCCCGGGAAGAGTGAGATGCAGCGAGGCCACGGACAGTGAAAATGGGTCGGTGGGGTTTGGTTCCTATCACCCCCTTCCACGCGTCCAATTGTGAAGTACCTTGAGAAGACCAAACGCAGGACCCAGGTTAAATTCGTGATGGAGGGGCAATAATGACTGCATAAGGCAGGTAGGTGACAATACCGAGAGTGGCACACCGTCCCTTTCGTCCCAGTCACTTTCAAGACGTATATAAACTTGACTAAATCTGCCCCTCGACTTCTGGCACCTTTCCACATCTCACGACCTCTGAAACCACCTCTTCGTACAGTGACACTTCTCACTCGATACTCCAAACCAAACCAAGCCTACCCAAAACCAAATCTATCTTACATTACCGTCAGAATGTTCGGCTTCGGTATGACTACTCTTCACACCGCCCCCCTCCCCCTTGGGATCCAATCCAATTCCTACCTTACCTACCACAGGCAACCCCTCCCCAGATACTAGCAACAAAACTTGCTAACCTACGCATCTTATCTCAAACCAGACGACGCTAGACAATCTCACCAAGAGGTCTATGGTAACGGAGGCTACGACAATCAGGCCAAATTCTCTCACGAACTCATCGCAGGCGGTGCTGCCTTTGAGGGTATGAAGTTGTTCGAGGACCGTCAACGCAAAGAGGGTGAGTCTACTACGATTTCAGCCCAATGGCAATAAAGACAGTCACAAAAGACTGACAAGCAAACTCAGGCAAGCCCGTCTCCCATTCCTTTGCCAAGGAACTTCTCGCCGGATTCGTTGGAGGAGAAGTTGACAAGCTCGCCGAGACCAAGGGAATGAACGAGTATGATGCCTACGAGGCTAAGAAGAGAGCCAGAGAACATGCCGAAAACATGTATGATCAGCACTACGGCGGCATGGACCAGTACAACCCTGACCAGCGTGATGCTCCCAACTTCAACTACTAGGGTGCTTGAAGGTAGCCAGCGGTTGCAGCAGCCTCAACTGATGGACAGAATGGTTTGATAGTGCTAGCCAATAAGTGTCTCGGCATATGCCTCAAATCCAGAGGCCATGAGAACTCAAAGCGGCATCTAAAAGCCAATGATTATCATATCAACCCATACGGTTATTCGTTATGCATTCGAGAATCATGTCCTTGCGTTTGACTATTTCATAACTCATCATCTTCGCTAGCAGTCTCTTCGTCTTCATCGTCTGCCGGTGTAGCAGATCCAGCAGCTTTCTCTGGCTTGTCTGTCACACCTCTCACTTTGCCAGTAGCTTGCCTGGGAAAAGGCAATTCTCGGCGAGGAGGTAAAGTAGTTGGAATCTTTTTCTCCCTAGATTCCTTACTTCTTGTCTGAGATCGGAGGCGTGATGTTGGGGGAACATCCTCGTCTTCATCCTCACTTGCGGTCTCCTCAGGGCCTGGACTGGGAGTGGAGTGCCCTGACTCAGAAGATACATGCTCGTCTGGATTATTGACGACGTCATCAACATCCATGGTCTCAAAGCCGTCGCTTTCTTCCGTCTGTTCTGGCTCTGCCCGTCGTTTTGTCCCTCGTCGTGTACGCGAAGGAGCCGCATCTCCTTTGGCTCCCTGGAATTCTTTGAGTTTGCTGGGATCTGCCTGCGCCGTACTAAGAACTCGTTGCATATTGCGGATTTTCAGCTTCTTCTCGTTCAGCAGAGCAGCAAATTTGGCAAGCAGTTGCTCTTCATGTTCTGCTTTTGCCTTGACCAACTCATCGATTTGCTCCTGAAGGGCGTTGACGACTTCATCCTTCAGTCTTGCCGTCTCTTGAAATTCCTCCGTGGTATTTTCCAGCTCATCTCGTTTGTCAATGACTTGGACCGCCCAGCCAAAAAGATCAATCTCATCGGTATCTTCGGTTTGAGGCAACTCAATAGAGCCTAATTGCTGGGTGATGTCCTCAATCTTGTTGAGTAGGGATATGGTCAGCGTGCCCTTCGGGTCTTTACCGGATACTGAACACTTTACGTCCAGGCTGGTCTTTTGTGTCGCGGTGAGGTTCGGTCCTGTTTTACATCTGAAGAGATGCAACAGGATTGCTGTCCAATCGTCGTCGCTTCCATCGTAGGCTTTGGCTCGCAATTTCTTCAGGCTTCGTTGGCGCACTATTCTATTGATCAGTGCATTCACCACAGATTCAACAAGAGACTCTACCCTTTCCTACATATGCAGCATCACCATCTGTAGCAAGAAGATCGAGGTCCAAGTCATGCCCGCCTTCTTTCTGTGAAATTCTCACCAGCAAGGGAGTTTTTTCTTTGTCGGCTTTCGTCAGCCGAATGACCCAAGATGCCATACTGACGATATCTGGGATCTTCTTGCGAGCTGCGTCATAATTCGACTTGCAGCTGTCTATGTAGTTCTGCAGGTGCAAATGCTCAGACGAGCATCTGGACGAGCATTAAACCAAGCAATAACATGCTAGACTGCAAATTCCTATCCGTATCACAAGAGTTGACTGACGGGTGTCATCGCCCGCATCGCCGCACAGACCATGTCGCCCTTTTAGCGGCCACGCGTGGTGTAGCGCGTTTTACAGGGGAGTCGCCAGCTAATCACATTTCGAGGTCTCTTCCTGCCACAGCTTTTCCCTTCTTCCCTCGTTGTGCACGGCCAACTCTCTGAACCTGTGTCCGAACTCCACCTCAGAAAGCCCGAACATTGACCTCCAGCCTCCTACTGACCGCAATCCTGACCTGCAAAAGAAAAAGTCGACGACTTACAACATCTCATTCCTCATCATCCATACGGCCGCCCGAGGTCGCTACCGCTGCCTCCAAACGGTGGTGCTTCCCTCGACAGGGAGCCGTAAACAAGTCAAAACCAACATCTTCCACGGGTTTCGTCCAACTTTCGCTCAACGACATTACGCCTTCGCAACGACTTCTAACGACTTAAACGATTGCTCGTCTCTTATGTTTTTCCCTTTCATCGATGTCGACGTATTACTTCTCAAGAACTTAATAATCCGGCTCCGTTGACCATACCACGAGAAAGACGGCCGAGATCATGGAACCTCTCACCCTGAGGCCCCGAACCCCGGTCGAAATGCCCGAGGTAGAAGATTGGGACGATGATGATTTCGAGAACCTCGAGGATGTCCACTTCCGTAGTGCATCAACCGCGACTTCGGTTGTCTCGCATCCTCAAACAAACCACCGAGACTCAGTCTCATCGCGCATGTCGCTGCGCTCGGAGTCAAATCAAGGCGATGAAAATTGGGACGTTATTGTTGATGAACAGGCTTCGATAAAAGATGCAGTTGCTCTCGCAAAGAGCAAAGGAATACCTTTGCCATCAAATGTACCGCGTTCGGCTCTGGAAGGGGGAACGATTCGACGATTAAAAGGCAAGGAAATAAAGAAAGCCATTGCCGATGACTGGTCCGAAGATCTCGACTTACCAGGCACCGACATGCCTCTCAAGCTCGCCAAACACGACGAGCGTGATCTCTCGGAGAGTCTGCGACAAATCAGCGCCGCTTTCAGAACATCACCAAAAGCTCCCGATGTGAAGGATCTCCTTGACAATAATACGATACGATCTCCGAAGTCTCGGACAATAGCTACTCCGATAACATTGGAAGCCTTCAGAGATACGGACGAAGATGCTGGATTTGGTGACGTCCCAACGATAAAAGTTGCGAAGCACAGGACTCCTCAAAAGCCATTACTCTTTCAGCAACCCCCTACACCTATAAAACCGGAGACCGACAACATTGAGGATGATCTGGAGTTGCCCACTGATGGTCAACTCAGATTGTCGACGCGAAAGGCTCCTCAAACCCCACAACAGAGCGACGACTTCGACCTGGAATGGGCCGAGGGCAGTCTGGGTACGAGACATGCGGGAACCAAGAGAGGCGGACGTTCTGCTCGTAGTTCTTCTGCTTCAGCTCTAAGCCCAAGCGTTTCGAGTGCTTTTACGGCCGAAAGTGAAGATGAAGGTCTCGATGGACTTGTTCTTCCGGATGGCCCTCTCAAATTCGACGACAAACTGAAAAAGAGGCAACAAGAACATGATACAGACCGAGTATCTCACACCGAAGTCAAGCAGGAGCTTAAGCGTGTTTCTGGCAAAGATGATTTCTTCACTGGTCTCGACATTGGGGATGGCGAGGTTTTCGATCCCGCAAAGCTGACCCTCAATCGCAACATCAAGCACAAGACCACAAGGCCTGCCAGTCCTAGCAAGAGGACCACTACGACGCTCAGTTTCACGACAAGCAACAAACTTCCCGGTCCAACGATATCGAGGTTGCCTAGGTTCCAACCCGAACGACATGAGCGCGCTCGTTCCAATCTGGAACCTGTCTCGGAAACTGGCGCTGCAATCTTGTCATATCAGCGACCAGGTTCACGTCTTGGGCATCAACCGTCCATTTCGGCCATTCCCGCTCCTTCCACCCCTTCTACTCCCTCTACACCCAGCAGACGACTTCTACGGGGCGCCGAGTCACGGCCTGATCTACGCTATCAGCAGCCTACCACCACCAACGCTGATCTTCTGCGTGCTAAGAGATCAATGCCCGTTATGCGTGGTATGCAATCACCCACCAAGACCCCTTCAGCATATGCTAGACCTCCCTCGCGACAAGAAGCAGGTAGCCGTTTGAACATCCCATCGCGGCCAAAGACCCCAACGGCGACTGATCGTGCAGAATCACGTCTGGGAGACAACAGAAAGCCAGCGGTGCCCTTCATCCCAGCCGGTGCATCGGCTGGACAGTCTCAGCATATCAGTATCAAAAGCACCAGCAGCACCCGTCACTACCGTGGTCAAGGTTCCGACGGATCAGGAGACAGCATGTCTGCAGCGCAAAGATCACTATCTCGACTTGCTGGTCTTGGCCGACCCGAGACACCTGGCCGTGGAGGACGCAGTAACCTTGCTCCCGCTGAGCTGGCCGCACAAGCAAAGAAAACAATAACAAAGCCTGCCAGGCGGCGGAATTATGGTGATGGGACCGAATTGGAGATCTTCGACGACCTTCCCACATCGGCCACCCTCGAGTCGAAGTTTACCAAGACACCCATTGCTCGTGGAGCACCTCGAAGTCTGAGAAGCAAATTGGGTCTTTCACACCTTAATCCATCCACTTCATCACTGGGTAGTACCAGGCGCGGAAGTGACACACCTATCCCGGCCACTCCATTGTCACCACCTAAAGGAGACTTCCCAACTACTGCGCTGAACACCACCAACGTTCCTCGCTTTGCTCGTGACACTGCCGCCTCTCGTAACGCTCGAGAACAGCGTCAGATTTCAATGACGTTCCAGAATATGCGAGGCGAACCTCTTCAACCGATCTCTACCAATTGGAAGTCAGCTACCCCAGCTTCCCGACATAGTCAAGCAGGAAGTTTGAGGAAAAAGAAGAGCGATAAGCAACAGAAGCCACATCTCATCAAGGCTCTCGGAGCCGATGTGAATAGACCCAAGTCGGAGAAAGGCATGCACTACAATCCTCTGCTCTTTAGGTGGGAAGGGAACGAAAATGCGTTGGCCCCATTTGATGTGCCTGACTTTCATCCCAGAGGGGGAAGCCCCGGTGCTCTCGCTTCAGGCCAGCCAAGCCCTGGGACCAAAGCCAACCTTGCGCTGATTTCCAATGTCGGTTCGGGTGTGACAGGTGTACAAGTCGTAGGTGGTATGGTATTTGACCCAAGCCAAATGCGGTGGCTGAAGCTCGCGGAAAATGCCGATGCAACCACTGCAGGACTCCGGAGTGGAAGCGTGCAGATTGAAGAAGAAGAGGATGTATTCGCTGGGCTGGAAGACCTCAAAGAAGAAGATGAGACGAGGAGTCGGACTGGCACATTGGGCATGCAGATGCCTTCTGGGACAGGACCACAACTCGACGGCCGACGAGATTCGTTTGGCGATCCCGATGGCGGACATAGTAGTGGTGACGAATGGGGTTTGAGTGAAGAGTTTGACGTTGGGCCTGACTTTGTCAGACGTCAACGGACCGAGGAAGAGCGTTGGCGCAGGAAGGTTGAGAAGTGGTTGAGACGAGATGGAGAGGGTGAAGAGGATGAAGGCGCTGACGGAAGAGGTGGTTGGAGATGGGCAATCCGAGAGCTCGTCATGGCGCAGGGGGAGTAATGAGTGTGTATCACCACTATATTTCTCGGAAGGAGGAGTGGTCGGGTGGACATTGACAGCAAAAGTAGAGCGTGGGAGAGGGAAGCATTGATATCCACGAATGCTTCGAATCCTCTCATGCCTAACGACACTTTATTTAGTATACTCATTGCCTAATTTGCATGAGGTACGTTGATGACGAAAGCATGGTTACGGCCGACTTTTATACTTCTCTTTGATATTCTTTGTGTGTGTGACATTTTGTCGTTGGATTCTTAAAACTACTGTACTTTGATTGCGTATCAAGCTCTAATCGCTGGGTGAAGGGCTGATACTCGGCTCGCTGGATCAATGTATCGAGTATGGGGGATGTGATATTACCGGCAGGTATCATGTGGCATCATGACGAACTGTGTAGGATACGGGCAAGGGAAAAAGATGACATGGGTATGGACAAGAATCATGTGCAAACATCAGAGTAATCCAGACAATGGGTCGGACAGGAACAACAACAAAAAGGCACTGCCCAAAAGAAACCTCTTTAAAACTGTACATTTCTTCACTACAGCGTAGGTAGTCTGATCGCGAGAGAGAGGAAACCCCCGGTTTGGCAGTCTGCAAGGTATGTATGTACTGCTAACTCTTCTTCTTCCTGTTCTTCCACCATCCAGTGCTGCGCAAAACAAAACAGATGATACGACCATTCTGACCCCTAGAAACCGTGGTGGATGGAGTTCCTCTCATTTGTTGTTATACACCATGAGAGCATTCTCGCTTTTTTGCTTCCTCTCCATGCCGCCGGGTCTGCTGGCTTATGAAGAGGTATAAGGGCTGTCGCTCTTGCCAGGGTACAGGTCCTCTTTCAAGTTGACGCCGAGCTCCTCACGCAGTGGTTTCAGCTCTTCCAGATATTCCTCGTACTGTTGGGTGTTTTCGACCTTGGCCTTGATACCTGTTCGGGAAAGTCAGTCGCGCGATCCTTTTGTGTGCGTCAAGCTGTTTTGCTTTTCGCAACCAACGTACCTTCGAATATTCTGACGGCGGTAGGAAAGTCATTGACACGTCGAGCGGCCTTCAATGCAGCTGTGACCACACCGGGCGAAGGGACGAGATCGTAGGCGAATGCGTTGTTCAAGTTTCGCTGCAGGTTTGTGTCAGTCGCGCGGGTTTCTCTCTTTCTTTTTCTTGGAATTGTTGTAGGTTCTGCCTGCTCGTCTTACCTGAAGCTCAAAAACATCCTGCACGGAATCAAACTCTTTCTCATATCTGCCAGATGACTGGTGTTAGCCGAAGCTCTGAATGTTGTAATATTCGTGTCCCGCACGTCCGGGGTCTGCGCAGCTTTTGAACACGGGCTTATATTTGTGGCCTTGTTCCGAGCTCAGCCAAACGGTGTGTTCTTACCTTGCAGAGAACTCCTCGAATGTCTCTTCTTCGTGACCTGAGCTTCTTTGAACAGCTGACGAGCTGAAGGATGATTTCGCGGAAAGGGATTGAGCTACGAGCGGAGCTCTCCTGATGGTTCGGGTGCAAGGTCTGCACAGGGTGGACGCAGCAGGGCGAGCGGCGAGACGAAGGATCGGAAGTGAAGCCATTGCGCAGGCTGGGTCAACTATGGGACTTTTTGTTGTTGGTGGTGGTGGTGGTGGTGGTAGGAGAGGAGAGGATGTCGAGATTCTTTTGGACGGTTTTGGTTGCTTGGAAGTCGATATTGCCAATCGAAGTCACCTCACCTGAGAATTACTGGGAGCTAAAAAGAACGACTTGTGACTGGCTGGGGGGTTGTGACGGGTTGGTAATATATCCATTTTGTCTGACAAACGGATTATGACAGCTGGGTCGCTGCAAAGGCGGGGGACGAGGTTGCCAGACACTGGATTTCCTCGGCCGTACGGTACGGTGCCTGGTATTGCTGTTTTCACAAAAGACATGGTGTCATTGGCTGAATATTTGACACAGATTCTAGGCGTTTTTGCTACGCATCAAAACAAGTACACACTACGGTGTACAACGCTCCTTATCCTTACCGACAGTAGATATATGTGGTGTCTCGAGTCTCATCCTGTTCAAGAGCGCGCTTCTCGTGTTCCTCGTAAGAAATACGATATACGCGCGGATGTCGCTGTACAATCCCTGGTTACAATAAATACATTGCCTACTCGGAGATTGAGGGAAGCAAAAGTGCCAATGGGAAGCCGCGGCTATACTGGAGACTTGGCAAATGTCGTAGTAGTTGGCGCTTTCCCCCTGATCACCGAAAATGGCATTGAGAAATTCAACAATCGTTCAACCGCGTTTTCTGACTTCATCCCGCTCCATCCATCTCCGTTTACCGTGCGGCTTTATTAGACACACACCCTCTTCACTTCCTTTCCCCCTTCGACCTTTTTATTGACCCTCGACTCAGCTTCGAGACTTTTGTTTTCTTCTTCTTCCTCTACTCGCCATCCCGGCTTCTTTGTCACCTTCTGTCGCTCCTTTCTGCGCTCGCCTGGTTCGCGCATAGAAGCTCTTTTGTTTTTTTCTCCCTTCTGTCCTCCTCGCGTGCCTTCAGAATGGACACCATCAAGTCTCTTCCTCTGCCTACCCTCGATCGTCCTTTCGGCATCGAGCTATGGCCTATTTTCGCCAAAGGCTACCAAGCCATCTTTGGCTATTCCCCGTCCGAGTTCAGATTCGAACAGGGAAAGACTCCCATGTCGACCTGGCAAGAGACGGTGATCGCATTGGGTTCATACTATGTTATAATTTTCGGCGGGCGAGAACTTATGAAGCACCGCAAACCGTTCGTCCTTAATGGACCCTTCATGGTTCACAACTTCTACCTGACCGTCATCAGCGGTGGACTTTTGGCACTCTTCATTGAGCAGCTTCTCTCCACCGTGGTGCGCAACGGCATCTTTCATGCAATCTGCAGCTACGACGGTGGTTGGACCGATCGCTTGGTCATGCTCTACTACGTAAGTTTGTGCTCTCAGCGGCGCGCCCCATGACACACAAAACTGACATGCGCAGATGAATTACCTTACCAAATATCTCGAACTCATCGATACTGTATTCCTGGTCCTCAAGAAGAAGCCCCTCACATTCCTACATACCTATCACCATGGCGCTACTGCCCTCCTTTGCTTCACTCAGCTTCTTGGCAACACTTCAGTCTCCTGGGTGCCCATCACCCTCAATTTGACCGTCCACGTGGTCATGTATTGGTAGGCATTAATCGGTCTTCCCTCCCGAGAGAAATGGCTAACACGAGTCAGGTATTACTTCCAATCCGCCCGTGGTATTCGCATCTGGTGGAAGAAGTACATCACCATGCTCCAAATCATTCAATTCGTCATCGACCTGTTCTTCGTCTACTTTGCCTCCTACACCTATTTCGCTAACAGCTATTTCCCATGGGCTCCAAACTATGGTACTTGCGCCGGAGAAGAGTTTGCCGCCTTCGCTGGCATGGCTATTCTCAGCTCTTACTTGCTCCTCTTCATCTCCTTCTACTTCGCAACCTACCGAAAGCAAACCGTTTCCGGAAGACCTAGGAGAAATACCGGAAAGGAAGCTCTCATTGCCATGAAAGACTTGCCTCTTCCAGATCCACACAAGCTCCAGGAGGAAGAGAAGAAGAACAGCAGCAACGGTGCTGTCACGACTGGACGATCTAGCGGACCTACCACCAGATCACGAAAGGCTTAGGAAGCTGATGTGGACGACCGCTTCCGCGACGATATGCTTGCTTTATTGAAAAGCGCTAAACAAGATCAACATGCTTTAGAAAGACGAATCAGCGAAGAAGTGGTCCGGCAACAGCTGGGCTCTGTCTTTTCGGATCGTTCGGAATCCGCTTGCATGGATTCTGGCTGTGAATAGATTTGGGATAGGGCCCATTTTAGAATCATCTGGACAGAAGACAGCCTGGATCATTAGACGAGGTACGGCGACGAAGAGAGACGGGGTGGAGACGAATGCGACCGGGAAGGGTGTACAAGTATTGGCGTCAGCAAAGATTGGAAGCCTGCTCGACTTCGGGTTCAAGTCCAACAGCGCATCCACGGAGTCGGGTTTTGCTTTGTATTTGTGTAATTACTGCATACTCACTATTAATGCATGAAAAGTAATGTGCAAGGAAGCAGCATTGTATAGCACAGGAAATAAAAAGATGCAAAAACTTTCTTGAGCAGATTTTCCTTTTATTAAATGCCACGTCCGTAAACTCATCAGCCTCGTGGCTCAATACCTCTATTATCTTTTGCTATCAATTTGATTTGATCTAGAATTTCAAAAGAACTGACCCCTCGACAGGCAGCACGGGCGCACAAAAACCATCATCAAAGTAACCGGAACAAATGATGGAACTGAAAAACAAGACCTGGGAATTCCTTCTTCCCAAACCCTCTCTACTCTCACCCTACCCATCTTCTCGCACTCTGGAAGAGTCTGGCCCAGGGACCGTACTCGCCCCATTCGGTGCTCTTGCCGTCGGGGATGTAGCTGCCGACGCCCTGCAGGATGGTCCGTTCGGGGTGCGGCATCAAGGCCAGGACGCGGCCGTCCTCGCTCCGGACGCCCGCGATGCCCGAGGGGCTCCCGTTCGGGTTGGCGGGGTACGCGGTGGTGGGCTCGAGGGACCGGTTGTCGACGTAGCGGATGGGCGCGAGGTGCGACGCCGCGAATTCGGACGCCAGCTGCGCGTCGAGGGCCCTGTTGCCGTTGTCCGCGTCGGCGAAGCAGGCCCGCCCCTCGCCGTGGGCGACGGCGATGGGCAGGCTCGAGCCGGCCATGCCGTGGAAGAAGACGCTCGGCGGGAGGCCGCCGTCGTCGGCGACGATGCGCACCATGCACACGCGGGCCTCGTACTGCTCGGACTCGTTGCGCTCGAAGCTGGGCCAGTGGCGGGCGCCGGGGATGAGCTCCTTGAGCTTGCTCAGGACCTGGCACCCGTTGCACACGCCCAGGGTGAAGGTGTCGCGGCGCTCGAAAAAGGCCCGGAACTTGCGCCGCGCGTCCGGGTGGAAGAGGATGCTCTTGGCCCAGCCCTGGCCGGCGCCCAGGCAGTCGCCGAAGCTGAACCCGCCGGCGAGCGCGAGGCCCGTGAAGCCGCCGAGGTCGTGCTCCAGGCCCAGGTGCGTCTGGTGGGATTTGGGGTCGAGGATGTCGCTCATGTGCACGTCCACCGCCGTGAAGCCGGCGGCGTCAAAGGCAAAGGCCATCTCGGCGTGGCCGTTGGTCCCCTGGTCGCGCAGGATGGCGACGCGCGGCCGCGTGGTGGGGCGGACGATGCTGAGCAGGCTCGTCTTGTAGCTGTTGATGTTCTCCTTGGGGTTGTAGGTCAGGTTGTACGATAGACCGGGGTCGGAGTCGTTGCCGATGTTGGCGTACTCGGCGTCCGCGCACCCCGGGTTGTCTCGAAGTCTTTGCATCCAGTAGGAGGTGTTTGACCACTTTTGTTGCAGTTCTGCTCGGGCGCCGCGGTAGATCAGCTTGCCGCCGTGGTAGATTGCCATGTTTTGGGAACTCGACTTCGTGGAGACGCGGCCGATCTTGTGGATCAGTCCTGGAGGAGGGCCGCAGGTGGCGAAGCATGCTTTGAACTTGTTCTCGTCGGCCTTGCGGACTTGGAAGACGGCGCCGAGTTCTTCGTTGAACAGGCACGAGACGACGTCCGGCGTGTTTGGCGTGGGGCAGATGTCGTTGATCATGAGTTCGATGCCGCAGCGACCGGCGAACGACATTTCTGCGAGGGTGGTGAAGAGACCGCCGTCGCTGCGGTCGTGATAGGCCAGTACCAGGTCTTGTTCGTGGAGCTGCTGAGTCGCGTCGAAGAAGTCCTTGAAGAGGTTGACGGAGCGGATGTCGGGAGATTCATCTCCGATCTGCTTGAAGGATTGGGCCAGGATGGAACCGCCCATGGCACGGTGTGCGAGACCCAGGTCGACGAAGAAGAGCGTCGACTCGCCGACTTCGTTGTACCGCTTCAGTTGTGGCGTCCATGTCTTCTTGATGTCGAGGACCGGTGCGAATGCGGATATCACGACAGTCAGCGGGGCAGTGACTTCTTTGGCCTCGTTGGTGTCCTTGTCTTGCCATTTCATCTTCATGGACATAGAGTCTTTGCCGACGGGAATGGCGATGCCGAGCTGTGGGCACAGGTCCATGCCCAATGTCTCCACGGCTTCGTAGATCGCTGCACCTTCGCCAGGATGCGAGGCTGCCGACATCCAGTTTGCGGAGAGTTTGACTTGATGCAGGCGATCGGGTAGATCTGCCGCCGTCAGGTTCATCAGGGACTCAGCGACAGCCATGCGGGCCGACGCAGTAGAGGAGATGAGGGCGAGTGTCGGTCGTTCGCCCATTGCCATGGCCTCGCCAGTCTTGATGTCAGATGTAAGTGAGGTGGCCGTCACGGAGACGTCCGCCACGGGAATTTGCCAGGGGCCGACCATTTGGTCTCTAGCGGTCAAGCCACCGACAGTACGATCGCCGATGGTGATGAGAAAAGACTTTGAGCCGACAGCGGGCATTTGCAGCACGCGGTCGATGGCTTCTTCGAGTAACCCGTGGGTAGATGCTTGCGGAACATACATGCTCAGGCTGGTATCGAATGCTGGTAGGTCGACCTTTCTAGATGTCACTGTGCGGGTCATCTTGGGGGGCTTGCCAAAGAGTACATCCATTGGCAGATCGATAGGATCCTGGTGACCATGATTTGAAGGGTTGTTGCGGTCGGTGAGCTTCAGTGCCTGCTCGTTGGTGGCATGGCCTACGACAGATATCGTCGATCGTTCTCGGTTTGCGATCGATCTGAATTTGTTCATGTCATCCGGATTGACGGCTAGGACATATCGCTCTTGAGCCTCACAACACCAGATCTGAAGAGGGCTCATGCTATTGTCCGCGCAGTCGACTTCACGAAGTTCGAACTGCGCACCAAGTCCCGAATCCTTTGCCAACTCTGGCAGAGCGTTGGAAAGTCCACCAGCACCAACGTCGTGGATGAAAAGGATTGGGTTCCTTTCCGGGCCAAGGGCTGCACAAGCGTTGATGACCTCTTGTGCTCGTCTCTGCATCTCTGGATTTCCTCGTTGGACACTGGCAAAGTCCAGATCCGCAGATCCCTCACCAGAGCCCATGCTAGATGCTGCACCACCACCTAGACCTACAAGCATTGCCGGACCGCCCAGTGCGATCAGCCTTGCACCCTCCTTGACAAGATCAGGATTCTTCAGGGCAAGTTCAGGTCGGACAGTGCCCACGCCACCAGCAATCATGACGGGTTTATGATAACCTCTGATTTCAGAAGACTCCTTGCCAGTTTTCATCTCTGTGAGTAAAGTTCTGAAATAACCAGTAGTTGCAGGTCGGCCAAACTCATTGTTGAAAGCTGCTGCACCAATAGGTCCTTCAAGCATAATGTCCAAGCTGGTAGCTATGTGATGAGGCTTACCGTAGTCAAGCTCCCATGGTTGGTGATGGCCTGGGATCAGTAGATCAGAGACGGTAAATCCTGTGAGGCCGGCTTTGGGTTTTGAGCCACGTCCAGTTGCACCCTCATCCCGAATTTCGCCACCAGAACCTGTCGCTGCACCTGGAAAGGGCGAGACAGCGGTAGGATGGTTATGGGTCTCAACCTTGGCCAGGAAATCAACTCTTTCCTTGATAGCTTTCCACTGCCCGTTAACATCATCCGGAGCCCATTGACTTCCTTGGCTGCCTTGTAGCACCGCTGCATTGTCACTGTACGCGCTGATGGTTCCCTCACTGGTCACCTTATGGGTGTTCCGGATCATGCCAAAGAGTGTATTGAACTTGGTTTGACCGTCGATGACCCATGTTGCATTGAATATCTTGTGTCGACAGTGTTCCGAATTAACTTGAGCAAACATGAAAAGTTCGACGTCTGTCGGATTTCGCGGAACAGACCCATCTTTGGCATATGCCTCGGCGAGATAATGTATTTCTGAAGGGTCCAAAGCCAGGCCAAGATCCTTATTCAGTTGTTCCAGGACCTCCGTAGGTGATTTGCCATCCTTGTAGAGGTCGTATGTTCCCAACGTACCGGCTTCCTGGTGTAGGAAAAGCATGTCGAGATCTGGCTCACCTTCAGAGATTGTTTCAGTCATTCGGTCGTGAAGAATATTCAAGGCGGCCACATCCAACGTCTTGTCATCTTCTAAATTGATGATGAGTTTGATGCCGCGCTCGATCCTACGAACGCTATGTCGTAGCCCACAAACATGGGCAATACTGGTTGCCTTTGTACTCCAAGGTGAAATAGTGCCTGGTCTAGGCAAGACATAAAAGGTTTGGGATAAGCCATCATGTCTTTCGAGGCCATTGTTTTGGAGGACGTTGGTCAGTAGCTTTTCTAATAGGGTACGGTGCTCTGAGTCAAGGTCGTTGACCAGTTCAACATAGTGAACGTATTGTCCTTGAACATCTTTCACCCCAATCTGTGCGGCCAGAGCCTGGCGACGAAAGTCGGAAAAGGCGGAGCCGCCAGGAATCACACAGATCTCGGACATCGAAAAGGCTATGTTGCGAGTGTCCTGCTTGTCGCTGGACACAGTCGGATCGTGTGTATCGTCCTAGAACATGACCAAGACCCGAAGCGCTAGTAGTCAGGCTGAGTATGCTGCCCGATAGATTGAATGATCGTCTGACACTAGGCAATTGTGCGCAGGATCAGGTGGACATGCTCGGCAGGACGAAAGCTGACCTTGGTCTGAGTCGACTGCCACAATTAAAGCCGTCGTTTTTCTGGTCATCTGAGCCTACCTAATAAAACTTCAACGTATCAAAAAAATCTTCTAGAGAGGTGGAAAAATTGATGCCGGCGGAGGGGCTTGGCGTGATCCTTGCGGTTGATGCCTCCAAAATGTACCTATAGGAGGCAAGTAAATAGGCTGTTTAGGTAACGGAGTAGGCCACCGCCATGGATAGACGGCATGAAGTCGGGTCAATTCTCTTAGGAGCCCCATAGGCGGTACGCGTCCCTAACTTCAGCCCAGTCGACGGGCTCTTTAGGGGCCAATGTCCCCAGAAACTGGCCACTTAATCTACCCCAAAGACCCCATCTTGCCTGTGCTTTGCCCTTGGGCCTGCCCCTGTACCCGACAAGCACAAAAAGAACAGATCCCAATCTTGCACTCCGTCATCAGGCATTTCGCCCTGACCTTCTCCGTACTGCTGAAGAGATAGCCAGCTGTCCAAGACTGTCACATTTCAGATTCCCCTGTGCTCGCACTGTCTACAGAAAACAGCTTCTATCACTTGACTCAATATACTCAGCATCTTCGTTCGCAATATCTTATTGACGTGACCTCTCACTCGGTACTCCGCTTTTCGACGCGACCTACTCGCACCGCCGGCTGTCCTCATGCACTCGCCATTGACCGAACATTTCATCGTTGATCCCCGATTCTCACGATTCACGCCCTCCGTTCCCTTGGGTGACCTTTTCCTGCGTAGCCGACCCACCTAACCGACACCTCAGATCTCTCATCTTGAGCACGAGGGTCTTGATCACTCTTCCTACCTGAACAACCTTCAGTTGCAGGGTTAGTCGACATTCGACTGCCCTTTTTCACGCCGCCAACATTCCTTCTCCTCCCCGCTACCCCGACTCATTCCTCCACCACCGATCGCACTCGTCCCGTTCACGAGCTGAGCTTGGTAGCCAGATTGCCGCGTTGCCAGCTCAAGAAGAAAACGAGAAACACGAGAGCTCTCGGCGACCGTCATTGTCTTCGGCTACGGAATCTGACGACTTCTCTCTCTGGAGTGACACAGGAGATCTCGCAGAACAGCTTGCCAACGACGAGGATCCGTATCGGATCGAGCTTGATCCTCTTACCAGAGAAGGTCAGAGGCTCAAGGGCTCCGGTCACGGTGGAGGGCGGAAGAAGAAAGTCGGTTTCAAAAAGCAACATCATCTCGAGGGGAGTTCAAGTCCTCTGCGGATAGATAAAGAAGCTATCTTCGTTCCGGAGCCTCCACCGAGGCAGATATCCAAGGCAGAAAGATTGCTAGCGCTCATCATGGCACCGAACGACCCTCAATCAGCCCGGGTCAAGGGACTCGTTGGCAAACCTCTTTTGTACGTCTAAATCCAAGTATTTATGGGCATGTATATCGTGGTGGCTGACGTGACTGACACAGATATTTTACGAGTGTATTTGTGTCTCTGGGAGTTTTCCTTTTCGGATATGATCAAGGCGTTATGTCTGGTATTATCACGTATGTTCCTTGCCCCTGATGCTCTTCCTATCGCTGATGGACAGAAGTGGTCCTTTCTTTAGAGACTATTTCAACCAGCCAGGTCCAGCTGAAGTTGGGACTATGGTTGCAATCCTCGAGATCGGGGCTCTGATCGCATCATTATGTGTTGGTAGAGTGGGAGACATCATTGGACGCCGCCGCACCATCCTCTACGGCTCCATGGTTTTCTTCGTTGGAGGCATGCTCCAGACCTTTGCAAATGGTATGCCCATGATGATGGTTGGGAGATTTATCGCCGGTCTTGGTGTCGGAGCGCTCTCCACAATCGTTCCTGTCTATCAGTCTGAAATCAGTCCTCCGCACAATCGCGGCAAGTTGGCGTGTATAGAATTCACGGGCAATATTACTGGTTACGCTGCCAGTGTTTGGGTGGACTATTTCTGCAGTTACATTGAGAACGACAACTCATGGCGAACGCCTCTTCTTATGCAATGCGTTATGGGAGCTCTGCTAGGTTTTGGCAGTTTGATCATTTGTGAATCTCCAAGGTAAGGGAACAAGAAAACGAATTTGGAGCTGGCTGGAGGCTGACATAGTGGTATCAGATGGCTTCTGGACAATGATCATGATGAAGAAGGAATTATTGTGATCGCTAATCTTTATGGGAAGGGTGACATCCACAATCCGAAGGCGCGACAGGAATACCGAGAGATCAAGATGAATGTGTTGATACAACGCCAGGAAGGAGAACGGTCATACGCTGATATGTTCAAACGATACAGCAAACGCGTCTTCATCGCCATGTCCGCTCAGGCGTTTGCCCAACTCAACGGCATCAATGTCATTTCCTACTATGCGCCACTCGTCTTTGAATCAGCTGGGTGGGTTGGACGAGATGCAATTCTCATGACAGGCATCAATGCCATCTCATACCTAGCTTCGACTATCCCACCTTGGTATCTGGTGGACAGGTGGGGACGACGACCTATTCTCCTTTCCGGAGCAGTGGCTATGATCATCTCGCTATCACTGATCTCGTACTTTATCTTCATCGACATCAAGTACACCCCTGCCCTAGTGGTCATTTTCGTCATGGTATACAACGCTTCTTTCGGCGCGAGTTGGGGTCCTATTCCGTGGCTGTACCCACCGGAAATCTTGCCTTTGAACATTCGAGCCAAGGGTGCTAGTTTGAGCACGGCCAGTAATTGGGCCTTCAACTTCTTGGTGGGAGAACTCACGCCTGTACTACAAGGTGCTATCAAATGGCGCTTGTATCTTGTACATGCGTTCTTTTGCGCCGTAAGTTTTGTTCTTGGTAAGTATAGGCCCTGTGTTCAAACGGACGATGAGACTTACGTTGTCCAGTATATTTCGTCTATCCCGAGACCGCAAACGTTCGTCTCGAAGACATGAATGCACTCTTTGGGGATGCCACAACTGCAATGCCCACACCAGCATCACACGCAGAACAAGGCTCCCTAATGGGTGTTGGGTCTCCATCCTCGATCGACATCAGACAAGGAGCCAGCCAACCTGGAATGTTTGCAGCCGGCGACGCCATTCCCGGCCTTGATATCGATCCACCCGATGTCCAGCTAGACGGCAACGGCAAACCGCGAGGTCGAAGTGATAGCTCCCAAGGCTTCGGCAACTGGATTGGGAGGATGGTATCGAGGTCACGACAAGATAGTAGTTCCCGGGGCCAGTACAACAAAGTTGGACAAAACGAAGATTAAGTTGGAATGCATTTATATTGGATCATGACAGCGGCCTATCTGTCATATAGACTTGAACGGCAGCGAGGCAGGCGTTTCTGGGGCCACATCTGAAAAAGGATCAGTCCCATTGGTATCCGCAAGGTACCATGTTGGTGATTGTGTTTGGAGGGCCAGTATGGGCATCAGGTTGAACCTGACGACAGTGGAGTTAATGTATATGTACCAGGATTTTAACCTAGCATTTCAAGGGATTACAGAAGGACAGGTATTCCTGATTCACATCCCTCATAGACAATCTGGATTAGGAATATCGGTCTTCGTATGAACAAGTCACTATGAGACCATTGGTGCATGGAATGATGGGGGCCGGTGATATTCGGCATCTGGAGCGATAAGTTACTTACAGTAACTAGAACTTGACTCATGTGCTTCCTGGCCGCGCTTCTCACCCCACTCTCCACCTATCTTTGCTTTGCTACCTTCTTCACTGGACACGAGTACTGTCTTAGCATAAAGCCACGCAGTCGAATATCCTTGCCTCAGAATCTAGCATACAACAGACCGTTTCGTTTGATCTACCGCATTGTTCGATTCGCCCAATCGGCGATTCATCCCGCGATCCTACCTAGCCTCACTAGCCTCACCACTTGCTTAGCCTCTCCGCGCCGATCTTTGTCCCGTGACGGTCTTGAGCATCTCATTGTTCTTTGGCAAGATTGTGCATCCAAAACATCAGCACAGAACCTCCGATAACGACGCGTACCTGAGCATCAAGAAACGCCCCTACCGACCTAGGTCAACCTTGCCGCACCGACTCCTTCTCCTCGATTCCCCGGAAGCGCCCGCATTCTCCACGGCGACTCATCCTCCGCGGTCTCACTCGCTATCTGGACCGCAAGAGTCTAGGAAAATACATACTCAAGCTCTTTTATTGTCTGCAGCTTCAATGTGTCCGGCTTTGTCTCTTAATGCTGGTCACTCTGGCAGACCCGAGTCAATCACGGTGATGGAAAGACCATGACAGTTTGCGACAAAATGTCCCAGGGTACGAAGGAGTCTCAGAACACACATCATATATACAGACACCAGCAGTATAACCCCAAGAACATCGCGCAACTAGATCAGCGCATTCACTATCTCCAAGAATCCATCCTTCCAAGACAGCCATATCTCCTCTCTGTTCCCTCCGGGGTGCCATACCGACACAGCTCACGCTTCATAAACACCTGGTATGAAGGCACACCTTTCGAGCGCCACGAAGAACAACTGCAGTACTTGAGTTTTTTTGCGCACCAGGGCGACCACGAGTCGCTCTTGAAAGTGGAAGGTGGGTGGGCAGATGATCAAGGAAATCCCATTGAAGACGAGGTCTCTCCCCGAACTGTGCCCGCAAGCGGCTGCAATACACCTGGAGAGCCTGGACATCGTAAGAAGATCAGCCTGAAAGATTACAAGACCAAGGGCAAGAGCCCTTCTACGCTACAAACCCGGCCACAGCCGTCGCAGTCTACAAAGGAACCCGAGTCATCAGGCAGATCGGAGGCTAAGGTGCAAGAGAAGGCGAAATCAGAGCAGACCAGCAAGGAAAGGGGTGTTGTTCCACGGAAAACAGACATAGAGCCACCAGATCCGAAGTCAAAAGTGGTCCCGCTGAAAGTTCCCGGCCCATCTCGAAGCCCTCTAAGAAGCCAGCCAGAAGACAGTCCAAGTCCAGTGAAGAAACGTAAACTATCACCACATTTCGAAGCGTCCAAATCTGTTAGGGCTCCGCCAAAATCTGAACCTGCACAGCCCATCATGGCCATGCCGACTCTGTTGTCACCAACCCTGCCCTCACCAGAGAATGAGACTGGACTCCCCCAGCTCCTGTCTCCGGTTTTACCACCCACTCTTACGAAAGCACTATCGAGTTCACCCAATTCTGAATTTCTTGGCAGCCCAGCGAATGGTTCACATCAACGTACAGATTCTGTTCGGTCGATTCTTGCCGGAGTCGGTCTTGACAATGACCCGCTCCCCGACAAGACCAGACTGGCCCCTACTGGTAGCCGAGTCCGCTCAGACAGTACGCACTCGGCTCGGAGTTCAGCTCCGGGTACTCCAAACGCAAGTAAAAATCTACTTGGCTCGAAACTCCTGTCGAAGTCCGGCATCAGACCAGGGACACCTGTGCAAAATGGAGCGCGGGCAAGTCCTGGACCCAGACAGCGACATACTATTATTCTGAAATATGGCAAAAAGAACCGGAAGAGAGTCGAAGGTCTTCTGAAGTTTGCGGCTCGTCCGAAGAAGGAAGTGATTAAGCAAGAACGCTTAGATACACGAGAGACGAAACCCAAGCGCGAAGCAATCAAGGAAGAAGAAAACGACGGAGGACAGACTCCTGACGTAAAATCTAACCTTTCCGTCGTGGATGATGTCAAAGTTGAGAAGAAGCGTAAAGCTCAAGATAGCCCCGGGCCTGCAATCAAAAAAACGAAGTCTGCAAACTTGACTGCTGAAGATGTTAGGCGACCATCTACGCCGGTGGCCCCTGCTGGCAGATCCCCACTTACTTCGCAAGCCAGAACTGCCTTCTCTACCCCTAAGAAGGATCTGAAGTCGTCTGCAATGAGACGAGTTGAATCGACAGACGGTCTTGATGTGCCGACTCCCTCTGGGGACAAGGGACGCGTATCAACGCCTGTCTCAGGCCCGAAACCATCTCCACAGCCAAATGCCTCGAGCACAAGAGAAGAAGAACGGCAACAATGGTCAAATGTGAGCAATACATATTTCACTATGGGCCGAAGTCTAAAGCATGAAGGCACTTCTATGCTTTCATCGTCTGAAGAAGATCCCAAATCTCCTCAGTCCATAAAGGCAGTGGTTCTCGTGGTCGAAGCTTTACTATGTTTCATGATTAACACTTACGCACGCGGTAAAAGCAGACCAGGGTCGGACCCGGATTGGCGATCCATTCTGCCCTACCACATTTTTGTATACAGGGCGTCAAGGAAATACCCACACCTACACGGCTTGGTTATGCAACTTGGTGCAGTGTGTCGGCAGCAGATCCAGAAGCATGATCTAGATAAACTAGCTCGAGACCCATTGCCTGACGAATACTGCAACTCAGCCCCAACGCCGAGTAGCGACGGCAACACGAAAACCAACGAAGATGTGGAGAAGTACAGGAAGCGGTACACTCAGTTTCGAGACGATATGATCCACAACATCCGTGAACTTCAGACTGCTTGGCTGGACGGTTTCCGCTACCTTTCACCTGAACTGCTGAGACGAGAGTATCCGAACACCTGGGCCCTGAGGGCAAAGGATGCGACCCTGAGACTACAGGAGAAGCCATCGCCTTTGAAAATGCCAAAAAGTTTTTATCTACCGATGGATGCGAATACGACGGCACTTGAGGCTGCGAGATTCGGGATGGCGTTCCTAACCGAGTGGGCTGAGAAGGAAAAGATCGACTGGAAGACAAAGATCGATCTATGAAGCACCTTTACTTTTGCTGCTCTGTCGTTTTATTGACACCCCTTTTAAATGCGAGTGTAAGGAACTTTGCCCTGCACATGATCACTTTTTACCCCATGAATTTTAGCGATTTGAGAGCTTGAGATACCAAATATTATGAGCAAAGAACAGGCTTTGCTTTTTGTTAGAAACACGCGCGTGCCTACCTCAGTGGCATTTTACAGCTGGCTAGAGCTTTACAATTGAATACTATTAGATATTGAACATACTTTTCCTAGAGATCTTGTGATAAACACCAACCAATTCCAATCACTGGGGTCGGCTTGAAGCAATCCAAAACTGAAGAATATCCAACCATGGAATGAAGTTGCTGGTTTGCCAAGACACAGCCTTGCAGATTATCAAGAAACAAGGCTGCATCGACTGTTGAACTAACCTGGCGACCTTCATCGATACAAATCTAGCCTTCTCACGCATGACTACCCTGCGTCCTGTCCACGCCGCGGATGTGTCGCTAAGCATGGCTCCGCTATTAAGAGAATGTCACTCGACGATGATCCTTCCGACTTCGACGGTGTCCTGCCCGTAATCCCCATTGACTCCCCACCAATTTACAAAGATCGAAAGAGCAATGCTGCGACCGGTGCATCTGCAGCCGGCGCTCGCGCTTTCGCCGCGCAGGCGGTAGCCTTTTACTTTCGAGCACCCGTCAAGGCGTTTTTCAGAACGAGGGTGGACTACTTGGTACATATCCCATACACCAGCTATCCGGCATTATCGAGACGGAACGTGCTACTGACACCCGCTGCTTGTCCCGCCAGGCCTACGCAAAATCTATCCTCCCACCTACACAGAACGGCCGCTTTTCCTGGCGAACCACGACCCCGGGCTTGCTAGCCCACGCCATCAAGAACTACGGCTGGCGCTTCATCCCGGAACAACTCTTCCCTCCTCTCGCCGCGAACATCATTGTCGGCGCGGCATTGTACACTTCCTATCTACAAGTTCTGGGTCGACTATATGAACCATCCTCCCATGCTTCGAAGACGGTCTTCCCACCTCCTCCCCCGGCACATACCTTTGCGGCGGGGTTCGCGGCGGGCACCATACAGAGTTTGATCGCGGCGCCACTGGACGCACTCCAGGTCCGCTTCGACCAGCGCGGAGAGGCATACCAGAACAAGACAATGTGGCAGTACGGCAAGGGCAAGCTGCACGAGATAGGCGCTCGGGGGATCTTCGCGGGGTGGGGGTTGTCGTTCTTGAAAGACAGCTTCGGCTCGGCCATCTTCTTCTCGACATTTGAATACGTCAAGGCGCAGGGCTATTACAGATTTGTGCGCTGGCACTACGGATCGCTGGGCGACGTGGCCGTAGATAAACTCGCGCACAAGCGAGGTGGGAAGGCCGCGACAGAGAGTCAGCCCACCGCGGTGATCCGGCCTCATTATGCGCTGGAGCCGGGGTTTCTCATGCTCGCCGGCATGACAGCGTCCGTGGCCCAGCAGGTCATTCTGTACCCATTGTCGACGTTCCAGACGTTGCACTACGAACGGCTTGAGGATCTGGACAAGAAGGCCGTTCAGCTCGACCGCCAGTCCAGTGGACGGAGCCGGGGGAGAATGCTGCGCGCGTATTACCACGCGTACCAGGAGACCTTGGCCCAGGCCCGCGTGCAGGCCAGACAGGTCGGAGGGATGAAGACGTGGCTGTTCAGAGGTTTCTGGTGGTTCACCATCAGACAGGTCCCGTCAACCAGTGCAGGATTGATCATCTTCGAATTGGTCCGCAGAAAGTACGGTCTGTCGGGAGACGAGGTCAGAATCACACAGGATGGCTATGATATATTGTTGACGTGAGATGCCCTCGGGCGTCCTACATTATAATAGATGGTAGCGGTAATCCTAGATGCCTCCCTACTCCCCTCTGTGGTTCAACGGTCCACTCTACAATTAGCGTAGTACAATGAATCAAAACCTCTTCTCCAACCACACTATCGTCTCGCCACCTGATATCAATGACTGGGAAAGAAAACATACTCGATCATCGATTAGTCCCATTTCAGATGTGTATACTCCATATAGATGCAAGGGCACCACGATTTGGAGATCTGCGCGCTAATAGTATCGCCATACCGTTGATGATGCGGAGAAGTCCATCCACGATTTATCATCTATGACATGTGGCGCTATGGACGGAAGGGCAGTGTTACAGAATGGTCAATAGATAGTCACGGGAGGGAAAGCTGTTCAATGTTTTGTGGATACAGATACAGAAACAGACACAAGCAATGAGGTCGTTGCGAACTATCTCAGTAGTCGGGTGCCATGCAGAAGGGGAGGTTGGGGACGTGATCATAGGCGGAGTGCTCGATGCACCTGGTTGTAAAACGGCAAGTCATTTACCTACCTCACCTATAGCCTGCGAGACCTACTGTACCTCTCTCAAACGTTCGTGGTCCTGTGGTCAGGCGGTTCTTCAGTGAGAGCAACAATCTAACAAAGCCCACAGATGTACGAAAAGATGATGTACTTCTGGACCAAAAAGGACAGCCTTCGAAAAATGCTCCTCAATGAGCCCCGAGGTCGATCGTCCATGTGTTGCAATCTGGTTTTGGCTCCGTGTGATCCACGCGCGGACGCCGGGTTCATCATCATGGAAAGCGACGAGTACGCCCCCATGTCCGGGTCAAACACCATCTGTACGGCGACAGTCCTGTTGGAGACGGGCATGATCACCATGCAAGAGCCCGTCACCAAGTTCAACCTGGACACCGCTGCAGGGTTGGTGGGCATAACGGCCGAGTGTGAGGCGGGCAAGTGCAAGTCTATCGAGTTCGACAACGTGCCGGCTTTTGTCTTTGCTCTCGACAAGGCCATCGACGTTCCCGGTTTGGGCACGGTCTCGGTCGACATCGCCTGGGGAGGCATGATGTACGCCCTGGTCGACCCGGCGTCGTGCGGTTTGACCATCGGAAACAACCGTGACGCCGCCGCGCTCGTGGAAGTTGGCGAGAGGATCAAAAGAGCCGTACAACGACAATTCGTCCCCGTCCACCCGGAGAACCCTGCGATTCGAGGAGTGACCAATTTTGTCTGGAGCGGTCCATTTGACAATGCCGCAGATGATGGCATCAAGACGGCTGTAAACACCGTCGTGGTGTCCCCTGGAAGATTCGACCGGTGCCCGTGCGGTACCGGCACTTGCGCTCGGATGGCCGTCTTGCACGCCCGAGGTCAACTCGCGGTCGGCGAGATTTTCAGGCACAAGAGCATCATCGGAACAGAGTTCATCAACCGTATCAGAGGTACGACCAAAGTTGGAGAGTATACGGCCATCTTGCCTACCATCAAAGGTCGGGGTTGGATCACAAGTTTCAAGCAAGTCGTACTAGACCCGACAGATCCTTTCCCTGAGGGTTTCCGGGTAGGAGACCAGTGGCACATGCCCGTCGATTCTTGACATGGTTATGGGTGAATTTGATGCTGCTTCTTCAGGTCATCGGATATGATATAGACGCGACCTCTGAGTTTTAGTCGACCGTCGTATATGAGTCGACCGAGTATTCGATGCCTGTCAGGATAAAGATGTCCAGAGGGTAGCAAAGGTCGTATTCATACATGGTAGAATTTGTGTTCCGTAATTCCCAGAATGCCTGGAGATGGACACGAATTCATTACGGAAAAGTTGTTGAAGTGCAAATGTTCCAATATAGAGAAGTCAGTTGACGCGCCGTGACGCGCCAAGGCCCGAGATCAAAGTCGCGCTTCAAGTTGAGAATCATCGGCCTCTCCATCTTTTGTAGGCACAGCGCAACCACCTTGACCTCATTTTCACATCAACCTCCATCCCTCGCCTTCATCTCTTGTTCTCTTATTGACTCCCTTTTTCTCCCCTTCTTCGTTTTTCACTTTCCTCGTCTACGTCCATTCCCTACTTCTCCCAACTTGCCACATCTGTCTCGTTGCGACACCCTTCGACTGACGTAGACTTTTTGCTCCATCTGCGATTTGCCTCGACAGAGGCAGGCAGCCAACATGGGCGACATCGTCATCAATGCGAACACCTTTTTCGATCGCCTGACTGCCCTCTACAACTCCTGGAAGGCCGACAAGCGATCCGGAGATGGATCTTTTGGTGGCGCAGACAGTATGGTCGTCTTGACCGGAAAGGCTGATCAGGACACTAATTACACCAAGAGCAATGCCTTACATGTAGGCAGCCAGGAAATTGGCTTTGTCAAGTGGGCGGCGACTGACAAAATTCACAGTTTTGGCTTCTAGGCTATGAATTTCCTGCGACGCTGATGGTCTTCACCTCTGCGGTCATGTACCTCGTCACCACGGAAAAGAAGGGTGAGCGCTATTTCCCACTGGCATCCCTCTACGGTGTAACTGACTCTAGATAGCTCGGCATCTACAGAACCTTAAAAATGGCAAAATCCCCTTCGAGATTCTCACGGTCAATACCAAAGAGCCCGAATCCCGCACCAAGGCATTTGAGAAGTGCATCGATGTCATCAAGAGTGCAGGCAAGAAGGTCGGTGTCATTCAAAAGGCTGAAGCCCACGGCCCCTTCGTCGACGAATGGATGAGAATGTATGGCGACATCTCGAAAGAGGTTGAAGAGGTCGACATTTCTGTTGCGCTAGCTACCGCTTTCGCGGTCAAGGATGAAACTGAACTGAGGGCGATGCGGACTGCCGCGCAGGCAGCGAGCGCCATGATTTCCAAGTACTGGGTCGATGAGATGTCCGAGGTCCTCGACCAAGAAAAAAGAATTAGTCATCGAGCTCTCGTGGATAAGATGACGAAGAAGATCGATGACACCAAGTTCTTCAGGGGAATCTCAAAAATCCCAAGCGATTTCGACAACCAGCAATTGGATTGGGCCTACGGTCCGATCGTTCAGAGCGGGGGACAGTATGATCTCAGATGGACAGCTCAACCGAACGACGACAATCTACATTCTGGCTGTATCATGGCGGGTCTGGGTTTTCGATACAAGACATATTGCTCGATCGTGGCCAGAACATACCTGATCGACCCGAGCAAGTCTCAGACCGCGAACTACAAGATTCTTCTCTCCGCGCACGAAGCTGCGATGAAGGAAATCAAAGACGGAATCGTCATGAAAGATGTGTACAACAAGGCTTTGGGTGTCATCAAAGCCAGAAAGCCAGAACTCGAGAAGCATTTTGGTAAAGATGTCGGAGCAGCAATCGGTATTGAAGTGCGTGACCCGAAGTTCATTCTCAATGGAAAGAATTCCCGGGTACTCAAGGACGGCATGACTGTGAGCGTCACCACAAGTCTTTCTGATCTTACCAACGACAAACCACAAGACAAGAAGGGCGTGAGTTATACTCTGGTGTTGACCGACACCGTTCGTGTTACTCGAGGAGAGCCCGTCGTGTTCACTAAGGAGGCATCCACGGATCTTGACTCGATCGAATTCTACTTCAAGGACGATGAAGAAGAGGTAAAGCCAAAGCAGGAAAAGACCAAAAAGCCTGGCGCCAGTGCTATCGCAGCTTCAAATATCAAATCATCCAGACTACGTGGTGCCAGTCGACAAGACAATGCGAAAGAAGAAGAAGAGTCTCGCCGACGAGAACATCAAAAGGAGCTTGCTCAGAAGAAACAGAGAGAAGGCCTCGACAAATATGCCGAAGCCACCGGCGATATGAATGGAGAAAACGAAAAGAAATTCAAGAAATTCGAGTCGTACAAGCGAGACGGCCAGCTTCCTCCTCGGGTCAAGGACATGATCGTATGGGTTGACCATAAAGCATCGACTGTTATTCTTCCCATCATGGGCAGGCCTGTGCCATTCCACATCAACACCATCAAGAACGTCAGCAAATCCGACGAAGGTGAATATACACATCTCCGATTCAACTTTCTGTCTCCTGGTCAGGGTGTGGGACGTAAGGATGATCAGCCATTTGAAGATCCTCAAGCACATTTCATCCGATCACTTACGGTCAGATCTAAGGATCAAGATCGTTTATCAGAAGTGTCAACCCAGATCACCGAACTCCGCAAGGCCGCCGTACGCCGTGAACAGGAGAAGAAGGAAATGGAAGATGTCGTCGAACAAGACAAGCTGATTGAAATCCGCAATCGTCGACCCATCAAGCTCACCGATGTCTACCTTCGACCTGCACAAGATGGCAAGCGCGTCCCCGGAGAGGTGGAGATTCATCAGAATGGTCTTCGATATCTGTCACCATTGCGTAACGATCATGTTGACGTTGTTTTCTCCAATGTCAAGCACTTGTTCTTCCAGCCTTGTGTTGGTGAGATGATTGTCTTGATCCACGTTCATCTCAAGAATCCCATTATCATTGGCAAGCGCAAGACCAAAGACGTCCAATTTTACCGAGAAGCGACCGACATGGCTTTTGATGAGACTGGAAACCGCAAACGCAAGCATCGTTTCGGTGATGAGGAAGAGTTTGAACAAGAACAAGAAGAGAGACGGCGTCGAGCAGAACTCGATAGATTGTTCAAGGGTTTCGCCGAGAAGATCTCTGATGCTGCACGGGAATACAACATCGCCGTCGACATCCCGTTCAGAGAGTTGAGCTTCAACGGTGTGCCCTTCCGCAGCAATGTGCTCATGGCACCTTCTACGGATGCTCTCGTCCAACTGACCGAACCACCTTTTACTGTGATTACTCTTGATGAGATCGAGATTGCTCATCTCGAAAGAATTCAGGTATTTTATTTTCCTCGCTCTCAGGTTTGCACAAGCTAATAATGTCTATAGTTCGGTCTTAAGAACTTTGATCTTGTGTTCGTCTACAAGGACTACCATCGCCAACCAACACATATCAATACCATTCCCGTCGAGTCCCTTGATCGAGTACGAGAATGGCTGGATAGTGTGGATATTGCTTTCACTGAAGGTCCTCTAAACTTGAACTGGGGTACTATCATGAAGACGGTGACAACGGACCCACATCAATTCTTCAAGGACGGTGGTTGGAGTTTCTTGAATACGGACACCGATTCGGAAGACGATGAAGAGTCTGAAGAAGAGAGTGCTTTCGAGATGAGTGATTCCGAGCTTGCAGCAAGTGAATCAGAAAGTGAGGAGGATAGCGAGTTTGACGAAGATGCCTCTGCTAGCGACGACGAAGGAGAAGGCGAGAGTGACTTGAGTGATGAAGGAGATGATTGGGATGAAATGGAGAAGAAGGCGAAGAAGGAAGATCGTAGAGGAGCGATGGAGGAGGAAGACAAGAGCAGAAAGCGAAAGAGATGAGGCAGCAATGCTCGTCTCGTTGAAGCTTGAAATGATGCCTTGGGTGGTGACATGACAACGATGCAAGGCTGGTGAGGTTGAGCTGAAAAGTGTGATTTTGGTACCCTGTGTATGAGATATCTTGAGCACAATTGCGGAGGTTCTCTTGATGCTTCATACCTCGGATTGTGGTATCGATAATTCCAGATTACCACAACCTTACATGTGTTATTCTAGTTTCAGAGAATTATTTCTAGGAGCCAGAAAAATTTATGAAACATGTATTAAATGTATTGCTCAATGAAACACAGGCTCACCTAGATGTGCTAGTAAGATGACTTCCCCTGGACTTTTTAGATTTAGATTGTGAGGCTGGATGTACAGAGTATCGGGCTGTCAATCCAGCTAGAGATGAACAAGGCTGAACAAGGCTGACGGTTTCTCCAATTAGTGGACCCGGAAGCTGTACCGAGTACATCGTGATCCAGCGGTATTTTTGTATTTCTCAGCAGAACCACCTATTGTTCTCTCTCTTTCTCACATACACACGGCACTCTTTTTTCGGTCTACCTTCCATCGATCCCAATCCACTTCCCTCATTGTCGCTTTTCTTTTCCCACGTCCAAGTAGTTTTTCAGACCCTTGAAGGAAGAACAAAGGATGGGTTGGTTCAGTGGTAGTTCATCGCCAACTCCGGCGCAACCCGCAACTGGTATGTTTCTGGCCATCTCTTTCTTATTCTCCGGCGGTCGAGCGACGCTTCTGTTGTTTTTGTCAAATGCTGATTGTCTTGTTGCGTACCAACAGTGACACAACCTTCTTCACCTAACAATTTGGCATCGGACGTGAAACCAAAGACTACCGAGAAGGTCAAGGTATGTTTCTTTTTCTGTTTTGGAAAGACCGCAGGAGGAAACTCTGTAATGGGGTTGGACGATGCAAAAGGAAAAGAAACGCACAAGCTAGAAAGCTGACATTTCTGTTACGCCCCAGCCATGTTGCGTATGCAAAGATGAAAAGTCCGCCCGGGACGAATGTATGCTCTTCAGCAAGTCCGATGATCCACAAGAAGATTGTAAGAGTTTGGTCGGGAAGTACAAGGACTGTATGGCCGGGTATGGGTTCAAGATTTGACATGTACCCGCGGGAAAACAATAAACCTTGAAGGGCATATGTGAAGGACATGGACGGACCTCGATACCCTTACATGTGACCCTTCTACTCGGGGCACCTACCGCTCTCAACGACCGACGTCCCGACCGACGCTATCTACCCGGGTTATTCTACCTTTGCCTACAATCCCGGTGTCCCAGGCATCTACACAGGTGGCTTCAACAGGGGGGAGAGGGGATGTGGACTCGTCAAGGAAAATGTATGAACACCAATGAAGGAAGATGGGAAAGATTTGATAAATGGTACCGGGACAAGAAAGGATGGATGGGCCCTAGATGTGGACCAACGCCTACAAAATCCCACACGGGCCTCGGGGGGGGGGCGGCTGGTATGGCTGAGAGGACATCGCTGCGAAGAGCCAGACTTGAGATGTCCTGCCAAAATACGAGGAGAGAGATACTTCATGATGAGAAAAAGACAAAACACCCCCCTCTTGCGTTCTGGCACAGAGACACATACATGCTGCAAGTCATCTACGAAAAGGCGCTTTGAAAGGACCAATCCAACCATGTACAACAATCCCAAGTCAAAACATTTTACGACAAAACCACAAACGTCATCATTGTTTAAAGGCGCCCATCATCACTTGCAGCCATGGGGCATAATTTCTACCTTGTACAAAGATATTTCGAAATACCAAAGAGCCCGAAAAGAAATGGCTGCTGTACATAGTGTATAACCTCACCACTCGAACATTACAAAATATAGAATACAAAATACGGAGTACTTGTAGACTCATCGAGTTGCATTGGATCGTGTTGTATTGCATAGCTGATAGCATTACGATACAATCTAGAGACACTCCGCCCTCTCACAACGAGTTCAACAAACTCTGCATGCCAACTTCGAGATAATCGTCCCTCTTCAGCAGGTACGGCCTCAGGTTCTCCTTGCCCAGGTTCCCCAACACCTGGCCCCTGAGTCTCTCCTTGAGGGCGTCGGGGAGCAAGACGAAGATGCTGGCCAACTCGGTCAGGACCTCGAGGCTGGCCTTGAACGAGTCGTCCAGGTCCCAGGACCTCAGCAGCTGGACGTACCGGCTCATGTCGCGCGCCAGCATGACCCCGCCGATCCGGTTGACCTGGTACCTCGTGAAGTGCTGCAGGAGCTGGGCCCGGAAGCCGACCGCGACCTCGGTGAGGAGGGCGTCGAGGTTGGCGCCGTCGAACGACTGCGAGGCGGTGTCGTAGAACAGGTCCAAGAACCGGCACACGCCGTCGCACGTCGCGGTCTGTGCCTGCTCGAGGGACACCACCTCGGTCTCGGCGCGGGGGCGGAAGTCGGTCCGGTTCTGGTTCGCCAGCAGCCGCGCGGACCAGTTGAGCACGCCGTCGACGGTCTGCTGGTCGATGGTGTTGATCTGGCCCTCGATGCGCGACACGGCCGCCCTCGTGCCCTTCTCCATCTCCCGGCGCGTCGTGAGGCTGGTGCTCGCCAGCGGCACCAGGAGGGTGTTGACGCAGCTCTGGACGAGGTGCGCGATGTGCACCGCGTTGCGCAGGTTCCCCAGGTACGACAGGTCGGGTTCCCTCTTGGCGCCCTCGGCCGTCGACGCGGCGTCGGCCGCGGCGTCGAGCGCCACCTCGACGTACGACTCGAGCAGGTTCTTGAGGATGAGGTTCAGCAGCGCCGCGACGTCCTTGGGCGTCTCGGAGCCGCCCCCCAGCTCGAGACCCCGCCGCACCCCCTCGGCGAGCCACTTGAGCATCCTCTTGGCCGCCGCCACGTCCAGACGGCCGTCTTCCTCGGAGAGTTCGACGTCCGGTTGCGCCTTGTCGGTGTTCTTAAGACCGGCCACGGAGAGGAGGATGCGCTTTTGCGTCGACGACATCTTTTCCAAGTCTAGGCTTTTAACGTAGGCGTCGGTGGCCTCTCGAGCCGATGCCAGGAGTTCTTGGCCGCGGTTCCGGAGGGAGGCGAGGTACGTCCTGGGTTCTTTTTGGCGTCGGGAGTGGAAGAGTTCGAATTTGAACAACAACGATTTGTAGAGTTCTTGCAGGTTGTGCTTTTCTTTCTCGATGTACGCGGAACCACCTACGTACGGGGTGAAGAGCTCGTCGAGTTGTTGGTCGAGGAGTTGGCTCGTTTGAGAAGTCACCGTGTCTGGATGTTCCGTCAACCCGTGTGCTTTGAGGTCCTCGACCAAAGCACTGATGTAGTTTCGTGCAGCTTGCAGAGATCGTAAGTACGCCAGTGTCGATTCCGACTCTGCCTTCTCCAAGACGAGTTCCAGTCTTTGTTGGATGGATTGCTGGAACACTCTCTGCACAAATTTTCCCAATACCTGTTCCGGGTAAGGGAAAGCTCTTCTTATGGTTGCTGACTCCTCCTGGACCGTGACTCTGACCTCGTCAATCAACGATTGTAGGCCGGGTTCGACGTTAGGGAGTTCAGCATCTGGATCTGATAATCTCATCCACGTCTCTTGATCCCCACCAACCTCCTCTGTCACAAGATTACTTCTGTCGATGAAGAACTGGTGTTGGTTGACGAAAGCCGCCTGGACTGAAGCACCGCCATTGAAATCTTGCAAGACAATCGCGCAATTCTTCATCTCTTCAAAGTTTTGTCGTCTATAAAAGTCGTCGAAAAGCTTGAGCATGTCATTCTCCAAGGTCTCGATGAATTTTTCGATAACCTCTCTCGTGTCGAAATTGCGGCTGCCCGTCACTCCGTTAGTGACACCGCCTGACTGTGAGACGCCGTTTGTTTGCGCGTGGCTCTTGGAATCCAGTCTTTGACTTATTCTCAACAGCTGTCGGGCAATGCTGGCTGCCCTAATTTTCCCTTCTCCGGTGCCTGATCTCCGCAAGTTCTCAAGTAGAGTGACTTCTCCTCGGTGACTGACTTCGTCCCAGCATTCGATCAAAAAATGTGCATCCAGAGCCTTTCTTCTCTGTCTATCCAGCTCTTCTAAGCGACGACCTGTCTCGACGGCAACATTCCCACCCCATTTCTCGCCCCTGTCGGATTTCAAAGACGTGTCCAACTTCTGAAAGCTTTCGATGGTCTGATTGAGCTTCCTCCCCAGGGTATCTGTGTTGTTTGCATGTTGCGCCTCTGCTCTTCTCACCGCGCCCGATAATTCATTTTCCCGCTGCTCGAGTTCGCCCGAAAGCTCGTTGAGTCGCCTTGAGGCCTGCTCAAAGGTACGAATAAGCGGTTTAGGATCGAAAGCGTTAGCGTCGCCTTGTGACCGTCGACTCGAAACGTGTGTGCTCTCGGTGAGGGACTCGATAAAGTCCTTTGCTATGAAATCGCGATTCGAGAAATCATCGAGGTTGAACACTGGACCTCTGGGAAATATGGAACGGGTGGTTTGTTGATCTGTTGGATGGGTTTGCCCATAGTACTGCTGAGAGTCCATGGTGGTGTCACTTGCGAATCATAGTGTTTACAGGTAAGGTCCTTGTGCTGAAACCAGCATCCTAGCACAAAATTTCAAGCATCGTGTTCTGCATTGTTGGCGACGTGAGGATGACCGACGATGTTGAGACACTGAAAACGCGGCCTTACGAGACAGTGGCCGACACGCTTTCAAAGAGCCCGAACTCCGCACCCGCCGAGGGATCCGCCTCCAGGTCTTCAGGGCACATTTTGAGTAAGGGGATGTATGCTAGGGGATCTGCTACTGTATATATGTTATTCTGGAAAGATACTTCATTCAGGTTGACTAACATTCTCCCTTGCAATGAATGCACCAGGCACTTAAGAGGGTATGCCTCAATGAATTGGTAACTCATATTCCGTACCTAAGTAAACAATCGCGTGCTGTTCATACATTGCGCTACCAGCCTGGACCTCTTAGAACCATAAGCGCTACCGAGTATCACGGGCTCCCAACTAGCAATCCGACTTGGATAACAATCGTCGACCTTTGTAGTATTACGGAGTACTGGTATGGAGCATCTGTGGACACTCTGGGCAAGGGGGCTTCAGGCCTAAAGAACGAGTATGCTAAGGAGTCGGTGTGAACATTTCGGGTCATTTCGTCGCAGTACCAGTGCCAGTGCCAGTGTCTTCGATAACATCCGAGTCATTAGGCTCGGTATTTACCATTACCTAGGGAGGTACGGAGTATATGTAACAGAGAGGAGCACTTGTATTTCGGATATAAACTGAATAGGCATGGAATGGGCAGAGAATGCATTCTTCCTCTAACCCCGAATCTCTGGGTCAAGCCACTTGTTTGGAGCTCGACAGGAGAATCATCAAAGCCTCGGGGAGAGCTGCCTTTGTTCCGCATGCGCTGACTAAAGTGTGAAGAATTCATTCGTCAATCCTAGTCCAAGCACATGCTCCCGAATTACGAAAAGATGCAAAAATACGAACTAGATGTGCTTGGCTAAAAAGCACATGTCTCCCGTGGCAGAAGAAACGCGGATAGCTCGGCCAAGGTCGGTAGCCACATGGCGGCAGACAGCGAAAACGTCCTCTGTCCGGCCGGAGTACTCCTCTACTCGTATGGGTATGGTGCTTGAGTTTAAACGAGACGGGGCCAATATCCAGTAGTGACAGGTTATGATTGTGTGAGATGAGGAGAAAAGAGTGAAAGATGAAAGTGGGAGCTCGTGCTCTATCCACTGTTGTAACCCACTCGAACGGGACGAGGTTCGGATGATACTGTACTTGTACACGTACAGGGATTCAGGGATTCAGGGAAGTTTCCAGTACCGTATGACTGGGATTTGTTGGAGACAGTACGGAGTACTGTGTGGAAACAATTGCATCTTCACATGTACAGTACAGTAGAAATCTAGGATAAGGACCTACTACCTAGGCAGATAACAATGTACTATACTCCGTACTGTAAGGGACTTTTCTCATCAGTACCTACCGAAGCCATGGTGACCTACTCCGTACTGGTACTAAATCTTTCAAAGTTGCCAATCGGAAAGTCGGATTTGCAGCTGATCGAAGCATGTGATCAGTCTGTTCTCTTCCTTGCTCGTGCTCCCGAACTCCATCAAACTATTACTCCGTGTACTCCAATTCCACTGCCAATTGCCTATTGTATGGAGTAGGCATTGTACGCCCTACTTCTTCCTCGTACTCGCACCCTCGTAATTATTACTGTTGCTGGCTTCCAATTATTCTCCTCCCGCAGTCGCAGATCCTCCCATTTGCGCCTCGTCTATTACCCTTACCACCATCCATCACCCGTTCTCCTACCACTTCTCTGCCAGCTCACGACATCATCTCCTGTGATTTTTGCCTTGCCTCATAGCGACCATTTTCTTCAACAGTTTGCGATCATATTGTCATATTTCATGTCTGCCTTGTCACCCACTATGCGATAGTTAGAGCCGACCTCGGCCCTTTCTTTTGTCCATGGCCTGTCACAGCCTGCCATTCACTGCCTCACCGATTTGAACAATACCAACCGATAGCTCTGCTCTTCCAGCGTCTCAGGATGGATTCACAGTCGCCGAATCCTCCCTACGCCCTTCCTCCTCCTCCTTTCTCGCCTCCTCTGTCCGCCAAACGCTCCTCGACCGACACCCACAAACCCACCTCGATCGATATAGACATGATGAGGTCCGAAGAGCGCTCCACGAGAGCGGCCAGTGTATTATCTGGCATGTCTGCAGAAGACATGGAGGCCGCTGAAACTCTCAGCGGCCTGCATCAGAGTATGTATTCCCCGTCTTTGGTACCGCAGCCCGACCCTTTCACTGACATGTGACATCAGAGTACCACTCACCCGGCCACTCTCAGCCTGCTCCCACTCTTGTACAAACTCAGACGACCTTTGGCTCCGACCAGCCTGAACCTCTTCTCCGCCTCTTCACAAGTCAATATCCCTTGGCAGGAAGTCTGATCAATGGCTCGCTGTCCGCCTATAAAACCACACAATCCTACATTCCAGGCGCCGAATGGACCGAGAGGAATGTTGGTCTCCCAATCGCAGGGACAGTAGCCAGAATATCGGGCGTCGAAGGCGGACTGCGCTGGGCTCTACAACCGAAGCGGGGAAGCAGGTCTTCAACCGCCGCGCCCCAAACACCAGACGTGGAAAAGGGTTGGACAGACATCGCTCCCGACGGCACTCAACGGTCAAGTTCCGAGATGGCATACAGCGACACTCTGCCTGCTTATAACCCGGGCGATCGGTCGCCTCCATACTCCGAGAATCAAGTCGTGTTGCAGTCACGCGGTCAGCAGTCGCCGGCGAACTGGCGACAACAACTCGTCATTTCCACCAGTGGCCTCGGCATTGCCATGAGTGACGAGTCGATCCGAAGTTTGCGGTACTGCCTGAGATGGCTCCGCTGGGCCAACGGTCGACTGGGCGAGGCCATTCAGAATCTAAAGAACCTGCTCGAACGATGGGACGAAGAAGTCACTTCCGACGAACAAGCGTCGCCCATGTCGGTGGCGAGCCTCACACAACCATCAGAGGAACAGCGACAAGCAGCCTTGTTGGCGCGCATTGCAGCCTTGAAGGCTGACGTCCTTCAAACACTTAAGCACGTGGTTGGAATCGTGTCCAACTACGCCGGCGGTGCTCTTCCACAGAACGCAAGAGACCTCGTCCATAGACATCTGATCAGTTTGCCTCAGCGATTCAACCTCGCCAACATGTCCGACAGCGATTCCTCGAACGGTACAAATGGAAACACGTCCGAAGCTACCAAGAGCGGAAGACGAGTCATGGTCCTCGCCGAAGAGGGACTCGACATGATGACACAAGTCAGTCGAGTCGTCAACGACACCTTGGTCAGCGCCGAGGGATGGTGTGAGAGGCTCGGTCGTAGGCCGACAAGTGCCGCGGCACCATCTCAGATCGGAAGCATCGATGAGAAGATGGACATGGATCGTGACCGTGGCCAAGCCGACCGAGGGCACAGTGTAAGGAGTGAGACCCTACCGCTGATTGACGACGAGAAGAGTGACGTGCATATGCAAATGTGAATGTAACAATACGGAGTATTTATGGGCTGAATGAGAAGAAACAGGGGAAGTGTGGTTGGTTGGAAAAACAAACGTGCTTCTGAAAATCTTTTAGATGTCTTCTTTTGCTCTCTTTTTGTGTCATCGAGCACCGTGAGAGGGAGGAATATAAAGGCAGGTTGGCTGGGTGGTCCGGGAGATGAGGCGAATCTTGCAATCTTGCACTTTTTTATTTACGACGTTATGCTTTGTGTTTGGTGTCATTGTCGGTGGATGAGGGAGCCGTGGAAAGACGAGAGACGAACTTTCAGCAGAAGTAGAAGAAGAAAAGCAGTCAGTCATTTCGGCAAAAAGATGTTTCTTGAGACACAAATTCATCTTGGGGCTCGTTGAAAGACAATGTTTGGACATGATAAATGACATCTACCTAAGACCTTGCAAGGAATTAAGAATAAAAAGAAGAGATCTTTCCGAGTGGTGGAATTCTGTCTCTACTACCTAGGTACCTGATCTATATACATTACGGTACTTTATCAAATCATGACTCGTGAGGATTGTATTGGAATTGGAATTGGAATTGGAATTCAAAAGGGAAAAAGCGGGAGGACCAACCACGGCAACTTGGTGATGAAATCTCATGGTCCTGTACGGAGTGTAGCTACCTGGGGTATATGTGTACTCCGTACCGAGTACAACTGTGCCCTTGGGGATCCAAACGTTGGTATAGCCATCGCCATGGATAGGCATCCATAACAACCCATCTGACTGAATGTGCGAGTATAATTTTACTCAAGGACGATGGTGAGGTACTTTTTTTTCTTCTTTCTTCAGGTCACAATGTTATCATGTCCTTGAAAAGAAAAAAAAGCCAGTGTCCACCTTTCAACATCTATCTTCTTCTAAAGACCCAACAAGTTCAGAAGACCACTTTTGTGTGTTTGTCGTCCTACACGCACACACCCTACCAAGATTATACCGACGACGATGATGACGCCGACGACAACGGCGACCTCGACCATACAGATTCTGACGATGATGATGATGACAGTGAACTGACATCTGCATCGTAACTGGAGTCGACGACCTCCTCATCTCCATCTCTATACCTGACCCTGTTGGTACGATGCAAGACCCTCCACCGAGGCCCGTCACCGTTCGTCATGTCAGCCTCACTCTCCGACCGGGACGGAGCCAACGTGATGGACAACCAAGATTCGACCATGGTACTGCCCGCTGACGAATGATACGAGGTCTCGCCATTATCTTCATCATCATCACCATCATCTTCATCATCGTCGTCGAGAACAAAATTCCCCATTCTTCCACCATAGGGGTACTGCCATCGTCCAGGCTCGTGGGTATCCCTCCACAACATCATCAGGTCATTTTCCCTCTCCATGACCTCCCTGTTACGGGCGCACGCTTCGTCGGAAATCCTGAAAATAGGTGGCGGCGGCATCGACCCGGGTCGCAACGGGACCAGGTCGTTGTCGACGAGAAGACGTCGCGGGCCGCCGAGAAACCTGGACCGCGCGCCTCGTTTATACCGTACGGCGCTCGAGCGTGTGATGCCGCCGCCGGGCCGGGGGTCACCTTCTGAAAAAGTCGTCAGTCCACTCTGACGGACATCCTGAGCAATGGTTTCATCGGCGTTGAAATCTCGTTGCTCGTCGTTGCCAGGTCGATCATAGGAGAATCTCCTACTTCTGGCTGACTCTGGTGGTGGTGGTGGTGGTGAAGGAGGAGGAGAATAAGGAGGGACAGGCCATGGATTGCCGCCCAACACGTCAACGTCGTCGTCTGTCTTGACGTCCGTTGCGGATGAGTCGTTGGATGTGCTGGAGGGGGACAAGGTGGAAATTATTCGGCGGGCGATAAGGCGGGAGGACGACATGGTGGGAAAAGTATGATCGGTCGTGGTTGGGTCTGGCAGGAGAGAATTGAAGGATAGGGAATATTTGGTTGGACAATGAGTCAACAAGAAAGGGGACGTCGCTGTTATTGAGGATGTAGTTCTCAGACAGCAAAGCGTGTTCGACAGTACAAAGGATCAACAGGGAGAGGGAAAGGCGATTTTAAGAGAATGGGAAAATTTCTCGAAAACGATAAGCCTGGTCGCTTGCTCTGTAACGATTGCGAGAAGAAGAAAAAGCGACCTGACAAGTCAGAATATATGGGAATTTTAAGGGTATGGTCTTCTCCTCCAGGTCCTCGTGAGGATATCGAAAACCACGTTTATCAAAAGTCAAAAATGTGCACACTAAAACAGCCGTGGGGAGCCTTCGTCAGTAAAGTAACGGGTAGTCGTAGAATATTGCGCCTCAAGCAAGTGACAAGTACCCATTTTGATGTGCTCAAGAGAGACAATATCGGACTGAAATGCTGGTACCTCATTCTGAGTTGATGGAACAACTTGGAATAGCCTTCTTCTTCTCGCTTTCCTCCGGGGCAAGGAAACCTCCTCGTGACGAGAAGCGACTTTGATGGTCATGATGAATAACTTTCTTGACCTTTCAGGAGTGCGGATCATATACTTTGATAGAAACGGAGAAAACTTTGGGTAGATGTTGGAGCCCAAGGCTTCGAGCGGGCATGGCTGCCTGAAGTTTTCACGACCTTTCTATGGACGGATAGGATCCTACCTGCTGACCGCGGAGATGTTTTGAGACAGGCATATACTGACTTCTTCTTACTCCATGGCTCCATGATGTGTGTGAGGTTCGTTAAAGCTTGGGTATTCTGGAGATCGATATCTGTTAGTACCCACGACGTGAAAAGGCTGACCAAGTCTTGGACCTTGCGATGGGAGATAGTATGGTGCCATGGGAGAACTTTTGCGATATAGATGCCATATTCTCTGTGGGACGGTCGCGGTAGAAGAGTATCTGCGTAGCTTCATCGTCAAAAGAAAAAAGATCGGATGTTGAAAGAACGACGTTGGGATGTGTATAAACATTTGTTTCCCAACTAAATATTTACTTCCCGAAGATCAGCCACGTTCACCTGCCCCAAACAACCCGAGTACAGGTAACTCAGGTTCTTACCCATACAAATGAAAATCAGTAATGCACTACAATAGTGTGATGCTCAGTAGGATGGAATATTCGACCCGTCGAATACATGTTCAGGAAGTCCTCACTCAGACCAGCAACAGAGGAAGAAGTGGGAACTGCCTCGAGTTTCGTCGTTGCCTCGACTGTGCCTTCTCCTTATGAGTTGTTCTTGCTGTTCTTGGGCAGAGGCAAGAGGTGGAAGCCATGTCTATCTGCTGTTCAAGAAGTCTTCTTCTTCTTCTTCTTCTTCCTCCTCTCTAATCCCTTCACATCACAATTCTATTTGTCCTTCGGCCCAGAAGACCTTTTGATTTTTGGCTACGCTGTCCACTCTTTCACAAAGTTCCCGTCCAAGTCACAATATCCCACTACCTCTGGTGTATTTCTCAGTACCTCACTATCATATCACTAACTTATCTCGAACCGGGTCTCATCAATTCTGTCTCGTGCAAGATGGCATTCAGACTTGATCCTCGTGGAGACCTTCCACCTTCCAACATTCTGCCGAGCTCATACTACCCCGATCGTCGAGCCACCACATACGGCATTCCTTTCAAGAAACCGAAGCAAAAGTCATGCTATGACTGGATATTTTCCACGGCATCAAATGTACACATAGCTGTCGACCGTGCCGCCTTCAAGACATACATCCCTTTCAAGTCATACGTCCTCACAGTCGCAGATCAAAGCCATGTACCGGTCAAAGGTATTGGTTCGGTGGAGCTCAAGATACGTCGTGCCCCGGGGAGCAAAGAAAGCCACACAATCTGCCTGGAAAACGTCCTTCATGTACCTGGCTGGATGTGTAACATCATCTCGGACATCTGTTTTGAGCCGGCCATCAATTACGAACACACCTGGACAGAGTTTGGAGTCAACTTTTTCATGCAAGACAATGGTGCCTTTCGACCGTGGGGCTACACGGAGAACTTCTGTGGGCTCGATCGCCTCGTACTGTCCCACAACAAGCGAGGGTACAGTCCAATGCTGGAAGATCCTGATCGAGAGGTGTTTTCTGTCAGTGTGATGTGGCCACAAAGTCAAAAGGACAAATGGGTTCTCTGCCTCGCGGAAGAAATCAAATTCAATATCGAGCGCGACGAGCACATGTCCCGCAGAAAGAAGACGGGCGAAGAGACAAAAGGCAGTAAAAGGGGGACCAAGAGCGTTGTGGTGGAAAACTCGAAGTGGAAGCTGATGCCAGACGCGATCAAGATCAAACAGTCTTCCAGTGTCATGCTTGAGGGCAGCGTCAGGCGTGAGTTGTTGCCCAGAGGTTCAAGTCTACCCCTTGAGAGCCATAGAGCATGATGTGCATGGGTAAGACTTATGATTAGACCGTCATGCGGGGAAAGACGTCCACGTTGCTCTCCGACCGACCCGGATATGAGGGATTGAAAACAGCTGATAGAAATTATGGACATGTCCTGGTAGAGGTCATCGTATACAAACACGGGTGAAGGTAAATACATGATAGATTAGACAATACTGATTCAGTGTATCAGTCGTACTTCCTTTCCAGGTTCCCACTCGTGCAAGCCTTGTTGTAGACTCCGCCAGTAGTTCAAACGAATACACTCTGTCTTTGCTGCTTCGACATCTTCATGTTCAAAAGCTTGTCCTAGCAGCTTAATTGTTTGATCTATCCTCGCTTGGTTCTCCTCCTTCAGGGCATCGACTTGTTCTTGAGTCTCGGCCTCCTCAATCGCCTCTTGTGCTTCCATGACCTCCATGAGCGTCTCCTGATCCGTCAGACCGCTGTGGGTGCTGTTATCTTCCGAGGTGATGTCGATGCCATAGGTATGGTGCAAGAGATACCGCGCACGTAGCAGCGGGTCCGACAGTGTTTTGTACGCGCTGTTCAACAGCGAGGACAGGGCCATGGCCTTTTGATGCGCGGTGGGCTGGGAGGTGTATTTGTCAGGGTGGTGTTGAGATTGGAGGAGTAAGAATTCACGCTTCAGTTGGGCCAAGGGGATATTGAATGGCCCCGTTGGGGGAGGACCCGCGGAGAGCGTGTTTGGGAAGAGCGTGTAGTAGGTCGAAATGTCGGGTAGAGGGGCTGTGGTGGTGGTGGTGCTGTCGGGTTTGTCGCTGCTGGCAGTGGCGGTGGCCTGTTGTGATCCATGATGTCTCCCGGAGCTCACGCTGATGGTTCTGGTATGTTGACGAGAGGGGTGAGAGACAAGGTGAGGGAGAGTATATGAAGAAGTGCGTATATGGTGAGTTTGTGGCGTTGCGCCCCCGACGGGCTCGACGAGGGAGGAATAAACACAAAGTCGTCGAAGATGGCGCAACGTTTGTCGCGTGGGTGCCGTGATTGACATTGTTGGGGTGCTGGCTTGCGTTGTGGCTCGTCTAATCTTTTGCAAAGAGTATCGTGGTATAGAGGTGGTTATTGAAGGACGCTTCTATACTGTCGAATCGTCCAAGAAAAAGTAATGAATTATCTCGTGAGTGTATGGACTACTTCTAACCAAATGGCCGCAGTTGCAATTGTTCTTTGAAGAGAAATAATAATACGAGATATAAGGGCGACGTCATGCGGGAAAAAGAATTCGCCGCTATCGGAGGCCAATGACCGAGGCCGAAATCCGAATTAACAGCCGTAGGAGATCCCCTCAGGTTCACCTGAAGGGTTACTGGACATCGGTTTATGGGACTGAAATCGACACTGCTGGTTGTTGCATTGACAATGGATTTTCTATATAAGGTGTCTCGAATATTTCATGATAAGATTATGAAATTGGGTTTTAGGATAGAACAATAAAACTCAGGGCCTACCCGGACCCTGTCATGGGATTATCGGGGTCGCTCTCAGGAACTAGCGGGCCTTGTAGGAGACTCCTCCGTGTACTCAACGGCGCCAACGAACATGGTAAGCTGAAACTCTGGGGGCGCTGGAGTGCAGGTCTTCGCCAGCTGAAAGGTCCCTCTTCGAAACGCGAAGCTTAGCCAAACGATACCCACTCATAACGCGAGAAACAACACCCAAGCATGCCCCTAAAACCAGATCTCTCGTTCGTCATTCCAGTGGAGGCACCACCCAAGCGACAAATCCCACATTGAGCAACCTGCAGTAAATTACAGTACTGTTTGTACGTGGTTACTGTGGTATGGCGAGTGACAGGTCTCAGGACTGCTGAGGCTCCTGTACATACAGTACATTGAGGTATACCGTACTCGTATACGTGGCCGTTTATCCGTAGGTGGGACAAACATATAATGATGACGTCGCCTTCCTCACCACATGCACCTACCGTGATGTTCAGCTCACATAGCAGCTGTTTCATCTTGAACCAAAAAGTTTTTATTGAGTCCTACATATCCTCGTTTTCTGCTCACAACTCAAATTTCCCCATTCCATCAACCAACCCCTTCTGTCTCTTTTGAAATTATCACAAGTTTCTTCGCCCAAGATGTCCTACAACGACGATAGACGTGAGTACGGTGGAGGAGGACGAGGCGGTGACAACTACTACGACCAAGGTCAACGATATGACGATAGTCCACAGCGCGGTGACGGTTATGGACAGCAACAAGGTGGTTACGGTGGCAATGAGCCTCCTCGTCACCATCGTCGCGAGAACGAAGGCGGCTATGGCGGTGGCGGTGGTGGTGACCGCTACGACCAAGGAGGATACGGCGGTGGCGGCTCAGGCAACTACGGCAGTTCAGGCGGTGGTTATGGAAATAATGGCGGAGGTGGCGGTCGCGATCGTTACGATGAGGGAGGATATGGTGGTGGTGGTGGTTCCGGCAACTATGGCAATTCAGGCGGTGGCTATGATAACAACAGCGGCGGTGGTCGTGATCGTTACGATGAAGGAAGACATGGCGGCGGCTCTGGCAACTATGGTGGTGGCGGTGGAGGAAACGCAGACTTCAATGAGAATGAGGTTCTGCAGCACAGCCAACGACAGGGCAACTCCGAAGATGGTGGCCTCTTCTCTCAAGCCATGAGTTTTCTCAACAACAACAAACAGAGTGCGCAGTCAGAAGACCTCGACGAAGACAGAATCCAGCGAAGCCATCAGCAACTCTACCAGCAAGACGGCGGAGGCCAGCAACATGATGCCTCTAGCCTCGGTGCCGGAGCTGCGATGCAGGCAATGAAGATGTTTTCTGGAGGGGGATCTGGCGGTTCAGGCTCACAATCCCAGATGATTTCCATGGCAATGCAAGAAGCATCAAAGTTGTTTGACCAACAGAGCAACCAGGGGAATGTTTCGGGTGGAACAGACAAGCAGTCGGTCATCAACTCAGCTGCCAAGTATGCCTTGCAGATGTATATGAAGGGCCAGGGCGGTGGAAGTGGTGGTGCTTCAGGTCTGATGGGCCTGGCCAGCAAATTCTTTTGAAAGGCTGCATGGCCGCCACAGAGAGACTGCTATTCAGGACTGACTCGATGACATCGAATTGCTGTTGATGCTGTTGAGGGAAAACCTCTCTATGCTATATCGTGGCATGGATTACGTTACTACAAATAAGTGACTACCAAATACTCTGTAGTTTCCCTTCGGTATCTGCCTAGGCAGCAATGTGTGTGACAAGAACAATAGCATCCTGGTGTACTTGAGTGTGTCCCGAGTAATCAGAGACTGATGGTTTTATTGTACTGTAGAAGGATGTGGAGAACGAACCCTTGCAAAGGCCAAGCTTAGCTCGACTTCTCCAAACTGCGACTCCTGATCGTCATAATCTTGCCCTAGCATATTCCTCGCTTCATTTCTGTCCTTCCACACCCAACGTGTACAACAACATGTGTTCTTGGTGAAACCAGGCCCATGTACATCTATTAGCATACGCATCTTGCCTACTCTTTGTCGCTAGGGCTTGATTTTCGCCGACGTGTCCTGCGTCCGGGTCCTTTTGTAATACCAATACCCTCACCTCATTCAAACCACGAGATGCGTTGAAGCAAAAATCGGATCAAAAAGCCTCATCAACCTGCTCTAAATCTGTTTCGACGACCAAAAGCCGAGTCATGAACCAAAATCCCAATGATCACTGGCGTGGTCCAGGAGGTCCTACTCAGAATGACCCGCAAAGCAGACCCTTTCCGAGCTATGGGTACGTATTTTCCTTTTCACCTCGACATCAAACGCGATTTTTCTTATTTGCTCTCTTCGCAATGGCGCTCCGACTGACTTGAACACCTGTTTGGACAGCGGCAATGGCCCTGCCCAACCACCGCCTCATGTTTTACCTCCTCCTCCCTCGTACCATCAACACCACTCTCAACCCTCCTCGAGCCACAGCCTTTCGATCGCGGACTTGACTCAAGGACCGCCCAGTCATTCTCAGCAACACCAGTATAATACCCAACCCCCTCCGCCGCAGTCTCAAGGTCATCCGATGGGCCCTCTGGGTCACCCGATGACACAACATTCACCTCAATATCTCAGCCGAGACAGAGACATGCGAGATCCTCGTGAGCGGGATTTGCATGAAATGAGAGAACGAGAACGAGAGATGCAAAGACAGAGAGATGAAATGATCCTGCGCGATCGCGAACGGGAACAAATGGAGCGCATGCATTCCGAGCAACGGGGTCCTGTTCAGAGCCATGCGGGATCAATCCCGATTCATCAGCCCGTGGCCTCAAAGGTACAAAACTCGATACACGGTCCGAATGGTCTGCTCGCGAACGGCGGTGCTGGTGCAGTACAGCACAACTTACCTCCTGTGACCGGTGGAGGCAGTCTCTTTGGTGGGGCTTCCCAGCATGAATCGCAGAGACCTTCTCAGTACATGCATCAACAAGGCGCAGGACCTCCTCAGCAGCAAGCGCAATCTTTCATGCCTGGACCGTCCCCAATGACTGCTCCTGCGCAGCTCGCTCACGGTCAGCAGCCGATTTTGAACGATGCGCTGAGCTACCTTGACCAAGTGAAGATGCGCTTCAATGAACAGCCCGATGTTTACAATCGCTTTCTAGACATCATGAAAGATTTCAAGAGCCAGGCAATTGACACACCGGGCGTCATTGAACGTGTTTCCAATCTCTTCAATGGTCACCCAGCTCTGATTCAGGGCTTCAATACTTTTCTCCCTCCTGGATATCGCATTGAATGTGGGACGGACGACAATCCGGATGCTATTAGAGTCACTACACCTAGTGGAACAATGACTCAATCGCTTCAGAGCAGAGGCCGTACGCATTTTGAACCCGCAGGAGTTGCTCAGGTTGCTCAATCTGCATCAGGTCGACAAGATGGTTTTGAAAATCGACATACCTGGGGACAGCCTTTGGGGGCTTCGCCGGGTGCCAGGTCCGCCGAGCTGGCGCCTTTCAAAAATGCACCAGGCGAGAGACCAGCCGAGGAAGCCGTCAATGCTATGAGTCAACAAGATCAACGTGGTGTCTCGACACTTCAAAGTGCAGTCACTGCCGTGACCAATGGATCTGCAAGACCGTCTTTAGCAGTTTCACCGGGACCCGGACAGACTGCTTCATATAATCAACAAACTGGTTCTTTTGGTGGCAATGCTTCCTTGGCTGATGTGAAGCAGCGGGGTGGTCCAGTCGAATTCAATCACGCTATCAGTTATGTGAATAAGATCAAGGTTGGTCCGATGACATCGCTTTTGGGTAAATTGCTAACTAGTCCCCTTAGAACCGGTTTGCGCAACAACCTGAGATCTACAAGCAGTTCCTCGAGATTCTGCAGACATATCAGCGAGAATCCAAACCTATCCAGGATGTGTATGCTCAGGTGACCCAATTATTCTTATCAGCCCCAGATCTTCTTGAAGACTTCAAACAATTTTTGCCCGAATCGGCAGCCCACGGCAAAGCACAGGCTTCTAGAGCCATGGCTCAAGAGGAGCAGGCCAGCAATGCCCGAAGTGACGCAGGCTATACCGCTGGTACCCTACCCCAGGCGCAAACACCTCGGCCTCCTTCGAAGATGCCACCCATGGGCCAATTCGACCCCCCCAGCACCAGCAAAGACACCAAAAAGCGTCGTGGCGGACCGGGAGCTACCCTCACAAACCAAGCCCCGACACAGTTGGCTGCTGAAGCAGGTATTCAGCAAGGAGGACGAAGTGGCCTTGTTCAAGTCGGCAATGCTAACAAGGTATGTACCAAGATTGTTCCTACTGTGTTTACTTCGCGTCTCGACTTCCTCTCTCAAACGCCTTCTCTTTACGCTGCAGCCCGACATCATACACCACAAGTGCTTCCTCTTCCTTAATTACCATTTGCACTTTTTTTTCAGAATAACATACCATTTCCCACATGGCTAACCTAAAATTCTAGCGCCCCAAACTATCAAATCAACGCCAGCCTCCTGCCGAGACGCTGCTGACCTCACCAACGCTCGTACCTCAGTTGCCCGAGCCTTTGCCACCATTCCCTAGTACTTCTACTACTCAGGAAGAGCTTGCATTCTTTGACAAAGCCAAGAAACAGATTGGAAACCGGACTAGTTACAATGAGTTTCTGAAACTCACCAACCTCTACACTCAGGACTTGATCGACAAATATACCCTGGCCGACAGAATGGGGTCATTCATCGGGGGCAACGCCGATCTCATGAACTGGTTCAAACACTGGCTTGGTGTTGAGGAACAAGAGGAAATCATCGAAGCTCGCATCCGACCAGACCCTGGCCGAGTTAATCTTTCTCATTGCCGCGCATTGGGCCCTAGTTATCGCCATTTGCCGAAACGCGAACAAAACAAGCCTTGCAAAGGCCGGGATGGCATGTGCTACGAAGTACTGAACGACGTCTGGGCGTCTCATCCCACTTGGGCATCTGAGGACTCTGGATTCGTTGCGCATCGCAAGAATCAGTACGAAGAAGCCTTGCACCGCATCGAAGAAGAGCGACATGACTATGATTTCCACATCGAGTCATGCCAGCGCACCATCCAACTTATGGAACCCATCGTCCAGCAAATCGGTGTCATGAGTGAAGCAGATCGTGCCGCATTTATCCTGTCGGAAGGTCTCGGCGGTGCGAGTGCAGCCATTCCTAAGCGTATCATTATGAAGGTGTATGGCCGTGAAGTTGGAGCTCGGGTCATGGAAGAAATGTTTGCACGTCCGACAGCGGTCCTTCCAATAGTCCTTGGAAGGCTCAAACAGAAGCTTGAAGAGTGGAAACAAGTCCAGCGAGAATGGGAGAAGGTTTGGCGCGATCAAATCCATAAGCAATTCTGGAAGAGTCTTGATCATCAAGGCATCAACAACAAGAATCTGGATAAGAAGGCCTTCCAGCAGAAGTTCTTGACGAGTGATATACAGGCCAAGTATGAAGAAGCCAAGAAGAACCGCGAGAATGGCGTCACTACGAAACGGCATCAACTTGAATATGCATTCAATGATCTCGATGTTGTTCTCGATGCATCACGCCTGATACTTGTCTCATTGGAAGCCGGCAACGCACAGTACAACAGCGGCGAACAGGAGAGGATCCGTGGCTTTCTGACTGATTTTGTCGTAAGATTCTTTGGCCTCGACCCCGAAAAGTTTCACGAACAAGTGGATTTTGAAGGTCTACGCAGTCGTGAAAATGACGACCTCATCGATGGTCATGAGAGCGATAGCCACCCGCCTACCAAAGGTAAAACTCAGCGCAAGTCAGACTGGCTTAGGAGGCTGGCACTTGAACGCAGACACGGCAAAGAGGACAGTATCGCATCGGGCAGCAAAGAATCAACTCCAATGCCGGGAGCACTCAGCGAGATGGAAGTTGACGATGATGCCCCGATTTCAGATATCATGGACTCGCCCCAACGTCCTTGGATCAACGTTGCCAACAACGATTTTTCTACTCGACACCTGGCAATGGACGAACCCTACCCGCACACAACCTTCAATCTCTATGCCAACGCTAATATCTACTGCTTCTTCCGACTTTTCGAGACAATGTACAGCAGATTACTTGCCATCAAGAATAATGAGCCAAACGTGCAAGAAGCGGTGGCTAGATATAAAGGCAAAGGCGGAAAAGTGAAGCCCGCGATCGATCTTCGCATGATCGATAAAGGACCAGACTATTTCTTCTTCAATATCGAGGGAAAGCAAAATTACTATAATCAGATCCTACAGATGTGTGAAGAAATCCTTCTCGGCAACGGGGAGCTTTCTCATCTTGAAGAGACGCTGCGACGATATTACAACAAAAGCGGGTGGCAGCTGTACGGAGTCGATAAGCTTGTTGCAGCTATCCTACGCTTCGTCATGAATATTCTTGGTGGGGATGCTAAGGACAAGAGTGTCGAGATCACCAATTTATTCATGAAAGATCGCGAACGGCCGGACACGACTCGAAAACAAGAAATACAGTACCGCAAGCAGGTCGAGCGACTGTGCAAAGATGCCGAGATCTACCGCATCAGCTATGTAAGTATCTACCAAACCTGTGTCCCAAAAGGCCAACTAACATTCTGTGACATAGACGCCTAACGATAGGTTTTGCACTATCCGCCTGTTTCCGTCAGAAGACGCCACCTTTGATAGCGATACCTTGTCCGACGATGCTCGCTGGCAGTATTATGTCGCATCGTATACCATGACCGATGCTACTGAAGGCATAGACCAGTCGCGCATGCGCTCGCCCTACGTGAAGCGTAACATTGCTCCTCAGAATGCCAATATTGAGGCGGCATATGAAGAAGCCTACGGCGATCTTGACCACACCGATGAGCAAACAGCCTTCATCAGCCCGGAATCATACAAGCTCCTGCTTCAGAACGAGTTTGGCTTCGTGCATCGAGGGGCTGTCGAGAAAGCAAGCTCTGCTGAATCAAAGGCACACGAGAGTGAACGATTCAGGGAGAAATTTGTGCGTAACACGGCATGGATGAAAGACCAGAGAGCCGAAGATGTGGAACGAAGGAAAGCTGCTTGGGAAAAGGGCGTCAAAGAAGGATTCCTCAATAATGAAGAGTGACGCCATGTACATGAATGACACCACAAAGAGGGACAAATGGGAATGGTTTATTGCTTATCAGTTGAGACAGGTGTTGCACTGGGTAACGACTGGATGGCTCTACTGGCTCAGCAGAAATGTCTTCGAATAAGCCTATAAGGCTGGGTTTGCAGTAAACAATAGTGAGGGCGATTCTAGAACAACGTACAAACAAGCACAACATTAGAATTGGTGCAGCGATTATCAGAAAATGACAGTTTGACAGATGCCGGTTGTTGTTGTGACTTCGGAAAGACCTTGCTCGACAGCAGATGACGTCGGAGGCACAGATCGTCCTAGGCTGTAAGAAGGATCGATGAAGAGTCTTCGTGTCCCGTCAAGCCACTGACGGATCAGGCTGACTTTTTTCGAAAGAAGATAATGACGAGCACACATATTTCTGGTCCAAGACACGGTGCAGATATGGCCGTGCGTTGTCATGATAGTGAAATACTTGAGACTCTCCCTTGTAACCGAAATTTTCAAGAGCGTTCTAGGTCGTGTCCATCTGCACCCATCCGTGGTACAGTAGACTTGGGACTTGTTGTCCGGAGCACCTTCTCTTGAGATGAGGACTAGGCTAAGCGAAACCACGAGCCTTGAGCCTCGAGGTGTCGACATTCTTCTTCGGGGGTGAGGTTTACGTGAACACTCAGCAAGACAGTCGAATTTGTTGGCTTGCGTAATTCCAACATGCCGATCAGTACTCGAAGTCGTCTGGCTCAGCAGATCTCATCAAGGCAGAGAAAAAGCCTGGTAGCCTCATGCCTCTACGATATGTACCAAAGCTGACCGAGATGCGAAAAAACCATTTATCCCTGCATGAACCGGGAAATTGGAATCGAGACCCGCTGCGGTACGAGTCAATGACAGATCAAGTGCCGGATAGCACTGACAGGCAAGTATCCAGCTGTACTCCGTACAAGGTGCTACAACCTCTATATGCAGAGTGTGGTGGGCCGGGCACGATCGGATGTGTGCATACTGTACAATAGTGATGAAAGTGCTGTACATAGGGATTTGTACTCCGCCTACAGATACGCGATCCAAGCAGCTACAGGTAACGTCAATTTCGGTGTGCTGGGGCGGGTTGATTCGCCTGGGTCTTTCTACCAGCCTGAATACTGCGTAGGGCTCTCTACACCAATCCAATCGTCGTGGCGACGGGGTGGACGGAGGGGCAAAAGGCCAAGGGAGACTTTTTCGCGGCTGAACAGCATACGGTAGAAAGGAGCTCGGCAGGAGTGCGCGGTCTTTTTATGAAGGAGGACGAACCTGAGTCGCCGTGAAATTGAGCATGGAGCTCAAGAGACACGGGCAATCTTAATGGTGTCAAACCAAGCTTTGTACTTGGCCCAAAGAGGTTGGTTTCCGCCGAGTTAAATCTCCGCGTGTCACCAGTTGGCCCAGTGAGCCCCTTTCTGGCCCCCCTAGAGAACAATGCTCTTTTTTCCTCCCCTCTCTCTCGAGTTCGTCTTTGGTCCTCCACCAACTTACTTACGTTGCCCAATGCAGAATTCTGTTTATTGCTCGCATGCCGCTATCCGTCCGTCTAGCTTACAATCTCCGTGGCACCCTGTCCCATGTCTCTGACCGCTCTAACCCCTATCATAGGTCGGACGCTTCGATTGCCTCATCTTGCATGCCTTGGAACGCCTATCGTCCAGCGTTTCAGAACCCCAGTCGCTCTTAGCTCCTTGCCATCAAGAGCAATCCCTCTCTTTTCATGCTCGTTGCCGCCGAGGGCTGAGGCCTGGCTTACGTATGGTTTGGGCATGAGAATCGTAGATTCCTGCCCTGGGTCTCGTATGACAATCTCGAAGATTAGTAGTAGCAGCGCTGATCACAATTGCCAGCCGGGGGGAGGGAGAGACAGACCTCTAGAGGACGATCAAGACCGTCTGGCCATTCTCGCTTGTTTTGATCAGCATCCTTGTGTGCTTCGTCTCTCGTCCAGACAATGCTGATTGTTGTCTCGCGTGTGGGAGGCAATCATCCACTCTCTGTCGTGGTCGTCTCGCCTCAAGTTCTCCCTACGCCGTAGACCATCCAACCATTTCCTCAGACTACTCCGCGCTAAAGGTTAGAAGAGGTTCCTGGTGTGAGATGGACCGCTTTCTTTTGGGAGGCCAAAGATTCGTAGAGAGAAAAAAGCCGCTCCATCATCTCATTTAGCGCGCAAACCCTCTCTTGGGGTCCCATCTGGTGTGGTGAGCGGGTCCCGCATCTCTCCCTCAGGTTGCGTCGCTCCCGTGGTTCCGTGCTGGCAGCTATATGCAGCCGATCACGTCGTTCGACACACACACCTCCTCCTCTCTCTTCTTTTCCGCAAGGCTCGCCGCATGTTCAACTGAGGTCCCTCACAGCTTCGCCTTCGGCCTGTTGCTTTCCATTCTCCCACTACCGCGCCACTCTTTTCGCGGGCATTCGTTTTCGACAGAACATAAACAAATACCATCGGCGACTCACCTATTACACCTTTGCGTAGGAGATATTGGGTAATCTACACCAAAAACATTGGGATATCTGAAAAGAAAGACCAAAGAAAAAAGTGTTCAAAATGAGAGCTGTTACAATTGCCGCTGCTGGTGCAGCTGTCGTCGGATCTGTTTCTGCTTCAAGCCATGTCAAGCACATGCACCAGAAACTGCACGTCGCTCGCGACACCTGGGGCGACTGGAACTCGACCGCGGCCGCCGCCACGACGACGACAACAACGACGAAGAAGCCCGTAGAGGCTGCCACTACCACGTCCGCTGTGGCCTGGGGAGATTGGGACACGACTACCACGACCACCACGACCACCAAGCCCGTCAAGCCCGCCACCACCTCCAGCAGCTCCGCTGATCCTTGGGCGGATTGGGAATCGACGACCACCACCACGAAGCCGGTCGACTCTGCCACCACGACCAGCGCCGCGTATCCGTGGGCTGACTGGGAATCATCCACCACGACAACCACCAAGCCCGTTGAGCCTGCATCAACCAGCAGTGGTGAGCCTTGGGTAGACTGGACGACGACGACGACGCCTGCCAAGCCTGACGACTCTACCTCGACCGTTACCGTGACCTGGGGTGACTGGGAGTCGACTTCTTCCACCCCCGCTGAGGCTGTCACCACAAACACCGAGACATGGGTGGAATGGACCACGGGTCCTTCGGGTGAGGAGACAACCACGACGGTCACTCTCAAATCGACAAAGACCGCCACCAAGTACGTCGAGGCTCTCACCTCCGGCCCTGCCGCGGTCACGAGCGTCCTCACCGCCACCGTCATCCCGGAACTGAGCTCCACCGGATGGTTTGGTTCTTCTCTCAGCCCTGGTGCCGAGAGCTGTGTTATGGAGGTTCACACTTCCTACGGTGCTGCTACATGTAAGACATCCTATTCAACAAGAAAATGCTACGCACAATGCTAACAAACTCTAGGGCACCCGACTCCTGGTGTCGCGACCACCACCACGACTTCCCCTGCTGCTGCTTGGACCACTACCACGACTGTGGCCGCAACCACGACCACCACTCCTGCCTGGCCCGAGTGGACCACTACCACCTCTGCCCAAGGTTGGGGATGGACTCCTGAATCTCCCAGCGCTGCTACTACCACCACTTCCGCCCAAGGTTGGGGATGGCCTTCCGAATCTCCCAGCGCTGCTACTACCACTACCACCCAAAGCGCCGCCGGTGGTTGGGGATGGGGTGCTTCTGGCTCTGCCTCCGCCTCGGGATCTGCCAGCGGCACAAACGGATGGGCTCCCAAGCCTAGCGGTGGCAACCACGGTGGCTCTGGCGGTTCGGGTGGCATCTCCGCCAACGGCAACTCCTGGGCCATGACCTACTCGCCGTACACCTCTAGTGGTGGCTGCAAGGACGCCGGCACCGTCGCCTCCGACCTCGCCGTCATCGCACAAAAGGGATTCTCCTCGGTCCGCATCTACAGCACCGACTGCAGCGCCCTCGAGAACGTCGGAACCGCCGCCCGCAATAATGGCCTGAAGATCATCCTCGGTGTCTGGATCTCCAACACCGGTATCTCCGGCGCCCAGGGCCAGATCAGCGACATCATCAGCTGGGGTCAGTTCGACCTCGTCGAGCTGATCGTCGTCGGTAACGAGGCCGTCTTTAACGGCTACTGCACCGCCTCCGAACTCGCCGGCTTCGTGTCGAGCAGCGCCTCCTCCTTCAAGTCGGCCGGTTACACCGGTCTCGTCACCCTCACCGAGCCCCTTTCCGTGTGGCAAGAGAGCGGTGCCGCCTCAGCCTTCCTCGGGGCCGTCGACGTCTGCGGTGCCAACCTGTACGCCTTCTTCAACGCCGACGTCACCGCCGACAAGGCCGGGTCCTTCATCCAGTCCGAGATCGACCTCATGAACGGCATCTGCGGTGACAAGGCGGTTTACGTCTTGGAGTCCGGGTGGCCCCACTCCGGTAACTGCAACGGCGCCGCCTGCCCCAGCCCGGAGAACCAGGCGACCGCGCTCAAGGGTATTCAGAACACCGTGGGCGCTCAGGTCGTCTTCTTGAGCTTCGAGGATGAGCCGTGGAAAGCACCTGGACAGTTTGACGTGGAGCAATACTGGGGTTGTGCCGACGTCTTTTAGAGGAAGAAATATGAATGGCATATGACAAGACACACTTCATCGGAGGGATTCTCTTCCCCCCTTTTTTTCTGCTGAGCATATTTTTTGCGAGATTGGAGGCACATGAAATCGGTGGTGACCAGCGAGCAAGCAAGCGAACACACATGTTGATCTGCACAAAACAAAAGAAAAGAGAGAAGAATGCCATGCACACATTTTTGTACAGAGAGAAGTGGCTTTTTTTTTTCAAACGCACGCACCATGGCATTGCTTTTCCCATTTTTTCCTTGTTTATATGAGGTTGATTCTTTCCCAAGTATTTTTTGGTCCTTTTTTTGCGCATCTTTTTTCTTCTTCACATGTACAATGTCTGAATAAGTCTACCTACCTACTCGTCCAATGTCCACCCGTTGCTCCTGCATGCTTTCTGTCTGTCTGCATACCCACCTACCTCTTACTGTACGTATATTCGCTCGGAGGATGATGCCCTGAAGTTGTCTTCGAAGAAAGGGGATTGTGTCCAAATTTCCAAAAAGTAATGAACTTCCAAAACAAACAGAACCTACCAGCATGTCCAATTCGTTCGTCCCGTACAAATACCAAGCATAGCATAGCATATACCTAGGTATGTATGCATGCTCCATAACTCCGCATTGTGACAAAAGAATAGTTATCATGTAGTCAAGCTCCTAGGACCAGATTTCCCGTCGTATTCGTAGTGGGTGTCACGGACCCCGATGAGGCGCAGCTCAGCAAGGAACAAGGCAAGGCTGTTGTTTCTCCTTACCCACTTTGTAGAATCCTGTTTAGACTTCTTCAATTCATTCGACTTGTCTCCTTTTTCGTCCTGACTTGCTCACCTTGACAACTAGTGCAGACCACACTTTGCCGACGGAATGACTCTTCATCATCTTGTGATTGGGCTCGTATCCCAGCAATCGAATGATCGACCATCGTTCACGCCACTTCGGACGGCGTCGCTTAGCAAAGTACGAGTACCTGACAGGCGCGATTGCCTTTTCTCTTCTCTCCTCTCACCGCAAAGTCGTCCGCGAACTACTGCACGTGTCTCCTTGAGACAGCCTGATCAATGGAAACAACGAGAGAAGGGCCACGGAGAGAACTTGACGCCCAGTCGTTGCCAACGGATGCTGGCCGTTGTGCCGTCCGCAGCCAGTAACACTTCAAATAGAGAGTTCCTTGCAGGCGTCCTCATGCCCTGTGCATCACAGTGGTTGCAGGTGACGAGGTGGAAAAAAAAGGCAACCAGGCGCCCACTAACCAGGCACCAATGCATCACGCTTGAATGGAAAAAAAATCACACCGCTCACAAGAGTGATCAACAGGTATAAGAGAGACATGGTCACATTTGACAATCTCAAATCTCAATTACATTCTGCTACCTCTGCATCCCCTTTTAACAAGTCTTGACATGTCCCAGACCAGGCCATCACAACTTTGGGGAAACAAATTGTGTTATCCCACAAACCAATTGGCTCGCTAAACGATGCCCTCACCAAACGGGCATCGACTGGCCAAAGGGCCTGACATACCGACCACCGTCCGTTCCCTCCGATGACAATTACTTCTGCCTACCAGGTCACGTTACGGTAAGCCGATTCCTGCCGCAGAGCCGCATCGCAACAAGAAGACAGTTCGCTGTTTCCTCCGGTGAAAACCGCGGGCTCACTCAAACTATCCCGACGGCCGGCTCCAATTAGCTGGACACCTTCGCTAGATGCCCATCCGGACCTGTTTCGATGACCGCCACTGAGAACCTCAAACTCCTTTCCCATTTGCCTCCTTCGGCCCGTGAATTGATGATTCCTCGCACCGAGGAGCATTTTGGATGTGGGGCTGGCCGTTCCAAGGCATGTGCTAGCAACTCGGCCATGAATTGCCTAACAAGACTCCGGAGTGGACAACATGATGACGACGGTGCCCTTCTGTCTTGGGTGCGTGTGCATTCGCAGCAACGCATCGTGGACACGTACGTATGGCTCACGTGGAGGAAAGGAGGACCACAACTGTCTGCGATTTACCCGTGGGGATTGCGTCGACCGATCCACTCAGCGACCACCACCCGAGCGCACGCTGTCGGGTTCTGTGTTGTGCGTTCAGCGCATGGGGGACCTTCCCTCTTTCAGCTGGAGAGCACCCTGACACGGCCTTCCTGCCCCTTGGAAGCAATTCCTCCCTGTTCCACATGATCGACGGCAAAACTTGCTATCTCGAGCCGACCAGCTGCCGCAGAGCGAGGGGAAGAGTGCCAGTTTGGCGCCGTCGAAAGCGCTAAGGTTTCTATCGCGACAACAACTCGTCCCTTCTATTTGGTATCAGCTAGGTGACTACTGATCATGCATGACGCCAAGTTTTTCTCTCATTCGGCCCAAAGTTATACTTGTGCGATCTTGTTGACGAACGGCTGTTGCTGTACGGTTTTGGATGCCCAAGTTTCCCTGTGAAGGCCTTGAATAAGCGGGCAGGTGGTGTGAGGTTTTATTGTTTCTTGCACCCACGAAGATCTCCCACAAGTTTTCTTTTTGGAATCGTTACTCACTTCTCTTCCCCCCTGAAGTTGACAAGCTTCTTTCTGCCATGGCACAACACATCCCCCATTTCCAGCCGTTTCTGTTTTGTGTCTCTGAACTCACAATTGACTATAAGCCTAATCGGGCACCACGATCGACCCCTGGTGATCGATACTGGGTGCCGCCTGCTGACAGAGGAGATTTCCGCAAGCAGCAATCTCAATGGTACGCGTGGAATCCTAGACGACAACAGACGTCGAGAGACTTCCGCCACATACACCTTGCCACGGCTCAGGACGGCCGTGATAATGGCCAGACCAAGACTTGCTCCATTTTTTGGGACCCCGAGCGGCATGGCTACGTCCTGGTTCCCTTCGACTGCACCATGAGGAGCGATCACGAGATCACCGACTGGCGCCGACTTTCCTTCAGGTCGGAGAGGACTCATCCCCAACGGCACATCGCCCTGGCAGGCTACGAGATGGCGGATTTCAAGTTACCTTTTGTCGGTCCACAGGCATGGTTCGATCGCAGTCAACTGTTGAGTGCCGTGTACCGTGGCGAAGGATCTGGTGGAAACAACACCGGCCAGCAGGCTAATAGGCAATGCGGCTTGGCTGGGAATTTGGCCGTGCTCATCGCCCTGCTGGCATTCTCGACCACCCCGGGACAGGCCCATGTCGCGGTCGATCGGTCTTTCCGTCCCAACATCGCCAGTACCACCTTTCAGCCACACAATCGTCCCGTTTCCCATAGTAAGCCTTTTTTTTCGCTGCAGGCCCCTATGCTTTGACTTGTTTTAATTGACCAATCTTCCATCGGATAGGAAACACCAAACGTGGTATGGTGGTCGAGATCCGCGTGCCAGATCTCGCCACGCTTCGACAATGGGAGAATGGCAGGCACGGGCCGATCTTCACTTGAGCCCGAGGGGGCGGCCATGAGATACGTTGTGTATGGTGTATGGCTCTGATGTAGCTGTCCACACACACACACACACACACACACACACACACACGCACGCATCGATCCAGGTTCAGTGCAAGGAGAGAGGAGAAATCGTCTAGGCGATTCTTTTTCTGGAGTTGGGCCCCAATCTTTTGCATTTCTCATCAACACTTGTTTTACGTTTTGACGGCTTTTTCGGGGGTCCAGAGACAATACGTTCGAAGATTCGACACCATCTGCCACTTGTGTGTGGTGGAGGGGTCCTGTTACGATGGAAGATTGACGATTGACGAATTTCCTTTTTAGCGTACTGTTTCTATTTCTGCTTGAGTTTTGATCGTGGTCATGATTGTCTTGAAGAAATCTAGGATATCTTGCGAGCGATGTGGATGATGATTTTCTGTTCGCGGGAAAGCAAAGCAAAGACGAACAAAGCATACGAGTACGAGAAAGCCCTGTGATGTGTGACGATCTTTGATATTTTAGTTTCATACCAGCATCAAGTCTGTTTTCGCCTGTCTTTTGATATACGAATACGCCGTACGTCTTTATGAGATATGAAATGCGAGCTCGAACCTTTGACTCTCTCTCAAAATCTTTGAATCATGACTGAGTGAGCATTGCCGTCTGAAAGTCTCCCAACGAAACAACAAAAATGCATGGTTGGAGAAGACCAAAAAAACGAGAATGTAAGGGTACATGGTCTGACTTGTCACTGATGGTCTGTTCTTCGTCCGGGGAATGGCACATGCATGATATCTGATTCTGTCGGCGCAAGACAGCCCTTTTAGTGAATTCCGCCATTCTACGTGGTTCCAGTCTGTACCACCCTTTCGCTTGAGGATACCTGGCAAGAGCGTCGTTGACTGCTTCAGTCCTCACCTCAGTTCGCCACTTTCGCTGGTCGGGTATGAGTCGGCTCTCGAAAAGGGGTCGTGCCAGGGGCGCAACCACAGCTCCGTGTCCAGTTGGCTAAACGGGTCGTGTTGATGCTAAATGTCTGATTCGGTCGTCCTGGTCCCTGACTAACCGTGACAGGTCGATTCCTTTGGAGTCGAGGTATTCTTGCAAGGGAACCTTGATCTGTGCCGCTCTGCTGCTATTCATCGGATTGTCAAGATGGTTTCTCACACGCGTCAATGCATGATTTGGCGGGAGCTCATCTCGCCAGGCCACAGAGGGCCACAGAGCGCGCATCAATGTCTGGACACCGGAGCAGCAAGTCCACCACATCAACACGGTTTCTGAGTATGGCAACGATCAGGGGGGGTCTCTCCAAATCTGTCTTCCCAATTCACGGTGAAGCGTTGCCGGTCGAGAGGAATTCGAAGGATGTCCGTGTTGCGGCGTTGAGTAGCCATGTGTATGAGCGTCTCGCCCTCCTCAGAACGCCACGCCGGATGTTGGACGTGAGACCGATCATCCTGGGCCCTGAAAAGGAGCTCAACCATCTCAGTGTGGCCTCTCTTGACAGTCAGGGCCAGAGCCGTGTAACCGTCCTCGTCTGTGCTTCCGAGGTCGACTTCTGGAATCCTCAAGAGGGCTCTCAGAATGTCCAACCCAGATTCCACTTCCACAGTCCACGTGGTGTCGAGATTTACTTCCCGGAAAATTGGGAAGTCGTGAGGGAAGTGGACCCCCATGACCTTCACAGCAAGTTGTACATCACAATATTTAACCAAAAAGTTCAAGAGTTTTCCGAGGGGGTTTTCGCGAAGATGTGGGTCTTCACGAGGCTCGATGTTATCACCGTTCACATATGACTTTGCGAAAAGCTGTTCAATCACAGATCTGCTGGTCTTCATAAGAGCCATCGGAAACGCGGGCTCGGAGACATGTGAGGGATGGGAGATAGAGAATGAGACCATGACATTTTCAGAACATCTCATCTCCATGCACCATATAGAGACCGTTCTGTGCTTGAGCTTGATGGGCGTGTTCAAGTGTGTTCTGTACCAGGCAACCATGAGGTCGACGATTGCTGTGTGATCATTAAGCACTGCCCACTGCCACTTCTGGTGTAGGATCGTGCTGGATTTCGACATCCTCTGTGACCACCCAAAGAAACCTGTGAATGGTCAGATGACCTCGTTATGTATGTAAGATTGTGTGCTCATGATGATTGCGAAGCACGAGTATTCATAATCCAAAGCAGAGGGTCAGCCAAATTTCAATATCATTGATTAAGGGCGACAATTGAGCCGGGGGTATGCTCGGCCAACCTGGAGCTAATGAAAAGATAAATATCCTCCTCACTCAAACAACATTTTGCTTGTGATTAGAACGGAGATGGCATTGAACTCACATTCCTTAGCTGCCTTTGACCAATGCCTCGCGGATCCTGAGGATTAGTCCAGGATCTTCCAAGCAAAGTTCGCCTGTTTCCACGCGTTCTGCAAGAGCATCGTTAATATATTGGACAGTCTCGGTAGCCAGCTCCGAGCATAAAATGTGGTACTTTGGTCGAAGAATGGGAGCTAATTCGCGATGGAATCCGAGGCGACTCGAACAGAAGATCTGAAACTGGAACTCACCTTCCAACAGGTCCTTCAGAAATCGACCTATGCATTTTAGAGCTCTGGGGTCACAGTCATCTAGACCATCGAGAACAATAAAGGTTTTCCTTTTCTGATGTTGCAACAATCTTTGCAGATCTCGGGATAATTTGTCCTCGTCAACTCCCTGTTTGAGACTTTGCGAGAGATCGTTAAACGCCTCAGGCTCGAGGAGAAGTAAAAGCTGGCGAACTAAGCTGCCGATGACTGTCCAAGACTCTAGGGACTCAGGCTGATCAAACCGACAGAAAAAGTATGCAACAGTAGCAGCTGGCGCCTGCATAGAAAGGTGTTCAACCACGTTGGCAGCAATAACAGTCTTGCCTGCTCCCAGGATGCCGCTGCACCAGAGAAGGGTTGATTGTTCAGCGCGAAACCACTCTTTGTACTGCTCATGCTCGTATATGCGGTTGCTAGTGCCGCATTTTCGGGCTTGCTTCCAAATCTTCTGATGATCGTATGAAGAACATGCATTCAGGTAGCGCATCTTTTGGTTGTATCTTCGCAGCTGGCGGACTCTCTCTAGCTCTTCCGACGTCTTCTTGGAGAATTTGACCATTGAGGAACGAAATCGTGTATTTTCCTTCATTTCCAGCAGCTACCCTTCGGCGGAGATGGAGTTTACTTCGTTGTGCACCATTTCGCCTGCGTGGCGAGGTTTGTCATCATACTGACCAAATTCATTCTCGAAAGACTTCAGAGTGGATGCTTGCTTGAAGAAAGATCGTTGTAGGAAAATGACCGCTCTCCTACACAGGTCAATGGCAATGATCATGTATTCACACACCGCTTTCTGAAGTGCTAGCGAGGTGGAAAACAGAAAGCCTAATTCCTGGTATCTGGGGCAGGTGCGGCCAACACTCATCAATAGTGTCGACAACTTTTCAAAGTACGAGGCCCATCGCAGTGCCAAATACAGCGTCAGCTTGACGGCAGCCCAAATGCCACTAGCGATTAGTGAATGGGATGCGCCCAGAACTGTATCAATCACGGCGGAAAATTGCTGTAAACATTCCAAGAGGCTTGTCAAGCGAATTGCGACGCATTGCCTCTTTCGGCTGCTACTCCTCTTGTCGATTTCTAAAGTGAGTCTCATCACGTTGTTGGGCGAAGGAGCTGGTTCGCTCCGACCTGACCTCATTGTTGCCTTCTGATCGTTATCGAGTATGCGCTCAAACTCCGACAAGGCCTGAGCAAGCCTGATTTCAGGCTTCAATACTGCCGCATGACGCAGAGCGGCTGACATGGCGGCACTGTCGTTTGTTGTGGAGATTCTGAAGCATCAACGCTCTGTGTAAGGCATCCCACGAAAATAGCTAAAGAAGATGGTTCATGGCTTTCGATTGATGATGAAAGTTGCAGAGAAGTCGACGAGGATCGAGGATGTCATGAAGAGCAAGATGCCATACCGACAGAAATTTCACGACATCATGAATGGTGTGAGGCTGGGACGCTGTGCAACAGTAGGCGTGGTTAGGTCACAAGTTCCTATCTCTGCTTCTTTCGTTGGCTTCGCAAGCACGTTACACCCGCGATATATTTCCATTGTGGTTGGCGAGGCTGATTCCATCCCTACCAAAGTTTTAGGCAGCCAGGTCGAACAGAACTGTCAGGCCAGGGTATTGGCTGAGGACGGTCATCGATCTGTACGTTTCCAGGAATACTCCGGGAACCAGTGACAGAGTGGCAAGTGTTGAATGCATGAATCGGTATGGGGTTTCTATGGCCAACTTCTGAAGTCCTGAGTAAAAGAACTGAGCTTGATAGTTTAAATAATTCACCGGACAAAAACAAGTAAAAATAATCTACGGTGGAGCAAATAGCCGGTAACCCCTTTTGGCTCGGAAACGAAGACAGCTTCGTTATATTTGTGCCGCTCCAAGAATGATTCTATCATGATGGCTCAACCCCTGCATATTCAATCTTCCTTCGACTTTACGGAGTAGAGAGTACGGCACGATTTATCCGCCCATCACAACTGTCATGCAGGACTATGCGCTGTGACTCTTTTTCCTGGGCGGCAAGAGGAAGAATCACATACTCCGTACGAGTAAAGCATGTCCATCATGTTAAGCGAGTACGCTGGTTACGAACACGTCTGGGGTACAAAAGCGCACGTACTCGGACATTTTCGCACCAATACTACACCCAGCGAGGTAATAAATGATTATGTACGGAGTAGAGTAGTGAATAACAAAGCCACAAAGTCCGTGGTATGTGTGGATGCATGACAAAAAGAAAAGCTTATCGATGAACATGTCCCGCGGCTGTCAATCGATGAGATCCATACGGAGTACGGAGTACATACAAGGAATTTAGGCACCGCCAGTACGGACACTGGGCACTTGGTAAACCCGTAAGACTGCAGATAGAGCCGCCCTAGGTACCTACCTAGGTTGGTAGGTAATGAATGTGCATTAAAGTACAGTGCGAGTGTGAGCACCTCCCCCCACTACTCCTCCATCCTGTACTGTAGTACTCGGACACTCTCCTCCTCCATCCCTCCAACTCACGGGCCACTGCGAATACGAGTTTGAGCATTGGCGCTCGGAAAAGCTGGCGCTCCGACGCTTCTGGCTCCGGTCATCCCGTCATCTGCAACCTCCAACTTCTCTGACAATTCGAAACACTTGCTGTTGCGAGAGTCTCACCTCTCAGCACAGCCTCAGCTGCGTTTCCAAATCATTCCCACGAGTCTTCCATACAGACTATCTCCCTCACCCCCTTCCCCTTTCGTTCTTTTTGTGCTCCATCTACTTGCTCGCTTCTGTCCTCGCAACCCTCTCGCCTTCACGATCCCAATCCGATACCGAGGGGTTTTTTCTTGCTCAGAAATACCAAGTTTCCGGATATAAGCCATCGCCATATTCCACCTGTCTGATTCTCGACTAAGGAATGATTTCGTTCATGATACCGAGTATTAGGAACAATATAATCCTTCCATAATCCTATTTCATCTCCAACTCACTCCGTATATATCCTCTCCATCGACCCTATCGTCTTTTTGTCCATCCTGACCCCACCCGGACGGAAAGCAATTCTATTGCGGTGGCACGCGGTCAGCAAAGCAGCGGCACAGGTGTATCCGGGGAGCAAAAAAAAAGAGAAGGGCGACTGCTTCTGTGGTGGAGGCACTGTGACGGCAAGATGCATAACATCTACAATCACCAGAGATGGGTGGCCACCGCCCTTGCGGGGCTGTCGATGCTATGGCCGACGACATTCGCCCAAACCATTACGCCGTCGAACAGCTCGCAGGACTTATACCCAGTCTCGACCTCCCCGAGGTTCATCATGAACGGCACCGAATTCCCAGATATACCGCCGGTGCGGTTGGCTCCGCTGGGGATATATGCCGAAATGTCGCATAACAACTTTATCTCGGTCGACGTGCAAGGGCACCTGGTGAATGTCAATGCCGCCAATGCCAACGACATCACGGACGTGGACCAGTTCTCTTACATGTCCTGTGACCCGGAAGCATACAATGGTGGCAACCTGGATGCAAGTGAAGTCTTTCGCATCGTGGTGAATGCACCCCGCGCCAACATTGTCATTCTATACAGTGAAACGAGTGATCACTGCTCTGCGACTGGCCTCAGCAGTCTTCCGACCATAGGTGGCATCCTCACCACAACCGACACAATGACAGCGTCCAGCCTTGCTAAGCTAGCTCTTAGTCAAGACAGTACCGGCACTGCTGCCATTCTCCCCGATCTAAACTCCTACACCAATTCGTCCAGCGGTGGCTGGAACGGCAACGGCTCACTTGGCCAGTCTCCTACCACAGCAGTCGCAATGATTATTCTGTACTCCATCACTGGCGTCATCACAGCCCTCTTCGTCGTCATCATTGTGACTGGAGCTATTCGGGCACACAGGCATCCAGAACGTTATGGTCCTCGAAACATAGTAGGCCGCGGCCGTCAGAGTCGCGCCAAGGGTATCGCGAGAGCCATGCTCGAAACCCTCCCCATTGTCAAATTCGGAGACCATCAAGACCTTCCCACCACCAAGCAGCAATCGACTGACATCGAAATGAACGCCGGCACCCCTCAAACCGAGACTGCAACCACCACCGATCCCATGGACACCACCAAAGCAATAGAGGCTCCCGAAGTCAGTGCGGCAGACACAAACAGCACGACAAGTGTTGACCGAACAGGACCGCATACACAAGCTGCTGTCGCAACGAGCAACCCCGATGGAACCGACGCAGAGGGCCACCTAGGCTGTTCAATATGTACAGAGGATTTCAACAAGGGCGAAGAAGTCCGGGTATTACCTTGCAACCACAAGTTCCATCCCGGCTGCGTTGACCCCTGGCTCCTGAATGTCAGCGGCACGTGTCCATTGTGTCGAATCGATCTCCGACCTCAAGGTCAAGGAGAAGGTGAATCTGGTGATGTAGATGCTCAGACCCAAGCGCAGCGCACTGGGTCAGATACCACCTTACCGCCTCCACTTGTGGCTGCGGCCACAGGGGCAAACGCCGAAGAAACCACACACCGAGCTGGCGGACGAAGAGAAATGATTGCGAATCTGCGTCGCTTGGCCCACGGGTCAAGAGAAGATCGGATCGCGGCGTTGCGGCGATTCAGGCAAGAGGGTATAAGCTCAAATGCGAGCGCTCCCGCGGCAGGCGCCGCCGGTGCACCTCGACAACAGTCGGAGGAGGAACAATCAAGCCTCGCGAGACGCTTCAGGGAGCGCTTTAGGATCCGCACCGAGCGAAGAGGCACCAGCAACAACTAACGGGTATCAGAGTTCTGGTGTGGAACCAAATGAACCAAGAACCATGTGATCTTGAGGGGCCGTCATGTATGACTTGTGTTATAAGACGATGCGATGTTTATGACTTTTTGGGGGAACTTTCTATGGCGACGAATAGGTTTGGGATACGGAAATGTATGTATGGATCACGAAAAAGGCAACTTTTGGACAAGGCCATTTTGGGTCAAGGGATTATTTGCAAAGCATTGCAGGAGTTCTTTTGCAAGGGTTTTTTTTGCTTTCGGACCCGAATGGAGGGATTGTCTCGATATCTGGATAGGTTGAGGTTCATCTCACGTCGTCCATGGATCATGGCCTGGTCTTGTAGGGCTGGCTTTTATGCTTTTTGGGGGAATCCGGGACTGGAGACTTGGGGACGAAATATGCTGTATCATGCATGGTTGTCTCAGGTCAGAGGAAAGGTATCTACAGAATACTCATAGAATCATGGTCGGTCAATCAAGTCTCACACCTCAATGAACAAACCAGATTATCTTGCTCTGTTACACATTGGCTTTTTGGGTTGTGTATGTGTGCCCTTAAAGGGCTATACGTTAGTGAGTGAAATTGAGCGCTGAGCTCGTCTGCTATCTTTGGAAACTCTTGTATTTATTTTGGTCAAAGTGTAGCTTCAGTATGGAGTCATGTAGAGACTCGACATCGAACTCTTCAGGGAGGACGGTAGCTCGCGAGTCTCTGGCGTAGCTATTCAACCATCATGATCATGGTCATTTCTTCACGCCCATGGCTGATCATCATTACCTGTCAACACCACTGCTCATGCCTCTTGTAATCTCCTCGGTCATGTCTCTTGCGGCCGACCATCCCTTGGATATGATTCTTTCTCTTTCGCTACGTTCATCGCCGTGGGTGTTGCCGCTGCTCGTGGCAGCACCACTACCACCGCTTCCCGCGAACCATCCACCCACACCGGAAGGCAACCAGTTCCCACTCGTGGTGCGGCGACCGTCGGTCACGGGTCGAGGCGGCGTCGATCCGGGGGTGTGCTGCGTCGCTTCGTCGTAATCCACATTCTCAAACGACACCTCACTTCGGGATTTGGTCTTCAAGCCTCCAGAGCTCGGTGGGCGTTGCTGGCCCGGGGCAGAGCCGTACGCGAGGTCGAGCGTCTGTTGTTCCTTGTCCAGCGCCTTGAGCATGTTCGACAACCTCTCCCGCTGCGCCGACACGAACGTCTGTTTCTCGGCGGTGTTGCCTCCGGGGATGTTGTCCAACAGCGACCCGGGGATCGACGCCGCCTCTCGGGCCGCGGAGGAGGAGCGGGGGGAAGACGACGCCGCGAACGCCGCACCGGCAAAGGTCGACATCATGCCGTACACACTCGCAGACGACGTCCCGGGCGGGTTGGGCTGCGACGTGCGTGCGCCCGGCATGGCGAATCGGGACAGCAGATCTTGTGCGTAGCCGGCGTAGCCAGCTCCTGCTCCTTGTCGCGGGGCATGTTCGCCCTGCGGACTCTTTTGACCGAGCACCTTGTCCCGTATGAATTCGATCAGAACGCCGATGTAGCCCAACCCCAGTTGCTGAAGTCTCTCGTGGGCTTCGCCTATGAATTGGTCGATGCGAGTCTCGTGACCGACGATGTAGGGTTCGAGGTAGTCGAGGTAGAGGATCTTTGCACCCTGGGTCTGAGGGAGCACGAGGTACAGGAGAAAAAAGAGGCGGAACCACGAGTAAAAGGGGATCCAGCCGATGATGAAGATGGTCCACGATTCAAAGAGGAGGGTGAGGTTGAGGATGGTGAAGTAGATCAGCCATGGGTGAGTCTGGGCCGGGTCGTTGGTTCGTAGGGCTTTGTATGAGAGGTAGGCGGGGAGGAGGAATGTGGTTATGGAGCTGTCAAAGATGTACAAAAGTACTGCGTCAGTTGACACTAGAACCGGAGTGTGCGATGAGGAGGGAGTGTCGGTGTGTACGCCGGGGGCTTGATTTTTTTTGCAACTCACGAGATGAAGTCTGCTATGATTCCGAACATGACGAGGAATTCCTAGGAGCCTGAGGGGAACATGCGGTGAATGATGGTATGAAAAGTCTTGAAGACACAAAGAGAGAGCGAGAGAGAGAGAGAGAGTTAGGGCAAGAGTGTGTTCAAGTACTGTCAAGTCAAAGACAGAGTTTCTAGTAATGCTAGGCAAACACGTTCCTGTAGAGTGAAGGGTCCTCTTTTTTTGATTCTTTATTCACAGTACCCCCATAAGTAGGTAGGTAGACATGTGGTATGTATGGGTGCCTGACGCAGGTTGGAGGGGGAGGAGGAAGAGAAGAGAGAGAGGGAGACAGACGGAAAGGCTTGTGCTAGATGATCGGCCCTCGCGAGCTGAGCTGCTGAGCTGATGAGCTGCCGTCATTCTACGGAATATTGTACGTACAGAAACTGAGTTGTCCAATGGCAGTGCTTGTTTTCGGCTCAGCCTTGTGATCGGTGCGTTATCGATAACGGGAAAATCAATGGGGAATCAATAGTGCAGCCGAGTGCCGATATCTGTCTACGCGGACCTTATCAGACACCGGCATCTTTGCATTAGGTACGGAGTAGGTACTGTAGGTACAACACCCCTCTCAATGGTTCCCTCAAGGCTGCTGGCAGTCTTAGCACTCGCTGAGGTCTGGTTCCGACGATCGTGGGCGCTATGGATACAAAATTAACCTCTGGCATTGAAATTGTTGAACGGGAATGCCATACTTCCTCATCGTCTGTTGTCCAGTCGTCGAGCTCTCCAGGTACATCTTGTGTTATGGCTGGCAAATAATTTTTGACTTCAATCTCCTGGCATAGCGCCTTGTAGACCCCAACCGACTGGTCGCTCATATTTGAGTAAATGATTTCAGAAGCCGTGGAGGATATTTTCAACGGCATGGATCATGGATTCTCGGAACAAGGCGAACTTGTGATGGCTCTATATGCAATCCAAGACTTTGTTCTGATAATTGACAGAAGCCATTCAAATCATATTTAGCATCTGATCTCACCGAGATGATTTGCCGACATGCAACGACATTTGCTTCTCCATCTTGCGCGTTCTTCCTTATTTCGAAGGGTGGGCATGCATTGGGGGTTGGATTTCGTTCACCAGAGTTTGCCGGTAGGTATCCATTGGTGATCCTAGGGAAACGAATAATGGACGAATCCAGGCTATCCGAACTTATTTTCTTCCAATGTCCTCGAGAATTTCAATCAGCTTCAAGGCTCATGTCCTATCATTTCAAGACACCAAGCCTTCGAGTACAGCTATGGAATGGATTAAGCTCAAATGCCGGCGACCCATCTGCTATTGACGATGGTGTGACGTCGTTGCGACCCGAATCAGGCCCCGATAGGTACAGCACAACTGGGTTCAAAAGAGACTGTAGAATCTCAGGGTCTTGTTCGGGCATCAGCATGGAGGTACCATCTGCCCGACCGTACGGTTTTGTGACCTGCGTGTATATTATATCTCGGGTTCGCAAGATATCGTGCAGATCACTTAGATGCATCCGGTATCTATCTGCGCAGGCCAATAGATGGTATAGGGAGCCAAATATCGTCCTTGGATCTGGCTCGGTGTACGGCGGGGTAGACTCGAGATCAAAGCATACACGGTCCGCTGAGCGGGCAGTCGTCGATCTCAAAGACTCCCAACGAGCAGCCACGATACATGACCAGTACAGTATCGGTTGGGGATAGTGTGGTCGATGGAGGCCCAGGGTCAGCGCCATGCGACAAGCGGACATTGTCATCATGGACTGCTGGGAGAATTGGGGAGAAGCGAGGAGCAGCAGGATGGATTGCAATGTCGACAGTGTAGGCAGGGAGAGCAGCTCGTAGGCGTCAAAGCATTGGTGGATAGACTGGGAGATGTCCTCAGCCAGCGCAGTCGCACTGGCGCCGGCGAGGTGAGCCGATACAAGACAGACCGACCGGAGCAAGAGCGGAGAAGAGTAGGGCTCCTGATTGAGGTCCCTTTCTTGAACAAGAGGCCAGTGAGGCGCAATCGTGGAGAAGTATCTTTCAAGCCCCTGTCAGACACTAACAAGGGCCCTTTTTATGCTTGACAAGTATGGATGTACTTACCGGTCGAGAAGAGAGGCTACGACGGCCGAGGTTGCAAAAGGAAGGTCGACTTTCCAGGGCATCCGATTCCCATCCTGGTCATTATGACTAGCTCGGTGAGAGATGGCTTGTTGTTGCTCTTCTTCAAATACACACTCTGAGCCCTTGGAAATGCAGTTTCTGCAGGGAACTCCGCCTTCGCAGCTTTGGCGACGTTGTCAGAGTTGGGATTATATCAACGTTTGACATCTCAGGACTTACCGTCGCTTGGATGACCGACATTGTTTACAGGCTCTGCCTGTTCTCAACCGTTTCATCGCCTCTGCTTACTGCATCATATATCAAGCGCAATGGTACCAAGACTCGATGGAGGTGGAAAATTAGCGTTGGTGAGGGAGTATATCGGTTCTCATAGTAGAGTTGAATTTTAGATGTAGGATTCGGATCAAGTTGGAGTGGGGTGGTTGGGCGTGTCTTCCCCGCGTGGCCCCTAACAGGAGGCTCACTAGGCGTGCACGTTTTAGTCTACCTAAGCATTGACTCCCTAAAATGGCACCTGTAGGAACCTACAAGTACTGGGTAGTCAAGTGGGTTGTTCACCTAGGTACCTATGTAGGTATCCCGCCTTCCGTACAGGTCTTTATACCAGCCTGTGAGCCTCCACATGCAGTAACCTTGAGGTCTGTACACCTCCAGCTTCCGTCCTCCTTCCTTCTTGTCTGGCCAACTGCATCAACGATTCTCACCACCAACCTCTTCCTGTTCTCCAGTTTATGGCGAACCATATTTGTGACAACTGCCGCAGGTACGTTGAGCTCGCCCACCTTGAAATGAGTGTACTGAGTGGCTTGCCTCCAGACTCAGGTTGAAGTGTCATTTTGAACACCCTCCTTATTTTACTCTCTGCTGCACTCGATGTCGACAGTACAGTCTTTCCTGCGAGTTCGAGGGCATTCCCTGGCCAACACGGGCCCAGCAAACTTTCATGTCTTCCACGCCCAAGGGCTTTTCTCGAAAGGTCTATTGGGGTCCCTCGAGCAATGCCGGCGGGCATCCCATGGATCTACACACGCCAAAGGAACCACCTCCTGAGCCCGCCATGGTCCAGCCCCAGTATTCTCTCAAGTCTGCTGGTCTGACGACAGCTGGTGAACCAACGACGCTGGATATTAGTCCAAATGTCAAGGAACACCTCTACCGCGTCTTCTTCGAGCACATGCAGCCAGTATTTCCCGTTGTCACCCAGGCAAGTCTGCGATACTTCCCCGTCACCCCGTTGCTGGAAAGCGTTATACTTGGCATAGCAGCACGTCATCATCTTGCCATTGCTTCTTGGAGAGACTACGGTCACATACAAAGAGTCATTGCTCATGAGCTCAAGGCCCTCTTCAGCACGCGGCAACGATATCAGCCCAAGATCCAAACCGTACAAGCACTCCTGCTGGCTTTGACAAAGATTGAACTCGTAACGCACGGTCACGGTGACATGATGTCCACGGGACTTAGACTTGGACTCCTTTGCAAGATGGCCAGGGATTTAGGCCTGGACAAGGCATCCTTTTCTGCGACAACCGATCGTGACCTTCTCAACGTCGCGGTATGGAAGGGCTGCCTATTTGAGGATGCAGTTCTTTCTGCCACGCTGGGCCAACCCCTCAATATTGTCGTCTCGCCCGAAGATATCATGGAGGCTCCAACCAACACCGGCATCTCAGAAGGTACCTTTTTCGGTGACGCTGTGGACGCTTCTCACTGTCTCCGATCATTGCTGAGAGTGGTCTATGCGAGCCAACCTGTCGATACCGATATCATCCAGAACTGCGAACAGGTCCTCAAACAGATACATCGTTATGGGATGTACTTGGGTTTCCGACAAAGACACCATTCCGAAAGCGAATATCAAGCGCTTTGCATGTTACACCATAACAACAGACTACTTTTTGTCCTCGGGCTTGCGTCCTTGACAAATACGTCAAGCCACCGCAAAGAACTTTCCATCATCCTGGCACAGGAAGCTACTTCGATTATTCCAGAAGCCTGTCAGACGCTAATGTGGTTCAACGTTGAATTTTATCTCCAGATGGGTTGTCGACTAAATCAATTGCTATACTGTGCTTCAAGAGCCTTGATGCTTGTTGTCGATGTCCTTCTTGAGGCTCGAAGGACACATAGTTCTTCCAAGGACTTTATCCAGGAGCTCGAGAACGCTGTCATTTCAGCTACATCATTGAAGGACTTTTTACTCAAAGACACCTCATGGGGATCACACTGGTCCCAGGGCCATACACTTGCAGCTGTCCTTGCTCGGCTTCGACAAACGAATTGTCACAGCCGGCAAATACCGGTTGAGTTGAAGAACGTTATGCGTCTTCGATCACTTGACCAGACCGAAATTAGCGACACCGGGACCTTCGGCACTGTTCGAAATGCCGATGAGTTCTTCTTCGACGACGAATTCCTCAACAATCTCCTTTTCAACTCTACAGACTGGGATGCTGTGCTGATGCAATACGAGAGCTATCCTCAGCCCATTTGGTGATCTGGATTTTGTCCCTTCAGAAAGTAGTTGCACCACACGAGTGCGGTTACAAGGTACAAGGCTGAATCATATATCGGATACCCTCTTAATCATCAAGGTGTCTTGCTATCCTCTGTATGGATAGCCGCGACTTCCTTCGTGTCCTCATTGAGCTCGGCAGTTGTGACTACGCCGTGTCTTTCATACTCGACATGACCATGGCACTGGTAAGTGCTGAATTCCTTTACCGACACACCCTAGCCTGACGTCAGCAAATTACCGACCATAAATGATTCCCCAGACTCACATTCAAAAATAACTCATCGAGCTGCTCGAGAGAACGGCCTTTGGTCTCTGGGAGGAAGAACAGAGCCCAGATGAAACCAAGCAAGCATGTGACTCCAAAAATAAAGCCGACCTACCCGCCATGTCAGCAAATACCATACCGGATATCGCGTTGAACATACTTTAGCACCAAGGTCGGCAGCTGTTGGGTTAATCAAATAGGGCAAAACCACCGCTATGAGCAGAGTGCCGGCCCACGAGACTGCAGAACCGAGAGCCTGTGTTCGGGAGCGCATCACATTGGAGCCAATCTCAGATGCAACGATCCACGCGACGGGGCCCCAGGACCAGGTGAAGAAGAAGGCATACAGACAACTAAAAGCCACTAGGCTTCTTGCTGCAGCGACACTGTTGGGTGCGACAGTTCCAACGATCGCGAAAGTGAACATGCATACGGTCTCAGCAGCGGCGCCCCATAAGAGAATGGTCCTTCTGCCAAGAAAATGAACAGACGGAAACATGATAATGATACCAGCCAGTTGACAGACTTGGGAGATGATACTGACAACAAATGCGTTGGAGATGCCAGATACCGCGTAGAAGTATGTCCCGTATCTATGACGATGTCAGCGTACGATTGAGTCGCGATGCGAAGCTGTGTCATGGAAGAAATACCCGTTGATGAAGCTGATACCTGACAAAACTTGCCACAAGAGAAGACCACAGGCGATATGAGTGCGGCGCATGTCACTGCCTCGGAAAGCGTCCAAGAAAGAGCCGGACCCTTCGAGCTCCTTTTCAAGTCTGATGTGTTTAGCGATGTCGTCTACATCAGCATGTATTTGATGCTCTGGATAAGTCTTTCCACGAAGCCTCCGGATCGACCTGGCACTTTCTTCCACTTTGCCGACTGAGAGCAGCCAACCTGATGCAGAGTCAGCCAAAATCCGGCCAGCGAGTTCAAAGGTACTTACGAGGGCTTTCCGGAAAGAAGGAGGCAAACACAATTAGGATGGTAGGAAAGACGAGCTGGGTGATTAGCGGAATCCTGTATGCCCATCTCGTCGACATTTTGTAAGTTCCCTGGTTGATGCAGGAACCTATAAGCTGGCCGATATTGATCCCAGTCTGGTACAATGCGATCATCATCCCGCGCATTTGTGTTGGGGCAACTTCAGCTTGATAAATTGGAACGAAACTGATGCACAAACACATGTTAGCGATCGGCCGGCACAGGTTGAGAGCCACTTTCAGTCGAGAGACGTGGCAACGACTCTCGACATAAAAGGGGAGAAGTCTCACTTTGACGCATAACCAATTCCAGCTAGGAACACCTGTTAGTCGAGTCGCGTGATTGATCTGACAATGTCTTACCTCCAGCGAAGAAGCGACCAAGGAGTAAACCCCATACATGAGGGACTGAGATCTGGAAAACGACTCCTACAACGGCGATAATGCCCATCCAGATCAGACCGACTCTTCGGCCATATTTCGTGCCGATGGGGCCTGCCGAGATGGAAGCAACTATGGCTCCCACAAGCAATACAGCATTTAAAGAGGTTTGGATTCGGGTTCGGATGTTGTATGAGTCACTTTCTTCGTCAAAGTACCCGTAGTCTTTCAGGAAGCTTTCGGTCGTCAGCACTGCAAGATGGTACGGAACATAGGGTGCTGACCTGACCATCGCCTGGAAACCACCAAGTTCGCCGCTGTCAATGCCAAAGAGGAGACTACCGCACATCACAAAACAGCATATCAAGATGGTCCTGATTTTGCTCCCTGAAGGGGTAGCCGCCGTGTCTCTGCTGTCCATGGTGTCCGATTTTCGAAGTCCCAAGTAAGAGATCGGTGTCTCTTGGTGATGTTTGGTTGCATCTTTCAGTCTGGGGACCTTGGGGCTTTTATACAGAGACTTTGTGCGGGCGAGCCATGAAAAAGATTGTGAGTTCGTGGATGTTCTGACCGCGGCTCGTCGGCGATGAGCCGCCACAGTCGATTGACCAATGCCGTCCCCTTTCTCCGGTTTACCCCATATTAACTTCTCGGCCTTGCCTGCTATGGCATGTCCACCCAATTTGTGATTGCCTGACCATGGGGTTCTTAGCTTGAGCCTTGCGGTGTATCGCCGACCAACCGCAAAGTGCTCACCAATGGCAGTTGGCGTTTGATTATCAAAATTATTCTGCCGAGTGCGGCGCCTGCGATGTGCCAATGAAGTAGGGTTACCAGCGCCTTGCGATACCTTTGCTCTTGTTGCCTGCGGTTTCCTGCCGACGAGCCGCAGCATATGCAAAGTCGTGCCAGCGGCCCACCATCACCAGCACGGCATACTTAAGAGTGTACGTGTTCACCGTGGCAAGTTGCACCACCCTCAGGGAATGAATCATTTCTCCTACAAGTCTTCCTACTCTGCTCTGTTGTGAGGGCATCTCCTATTCCCCTTTGCCGACATAGCAGATAACATCCAGAGGAGGTACAAACTATGGAAAACATATCACTTGACAATTTTCAGGAGAACTTCAATTTTCGGGCCGAGCACGTAGATATCAATGGATTTCTATCGAAGCAGGGTGTGGCCAACTTTCTAGGCATTCCCTACGCCCAATTCCCAGCTCGCTTCCGAACAGCCAGGCGTGTCGACCTTGATCTCCTTGATGGGCAACTGGATGCGTCGCGATATGGGCCTCGCTGCCCTCAAAAGACTGACAATATCCACCCCATGATGCATCAGATGTTTGAGAAGTTGTCAACCTCGCAAAGGTGTGACGAGACCACTTGCCTGCACCTCAACATATACGCTCCGCCACAGTCCGTTGGTGCTACCGGACACTCGGATTTGCCGGTCTTTGTTTGGATACACGGAGGAGGGTTCAACAACGGTGACAACACGACGGAATTCGGTAGGTTCCAGTGGCCTGAGCCCCTTGACTGCAGTCATTCGCGTACTGACCCTGACATTCAGATGGCAACCATCTTGTTCGCAGGTCGATGGACATTGGGATGCCAATCATTATCGTGACCCTCAATTACCGTTTAAACGTTTTTGGCTTTCTGAGTTCTGGGGAGCTTGTACAAGAAGCGATATCCCTTGGTGAAATTCCGATTCTGAATCAAGGTCTTAATGACCAGCGACTTGGTCTTGAGTGGGTTCAAAGCTCGATTCACCATTTTGGCGGAGATTCGTCCAGAGTTACTCTGTCCGGCGAGTCTGCCGGAGCCTCGTCGACCTTCTGCCATCTGAGAGGCGGCCGTGCGCTCTTTCAGCAAGCCCTGATCCAGTCGAGTCCGAGGCCACGTCTGAGGACGCTTGAGAATGCACAGGTTACATTCGATCAACTTGCCAGATTGGCAGGTATAGCGGACCATGCGACAGGTGCCGAAAAGCTGGCTGGCCTGCGAGCCTTGTCCGCAGATCAACTTCTTGAAATGTTCGACGGCAGCGTCTCACTTCCTATTGACGACCCCAATTGGTTAGATCAGGGGGCTCAGCACGGGAATAGCAGGTCGCCACCCTTTCAGAGTCACATGCCTAAATGGTGTTCGAGGATCATCTTAGGCCACACAAAGGACGAAGCTGCACTCTTTCTAACGCCCTATCAGAATCTGCCGGATGCGGAGCTTGTTGATCATGTACGCAAACTGGTGCCGGAAATCGCGAATGAGGCCGTGTTCTCCAAGGGCAAAAGCGCTTTACAAGCACTTACCGAATGGGCGACCGAGGAGACTTTTGTCAAGCCAACAATCGAAACGCTTTCGCATGTCGCTGAGCAGGGCACCACCGTCTATGCCTATGAAATCTCCGTCGTTGATCCTTTTCCAGGTCCGCTCCATGGCTATTCGTGGCACTCCTTTGGAGTACCGTTGACCTTCTGTCAACCTCCAGGACGAGTCTACCCTCACATCAAGGCGACGCAAGAGAAGATGTCCAAAGCGCACATTGATTTCATCCACGGTCTCGAGCCATGGGAGGCTTTCAATGTTGGCAGGCGAAAGATGTGCTGGAACGGAGAGCAAACGCACTTGGTGGGCACTTCAACGGCGGGAAGGAAGGAGGAAGGGAACAAGGGGCCGAATCTACCGTGCAGAACATCTGCAGAAACGGGGATGGGGGTTATTGCTGCGGCGTTGAAGATGCAGACGTCCTAGGCTCGATTTCGCCATCGGTTCAGACACAGACACATCTATGCTTAGACCTGCCGCCGTAGCTGGCGTGTACAGTCAGCGCCCGTCTGTAGGTCGAATTACGCTCGAAGGTGTGACGCCTATAAGTTACTCTACAGACACGACTGCGATATTCTGTCGAGATCCACACAAATCGATCAAATTCTCTCGCCAATGATACACTCCAGATCTCTACCAGGATTCTTCTATTACTGGTCTTCCAGCCTACGAGGCATTTGTGTTTCTGAAAGGGATGCCCAAAAGGATTATGTATCCCATAGACTACCTCCCTCTGAAGAATCCCTCAGCAGAACCCGTCCTGCAGTCGTTCCTGGCGAAGATTAGCTCCAACGACTGGACCGAACAATCGAGTCTCTTCCTATTGCTCTTCCATCTTCTCAACCAGATGCTTCTCCCACGTTCTCACTCTCTAGGCGTCAGACCTGTAAAGACTGGGAAAAGGGCTTTTGAGTAGGTGGTTCAGCCCACGTCAGGCATGGACTTGATCTCGAGTGTCTCTCTGAGCCAGTCGTCACATAAAGCACGGAATCTCATATATAATGAATAACAACCAAAATAAACCAAGCAATCTAGATCCCTTGGCGGTGTCTAAACATTGGAGGCCAATGTTCAAATGACTGTCTAATGACATATTTTCTGACACTGAATGTTTAATTGCTCCTTCATTTCAACGCGTCAGACGTTTCTCAACTTTGCACGGTCACGTCTTCAACGACATCAGGTGCATTGCGTCCCCAGTCATGTCTCTTTCTGTATCACTTGATTTACCATGACTGAAGAACTCACATATGGAGCCCATCCGCAACACTGTGCATTCACCACATCGACTTGAAATGTTCCTTCCCACCCGGTACCTACAGTGAAAAGGAGCATCAGACGACCCTATGGAGTATCTCTAGGACCACCCAAAGTAAAAGAGTAACATTCACCATGGATCCTCGACCTTTGAAACGTGTCAAAGTTGACAGTAGTGATAACACGACTACATCCTCCGAGTCCGTGGCTGGTGAGACTGCAGATGCAGCCTCTGTAAGAGCAAGACGAGCGCACTTTCTGAGTTCCATCTCTCGACCCATCTCTCCTCCAGGTACATCTCGGTCCGAGACCAGCACACCTCAGCCCGAAATCAGCACAGATCTAGCACCACACCAAGTCTCTCAGACAATGGGGAACCGAATCCGTCCACTTCATGTAACCAAGACTGAGGCCCATGACACAGGACTTTCGACAGGCGAGACGAACCTTCCCGCTACTGCGAGTCCAAAGCAAAATGGCCAGGATCGGCAGCATGCCACATATATCCCTTCACCTTTCAGACTAACCTCAATTCGAGACCTGCCTGCTTCGGAAAACAACGACACCATCTCCCTTCAAGACATACTCGGCAACCCTCTCATAAAGGAAGCATGGATCTTCAATTATTGTTTCGACGTCGATTGGCTCATGACCTTTTTCGACCCCGACATTCGGCCACAGGTCAAGGTCAAGATCGTCCACGGCTCATGGAAGAGAGATTCGGAGAACAGGATCGCCATTGACGAAGCGTGCAAGAGATGGCCAAACGTTGACGCATTGACGGCATACCTGCCGGACCAATTTGGGACGCACCACAGCAAGATGTTTGTGCTTTTCACCCACGATGACACGGCACAGGTGATTATCCACACCGCCAACATGCTCCGTAAGGACTGGACGAACATGACACAAGCGGTGTGGCAGACTCCTTCATTGCCAAAGCTCTTCGTGAAAACCCCCAGCTCTACTGTGGGCAACGTCGGCTCCGGATCACGATTCAAGTACGATCTTGTGCAATACCTGAACGCCTATGGGAACAAGACAAAGTCACTCCGAGAGCAACTCGTGGACTACGACTTTGGGGCCGTCCGAGGTGCCCTGATCGCGTCTGTCCCGTCTCGCATGAAGGACTTTAGTCTTGCCTCTGGTGTCAAGGAGCTGTGGACCCAGAAACTCTATGGATACCCTAGTCTTTTCCGCGCTTTGAAGACGATCAAGTCACAAGACGAGGTTGAGAAGGAAGACGTAACTCCTTCGCCAGCACATGTCGTATGTCAGATCTCATCCATCGCCACCTTACCAGCGACATGGCTCAATCAATTCTTCCCGACACTCTCCAACCACAAGCCAGCCCAAATGTGGGACCGCATCTCCATCATATTCCCTACACCTTCCGACGTTGCGGCGTCTCTCGACGGCTACTCATCCGGAGGATCCATCCATACAAAAGCACAGAGTGCGGCACACCTGAAGCAGATCTCGACGCTGAGGAAGTCTCTGTGTCGATGGACTCGAGGGCCCAACGTGGATGCCAGAGCGGGCAGAGACAAAGCCGCACCACACATCAAGACGTATGTGCGGTTCAAGGAGAAGCCTTCCCCCCAGACACCGACCCCTGATATCGAATGGGCACTGTTGACCAGTGCCAACTTGTCGACTCAAGCTTGGGGTACGTTGCGGGAAAAGGATCAAGAGACTGTGGTTCAGAGTTTCGAGATTGGCGTTCTCGTGTGGCCTGAATTGTTTGAAGAGGGGTTCAATTCCGGGGAGGGAGAGGGAGAAGAGGAGGAGTTGCACAAGAATAATACCATCGGTTCCGAGAAAGATGGGAAGCCCCATGGCAAGAGCAGAACATCGAGAATGGTTCCTGCATTTGGGAGTGACGAACCAAAAAAGTCAAACGTGACAGCTAGCAGTGGCGTCGGTGATGGTGGTGTTGATGGAAGGACGATCGTCGGGTTAAGGCTACCCTATGATTTACCCCTGACACCGTACGGACAAGGTGACATGCCTTGGTCGCCGCAGGGCACTTATGATGTTCCGGATGGTCATGGGAGACGATGGCCAAGGGACTTTTATTGACTAGGTTCAACGAGTTTACACGGCCGTGCTATTTCGGGCGCTTTGTATACAAAACCGTCAAAATCATCCTCCAAGTGACAGCAAATCACCAACTAGAGTAGTAGAGTCTAGACCAACAGTCTACATCTACCTAGGAATGGTCTTTGGTGTATTTCTTTGCTTTCCTTGCACCGACCATTGACCAGAGAATTTATTCAGCATAAGCCCTATAGATTCTCATCTTGTCCGTCGTCGCCGACATTGTAACAGGGACACCTTGACCGATGAAGAAAATGCCACCCTCCTGGAGCGACATTTCCTTGTCCTCTTCCTTCTGTCCTTGCACCTGAACCTTCATGTTACCATTGCCGTTCGTGACGATCATGGTACTAGGTCCGTCGACCGATTACGACCGTCTCCGTCTCTCCGCCTTTCAACTCGGTGACCATCATGTTGAATTCGCTCATGGGAGGTTCGAATTCCCGTGGTCCTGCCGTTCTCGCTCTTTTCGGTTCGTGTCCTTTTCAGGGTCGGTTCTCCAGGGTCGTGCTGGTTGAAGGTCAAAAGATTTCGCAAAAAAGGTCGACAGAAATCCCGGGTCGGCCCTCGGGCAAAACCCGGTGTCGAGGACATTGTTGGATCTCGCCATGTACTCGACGATTGTCACCGGACAGGTAAGCGTGGACGCCGTCGGCGGGGATGTAAAGGGCCTCGCCTTCCTCCAACACCAAAGTAATTCATACAGACGAGCGCGACCAGGTCCTACCGTTGTCGTCCCTTGCCGTGTTGATCCGCCACCCTGGGGAGGGATCAAGTCGAGAATGTACGACTTGGTGGGTGGTCCTCCCCAAACTCGTCCCTCGACGACGACGAGAGTCCCTTTATCGCAGAAGCCACCGTCTCCGCCCCCCCCCCACCCCCCCCCCAAAACTCTTAGGATCCCATCGGAAAGCAAAAAAAATGCCAATTCGTGATGGTGATGTATGCGATGACATCAGGTCGAACAGTTGTCATTCATTCATTTCGCCTCAAGATAACGGAAGGGTCGTCCGCTCGATGGATGGATGTTTTCCTTCCTGGAAATCCACCTGCTTACCTAGTCAACAGCCCAACAGTCAACAGGAATCACCACCATCGCGGATATCCCGCCAAAACAGAAACCAGTTGATGAACCAGCGGACTGGATGTCGATATTCTCGTCGGCTCACTTTCGGGGACGTTGATGAGGTGGGAGGTTCAACGACGACGAAATTTAATTCGCCGCAAAGGAAAGCCGAAAGAGGTGGAGACAAGACCATCAAGATCGCAACGTGCACAGGCGAGGTCGGAGTACGGCTAAAGGTATAGATAACGAGAGAACAGTTATGTAGTCACATATCGAAATAGAAATATGCTGCTGAAATGATAGTACATGATCATTATCCTCTTCATCATTACATCGTATAGACTTGGCCACCCTAAAAAGAAGAATTCCTCGCGTGATAGCCTGAAGTATCGAAGGGTATATTCCCAAACTCATCCATACCAGACTCGACAGCACCGCCAATAAATTCTTCAAGCGACGTATTCAACGCGGACCAATTGATGGCCGACTCAGGTACAGGACTGGAATGTCGATCGTCTGCCACGCCGTCACCGTCACCGTCACCGCCACCCTTTTGCCTTCCTCTTGGGTAGCGAAGACTTCCATATCCAGAGTCGAGGGAAGAAGCGTTGGAGTGATTTGCCTTGAGGCCTGAGTTGACAGCTGCTTGATTATTGGACATAGGTTCAAGACTGGCGAGCCTTACTGGAGTAAAGGCCTGGCCTGTCGTTGGTGGTCGCGGCATGATATCTGGGCCTGAAGAATTGACTGTCACCCCAAGACCAGCATCAAAGTCAAAGTTGAAGTCACTTGAAAGAGCAAGTCCTCGCTCATCTCCCTGAGTCCAACTATGGCATTCTTCATCATATTGATCATTTTCTGGATCATGGTTCGGAGTTATCGGGAAAGTCTCAGGACCAGAAAGATTATTGATTTGATGTAATGGTTGATAGCCCGTCTCATCCAGCAGCCGCAGAGAACCCTCTCGTTCTACATTCCGTGAAGGAAATGGCCTGCTGAAGCTTCTGCGATGGCTAGGGAGCAAGAACTGTGCGTCGGAACTCGACCTGCTCACAGAACCCTCACCATTAATCGGCGAATGCGCTACCGAGGTAGTTGGAGTGAGTGAAATCGAACCTCTTCGCGCCGCTTCTGACGGAACCGCTGAATATGGAGGTACTGAATATGGAGATACTTCGACTGAAGGACCACCCAGAGCCATAGACGGACTGGCCACGGGCTTCATCCGCTGGAGGACGTCAGACATTGAGGCTCTTAACTGTTGTCGTATGAAGTCTCGTGCAGCAGGAGATTGGAGCCAAGCTTGTTCGGAAGAACCCGCAAACTGATCCAGGCGAGATTCAAAAAGCTCGCCCAGGGCATTCATCGCTCCTTGTTCTGGAACGGGTTGGGCTTTCTCCGGCTCCACTTGCGAACCCATGTTGTCTGCGTATGGACTGCTGGGTTGTGGCTGTCCCGGGAACAATATGCTGTAAATGATGTACCATACTTGCTCGGGTGTACTCGCCGGCCTCTTGCGGCGAATGTCGTTGTATTGGCCATCGTCAAACTTTTCCGGGCAAGGGCATTCTACCAGACCACATGGTTGAGACTCTCTCACATGTTTATCTAGAAGCTCCTTCCTGTCGAATTTAGTAAAACAGCGAACACAATGAATGCGCCGCCAGTGGACCCTGTACAGATGTTGCTTCACTCGGGAGATATCCGGCCAATAGCCACTGGCGCAACCGCGATAATGTTTTTCTTGTACGTTTCGTTCCGAATATCTGTCTTTGTCGTACTTGCAGAAGGGACAAGCAAACAATTTCTCGGGGGATTGCATGGACTCTGGTTCGTGTTTCAACTTCTTCGGCGTTCCAGAACCATTCTCTTCCTCATCATCATCGTAAGGATCTTGACCGTGCCCACCACTGGAAGACCGTTTCAGTGGTGATCTTTGGCCGGATGTAATTGAGTTGGCCGGTGACAGCCCGCTCTGTCCGCCGCCGGATTGTTTCCGCTTGTTGGCATGGGTCCTGACGTGGCCGTCCTGTTTCTAATTAATGACCAAGAAGTACGCGGGAACTCTCGCACTTACCTCGAATTGGGCTCCCGTTGCCAGAAATGCTTCATGCTTTTGCTTCGATATGGCGGCCTGTAGCTGAAGGGTGAATAGCTGTTCTTTGACTTCCAACGTGGCCTCTCGTTCTCGTAAGGTTGCTTGCTGTTCTCGTATGCTGGCTTCTTTCTCCCTAAAGGCAACCTCCTTCTCGCGAACAGCTAGACCATATTCGCGTCGACGAAGCTCGGAATCTCTATTTTCGCCCCAGTTCCAAGGAAACCCATTTTGCGAAGCAGTTTTGGGCTGGTCTCCACTAGGCGTAGTCAGAGGTGACGGGGATTTCCTACCATGAGACTGACTTTCTGTTGGGCGATCGCTTTCAGGGCAGGATTTGGGCGTGATGGTTGATTCCCACAATGTTGCCGCACATTGTTGTGACTCGGCACGGGCTCGTCCTTTTATGGCTGGTTCCAATTCGACCTTGCGCGACGGTATCGCGCGAGAAACACTTCGAATCTTTTCTGTAATATCATGGCGACAACTCCACCCTACTTGGTCGCAAGCGGAGCAGAGTATACGATCACCATCTTCGCAGATAGAGCAATGGTAATAGAGCTGGTTGAGACGAATCGGGTTCTGGCAGTGATCACACCTCATCGACTTCGAATTGCTCCTTGATGGTTTTGGGTCCAGCTCCGACTCTTTCGACAACAGCACGTCGTCCTTTTCTCTATGGGCCGGAGTATCCTCCAGTAGGAGTGCGGGCTCATTGTGTTGGGTCCGGGTTGAATCTTGAAATGGAGTGTATTGAGGAAGCTCGGCAGGAAGTTCAGCCGGGAGGTCACATTGTGCATTTTCCAACGTAGATTGTGATCTTTCCATCCATTTGCGAAGCTCATCTTTGCTGTCAAAGTCGGCCCAGCTTGGCGGATCGGTGGTGTTCGATTTTCCAGGGCGTCCAAATTTGCCTAGGCTAAGCGTCTTCACAACCTGTGAAGCGATGCTTTTGGAACTCTTGGTGCGCACAGGCAAGCTTTGTCCGGTACTAGACTCATGTCTGTGCTGGACCGAATTCACCTCCGCATTCACCAAAGCCGCTCGCCTGTGTTCGTTGTCTTTCTGACTTTTGACAGACGCTTTCTGCGTCTTTCTCTTCTTGATCGACTTTTTCCAGTTCGTCAGGTATCTGCGTTGAGCATTGAGTATTTCAACTTTGGCCGGTGCTCGTGGTGGGCATGGGTCTTGATCTTCAGAGTCGATGCTGTAGTGTCGATATGCTGGGCCAACACAAGGTGGGCTGATGGCGGATATGGGGGACCCTCTATACATGCTCAATGCAGCGCCATCTGCTTCCCGTTGTAGAGTCGACAGCGAGTTGAAACTGTTGGACCGCTTCAGTGGGTATGGCAGAGCATCGGAGACCAGATCGTCGCTCAGACGAGACTGGCGATAAGGGATGGTCCGTGTCTTTCTCAAGACCGCTCGCTGCAGAGCACTGTTCGCGTCTGCAGAGTGCCATGATTGTTGTGAACGTAGAGCCCTCTGTCTCTGATCTGCCTCTTGAAGTCGTTCTCTGATATCTTGGGTAGATTCGTCGGTGATGCTTATCCTCGCCCTTATGTCGGGCTGGTCGCGCGTGCGGGGAGTCGACGCAGCCATTGTGCGTTGGGAATTGCTGTGGACGTGTTTCCACAGTCCGTAATCGTACCGAGGGTGTGGCGAGACAAATGGTTCGAGGTGGCAATGGCGATCGAAAGGCAAGTGCGTACGGAGACAATCGAGTACGGCTAAGGCAGCAAAGGCTGCTGTCGAAGAGGGAGGTGGCCATCTTTTTGATCCCAGCTTGTAAGAACTCACACACTTGTTCAATGCAGCTGCAGCTTTGCCGGGGGGTACGACATGCGTCCCGGCCGCTAGACATTGAACGGTATTAGGCGACTGGGGGTGGAAGATGCCATCTGCCTATTTAGTGGCCCCTACAAGTTACCCGTAGCCGTGGCTGTTGCTGCCGCTGGCACTGCTATTGGGTACTATTCGGTAGGAGTGTTACCGGGGTCTCTTGTACGCCTGGCCGGTGAGTGTCAAGTCCGGATCACACAGCCACAGCCCCCTCAACAGTCACATCCACTTCTGCCACACTTGATCTCACGGCACTAGCATTGTACGGTCTAGTGTCTCTGGCAAGGCAGAATCTCTGAAAACAAAAGACGTGACTCCGGATCGACGATGAGGTAATTTACCTCTAGTACAGTTCTAATCCTCCAGAGACTGTTGCTCAGTACAGACGAACATACCCTCCAAGACTTCAGTCACTTAATCACTCACTACCTGTCAACTCACTCGACACCGCCTCGACATGGAAGCTGCTGCAAAGCGCTTCTTTTCGTCCCCATACTTTGCCGTTGTCGGCGCAAGTCAAGACAAGAGCAAGTTCGGCTATCGGAGTGAGTAATATGTATCCCTGTCCACTCGATCATTTGACAACAATATTTTGACGGGCATACTTGTTACGTGCAGTCCTAGCATGGTACCATGTCCATTCACTTCCCGTCATACCGATCAATCCTGGTCGACCGTCAATAGCGCTGCCGTCCAAGACGTACGACACAGTCCCCTCGGTGTCAAGTCTTCCGAACCCAGCCACGACAGCCCTGTCTTTTCTCACTCCACCAGCAGTCACGAGAAAGGTGTTGGAAGAAGCCAAATCCGCTGGAGTTCGAGCGGTTTGGTTGCAGCCAGGAAGTTTTGACTACCAAGACTTGAAATACGCCCTGGATAATTTTGAGTCTGCTGTCGGCGGCTTTGAGTCTGGCACCGCCGGCGGAGAGGGATGGTGTGTCCTTGTTGACGGCGAGGAGTCTCTCAGAGCAGCAGGTAAAGATATTGTAAGGCAAAGATTATAGGAAGTCAATTGCGAATTGATTCAACCGTTTAATGTCCCACTACTTCGACGTGATGGTGTCAACTGCTCGACCTTACGACGATATTTTCACCCTCTCCTGACAACCCGCAGACGGAGACCAGCTTCATGATCATTCTGACAGGCTCTTGCGATGTCCAAACATTGCGTTCTTCATCGCGGCCCCTTCCTCGACTGTTGCCTCTCCACCCTGAACTCTCGCGTTTCTTAACTCGGCTTCGGAGAATGTCTTGATAGGACCTTCGAACCAATGTCTCGCGCCCCACTTGGGAAGGAACCATCCTCCCAAGCTGATGATAGAGATGATTCCAATACAAATGGGTGCATAATTCAGTGTCTCTGCGTCCACCGGGTACAGTTGTGGCAGCAGCAGAACGATAAACAGAAAAGATATGTACAATGTGGCGATTAAAGCCAACGGTGCAGAGAACTTTCCCAGATTCCATTTGCCTGGCACAAAAGTCTTACGACCCACTGTTTGTCTGGCGACGATTGGGAAGAGGTAAGAGAAGTTTGTAGAAATCGTGGCGGTGGCAGTGATGGCGGAAAAGGCAACAGTTGATCTGCAGATGCGTCAATAACTGTACTTGATAACCGTTTGGATTCGAGAACTTACCCGATGACAGCTGTTGTGACGATAATCGAGATGGCACAAACCAAAAGAGCGGCATTGACCGCCATCTTTCGCTTGGACAACTTCCTGAAGAAGCTGCTGAAAGGGAGAACATGGTCTCGAGAAATGGCGTACGTGACTCGTTGCGCCGACATGAAACACGATGCGGTTGCGCATGTCGAGTCAACCCAGAGCATGGAAAGAATCGCAACGGCCCCGTTTTCTCCAATGGTCTGGACCAGGTACTCGGCCCAGTTGTTTGCATACGTCGCAGAGATGATACCTTCAAAGTCTTGCATGCAAAACAAAATCAATATCAGGGTTGGAACTGACAGAAGCCACGCGGAGAAGGTTGAGAGGTAGATGCCCTTGGCGACGACGGTGGATGCTTGCTTCGTTTCCTCGCTGAGATGGGCGCTGGCATCATATCCATAAAAAACCCAGGCGCCAAACAGGACCGAAATGACCCAGCAGTATCCGTCCGACGCTTGTTTCTCCGAGCCCAGGTTGATGCCGTTGTAGAAGAGGTCGAAGACCCCGTGGCTGCTATTGAAATGCTTCTTGGAGGCTTCGACGGGGAACCAGACCCAGTACATGAAAAAGAGCGAGAAGAAGATGAAGACTGCGAACCGGAAGTACCATTGAAGCAGTCTCGGACTGTAGATGTTGGGTATCATGGCAAAAATCATGCCTATGCTCGTGAGCAGCCACAGAAACCTGCCGAGTTGATGTTAGTGTCAACGACGGTGAGTTCCATGTTTCCAATCTAGGGTTGAGGTTGATGACGGGGAGAACACTAACCAGCCCTTGTGCAGTACTTCGGCATCAGGATACTTGATCATCAAAGCGCTAACCAGAAAGTTTGTCGATCCCTGCTGAACACCAGGGACAACGGTGACCCAGCCTGCCCACTGTGTTGGAGTCAGTATGGTCTTGCCTTGAAAGATAGAAAAGGCTGGAGGGATGATAGGCGGGGAGGGTGTTTGGGTACAGGGTGCGTTCACATACATTCCACCAAGCCGTCATCCAACTCAGGAACGGACCGTATTTCTCTCCACCAAGACGATAGCTCCAGAAGTAAATCCCACCGGTGGTTGGCAACGCAGCTCCCAGTTCCGCCATCACGAGGGAAACGATACAAGAGAATCCGCCGACCATGGTCCAGTTTGCGAAAGCAGCTTTCGGTCCTCCGGTATACATGACCCATCCGAAAAGGACGGGAATACCACTCACAAAGTTCATCGAGGTGACTGGTATAGTAAAGATGCTCTTGTTAGCCTATTCCCCTTTTCATTTCGGATGCATGTCCGGCTTGCGGTGCTGAAAAGAAGAGGAACAGAAACGTACACGTAGCGGCCCATGATTCGAAGAATCCCAAACATCGTATAAACTCCTGCTTATACCCCAAGGTAGCCAGATGATACTCGTCATGGCTGAGTATCATTCCTGGCTCTGTTGCCGTACCATCTTGGAAGGAGATGGAATCGTCGTCCGGGGAAGCTGATGCCACCGTCTTCTTTTCGTCCAGCCGAGCAGGCGCTGCTTCTGGTGGTGATGCGTCTCCGATATGTGAAGCCATACCTGAAGAATTGCTTGGAGGTAGGTAGGTAACGGACAAAGACGTCCTCTGGGGGGTTGGTAAGCTATCAAAAGTCGGCGATGTGAAGAGTGTTGAGCAGGTAATAAAGGTGCCTCAGGACTCGAAACTCGTCTACCAACCCTGGATAAGAATCCGTACAAGAGTAACAAGGTAGAGAGAGATAGAAGATCAAACCCAGGTTGGGCCGGGCTGGGCTGGTCTCGGCTTGCTGGCTGGCTACCCTGGGTTATGTATATGTCTGGATATAGACGAGTTCTTATTACTCCGGCCAGACTTGGCCAGCCAGCCCGCCCCTCTCCCAAATCCATCGAAATCAACGAGCCTCGGACTTCAGCACCATCTTTACGGAGTAGAGATTACTCCTAACGACTTACGCCACGGATTCCTTCGCGGGGGCAAAGGCATGGGACTTGCGTATCACAACTCTACTACAATAGGTAGCGCGATAGGCTTTTGACAGTGATTCGGTTGGTTGATTGGGGGAAAGGGCGGTAGTTAGTGGCACTGGCCCGTTATCTTGGACTGACTTGCGTTTAGGTTGGAAACACCCTCGTGGGGCCAAAGCTTACCTACGAGTACCTAACCTATTGAGGTGCGAGAATGCGGAGTACCGAGCTACAGCGATAAACCTATCTCGGAGCGTGCCAGGTGACTTGCTTCTCTCAATCACGGACGACGTAGTCCTCGTGTCGCTGAGAGGCGTCACGACACAATACTGTATACTGTAAGAGGCACTGTACCGAAACTTATTCTCAGCTAGAAGGAAGAGAGGAAAGAGGAGGAAAGGGCGGACTGGTTTGATGATGGAGATGGACCAGGCGATCGAATGTTCTTATCAGGACAGGACCCTGCACACTTTACTCGCGAGCGGCCAGTGCTTGATCATCAAGGAGAATAAGCCCAACCCCCGCAAGGACCAAGGACCTAAGTACAATAGATAGCCCAACATACTCCGGTCCTTATAGCTAAGCTCGATCAAGCAATTCCTACCAGGCCATTGCTCGTCCTCTTATTCGTAATCTCGGGGAGGGCAACTTGACTTGACTTTTCTCCTGTGGCTTACAAGTCGAGGGTGGTCGAGACCAGGTCCATGGAAAAGAAAAGGTTTACACTGTTGATGAAGTCGCGCGCTTGTACGGAGTATGTCAAGAGTACGTGCCGAGGATCATGGCAACAACAATCACTTTGATAGGGAGCCCAAGAAAGGATTGCATGCCCAAATGCTTTCGTAACCATCTCGTCGTATTCCGTAGTCGGTATTCCTCGGCTACACACATTGCGCACATCCGTCAGTCACTTCTCGTGTCGGTGGCTCTATAGTAACTCAAGCAAGGTACTAGTCATGCAGTGTCCTCGCGTAGGAGCGCGCGACCTGGGACTTCCATTACCGAGTACACAACACAAAATTCCCCGAGATTTGGTTACAGATCGCCACGTGGGAAATGATGTATGCTGCATGTTCGATCGATCAGTTCTGATCAAGGATCAAAGATCCCCGGGGCTGGATGGATGAAAGTCAATTTCAGCAGTGGGTGCAAAAGGAATACGTGTATCAGACATGCTAAAACTTTTGTTCCATTTTCACAGAGTCCTCTAAACTACCATGAGCTGCACACGGAAACAAAACGTTTGAAATTAGACATGTATCTTGATGTTCAAGTGGTCGAAAATAGCAAAACACCCATGTAAGATATTTTCTGTGTCCCGAGACTACCGGCCAGTCTTCTTTCTCTCATACCATCTACATGGGGTATACACGACGAGCGTAATGGCACCGGACAAATAAATACCGACGTCGCCACCATACGTGCCGAAATAACGAGCAATAGGACCGACATACTAGAGCAAATCGTTAGTATCTTGATGACAATCAGACGTAGACGACTTACCCAAACTTGAGCCATACCAGTGACACCACCTGCTAGATAGCCAGACAGCAATGCCAGGGTCGCAGAGATACCCAGGGGCAGTTTTGATGGCTGGTCCCACACCTCCAAGTTGTAACCTTCACCCGATCGCTTGCGGAACAATTGATCTTCGAGCAGAAGGATGAGCGTAAAAGAGATGGTCCAATATCCCAGCAAGGATACAAAGTCGGAGACAATGGTCGAGAGATGGTCTTTACCAGCAATAGCGAGGATGGCAACGACCAAGGCAACCAAGAACGACCAGATGAATCTGGGAATGGCATGGAAGTAGTGGCCGAGAAGCTGCATGGATAGACCCGAGGAGTAATTGATCGCGATGTTGTTGCCGAGCACACTGAATGTCAGGAGCACCAGACAGAATTTGCTCCATCCCAGAGGATGGTAGACTTCGCGAAGAAGACCACCAAGGCTGTGATTCTCATATGCGTCTGCGTATGGAGGGTAAGCGGCCAACAAGGCAGCATTGCCGATACAGGCACCGGCGACGGTGATAAAGGTGGTAGGTATGGTCAGACCCGCTAGGGTAAGGCCAAAGATCTTCCAGCTCTTCGTCTTGGCCGGATAGTTGCAGTAATAGTCGGCAGCAATCGAACACCAACCAGATGCACTCGAGAAACAGATGGCCATGAAGCTCAGCCAGGAGCCTGCCACCTCAAGGTTCGTTCCGAAACCCGGTGCCGAAGGCACAACGTGTGGTGCGGCTTGCCCGTACAGCACACAGACTAGGATGAAACATACGATCCAGCTGTACTTTTCAAAAGTATGAATGATTGAGAATCCAAACACCGAGACGACGTATGAGATGACGGCCACGATAACGCAACCAACCGCCACGGTCATGCTGTAGTCGCTCACCGCAGACAGCATTTGTCCCGTGATGACCACATTGACCACAGCAAATCCGGCACCAACAATGACGTTGAGGACACTGCAGAGCTTGGCGCCCCAGAAGCCGAACGAGTATCGAGAGGTGGCAATCTGTCGAAGACCCGTCTTGGGCCCGAGTGTACCAGTATAGGACGGGCAAAGTGCGCCCAAGAAGGTTCCGACGACGATGGCGGCGACGGATTGACCGAGAGTCAGACCCATTTCAGGACCCAGGACACCGATGGGGATGGTCCCGACATGACAGGTCATAGACCACCACATGAAAAAGGCATTGAGAATAGAAGGCGGCTTTTTCTGATCCTCGGGGATGCGGTCGATACCTTGCGTCTCGACGCCCATCTTTTCATCCAGCCATAACTCTCCTTTGCTTAGCCAGCGAAGAGGCGTGATGGAATTCTGGATCTCTCGGGCCCGAGCAATTTCGTAGGCTGGAGTCACGCTTCCGTGGCGAACCTCGCTGTCGTCCGAAGAAGTGATATTCGCCTGCTTTTCAATGTCGACGACATCTTTAGACTCGCCGATCGTAGGCGACGAAGAAGACTCGACCGAGGCCATGGTTTAAAAGGTTGGCGAATCCTGATATGGGACAGCAGGATTGCAAGCTGTCAGAGTGTCAAAGGAAAGACGAGCTGTACAGGAAGTCGAGGGAGGGAGACGAACTATGAGGCTGATCCCCCGAGCCCAGTATCGTTGATATATATTTGAAGATTTGGACCAGGACGGTCGGAGAAGTTAGCTAACGAGCCTCGATCGCCCTGGGTCTCGAGCAAGATACGCCAAACGAGAGGGACCCCATGTTGATGCGACCCTATTCAAGCCCACATGGGTGATCTGAAGCATGGTAGCGAGTCAAGAACGCGGAGGCAGCCGATGACAATCGCTTCTAGACGGTCAGCGTAGGACTCCAGAGCGAGGCTTGATAAGGACCGACCAATGAGATTCGTGGTGTTAATCGACAACCCGCCACCTCGTCCAGTCCTCTCCTTGCACGGCTGTCCAGCTCTTTTCGGAACATCGCCGATGGACGGGATGAGAAGAGATATGGTAGAGAGAGGATGTGATAGGTCGATGACAATTTCAGTTTGCGAGAATTTCAATCGTTGAGACGTTGCAGGTGTCCTTTTGGTGTGGAGGATTGTGGTTACACGATGCATACTGTACGTGTAAAGGGGACTTCACGGGAGAGAGAGAGGCGCGAGCTTGAGCCACAAGTCTTGGCACGGCTAATTAAGCATCGTCCAAGCAGTCTAGGCAATTGCTTGAAGATAGACAGACCGGTTCGTAATTAAACAATCCCATCTATTACGATCTTGCATAGCATAATGAGGCCGGTCACTCCGTGCTGACAGCCAGTAATGCAGACCTCGGCGAGCACCTAATCTGAGTACCCTGCCTCTTTCCGGGGCACAGGCCTGGTATTTGACATTGATAGATTAGGCTCGTTACCCTTATCTCTCCTGCCCATGGGCATCTTTCACGCTGCTTATCGGCCGTTGATACTTGGATTGACGCCCATTTCCGTTCTAGGATGGAGGTTTCGCCCTCTGACTTGATCTGCTGGTGATGCTTTTGAGCGCCTGAATACCCCCAGCGTTTTGACTGTTCGGCTCGCGGAACACTCAGATCTACACCATGAGCACTGATATCCCAATTATAGATTACCAGCAGGTATCGACGTCGCCAGAGACCGTTGCGCAGGAGCTTCTTCAGGCATGTGCCGACTGGGGTCTGTCGATGCATTCCAAAATGTGTTCTCATCATGTGCTAACAGATCCACACTAGGCTTCTTCTACGTGAAGAACCATCCTATACCACAAGTCGCTGTCGATGGTATATTTGATCTTGTGAGTTCTTCGTCAGCCATTCCGACCTTTGCTTGAGTTGGCCAGGTGGCACTGCAGCTGGCGAGGATATGACCCGAAGTGGCTTCACCTTGATCCTATCATATATCTGTGTGCCTCAAAGCCTCGTCGATGTTGACATGCGAGCAGTTATCTTGACGATATACTAATTCCACCTCAACCTCAGGAGAAGAGATTTTTCGCACAACCCCTCGAAACCAAACTCCAAGCACCATACATACCAGCCAAAAACGCCGGGTTCAAACCTGCCAGCTCCAATGGGTGAGTAGTACCTCATCTATCCGTCTTCGCGAATTGTCACCCACTGACAGACGACCGAACATAGCGCCTACGGCACCTTCAAAGACCCCCGGGAGGCATTCAGCATCAACAAATGGCCGACAGCAACAGACGCATCAGGAGCACCGCTCTCACCGATCCTGAACGAAGCTCGTGACCAGATCCAATCCTTCCAGAAACAAGTCCAGTCGTTTACGAGACGCCTGCTCGAACTGATTGCACAGGCACTTGACCTCCCACGCGACCAGTTCACGGCCCAACACGATCCCGACGCCATCAATTTTGACAACTTTGAACTCATGCACTACCCACCGGTCGCACAGTTGTCGACGACGACTGCGGCAGCAGCAGCAGGACAAAATGTCGCCAAGTTTCGCATCTCCCCGCACACAGACTGGGGAACACTGACCCTACTCTTCCAGCAATCCATAGGCGGCCTACAGGTGAGGCCACCGCACTACACGGCGCCCGAGCTGGATTTGAACAACGAGACCTGGACGCCCGCGCCCGTGTTCAACGACATGGTCCTCATCAACATCGGGGACATGCTCGAATTCTGGACGGCGGGAGCGTTGAAGTCGACGTGGCATCGGGTCGTGCCAACGGCAGCCCACGGCGGAGTGGACAGGTACACGTTTGCGTACTTTTTGCACCCGAACAAGGACGCCGTGTTGGTGCCGATCGAGGCCATGAAGAGAGACGGGTGGATCCCGCGGTATGCCGGCATAGGACGCACGGCGGAAGCGCACATCCACGCCCGGATCGCCGGGGTGCATGGGAAGAAGCAGGAAAATGGACAGGCCAAGGTGGAAAGCACCCAGCAGAATATGGTTGTGAAAGAGGTGGCGGCATAGCACTATAGCTTTGGGTGCGATAAGCATAACTGCTAGACCCGTACATATATGTTTGGTTCTGTCTATATAGGTGACAATGACGATGACATGATATTGGTGGCATTTTGTTCTGCGCCAGTCCCATAAGAGCGAGAAAACCAGGTCACAATTCATCCATGGAAGATCTTTCGCTTTTGTCTTCCACCAACGCCAACGCTAAGAAAAAGAACGTTCAACACAGTTTCCTGCAATCCAGATCCTGGGGATGTTCCAGGCATGCACACGAACACGAGTATAGTGCCTCTTCGGCAATGAGCCGAGATAACCGTATTTGTCGCCCCTTCAGAAGATGGGAGTGTCTTACACCATCAGCCGACTTTTGGATGCAACCCTTCTGTCAATGCCATGTGGCGAGAGGAGGAAAGACGCTAAGGGGTCCGAAATCAAGTGCCGATCCGTGATGGAAGAAACTGTCAAGTTTAGGTCCATGCAAGTCGACGTCTCGGGGTGTTATGCGCATGAACGCCCTCCTATAGCCAAGTTCGCCCACAGATACTGCAAAGGGTCGATCGACATAGGGGTGGCAGGGTTTGTTCTCTGGCCAGGTGTGGTCCTCTTGCCGATTGTGATTTGTTTTCCGGGGGGACAGTAGAACGGCATGGTGAGTGGTATTGAAAATGTCGCTCAGGACGACGATCTCGCACCAAAAACCGGGCCCAAGCTAACCTCGAAGCCTTCGTAGAGTAGACGAGACTTTGTCGAGGTGAAGATGTGGTCGTTTCGACGTGATTCGTTTTCGTAAGGAGTCTTCGGTGTCTGGGGCCATAGCGGCTTCTTGGAACAGCGCAATCTGTTTCTGTTGCCATTCCGCCCAGCGATCTTGTTGTATGCGCATTTGCTTGGTGATCTTGACGTGCATCTCGGACGTCGAAGAGGCGCTGGTGGAGCCTGATGTCGACCGGGCGCGGTTACAGGCAGGTCTCTCTTCCATGCTACTGGAAGCCATGGGTTCGATACAAAGTTTGCCGATTGTCAATTCTGCAAGTGTTCAGCGCAGAAAACAGAAGGATTTGGAAAAGAACCAGACCATGAGAAAAGGACGTATGCGCGATGCGTAATATCTCGAGCGACGAGGGAGGTATCTATATCCCCTTATCATGAGACCCGCATGTATTGATCCAGAGTGTTTGACGCAAGCTTTTTTGAGACACACTACCGAGCAGAATCCTGGCACGCAGATTGCAACGTCAAGGAGGGGGGATCCTTACAAACAGGCGAAATCGCCAATCACGCGCTGGATTGCTGGTACATTGGTATGAGTTCTGGTTAAATGTTTTGAATCGTCACATTGCGTATACGCGAAATCTCTCACCCGTATGTTAGGTAGGGTTACTCCATAGGTAGGGAACAGGGGAATGAGCAGCCGCGCGATGTAGCCGTATTGGATCGACTGACCCTTACCGTTTACTGGCATAACAAGTCGTGATCGTTCCGCCTCGTCAATGCGATAGGTCCCTAACCGGAGGTTGGCGGACCTGTATGTTTAGTCAGAAGGGAGTCTTCTCGGCCTTGCCTCCGGAAGAAATCTGCGTTTGACAAGGATACGCCAAATCCCAAAGAAAATCCCGAGAAGTCGCCTGAGGGCCATCAGGCGGGCCTACCACAAGTCTCTGCATCGAACATACTGGTTGCGAGTCTTCCGGTAACACTTCCGCGGTTTGCGTGAATATTGAAATTGTTGGCCCACGTGAAGAGCCTCATGATCCCCACGAGGCGGATGAGCTAGGGTGGTAAAAAGACAAACGATCTGGCATCTTCGGGTGATGATGTTGGTACTCAGAAGATAGATCATCTTTTGTTTCGTGATACTACGCAGCATTTTGACATGGGTAATAATCAATGGTCGTGATGCACCTTCTCTTCCGGCTGATGCCTAAGCGGGAGCAGAAGATTCTGAGGGTGTGCGTTGGTATAGCCAATGCGATCTTTTCGCTAGGCAAAGGTGGAGGAGGAGGAGGAGGAGGAGGAGGAGGAGGAGGAGGAGGAGGAGGAGGACGACAACGAGGCTGATGGACTCGTAAGATCGAAGAACGAACAAGCATAATTGACTATGATCGCTGCCTCTGTCAACGGGAGAATTGTATGAATGCTCGCGCCCATACGGGGTACGCCGTACTCGTACTGGTGTTGTTCTAGGCTGTGTTGGCTGGGTAACCGACACCGCCTATCGACAGGGATGCAAGAGACGTGGATCAAGCCCCCGAGGATTGCAAGGCTCATCTAAGTGTCAACACTGCTTCAGGAGAGCCTCACCTTTTTATTTCACACCGCACTCACCTTCTACTCGACCTGTACCTCAAAATATCGCAATCGATCCCTCAAACCTCACGTTAGCATAGAAAGATTCACTGTTACAATTGGGCCTGCAGTTTAACAAGATGGTGAGTCCCCTGCGTTCATTCGTCCAATGGATTGTCAGATTCGGGACAAGGAGGGCAGGAAGAAAGGATGCTCCCGAGCCCAATTGCAGCCATTTGAGAGACACAACACGCAACCTCCTGCGTCTGTCCTTATTTTGTTTCTCATATAAAGTTCTGGCGCCGACATCGACACCCAAATACTCTCCATTCTCTTTTTTCACCATCATAATTCAGAATGGCTAATTCGCATGCTGCCTCGCAGACTTCCACCAACTACAAAGAAGCCTTCTCCCTGTACGACAAGCGAGGCAATGGACGCGTCGCCCTCGATTCCCTTGGCGACCTCCTTCGAGCCTGTGGACAAAACCCGACTCTTGCAGAAATCAGAGACCTAGAGAAACAAGTGGGTGGTGATTGTAAGGAGACTCTACAAATACATATCACATTTCTATGGCAGAAGTAGGCTAACAATTGGATAGTCGACTTCGACTCCTTCAGCAAAGTCCTGAACCGACCGGGAGGCTTCAGAGATCCTGGCGAACCAGAAGAATATTGCCGTGGCTTTCAAGTATTTGATAAGGACATGACCGGTTTCATAGGGGTGGGCCAATTACGGTACATCCTGACAAACCTGGGCGAGAAAATGAGCGATGAAGAGGTTGATGAATTGTTGAAAGCGGTTGATACCAGTAGTGGAGAGATCAACTACATGGATCTGGTCCGCACCATCCTTGCCAACTGAGACTCTCGTGTGCACGCGCGTACAGAGGGAGTGCTTCAGCGGTTCTTGCTTACGAGTGTATGGTTTACGGCATGGGAGCAATTGCATACTTGATTGCAGCGTTGGCTTTGGCGCAAGCTTGTCTCTACCACTTTTCACAAACGGCCCAATGTTAGACAGTACAGATTTGGCCAGCAATCAGATTCTACGTGGTTCAGAATAAGAGGAAAATCATTCAAACGTGTTTGCATTGTCTGAACGCATTTCATGGATTTTCTCGTGCCCAAGACGGTGTCGATGGCCGTACACCTCCCTTCATCGCTTTCGTAGTCATCATTCCCCCAGGAAGCAAGTACATCGCACCTTCATTATCTTGTACCTGTCCAGACTGCACCTCGTCCAGACCGTATCCAAGGACTAGTTTGCATCTTGTGCAGCGCAGTAGCCGTCTCTTCTCGAATCCATCCTCCCGTCGAATTATGATGGGTTTACGCTCAAACACAGTGTTTAAGAGAACTGATGCTGAGGTTTGATCGACTTCAAAGTCCTCCAATTGACCGACCTTGGTCGGGGGAGGAAGAATTAGGGCGTCATCTTGTAGAGGCTCTGCGCGATGAGGCAGTTTTTGGATATCAAGTGCCGTAGTAAGGACAAGTGTACTGCAGAGACAGTGGTAGGAGTTGATCGAAGGGCTCGACGCAGAGGTATCGTCGGCCATCGAAAGCGTGCCAGAAATTTGTGGAAGAGTGTTTGGCTGTACGTTTCTCATTCGAAAGCTGGCGCGTTGGTCGCACGGATTTTCAGGCACCGCCTAAAATCCTGCGAAGGAGCCTCTTCGCAAAGTCCCCCGCAGCCTGCAGTGCCCAAATTTCTGGGCGGCATTAGCGGGGATCGACACCTGCCCTGACTCACATGTAAGCGACGTCACCAATCTACGATTGATGTCCTGCATGCGCTTTGAAGAAACACCTAGTCAGAAGCAACAATATCTACTCGCATCCAAACTTATCGTCCTGATCAGACAATGCGCGTCCATCCTCTCATGCCTCACAGAAAGCCTCAGCCATGCCACCTTTCCTCCCGCGAAAGCGTTCGACGCCACCAGCATCCCCTCGGCCCACGCCACTCAAGAAGGCAAAACTGTCGGATGTGCTCGACGCGGAATCGAGAAACACACCTGGATCTGACAAACCGAGAGCCTTCTCTCTAGGAAGTGATGGCTCCGAATCGAGCCTTAGTGACGTGGACAGTGACGAGTTTGAAGATGTCTCCCCCGCCGTCAAACACCCTGAGTCTACAAAGCACGAAGAGGAAGACGAGGACGATGAAATAGAATGGGAGGATGCGGGCGCTAGCACACTTGTTGCGACGCCAGCCCAGACTCCTCTGGCCGATGGGCCAATTGAGCTGGTGTTCCGTAAGGACAACAACGAGATTGACTATGGCACTGCGACCGCCGCCACTACGGGCAAGAAAGGGCCAACTAAGCGCGAGAAGGAGGCTAGGGTGAGAACACATCAAATGCACGTCCAACTATTGCTATGGCATAACTCAATACGAAACCGATGGATATCCGACAGCATAGTTCAGCAAACCCTGGTCAACCAATTGCCACCTCAAATCAAGAAGGAAGTTGAGAAGTGGAAAGTCGCAAGTGGACTGGTTGATCCTGAGGCCGAGTCAAAGTCAAGGGGTCGGAGAATGGGGAAGGGCAAAGCAGTCAATGCTCGTCAAGAGAGAGACTGGGGAAGGCCAAGCCAGCGCATGGAGAAAGGCAAGCCGAATATGAGCAATGGCGATCCGCTAATCTCTTTGATGAAGGTTCTCGCGGCTTACTGGAAGAAGCGGTTTGCGATCACGGCACCAGGTCTTAGGAAGCGTGGCTATGGGACCAAACAAGCGCTGAAACAAATCATCTACTCATTCCGAAATGACGAACACGATCCAGAAGAACATGGTGAACGGATTCGGGATATTGAAGAATTCCGTGAAGTGGCTCGGCGATGTGAAGGCTCAAGGGATGCAGGGGCTCAACTGTTCACGGCGCTTTTGAGAGCAGTTGGTATCGAGTCTCGACTTGTGGCAAGTCTGCAACCAACAGGCTTTGGCTGGACGAAAGCAGAACAACAATTTCCGCGAAAGCCTGCAAAAGCTGCGGAGACTGATACTGACACATCCTCTTACGAGTCCGATCACGATGACTCCGTTTCTCTATCTGAGATCACGAAGTCAAAGCCAGTAGTTAAAGCGAACGCTCGTACTTCTACTAGAGATCAGAGAGGCACTACAAGCAAACCCATCAACCTGGACACTGATGTCGAAGAAGATGATACAACTTCGGGTATGAATGAGGACGATTCGGTCGTGGATGTCACTCCAACTATGCCAAAGAGGCGTCCGCAGAAGTATGACCGTGACAACCCTTATCCGATTTATTGGACAGAAGCCATATCGCCAATCACAAACCAGGTGCTGCCAGTTTCTCCTCTCGTGCTTGACCCTCCTGTTGCTTCCACCCCGGAAATACTGGCTGCTTTTGAGCCTCGCGGCGTCAAAGCAGACAGAACCAAAACCGTCATGGCCTATGTTATTGCTTACTCCGCCGATGGCACAGCAAAAGATGTTACTGTCAGATATCTCAAGAAGAGGATATGGCCCGGTAAGACTAAGGGGTTCCGGTTTCCAGTGGAGAAGATTCCTATCTACAATAAAAACGGTAAAGTCAAGCGCTATGAAGACTACGACTGGTTTAGGCGAGTCATGAGTGGTTATCAACGTCCAGATGCGTTGAGAACGCCAGCTGATGATGTAGAAGATGCGCATGACCTCGTCCCGCAAGAACCTGAGAAAAAGGAAGTTAAAGATGACGTGGACACTTTACAAAGTCTCAAAGCATCGGCTGATTTTGTACTTGAGCGCTTTCTCAGGCGTGAAGAAGCATTGAGGCCTGGTGCGGAGCCCGATCGAAAATTCGTCTCCGGAAAAGGCGAAAACCTGAAAGAAGAGCTCGTTTACCGACGTTCTGATGTCCTGCGATGCTTGACTGCGGAATCATGGCACAAAGAAGGACGAAGACCGAGGGAAGGCGAAGCGCCGTTAAAGCTCGTACCTGTTCGTGCCGTGACGCTCGCCAGGAAGCGCGAGGCAGAAGATTATGAAAGACGTACTGGTGAGAAGCAAACCCAGGGTTTGTACTCATGGGATCAGACCGAATACATCATCCCACCTCCGATCGAAAATGGAGTGATTCCGAAGAACGCTTACGGCAATATCGATTGCTTCGTGCCGAGTATGGTGCCCAAAGGTGCTGTCCATGTACCATTGAGAGGGACTGTCAGGATCTGCAAAAAGCTGGACATCGACTTTGCTGAAGCGGTCACTGGCTTTGAATTTGGCAACAAGATGGCTGTCCCTGTGATCACTGGTGTAGTGGTTGCTAAAGAGAACGAGAAGGCAGTCATTGAGGCATGGACCGAGTTCAACGAGAAGCAGAGACAAAAAGAGGAATCGAAGATGGAAAAACTTGTTTTGGACCTATGGAGAAAATTCGTCATGGGTTTGAGGATCCGCGAGCGTATCCAAGATACTTACGGTGACGTCGTTGACGACACATCCATTTACGCCGCTGGGAACAGCAAGGACCAACCGATCAACCTCGAAGACGAAGGTGACATGCCGGGTGCTGCTCTGCCAATTGCTGCCGAGGATGATTTTGGCGGTGGATTCATCGTCGACGATGAAGAGCTGGCAATCCCAGAAGATCTTGAGATGGTTCACCACGAACCTCGTGCCGAAAGAAGCAGATCTATGAGAATATCACGAGGTTTGAATGAATATCCGACTCCCGTCTCAGTATCGCCTGCGAAGACGAATGGTGTAAGCCAGAACAAATCGCTTCTTCAAGCTGCCGATGAAACCACCACAGCTTCAGAACTATCATCCGCGCCAAATGAATCCGATTTTGATTTGCAACCTGCCAAAATGGAAGAAATGGAACGTGCGGCCATTCCAGCGATACCGGCTTCCAAGGCCAGAATTGAAGTTTCTATTCCAAAATTTCATCGCCAGGGGCCTACCCCTTCCAATACTGTGTCAAGAACCGCGCAGGATACTGATGAAAGTGAAGATGAGCAATCAGAATCACTCGAGGACGAGACCAACGATGACGATGCCTACAAACCAGTACGACGATCTGGACGTAAGACCGCCAAGACTGAAGTGAGGCGAGTAAGAAGTCAGACAAAGACACAGACACGCAGAACAAGTACAAGAGTGAGGAGAGGAGGTCGTCAATCCAAGTCTCGAGTGGACCTTGATGATCGTGATGATGAGGATGAGGTCGTGACGCCAAAGACTAAACGGGCCAGTCGTCGCCTGAGGAGAGACAGCGCTGTGGTCACCAGTCCTTATTTCGAAAGCTGAGTCGTTCTAGCCGGGGAGCTTCTTGATATGTTTTATTGTATGATGCCCGAGACACCACCTGGTAAATACTAGAGTTAATCTGGTAGATGATTCTGGGAAAAAAAGTGTACCAGTGAAGAATCCATCCGTACAAGTTTACTTGTGAATAAAATAAAACCCATCAGTGTGAGATATGTCATGGCTTCAAGGCTTTATACACGTATCTTCGACTATATACAGCGAGTGTCATCCAGCATTACACCATTCCGTGCTTTGACTTGATATCGACGGTCAAATTCAGTTCGGCACAAATCTAGGCCCCTTCGTCAGGGACCCGTCAGGAAGACTCAATCGGCATCGTCGCCATCGTCGTGGTCGTGGTCGTCGTCATCGCCATCCAAATCGTCCCCGTCGGTGTCCGCGTCCGTGTCGAGCACCTCTTGCCCCGCAAACAACAACCACCGGCCGTCCTGGACGCTCTTCCTCCAGAACTTGGTGACGCCGTCGGACCCGCTGCTCATCAAGACCTGACCCTGGCCGTCGAACGAGACGGACCAGGCGTCGGTGTGCGCGTCGTCCAGCGCGGTCGATGACTGGACGTTGGTCTGGAAGGGGAAAGCGTGGCCGGTCCTTGCCGCTCGCGAGGCTGTCGAGGCAGAAGCGGAGGCGGCGGAGGGATTACCCGCACCGGAGTTTCGACCGATCAGTCCGGTCGTCAGGCTTGATTGGTAATGCTGTTGTGGTTGCTGTTGCTGTTGCTGTTGCTGCGGCTGTTGTCGTCGCGTGGACGCATTCTGCACAGCGCTCCCAGGTGCCGCAACATCTGTCACAGTGGTGTTGGTGGCTGCGGCCGTGCTACCCCTCTCGGGCGCTTCCGTGACTGCTAATTCAAAGACGCGCACCGCGCCATCTTTGCACGCCGTCACGACCCTGTCGGTCCCTCGGACGCTGAAGGGTGCCCATGCCACGTCTCGTATGAGGGCCGGGTGTCGTCTTGACCGCGCGGCTTCGAAGAACATGACTCGGTGACTGGCGCCGTCGTTGGCGCCGACGCCACTCGAGGTGGAAGAAGAATCTCCGCCGGGCACGACGGAGCGGTAGATTTTGAACTCGTTGAGAACACTGACCACGAGACTTAATTGGCCGCGGTCGTCGGAGAGGCTGTTCATGTACGCGAGAGGGGTCGGGTTTGGGTCGAAGCGGACTTTGAAGCTCGTCTCATCGCCGCGCGTGGGCGGCGAAGACCCGCACACGTTGAACGTGTCGACCAGGGTCCAATCCTTGAGATCATCGGGGCTTGTGGGTTCGTAGATGCTCAGGAGGCCTTGACGGTCGATCAGAGCCAGAGTCGTGTAAATGTTGTCGACGGTCTTGAGGTCCATGGATACAAAGGGGACACGGGGAGTGGATGGGATCGTGGATGTGCGACGAAAGCGGCGGCCCGAGTTGGGAGCCTGGGAGACATCCTCGGTCCAGAGATGGAATTTGAGGTCGTTGCCTATGCTGGCTATGTGAGAGCCTAGAGTTGGGTGGAGGAATTTGGCCTGGCAGAGAACGGAGGGGTCAGAGATCTATTTTGATTGGGTGGATCTGGAACAAGCAAAGGGGAAGCAGAGGATGAAGAAGATGCATGAAGCGAAGTGCCAGGAAGGGATCAAGGAGCACCAACATCGCGTATGTCAGCGTCATGGGCGGTGAATGTGTCGATGAGTGTGCGCTCCCCAGTCTTGGGGTCTCGCTGCCATACTTTGATCCGATGGTCGATTGAAGCTGTGAGAATGCGCGTGCCATTGAAATTCGTGTGGAGGACCGTGACTCTGTCGTGGTGACCGGTGACAAATTCCGTTGACCGTCCCATTGTGGTTGATTGTCTGGAGTCGGTTTGTAGAGCTAGATTTGAGTTACTTTCGAGGTACAGACAGAGGGGCCATGGTTGAACGCGTTTTGTGACTGCATCTAGTGCGCTGACATCCGGGTCAACAGACTCTGCGTATCTCAATAGATCAAGCACGTATCAACACAGGAGCGCGTTGACTCTGAATGCGAATGCGCAACCAGTGTCGACAAATATTGAGGGAAGGTCAAACAACCGGCCTGTGCTATTTGCCCTCAAAAGGCGACGATGAGGTCAAGGAGGCTGAAATAGAGCTACGTTGATTGGCGTTCGGGAGGAAGGCTGGGGTTACGGGATTACGGAAAAATAATATTCCGAGATGGCCGTCTGTGAGAAAGGACAGCTGTCGTCCGGCCTGTTCACCAAAAAAAGAACCATTCATTCTCAGCACGTGGTCCTCTTTGCTATACGTATTCCTGTCATTCTCTTTGAAGTTTCGGTTGCGCCTGAGATTGATTCATGATGATTTGCAAGCTTTTCTTGGAAACTCTTCAGTCTCCTTGACGATACGGAGTACATACGGCATCGGATCCCCGCCGACGCCAGCAAGTTAGACCATCGATATGTCTTCTAGCCTGGGCCATGCAGAGCGCTGGTCGCTGCTGCTCGTTACCGGAGCCTCGCTGTCTGTCATTGCCAACACGTTCAAGGGAGATGGTGCTCCTCTTGTGGCCTCCCTGGCATTTTCGACTTTGGCCTTTTCCATGACCTACGCATTTGTCCGCTGGTCGGGGCCGTCATTTGTCAAAGCAGGGCTCAGAGGCAGGGATATGAGCAAGTTGGCACCAAAAGAAATGTGAGTGCATCTACATCGCCCGGCATCCCTGATATGACTGACAACCACGCGCAGTCCCGAAGCCATGGGAGCGGTGGCCGCCTCAGTCTACATCTTAGCGTTGATGGCATTTATCCCATTCGCATTTTACAAGGACATTGTTGCCGCAACGTCTGGTGGCGGGAACAGGGACGTCGTCCTAGAGGTCACCGAGGTCGAGACGGGCCGTTTCTTGCATCGATTCCCGCATTCAAAACTATCCTCCTATCAATCGGCTTTGAACACTCTCCAAGCAACCACCATTCTCGGTATGGCGGACGATATATTGGATCTGAGATGGCGACATAAATTCTTCATTCCCGCAATTGCGTCTCTGCCACTTCTTATTGTCTATTACGTCGACTTCGGAGTCACTTCAGTTGTGGTACCAAATTTTCTCGTTCCATACATGCCCAGGCGAGCACGCTTGATCGATCTCTCGTTCTTGTACTACCTTTACATGTCAGCATTGTCCATATTTGCACCAAATTCGATCAACATTCTTGCTGGAATCAACGGTATCGAAGTTGGCCAGTCGCTAGTCATTGCAGGACTTTTGATTCTCAATTCATCACTGTATCTGGTCCCTTTCCCTGGAAACCCGGTTTTGTCGAATGGTTACGCCACACACCCCCATCCCGCCACAGATTCACATCTTCTCACGTTATATGTCCTTCTACCGTTCTTGGCCGTTTCGATAGCCTTGTTCATACATAACAAGTATCCGGCCAGAGTCTTCGTTGGCGACACGTACTGTTATGTAGCTGGCATGACCTTTGCTGTGGTGGCGATCATGGCACATTTCAGTAAGACGTTGTTGTTACTCCTCATTCCACAAATCGTCAACTTCGTCTACAGTACGCCACAGCTATTCAAGCTGATCCCTTGTCCACGACATCGACTACCCAAATTCAACGCCAGAACCGGCCTACTTGAACCCAGCGTCACACCATGGCCTCGGGAAAAGCCCCCAACCAAGCTTCAAACCACCATGTTCCTCATGCTCGAAAAGCTTCGGCTAATACAGGTGACGATTGATCCCAAGACAAATCGAATATCAACGACTTCGAACTTGACAATCATTAATCTATGGCTCGTTTGGAGAGGGCCGATGAGGGAGGATCAATTAATGCGGGAGCTATTAGTGATGCAAACTTGTTGCGGTCTATTTGGGCTCTTTGTGCGGCACACTATGGCACTTTTGATATTCAGTGTGGATAACAGAGGAAAGTACGGCAACAAATTTCCGGTGTAAGGCCTCTGGTGCTGAATTGTATGGACAGTATAGTGACCTTTTGTGTAGATACGGGATGAGGTGAATGATAACCAAGTGTCCATACGGAGTACCTATAGATCAATTAGTCGATGCGACACATTTATTGATGTTTGAAGCCACGAGCAAGCATTGTAAACTACTTTTGTATCCCGAATGGCATGCCATAAGCAGTACTGCAAATGCCAAGCCTCTCCATCTCCGCGGTGCTTTTCACAGCCTGATATCAATCAATCCAAGGGCGTCAAGACTCTCAGATATTCAATGGCGAACAATGCATGAAATTGTGACCCTTCAACTGGGTCAGAAGAGTAATTACCTTGCTACCCATTTTTGGAACGCTCAAGTATTTTTTGAACAACCTCGACCGCGGCCCGCATGTGACTGACTTTGTGCTTAGGAATCGTACTTCACATATTCTGACAACGAAGAATCCGTCATCGATCATGATGTACACTTCCGCCCAGGTATAGGTGCCGACGGACATGAGACGTTTACACCACGAACGGTCATCTATGACTTGAAAGGAGGATTCGGCACGTTGCGCAAGTTCAATGCGTTGTACGAACTTCAAGATGAAGCGCCCACTGGCTTGTGGGAGGGTATGACGACGACACACCGACAGCCTACGATACAGCCATCAGAATATCAGCGAAAGCTCGATCTCGGGTTACCCACGTCTCAATTGCATGATGCAGATGTGAGATACTGGAGCGACTTCAACCGGGTTTACTACAATCCCAAATCGATTGTCCAACTCAACGAGTATGAGCTCAACTCTCAGATCATGCCGTTCGAAGACTGGGTGGCGGGAGAAGACCTTTTCCGAAATTTGGATCGAGACTTCGATCTACTGGACCGTGATATTCGGCCCTTCGTAGAAGAATGCGATCACATGCAAGGATTCCAAATTCTGACCGGAGCCAACGATGCATGGGGAGGATTCGCAGCAAAATACCTCGACGCCCTACGTGATGAGTTCGGCAAGATGAGTATCTGGTGCTGGGGCATCGAGGACTCTACCAGAGTAGTTAGGGTAAGTCGTCGCCGGGCAAGAAGCAAAACAATGCCAAATTGACTCTGACAGCAAAAACAATTGCAACGAGCATGCAATTCCGCGAGATCCCTTCGGGCCATTGGCCAGCTGGCTTCGGTGTACGTCCGACTCGCAGCACCACCGTCGAGCTTACCGGGATATGTGAACTTTCCGTCGGCATCTGACTGGATGACAACCGCCCTGCTTTGCGCCGGCTTCGAGTCGGTCACCATTCCGACAAGGTTGCGGGCGGATGCGAGGAAGCGAGGCTCACTGAGCCTGCTTGAAGACACCTTGAACACTAGCGATAGCCAGAACCTCTTCGAATTGCAGGCCAAGTTCAACAATCACGCCATGAACGGTTCCAATGGCGGAGAGTCGAACGGTAGGATTCACGCCGATGAGAATGCACCTCACGATTGGCACCCCGAGCCCACACACTTTGACCTGGAATATCTCCCGAGACTACAGAATTCTATCGTGAGCGATCGAAACCATGTCTTCGCGCAGGTTGAATGCGAACGAGGAAGGGCAGAACATGATTCGTTCTCGCTTAGCCTCGATCCTGAGGACAGGCTCCGCAGAAGGCAGAATGAAGAGAGCGTGGTCGAGATGTAAGTGGCATTCCTCCTACTGTTTTAGTCAGTTTGTTTTCCCCTTCCGCTTTCGTCTTGAGTCAAAAAAAAGGTGAGCGTGAGCGTGAGAAGTGAGCCAGCCGAAGTTTTCAGTTCCCGGATACGGAATGGGCACACTATTGGAAAAACTAGTACAGGACTCCAGTTATACTTCGACTGACACTCCCATGCGCAGATTTCAGACCGGACTACGATTTCCTCTGCTGGAGACGTTTCCTAACAGTCTCTTCGAGACGAATCGGGACCACGAGAACGGACTAGACATATCGGCAGCGCTGAGCTGTAATTCGAGGATGAAAGACCATGTTCTCGAATTGAGGAATACCACCTCCCGGCTGATGCCGCTGGAAGAACGGGAAGCTGTCTATTCTGATCTCTCTCAACTAGCACAGCACTACAGCTTCGGTTGGGACGAGGGTAGCGACACTGGAGAAGACGATTGAACCATGGTCCTCATAACATTGTCAACTGACCTACCTATTCCCCCGCGATGCTAACTAGCACTGGTCACAAGCCTACGAGTAGAGGAGTTGCATGAGAATTGGGGGTGGGGGATGGTCGGGCAAGGTGTGTGCGTGTCTGCTGTTTAGCCGGGCAAATACTCCGTCGACTATAACAGTAGTACCTAACGCAGTGCTGTAATCAGTCTTCAAAAGTGCGTTATAGTGCATTTCTCCGTCAAGCAGCCAAGAAGGAATCATGATAGCCACAGTGGCGTTGCGAAGTGTCAGTTACGTGAAATATTCGTCCACCGGCCCATATCTTCAAGAACTTGCTACCATTCCGTCCTGGGTAGTATAGGTCACTTGGAACTACTGGGGGAGAGGATAACCTTACCAAAGGTGGACAAGAGTGTGGACAAAAAAGGTGGGCAAGGCTGGGCGACTCCCCGTGAGAAAAAATGTGTTTGTGATCGGGATCCCTCGGCAAAACATTGGGAAGGGTGGCGTTCTTTGTTTCTGACCGTTGGCATGGTCACAGCAAGCCATGATGACTCCGAGTACGTTGAGTGGACTGATGAAAAGCCCATGAAGCTCTCGAGATGCATGAAAATCGCCGAACAGCTGCAAGTCTAACAAGAAGCTTAGCGAGAAGAAGCCAGTCATGACGCTGTGCCTGGTAAGACACCATCACTAAAGTAAGACATGCAGGGTTCCCAGTTTTTTTTCTCAGCTTCCCCATGGTCCAACTGGATGGCCGCCAGCAACTTTTGGCGAGTAACATTGGGGCGATCAATAGAAATGGATACGACAGAACTATACGGAATAAGCACCCAAGACTATTGTCCAGGTGGCCCGTGCTCGACGGGTATTCGAAGAAAAAAGTCTGTGTGTCGAGCACATCTAGGCCAAAGCTTCATGACTTGATACCAGAAATAGGTGCAAAGCACGCACAGATGGGCTCTTGGTGGTGTCTGCCGAATGAGCCGGGCGCCACAGTCCATGTCAAAGGCCTGTCCCCCAACACTGTGCACTGATGGGGGGATCGGAGAGCACCGTCAATGTCAGGATGTCACAGCTTTCGATCTGCCCTTTTGACTGGAAAACCGGGAAGGGCAAGTTGATGGGCGTCAGTCGTCATCAGAACCTGGCAAAAGTTCGTCCCAAATCCTTGACAACGAGCGGTCGAGTACGAGCAAGGCGTCGATCACGCAACGGTCGGTAGAATGTGATGGAAACCACATGTTGGGCGCTTCTCGGCTTCTCTCGATTCGCCTTGGGTCTTCTTGGGTTATCGACTAGGGCTCACTAGGTCCAAACCCAATCATCAGCCTATCGGTTGATCCGAGGATGGCGGTTGGAGGCTACCGAAGGGTGCTCAACAAGGCCCGTCGCTGGAAAGAGCCAGTCTTTTTTGACTCAGAAGCCGAACTACTCCTTCAATAGTGTGTAGCGGGAGGGAAGGGTAAAATGCAGCATGCCAGGAAGCCAACATCCAGAACACCCACGGATCGAAGAAGTCTCCATACGCAAGGCACCAACAACAAAGAACTGCTGGGAGCGATCAGCGGAAAAAGTTAGCAGAAGGCCTCTCATTGACTCCAGGCACGTGGGCTGTTATCGTCGACCATGGGAACGACTAGCAGCCTTGACAAGCTCTTTGGGTGGCTCGAGCTTCCCACTCGCTTGTCAATGGGTAGCGCAATACTCGACATTATTGTGCAATAGTTCGACTCCTACATGGACAATGCTTCTGGTTTCATTGAAACTTCCAGAGGAAGAGAACATCGAGGACGAGGCCACCCACCGTACGGGATCCCGCCAGCAGGCATGCAGGAACAGAGGGAAAACAAACAAGACGGCTGGCCACTGCAGTACCGCAGCACCCACTCACCCACACACCATCGATCTCCTCCCGATGCAACATTGCCTTATAGCGGAGCATTGACCGTCCCGCTCATGCTGCGCCCTTGCAGACGGTGGGAACTAGTTCCACCGACAACAATACTTTCTCCCCACCATGACGCAGACTTCGCAGTGTGTTTTTTCAGGAACAGGTCCTTGTTTTTGTCCATCTCAGCAGCAATGGATCTTGTCATGCGAGCAGGTATTGGATTGGGATGGGTACCGAGCTGCAGAGCTTCAACGCATAAAATACTTGACCTCCCGTCTTCTTCCTCTCACTTTCTTTCCTACCTCACGCCAGTCAGATTTCTACTCTCGCTTCCATCAACAGTCCCAGGGCTCGCTCGCTAAGGCTCGACTATCATTCGTTTCCCTCAACAGCACACGGATCTAATCCTCTGTACACATATCAACCCTAATATCATTCAAAATGGTCAAATCCGCTGTTGTCCTGGCCTTGGCCAGCACTGCTGCCGCCGCCGCCGTCAAGCGAGATGCTAGCACCACCACCGGTGGTACGTGGCTCGACTGGACCTCGACTACCACCACAGTCGCTCCTACCACCACTACCACCACCGTGGCTCCTACTACCACCACTACCACCGTCCCAACCACCACCACCACCGTTGCTCCCATCTCGACCACCACCACCCCTGCGTGGAACGATTGGACTTCGACTACCACCACAGTCGCTCCTACCACTACCACCACCGTGGCTCCTACCACCACCACCACTCCTGCGTGGAACGACTGGACCTCGACCACCACCACGGTCAAGACCACCACTACCACCACTCCCGCATGGAATGACTGGACCACTACCACCACTGTGCCGGTCAAGCCAACCACTACCACCCCTGCGTGGAATGACTGGACCACCACCACCACTGTGCCAGTGAAGCCAACCACCACCACCCCTGCGTGGAACGACTGGACCACCACCACCACTGTGCCAGTGAAGCCTACCACCACCGTTCCCGCGTGGAACGACTGGACCACCACCACCACCAAGGCTCCCGTCAAGCCAACTACCACCGTTCCCGCATGGAACGACTGGACCACCACCACCACCAAGGCTCCCGTCAAGCCAACTACCACCGTCCCCGTCTGGGGTGACTGGACCACCACCACTCCCGTGGCTCCTGCCCCAGTCAAGCCTACCTCCGCCTGGGGTGACTGGTCGAGCGCTCCCGCTCCCGCCCCTGTCAAGCCTACCACTGTCGCCCCTGCTCCAGTCAAGCCTACCTCCGCCTGGGGTGACTGGTCGAGCGCTCCCGCTCCCGCCCCTGTCAAGCCTACCTCTGTCGCCCCTGCCCCGGCTCCTCCTGCTCCTGTCGTCAGCTCCGTCTGGAACGACTGGACCAGCACTGCTCCTGCTCCTGCTCCAGTGGCTCCTACCTCCGCCGCCCCTGCTCCCGTTGCTCCTACCACTGCTCCTGCTCTGGTCAGCAGCTGGGCCCCATCCGCCACCACCCCTGCTCCTGCCACCTACACCGGTGCTGCCAGCAGCAACAACAAGCCCGCCGTCGCTCTCCTCGGTGGTCTCGTTGCCCTCGTTGCCCTCGCATAAATGCGTTGACTATCTTGGGTTTGGGTCTTTCTTTTTTTCGATTCTTCAACAACAACACCACTTGTTGTCGCAGTTCCTCGTCTCTGGGGCTTCTGGCGCACACAGGGTTGGATGATTTGATCATTTTATGTCAATGACGAACATCATGAATTTCATATAAACAACATTAGTCTCGGCCCTCGATACAGCGAGAGGCGCGAGCGGACGATCCTTACGACTATACATATTATTATACCAGGTTCATCACGAGGTTGAGTGGGCCTCGGTGGGAACGACAAAAGGCAAAAAAGGAAGCAGCATTAATGTGTGGTGCATATGGTGTGGTGTTGCTATCTTGAAACATTTCAAGCTCTCGTGTGTACTTCTCAAATCGGTTGTGGTGGAAGTTCTCTTGAGAGGAGGTGATGGAGAAAGAGTAGCATATCAACCTGTTAATGTGTGGCATGTAGAAAGAGAAGTTTTCTGACAATCAAAAAATCATTAAAATTGACTCATCATTTTCTTTCAAATTTCGAATTTCGTTCTTTGGCCATCTTCTAAACCAAGATGCCTAATTGCGATCAGGTCACACAGTGTGTTGAGTTGAGATGAGAAGAAGTCGAGTGTTGATTTATTATTGCCATAACACTGAACTGTCCGTGCTGAAGCTGTCGTGTGAAAAATCTGTCCTGGTGCTTTGTGGGTGGTTAATAACTTGGGGGGGGGAGGGCATTGGGGAAGGTCAGCCGAAGTAGTTACGGAGCACCTACTGTACTTTATGATTGAGTGCCCCCGGCATGCCCTGTAGCTACAGCGCGGCGCCTTGACACTTTGATGCCTCGCAAGGGTGATGTCGTCCCATCATCCATTTTATTAGTTACTCAGTGCTCTCTCCCCCCGTTTTTGCGACTTGTACAGAGTACAAACGTCGGAATTTTACCTACGTACTCCGTGTACAAACAGTAAGTAGTCAAGTCCATCGTTTTGGGGACAGATGCGTGCGAGAACTCGAAGCGTAGAACAGAGCACACACACAAACACACCAACCCAAAAAAAGTCTACTCTTCTCGCGCCCGAAAGGGCCATTGCAAAGAGTCAAGCTTGACCTCTTAAAACCCCCCTGCAGGAGACTTCATTCCTCCTCCGTCCTTCCCTCCCCCCTTCCCTCCCCCCCCTGAGTCGTCGAGTTATTTTACGTCGTGTTCGAGGTTGACGATGCGAGCTCGATGCATGTGGCAAGTTTACTGTACGATTACTCGCCCTCGTATTTGGGGACTTGTGCCAACTCGAAAGGGGTTCTGGAGGGGATGTTGCCGTAACAGGTGAAACAGTCGTTCCCCTGCATGATGCGTTGAATGACCTCGCCGCCCCCCCTCCCCCCCCTCCCCCCCCAAAAAAATAAGAGCCACACACACACACCTCTCTCTCTCTCTCTCTCTCTCTCTCTCTCTCTCTCTCTCGCTCGCTCGCGGGTATTTACCCCGTGCCCCTTGCAGCTTGCATATCTATCAATCCCAGTATTTCGTATAAGCGACATGGACTCTCCATTTCCAACTCCCCTTATCGTCGCACCTTGCAAGTGAGTATTTGGACCCAAGTACGGAGTACCGACCTGGAAAGCCCCCTGCTGGGGGGGTTAACGAATCCTGCAGGAATTACAGAGTATACACCGCGTATAAAATCCTTCGTACTATAAGAAATCCCAGTCATCTCTTCCGCAGCCCGTCTGTTTACGTTGGGATGGAATTCCGATGATACGGTAGTTACGTGATGGTTTTACGGGGTATCTTGGCCTAGGGTACTGTTACATAGTACTTCTTGGTTCTCCGTCGTAATAGTGGTGGCAATAATATCCGTATGGCATTTTGTATCTAACTCACCGACTACCACGGACGAGTAAAGGACGTACATCCAGTTATCGTATTCATGTCCTCCGGCACGGAAAAGGTCGTACCTAAACGATCAGATCGAACCCCATGGCTCTCCGGCCGGCCTCGCCACCCAGGTTGCTCTTTTCCCCGGTGAACATCCTGAAGGTCTTCTCGGACGACCCTCTCCGGAAATCCTCGGGCGGGATCCCGTTCAGCATGTCCTCCAGTTGATGCTTGACGTAGTTCATGTTCTGTTCCGTCCGGGGCGTGGCGGCGATGTAGGCCACGCTGGCCTCGTGGTCGCCGTTGTGCTCCACCTCCACCGCGTGACACATGTCGGCGTGCCACCAGACGGTGTCGCCGGGGTTCATGCGCGGGATGCCGACCATGCACTCCGGGAGGCGCAGGTGGGGGTGGGACGAGGGACTCAGGAGTTGACTGTCGTCCCGGAAGGTCCCCGGGAACCACGGGGACTCCCCCGCCGCGTCAAAGGTCCATCTCGTGGCGTCCATGACGTCCGCCTCGTCCGACGGCGGGCGGAAAAAGGGGCGCAACAAGAGGTACGACATTGCCCACTTGACGTCGGGGTAGAGCATGAGACTGCCCTCCCCCGGCCCCGCCGACGTGAGGGCGGTCCACCCCTGGAAGCTCCGGAAGACGCGAGAGTGGGCCGACCCGGCGAACATGGCCTGATTGGCCTTCTTGCGCTTCGTGAGGTCGTACGAGTCGAGATCCTCCGGGCGACCGGAGAAGACGGCGTCGTAAAAGGACCGGTACATCGGGTCAGCCCAGCGGCACAGGCTGCCCGCGTCGATGTGCGGGCCCAACCCCCTGAAGGGCACCCCGGGAGGCCGAATGCGGACCCCGTCGGCGTACGACAGTGGCTCCGGGGTCGTCGTCCCTTCGTCGTCGTGCCACCACGAATTCAACTCGGTGGACAACCTGAGCTGATTGGGGTGTGAACGTGCCGCGATTTGAGTCGGGGAAAAGTAAAGGTTGAGTATGAATGGTGTTTCGGCCGGCCATCCTATTGTTTTGCCCCGTTCCCACGTCAGATATTCGCCAGAGAAGAAAGGTAGGACGGGGAAAGATCTCGCCATCTCCGTGTCGAGTTCCATGACTCTTCACGCCCGCATATGGATTCAACACAAAATCAAAAACAAGACGACTCACCTCCGATGGACGACCTATTCGCCGCGACGTATTCCTTCAAGTTCAAGAACCACTCATCCGCCTGTTCTCTAGTGAACACGTCGCGAACGACAAAACATCCCACATTCTTGAGTTCTTCCTTCTTCTCGGGGGACAAGGTAAACATGTCATCGAACGAGACCTCCGGGATGGCCGATGACCCCAGCTCGGCGATCCTGTCCGTCACCGACTCCAACTCCTTACAGACCTTGAGCCAACTCTTGACCAGGGCGTCTTGTCCATACTGGTCCACGATGGCCTTCTTGTAGGCGATCAGATCATCGCCAGTTTCGGCCTTGCCGGGGGTGAATTCAGGCCAGTCGGGCCATGACATGAGCTTTCCTGGCATCTTTGTTTCGTGGCTTGGTTCTTTCACCTTATATCCGAGGTAAATGGACTGCGTTGTTTGGGTGTAACCGTGTGTATGTGTAGGTCGTTTTATCGTATCCAAAAGGACGAAATAGGCTTGACTTTTTCTGGCTTATAGCGAAAAAAGACCGGTATCTGCCTCCTTTGGCCAAGCTTGTGATGAGTTTTCAGCGGTATGGAACGGGCGCCGCCAGATCAAAGACTTTCTCACTCTCGACTTATGACTGCTGTGAAGTAAACATTTCGATTCTTATCTCTTCTTATTCTCTTACTTACCCGATGACACTGACAAGGGGAAACCAAAGCTGATTGAGAATGCTCCAGACTTACCCTACAGAAACTCAGGTGCACGCCACACATGAAGAAATCCGGTTACGCTTTATGGATGTCCCCCCAACTTGACGAATGAAACGTCTGGATACTGTGGGATCATCGCTATCACGATGCTAAAAGCTCGGCCGAGTTCGCGGACATGTACTACACCTCATGACCCCCCTATGCGCTATACTCCGCATGGGGAAATTGTGGTGGTCCAACCAACCCGAAGAGATGGGTATCGTTTGTTGCGCCGCCATCATTCGTAATTCGATGTTGTGAACTGACACGATCCTCCCGCATGGCCAATTCCGATGAAGAGGTTGAAAGTCAACCTCGCCCGAAAGCCAAATCTAGGGAAAGGACTGACAAAACGAAGTCGTGATGGTCCAAGCCTCGCCCAAGTCCCCCGTGTTAACAGGTGGAGCGTCAACCTCCCAAAAGTCGAGGCGAGGACATGACGGCCCACTCGGGGAAGCACTTTTCAATCAACTCGAGCGCGATTGGACAACTGCAGTTGACTCTTTGTCAGATGGCGGCAAGTTCGTATCTAAAGCGTTTTTGCCTTTCGACAGTCCGATAGAGAGATAGATAACCATAGTGTTCCGCCCGTCTGGGCGTCTGAGTCCCCCCTCTGGTGCCGCGGCAGCGGTATATACATATAGTAGCCATGTACGTGACTTCTTGATCGTCGCAGAAGGAGGTGTCTTTCGCATTCGCCATCAACCTTTCCTATCGGGCTTCAGACAGAGCATCGCAGACACGGATTTCACTTTATCTGCAAGTCATGTCTCCTATCCCTTTTGACCTACCCGCGTGGGTTCCCAAAAATTCAGCCTTTGCTAGTATCCTGTTGGTACTCACATCATGTGTGACTTCGACAGTAAGTAATGAACCACCACACGAGCCAAAGTCCCGCAACGAGTGTAAGAAGCTAATTGTGTGAATCCTGTGTCATGCAGACTTTGGGCTTCGACGGCTCCATGATGAATGGCCTGAACATCCTCCCATCTTATACCGACTACTTCACCTTGACCACGGCCACGCTCTCCCTTAACACAGCGTCCGTGTGGATGGGCAGTGTCATCGCAGGCCTCTTTTTTGGGAAAGTGCCAGACTGGGTCGGGCGAAAATGGGCGCTATTCTTCGGTGCCGTTCTGACCATCATTGGAGTCATCATCCAAGCTGCGGCTCAGAACATTGCCATGTTCGTCGTCGCACGTATTATCGTTGGTTTCGGCACAGGCGCCTCAGCCATCGCCGGGCCCAGCTATGTCGCTGAAACTCTTCCTGTCAAATACCGTGCCTTGGGATTAGGGTGAGCACAACTCCAACATACCGTACCGCGATATGCACAGCTGCTAACCATGTTGACAGTCTCTTCTATGATTTCTGGCAGGTCTCCTCCATTCCGAGCCACTGCCCCATCTACTAATTGAATTCGATAGGTATGTTGGCGGTTTGATCGCAGCGGGAGTCACATATGGTACTGCCAAGTTCGACTCGACCTGGGCGTGGCGACTTCCATCTCTGCTCCAAGGACTCTTTAGCCTGATGTGTCTTTCACTTCTGCCCTTTACCCCCGAGAGTCCTCGTTGGCTAGTCTCTCAAGGCCGTCATCAGGAAGCACTAGTCTCTCTCGCTGCAACTAGCTCCAATGGAAACACCAACGACGCAGCCGTGCTCATCCAGTACCGCGAAGTCACAGATACATTGTCGTTCGAACAAACGTACGAAAAGCCTTCGTTCATCGCCCAATTCCTCAACAGTGCGTCAACTCGAAAGAGGATCTTTCTGGTCAGCCAGGTGGCACTCTTCTCCATGCTGGCTGGAAACAACATTATTTCGTACTACTTTGGTACCATGCTCACCCAAGCCGGTGTGACCGACTCAACCACGCAGCTAGAGATCAACATCATCTTGAACGCATGGTGCCTGGTGGTATCACTCGTCGGTACTTTGATGGCTGATAGACTTGGTCGAAAGACTCTTGCGGCCCTCTCACAAGGTTCCCTGACCGTCTTCATCTTCATCGTCGGCGCGTTGACAAAGGTCTACGGAACCACTTCCAACACTTCCGGCATATACGGCACCGTAGCCTCCATCTTTTTGTTTCAGGGCTCGTATAGTTTCGGCTGGACTCCTCTGACCGTCATGTATCCGCCAGAAGTCTTGAACTTCAGCGTCCGTTCCATTGGCATGAGTTGGTATACCTTTTTATCCAACGGCATGGGCTTGATGGTCACCTTCGCCTTCCCTTATGCACTTGAGGCTATCGGCTGGAAGACGTATATGATCAACGGCGCCTGGGATGTCCTGGCTCTTGTGGTAATCTTGGTCACCTGGGTTGAGACTCGGGGTCGAACGCTTGAGGAGATCGACGAGAATTTGGACGGTGTGGTGCATAGCGAGGTCCCGAAGCTGTCGACCATTATGGGTGTGCCTCAGGCCGAACGGGAAGGAATCGTTGATGCACTGGATCTCTCAGCCGCAAAGGCGATCGAGGCACATGGATCAGTGGTCGAAGTGCCAAAGAACTGAGGCCAGGCTAGCTTTCAGGAGCGCTTTGTTAGTATGTTCAGTGCCTTGATGTAATCCACTCCGATGGGTGTGACAATATGATCAGTGGATAAACTTTGACCCGATTTTCTCTGTACCATCCCCTGCCCCATTTTATTTGGCGGTATGTAGACGCTCGCAAAAAATTCAGGACCCTGTCAACGGCATCCAATCTTGCCACCACCACCGGCCGACGGCATCGAATCCATCTTGATCGAGGAAAATTGCTGCTGGATCTTCGGGTCCCATTGTGACAGTACCGGGCCAGTCAGGATCATGATCCAGGGTGTTCACCAAATCATCAGGGGTGCCAAACCGTGACTCAGTTCTCACAGAACTGCTTACCGGCTCAATCAATCCAGCTGCATGTCTAGTATTAAATCTTCCACCCATAGGCCCATCAACCTCATTCGAGCCAAATACGACTTGCCATTGTCTACACAGCTGCGGCCCAAAAGCAGAGACAAAATCTTGATGTTCAGGCTTCAAGCAAGTGCGCAATGGGGTGTACGGCGTTTGTAAATTTGCTGCATGCTTCATTGCTTGATTTACCACTCTTTCAGCACCGAGAGCGGTGGGGAACCGTCGCTTTAATTCATTCAAGGACAAGTTGATGATTTGAACCTCTTCTGTTCGTGCTGCATTCCAGCGAGGAAATCGGTGATAGGAGATCTGCACGAGTGCAGCAACCAGCAAGTAAAAAATAGCAGGGGCGGCAAGGTGGGACATATCCTCATGGGTCAGATACTCCTCGAAGATACCGGAAATGAAGGACGCGGCCAGCGAGCTGAGTGGTGAAGGGGTCTGAGTAGGCGTTACGTCTCGAAAGAGGATGATCAAGGCTGTGAAGTATGGTATATGCAACTGCCTGGACTTCAAGGAGTATTCCTTGAGCGACCGGGTATCTCGATCAAACAGTCTCAATGACTCTGGTACTTCCATCAACCACCTCAGCAATTCAGCCTCTATGTTGAGCTTCTTACGATCAGATAGAGTACCACGGCGATAATGCTCAGTCATATCACCCAAGATGGAGGTGATTCGTACAAAGTGCTTGAAAAGAGCAGCATCTTGTTGCTTGTCGAAATCAGAGTCTCGCAAAGGTCGGACACTGGTATCTTCCAGGTTGATAGCTCTCGGGCGGCCGTGACTTGTGGCTATTTGATTATCCCTAGCCTGATTCCCGTCAGCAAGAACACTCGACGTGCTGGAATGCACCACCTACAACAAGAGTCCACCAGATCTTTCGCCGCAGTTTGGCATCTGGCAGTTTAGAGTCGGGCTCGCGATGGAGTCCCAATTGATGTGCGAGACCGACACTAATGCGAAGCCAGAAGCTGCTACTGTCAATTGACACATGCTCAGGACCCGAGGGGTTCAGCCATTGCAGGAATATTGTAGCCACAATCGTTTCGAGGGTATGCACTTCCGCACCAGTGTAGAATAGAATCTTTGCTCGTTGATAACACAGTTGTCCGGCTTCTGCAGCCTGTGCTGTAGAAGAAACGATACTTCCTGCAACCAACATCGCTGTCATCAGCAATGAGTTTCTAGTCCCAATATCAAGCTTGTCCAAGTCAGTTTCATCTATCAAGGGCATCCATGGACGACAATATAACATGAAATTCCTGAGTAGACTTTGCCGTAGAGGTCCTTGCGGAGTCTCATCCGCGGATGCCAGGCGCTGGATTTGCGTCTGTAGAGTGGTTGATGTCTTCGACGGGCTTTGATACTGGTGGGCATCGTCTTCATCGACAGCAAAATCTCCTGTAATGTAACTGGAACGCCCTAGATAGCTAGGTTGCTGTTTGCTAGATGTGAGAGTATCATGCACAGGGAACTCTCTTGCCGGCACATGCGCTCCAAGCTCCCTGGATCCAGCATGCCGATCGGCGCGGTGCAGGGCAGTTGGTGCGTCACGGACTTGGTCGTGCTTTCGTTTCCTGATGTGCGGTCTATAGCAGGGAGCCAGTCAGCTCAGGATACGCTGTAGATAGCTCAAAAGTACCAATCAGTAAGGCTTACTGGCAGAATCTGCCTGAGTTTTTGCAATTGCTGCAAGTAGCATGGGTATCTTCATGCAGTTGTAAGTCACAGCGGATCTTCCGTGCATGGCAAGATGCACATGCTTTGGCTTTCTTGAGCGTTCGCGGAGTTTGGACTTCGCAATCAATGTTTGTAGCCGAGCCTGGATCGGACATAGCGTATGGAGATGATCAGAATCCTTGATTTACTCGGTGATTTGCGAAGGACTTCATTTGGGTATATCAATGAGCACTCAAAATGGCGCATGGGAGTGTACGAGGAGGTGTAATACATATATGGTGCTGGACTGGAAGGAGAATTCTGCGGCAATCTTCGGCCTTTTTCGGCGATTTTTGTCGGATCATCGTTATTCCGTCGGAGTTCTGTGTTTCCTTTTCCTTGGTACTCTTTCACCTCACATTGGTATATATTCGCCTCCTTTCAAGCCAATGCAGTCCCAGTGACTGCTACTCGTGAGCACGGCATATCCTACTCGATTCTGAAGCGCAAATATCACTTCTAGCATTCAACTAGAGCCTCTCCTGTTTGACAAGGAAAAATGTCCTCATATCCCCCAATAGTCCCTCAGAATGGTACGTCAGCCTGGCCGTCACTGTTACAATCCTCACTGACGGTATCCAACAGCTGCCGATTATACAAAGACGATATGGAGTGACACCTACCCATATATCGACTCTGCTGCCAAATCCAACCACAGCGGCCGCTCTGTCTTCATTACCGGTGGCAATAGAGGGATCGGTCTCTCGATTGCCAAGTCATTCGCGAGAGCAGGAGCATCTTGTATAGGGCTTGGTGCCATCGATGGTTTCGACAACGTGAAGCAGGTCCTTGAGGAAGCCGCGAGACAGGCCGGACGTCAAACTACGCCGAAAATCCTTCTGATGAATCTTGATGTCACAAGTAGCGATTCTGTCCAACAAGCAGTGGACCAAACATCTCGAAACTTTGGTGGGTTAGATATCTTGGTCAACAATGCCGGCTTTATGACGCCAGCTCTTCCCGTCATAGAATCGGATGAAGACTTATGGTGGCGGACGTTTGAAGTAAACCTTAAAGGGATATACCTCGTCTCCAAATCCTTCTTGCCACTGATGATGAGCACAACTGGAGGTCTAAAAACCATGGTCAATATCAACTCGGTAGCGTCCCATAACCTGAGAATAAACGCCAGTGCGTACGGTACGTCCAAGTGGGCCGTGCTCAAGTTCACCGAGTTCCTCCTGGTGGAGGTTGCTCGAGAAGGGCTCCTGGCGTACTCAGTTCACCCAGGGGGGATAATGACTCAGCTGGCAGAGGCGATGCCGCAGGAAACACATGCATGTGAGTTGCTGATGAACACTGGTTTGCGGCCTCCAGTGACTGACAAGTCTTTCTTCATCAGACCTTACAGATAAGGCGGAATTAACCGGAGATACAATCGCTTTCTTGACTCAAGTACGCAGAGAATGGTTAGCAGGGCGATATATCAGCTGTACGTGGGACATGCAAGAGCTCCTGCAGCGTGAGGGAGAAATTTCCGGCACAGAAAAACTCAAGCTGAGGTTGGTGCTGTGAAGATGCACCGACACTGGTGTACTGTAGTGGAAGACGCTCCTTGCGATACGAGTCAAAATCACGACGAAGAAACCCTCAGATTAACAGGATCTGCTCAAGGCGTGAACTATCTTCTCAATCACGTACCAAGAGAGTTCACTCACACACATCAGATCACACACGCAATGACACGAGGTGTCATTGACGACACAACACCGCAAGGATAACCATTCGGCGTTGTCTCTGAGATTTCAGCATCCCTGCATTTCTTGACGTAGTTGCGGCTGGAATGTATTCGAAAATGGAGAGAGAAGTTGAGCGTGTCATTGCCCTTTTCGTTTCTAACTATAGGGTATCTTGATAGTATCTTGCTTTAGCTGGAAAATCATAAAGAAACATTAAAAGTCATGCAATTTTCGTGGGACGTTGAAATAGTGGTGATCGTCGTCCGTTATATGATATTCGCGATCGTCATCCTCGATCGGTTGTCGCCCGTCGGGGTATTGGGTGTATTCACGGGCGGGAGCGTGCGTCCAAGATCATGTTCAGTCGATCCTGATTGATGCGGGTAAGGAGATGGATGTTGGTCATGCATACGCTGCTGCCGTGAGTCACAGAGTCGTTGAAGATGCCTCGCCAGTTTCTCAATATTCTGCCAGCCACCCCAGTCACGCTGTTCCTCTTCTGACAGAAAGCTATCCCAGGATGGAGTGGAGGCGGCGTTCGCAGGAAAATGCTCGTGCTCTGGATTCAAATTTTTGGGTCTGCCATGCTTTTGTCGACGGCTTAGATGTGTCCCAGTCTCAGCGTTTCCCCAGACCCAACTATGCGTGGTCGATTGTAGGTCTGCGGACAAGAAGACCAATAGCTCTTCGTCATGCTCCGGTTCCAATGAGCCACCTCGTTCATAGTACTCGATCAGCCGTTGTATGAAGAATGCCATGTATCTTCCGGCGCTGACATTGATAGACCGAGCATCATTAATGGTAGAAAGGGCTCTCAATATTAGAAAAAATGGGTCGAAAGTCTGTCGAAATAGAAGTAGAAGCATGCAACGCCATAAGTGCGTGCAGATAACGGTGGTCGAGGAAAGAATGAACCTCTGTTCCCAATCATGCGGTTGTATATGAGGTACCATGCATCTTGACAATACAGTCGCCGTATCCCGAGCGGCCTGGACACATCTTTCGATAGCCTGCGCTCGTTGTTCTGGTGAGGAGGAGGGGGATAGATTGTGGCGATGTAGCAGCAACCGCACGTTTTGAAAATATATAATGGGCGCCATAATACACGGATCTAGTGGTCTCGTGGCCGATGGTTGCAAGGTTGGAGGTAGCAATTGAAGGCAGTCCCCAAGGTGCGTTTCGAACTTTGTCAAGGCTTCGTTCGTAATGCAGAGGGAGCGAAACATTTTTGCCAACGGCGCCATGAGCCTGGCAACGTAAACACTTGCTAACAGCAAAGTGGCTGGAAAAGGCGTATGAAGATCGTCGCTCAACACAAGTCTTTCTTCCTCCAAGATCTGAGGATATTCTGTGTCGCATTCGTCGTCGTTGATGACCATTGGTTTGCCCAATTCGAGCGCCAAAAGTCTGTATGCATTAGCACACAAACGAAACTGATGAACACGCTGCTTCCAGTCCTTACCGATCCCAGACGTAGAAAGAGTACCATATCCTCTTGCGCATTTCTCCCTCTATAGGCGACCACTGGCCACCCTGGACGTGTAGGCCAAGATCCTGGGCTATGCGAATGGCAGCGCCCAGCCAGACCGAACTTGCTGATTTCCTGTTCATCTCCGACAGCGCGATGCTGGCCAGAAATGCCACAATACCTTGGTTACTCGTCACATCGTCTTCCCAGAAGTTGATAGTGGAAATGGCCCGGGTGAGATAGTCTTGCGCCTCTGGTACCCTACTAACATCATGTGTAGCTAATGCGCCGCATGCTAGGACGCCATATAGAGTTGCAACCCAGTCAACAGGCACAGTTGGTGTATTTGGGTTCTCCATGGCTATGGCGAAATTGCGCTGAAACCTGGGCCAATACAAAACAGGAAAATGGCGATGTACGCATTCGTGATAATAATGAAATAGTCTTTCCGCACTCTCTCGCGAGGGCAAGCCTTGCAGATCTGAAAACTTCGACAATGGAACTTGTGCTCGTGGTTGCGCACCTGTGACAGGAGGTTTCAGCAGCCCGCGACCTACGTCGTATAGGAGATTTCTTGAGTTTGACAGATCTTGCGGCGACCTTGCTTTCAACATCCTTCGTGGTGACTTTCCAATGTTCGGGAAGTCTGAAAAAACCAGAGAGGCGATGTCAGGATGGAATTCGGCGGCGAGGTCGTTTCTCTGCTCGAGGGCCCGGAATCGATCGAGCTGTTGACGGGTTTCCATTAACTGTCGCTCTAAATCCTGGATTTGTCTATAAGCGTCAGAGAGGAATGAGTGCGAATGGAAAATGCGCACTCACTTGATCGATGACATGCGACGGTTGGTGTCTTTTGTGAATTGGCAGCGGACATTTCGACTGGAGCATTCGGTACAGCTCGATGTCTCTGTTGCATCGCACTTCGGACGATTAGCAAACGACGGGGCCCCAAATCCTGAGCAACACCCACCTTGACTTTGCGCTCACGGCACGCGTCGCAGCTCGGGTCCTTTCTTCTCTGTCGATACGCCCGCTTCGGATTGTGCATCATCATGGCTGAGATCTGCGCGGGAGATGGAGTGCCACTTCCAATACCTCCTGCCCGTAGCGATTCGCCCAAGTGCGACAGACTGTCGTGAGGGGATGCGGACCCAAGGTCGTGAGAAGGATAAAATGAAGACATTGTCGATGGCTCTTGCGGTGACAGCCCGGAACGAGCGTGTGGGGGGAAGGAAGGCACCGAGTGAGGTTGTTGGCTCTGATCTTGCACACTCATTGGCGACGCCGAGGAAGCGACGCTCGGCGAGTCTTTCACAGAATACAACTGGTTCTGCATCTCTACCGATCAAACGAGTGCTATTCTGAGAAGAACGGCTCCGCGCCAGTCAATCGTCGTGATCGTGAGAAGACTGTGTTCGAGTATCGAGGCATCCCACTTCTCCCCGTCTGTTTGTCCGGGACAAGACAGTCCACGTCAAGTAACCTGCAGGAGCAAAGGATGAGATGGTTATGGTGTAAAGGAAATGCAGGTCAAAGTCAGCGATCTCTTCGAATCAAGGTGGCGATCGAAGCGAGATGCAGTGGTTGTATGGAGACTGATAAATGCCCGACCTTGGCCGTATGGTTCCACGGAGGGAAAGCGAGAGTGGCCCACTACGACTGGTCGCCACGCCCACAAGCAGGACAGCCGAGATTGTCGTGCGCACGTCGCATACGAGACCTTTGTACGGGTAATAGGTGCCCTGGACAAGAGTTCATTCGCGACCTGAGAGAGGAAGAGAAGCCGCGACCTGGCGTGCGATCGAGTCAACTGATACGTCGATCCTAAGCCGAGCAGAGACTGGGGGCCAGATCGCCACGGCTAGTAGGCTGAGTCCGACATGGGGGAGGTTCCAGAGGGGAAGAGAAATCAGCGAACAAACAAGCGCAAGGATAGATCACCTCATGGGTTTCGAACACATGAAAAAAAGACATACTTGAGCGACCACCTCACGAGGTGAACTGCCGGTGTCGCGCGTGGCGTAGGGGCGCGAGAGGGAGGATCCGCTCAGGAAAATGAGGAGCATGTTTCCAGGCATGGATAGGATAGGAGCCCTCTGACCGCAAACTTCGCTCAAGCCTGGACAAATCCGAGCGAAAGCCAAATCCCAAGCGTGGAAGAGGTGGTTCGGAATGATCGCGGCCCTGGAAGGCTAGGAGATGCTTGAGCAACCCCCGGTTCTGGCAGCCGAAGTGAAAGAAGCTAGCCACAACGCTCTGACAGCCGAATGGGGCATGCCTGACAAGGGTCAGCCGCCGAGCGGTGTGCGCCAGAAGCCCACTATGCTCCTTCAAAACGAGCTCCCCTGTGCGAACTGAGGGCTAGGACCTCCCTAGAAGCTTCGTGGCCCTCAGCCTAGAGCCCGCCACAAGATTTTGGGGCCATTTTCCGTGACCGCAAACATTTGACAGCGGTCCTGGTGATGACTGTGGATAACTGGGATGGCTTGTGCAGTCCCTTCGTCACAAGGGATTTGATCTACCAATGCTGGTGCTCCGTCAGATGTTTGGCTGAAGGGAGACGAGCATGTCGCGCAGAGTTAGAGGTCACTGGATCAGTGGCCTTTTGGGCTTAGCACTGCGGCCTCTGTAGTTCTTGGAAACATTTCAGGTGTCTGTGGTGAACTAGTAGCTGGCTCCATCGGCCTGTTGTGGCGGTCCTGTGGAGGCGGACCGAGGGTGATCATGAGCCTTGACTACAAACTGACTCCGAGTGGGCAACTGGACGCGGCACCAGCGGGCCGTTAGGAGGGAATGAGCTCTGGACTTTCCAAGCTTCTTGCCGGCTCGAATTACTCTGAGCTCGAAAGATCTGCCATTTCGATCGTCCTCGTTCATCTTGTCGACATATTGTGCTATCAGCGCTCGCCGTCTATAAATCCAGGCACGTCTCAGAAGACTGCCGCGGTCCGTAGCCGAAGATTGTTCTTCAACTGCAGGAGTCGATCTTCCACAACTGACCAGGCGATCCAGACAGGGTTCTGGAAGGTAGAGGTTAGCGGACAAATGCTTCTGGCAGGGGTTTGTCTGTCTCTCACGACTAGCGACGGCCAGCAACACCAAAGAAATTATAGTATGTCCCTTTGCGGGCTTTGTTGAATCTGCAGGAGAGAGTATTCGGGAGTGAGAGGGGCGTTGACTGGGGAGGGAATCATCAAGCTCCACCGCGAAGTTCGCCCACACTATGAAAGGGAAACCTGTTTCTCATCGATTCTATCAGCGGCCTTTCCAAGTTGGAAGACATCCCCGACGGCGAGAGTGGGATAGCTCTCAAGTCCAGCGAATTATCCTCTCTAGCCTCTACAGTACTCAATTTACCGTCCCGTTGCTGAGTTCAGCATCGATGACTTCAACTTTGTTCTCCCCATTTTGGGATGGATGGGAGAGCGGGTAGAGTATGTGCAAAGGCAGACCCCGGTTCTTTTAGTGCGCGGTCGATCATGGCGCTTAGGTAACTGTTCCCTGCAGATTGTCGGTCCAGGATTGCCGCAGTCGATAATCTGGTGAAACACAGGATGGGTTATAAGACAAGATTTGCGGTGCTTCCTTTCAGCAGAAGAGACATCGATGCTGCCCCAAGCTTCTGTCATGGAACAACAGCACTGCTCGATCTCCCAAAAAAAAGTAGTGAAATGTGAGACAACCCATATGCACGGTCTGATGATCCAACACTTGGAGGGATAATGGTCTCAGCGTAATGGGGCACTGAGTGGCACTCCAAACATTCTGGAATTACGGAGTACAACTGGACCCGCTGCGAGCATTACTGTTGATGCTTCCCTCCGTATGTCGTCCCAACCCTGATTGTCAGTAGAGAGTAGCATTCAAGGACAACCCTGATCTACGCTAATCCATATTAATGACTTGAGTCAAGGCAAATGGGGTGCCCGTCGCTCACTATAGCGAGTCAGTTAGGTGAAGATTTCAATAGTCCAGCGTGGCGCCCGATGTACTAAGGATACAAGTAATCAAAGACACCGACCCGGTATTGTTGGGTTGGAAATTCCAAGAAAAACTCTGACGGCGGTGACCTAAGGCTGTTGGTGGAGGGGAGATAAGTCGGGGTGTGGTCAGGGTCATATCCAAAGAGAGTGGTTCTAGGTAGGGTTCTTCGGTAGAGTATGCCGTCCTGGCCCCAAGTACGGAACAGTCCTTTCCATAGCTTGTGTTTTTGCAGCCTATTGCGGACTCCCTCCCCCCAGATCCCGGCAAGCTAATATTGCATAGAACGGGTGTTTTTAAAAGTTTCCGGAATCACGGACCCAAAGGGTCCAAATCAACAAGAACCGACCCGGCAGAGATGAAATCCAGAATACCGGGCCTGGGGTTTGGATAACCAACGTCTGATGACACGACGAAGGTTCGTTTGACTCAAAACATATGCCACCATCAGAACCCTAGCTAACCAAGGATTACAAGCTGACGACAGATAGTCATCCTCTCATTGAACAAGCTGTGAATCCAGCAATAATCAGGGACTCAATTGCTCGTGTGGGTGGTGTCAGATGTGTCCCATCGAAGTCCGCGGCGCACCACCCAGTGCGTTCCAGAAAATTAGCAACAGGGCACCGTTATCAGAAATGGGCTAGGATCTTCCGCTGTCCCCTTCCGGGAGGCAACCGAAGAAGCAATCTCACAGATTTCGGTAAAGTAGGAGTTGGTGACACCCATGCTAGGGAGATAATGTTCCTCGTCACCCTGCGGCCTGCTAGCTGGGCGTCAGCCCTGTCGAGACTTTCCCTCGGCGGGAGCCGGGTGGAGCCCAGAGGAAGATTGGTTCGCCCATGGGTAACATCGTCATCTTCTCGAATTTCGCTAGAATGAGGTTCTCGAAGGAACGGTCTCTTGCAAGCCACCGACAAGTCCTAGTGGCTCTCTGCGGCGTAGGTAAATTGGCTTTTGCAACCCACAGGTTGTAGTTGACTATCTACAACTGGCCTCTGTTGGTCAGCAATGATTGCTCATGAGTAGTCTCAGAGGATTGGGCCGTTATAATTGGACTTCGATAGCAAGTCATAGTTGGCCGCTAGTCCATGCCGGATCTGCTTGAACTGCGACACTCGACGAGATCGACAGCATGATAAAAATGGATTGCATCAGGAGGTTTTTGGCGTGCGCTTTCATACGAGTACCCGACAACCATAAAATCTGATCGGTCGCCGAATGCCCGTGGAGCACTCCGGATCGATTGTCCATTCGTTGGGCTGATGATAGCTTGCCGCGAGCCATTTGACTTAGTACAAAATTGAACGGTATTTGGGGGCGGTGCTTCTGGTCTGGGCATGAACGTAACCAGTATTTTGGTCCAGCGTCGGCCAGTAGCTCCGGTCTAACCTTTGATTGAGGTCTCAAAAAGAGAACACGTCGTGGACTACGAGGACCAACCGCGAGCTTAGTCAAGGCTCCAGACTTGTCACGATCGCGCTAAGGTCTTGATTTGGAAGGCAAAAGATATGCGAACCTGTCTGTACTTGGAAGAGATTTTCCAGACCCTGAAAGCATAACTCCATAGTTGGCTGTTGACAGCTGCAACCTGCAAGCCGGACACAGTCTGGTGGTAATTGATATGTTTGAGTTTTAGTCATCCCTTTTGGTAGAAAAGGCATTGATCGAACAGTGTCCACAACCGAAAAGGTCTCGGCATCCCATACCGACGTCAGTGATTTCCGAATCTCTACATTAACCCTTCCCAGACTAAAGACACGATAGTGTCCGCGGACATGAATTCTTTGGTCTCACCTTTCCCTGTTCCTTTAGTGGAGCAGGTGTTGGCTATCGGGATCAAATCAACAGTAGCTTTTTAGCATGAAAGACGTGGAATGAAGATCTCTAGCCTCGGATGTTCAACACTGCCACAGTGTCGACACCCTTTTGGCATATTCGATGCGACGAGGTCGCCAAAGGATTGCACCAACGGTCTTACTTTGACATCAAAAGGAGATGAAGCTCTTGAAAAGCCTGTATTGGCAAAACTTACTGGGGGTTTGAAAATTGGGGCCCGATAGTTCGAGAGTCCGTTTGCTATAGTTCCTGGATGGAATGGCACCGATTTGTTTGTCATTGACTACAGCATTGGTATCCCTGACTTTGTTGCCATTTCGAGAACGCGGCAACCAGAAATCCTCCAGACTATATATTGATGACCTGAAAACTACATCAAGACTTTCTCTCGTTCCATTGGCGCATGATTTCGGTCACGGCAACCGTCAAGCCTTCCATTTCTTCTTCTGCAGTGGTGCCAGCGAAGTTCATGCTACAGCCAACGTAGACGGGCTGTCTCATTCTCCTTGCGAGAATCTTTGCCATTCTCGTAGCGTAGTCTATGCTAGAGCCAGACGTAATCAGGGGAGTGCTGATCGCAGTGCTGTCATGTCTCAACTTTCGCTAGTTAGTCAGGTAGATCAACGTCATACTACAGGCTTACCTCGACGTACATGGGGCATTGCATATACAAAACTTCCCAGTGGCGGCACGGAGGTGTGTGACTGATCGAGATCGGTGGTGGTCAGGTGAATCATGACACAGTTGCCCAAGCAAGACATGTGAGCGTGGAAATTGAGATGTGGATGTTTGGGTAAAGGAAACGACATCTCGATGGGTTGGAACGATGGCCCCTCCATCGTGGCTTGTGTCGACATGCTTGCTAAGGATCTGGAAGCAATCAACGAAGTAGGCTCTGTCGTTGCTTTTCGTCTGGCATGGCCCAGTAATCGAGGATGACGAAAACGATGTATGGTTTTTGGCGGTGTTTCGCGACGATAGTAAACATAGTGAATAGTAATTGTTGTATATTTGCCGTGCTGGCATATTATATTTCGGTGCTTCTTGGCGGCGCAGGCTATGATTTGAATGCTTACTCAATGGCCTTTCCTCTCGTAACAACCATAAGGCAATTTATTCTACATTCAACGGTCTTTACCTTCAAGGACTTCAGGTGTGACTTTAGCAGGAGGGGTCAAAACTTCTATGAAAATCACCGTGGCTACGTTGGGGAAATGTCGTTGAGTGGAATAGTACACCAGCAAATTTCCTCCCAGCTCGCCTGCGATGCTCATCGAATACACATCGCCTTCAAACACAAACCAAACCTCTCTTTTTTAAATCAGAACCATGCCCCTGTAAATGATGAGATTGCACTACAAGGATTAAGCTAGAGTCAGAGGCCGGATCGTGGTGTTGAGTGTAAGCAATGAGAGAGATAGCGCCCGATCGGGACTAGTGCATTGGCATATTGATTTGCCCTCAATTGTACAGAATACAGAAAACTCATCTAAAACTTGACTCATGGGTACGATTGATGAAAAAGCTGGGTGTAATTATGGTTTCCTTCAGTTAAGTCGAGGACGAAACTGATGAACAGTGGTAGGGGTGTCTCCGAGCTAGTGTGCCGAACTCTAAGTATGAAGCTCCACAAATTTAATCGTAGGATATGATGATGTAAATCCAATTTCTCTCCAACAATTCCTCGATGGTCTAGTGGTATGTACTACCGCTCTTCAGATATGACATTCTCTCTAACAATGTACAGGTCATGATTTCCGCTTGTCATACAAGACAACCATCTGGTTGCGTTACAAGCGCGGGAGACCAGGGTTCGATTCCCTGTCGGGGAGACTTCTGTTTTTTTTGGTGATTTCCGGGCGGGTTATTTTGGGTTGTAGTTCCGATCCTCTCGACTAATGCTCATCTATCAATCAGTTTCCGCTTGTCATACATGACAGCCATCTGGTTGCATTACAAGCGCGGTATGTTCTCATGAATCAAATCGCAAGCGACATGAGACTAATAATGTCATAGGGAGACCAGGGTTCGATTCCCTGTCAGGGAGACTTCTTTTTTGTTCACTTTTTTCTTCTGATTTTTTGGTCTTTTTTTGGTTTGTAGGTCCGATCCTCTCGACTACATGCTCGCTTCTACAGAACAGATAGCTACTGTATCGTCAATATAAGTATCTCAGCCCGCTGGTCTCGTGAAATAAACAACACTATATTGTTCTTTGCATTTCTCCGTGAAACCCTTCAATCTTACAATATGTGCAACACTCGGCACTTCGAACCGACGAAATGTGACAACATGGGATCATGTAACGACAACCCTTTTATCTCATGATATCTCTATATAAGTCTACTCAGAATTCGATTCTCTATTCATCTATATTGGCATCACTAGTGATAGAGGTATAGTCGATGTGCAACAAGAGAATATCAATAATCGATCAAATCTGAACTGACCAAATGTGACAACTTGAAATCCTGCAACAACAACAAGCGTTTCATTCCATGATATCTCTATATAGTGCACCTCTGTAACTAGTAATGCTGAAATGGATAGATAGAGAATCGAATTCCGAGTAGACTTATATAGAGATATCATGAGATAAATGGGTTGTTGTTGCAGGATCTCAAGTTGTCCTACGGTCCTACGGTCCTCTTTGCACCTCAAGGTGAATGCCTCTCAAGGGTGGGCATAGAGCGGCATCACCCTAGTTCCAATCTAGAGAGGGGATGCCTGGAGTGATTCTACATCTTCCCTCAAGCAACCTCATAACAAAACATCCCACCAACACTTTTCGCGTGATTATTAATTTGAGCTAGTTGCTATTGTGATGGCATAGCCTGTCTGCTCGAAATGTATTTCTTTCGCATGTGAAGGAAACATGTCTTCCGACGATAACGGCGGCAACGACGGCGATGAAGCTTCACTCTCGAAGCCCTTGTTTGAAGATAACGGACCGTTGAGTGACCCTCTGGAGAGACAGGCCATTTTTGCCACTCTAGATTCATACCGGTAAGTTCAAAAAATGGTGTGTTGATAGGGACCAGCAAATACGGCGAGAACATATGGAGTATGTTACACAGTATTTTCAGTTGCTTTTTGGTCTTTGTTTTTCTCCTTTTTTTTTTAACAAAAAGTCACTTCAAGACGAAAAGCCAAAAAAAGAAGGGCAAAGAATCAGAAGTGGAAAACTACCCAAGATATACTCCGTACGTTGGCTTTGTTTGCTAACCCTCGCTGACCCAGCTTGAATCCAGCCAGTACCGCAAAACCACACACTACAACACCACCCACCGTCGTCGTCAGAACCTCTACGCCTTGCCTTCTTCACAATGGCAGATGTTGTCCGGACCTCCCATTTCCATTCTGGACACCTTGTCCGCCGTCGACGACGCCATAGACCACAACGCCGATCTGGCGGACGCGATCCTGGACCTGGGTCTGACCTCGTTCGGTCTGGATGGACGAGGGCCAGACCAGAAGGACCCGCTGCCGGCCGCCTCGTTGGAATTCCACGGCGCCGCCAGACCCAACGACCTCTCCAAGGCTCATTCTACCATTCGACAATTCTACCGTGACTGGTCCCGCGAAGGTTTCACGTCAGAGGTCAAACCTCTCCTGGACACGATCTTGTCCGATCTTCGAACCCACCTCCCACTTGACCGACATGCCTCGACGGACGACTCGAGCGCGACGACGAGCGCGGGACAATCTCCTCCTGGTGGTTCAGCCACGCCATCTCTCCTCCTCCCGGGAGCCGGCCTGGGTCGTTTGCTGTTCGAACTCTGCCGGGCCGGGTACGACGCCACGGGCAACGAAATTTCTTACCACCAACTCCTGGCCAGCAATTTCATCCTCAATTGTGCCGCCCACGAAGATCAGTACTCCATCTACCCTTTCGCCACGACTTTCACAAACGTCACGTCCCGCAAGAGTCAACAGCTCCGCCGACACACCGTCCCCGACGTCCACCCTGCGACGGCCATGCAAGACCGCATCGACCGGTCATTGCCGGTCGGGGAGATGAACATGACCGCCGGTGACTTCATCCTTTCGTACTCGACCCCCGGGTGCACCGGCACCTTTGACGGCGTGGTCAGTGTCTTTTTCATCGACACCGCCCCGAACCTCATACGTTACATCGAGACGGTCCGTAACTGTCTGGCCCCGAATGGGGTGTGGATCAACCTGGGACCTTTGTTGTGGCACTTTGACGATAGGTTTCATGGTGGTGACAACGACATCAACAACAACGCCGAAAGCAAGGGCGGCGGCGACGGTGATACTGACACTCACACGCATTCTCATTCTCACGACGGTAAAAACCGGCATTCACATTCCCTTCAACAACACAAACATCCCATGGAACTCGAAGACAAAGGTATCGCCGAACCCGGATCTTTCGAACTCTCCGACGAGGAAGTGATCCAACTCGTTTCCCAATTCGGATTCGAGATTATTCACCACGAGATTGTAGGAGACGAAAACGTCAATTCCCCAACGTCAGCATATGGGTCTGGTCTAGGATACGTGCAAGACCCTTCAAGTCTTTTACAGAATCGGTACAGGTGTAGTCACTGGGTGGCGCGCAAGCTCTGAATTTCCTAGGGTGCCTTTGAGGCCACTTATATGCCCTAGTAGACATAAATAGGGAGCAACAGAACTCCAGAACAAACAAATGCACAAGCGACGAATACATTCTGGGCCAGAGAAAAAAATCTCACCCGACAAAGAGTCATATTGGTTGATATTCTACCTGTCTTCGCCCACTGGCAACCACTTTAGACTGCTCGCTACTTGGCACTTTTCTCTCTTCATCCGTTGCAAGTCTCCTGCTCATAAACCCGCTTTTTTTTGTCAAGTATACTTCGGCAAGCCCTTTACATTCGGCGAGACCCCCGAAATTTTCCTCACGTTACCATCCAACCCCCGACTTGCAAACCACTCCTCCGTGTCCTCGTATTATCTTAGGGGCTATGACATCCACATGATTTCATCTCTGTTCGTATCGTGGAGTCGATCCACAAACTGGGAAAAGTCGTGTGCGTCCTGTTCACAACAGGAAGCTTTTGTCGACAAGATTTTGCGCCACCCATAACAACATGCATGCAAAACAACGCGCGACCCATCGCTTCATCAATGTTGCCAGAAGAACAGATCCAAACGGTCGATATCAATAAGTGTCGAGCATCGACACCGGTTCATCTGCATATGTCCATTTGCTCCTGCGGACATAGGCGCACCACGTCATCGGGTATCAAGTAAAAGGATCATCTGAATCGAGCCGTACAACGTCCCATGACTTCTCCTTGACAGACCAGTTCGGCATTGAATTCTGATCCATCTAGTGTGAGATAGATATCGAAATAGACTCGGTAAAATGTTCCTTGAGGTGTGTCCATGCGTTCAAAGTCCTTTTCAAGGTTCTTTCTGGACAAATCCGAGGTGAGTGTAACAACCTCCTTGATACGGGGGTCTTTTGTGTATTCAGGACTGAAGATACTGGTCAGTACGGATTCTTGTTCAACAACTAGATAAGTCACCACTTACCAAACGTCTTCGTCGCATGCGTATAGAATGTCTTCGTACATCAACGTGGCACCTGGTGCAACCTGTCTGAAGAATGATACCTTGACCGGTTCGCCAATCTTGACCCTTTCGCCCTTTTGAACGAAAATCTGTCTTGTATATTTGCATCGATCCTTGCCGTCAAGACTGGGAACACGGTATTGCTCTGGATGATAACCCTCCTTGAAAGGCTGTAGGGTGGCCATCAGGTAATGTCGACGGGCTACACGAGATGTAACCACTCGCTCGGTAATACCTGCCGTAACTGCACCTTTGACGATGGCGGCGACCGAGTCCATGGGGCGGACAACTTTTGACTGGAACTGTGGCGGTACGTGAAGCTTGATTTGCTGGAAAAGGTATTCGGACGCACCGAACCCACCGACGACCAAAACATTCTGCAAGGATCTGTTTTGTGCTTGAATGGCAATGATCTGGTTACGGACCAGCTCAAGGATTCGGTTTACCACTGGTTCGAAGCATTGAAGGATTTCCTCATTAGTGAATGTCATGTAACCTTCTTCGATGCCCGCCTCGGGGAATTCAGCCTCGATACCGACATCGACCGCCCATTTCTGGCCGTTGTTACGGAAATCAGCCTTGATTCGATTTTCGAAATCCATAATGCATTTGGCGTAGACTCTGCCGGCGGTCTTTGACCCATCAGGAAGTTTCATTCTTCGGATCTTGGCTCGCAGGATGTTGGAAAAGTTGCGATTAAGAGCTGTAGATCCACAAGAATCACCGCTACCAGCAGTACATTCGGCGACTGAGAATGGGGTTTCTTCTTCGACTTCGTAGGCGATCAGATCAACAGTACCACCACCACAGTCGACAATCAAGACAGCATCGTGGATCTTGAGGTTGAGGAGACCGGTTTTAGAGCAGAACATGGCAGCTGCTTCGGGTTCGGTGATTAGAGTCAGTCTGTTATCATTCTCATCACGGATAAAACCTGCTTGAATGGCGGCTGCCCTGGTCGCCGCTTTGCCTGCATCGTTCCAAATGGCTGGGACAGTCAAGAAGTATCGGATGTTTCGTTCCTCACGGTTGAACACCTCGCCCAGAGTCTTCCCCAAGTACACTCGCATAGCATTGCGGAGTTTAAAGAGGTAGTCAGCAGCGACGTCGATTTCGGACTTTCCAGGGGGCAACGGTGGTAGGTTAATAGGATCTATATATGTGTTCCCGGAGAGCATTAGTTGCAGCTTGAACCATTCCACCTTTTGGACGCCGGGCTTGGGGTACCCAGTGGGAGCAAGTGCTTCAGCGATATCTGGACCCCAGCCAACAACTTTTTGATACTGATCGTAGTATAGGACTGTAGGGATCTGATGCGACTGTCAGCATATGCTTTGATATAGCCTGGAATATGTTCCGACCAACCTTTTGCTTTGTCTGGTTGCCTGCGCCCGGCCATTCTGAAATTATATCCTCCTTTGCTTCTGTGTTCGTCGCGAAAGCGTATGCCACACCTGAAAAGGTTGTCCCCTGCAATGACAATCAGTATCTGGCGCATAACATGTCTGAGAGAGCCAGCTTACAAAATCGATTCCCACAATGAGCTGAGCCTTGTTGCGGTTCGAAGCCTCGACCTCGGCAGCACGGCCAGGAGCATACTGGTTGGCAGTGTGCTGGATGCCAGGCTGAGGTCCGATGGGAGCATATGCACCTCCATATCCGGGGGGTTGAGGAGGGCCTAGCTGGGGGTTTCCTCCCATGTAATTTTGTCTCGTATCGATGGGAGGAGGGTGCGCCATCTGGTTCTGCGGAGGCGGCAGAGGAGACTGCGGGCGCCCTTGGACGGTCTGGTATGAGTAACTCGGAGGACGACCTGGTGCGCCTTGCTGGTTCATGGGCGGCAGGCTGGTCTGGGAGGAATTGGGAGGGGGAGGAGTGGTGGCGGTGGTGGAGATGGAGCCGTTTGGCGAGGCGACGGAGTTGGTTTGGATGTTGGCACTGCTCTTTCGTTTGGAACCGAAGCCTAAACTCTTCAAGCGAGAGGTCATGACATCGACAAGAATGAGAGAAAGGTCGGATGGAAAGAGCAGTTAGAATTGGCGGGAGAGTAGGAGATGGCAAGCTTTAGCCGGAACCAGAACGAGGGAAGGAGAGGTACGAGGGCGAGGTGAGCGCAGTTTGTGGTTGTGGTGGGTTGTAAGATGCGAGGCGAGGAGGAGGAGCAGCAGCAGCCTGAGGCAGTGGTTACGACCAGGGCCAGTACTGATGCGGCAGCGGGCTTTCTCGTACAAGGGCCGTGCGGGCGAAGCTGACGGTCAGCTTTATGGAGAAGACGTGGCAGTGACAGGGCGACTGGAGACGCTGGAGTCTCAAATAGCAGCCTAGAGAAGTTGGTTGAACGCTTGGGAATTGGTACCTGGAATTTAAGCTGTCGGGCTGTGATCTTCAACTAAGAGGGATTCTGGAATGGAATGTCGATGGCCCCAACTGCCAGTGATTACAGAGTACTGTCCAAGAAGTTGTCGTCTCTCGACAGATGCAGGATGAGAAGATAAAGAAAAGAGATCATTCCGCACGAGTATCAGTTGTTTGCATGATTGAACAAAGGTGCTGAGTGGTGGCCAAGACTTGGATTCTGACGAGTTGCTGCCCCCTCTACGAGTTATCACGGATTTATTACAGAGTTACGAGTTACCATACACAATTTACAGAGTATAAGTACGGATATATCTAAGGAGTCTCTGACGGTCGCTCTACGAGTATTACCCGTGCCCTACTCAATAGTACATGCATAGAGGCGAGCATTGGAACCCCCAAGCACCATCCCACCTCCTCAACCCGTCGGGTATCAAATCTGGTTTTATTACCGTGTCTCGTCCTGTCTTGCGACTAACGCCGCAGATTTGGGCTGACTCTTTTTTGGTCGCCCTTGGGGGCTGAAAGGATGGAACGGACACATTCCACACATTCCCATCCTCTTGACCAAAGCCACGATTCGAACTAGGTACCCAACTTGATTATTCAATCTAGATACTCCCTACTCCGTACAGTACCTATCTAGCAAACAGCGGTGAGAACGGCCTTCGACTTCCCTCCGTGCCTCCAAGCGAAGATCCCATGTCTTGGATTTCCTTACAATTCTCGTATAGCCTGATACCGCTATTTAATCGGGCGCCCACGTCGATTGCTCCCCGCTTGACCTGAGCAGGTTTGGTCTACGACAGCTGGAATGCAGACGAGCCGCGTCCGTGGCCGCATTCAGCAATTCCATCGGACCCTTACGTCGTCTGCATACAAATTGCGTACCAAAGAATGGCATGATGTAAGTAGGGCTGACGGTGGCTTGTCCCGCACGCTCTGCTCGCGTAGTTCCCAAGGACCAATGGTCATCGTGCACACCCTGGCAGTCTCGACCTTTTGAACATTTGTGCAGTCTCAAGGATTCTCATTCCGCCACTGTGTGATTTCCTGCGTTTCAGCCTTTTGTTCTGGAACATACCACGCTGGCCTCACGAACGTGGCCACAAGTATTGTACAGTATTCCTACAGAGTACATGCTAAGGTGGCCCACCAACCAGCCTGGATATGCCTACAATCTTGTACTTGCACTTTTCATCTTGAGCATGTTCACCGTGTGGTGTTTTGGCCCCCTCTTTTGTAAACATGATCACATCTTCCAAGTTCGTTCAAATGATTCAAATTTACGCTAACAAAATATCATCTAGAGTTCATCTTTGACACTCTTTGGCGTCCCTGTCGACGAGGCTCCAGCCGCCGATGACGAGCTGCCAGCTGTCTTGCTCACACTCTCGCCCGAAGACTTGCTCTTCTTGGTTTTCGTCTTTCCCTTCTTATTGCCTTTGGGCTTCCGTGGAATGTCTTGGAATTTGACAGCTTTCATGATGACCTCCGAGACCGCCTTCTGGAGCTCTTGTCTGCGTGTCTCCAACTCAGACACCAAGATAGCTGGATCATCTGACGGACCTAACTTATCTTGAAGTTTCGTCTTCTCATCTAGCCATGCCTTGACCGTATCATACTTTGTTGTCAGTGACGACAAATCTTCCTTCGTGTATTCGTAAGGTTTTATTACGGGAGGCTCTTCTGTTTCGGCCGCTGCGGCCGCTGAAGACGTGCTGTAGGGGTCATCTTCGAGATCATCACCCTCTCCCGCTTGTGTTGAAGAGCTGGTAGTGGCGCTAGAGGCAATGGATGATGCTGTCGCGCTCGCACTTGATGCTGACTCTTCCATCGCTTTTTGAATATTACCTTCGACCATCTTGATCATACCGCTCATGTTATCTAAGCCGTCTTCCAAGGCTTTGATAGCGTCGGGCCGCTTCAGCGCTTCATCTTGACGCTTCAGAACAGGGTCAACCAGGTTGTGAAGCTGCTTCAACCTATCCTTGAAGTCTTGGACTTTGGCGTCTGCACCATCACCGTAAAGCCAGTCGGAGATAGTGGCGAGCTGTTTTTCCAGTGCTTTCCGTGTCGACACGCTCGACGCCTGAATGAAGGACTCATCCTCCAGGTAATCACGGGCCCTATAGGTGAAGGCCTCGAGTGTGTTCAACGCTTCGGCACGAAGAATCGCATTTCGATCCGAGGTGTCAAATTGTGTCAATCTCTGTCGTGACTTGGCCAAGGCCTGTGTTGGTGGGGCATTACGACCTACCATGGTCGATCTCAGGGCGAGAGGAATCGAAATTACAGACGGCGTGGACTTTGCTGATTTGGTAGTCGATGCTGACGATGAACCTGCGATTGTGGGCGAGGCTTCGGACACGGTCGTTCCTGAGCTCGTCGGGTCTGAAACTGGCAATGGAGTGACTTTGGTGGAGCTCTCGTCACTTTCGGTATCATCCTCGAGCACCTTTTGCTCGTCATCTTTCTTTGATCCGAACCCGAAAAGTCCCTTGACGTTGTCCATCACTGTCCCCGACTTGCTGTTATTAGCCTCGCAGCTGACCAGTCCAGATAGCACCTCGGGCAGTCCATCGAGGGGACTAAGTCGAACGGTGAAGGCTGTGGTGATGTTTGTGGCGCCACAGTCATGCTTGTCTTTTAATGTTGCCACGGACTTGGTCAGGTTGGTTGCTTCGACATCAAGAATTGGAATATCCTTGCCCTGGGCTGTTTGGATGAAACTCAACTTGATGTCTTCGAGTGCCTTGAGTGGAACCTGCTTCTCGGCACCAATCTGGGATGAAGGCATGAAAAGCTTTTGGGATCTTTCCTTTTCGTCGGAAGGCCACTTCAGTGTGACTGTGCTCCCTGCAATATCGGTATCCCGAATGTCCTTGACTCTGAAACTCGAGCTTAAGGAGGCTGCTTTGAAGCCTGCGCCCATGACTGCTGCCTCATCAGCATTGACATTTGCCTTTAGCTTGCCAGATCCACCAGCCACTTTCTCAAGCTGCTTTTGGACGAAGGGCGTTCTAACGGCGCCGCCATGTAAAATGACTGAGTCGACTTCGTCAAGCGTAAGACCTGCTGATTCCAGCGCCACCCCGAGCGGAGAGGCGACTCGAGCTGCGTGACTTGTGGTGAGTTCTTCAAATTGCTCTCTAGTCAGACTATACTTGAAATTAATGTCGTCGTCGTAGAGCCCTTCGAAAGTCGCCGAGGACGCTGCGTTAGCGCTTAAGAGCTGTCGCATCCGTTCCGCGTCCTTCCAGATCCTAGCCATTGTCTTTCCATGTTTGCGCACTTGGTCTTCTTTGAGGTTCAACTTCTGAGCCTTGGGACTTGCCAAGAACCGACTGACAATGTCTTCGACGATAAGATCATTCATAGAGTCTCCACCAAGCGTTGTATCATACCCAGTTCCTAACACAATCACTTCTTGGAAAGTTTGGTTGCGCTTCATTGGCCCCTTGACGGTCCTGGACTGAAACTTGAGAACTGTTGCTGTGGTTGAACCTGCACCCATGTCGTATACAAGGTGGTGTTCTGGTTTTCCTCCATCGGAGGCACTTTCAAAGGTGCGATGGGTTGCGTAGTTCAAACCAACAGCAAGCCCGTCGCTGATCAAACCCAGTACTCTCAGTCCTGCGAGATCGGCTGCCAATTCTATAGCTCGCTTCTCCTCCGCGGTGTAGAACGCAGGGTACGTGATGACTACATCGGTAACATGGGTGCCTTTAGGAACCATTGCTTCTGCATTACTTCGAACATTTTTCAACTCCATCGCGAGCAGTTCCTCAACCATGAAGACCTCATTTCTCTTGCCAAAGCTATGGCTCTTGAATCCCACAGTGCCAGCATCTCCAGATCTTGATATTGTCTCGATGTCCAATCCAGGATATCTCGCGGAATAAGCCTTGACTGCGTCCGATGAAGTTTCAACGCCCAGCAAAGTCTTCAGATTAGGGTAGACATCGGTGGGAAACCTAGCAGACAGTGCCACGGCATCTCCGCCGTATAGCCTCTCCGGAAAGACATCCTTGTCATTTAATTGTCCTCGTATTGGCTTGAATGCAAGTGTAGCTGCTTCCCTTCTTTTCGAGTCTTTCGACAGAACGATCTCGATCGGACTGCCAGGTTTTGCAATCGCCGCCTTGAGATACTCGGTGCCTAAGTCTATACCGAGAACGGCGGAAGCGGCGTGAGCGCTGCTGGAAAGGAGGAGTAGGAGTAGTAGAGGGAAAAGAGCGGTCAGGTAAGACTTCCGCCGCCCTGGGGGAGCCATTTTGTGTGAAGATACTTGTTTTGTAGACTCGATACTTCTCTGGAGGGCGAGAGATTTACTTGACCTGCAAGGGCATCTCTGATAAAAAGCGGAATACAGAGAATGAGGCGAAAAGTGTTCTGAACTCCGTCAGACTGGTATAGATGGCCACATCAAATAACTTCTGTGCTTCTCAGGATTCTTGACAACTTGTCCAGTCGACGCGAGTCAGGGGATTATATCACCTGAAAGGATTTGAGTCCAATCTCGAGTCATGACATCTGCGAAAATTTATACGTCTGACAAGGGTTTTCCTTATGGTATAGAGTGTAAATGTTGCTAAAAGAAAGCTGACAGACAGTAACCTGAAACCGTCAGGATATATCAACCCCTTCTGTATATCAGAGCCATTTTTATGCATAGAGTCTTGGATTCGCAAATAATTAGGTAATGAAGGAATAGTTTGATTCACATTACGAATTTTCCTCCTGCTGGACACAAGCGATTACTATTCTATGTGTTCTAGCAGTCCACTCTGGACAAACTCGGAGAATATATTGACGAGCGACCCGACTTGTTTCTCAGGTCAAGCTCCTAACGCCTGCAGTGACTTGACGGTGTCTACAACTGTCTCCTCCAGGCTTCGGTAAGTTATCCCTAGTATCTTCTTGGCTTTGCTGTTGTCGATGCCATATGGTGGCATGTCTGCGACAAGGTCGTCGCGAACATTCTTTGCCAGTTCTGGGAAAGATCGTTTGATGATATCACCCATTTCTTTCTCCGAGCCCATTCCTGCAGCCATGAATATCCGCTGCCCTGAAGCTTCGGGCTTCTCGATCGAGAGTACATGTGCCAAAGCGAGGTCGCGAACGTCGACGTAAATCGGGGAACCAACTGGCCCGTCCCGTGGTTTACCCAACAATAGGTCCAAAATCCGTATGCTTGAAGTATTCAGCGCATCTAGGGAGGCCACCTCGTGAATCACAGGCCCGTATATCATCGGTGGGTTCAGCACGGTTAGGCCGAAATGTGGCTTTTGTATCTTAACAAACTCCCAGGCAGCCTGTTCAGCGAACGTTTTGCTTGCTCGATAAGCCGCTTGCGGATTCTTCGTCGTGAGCGCTTCTTCCATAGTCATGTCGTTCCAGATCTCCTCGCTATACACCTTTGGCGGCGCTTTCGGGTTCGAAATGGCTGCAAATGACGACGTGATCACCACATGCCGGACCGACGGAGCGAACTTCACAATGGCTTTGAGAATCCCAGTAGTACCATTCACCGCCGGATCTATCATGTCTCTTTTGTTGTCCTGCACATTGTAGTGAAATGGTGAAGCGGTATGTATGACAGCATCGAAGGGAGGATCTGACTTGACAGCCTCGTCGAATGCGCCTTCAGCGGCGATATCCTGGACGACGGTATAGGTGACGGGGTTTCCTTTGAACAAGTCTAGAAGATATCGGCCCTTCTCGTCAGACCGTACAGTTGTGACCACCTTGTGCCTGTAGTCATTTAGTGGTCTGACAGTCAAGTATTTCGACTTTCACTTACCCATGCTCAAGGAGTTTCTGAAGCACATGGGTCGCGACAAACCCGCTTCCTCCTGTCAATAAGACCTTCAGCGTCATGTTTGCCTTATTCCAGAGAGTATATCAGGATGTAGATTTCGGTTGACAACTGTGAGTGAGAGCAATGAAGCCACCCTGGGATGGTGCTTGAAGGATGAATGGGATATTTAAAGAAAATCCACCTAGTTGACCTACTATATTGTTGTGAATCTACCTCGTTAATGCTTACCTGAAAAGGCACCGAATTTTTCCCTATCTCCTATGAGGTTTGTAATGTAAACGGATATACAAAGCTTTTTTATCTAAAGTCCTTGAACCTCATTAACCTCCGAATCCTCCTTCGGGGAAAGCCAAACCCAAAAATCGCCGTGGCCACCGAGGCAAAAGGCATCGACAGCTGACTAAGCAGATAATGCCTGCCGCTCAGAGATTCCGGAGCTGGAGCCAATCGCCGCGCTCCATTATCGGACTCTACGACTAAAGCGGCGCATCATGTCTCGCGGCAAAACAAAAGTGCCAGATATCATCACCACATTACCCATCCAGCATCGGCAACAGTCCTTGCCTGCCGCATGTGATCGTTCGGGGCGCCATAGTAGGCCCTACGGATCCTGAATGTGCCATGCGCATAGGCCAGCAGAATGTGACGCCTCTAGCTGCATCGTTGTACTCAGCATCGAGAACCTGGCACCTAACACAATGGCTGAACTTTGTTTCGCTGGTGATTCTCGTCATCAGTCTCACATCCGTCGTGAGAGTCGAGGCACAGACGCCAGGCCAGATCAAAGCGTTGAAGAAGGAGGTTGAAGATCTATTTTATCATGGATACGAAAATTATATGGCCCATGCATTCCCTGAGGACGAACTGCGACCTATATCCTGCAGACCCCTGACACGCGACCGTGAGAATCCGGCTCACATCGAAGTCAACGACCCTTTAGGAAACTACTCCTTGACTCTGATAGATAGCCTGTCGACACTTGCTATCCTAGCATCTAGTCCTACCACCCCGAAACATAACAAAGCCCTACACTTGTTCCAGGACGGTGTCCGCAGTCTGGTCGAGCAATACGGCGATGGCACAGATGAGGAGTCCGGCCAAGGTCTAAGAGCTCGAGGATTTGACTTGGATAGCAAGGTCCAAGTCTTTGAGACTGCGATACGAGGGCTGGGTGGCCTGCTAAGTGCCCACTTATTCGCCACGGGAGACTTGCCTATACGTGGATACTCTCCTGTAAACCAGAAGAATGTCTTTGCGAAAACATCACGGAAGAGTTTCACAAGCAATCATACTAATGTCATACTGTGGAAGAATGGCTTCAAATATGATGGGCAACTTCTGAGACTGGCGTACGACCTGGGAAACCGTTTAATCCCTGCATTTTGGTCGTCGACCGGAATACCATATCCTCGGGTCAATCTCCGCACAGGCATTCCATTCTATACCAATTCCCCTTTGAATGCCGACACAGGACGTGGTCAGTGTGACGCTCGTCAGACTGCTCCAGAGATCACCGAAACATGTAGTGCTGGTGCTGGAAGTCTGGTCCTCGAATTCACTGTGCTGAGTCGTCTGACCGGAGACAGCCGCTTTGAAGAGCTTGCTAAGCGAGCATTCTGGGCCATTTGGAATCGACGCAGTGATCTTGACTTGATTGGGAGCGGTATTGATGCTGAAACGGGAAACTGGATAGGTACCTGGACCGGCATTGGTGCCGGCATCGACAGCTTCTTTGAGTATGCCTACAAATCCCACGTGCTGCTTTCTAGAGATGCACACCCCGCTTATGCGACACCCACGGATGCGGAAGACCCTCGTGTACTTTTTGATCCTCTACCGCTGGAAGAGGACACCTCTCAAGCCTTTCTCGCAGCCTGGAACGCTGCTCAGGCTGCAATTCGAAGGCACCTCTATAGAGGCCCTAACTTCCAGCACCCCCACTATATTCAAGCTGACTTGATCACGGGTGCTGCTAGAGGGTTTTGGGTCGACGCACTGAGCGCGTTCTACCCTGGCTTGCTGGCACTGGCAGGCCATGTTGAAGAGGCCGTCGAAACACATCTTCTTCAGACTGCACTCTGGGACAGATTCTCTGCTCTTCCAGAGCGTTGGAGTTTAGTTACTGGAGGTATCGAGGGCGGATTGGGCTGGTGGGTCGGCCGACCAGAATTTATCGAGTCAACATACTACCTATACCGTGCCACTGAAGATCCATGGTACTTCCATGTCGGAGAAATGGTCCTTCGGGACATCAAGCGTCGTTGCTGGACCAAATGCGGCTGGGCCAGCATTCAAAATGTCTTGACGGGTGAACAGACGGATAGAATGGAGAGCTTCTTTTTGGGCGAAACCGCCAAGTATCTGTTTCTCCTTTTCGACCCTTCACATCCTCTCAACCACCTGGATGAGCCGTTCGTGTTCACTACAGAGGGTCATCCATTGCTGATTCCTCGCAGTGTGGACAATGGCCATCATCAAGGGAAGCTTTGGAACCCTGTTCCCCAAGAAGAGGCTTTCTGTCCCGTTAGTCCACCACCACTGCCCTTCAGTATCTCAAATATCGCTGCCAGGGGAGACGTTTACCATGCCGCCAACCTTGCCAGATTGCATTTGATGCCGACAAGGGATAACGTGGAGTCCGTACTTGGAGAATACGCTGCTGATCATCCTAGCATCACACTCTCAGACATCAGTTCCCCCTCCAACTACACATACTACCCGTGGACACTGCCAATGGAGTTGATCCCCTTCAACGCCATCAGTTCTCTCATCCCGACAAAACCCACGCTCGATATATCATTTCCCGCAGCCACACATCTAGGTCAACCGGCACCGCCACTCCAGCGCGTCAGGGAAGGCCTCCTGATCAATTCCCTCGGCGGACTCCGTCTCGGAATGGTTCAAGATGTCCCCATCCTGCTAGATACAGGCATATTTGATGATGCCTTTCGCATTCAAACAATCAACAATATCCCTCTAGGTAAAGACGAGAAAGTGTTTCTAGCCCGAGACTCGGGCAAGGAAAGTTTGAGCAACACAGACCCAAACTTTACACGCATTCGAGATCCAATTATGCTGGACATTGTAATCGACCTCTCCGGTCCCATCGAGCCGCCTGAAGACGAAGTCCAGTCCAATATCACCGACGAAGCGTTGCTCCTCAGTCTTGACGACCTGGGAGGGGGCTCTGCGGATTCTGACAGTGCGATGCGGGCAGCCTGGAACGCCATCGTCTCGCAAATCTCGAACCTCCTCAAAGATCACCCTCATCAGCAATCGTGGCCGTTTACCACTCCGCTTTCAGTCCACTCCACTTTGTCATCGTCTTCGTCGTCACAGCAGCAACAAGCGGCGTCTTCTTCTGACAGCAAGCCACGCTATCACGTCGCGGCAGTCACGCCCACCGGTCCCGGTGCGGCTTTGTTACCAGAGTGGCCTGAAGTCATGAGCATGACCAACGTGGGTTCGCAACCGCCTCCTCTGTCGTGGACCACGATCTACGCGACCGACGACCTCTGCGACCATAAACTCCCGGCCCACGTCGTCAAGACACACCAGGTCCTCGTGGTGAAACGCGGAGGATGCAACTTTAGTACGAAACTCGCCAACATTCCTACTTTTACCCCATCCTCGCAGTCTCTCCAACTTGTCGTTGTCGTGTCATACGGTAGTGATCGGATTTCTGACGACGAAAACGACGTGGTTGGTGGTGGTGGTGGTGGTGGTACTGGCGATTTCAACCATGAAGAGAACTTGATCAGACCTCACCTCGACCAGCCGCAACGCACACCGGCTGGGTTGTTGCGGCATAATCCCATACACATGGTCATGGTCGGTGGTGGGAAGAACGTATATGACGCTTTGGCTTTGAAGACGGTGGCCGTTGGTGTCAAGAGACGCTATCATGTGGAGACAAAGGGTGTTAGGATTGCGAATTTGATCATCGTGTAGTTTAAGCAAGAGGTCCATGACGGGCAAACATTTGTATCAGTCGACAGCGATATCGATTCGAATATCTGGCAGCTATTATCAATTTATCAACAAGAGACCATATTGATGGAAAGATGTACATGTACTTTTTTGAAGCAGAGCAGAGTAAAGAAACCGCCTTCAATTTGAAAAATCTATCATGATCTGAATCGACTGACCACCTAACCCAAACACGCACGACCAGCGTTGTAGTTCTCGCCCTCACATCTCGCAGTCACACTCCCAAGAAGCTCAGGTGACATGACAATAGTACGAACCAAGGAAAGAAAAAGTCGGAGAAAATACTACCACCTTCCCCTCCAACTCTTCTCCCACAATCTCTCATCGTCCTCTGCGCGTTCCAAAGCACGCCTCCACTCCCTCTCCATGCGTCTGGCCAGTTCACTTGGTGTTTCGTCCTCGGGTCCACTCGGGACGGGACTCTCGCACCCTCTCAGGCCGATGAACCTCCCGAACCGACGTCTCTTGGTTTCGAGATCCAGCCCGTCGTCGCTCGCATCTTCACCGTCACCCTCTGCGGCTGCGTTATCCAAGACGACATTGTTGTCGTGACTTGACGCTTCGTCCAGAGACGTCCACGCGGGGATCCAAGCAGGATACATGAACGTCTCGTCCACGGCGGGTGTGACCTGGTGGTACCATCTCGCCAGACTGTCCAGCTGGGAGTGCGTGAGGAGGTGGTACTGCAGGAGGGTGGTGGGAAAGGCGGGGTGTGCAAGACCCGTCGACACCGAGATCAAGGGAACAAGTGGTGCTCGGAGGTGCTCGACACTCTGCATGTATTGGATTCTCGCGCGGAGGGAGTCGGGTGACAGTGTGTCTTCTGACACGATGACATGGTACCGTGGCGGTGGTTTAGGCAGGACGAGGGAGGACAACTGCGGACGTGTCGGGCGTTGGCGTTTGCGGATCGGTGAGCGTGAAGACACTGAAGAGGAGAGGTTTTGTGGCCTATTGCTGCCGACGACCTTGCTGCTTAAGCTGCGGCTCCTGCGGGTGTGAGTGTGAGTGTGACTGTAGGATGAGCGTGGTGATGGCGTCAGAGATGGTGACGAGGACGCTGGCGACCAGTCCATCTCTTCGCTGCCGTGGAACAGGGCTGTCGCGGGCGACTGGTCTTCTTCGTCCTTTGTAGTCGCGGGATTGTAAAAGCTCGTGTTGACGCGCAGAGGGAGAGTCAGGACACGATCAATGCTCGGCGGATTATGTTGGGAGAGACGACTTTGGCGACCATCGGTGTAAGGGATGGGTGAAATGGGTTGTTTTCGAAAGTATGCTCTCTCTGGCGTGCTCACGAAGAATGAAGCCTGCTGAGGAGATGCGACTGGTGTGGTGAGGCTGTTGCGGCGGCATACAGAGTGGTTTGCAGGGGCCCACGTCGGGCTTGTCATGGCGAAATCGCTCTTAACAGAATCGATATGTGAAGATGGAGAGAATAGTGTCATCACTGGCGATAATGCAGCTGATCCGGGCTCGACTGCGGCCGAACGAGGCGAGCAAGGTGATGGTAGAGGCATAGTTGGCGATGTGGGAGTTGTGGGCATCATGGCTGTTTTCTCTTTCTGCTCTCGCTCGCTTGCTTGCTTGATGGTCAGGAAGGAACTTTCGCTACACAGTATAATAGTCAAAAGCCAAGTTGAGTTTTGCTAGCAAACAATATATGGTTTGCTGATGCGAAAAGGATATCTTCATAAAGCCTTGGGAGTGACAATGTCCGGGGCGACGACGATGTTAAGAATGCGCCTGTAAGCTGAGCCTGGATCTGAATAGGGGTGTGAAGACAAAGCATCTCCCATTTCAAGAATAGGATCATGATTCGGATATCCTTTGACCATGGTGAGAGCAGGTGTGAGATTCGTCTTTGTTTCTAATTCGGACGGTCAGTGGTGAGTTCTTTGTTTGACGCCGGTGGCCGGACACATTCAAATAGTGGAGGAGGTTCACGTTGATCGTATTAGAATGCAACTGAGTCTGGCTTGTAAGCTCGGCTCAATGATGATGTCTTGTCGCCTAGTGCCTGGTGGTTGCAAAATGAGGATCAAAACAAATTGAGGCGTTGATGTGGACGTCAAGTATCTTGAAACGATGTGACACAGGAAGGATTGACGAATTTCGCGGGTGGTTGTGCCGGTCTTTGTTTGCGGCTGCATTCCTCAATGGAATACGGAGAACCGTGCGCCTTGATCGTCGCGAACCATTGTTCCGGATTGTATGGAACACAGTACACATCTGAGAAGAGAAAGGCCTTGAATATTGAGACCATGCTCTCCCAAGAGTCGATTCTCATCTCAGCAATTTTGGCCGAGAGCCGACTTTCGAAGAATACCATAGGAGTACGTAAACTCTGGCACCGCGATTCTGCCAATGTACCAACGTAGTACATCCATAGCAACGATCCGTCAGAATTTGGTACTGCAGACAGCGCTTTGGAGTTGAACAGGAGACACTGCTCAACAATGAACAGCCCATCCGCAAGACGCTGTTGTATTATAGTGGCAGAGTCGTAAAGGGGCATCCCGGAAACCTGAGGATTGTTCACTGGTGCACGGATAGTGTAGAGGGTCGCGAGACAGATACAGGCCTGGAGTTGTGAAGCTGCTGTGCGTTGGGAATCTCCAGCTGCCTCTTTCACCAGACGGAGGTATCGGTTCATCAGCTGGCCCTGAAAGGTTTCGGAGCGTGACAAAAACCAAAACCAATCTGTGGGAGAAGCGGAAGTCTTCCTCCTGGTGGCCATCAAGGAATAGATCAAGAAGAATGGCCGCATATCCTTGACCGTTTGCCGTAGCTTGGGGTCGGTAATCGATGGATCAGGCTCGCCAAGGTCTTCCTCGGCCTCCTTTGGCAGGGTCAGGGGTACCCTTTTCCATACGGCTGCGAAAGCCGCGGGGACGAGCTCTTCGTAGTCAAAAATGGGCCACTCCATAGACGAAGTAGACCGAAAATTGTCATGGTAGATGGACACCGAAAGGAAAGCCAAATCCAATGTCCCTGCCTGGCATTGTCTTTCAAGGCTGCTACGAAGCATCCTTCCGTGGAGTAGCGCAGCTGTAGAATTCCGTCCTAATATTTCAGCACGGAACAGGCGAAAAATGAGACCTTGAGTGTTGGTGTCGATGCATGAACCTAGCGCATCCATAACAACCAGCTGATGTCGAAGAAGTTCGACAGCTTTGGTCTTGAGGACTAAAGCTCTCTTTGCTGCATTGGCATCATTGGAAATGATTGTGAGAGCCGTAGCATAGTAGGACATCAAGCCAAAGGCTGCGCAGCGGTCGGAAAGATCTTTGATTCCGGCATGCCAGTTGCGTGCGGCGGGAGACGATGGAGCCCAACCACGATTGCCGGTCTGGTAGAGTGCAGGGATGAGATATGTCTTCCCAAAGTCCATGAAGCGGTTCGCCCATGGGTCAATGACAACAGCCAGAGAGTCGAAAGGGTCTGAGTTCCCCTTGCCCAACACTGTCCTAGGCGACTGCATTCTGCATGCTCTTGACTGGCCCAAATATACCTGTCCTGAGCGTTCATCGTCCTCGACATTTTCGACATGGTGAAAGTCTGCTTGAGCGCCGAGCCTGTGGTAGTCGAGCTTGTCTTCTGGCGGGGAAGACTGTGAGTAATCGCGAAACAAATGTCTCTTCTGTGGGAGCCAATCCTGCTGCTGTTTCGTCAATGGTGATCACTAATTGATTTATACGATTCACTGACTGGAGGGTCTGTCAACGCCTCCTGGACTTTCTTTCGACGTCGTCTCTGATGACTTATCTTCGCGATATGCGAGTTTATGGCTGACTTTGCTTGCCCAGATACGCCTTCGTCGCTCCGCCCGCTTTGTACAATAATGACCAGACGGCCAGACGAGGTCTCCTCCATTATTCTCGATGTCTGGGAAAGCTCAGTGTATCTTCGAGCGCAGCTGACCCTCTTTGTACCCAGACATCTCGAGCGGGTATCCCCAAGAGACGGCAACTATCCGTCTCTGAGCCATGCTGTGGTCAAAGAGTGTCCGTTATACTTCGAGGAGAAGTTTTGGTCTTGCCGTTTCGCTTGGCGACAGCAACTACCGAAAATGGAAATAGGCTCAGAGGACGTACTGTATATGGGGTTCTCCTAAGACTGGGTAAACGCCGGTCAATTCAAGTTTGATAAGTTCATTGACTTCGATAGCTTTGGATGATATCCGACTAACGGTGGTGATAGCTCGTACAACGGGATCCTGCGGCTGAGGTGTCCTAGCCCGTGCCATCTTTTAGGCGTTGCGAGATACACGAACGATGCACGCTTATTAATGGTGCATCTCAAGCCGCAGGTAGCGCAGGGTGGCTCATTCCACACGTCTTTGTTGAGTTCACGCCAGCTCTCCCTTCATATTGTTGCGAATTTGCTGCACCTCATCCTTGGTGAATCCTAGCTCGTACGTTGCATATGTCTCTGCCCAGTCCACGCCGTTTTCTCCATGATAAACCTTTCTTGCATCTTGGAGGAATCTTTCCATATACTCGGGCCTGCTATTGTTGAACTGCACAACTCCGGGAGTTTCTTCTGTCCACTCCGGCTTCCACTGCTTCACGAGAGCATTGAGGAAGATTTTCTGAGGCTCAACACCGATTCGAGAGAGCGCATAATCAAAGGCGACCTGCTCGTCTGGCGCTCCCGCCAGTGAGAGGAGTAAGGCAGCCAGCACGCCAGTGCGGTCCCTCCCTGCCGTGCAGTTGAAGAGAATTGGTACTTTTGGGTTCTTCAAAAGATGGTCCAGGACCTTTTGGAAGGGCTGTTTGTAGAGAGTTAGAATTTGCCGGTATTCTTTGCTCCAGCCGCGACAGCCGCCCTCCCAAGGATTCGTGTCGTTTTCAAGCTTGACGAAATCTGATATGTCCAAATTGGCCGCCGATGACGAGTCAGAGGGCATCCAGACTATCTGAACGTTCTCAATGCTGAGAAAGGGAAATGCGTTACGCTCCCCGGCGGATCGCAAGTCAAATATGATCTGGACGCCTAGAACACCTGTGAGAATGCCTTTTCCTTCATCGTCCAAGTCAGTGAGTGAGCCAGATCGGTAGATCAAGCCCGGCTGAAGGTAAGGCTTGATACTAAGGTCTCTGGTATTGAATGCGCCTTTCAACGTCACAAAAGGGGGTTGAGATAGGGCATATTCAAGGATCGGATTTGGTATGTCTTCACTGACTGGAGAGTTGATGAGAGGTGAGAATATCTGCTTGTCTTCGTCCATGTTGTGGGCGTGTATCGAAGTTTCACCTACAAGGTTTCACCCATGCGCTCACCCATTTATACCCGAATAACGTGTTGCGTAATCGTCGTATCTGAATCGTGATGGTCTTCGAGAAGCGACTCGTTCTAATTCTAGGCAGAAACGAAAACAAGTGAATTGGGTCCCACGAGGCCAGAATCCTTCGGATCCATACAAGTGTTCTGTGAGCGGTAGTCAGGTAGACACAATCATGCCTAGTTTTTTCGGATAGGGAGACATATTGTATCCATAGTGAAATTGGTGTCGGTCTGCAGGATCGAGATTTGTGAATCACAATCGCAGCCTCGTCCATTGGCTTGACGAGGCTGCACATCCGCTCGCTATTGCTATTCTCGCTGCGTTGTGGCGTGTAATGATATTTATTCAGAAGGTCAGCGCCATCGTCTACAGCGAACTGCAATCCTTTGGCCGAAAACGAATCTACGATACTTGTCACACGAATTCCTCCCTGATTTACTAGTGATCGCCTGCGCTGCGACTGCGACCTCCACCGCTGAGCCTCAGAATCATACTTGGGAGTCAAACTTCAACTGTTTTGCATCCTGAAAGTGGAAATCTGACGCTCCTTGCATCGGGATCCTGACAAATGCAACGCTTCCAATCCATAAAGTGGCGCGATTCAATTCACAGCTCGTCATCGGGCAAGACATGAACGTCACAGCAATCATTCGCCAGCTCATCGACTTGCCCTCCAGCACTAACCTTCGCAAACAATTGCCTTGCTGCTGACAGATCGGTTCAAGGCGACAGTTTCAATGAGGAATTCTTGCCGGCCCCTTTGTCTACATTGGCGTCAACCTGTCAGGGATTCCCTATGCAAATTCGGCAAACGGCACGTTACCCTGGCGCAACCGAGTCAAGTCCAAAACAAAGGTCATATACCTCAGACCGGAGGGGCGTCTCAAAATGGGATAGAGCATCATGATAGCTCTAATGACCCCTTGGGTGTGTATGGGTGATCACGATCGGCAAGACCGAAGTAATGTGCATGGTGTACTACTAAAAGGAGCATAGTCAGAAGTACCTGGCAGGTCCACGTTTGGTCTGCCACAGGGTCGAACACATCTTCTGAGTTTGAAAGTCCATGATGCAATACGTCGCCCTTTGAGCTTTATGTTAGTATACACTGGAGCGGGACAAGTACTACGCTACATGACATCGGACCGATGGTACTATACGAGTATACTGACCGAAAGGAGGTCGGAACTGATCCTCCTTTCCTGCCACACCACTGCCATTCGTGTAATTAACAACAGGTATCGAGCGGCCGGCTATGGCGGCGCTACCCCAGAGACCAAGTCTGGGGTTGATGGCATCATCGACAATCATATCCTTTGCACCTATGACATCTCTTCTTTTTGGCAGAGTCATAGTGATCCCTTCACGGTCAGCGAAAGCGAGGAGAGAGATTCAATGACAGCGGTCGGACACCGCATACCTGACGACAACTGCGTATCCTCAACCGATCCAGTAGTTCATGTCATGGGTTGTCTTTGTGTGCAATCGCTTTCCCCACCCGTGTCGCCACGAGTGTGAGAGCCCGGACCCTGTTTCCCATGTCTAGACATACTCTTTTGCGACTTTGAGGAACAAAACTATTCCCTGATGCAACGACATGGGCATTCGATCTGGCGAGGAATACTGTGTTGCCTCAGCCGAGAGACTTGGACCATCCCGGCCCTGCATGCGTCTGTTGATGGCATTTGCTGCGGCTGAAGGAAAGTCGCATGAAACATTGTCCCGTCGAGGCAGGATGTCAAATGGCCAGCCCCTGGTAGCCTCTTTCGTAGTACCCGCACTAGCAATCTGGAACAATTCTAGCGAGCAATATCCACTCAATCAGAAGCCAAGGACCATCAGATCTAAGCACCGAGATCGTCATGCTTGAGGATGATTGGCAACTTGAGCCAAGACGAATTAGCCTTGGGCAAGGATTGTCGAAGCTCAGGATGCTTGCGACCAGACGCCTCCTCGTCATGCTTTTGCAGCTTTTACACCTTCAACACCCCCGCCCAACAGTGATGTTGATCCGGAGAAAGAGGCATGATCCCCTTCTTAGCCATCTCTTCTTACTTAGCGGAGGCAAGGCTTCCTGCCAACGACATGCAATGATTTTTTGACTGGAGCCCGGTCCCCGTCCTTGGTGCGATGGCGATGCCGTCACACTGGTCATCGTGTCCACAAGGATCAAATGCGGGTGACCATTGACGCACGAATCTGATACTGACAACGGGAGGCCCTCGTCCCTGTCCAGTGGAGATTTCGAGTGGCATTTCCTCTTTAATCACTCGGTGAGTTGGAATCTTTAACTGCCCAGATGGGTTTCGGAGTCACTTCGAATGAAAGAGACCATATTGCGCGCCAGAAGTTGCCCACTCACAGGTGATAGTCGATCTCACTGCAAGGCCGCTTCTCGAGCGCATTTCTTTGACCGATGATAAAGTGATCATTCTCGCTTCTGACTCTACTCTGCTTTCTTTTCTTCTATTCACCACTAAGTGTCTAGCGATCGCTATCAGCTGACTAACCTCATCATGGCGACTAACGAGATTAATCACCAGCAGAACAACATGTAAGTCTCACACAGAAACATGCAAATCCTTTCTGACCTGATTGAATAGTAGCGACGATGAGAAATACGTGGGTGAGAAGCATGGGCCGGCTCATGTTGACGTAGCGAACAACAGTGCGGCCAAGTATGTTCACCAAATCGTCCCTGAGAAGACTTTACTGACTTTGCCAGAATACGTAACCCTCTTGCACATCTGTCCAGCGAAGAAGTCATCAAGGATGTTCAAGAGTTTGCCCGAACCAATGGCTTTCCCGAAATGACCGATTTGCTCGTCAAAGGCGCTCTCGTTGCTAAAGATCCTCCAGCATTTGAGACTGTTCCTGGCCTCACGGAAGGGGAACAGGAAGCCATCCGAAATGAGGTTTTGCACAAGTGGCGCCAACCAAAATCACTTTACTTCACCATCATTCTCTGTTCAATCGGTGCGGCTGTCCAGGGCTGGGATCAAACTGGTTCCAACGGTGCCAACCTATCATTTCCAGATGCTTTGGGTATACCTGTGTCGGACAATCTTCCCGACGGCTCTCCTAACCCCAACGCTTCTCGTAATCAATGGTTTCAAGGATTGGTCAATGCCGGACCGTACATTGCCTCTGCCTTTTTGTAAGCTCACCATGTCTCCGATCAAACCATCAACTGACCCTTCTTTCAGCGGTTGTTGGTGCTCGGATCCCTTGAACAACTACTTTGGTCGACGAGGCACCATCTTTGTGTCGGCTGTCTTTTGCTTCTTGTCTCCTATCGGAAGTGCCGTGGCTCAAAATGAGTACCCTCTTTCTGTCTCCTCGCTGTTATCATACTTACCGTCTTGTATCAAGCCTGGGAACAACTTCTGATTACTCGACTTCTTCTCGGGATTGGTATGGGCTGCAAAGGTTCAACCGTACCAATCTTCAGCGCCGAAAATGCCCCTGCAGCCGTTCGTGGCGGACTAGTCATGAGTTGGCAAATGTGGACGGCTTTCGGTATTTTCTTGGGAACGTGCGCCAATCTTGCGGTCAAGGACACAGGCTCCATCTCATGGAGACTTCAGTTTGGCTCTGCATTGCTCCCTGCTCTTCCTTTACTCATCGGGATTTACTTTTGCCCTGGTAAGTTTGTGTTGCATTGGCCATCGATTACCCACCACTGATGACCTACAGAGTCGCCACGTTGGTACATCAAAAAGGGAAGATACCTCAATGCCTATCGTTCCCTGAAGAGGCTCAGAAACACCGAGCTCCAAGCTGCCCGTGATTTGTACTATATCTATGCGCAGCTCCGCATGGAAGCTGCCCTTGTCGAGAGAAGGTCCAACTATGTCACCCGCTTCATTCAATTGTTTACCATCCCTCGTGTCCGTCGTGCCACGTTGGCATCATTCACTGTCATGATTGCCCAACAGATGTGCGGAAGTAAGTTTTCGTTTGGTGAAGCTGAAACTTGTGGATCGAGGCTTACCCAAAAACATAGTCAACATTATCGCCTTTTACAGTTCTACTGTATTTGAGCAGGCAGGTGCTTCAGTCACGAGCTCGTTGCTGGCTTCATGGGGATTTGGTCTGGTCAACTTTGTTTTTGCGTGGCCGGCCATTTGGACCATCGACACCTTTGGCAGACGATCCTTACTACTGTTCACCTTCCCTCAGATGGTCTGGACTTTGCTGGCTGCCGGTCTTTGCTACCTCATCCCTGAGTCGAGCACGGCTCATTTGGGTCTTGTGGCTCTTTTCATCTACCTGGTACCTTCCCCCTTTTGGTGTCACATTGATTGCAGAGTCTCACATGGTATCTAGTTTGCTGCGTTCTATTCTCCTGGTGAAGGACCAGTTCCGTTCACATATTCGGCTGAAGTGTTTCCTCTTTCACATCGAGAAGTCGGCATGTCTTGGGCCGTGGCTACTTGTCTCTTCTGGGCTGCCGTGTTATCAATCACCTTCCCTCGAATGCTTTCGGCCATGACCCCTACAGGTGCTTTTGGTTTCTACGCTGGGTTGAACTTGACTGCTTTTGTCATGATCTTCTTGTGGTTGCCAGAGACTAAACAGCGCACCTTGGTACGTATCATGTCAAATAAGAGACCTACGCAAAGAGGTGACTGACTTGATATACAGGAGGAACTCGACTATATCTTTGCCATCCCGACTCGCACTTTTATGAGGCACCAAGTCGGCACGGTCTTGCCTTGGTGGATCAAGACGTACATTTTCCGACGCAAGATTGGCCCTTGCCCTTCATTGTGGTCTTTCGATGGTCATGTCGACAATGATAAGGATTTCGTCGAGACGATCCGCCGCCAGAGTGAGGCACAGGGTCGTCGCCGAAGCAGTATCGCCGACAGGATTGTCAACAGATTTTAGGTGGGAAAGGGAGGGGAGGTCCTTTGTATGGGACCGATCCAAGTGATTTGTTCGCGGGGAAAGAGAGTCGCCCATTCAATGGCTATCCACCATGCACTCACTGGTGGTCAGGTATGTTCGTGATGGTAGCTTTATACTTGAGGGGAAGCAAGTTTTGAGAGAATGGGATAAAAAGAACAAAATCAACCAAATCGAATGGCCTTATGCCATTAGACAGATTGTCAAACAGAAATTATCACGTAGTATTAAATAGTACTTGACGACCCAGATGAAATAAGAAAAAACCAATGCGCAAAGGTCAACACCCAGCTTCGCCATCTTTGCATCGTCTTCACTCTGTACGGAAGAATCTGTGGTCTGGTATCTGCTCGCTCTAGTGTTGACCTGAACGAACTCATCTTTCTCATTCGCCAGTGTCAGTGTAAGTAAAGGGCCCAGCCTTGTCTGACAAAGATACAAGTAGATCCGCACATGTCAGCCTTGTTGGTTAGTAACCACTTCGTCGAAGGCGGGTTGATACAATTCGTCTTTTCTCTACCGCGTACCATCCGAATTTGATCGAGCAAGTATACGAGGAATACGAAGTGAGATTCCCTTTGTGTGGTCTCCCATAAAACTTAATTTTTTCATTATTGGGACAAAAACACCGTGCAACATTACTCCCGTCAAGAACCGGAACACTTCGGCTCGATCCCATGTCATGCTCACCTGAGCCTCCGCGAGAGAAATAACCCTCATCGAAACTAAAACTCCCTCATATAGAAGGAAGAAATACCTCCTCACAGACATCATTTCTATTTATCCCTAGCGTCGCATTGCCATCCATCTGTATCTAGTCCGTAATCTCTTGGGCGGGCACTTGAATCGTTTGGACTACAATACACCTTCATCGTCACTACCCGTGTCGGCCCGTTAGGTTAGGATTGTCCAGCATATATTCACACTCAAAAAGATAACATACCTAGGTATTGTCGCCACCATCAGTACGCTCAAGGAATTTATATTCAAGAAGGACGCGTTTGAGGCCCGTATCGAACCAACCGACCGACCACAACAACAAACATATTGACAGACAAAAACAACACAACCTTGGTTGACCACTGATACTTGTCAACTACTGTCAAAAACGCAAAAAAAAAATGACCGACAAGATTCAACACGCGACCGACCAAGTGGTCGGGAGTATCGAATCTGGAATCCACCGGATCCACGGAGCCGGGGATGCGATCCGTGGGACCGCCATGGAGGCGCTCGACAAGGTCCTGCACAGCCGTGAAGGTGAAGAGAGAGACCGAGAGATCGCGGAGAGAGGTAGAGCGGAGATGGAGACGGCCGGGGAGTGGGAACGTGACGGATCGAGGTCGAAGTTGCAGGCCCGCCGAAGGTCGACCAGCAGGAGCAGCGCCGGGGTCGGTGAAGGTTCACACCTGGCCCAGTCGAGGATCAGGGGGGCGGAGGACGCCTCGAATCTGTCGTCGCCCGAGGAGGAAATGAAGAAGACGGACACGACAATCGGGTCGCAAAAGGGTGATGGATTAAAGGCCGCGAGGTTGGCCATGAAGGAGTGATACCCCTACCTGAACTTGAACTAAGAGAGTGTCGAGTGTCACGATGGGAAAGGAGGAGGAGGAGGAGGACGACGACGACGGAGGGTGAAAGACCAAAGGGGCCAACCTGATGATAGGGTTTTGAGAGGGCGTAACGAGAGGTTGTGGTTGTATTGTATATCGTATTCCCGAGGATCGAGAATGAGAATCGTCACAGTTGAAGGTGGTCCATCTCATCATGATGGTTTTCTTGGTCAGATATTCCTCTTACTCGTGACTTCTTGCACACCATGAACTTTGGTCATTGCTTTGTAATTTTTCTCCCCCTTCAGTACTGAGTAGATTCACTTGATGAAAAAACCATCTGCCGAACAATGCAACGTACAGCCAGGGACAAAAGGTCTCGTACATACCCTAGACATAATCCCTCCCCGGCTATGATGATAATTGTACATGGGGCTTAGCTGGCTACAATATCATACCCCCGCACATTAGTCCTTAGCCTGTCGATCCATACACCCCTATTGGCATTGCCTGATACTCCCGTACTATTGTGGCTCTTCCCAAACAAACATGGTTGGTTCCAGGGATTCCTTTCCAAGCCCTCGAAAAGCTGGCATTTTCCCACCCATCATCATGAACCCCCCCATGTCTTGAATGTCTATCTATCCTTGTCATTTCACCATTCAAATGGATCACACAACAATTGGGAAACGGGCATGATCGGTGGTACAGCCGACGATTGCAATCCCACCCCCTCTCTCCTTTCCCCCCTCCCTCACTAGGACCGGAGACAGGCCGTGTTGTGTGTGGTTGGGTTTGGGAAGGTATATACAACCACTCGGTTCACTCACCTTTCATGTATACCTTCGTAGAATCGTAATGCAACTGACATTCCATCCTTCTGTTGTTCAAATCAAGACTCTCCTGTCCCGTGGAAGATCTTCACGTTCGAGTGCTCGTTTGTGAGTGTCACGTTTTGGATTCGTCCGATCTACCAGTACAAGTGCAAGCGCTCCTCTCCCTCCTTTCGTGTCGACATGGAGAAATATACACCCACCGAACTTGAACACGAACATGAACATCAAGAAAACAAGAGTCTAGAGGTATGTCGATCTGATCTCGAGTTTCGATAATTGAACCTTTCAAACGCCAAAAAATCACCCCGTGATGATGATGCGATGGCTAAACGACCTGCCTCGGGTACATCCAGATCCAACCAAAGGCGTCACCGTCATCGAGCCTCGACCGTGATCAAGATGCCGAGCTCGAACTCCAAAAGAGGAATCGAAAACTCAACCGTCGACTCGACATCCGCATCCTCCCGTTGTGCTGTTGGGTCTACCTCCTCAACTTCCTCGACCGAGGCAACATCGGCAACTCCAAAGTCCTCAACAGCGAGACGGGAGACGACCTCCTCCAACAGACCGCCATGAGCGCAAGTGACTACGCCATCACCGTGACTCTGTTCTCCCTGGCCTATACCGTCTTCGAGGTACCCTCGAACTGGGTCATGAAACATTACGTCCGACCTTCGTTGTGGCTGGGCATCTTGTTGTTGGCTTGGGGGGCCTTGACCATCGGGTTCGCCGGGGTACACAATTATGCCACCGTCGTCGTGCTGAGATTTTTGATCGGCATGTTCGAAGCGGGATTCTTTCCTGGTACGTACGATGCATACCGCGTTCGCATGCCCTTCCCAAATTCTTCGTTCCCCGCCTGTACGTACATGTTCGTGATTGAGTAAATGGCTGACCTCAACAGGGATTGTATATTTCATCACAATATGGTATCAGTACAACGAAAGAGCGGTCCGGATCGCCCTCGTAGTTGCGTTTTGTAATCTCGCCGGAGCTTTCGGTGGTGCCATTGCCTACGGAGTAGGAAATATCAATGGAGCTGCAGGTTTAGTAAGTACCTCTCATCTCACCTCACCTCACCTCACTTCACCCCTCAAACCAAACCTTTCTGCTGACTTTGGGTTTTGTTGTTCAACAGCAAGGATTCAGATGGCTCTTCATCATTGAAGGAATCATCACCATTATTAGCGCTTTCTTCCTCTTCTTCTTCCTACCAGATTATCCTGCCCGAGCAAGGTGGCTGAGCGAAGATGACAAACGATTCGCCGAGGACCGTCTCATCGAGAGAGGAGGAGGATACAATCGTGACCACGCGTCGAGGAGAGAAGTTCTCGAGACTTTTTTCAGTCCGAGGATGTTGGCTCATTATATTGCATACGTAAGTGTTTTTTTCCTTGGCGAGAATACATACCACTAGGTTGTACGACTGTACTCTGTACTGACCAAAGGCTGTTCGATTTCAAACGCAGATAGCAGACGTCGTCCCCCAAGGAAGTTTCACATTCTTCACACCCACCATCGTCAAAGGGTTAGGGTACACTTCGATCCACGCCCAACTCCTCACCGTCCCGCCGTGGTGCGTCGGCTTCGTCGTGGCCATCACGCTCTCGTACAGCGCGGATCGGTTCAACGCGAGGGGGATGCACGTCACCGTGGCCTCGCTCGTCGGCGGCGCCGGGTGGCTCGCGGCGGGATTGTTGCCCCACGATGCCTACGTCAAACGGTACGGCTGCCTGTGTCTCGCGGCGTGCGGAGCGTTCCCCTCGGCCCCTTCCATGACCAACTGGGTCACGTGTAACACGCCCAGCCTGCTCACCATCCCTTTCGCCGTGGCCCTGCACAATTCGTCCGCGGGCATCGGGCAGATCATCGCCCAGTGGATCTGGAAGGCGGGCGAGGAGAAGCAAGGCTACCCCACGGGGAACTTTACCTGCGCGGCTTGTAGCTTCTTCGTGGCCGCCGTCATGACCGGGCTGAGGTGGTGGTACGGGAGGATGAATAGGAAGGGGACATTGGACGCCAGTGGACAGCCTAGAGTTTGGGTTTATTGAGGTTGAGGTAGAGACCGACACTGAGATTGAGGTCGGGAAGGTGACCTCGAGATTGACATTATGACCAAGAAACGACGAAATGAACGTACCACATACGACTTTACCGGAACCTGGTGATTGTTGATGATGTGTGTGGAAAGATCAAGCAAGGAAAAAGTGTGGGTAACATCACCGATGAGCGAGACACATGAGCTGTCGAGGGGATGAGTATGTTCATGTCCGTATTACGCATCGGAAATACGATAATGCAAGTTGGTACCTAGGTCCATTTTGAATTGGCTTGTCATAGTACAGTGTATGCTCAAGAAGATGAACTGAGAACAAAAGGTTGGTGTCTTCAACCCTACGTAATGTGGATATGTACTGCACCGTCGAATGATATCTTGAAGTCATCCACAAATTCCTCGTGAACCTCCTCCACTTGCCCATTATGGAAGTCATGGGGTACGAGGTTACTACGCAGGTTACCGCGTATGGGTTTTGGTCTAGATGCAGCCAGGACTCTACGCGCACACACACATGTACACATACAACTCAATACTCGTCGAACGCATTCGAATCATCATCAATGTGGGCCAAACGAACAAGACGCATAGAAACCGAGTTCGGATAGTATTGTAACAGACAAAATACATTTTCCTTTTGTTCATTGTCATGTAACAAAAACACCCAGTAAATTGGCAATATTCATGACTTCCGTACTTGTAGGACCACGTCAAACCTCCCTCCACCTTTTCCAATACATTGGATACACCTCGCCAAATTCACACACCATACCTCTCTCTCTCTCTCTCTCTCTCTCTCTCTCTCTCTCTCTCTGTGCGTCTGTCATCATGTCTCATGCTACCAATACCACCAAAAAGCAAACATCTACTCCCCAAGTTCAGCCTTCTTGGCCAACCAAATCTCATCAATCAATGCCTTCTTCTTCTCCGACCTGGGAGTGATCTCACACTCAAAAGGTTGAGGGATCGTCATCCAACCTGGCACCATTGCCGAGTTTGGTTCGATGGCCTTTCCATCCGGGCCGACCTTTTTGGAGATGTTGAAGGCCCACAGTACCCGCGCGATGTTGAGGAACAAAGACTTTTCGGCCACGTGCACGCCGGGGCAGACCCGCCTCCCCGCCCCGTAGGACCAGTGGTCACGTTCGTTGGGGTTGGCGATGTTCAGGTAGGCGGCGGCGGGGAGGTCGTAGCCCAAAAACCGTTCCGGCATGAATTCTTCAGGTTTATCCCATAGCTCCGGGTCGTAGTTGATGGCCCTGTAAAGACTTCTAGTTAGTATCTCTCGGATCTTTGACGCAAGAAAAACAAAACAAAAATAAAAAAAACGAGAGGACATAGATTGTGGTGTGTGTGTGTGTGTAAGTATTTCACGCTCGCATGTACTTACCACCAATTCAAAACAACAACGGTATCCTTGGGGATGAAATATCCATTGTACCAATCGTCCGCGGTGGTGTAGTGCTGGATGCCAAACTTGTTCGGTGGACGCATGCGCAGCAACTCCTTGATGATGGCACGGAGATAAGGCAGGTTCGGTTCGTCGGCCCAGTCTGGCAACCTCTCAAAGCCCACGACGCGGTCAATCTCCTCTTGGGCCTTCTTCATCACGCGCTGGTTGCCGGTCATGTTGAGGATGAACGAATTGAGGTACGCCGACGTCGTCTCGGAGCCGGCCTCGACGAGACCGCCGGTCTGGTATGCGGCCTGGAGTTCGTCGAGCCCCACCTTGTTTGGGTCACTGAGATAAAAGTCCTTTGCGAAGCAAGGGTTGGCTTTGCCCTCGTCGACCTCCTTCTTCAGGTCTCCCCACAGGCCCAGATAGACGACCGAGTCGTGCTTGAAGCACTTCTCGCCGAACTTGCGCCAGTTGCCAAACATCCACTGCGGGAAGTACCGGAGGGACGGGAACGTGTCGACCAAGAAGGCGCCCGGGGTCGAGAAGAGTTGGAGGTTGTTGACGACCGTGTAGATCTTCTTGGTCAGGGCACCGTTCCAGTCCTTTTGCCGGTGGCCGTACGCGACAGTCATGATGACGCTGTTCGAGTACCGTCGGTTGTGGTCGTAAAAGTGCTCCGGGTCGTGGAGGAGGTCGTACATGAGCTGCTTGGACTCCAGGTCCTGGACGGGCTGGTAACTCGTCGAGACGTTGATGTTGAGGAGGGCGTGGGCGATCTTGCGGACCACCCGGTACCGCGGACCGTAGGCCATGAAGAGCTGGCGGCGCCCGGCCGAGGCCACGTCGCTGGCGAGGGGCGCCGGCGGGCGCGAAGAGTAGATGCCCGACTTCTTGTCCATGAGCTCCTTGACCGCGGTCGGGGACGACAGGTAGACGTAGTCCGAGCCGCCCATGCGGGTGTAAAAGACGTCGCCGTACTGCTTGGCCCACTTCATGGCCTGGAACCGAAAGGTCTCGGCATTGGAGAGTTCAAAATAATTGCCCAAAAACGGTAGACCAGGCGGACCCGGCGGAAGATGTTTGCGTCGTGAATCTTTGAGGGAGTTGGGCGTGACCCAGAAGTAGAATCCCAGGGCGAAGAGGATGGGGAAGGCCACGAAGCCGACAAGGGCGAGACGCCATGTCGGGATGGCGTCTAAATGTAGCGTCGAGAGGATCTGATGTGAGGCCATCTTGAGGGGGTTGTCGTCGTCGTCGTCGGTCCTGAGGGACTGAAGACTGAAGATGTAAGACAAGGATCAGTAGGAAACAAATGGGAAAAGAAATAGCACAACAATATCACGATCAATCAAGGCAAGTTCAACTCCACATACTGAGAGCATCTCCCACAAATTGGAACATTATCCACATTAGACCAAAAGGTGCCATTGCGTGGTGGTGGTGGCCAATTCGTACTTGTACTTGCTGGTCCCGAATTGTGTGGTTGTCGGGGTTGTTGGAGTCAGAGGGTTTTTGCCCAGATTTCCCCATGTCTTCGCACTGCGTTACTCCGTAGAGGTGGATGGGATGATGGGTTGAATGGGTGCCAGAATTGATGGCTGGACTGCCTCCACATCCCAAACAAAATGGGGTTCAATGGGCTCGACTTACCGCCCGTGCTCACATACTCGTGTCCCTCGCATGGGGTTTCATAGTCAGCAGTACAACAGCCATTTCTATTGGAGAACAAGGTCATCAACCATCATACTTCGAATCGGGCAAGTCGTATGATGTTTCATGGGCACGTTTTCACTGTCAACACAAACATCAATGCAGACTGCAAAAGACAACTTTTCCAAGATACAAAGCGAGCACCATAAATGGCAATGAGACTACAACCCATCACCCAATGTTCAAAAAGATAACTCAAGTTCTACATGGAACAAGAATTGGACATGAACTGACGAAAAATAAGGTAGACTAGTGTACATGCGTCCATTAGTGTACTCCTCCGATTACTTGCTTGCTTTGAGTGCTGCATGCGAATTACCCATCTTGATCATGGACTCGTTTTTTCTTCAGTAGCCGTGGAAGCGGTGACCAGCGTATCTCTTGTGGCTGTGACCGGTGTGTCTCTTCAAGCCAGCATAGAGCTTGTTGGACGCACCAAGGGCTTCCAAAGTAGTACGTTTCTTCATACCCGATTCACCCTCGGTTCTGACAGATTGAGGGTTGGCGGCCTGGTAGCTTCTCAAGGCAGAGCACTCGTCCTTGAAGGATTGCTTGGAAGTGTAAGCAGCCTTGACGATATCATCAGGTCGCTCGATAAACTGCAAAGCAAGACCATCGTCGACGTGCCACAGAATGTGGCAGTGCATCACCCACGCGCCTGGGTTGTCGGTCTGGAAACCAATGACAGTGTAACCGGCAGGGTGTCCAGGTCCGGCAGAACCTGTGAGCATGACAGTATCACGGCGCATAGGGTTCTTGAAGTTCAAGGTCGAGGTCAGGTCGCTGCTCCAAGGTCCAGTGCCTGTGCCGAGGACTGAGACATCGTGGCCGTGAATATGCATCGGGTGGGATGCGAAGAACTGGTTCTGGATGACAAAGTAAACCCATTCGTTGGCCTGGTCAAGAACAACCGGGTTGCTGAAGGTGCTGCTGTTGGCTCCAGAGTCCAACATTTCCAAAGTGGACAGGCTGTAGTTGACGTTCATGACACCGTTGTTGAGGAACCACTGGTACACAACACCATCTGAGCTGGTTTGGACTTGAGTGACCTGACCCGCTGGGAGAGTTTGGCTAGATGATTGGAACTTGTCCGAGTCACCGGCAGGGAGAGAAACGTAAGGCACCAATGATGCAAGGGGCTCGTCAATACAGCTGGCCGCGGTGACGTTGGTGATGGGCGTGTTGGTGACTGGAGTTGAGTTTGAACCCTGGTAGTTCATGATGGCGTTTGCCGTACCCAGACCAGAGTTGGCACCACCAGAGGGACATCCGGTCTGAATGACAGCACGGACGTAGTAGCTTCCAATAGGTTGGTTCATCTCGACGATGACATCGTAACGCTGGCCAATGCCGATGTTGAGGTATGGGGTGGTGTAAGGCACAATCGGGACAAAATCGGCAGCAATAACAGTCAAGTTGTGTGCGTCAAAACCAACCACGTACATGTTCTGAGAAGAGCTGTCGACTTGTTAGTTTCACTGAGTCACGATATCCAGAGAGGCACTGACCTGTTAATGATGCGGAACAAGTGTTTGCGGCAAGGTGTCACAGTCCACTCGAATGGTTTGCCACCAGGTCCCACTGGGTTGATGTTCTTTCCGTTGAAGAGGGTGTTGAAAGAACCACCTGGGCCGTAGTGGGTGATGAGATCAGCTTGGGTACCGACGGCATTGGCGAAGCTACAGAGATGTTAGCGCACTGGACACGTTTGAATTAAAGTCTCGACTTACGTGTCATCAATCATGACCGTTCCCATATCAATGTCGTAGTTTGCGGTGGCAGGACCGTGAATGACGATGGGGCCACGAACACCATCTCCGTATTGAGCCAGAGCGTGGCTGTGGTACCAAGAAGTACCGTAGGAAGATGCAAGCCAGGTGTAAGTGCGAGAGCCACCATATCCAGCAACAGCACATTCAGTGACACCGGGGACACCATCTTGGTCGTTCGTGCCAAGCTGGCGGATACCGTGCCAATGGATGGACGTGGCATTGTCATGCAGGTTGTTAATGACAGTGACTTCAACCATGTCACCCCAGTTTGCCTCGATGACAGGGCCTGGCACTTGGCCATTCACGGTCAAAGCGACCTTGGGTGCAGTTCCGTCAAAGCTCATGGTGGTGTTGTCAATGGTCAAGGTGTACCTGACAGTTCTGCCAGTCTTGAAGCCATTTGTGTAGCAGTTGGAGCTGATGTCCTGACCTCCGCACCACTTGGATCGGTCGGCTGCGCTGTTGCAGATATCCGAGGCGTTATGGGCAGGAGTGTAGGTTGGGCATCCAGTGAAGCTGCTTGAGGTTGTCGAGGTCGGGGATCCAGATGTGGTCGAAGCCAAGGATCCGGTAGTGCTGGTCGTGTTGTAACCATGTGCTGGTGGCGAGTATGAGCCTGTGGCCAAGGTGGTACTGCCAGTTGGCTGGCCACCGTTTCCCCAGGTAGTAGTCGATTCGGAGCCTGATGTCGTGGGCACTGAAGTTGGCAGACCAGGGCCCGAAGCACTTATGCTCCAGTCATTCCAGGGACCAACATAGTTGGTCTTCTGGTTTTCCCACTGCGAGGCCCAGTTGTTCTCGGCGCTGCTAAGATCCGCGCTGTTGATAGTGGTCGGCTTGGTCGATCCAGCATTGATGGTCGAAGGGGCGGCACAGGTGGTGATGGTAGTTGCAGGGCAGATACTGTGAACTCGGGTCGAGGTGACGGTGACGGTCACATCGGCCTCGCTATAGGTTGCTCTCGCAAGGCCGAAAGCGGCAGAGGTAAGGAAAAGAGAAACAGAACGCATGGTGAACGAATGGACGCAAGCTAACAAGCTTGCAACAAAAAGAGTGACTTGGTAAGCAGTAGGGCGTGGGAGGAGAGAACAAGCAACAGCATGGGAAGCGGACGGAGAGAGTATATCAATTACCTCGACCTTCTCGAGCCATCCCCATCTCAATCGGGAGGTCTGTGGTCAGCCTGACGGAGCCACCAGAACGCATGCAAGCCACGAGCGTTTGAGAGTTCGGACGCCGACATGGTACGCAGTGATGGTACAGTCTTCTGGTGGACTTGTGTCTCAGTTTAGCCCAGTGGAGAGTAGACAAACATCGAGCGCGTCTGGGTAAGAGAACGAGCTCCTGAGCGAGGTGTGGTCTCCGGAGCTCATCCGTGTAATGTAGAGGTAATCTTTGAATACGACGTCCAAGCCAGCCACACCACCGTGGAGCGGACATGACAAGACGGTCGTAGGGGAAGCATAGGCGAGGCCACATCCCAGGGACTAAAATGTTAAAGCGTGTCAAGCGCAGCGAAGCAATCACGAAGCTTTCAGCCTTTCAGGGGCATCGAGGATGGAATAGGAATAAAGCGAGATGTGGTGGAGTCTGGATTGTCGCTACCTGTTGCGCCGGTGGAAATTAGATATGAGCTTATGATTCTTGAGCTGCTTGGGACGGGTAGAGAGGAGGACCAGAGCCAATAGTAACCAAGATGACACTCCGTACGGAGTTAGATACCGAAGTCGAAGCGAGAGTCGAAACAGGGGCAAGAGGACGACGGCGGATGGATCAAATAAGGAGTCAGGGAGGATTGGTTGATGCGAGATGATGATGTGAGGCTTTGGGTGATCAGGCTAGACGCGAAAAGACAAAAAAAAGAAATTTCGAATACGACTTTGTTGAGATGAGATATTGATGATAATTACGAAATAGCAGAGGATGATACGGAATCATGGCTAATGAGCAATGTCATTGATTAGGATGACGATGAGAACAAACCACACACCAAAAAAAAAGAACAAAAGATAGAGCATTTCTAGTGGGGAAAATACTCCTAGGCGCAGGTATTGTGCGGATACGAGGCGCAGGTAGAATACCGTCTACCAAACACCATGGGAATAATTGTACGGAGACGCGTTGGGCACAGCATGTATTCGTGTCACTGTCACTATCACTGTCACTCAATCCGTACCTCCCGTGGTACCTTGTTACTTTGTAACACCCCATACCAACTACTGGCGCATTGTGTACTCCGTACAGATCCTTGACCTGTCTCCCTTCATGGCTGCTCCCGCCCAGTGACACCTTCAAGATCTGGAGGCCACTGCCACCATCACTCGAATATGAGCACGGGCTATTCTTGTGTCACTCCCAACGCTCAAAGCAAACGTCATTTTGACCTGTTCCATCTCAACTACAGAGTACAGCCATCAATCCTTCAAAATCGACCAGTCTCCCAATTCCCTCGACATGAACAAGTAATCAAACCCTTCCCGCTGTCCCATCTTTGAATACCATACGGAGTACCTTACGTAACTATTGTGTGCAGACGCGTCTGGGTTTTTGCCCTCGAGTGGAAACCGCCTTTGACTCGAATAGCTTGACGATGCTTATTTTACGAAAAGGTACGGAGAATAATACGGATGCTTCATCTCCACCACGCAGCCTTCCGGGCGCTATTGCAACCCCTGGCCCTTTTAGAGGCCGCCCGTGTCTACTTCGGGAGCATGTAGGCATCCGCACATGGGTCCCAGGCGATCTCGAACAAAGATCCTTCCCGCCGACGCGGAAAAGGATGCCATTCATGATACTGACCACTATGAAACATACACACAGGGACTTTGCCATGAGATTGTGAGGGTGCTGAGCACGCCGAACAATAGACTCGAAGTCGTAAACTACACGTGCAGGAGTCCTCTGGCAGATCAACCAATGCCACGCGAGGAGAAGCTTGACAGCAGCACGACTTACTCCGTATTTCTACCTACGACTCGTATTCTCTACATACGAGATGACCCGCTCGCCGCCATCAACAGCCGATTCTCCGTGCTCTGGCCAAACCCTTTCCCAGCGGACGTGATGATGAGCCGCTAAATCTTTCAGGGCCTTGAGGGTTACCGCCCCAAAGCGAGGAGGAAGCCAATCAAAGTCGGTTCATATCGAGCGATTCCCCTTTTCGTCTCCATCCAATTTCGCCTTTCCTACCACTCCATGATGCTTCGTTTGCTTGACTTCGGACAAGCATTTTTACAAGTGCTCTCCTTGGGATCCTCGGACTTGGGTGAGAGATCTGACTCGACCCCATCAAGGCGACCGCACGGCTGGAAATTGGATGATCATTTTCCACTTCAGGGCAGGGGAAAACGTGGTGAGAAGGAAGTCAAGCGAGTCGGACGAGTTGGGCTCTGTCGAAATTACTCTCTGCTTCCGATCCTGTCTCGTTCTCTCTTGATAGGCACCTTCATCGTCTCCCTCAGCTTGCTGATACCTATTGTGGTCAACCTTGAAAGTTGTTTATGATGGAGATTGTGCGTTGAGATCATCCTTGGGTAGATGGAAAACCTCGCACGGGTTTGTGATTCTATGCATTCAATATGTATGCCAGTATTGTGCTTTGCAAAATTCCGTAAAAACCTTAGATTCTTACAATATGCGCAACACTCGACACTTCGAACCGACCAAATGTGATAACATGGGATCCTGCAACAACAACAACCCTTCTATTTCATGATATCTCCGTATAGATCTAGTACGCAGAATTCGATTTTCTATTCATCTATATCAGTATTACTAGTTATGGAGGTGTACTTGGTGTACAACAATAAGAGAATATCAATGCTCGACTAAACCTGAACCGCTAAATATGACAATATAGATCCTACAACAACAACAACAACAACAACAACAACAGATTCACTCTATCAAGTCTCTGTATAGATCTACTCAGGTTACAATTCTCTATTCATCTATCTCAACATTACTGATTATAGAGATATACTTAACATGCAACCGTAAGAAAATATTAACTATACTATAATGAACGAGTGATAATTGTATTTTTAATGCTATTAGATGATAAGTCGAGGCAGCTGAACTGTTGAGGTTTGGTTGCGGTTAGCCCAGGAGCCAGCCCATGCCAAACATAGCAACCACACCTAGCTCGCTAGTCATGCCGTCTCGTTTGTACTTTGATGCAGCAGCACTCGAGCTAGATGCAGATGATGAGCTCGTCGTTGGAGTACTTGCCGATGACTTCACCGCAGTTGGGCATCCAGAGCTGTCACATTTCGCGGCAAGTACTGGCCCAGGCACGAACGTCCTTATCGCCCTGGTGCAGTTCTTTAGGGGGTTTCCTTTCGCGTCGATACTTTCAACAATACTCCAGGAATGATATTTGGGCGCGGTGAAAGTCGTTTCAAAGCCTGCCTTCTTGACCGTGTCGATAACGGTCCAGGGGCCGTTACGCTCCGAGGCAGAGTAAATTCGCCACTGGGCAACCTTTGTCGCTCCGTTCCAGCTCATCCAGTACGAAGTTGGAGCACTGTCATTGTGGGCATAGGTGTACAGAGCAGGGGCATCTGTCGGGTCGGTCGTGAAGTTGTTCTTGAAGGCGCGGTAATTCATAGATCCTGTGGTCGCGAAGTGGCCTTGCTGGACCATCCTGCCATCAGAGGTATACTCAGATATAAAAGCATTCGAACCCCAGCCAAGGAAAGCGTTCGCAGTCCGCCAGTCCTTAGCCATCAGCTGGACATTGCCTTGGGAGGCCGACACGAATTCATCGGGGGCTATAAATCGCTTGAGAAGGGAGACGGTGTTTCGGGTGTGGTCCAGCTTCAGGATCAAACCTGAGGAATATCTAGACGTCTGATTGTAACCATTTGAGGCGTTGTCAAAGAGGGAAATGATGGTCGTCGTCTTGTTCTCCTCCCTAATTCTGGCATCATGTTGAAAGCTGAAATTGAGGCCAGGAGGAAATGCAAAGTCAGAAAAGCTGCCACCGAGCCTCCAGATAATGTGTCCGTCTTGCCCAGATACCCTGTAAAGTGTGCATGTATGGCGTGCGGATACGAGATAATCTCCGTTCGCATATTGGTCGACGCTGTTGATATGAAAATAGTCCCATGGACTAGTCGGCGTGAGTCCATCGCCCGCCACCTCACTCCCGAGCGGTTTGACAAACGTTTCATTGAGAGTGACATGGTCTATGGCAGACCACTCGAAAATGGGCTTGTTAGTCCCGAGTTCGAGGTGCTGGAAATAGCAGTTCATCAGCCACCCCTGCCCGGAGACATTATAGGCAGACAGATCATGATGTTCAGGGTTGTAGAGCGTGAATAAAGATGAATCTCCATCATCGAGCACGTTGAACTCGTGTTCATCGAAATTGGCCAAGCCGCTTTGTGAGCGAACAGACGTGTGCGTGGTCAGGGTATTATCCAATACCACGGCATAACCTCGACCATAACCGACGTTCTGGGCAGCTGTAATAAAGCAGAGATTTTCCGTGCCGTTGATCGAACAGACGTGGAAATTATGCGACGGACCCCCTCCCGTCTCAGCAAAGCCACTCCATACCAGGTTCTGCGATCATTAGTTCCGTACCTGTAGCCTTACAGGCAGCCACTCACTCCTCTATTGTCGTAGATATATACCGCCTCTTGAAATGTCTGATACGGTCCCATGAAAATATATCCTGGAGTCACGGCGTCTTCATCAAACAGAGAGATGTTGAGAAAAGGCGCGTAGATATCAGGTCTCTAATCCAGGATCAGCAACGAGCCGTCTCTCGAGTCATCCTGGAGTCGACTTACAGATTTGTATTGGGAGAGCGGCCCCGTGCGATTGGTGTTCACTGGGGCTGGACCTTGCGCTTGAACTCCGATCCCAAGGTACGATGCCGCAAGAGCAGCTGCGACAAGCCGAAGTGACCACCGCATAATGGTGGCTTCTGGTCAGTGTCGGCACATGCGCTGAAGGGTGCAGGAACAAAGAAGCCTGTAGAAGAGGGCGTCATGGGCCTTGAAGAGTGGCCGCCATCATCAGAAGCCCATGTTGTCCGAGGTTGCAGACGCAGATCCGGGAGAATTCATGAAAATCGCCTGTTTTTCCAGGTGATGATGTAGCATTTTCCCCAACAGGCTGTTGCGAGGTTGGTGGAGGCTCTGTCGGTTAAGTTGCGAGCAAGGCACAAGCACCTGCCAGAGGAGATCTGCCCCTCTCCATAATGCTTATCAACGCTCTTTAGAGATCGAGATTGCGGGCCCAATCGGTCAACCATGGGGGCGGTCCAGGCACCAACTCGGAGTAGCTAGTTCTTTAGTTAGGGGCACTTGCCGCACCTTAGGTAAGTCCTCTGTAAGCCGGTGAATCTTTTCTCTGGGCGGGCGGGCCAAAAGGAGGCTCTTGTCCCCAATCTCCACGTATTATTGCGGCTCACCGCTGAAGCCCGCTGAGAACATCTCCGAGCTTTGTCAGGCCGTACTGAGAACACAGTATTTGGCAAGTATCATCTTAAAAGCCTTCTACAGTGCCATCCTATTGCTCAGTGATATGGTCATTATTGTCAATGAAGAGGGACGCAAAGTCATGGTACTTTCTCACCTGTTGAAAACGGAATCGAGAAACGAGAAAAGACCTTATCTACCTCGGTTCCTAAAACATTCAGCCCAAGATTGCTTCCTCGGGCGTCCTTATGTCTGAAAGCCCAACAGTAGGAGTGTCCTTGATGGACTGCAATTGGCATCCCAGACATCGGCAATCGTGCCAGCATCACGAGGTCGCGCTGCTAGAACAAAATAATGCGATCATATGTGCATTAGGGCTGAGACTCCTTCGAGCACAGCCCTATACTCGGGTCTCAGCTACAGGGAATTGCATTTTGACATGGTCCTGACGGCAGCCAGAATGCGAACTCCTCATGTAACCTTACACCCAGCTATGCGAGAGAACTTATGCAGGCTTCTGCTTCCAAACTACGAGCTGCCCTTCGATCAACACGGAATGTAACCCGGTGGGCATCATTACTGGGCGCAGGGTAGATCACAACATCTACGATCGACATATAGCCACTTCAGGTTTGGTAAGTACGGTGTGATTGATTCGAGGACAGGTATGAGTGCTCCTCGGCACTCCTCTGTCGGCCCCCTCCTTTTCTCTCTCCAGTACGGTGTGATTGTTGATAGAGGGACGCCGTCTCCAATCTACCTTACTCAAGTAGGAAACCAAGGACGAACCGCCCGCAAAGGACCCATGTCTTGAGCATGGCTCGTCTCGGCCAAGGATTGTATGGTCAAGCCAAATGACCGACCATTGATTGTTTGGATGAACGCTTACAACTCGTTCTCCAATGGCTTACCAAGGAACCAGACGCAAAGGTGCACGAATCCCATTATCTAGAGTATGATTTCATGAGGCCTTAACATGGTTCTCCGCGTGTGGCAGCCCGTTAATCAAGACGATTTGGACTTCAGCTCCGGGTCTTGCAGCTGTAGATTTCATTCATATATATACTTACTTCACCTGCGGAGGTTGATGTGATTGGCATGGACGATGGATAAAAATGGCAGGCGGTAGAAGAAAAGGCTGCTTGACGTGTAGGAAGAGAAAGATCAAGGTATGTGAACATGTTTTCTACATTTGTATGGCCTGATATCAAACGATCATCACTGACATGTTTTTATTCTCAGTGTGACGAGCGTCGTCCGCAATGCCTCCGTATATCGCCGCCTTTTTTTTGAGACTCGCCTCTCCATGATAACCCCCATTTCTGACACCTCTCTTTGTAGACTGTGAGATCTCACGGCGTGAATGTACTGGGTGGGCAAATGAATTTGAATTTGTACCCCTGAACCAGAAACGAGTACCCATACCGGATGAAGGCACGGTCAAGCTACCTTCTCGACCAAAGGCATTCAAATTCAAGGAACCGATATTCAACTACGGGAGGCGAAAGCGCGGCTCGAATCAAGGGGGATGTTTCAACTACTTCCGCGTCACCGACGGATCTTCGGACGACGTTGAAGCCAGCGAGAACTATACCATGTCATCCGCTGGCTCCCCATCTATTTCCATGATTGCTGTCTCTTTGCCCAGTTCACCGGCCACGCTTCTGGCCGGACAGCTCATACACACCCTCGGCGGTTCGAATGGCATTGGCTTCTCCATACTCTACTTTGGAGAGTATTTTGAAGAGCTCCCGGTCCAAGTCGGACACAGCAAATGCATGGATGCCGTTCTGGAATGCTTCTTGACCTCTCGACAGTGTCTGCCGACCTCACAACCGTCCTCGAGGAGACAACTTCAGAAGTACGGACACGCCCTCAAACTCCTACAGGTCCAGCTCGACAATGACGAAACGAGAATGCAACCGGCGACATTATGTTCTGCCCTCATCTTGCATTCTTTGGAGGTACGTGTTGCCACTTTTGGTGCTTTTCAGCAGGAGACTTGAGCCTACTGTTTTTTGTGGGTTGTATTGTTGAATATTCATTGACGACTTCAAAACAGGTCATAGATGAAGACCTTCAGGACAACAACCAGCACTTCCTTTCGCACGCGGATGGAGCAACTGCCATCCTCAGATCATTTGGGCCGGAAAGAATAAATTCGAGGTTCGAGTTACAACTGTTTTATGCTCATGTTCCTACCATTGTAAGTGATTTTTTTCCCTCGGAAACCCCAGGGGTACCCCTAGGATAATCTGACAACCATGTGTTTTCCGCAATCAGGTCTTCAAATCCATCCTTCTCGACAAGCCATGCTTCATCGACTCTCCCATCTGGGATAGGCTGGAATACAAGATCCCTAGCTCATGGACCGTCGACCGGCTGGAGGCGAGTATTCTGCACACCTACACAAAACTCCCAGCCTTCATCCGCAGCGTTCGGGGTTTTATCGGGCTGTCCGACGACCTACGTGAAGAAACGCTTCACTCGGCCCTCGCTCTTCGAGACCGACTGAGCCGTATTCTCAACAACGTCAGGGACTTTGTAACACACAGCAATCTGGTCGTCCGAGTCGAATGTCACTCGTCGAGACGGCGGCGGCAGGAGGACATGCCTGCTGGTTCCACATCCACATCCACATCCACGACGTGCACAGATACGGGTGCGGGCCCAAGTACCAACGAGACCGGTCCAGAGACGTGCTACATGTTTCGTGATATCCGACTGGCCGAAGCCCTTTCCATATTCTGGCGCACCTTGATCGTGGTGACCAAGGGCCTGAGACGACTCCAGGTCGACACCCACGACGACGCTGCGGCCGCCGTCGACGCGGGTCGTCGACTCTGCATGTCGGCCGAGCCGGGCCGGTGTTGGAAACCTCTCGGTTCCTTGTTTGCGTGTCTCAACCTGCACGCGGCCCGCATGGTTTGTCCCGAGGGTTGGAAGGCCTGGGTGGGGAGGGAATTGTGTCTCGCCGAACGAGACCTCTCACCGACCTTGTTGGGTGCGGTTCGATCGTACATTGCGATTCTTGATGTTTGATGTCTCGCCAGTGATGGTAAAAAACTTTCACGAGTGACCCAACCAAAAAAAGGCGACGAGGCCAGTCAGAGTCCGTGTTGGACAATCCACTTTCACTTGGCGGATTTCAATTTCAGTAGATAGGTATAGATTGCAAGTCCAGAGAACAAGATAAATAGGAACACCCGGGTGTGTGAACGAGGAAGATAACTGCCTACAGGTAGGATTAACATTCTACGAGTCCAGGAAACTTATTCACCCATTCAACAACGTAATCCGTAATGACTTCAATTGGGTCAAGATTGTTGTCTGTTACAATGACTGTTTCTTTCTTCAAACTTCTCTCTGTCGACCCCTAATATTGGGTTTATAGAAAGAGACAAGGCGAAGACAAGTAACTAGCCCCAAGGTACCCTAGGCAAGTTATCAACGCTCAGATGCGCTGAAAGGAGCCACTCCCTCCCCCCATTCGTCCCAACACCACCGCTACAAGATTCGCAATGGTCCATCGCATGTTTCTACTCTATCAAAAAATATTCATCTCAACCCCCGGAGGAGAAAAGGGAAAAAGGTACGATTTCTTGCGTGCCAAAGAGGAAAACAGTGGAGGACAAATCAACAAAACCAAACACCATTGTCGTCCACTCCGGGTTTACCTTCCTTCCAACGTGCCCGGCTAACGTCATTCATCCGAATTCGTGAGTCCCGGATCAAGCATGCATATCTCGGACATGCAGTCGCGCAGACATCGCTCATCGTTTCAACAGCAACAGACCTGGGATGTCGATTGTGGTGGGAAAAGAGGGTTTGGTGTGTTCGAATTTTCATAATCCGCTGTAGTATTCATTCACATGCCAATCTATTGCACCTGGCTAACAATCTCACTGGCCTTGCTCAAACTCTCCACCATTTGCTGGCACTCTTTCCGTCGTCTGACAGTGTAGTCGCTTTCCTTCAAAAGTTCGTCAAGTTCTTGTGCTCTGTACATTTGTTCAAGGAGTTCTCGCTGCATCTCGTCTTTTGTGAACCTAGATGATTGTAAGCACGGCATGATTTAAATGTCAGCCCTGAACCAATTTACTTACTGTACAAGAGTCAGCATGATAGCTTTAGGGACCATGTCGATCATGGTCCTTCGGACAATGTTGAAGTAGCTGTTGATCAAGAGCTTGATGACTTCAACTTCTTGGTTTTCACGCTCTGAAAGTGTTCCACTGGCCTTTAGAGTGGGGGGAGGAGGCTCCATTGCGGCCATCTTCTTCTTGTTCTTACTTGCAAAGAATGACCCAAAGAAGCCCGAATTGGTGTCTGTACCGTCAGTGGGAAGACCTGGTGAGTTGGCCCGCGGCGGAACCGAGGGGGGAAGTGGTTTGCCAGTCTTTGGATCCACCTGAGTGGGCTTGGTGGCATTATGCCTTTCATTGACAATGGCCATAGCACGGTGACCGTTCAAGAAATCAGGATGTCCGGTATTGATGTAGCAGGCTTCCATTGCAACTAGATCCTTGACCAGTTTATTCGCTGGTTCCATGGCTTTCCTGAAGAATGCAATCACAACTCCATGGAATCTTTCTTTCAGCTGAGGATATCGTCGGAAGAGTTGTTTCGTAAGCAACTGTTGCAAAATGCGTACGAGTTCGTCGAAGACCAGCGACACACATTTCAATGATGGTTCTTCAAGTCGTTTGATTTGTTGCTTAACAATAATTTCGAATGCAGTAGTACCCACGAACAGTGCAGGCGATGAACCTGAAGAATTGACCAACATTGTCCGAATATCAATGTCCTTGACCTGTTCAAAAGGGTCGATGGCTTTGATGCCATTCGAGTATAGTTCATGATAGACGAACGAAATTCTGGCGCCACCAGAAAGTTCGTTGCTGGATAATTCCTGGCTATGTCCCTCGAGAACGGTTCTGTATTCGTTGGCAAACTCGGTAATGATATTGAGGACAATGTTTGAGCTGTTGTTCCCGAGGAGATCTCCAGCCCCCAGTTGCTCAAGTTCCTGGGAGTATTTCTGAAGTGAACCGGTAATGCGGTTTTTGATGTCAGGTAGTGTCTGTTTGATGTGCATCATCAAGATAAGATTCAGCTTTCGAGCCAGATATGGAGTGCCGCAATAGGAGGCCTTGTTACGATAAGAAGGATGATTGTCGAAGAATTCCTTCTCTGCTTTCAAAGCCAGGTCTATCCTCTTCTTGTTCTCGATGTCCCGCTGGCCTCGGTTGACCACGGGTACGTAGCCTAGTCTGAGTGGGATGATTCGCCCGGCTAGAATATCGACAACATCGGTTCCAGAGTCCATCAAGTCAATCTTGGTTAGCACACCAATGGTTCTCTGACCCTCCGGATCGACTTCTCGGGCAAGCTTCAGACCGTCCGAATTGGCTAGATCTACATTTGCAGCGGTGACAGCGAGAATGATGGCATTGGGCTTCGATATTTGCTTGAGGACCATCTCTTTGATCTGTCTTTCAATATCGCGCGGCTGATCACCAACAGGCACTTTTGTCAAGCCTGGCAGATCAACCAGTGTCAAAGTGAGGACATTGGGTGAGTAGATGCGCAAGTTGATGGGCGCGGGCGAGATGCCAACATTTCGTCCCGCTTTCGCCTCTGTTTCCTTCACGATTTCGTCACGGATCTTATTGAAGTCAAAGAATTTTTGTCCTGGCAAGTGGAGGAATTCTCCCCACTCATCAACATTGGCCTGGCTGTCGCTGGTCTTTTTTAGTTCTTCTTCTGAGACGCCATTCGATTGCATTTTTGCAGGAGGAGGTCTGTTGATCAGTTGAAGGACGAGGGGTCTTCGCGTCACAATTCCGGAGCCTCGAGGTAGACTGTAATCGCAAGTTAGTCATTGGAACTAAGGATGGGCCAGAGTGGCTGCTGGGCTTACAAGTCTCTCCCGACAATGTTTTCTAGCACGGAACTCTTTCCACTTGACTGCGATCCGACCACAACAATCTGTGGAAGATCTATGGGATTTTGTACCTAGGGCAATGACGGTCAGCTCCATTGAACCAGTCTGGCATGTGAACAAGTGTTCGGAATCAAGGGAAAGCATACTCCCACTGTCGTGAACACATCTTGTAGCTTGTTGACGAGAGCGATCAGACTCGGATCGTTGACGTTAATTCTGTTGTAGTATTAGTTGGTTGATCGAGATGTGGTTTGTTGACTATCAGCAGGCACTCACGAATAACCCCCCGGCGGTGCGGCCATGGTTGGGGCAAATGACAGTGGTAGAGGATTGTTGTCGAGAAGAATAGGAGGTGCAGACTCAAGACTGAATGTGGCAGAACGACGCAGAGCAACTTCAAGAGGCTGTTCTTGCAAGGAAGTCGATTGTGTGGTGTTGTGAGTGATGGGTGTTTGCGCACTGCTGGCCAGAACTTGGGATGATGCACCTGCGCCTGTTGATGTTGGTGATGGAGTTGGTGACTTGGGTCCGCCTGCGCCGGCTTTAGGCGTGTTATGGGCTGCACTAACAACAGCAGCACCATCGCTAGCAACCACACTTTCTTGGCGGCCGAAAAGAAACGGAAAGTGTGCCGGACGCGTCATTGGGACACCCACACTCCAAGGCAACAGGCATACAGCATGGCAAACAGAGAATCCCTATGAGTCTAGCTGAAGACCCAAATTATCCCGCCGCCTACGTAGTATCGAGCACTACATCAAGGCTACAGCCTTTGAATGGCAAATGCGGCGCTGATTACTGTGGCGAAGCGATCAGGCACCTCCCAATCTCGTTTCCTGAGAAGGGTAGGGTAAGATCAGCTGGTTCTCAGATCTCAACTCATTGCAGGACATCTGACAAGCAACTGGTGTTGGGCACTGGTGAGTGACCTACATCATTCAATGACTCTCGTGGTAAGGGTGAGACACGAGTGAAGGTGAAACACGACAACCTGTGACACGTCAGCTCTTGCTGTGGTGGACGAGCTATCCATCTACTTCACGCCCAGTCAGGTACGGGAAGGAAGACGCTATGATATTGTTGCAGATAGAAGGTGAGATATAGAATATCGAGCTAAATCTATGCTTTGTCCCTGTAGGAAGGGCAGCTGTCCAGATCCCTCTTCCTGTACGAATTCAGAACAATGCTTGCCTGATGCAAATGATAATCGACTCGTCATGACCCGTGACAAATCCCTCAGTGCCGTGGATGGTGCGGATAGCGAGCCATCAGCAAACGAACTCCTTCAGATGCAATGTTGTATCCAAAACTCTATACCTTGTGCAGACCGTGGTTGGAATGATGTTATACTCCCCCCTGAAAACTCCATCAGAACTAACTACCTTCCTGTGTGTTTACAACGTTGATCTCATAGCACTCACCCGACCCGAATCGCCACGTGCAACAGGTGTGTTCAGGATATTGGAAAGACCATCGACAGGAGGTGGTGCGGCCGACCAGCTAAAGATTGAGTCAGTTTTGAGTCTCTAAGATAAGTTGAAGCCCACTTACATGCGCACTTTACGGTCATCCCCTCCGGACGCAAACATTGATGCATCTCGAGGATTCCAGTCAACCGTTGTCACACATTCCTTGCCGCCAGCGCCTCGACCATGCCCCGACAACTTCTCAATGAGATTTTCGTTTTCCTTGTGCCACACGTATATAAGGCCATCTGTGATAAAATCAGTAAGAGTGCACACGACTTTGTGCAATTGACCCACCTTCCGAGCCGCTGACCACGAAATTCTCTGCTGCTCCTCCAAAGCAACTCCTAATCACGAATTCGCCTTGCTTTTGCCCTTTAAAACTGCGCACAGTATCTCTTGTGACAAGATCTATCATCTGTACCTCACCCAATGCAAGGTTCACAAGGACCATGCTGCCATCATGGTTCAGTGAGATACTTGTCATCTTGCCAGCAGTCCTAATGGGAGGCTCCTCTCGATAGTTATGCAAATCAAAAATCCGAATGACGTTCTGCGGATCGAGAGCAACAAGCCAATGGCCATCATTTGTGATTGCGACGTCCTGGACTCGGAATCCCTCGGGCCAGACATAAATGGGCGTGTCCGGCACTTCTGCAAGAAGGCTCCAGTAGCAGAGTTGGCAACTTCTATCATGACTTGCCGTCACAAATCCCATCGAATCAGGAGTCCATGCTGCAGCAGTGATACCATAAGAAGGCTCTTCAGAGTTATGCTGCAGTGTGACTGTTAACCTGCCGGTCTCAACATCCCATACTCTAGCTTTGCCATCTTGGGAACAAGAAATGATCTTCGTGTCATCTGGACTCCAAGCGATGTAAGTGACCTCTGCGGTATGTTGCTTGAATTCGTGAATGCGTTTGAAAGTAACAGTTTCGTATACATTGACAGTCCGGTCTTGGCTGGCGGTCGCCAACTTCGTGCCGTCGTGGGAAAACTGAACGTGCCATACCTCCCCAGAATGATCTTGGAGTTCGATCGATGTACGGGAGGGAAAGTCGTCTCGATCGCAAAGATGATCTGAGTAAAGTGACGGGGCCACTGAAGTGTTGTGGTATAAACACTGATTTATCTGATGTTGCTTTATCTGGTCGAAGAGCTCGGCCAACCGGTGGTCTCGGATCATGACAGAAGGGGCTATCGACATAGACAGATCTTGGAGCAGCATCTTGCGTGACTCTGCCACAGTGCCACCCCAGTGGGCCTTGGTCCTCAGATCTTCAGGAGGACACATTAGAAGCGTTGAGAGGGCATGTAGTTGATGGACGTCATGGCCCAGCGGCGTTAATTCCTGCCTCAGTACCATGAGAGCCATGCTCAGATCTCGATTGTCTAGAAGCTCTAGGAACTTTTGTTGTCGAATCAAAAATAGCATCTGATCACGGTCGGCCCCTTCTGCAAGCACTAAGCCTTCTCCATCTTGATCGTCATCGATAAGTGAGCCTTCCGCAATATCACTTCGGGGCGAGCCCAGTAGAATTGCTTCAGCATCCGACCATGCGCCGGCCATGACTGCGCTTCGGAATGCAGCCGCAGCAGGGCTCTCCAAATTATAGCCACTCTCTTCGCTTAGGCATTCTGCGGCATTTGCGTAACCCATGTCCAGTAAACCTTGAACCAGGATTCTTACAACCTCCTCCCGGTTATGACCCCGATATGTCCCTGATCGTACTAGGGAAGATTTCTTGACTGCACCGTTGGCAAAGGGTGGGGCTGATCCATTGAGACTGGTCGAGGGGTGTCCATTGACAGCATTGTGTAAGGGTTTCCGAGGTGTTGAACCATTCGAGCTTGCGGTATGACCATTGGAGTATGCTTGCCCTAAGTTGTCATTAACTCTCATATTGTGTCTATTTGTTCTCCTGCGCTTTCTCTGGGGGTGTGTGTGTCTCGGGCGAGAATCAGTGGAAGGACCTGCTTCAGCAGATGCGTCACTCAGATGGCCGAGCTCTGGGGAGGATGACCGCCGTCTCCTTCGTCGACCCCGCTCTTGACTATCCTGCACCTGCTCTATAGGTGGTGGGTTCGGTATAGAGTTGTTGGAAAGAGTGGGAGGCACTTGCGTCGTCGACGTTTCGGTTGAGGGACTGGGAGGTGAAATTGGGGATTGGGCAAAGGAATCTGTGATGGAAGTATTTGAAGGAGGGATCGAGATGGTTGGGTGGTCGGTAGTGATTGGGTTGTCGTCAGTTGAATGGTGGTTTGCCAGCTCGTGGTGGCGGCCAAAGCCGCCGGTATCTAAGTCAGGATCGTTGGGACCACTGTCTTCAAGGCACACCTGGATGGCGAAGGTGCAGATGGATTCTTCAGAGGGTTATTCTGGGGAATTTCAAGGCCTGTGAGGCTTGTGGTTATGTACATTCATTTATAGCCCCTGCAACCTGTGCACCAGCGGAAGCGGGAATTGAGGCCAGGATAAGATAGTGCCTCGCGAATGGATGCAGCAGGATCGACGACGTAGAAAGAGGGGACAGATACACGGGCAGTTCCAGCTGAGTGACTCGATGCAAAGATGGAGTAGTACTCGGTCAAAGATAACCAGCAATGCAAGATTGAATAAGATACGGAGAGTTGGGAGTGTTGTAGAATGGTAGTTGTAGTCGCTGGTGGTCATAGAGGCAGATGACAGATGGAGATGGGGCATGTCGGAGGGATGATGCACTGCTAAGTCGGAGCGGCCAAGTACGAGGACAAGGCTAACTAAGCTAGGCCATCATGTCTTGCTGTCCTTGCTGTCCGTGCTTTCTTTGAGCCTGACATTTCGACCATTTGACTGTCCAGAGTCGGTGAACGGTGCCAGGCACGCAAATCCATCTACAATCGCGTCTACGATAGGCACATGGCCCTGTTTCAGTCCTGCTAAAATTCCCACTATCTGCAACCTCTCGAGCCATGGCCACGACCAAGAGCTGAAGCACGCTCGAACCCCGCGCAGCAGAGAACAGACACGTTTCCGTCGTCATGAGTCGATGATGGTTCCAGACTCAACATTAAGATCGGAAGAGAATGTTGGCTTCATTTAGCAGCCTTTTGGTGGCATGGCCCTCAAGGTCGGAAAGAGTTGAATCGCCAATGTACCATGTATGAATGACCGTTCACGAATCGCTTCACGTGAAGGTGATAACGAGAATTCCAGAAGAAGATTTTCGAAGGAGGAATGGCTCGTTACCTTATCGACCCTAAAGGCATTGAGTACTGTAGATTTAATGAAATAGTTACCAGTTTGTCAGATAGCGATCCATTATCTCTCTAAATCGGTACTTCATTTTCGCCTTGTAGAGAGAAAGTAACAGCAGGATTGAGTAGGCGCCTCAATAATGACCCAGATGTTTGATCGGAAGCTGCCTGTCTACCGAGGTTAAGCCTGTATCATCATTTGCGGACAGCTATGGGTGGTTTTGCTCCCGAGAGCGCCCTCTCAGTGAATCCAGGTAACAAGCAGCATGTCAAGCTATGGTCCTGGCGGTTTCAGGCGCAGCTGTAGGCACGGTGCACAACCTTGATTGCCGATAGGCGTGCTTACCAGAGCCATTGCTCTATCTGTTAAGTACGGAGTGGTACCCAAGATAAGGTACTCCATACTGGAGGAACCACCCACCCACTACCCGTACTCGATACCAGCACTAACTGGCAGCTGCAACACGGTCCACCCTGCCACCAGCCCGCTGTTGCCTTCAAATTCTAATTAATAGGTGTCTTTGGGTCAATGATTTCATACCTTATGGATGCTTGGGTTTCGTCCTCGTCTTTCTCGCAAAAAGTCTCTAGTCGAGTTCATCACCGGGAAGAGCATTGACGATCTTGCCAGTCTATCTGACCTCAAGTATCTGCAACTTCAGCTTGGCCTTCCTGATCTTATCGAAGACGACCTTGAGGAAGAGCTTGCCGGTCCTAGCTCCCACCACGACTCTGTCTTCGCCTTTCCTCAACCCCTTCAGCAGTTACAGTCTACCGCGCGAACATACAGAAGGATGCCTGCTTCAAAAGAGAGTGGAATCGGTTCCGACGACCAGAATGGCCTCGTCTTCTCCATCTCCGGTCCCGTCATTATCGCAGAAAACATGATCGGTGTGGCTATGTACGAGCTCTGCAAGGTCGGCTACGACGAGCTAGTTGGTGAGGTCATTCGGATAGAGGCCGATAAAGCTACTATTCAGGTTTACGAAGAGACTGGTTCGTAACGCTGATGCATTACTTCGATATCAAATGCTGACTGGTTGCTAGCTGGCGTTACTGTGGGAGATCCTGTCAAGCGAACAGGCAAACCTCTATCTGTCGAGCTTGGACCTGGGTTGATGGAAACCATTTACGACGGCATTCAGCGACCTCTGAAGGGAATCGCCGATGACACGAACAGCATCTACATTCCTCGTGGTATTTCCATCCCTGCACTGGACCGCAAGAAGAAATGGCCGTTCACACCTACTATGAAAGAGGGGGATCACATCAGCGGCGGAGATATCTGGGGCAAAGTCGTTGAGAACAGCTTGTTGAATGAACACAGAATCCTGATGCCGCCCAGGGCACGGGGCACAATCAAGAAAATTGCTCCCAAGGGCGAATATACCGTTGATCAACCTCTCCTCACGGTTGAGTTCAATGGAGAAACCAAGGAATACCCAATGATGCACACATGGCCAGTCCGTGTTCCCAGACCGGTCAACGAAAGATTGCAGGCAGACTCACCCTTTATCGTTGGTCAACGAGTGCTTGATGCCCTCTTCCCATCAGTTCAAGGTGGCACTGTGTGCATACCTGGGGCTTTCGGCTGCGGCAAGACCGTCATTTCACAATCTGTCTCGAAGTTTTCCAACAGCGATATTATCGTCTATGTTGGCTGCGGTAAGTCATGACGAGATACCGAAAGTCCACGAATTGGTTCTGACGCGATTGTAGGTGAACGAGGTAACGAAATGGCCGAAGTCTTGATGGACTTTCCTGAGCTTTCCATCACAATTGACGGCCGCAAAGAGCCCATCATGAAGCGAACCTGCTTGATTGCAAACACTTCCAACATGCCCGTGGCTGCGCGAGAAGCCTCAATTTACACTGGAATTTCTGTAGCGGAATATTTTAGGGACCAGGGCAAGGCTGTTGCAATGATGGCAGATTCGTCGTCGCGATGGGCAGAAGCTCTTCGAGAGATTTCCGGTCGACTTGGAGAGATGCCTGCTGACCAGGGTTTCCCAGCCTATCTGTCAGCTAAGCTCGCCTCTTTCTACGAACGAGCTGGTAACTCGGTTGCCCTCGGATCTCCAGAACGTACCGGCAGTATCTCCATTGTGGGTGCGGTCTCACCGCCTGGTGGCGATTTCTCAGATCCTGTTACATCTGCTACCCTAGGTATCGTGCAGGTCTTTTGGGGATTGGACAAGAAACTTGCTCAGCGAAAGCATTTTCCCAGTGTCAATACCTCTTTGTCATACAGCAAATACACCAACATCCTCGACAAGTTCTACTCCAAAGACCATGCCGATTTCCCCAAGCTCCGAGACCGTATCAAAGAACTTTTGACCAATTCGGAAGATCTCGACCAAGTCGTTCAGCTCGTCGGTAAATCCGCGCTGGGTGACTCGGATAAAATCATTCTTGATGTTGCCGCCATGTTGAAGGACGACTTCCTGCAACAGAACGGTTATAGTGATTACGACCAGTTCTGTCCTCTGTGGAAGACTGAGTATATGATGAAAGCCTTTATGCAATTCCACGACGAAGCACAAAAGGCTGTCTCGAGCGGCTTGTCGTGGGCGAAGGTCAGAGAGTCGACGGGTGATATCCAGCACGGCCTTCGAAGCATGAAGTTTGAATTGCCAGACAACCAAGAGGAGGTATCGAACAAGTACGATAAGCTGCTGCAAAACATGTCGGAGAAGTTTGCTAGTGTTAGCGATGAATAGAAAGATTCAACTGGGTGACTGACTAGTCAATGGGTGGGCGGGTTGGGATGCGGCGCCTTTAAATCATGTACGGAAGTAGTCAATGAAATTATCTTTCAGCCTACCTATGAATACACTAGAGCAGTACAGTACAGATTGAGGGAAGATCGTGTGGTCACATAATGTCGTTGACTTCGTTCATTCGTTAATCATAACGATGGTCCAAGACGTCCTCTGCCCGAGACTATCCATGAAAAGAGACACTCCCCGGCGATTCAAAGTTGGACTCCAAACGGTACCGGATTTTCGTTTTGTTCAACAATAAATAAAACAATTGGTGGTTGTACTGAGTGTCAGTATCAATTCCCTAAACGTCGTCAGGCCCTCCTCTCCCCTGGGGCGTCCACTCCACGATGTCGCCGCCCGTCGCCAGCAGAATACTCTTCGGCCCGTCCCTGATCCTGCTGACGTCGATGCACGTCACGGGCGCCCGGAACTGGCGGTCGTTCAAGGGGCCCGGCAGCAGCTGGCCGGTGCTCGCGGACCAGATGCCGACGCGGTGGTTGGCCACGTCGTCGGTGGACGCGCGGAGCACGACGTTCAGCTCCGGGTCGTACGCGAAGCCCAGGCCGTACCGGTTCTGCGCGCGCGAAGGGGGCACGTTGAACGCCAGGCAGGGCGGCGTGGAATTCCCTCTTTCGTGGCGTTGGCGGCGGCGGTGCTGGTGACGGCGGTGTTTGGATTTCGATCTCGATCTCGATCGCGACGGGGATTTCCGACGTCTCGACGGCGAAGAAGAAGACGTCTCGGATGACGGAGACGGGGCGAAGCGGAGATCGTACATCTTCATGTCCTGTAGGCCATTGACGAGCACGCGGTGACCACCGCCGTCCTGTGGGAGGGCGGCCAGACCACTGATGGCGCTGGAATGTTGGATGCGCATGACACTGGCCGACCCGGATTCGAGGGCGCGGTCACGGACATCGCACAGCGTCACCCGCCCCGACCTGGTCCCGGTGATGATCGTGTTCTCGTCCTTGAACGTCACGGACATCTGTTCGCCCACCACTCCCGTCATGAAGAATCCTTTGACCAACTCGTCAGCGGTTTCGGGTATGAGGGAAAGAGCGAGGCCGTCGCTCGTGGCCATCGCGGCCATTCTTTGCGTCGGCGACGCCGCCATGTCCAGAACATGAAACGGTACAGCATATGTGATGGAGGCGACCAACGGTGGCTCGAAGGACGCTCGGCGGGCGGCGGGCCCGACATCCTGCTCGGCCACGTACCGTGTCCTCGTGAGGTGAGAGGTCTCGCTGCCCGGGTTGCGACGAGTCCATACTACAGCACCGGCGCCGGCCGGAACGAGACAATCCGCGCCGGGCGAAGGGTTGTGGATGATTTGGTGGTGGTTGTAATCATAAAGATATCCGCTGGCGCGCCTTTCGTCGTGTTCATCGTAGCCGACATCGGGCCAGGCCCCGTCGTCGTCATCGTCGCCGTCGCCGTCGGAGTCGAGGCCGAGGGCGAGGAGAGTTCTACGGTTTAGACGCCGTGGCACCTTTGGACAGGACGAACGAGGCAACACGACGACTCCACCTGCGTACTCGACGGCATGCACACGCTCGCGTGCCCCATGATCACCACGTCTGCGTCTGTACAGCTGGTGTATGTTGTCGATCGATGCGATCAGTTCGCCCGATGACCCGATGGTGAATTTCTGAGAAAAAGTCGGCCTCCAGTCCTCCGTCACAGAGCCCTGCTTGCCACGTCGTCGGGTGCAGACTGCGCTCTGGCCCGTGAGCCCGGCGGCATAGTACTCTGCGACAATCGAGCCAGCACCTTTGTGGAGGTCGCCCAGGCGTCGCTCAAACGAGAACAGGGGGTGCTGTAGAATCGAAGACCGCGAAACGGTGGCGGCATTTTTGGTCCATCTTGACGCTTCCTCACGTCGGACCGTCTCCTCGATGGCACGTTGCGCGTTGACGGCTTGCCGGCTGTAGTTGGCGCCGGCGGGGGCAATGTGGTTGGCTTGGATCTTGAAATAACGGTTCGCGGAGGCGTCGTAGTAGTAGCCTGGTATCTCTGCCGGCATCCTCTGTTGGTTGCAGGCCGATAACGGGCCGTTTTTATTCACCTCATGTAAGCAGTAAGAAGATATATTTCACCAGACCAGATCAAACTGGATTTCATGTGGGCAGAAAACAGCGTGCACACCTTTGCCGGTCAAGTGGGGCCTGAAATGCTACTTTTTAAACGGTGTTGATTTCCGGGGGGAAAAAAGAGATGGATTTGCTGTACAAGATATGTTCAAAAATTCCAGATCTGGGCAAGTGCAGCCTCGTACAATATTCAACGCTGCAATACAAAGTTGTAACACATTTCATTATTGCAGCTGCGGAGAGGGAAATATCCCGAACAAGTTCGTTTTGATCTAGGTCATTGCTTCATCATATTCATTTAACCCCCTCAAAACCACTTGAGCCCTCCCCTCCTAGATTCAGGAATCTTGCTCAATCTCATACTCATTGACTCCCATTCCCCAAACATGTCCCATACTGACAACCCATTCTCTACCGACGTTGATCCTCCATTTTTCTTCGGTCATATCATCTGCGGCAAGAGTGCTTGTACCACTGGCTGCTGAGAGACCACCTATGCCTGTCCCAGAAGTTCGCACCACCAGCCGTAGTTTCTCCAACTCACCCAGTTCTCGGTACACTCGATCACTCACTACGTTCCCCGGGCGGTTTGGAATGCCGTGCGGGTGAATGGCACGGAGGATAGCCAGTAGTCTTTCCAAGGAGAATGATTTGGGTATACCCAGATTGGCAGTTGCAGCGAAAATGGACTTGTTGCGTGACTTGGTCGGTGTTGTAAGTTCCGAAGTGGTTTTTCTCTTTGTCGGCGTCTGTCTCAGTCTCCGGATCTTCTTGCTAGTTGCGCTCGAGGCAGAGCTCAAGCGTGAAAATAGTAGAATGTCGTGTTTAGGTGCAGTATGACTAGCAAGGTAACATGCCAGAAGAAGAAGAGTTGGGAAGTGCTTCAACAACGGTGGCCGTTGCTGTTGAGAGGTCTTCGAGATGGTCGAGCTTGACATCACATTTCCGCCTCGGCCGACTATGTGATTCGTTCCGTTTATATGCGTCTGGTCGGTTATAGGACGGAATTGTCCTTGCGAGAGTTCAACAGGCAGGGTTGTGGTCAGAGCCTTCTCACCCTCAAGTTGGAAGATTGAGCGGCCTCGGACAAGAAGCTTCGCAAAGTCCCAGCATTTATTCTTGCCCATTCCTGGTGCCGGCTCGCCTGAGGTGATGGGTTGGACGAATATCGGCCATAACTTGTCACAAAGCGATGCGAATGCTGTGAGTGAAGTTGATGAAGTTGCCAGGAGAAGGGAGTCGTAGATCGTAATCGCAAACTGCGCGTAGAGTCTTGCAGTGCTCTCTTCTTCCATTCCAAGCTCTGATGCAGACGGCGACGGTCGCCCTAAAGTGACTATTCGCAGTGCCTCGGATCTGGTGTACGGAGGAAAGTGGACGTATGGGACACCAGGCTTATGAAGTAAGAGAGGCTTCGGAGAGCTCGATGTGAGGAGGATCGAGAATTCAGGAACCTGCCGTTCGAGTTTAGAGAGGGCTAAACCAAGTAGAACTGCATGAGATTATGGTGTACCTGATCACCTAGTCGTGCAAGTGCTGGGAGTAGTGTTGGTCCGGCTTGCTTCAGCTTGTCGATAGCCTCAATGACAACCACAAACTTCCTCTCCCTGTCTCTTTCACTCAGTCTGCGAAGATTGCCCAGCAAGGCATTGATGCTGTCAACCCTATCATATTGTTCGAGGTGCGATTCTTGTTCCAACCCGGCAATGCAGGCCGCAAAGATTTTGGAGAGAAGGTGTCTCTGAGTCAGGCATTCTCTACCTCTGATCAGAGCATGTTGTACATTCGCCTTTTCTAAAATGTTAAGAATGATCTCTGTCTTGCTCGTGTTCTCGAGGCCGTTGGCGACGAGGATCGGAGGACTCGGGGAGATGTTCTATTCAACTAAGGTTAGACAGTGCGGTTGCTCCTGGGGGCTTGGAGTGAGGTTGAGACGACCTTACATTATAGTAAATCGCTAGCTGCGATATCTGGGATTCTCGGCAGGGACACCTCCGCAGGATCGAAGCAAGTATGTATGGAGGTAGCATTATGGGTTGTTGGACGACCAAGATCACAGCGCAGACGCGTCCTTGGTTCAAAGTTACGCGCATTGCCGCAGCCTTATCCCGCAATTTTATAGGCTACGGAAGGCTGAGCAACTTTTGACCACATGGACCAAGGCTGAATTATTGTTACTACGACTGAGACTCTAACATGTAAAAAGTCCGAGCATTGCTCTAGGATACAATTTTCTAGCTAATGAAGTCTAGCCTGTCTGATGGTACAGGACCATTTGCCCCAAGAGGGGGTCTATTCAAGGAGACTTGCTGCGGTGTGAATACATACATAAACCAATTTCTCTTCTCCATGATGAAAAGCAACTCTTCGTATCCAGTATGTGCAATGCCAATGGTGCAGCATGAAGCTCGCCTTAAATGCCAATGCTGTCAGGAATGAGCTGCCTTTCCAAGGCTCGTGAGGCATGTCACATATTTTTTTGTTTGTTTTGTTCCAAGAGATACCATAAACCTCGCCAGCCATGATGAAAACCGAAAACACAAGGGAAAAAAAAGACTTGCTGTGCAAACCAACCATCATCCATGTCAATCCTCTGACTTCCTGCCAGACTGATACTGGACTAATAGCTAGCCTCGGATGCATAATACAATATTGAGTTGGGCCGTAATGTGTGTCATGAAATTTTGAAATCCTTTTTGAGTTGTTACAGTCGTCGCAAAGGACACGTCAAGATGAAACGTAATCGTTCTTCGTCGCTAATGTCTTGAGCACGTGCCGTGGGGAAATTGAGTAGTCATTATGTCGTGACTCGTAATCGTGTCGGCGCTGATATGTTGTGATGGTACGCTTTTTCAAAGCATATTGTTGGGGCCATTGAGATATCTGGGATAACCGTTCTGGCCAAGATCGGTACCATAGGCATTGTCATTGTACATGGGAGCCACATCGCTACGGGGCATCATGCCAAATCCGTTGGATCCGACATTTTCGTCTCCATAACCGTTCGGAGCACGCAGTGTGTTGAAGCCACCACCAACAATCTGGACATTGCGTCGACTGTTGGCACGACTTCCGGTGAAGCTTGCAAGAATGTTCTCGTTTGTAGCAGCATTGGCACGGCTCTGAACAACCTCGTTGCCCATGATCTTGCTTGCAATGCGACGACCATGTGGAGTTTGTTTGATCAATGGAAGGATCGGGCGGATTGAGTCGACCAGACGCATCTTGGTCTGCGGATCAGCGAACTCCATCGCAGTTTGAACCACGTAATTCGCAAATGCATCGCGCAGCATCTTCTCAAGTTCCGGACCCATTATCATCTCTTCGATCATGGCTTTCTTGGTCTCAGTGTCGGCACTGCGCAGACACTTCTCGATGACGTTGGAGCTGAACTTCTGTTTGGACAATGCAGGGATACGACCGGCAAAGGCGTCGCACAAGGGTTTGGTGAAGGCTGGCTCATCTAGGTCCAGGATATACTGAACGACGTAATTGCCGAAAGGATCTTGGACAAGATCAAAAGCACAATGAGTGATTCTGGCAATAAGCTGGGCACGTTGGAAACCCTGGGCATGATCGATGCAGCGTTGAAGAACACAGCATCCATGGCGATGAGTGCCGACCACCACACAGAATTTGCCAACAGCATCGTAGATGAATTGAGACCGGTCTGCGCCGAGACGAGTGAGGCATTTCTGCACAACGTGGTTGCCGTTGAGATCCTGAACAAGATCGACCACACGTGGAGTCAACGATTGGATAATCGTGTCGACTTGTTCTGGAAGATTAACAAACTCAATCATCTTCTGCAATGCGCGTGTGCCATGTTGGTTGAGTGCAATGCTTGTCAGGGCAGGCGCGGCAGCATTGATCAGGGTAGTACGCTGTTCATCATTGCAGTGCTCGAACAACTTCTGACATAAGTAGTTACCAAATGGATCAGTCATGAGCTCAATGATGTGAGGGCAAGTCTCCACGAAGATGGCCTGGATATGCTCTTCATTTCCATCTTCGAGCTTGCGCTGAAGATAGCGACAACCATGTTGGTCTTTGCAAAGCTCATAGAGATTGCCGCGGTACGACTCAAGTGGGACGTTGTTAAAGCGAGCCTCATCTGCATGGTTGCGACGGCCAGTTCCAGAGCGTTGAAGTTGAGCATTGTAGGCACTGTTGATGTTGTACATACCCTGACCTTGGCTATAAGCCTGGACAGGTCCACCCACAGGAGCCGACGGGTTCATCTGGCTGACATTGTAGGTCTGCATGTTGTATGTGTATGGTTGAGGTGCCATGGTAGAAGTCGGGCTACTCATCGTATTCAGCGCGTTGTCAGAAGCCGTGGGGTAGGTAGTACTGAATGGCGCAGCACTTGCGTGAAGGTTTGAGATCGACGATGTTGGGTTGCCTGATTTGTCCTCAAGCTTGCTTCCACCGTTTGCCACTTCGCGACTCTGACGGTTAGTCACAGCGTTGGCAGGAATTCGTCCCAAACTGACGTTGTGGTTGTGGAATTGTTGCTCCGCGTGAGTCTTGGAAGGAGTCGAAACTGTGTCGAGAGTCAATGCTTTCTTGACAGTCGGCACGTCGTTGGTAGAGTAAGAAGTCTGAAGGGAAGCGGGCCGAGTGTTGGAAAGATTGGAGGGCAGAAGTGAATTATCTTCAAAGGTCACACCCATGGAATGGCGCTGCGACTTACGGCGCGACGGCTCGCCTGATCGATCTGCGATAGGACTGTTGAGGCTCAGATTGCTGAGAACAGGTCGGTACATGGACGAATCAGTGTGTGGCATGCTCTGGTGGCCCGGTTTGTAGCGGAAACCAAGGGTCCAGTCGAGGTCTGGATCTCTTGAATTGGCAAGATCAAGAGCTGCAGAATTGGCAGATAGCTATGAACTCATCAGTACAGGCACGCAGGCTCGGCAATAACCAACTAGTTAAAAGTACCTTGAGACCGTCGCTGGTCAGAGTGGGGAAAGTATCGTCGCCCTCGAGTTGAGCAAACGCCTTTGCCACCGGTGACTTCAGGTCAATCGCGTTGAGAGAGAGGTGTTTGTCATCGTCTTCAGTATCGAAGAGGAAGCTTGTAGCCGAAGAGACAGGACCGAAAGAGTGGTGAGTGGTGCTGCTGACACTCAGACGCGGTTGGCGACTGCTATTTACGGGCATGGAGAAGCGGTTAAGCCTAAAACCAAAATGTTAGAGGAGTAACAACCACAAAGGCAGGCGGTGAACAATGAGATGGGATGAAAGTGCCGCGAGTTGAGGGCGGTTTGCCCTTTCAGGTGAGGCGAGATTGATGTCACGTGATAGGACAGCCAGGGGCGGTTCGGCTCACTTGCCCCAGTGAACGTATTATCTCGTCCATTGTTAAGGCGTTCATGCAAGGAAGGTAAGCCGAGTGTGAGGTTGTGAAGGCACTTACGTAGCAGCTCGAGTATTGCTCAGGTCTTCGGGATAATACTCGTCCTCATCAGATCCACGACGTGAACCAGGAACTGACTTCGCGGAGGGTTTCTGGCTTTGGCTCAGGAGACCATTTGCCGAAAGGCGGTTAGCAGGAGGAGAGGTGAGAAAAGAGCTGGATTGCGAGAGTCGATTGCTAAGTCCTGGGGGCGAGATGACGCTGTTCATAGACAACCTGCTCGAACGCGAATAACGGTTGCTCAAGCCGCTGTCAGCATACTCGGGAGGAGTTGTTGGCTCGCTGACAGGGCCATTGAAGCTCATTCGGCTCATTCTCGTAGAGATCCGGTCGAGATCTTGGGTGTTGGATCCTAGTTGCAAATTGCGTTCTTGCGCCTCCAAGAACCGCAATTGCTCTTCAGCTTTGCGTTTGGCGGATTGGATATCGTCGTAGATCTGCTTGTTCTTTACCTGCGAAGAAGGGATATCAGCCGAATGAAGTGGTTTGACTAGGCATCATCACGCGAGAATGTTGTGGTAAGGGTTGTGGTAAGGAGGAAAGAGGAGAAGAGGTAGAGTGACTGCCGAAGAATGAACTGAAATCAAATCAAACCAACGCAAAGCAGTGGCTGATTGAATTCACATCCAACGGTACAAAACTCCGCTTGGCGCCTCACCACAGCCAAATGGGATTTGGCACGCGATAGCATATTGTTTCATCCAAGCACAATAGGCCAAGGTCTGAATAGTGTCACTTAAGATGTATTACCACATACCGAAGTTGGAGTGATAGAGGAATACTGTTGTCCAAATGGCCTCGCGACAGGCATCTTACTCGAGTCCGTTGTAAATCGTCTTTGCAAACTCGCACGCGCATCGTTGGATGAGGTATGTACACTCGGGAAGAAAGGGCTTTGTTCTCTTGTGGACGAGCCATTGGGGCTGAATGTACCATCTGCTTCGGGTGATCGCAGGCTTGGGAATCGCAGTTCCTCCATACGGCCGCTGAGCGTGTTCGAGAAAGCCATGACTGGTGATCTACATCATATTCACCTGGTCAGCTTGAGATCCTTTGGTGTCATATAGCACAAACGCCATCGAGGCCAGGGGACTCGTCGGCCATATCGCCCTGAATTCTGGCGGGCCGCTAGACCTAGGCACTGGCCCCTGTGGCAGATGCACAGATACCATGCGCAGGATTCAACGCCAGGCATTGACTACATACATACCTAGCAAGGTGGAGAGAGCTCTCTGGAGTCCTGCTCGTGTCTGTGGTTTGGCAGCGGTCGTTTCTCGAGGCCCTGGCGCGGGAGCTGTGCTGGCCACGACAGGCTACTTTTCGACTGGCTCACAGGCACCCGACAGGAGGAAGAGCAACGAAATGCAATGAGGCTGCGTGCGCGCCGCAAGCAGCAAGCAGCACCACTATTGAGGATGCTATAATGACAGTAGAACAAACACAGACGCAACAAAAAAGGAAAAAGAATATTGTTACAAATGTGCAAAGTGAGGGAGAGACCTCGAGGGACCGGGTCGAAACCACAGAGTAGCAATGGAGGTTGGACCTCAACTCTTGGGCTCCGGGCTGGTCATTTCGGGGCAAGCGCCAAAGTCAAGCCAGCATGCCAGTGGGTAGAGGCCTAGACGAGATTGTTGGGTCGATTGTGAGCACCGCTGCGACTCGGCGTGGGCTCCTTGAACTGAACGCCAGGCCTCTGCCACTCATAAGCGACGTCTGGAGCTTTGCCCGCCTAGCGCTCCAGGCTAATCCCAAGTGACCGGGGTAGAGCGACAAGGACCGGGTCGTCATCACAGGTCGAGGGCTTGGTTGAATGAGGGCGATCGACCGCAGATGGGTTTGTCTCGCCTGGATCAACTACGGAGTACAATCCCTTGCTTGGACCTGACAACCAACAATGAGATATGCCGTCCCAAGCCAACTCCCTGGGCTCCTTGTCTACAGGCACCATGTTACGCCTGGAAATTGAGCTGATTGAAGCAAGACAGCCCCTGGACCCTGCCTTTTAGGTTCCGGGAGGTAACCGCCTAGCGGGGGGGGGGTATCGCGATTGTTAGCGGCCTGGACGGCGAGGGGCGAGGGGCTGCTGGTCAACTTGCTGCTGTGCCCCTCGACAGCAGATCCACGGGAAATACCCTGCCATACGAGTAGTACTGCACTGTGCCATCTGAGAGTGGTCCTCATTCTCATACTGTATGATAAAAGAGACCGTCACCAACCCACGCATTCAAGCCCTGTTATGTTGCTCGGGAGTTCGGAATATTTGATGCCTGACGTATGGGCGTGCTGGAGGCAACGCCCTGCTGTCAGTCATGGCCACTCAGCCTCGAGGGCGCCAACAATGAGACAAAATCTTCCCTAGTGCCACTCCGGCAAGTCTTACAGAGTACTCGTAATGGTTACAGTGCTCATCCTCCCAGGTATTGCTTTACCTGGGTGGTCACAGAGTAATTAGGTAGATAGTCATGCTCGTCCAATAGTTCGTCTGCCTACTGTATAGCCCATCGTAACACTCTACCCTTCCAAGCACCATTGCCCTGCCGTCAGACCAAAAATGCACCCCTTGGATGTGGGGAAGAGGCAAGCTTGTTTTGGTGGGCTTCGTTTTGGCTTCCCCAATCCAAGAGGTTCAAGAGCACGACCAGCGCCTGGGAGGAAAAGGCGGTCAAGAACTGGAAAAATAAGGGGTCCGCTCGAGACATCGACGCCCCTCCAAACAAATTGACCTACTGGCGCCGCCACCAGAATCGATAAATCGAGATCCAAACCACGACCCTCGCTGTCTGCTGTCCCAATTGCCCTAACAAAGGTGTTGCCACTCCAGCGTACTCTGTGGCTGCTGCTTACGGAACGGCATGGGGCAATCTGTCCCGACTCCTTGCATGACCGCCTCGATATGAGCAAACCGTAGGAAGTCACGTTGTCGGCCGAGGTCAAACATTGAGCATACGGAGTATCCGTCCCAGATTTTCATATATTGATGCATCCACACCTGCATCACCTAATCTCATGTACGTGCAGCGTATCACAGGCCGCGAGCAGAGCAAGCCATGTCGAGCGCACAGTGCGCCAGTGGGCCACAAGCGAGGATTGACACGCTGGGCTTCAGCCTCCTGGTAGGTAGGCTATCCTGGTAGCTTCACGTTAGAAGGCAAGAGGTCCAAAATGTTTGGGCGAGTCTACTGTCAGAGGACTACTGGCCAGTATAGTAGTGGCCTAAAGCAAGGTCGAGATGCAGGATGATGTCGGGGCAGCCGTCCCTGCATTACTCGCCCCTCTCTCAAGGCAGAGAAACTGTGAGCAGAAAGTAGAAAACCAGCAGCAGAAACTTCATCCGACGAAGGAAGCGATCTCACCAGTGAATGACGGGCTTGAATTTCTTCATCGTCTGGTCCAAAAGTTTAGACGCATGGGGGAAAGATTCTGCATACTCGGTACTCGTCTGTGATGCAGATGATGCGACGAGATTCTGGATTTGACCTGCTTTGGGGATAGAACGGGATGCAATGCAGAAACAGCTCGCTGCAGCTGCAGCTTCCTGGAGTCCCCTGCATCAAGAAAAGTCATCACAGGCAGGAAATCGATCCACTCTCAAAGCAGGCATTTGACGAAGGATCAGACGTCCCGTGTGCAATGCCCACTGCCATTTGGGCTTGTACTTTTCTAGCTTGGACTATCTGGCAGCAGGTCAAGATAATAATGAGGTGGCTGTCGGGCAGCTTGTGTCAATGTCCACCAGGCCCACCGGTTCGGCTGTCAGAGTGCATACATCACGGCACTCAACCATCACTCGCTTTACGGAGTACGAGCACTCGTAGCATTAGGACATGTACTCGGTACAGCACTCCGTACTCCGTCAAGGACTCCGTTTCCATTCTGGTAGAACATAGCACACTCTTCGACACCTGATGAAGAGCCGATCCCGGGACTGCGGCCTAAAATGCTCCGCGGCGCACGACAGTCATTGTGTCTTCATGACTACAGTACATTCATGAGAGCGACTCAGTCCTCGTGTGCCAGAATAGGGCACTTGAGTGTCTTACAAATGCGAGTCTTGCAATTGATTCCTCCCCGTCCCTCATACTGGATCGTTCACGTGACTCGGGCCACCTTCCCTAACAAAACGCTGCCCTCTTCTCACCGCCTGCTGCATCGAGGCGACGATGGTTTGTATGGCGGCAGAATTTTTTCTGTGCGGCGGCATGTTGCCCACCCTGCTAACCGTACCGCGACAGAAATAGTTGAATCCTTTTGATTGTCTTTTCTGCGCCAGAGCCCGATCGCTCCAGGAAATAGCATGCGAGATCTCTTCGTATCGTTTTTGCTGGTTGTCTCGGTGAACATAGCCGATGCCGCCCAAGAAGAAAGTTGACGGTGCTGAGGCAGCACCTCAGCAAGCCACTAGAAAATCTATTGCGCCGAAGGTGGTATGTCTATGGCGTATTTGTCGCTTCTGCAATGCTTTCGACTAAACAAGATCAGAAAACCCTTCCGCGCAAGTCCGTCACAAAAGAAACCGCCGCCGATGCGACTACAACCCACGAGGCACATGGTAGTAAAGATGATTCGAAGCACGAAAAACACCCTCGAAAACCCTCCCATCACGCAGACAGCTTCGACGCTGCCCTCCAACCCTTTTACTATGGCAAATCCCTAACCGATCCGATCGACACGGCTCGTGACAAGTGGAATTTGGTCCCGGCATTCTTGAAAGTGAAGGGACTGGTGAAACAGCACATCGAGTCGTTCAATCATTTCGTTGAGGTGGAATTGAAGAAGATTATTGAAGCTGAGCCGATAATTACAAGTGATATTGACCCTGATTTCTACCTCAAGTACGAGGACATCTATGTCGGGCGACCTTCAAGATTTGATGAACACTATGTCAACGATTCAAAGAACGAATCCACTGTCACACCCAACGAGTGTCGGCTACGTGACATGACCTATTCTGCGCCGATATTTGTCAATGTCCGGTACACCAAGTCGAAGATGGCTTATCGGCGGAGGGGTATGCTTATTGGACGCATGCCAATCATGTTGCGGAGTTCCAAATGTGTCCTGGCTGGCAAGTCCGAGGCCGAGATGTGTGCGATGGACGAATGTCCTTTGGACCCTGGTGGCTATTTTATCGTTAATGGTACCGAGAAGGTGATCTTGGTCCAAGAGCAACTCAGCAAAAATCGTATCATCGTCGAAGCCGATGCCAAGAAGGAGCTCATCACGGCGTCCGTGACCAGTTCGACCCATGCCAGGAAATCCAAGAGCTATATCGTCCTTAAGAAGGACCTGCTGTATATGCGACACAACGTTCTGAACGAAGATGTTCCTATCTGCATATTGCTAAAAGCAATGGGCGTGACTTCTGACTTCGATATGAGTGCTATTGTGGCGGGCACAGACTCTGTGTTGCAGGAAGATTTTGCTATCAACTTTGAAGAAGCCATCAAGAATCACATTTATACGCAACAACAAGCCCTGGATTATCTCGGGGCCAGGATCAAGATCACCCGGAAGCCTACACCGTTCGGACAATCTCGTCGAAACTATGTCCAGGAAGCAATAGAGGCAGTTAGCAATGTGTTTATTGCTCACGTCCCCATCGAGAACCTGAATTTCAGACCGAAGGCAATCTATGTCGGCCACATGGCCCGGCGGGTGCTGATGGCGAAACAGAATCCTGCACTTGTAGACGACAGAGACTATGTGGGAAACAAACGGTTGGAATTGGCTGGCCAACTGCTGTCACTGCTCTTCGAAGACCTGTTCAAGAATTTCAACTACAGCATCAAAATGGCAATCGACAAATCATTACGAAAGCCCAACAAGACCCAGGTCACTGATCCCTGCGACACAATGATGGGACAAGCTGGTCACATTACCCAGGGAATGAATCGAGCCATTGCCACCGGAAATTGGAACCTCAAACGTTTTCGAATGGATCGTGCTGGAGTCACACATTTACTGAGCCGGCTGAGCTTTATTGCTTCTCTCGGTATGATGACAAGAATATCGAGTCAATTCGAAAAGACACGAAAAGTCAGTGGACCGAGAGCCCTCCAACCGTCATCATTTGGTATGCTCTGTCCCGCCGACACACCAGAAGGTGAAGCATGCGGGTTGGTCAAGAACTTGGCTCTCATGACTCACATCACTACGGACGACGAGGAGGCGCCTATCAAACGGCTTATATTCATGCTCGGTGCTGAAGATATTGTGACTGTGGGAGGCGCCGAGCTTTATTCACCGGGATCTTACCTGGTCCTTTTGAATGGTACTCCAGTAGCCACCACAAGACATCCATCACATTTCTTGACTTCATTTCGACGGCTGAGGAGGTCGGGGCGTATCTCAGAATTCGTATCAACCTTCATCAATCACCACCACAGCACCATCCACGTGGCTACGGATGAAGGACGGATTTGTCGACCTCTCATTATTGTGGAAGACAAAAAGTCCAAAGTCACAAAACGGTATTTGAAGTCTCTGCGCCAAGCATCGATGGACTTTGACGACTTTCTGGCCAGAGGACTGGTGGAGTATCTCGATGTCAACGAGGAGAATGACAGTAACATCGCCCTTTATGAGGGCGACATCAATGCTTCGACAACGCACCTGGAGATCGAACCTTTCACAATTCTTGGTGCTGTAGCTGGATTGATCCCGTATCCCCACCACAATCAGTCACCCAGAAACACATACCAATGTGCTATGGGTAAACAAGCCATTGGATTTATTGCCAACAATCAATTCCTCAGAATCGATACCTTGCTCTATCTCATGGTGTATCCTCAGAAGCCACTGGTCAAAACTCGGACTATCGAGCTGGTAAAATACGACAAACTTCCAGCTGGACAAAACGCAACTGTCGCAGTCATGTCCTATAGTGGATACGATATCGAAGATGCCCTTGTCCTGAACAAGGCATCAGTAGATCGAGGCTTCGGACGATGTCAGGTTCTGCGTAAATATCCCGTAACCCTCAAAATTTACGCAAACACGACTAAAGATCAAGTTGAAGGCCCTACTTGTGAAAATGGCGCTCCTATCAAAGCCCACGCCCTGCTTGATGTGGATGGCATCGCTTCTGTTGGTGCCAAAGTCAGTCAGGGTGAAGTCTACGTCAACAAGGCTATCCCTGAAAATTCAAACTCATCTGGACTATCGGATGGAGGATCTAACAGTGGGTACAGTCTAATTCCTCAACCACAGAAATATCGGCTTCCAGATCCCAGCTACATCGACAAGGTCATGGTCTCCGAGGTTGAAGCGGGCCATCAACTCATCAAGGTGCAAACCCGACAGACCAGAGTGCCAGAGGTCGGTGACAAGTTTTCTTCTAGGCACGGACAGAAGGGTGTCGTTGGCATCATCGCCGAACAGGTCGACATGCCCTTTTCAGACCTCGGCATCACCCCGGACATCATCATGAATCCGCATGGTTTCCCATCCCGTATGACGGTCGGTAAGATGCTTGAGCTCGTCTCGGGCAAAGCTGGTATCTTGAAGGGCAAATTCGAGTACGGGACTGCCTTTGGTGGCAGCAAGCTCGAGGACATGTCACGGGCACTGATCGAGTCGGGTTACAGTTACGACGGCAAGGACTACCTCACGTCTGGCACCACCGGCGAGCCCCTGCCGGCATACGTCTTTACGGGACCGATCTACTACCAGAAACTCAAGCACATGGTCCAAGACAAGATGCACAGTCGCGCTCGCGGTCCGCGAGCCATCTTGACGAGACAGCCCACCGAGGGTCGATCCAGAGACGGCGGTCTCCGTCTGGGAGAAATGGAACGTGACTGTCTGATCGCGTACGGTGCGTCACAACTTCTTCGTGAGCGGTTGATGTTATCCAGCGACAAGCACGAAGTCGACGTGTGCGAGTCGTGTGGGTTCATGGCATTTGGGCGGTATTGCCAACGTTGTAGTACGGCGGGTGAGAGCGGGTCGAACGTCGTTCGGATGACGCTGCCTTACGCTTTCAAGCTCTTGCTCAACGAACTGGGAAGCATGAACGTGAATACTAGGTTGATCGTGTCGGATGAGTTCCCCTCGGACGGGTCAAGAAGGGCTTGAGAACCTTTCTTTTGTTTTTCCTTGTCCATGACTCCCTCCCTCTATCTGCAGGGTGAACAGGTTGAAAAACCTCGGACATGAGTGATGATTTATTTGTTTTTTCTTTGGCTTGGAATCAGCATGGCACGGCATAGCGAACAGGAACTAAGTCCGGGATGTGTGAACTACGGGAAGGACAAGAGTGTAAAGAAGACTTGGCCATTTTTTTTCCTGTCTACCACGAAACGGATGCATGAGCGAACGGCGTATTCTTTACTTTTTACTTTTCGAAATCGTCTTTTGTACTTGCAAAGAGTCACGACCTATGAGTGGATTAGATGATGAATGGTCTATATCACGATGGCTTCACAATGACAAATAAATTCGCAGCAAGAACGTTTGTACAGAGTATGAAATATGAAGATGATTTTTCAAACGAAGAGAACCGAGTTGGCCCCCTCTAATTTCATGTGTACCGCCAGCGCCGAGTGTTTAGGGCGGCTGCTGCTGCTGCTGCTGCTGCTGTAGCCGAGCCTGTAATCGTGTTTGACATCGTGGTTGCTGTTGTTGCTGCTGTTGCTGTGGCAGTTGTTGTTGTTGTTGTAGCTGAGTCTGTAACGGGGTCTGGCGTGGCTGTTGTTGCAAGTTTCTAGGATCTCCCGCAGGATATCTGCGGTTCATCTGAGGCGGAGGTTGAGCCAACAAGTGAGCCGGAATAGGTAACAGCGGTCGCATCGGGTGTAATCCCTGTTGCGATTGTTGCTGTTGCTGTTGCTGTTGCTGATGTTGTTGGGGTTGGGGTTGGGGCTGCGGCTGTGGCCGAGGATCTTTGAACCATCTCCTTCCACTGTCCGACCGGTCGTAGAGTGCTTTCCAGTCATTCTCCGGCTCGAACCAATTCGGTGGGAAGTGTCCGTACTTTTCCATCGGGAGTCGAAGGCGGCGAACGTCCGGGTTGACGAACTCTCCGGTCATCAGATACGTAATCTCCCAGGCTTTGGGACGGAAGTGGGCGTCACCCAGAGGCATGTCGTTGATTTCGTGACCCTGGAAAAATACCTTTTCCGAGTGCTCGGGCACTTCGTCGTGATTTTGGTCGGCGGCCCCTGCTGCTGCTGCTGCGTTGTTGTTGGTGGCGGCGTTGTTGGGAGCAAGCGTAGCCGCTGCTGCTGTTGCTCGGGCTTCGCTCCGAGCCTTTAGCAGTCTCCGTTCGGCCAGACGAAGACCGAACCGTGTTTCGTCGAGCAGTTCGAGTTGCGTCGGGCGTGCGGCCGGATTGGGGTCGAGACATCGATGGATCAGACGACGGAGGCGGCTGCTGTAGACGCCCGGCTTCTTGGTCCTGACTCCCGAGAGCTGGTGGTTGCCGTTTCGCTTGAACTCCTGGGTGGTGCGAGCACGCGTGTGACGAATGTCCTCTCGGCCACGGAGGGTGAGGAGATTGAGCATCGTCGCACCGACGCCGTAAATCTGCAGAGACAAACAAAAAGGGCTAGTTAGAATATGCTATGCTGTGACAAAAAAAAACCACGCTGGTACTGCCGCTGCTCACATTAAGTGCATGATCGAAAAGAACATCGTGGTCGTCACCAGGACCATTGTGCTTTTTCTTTTGCATCAGCTTGGCTTGTTTGTAATTGAGTCGACGGCCTTTATCATCGTCTATCCTCGTCCACCCCCCTGTTGCAGGGATATTCCAATGAACTCCGTAAGAAAGTTGTTCCTGCGAAATAGTGTCAGTCGCGGGTGTGGAAGGAGAGGAGTCAAAGGGATGATGGTCTTTACCGGAGGTGCATATTGATCTGTTCGTCGCCACCAGTACTGGGAAGGGTTGAACGGGTCCTCGTCTGTGATGGAATCATGTTAGAATGCTGACGATAAATGACAACTCTGGCAGAACAAAGCTCTCGAGGTACTGCCATTACTGCCGAGAATGGAGAATCTACTTACTGCTGGTGTAGGTGGCAATCCCATAGTCTCCCAACTTGGTCTGGGGAAAGTCGTGCTCCTGGGGATCTTCCGGGGCGTAATCTAGAAGGATGTTGGCCGGTTTGATGTCCATGTGGATACAGTATCCATCGCTGCGGTCCTCCATGGTCATGAGCCATGGCCACGCCAGACTGTCCGGTGGTGGGGTATCGCGCAGCGCCTCGCACGAACTGGCAAGTCGGTAGAAGACGTGCCAGATAAAGACCTCGGGAAGATGTGTGTCCCACGCTCGATATGCGCGGACCAGCCGTGCCAGGGTTCCGTGGCCGCAGTACTCGAGGTACGTACGATACCTCCCGACGGACCGATCGGGCTTGTCTATCATGAACTTGTAGCCTCGCACATGTGGCGCCACACTCTCGTCCTTGAAGTTGAGGTCCTTTTGAATCACAACTTCCTTCAGCAAGCGTTCAAAGCCGGCGTACTCAACCTCTCTCCATTGTAAAATCTCGTCCATGTCATCCTCTTTGAGAGCCAGTTCATCCACAATTTTATTGGTACCGTCGCGTTTCTGCCAGAGTCCAACGTGTCCGTAAGACCCGGACCCGAGCATTCGGACTGGGCCCCATTCTTCGTCGTCGGCATTGTCTCTCTCAAACAAGAGGAATTTCAGCATGAACTGCCTGTCCTCCTTCTTCTTTCCAAACGCTCCTCTTCTGATTCTTGCGGCCAACCAGTCTCGCCTGTACAGTTGCCGTTCCTGTCGAGTTCGCGCCGTCTCCGGGACAAGGTATCCAGCCTCATTGAGGTCGGGTGTTTCTAGTTGATTAGCAGGTTGAGCTATTCGGCGCCAGCGCATTGTGATGTAGTGTCGAGAAGGATAATGTGAAATGAGATCAGGTATGTAATGAATTGTCTGTGTCGAATAATCTACAGGAGGAAGAAAAAAAAATACAAATCGCCTAGATGGAAAGGTTGAAAACAGTAGAGCAGATGAATACATCCATCTTTGTTGTCCGTTTGCATCGTCAAAACGCAGATTGTTAGATAAAGTCTATCATTATGCTGAATATCAGAATCGATTGTTCTTTGTGAGACGACATGAGACAATAACGATGAATGGAGCCCGAAGATAGGTCCATAGCTCACCAGGTAATCTTGATATTTTTATGTTAGCCATCAAAGGCACCTGATGGATTGAGTAGGCCTACATTCGCAGCCATTGGAAAAACATGGTATCTGCGTTGAGAACACTGAGGTGAGAAAGGACTTTTTTAATAAAGCGACGAGGCAGAATGGAGTTGCGTGGGGAGGTTGAATAGTTCGCCGTACATAGCTGCACCTGGGGTTCATAGTGGCGTAGACGAAGACTCTACGCTATTTTCATGAACGTGGATATTTGTTATGCCCGTCAGATCTCGAATCTACGAGAATGCGTCAATTCTGATGTAAGTGAGCCACTGGTTTCGTGTGCCATCTCGAAACTTGTACACCCGTTTGCGGAAAAATGACTAGGCTCCTTTGTTTAGGAAGGGTAAGTAAAAGCGATACAATTGGTTCCACCAAAATTCATTCGATCTGCATCCTTTGCGTACAATGAGCGACGAATACTAGATTGCGTAGATTGAAAGGATATGCAACGCGTGGACGAGGTTTTGAACCATGTTGAGACGAGGCTGCAGAACATGGTGTTGGATAGGGGGGTTTATTGACACTAAACCACTTTGGGAACAGGTGGACGGCGTACGCCATCCAGAGTCTTGCTTCGACTATCATTTTTCGAGTACTCATGACGTGACCTTGCCCCTGTCTTTCACTTCTCTATGATTGGGAGATAGAGATAAGACCCGAAGCCTCCTCCAGTGTACAGGGTGGTGGTGCCCCCGAAAATGCTCTTTGGTCGATCTTGTTCACTATTGTGCAGCCACGGACCTGAACCACGCGCTATCCACGCCTCGTTAGGGGCCTCTGGTGGGAGTGGTCGTTGGAAGTCTTGACCACTTATCCAAAGAGCCCAATGGAACCCAGCTGGGAGGATCACGCTCGCAGGCCAAAGCTCGACATCGAGTTCGTAGATGTCACCGGGGGTCAAGGGCTGTAGCTCGTCGTGACTGTGATACGGACGATAGGGTAGTGTCTTTTTGAGGTCGAGTTTGCGGTGGCTGCCACGTAGCCAGCCTTGAGAAAGTGGCGTGTGAGGGTCGACAGTACCTTGGAAGTCAACCTCGCGACCGTCGGGTGAGAATGCTTGGAATGTGACGAAGATATCGACATCCGTCGTGCTCGATGACACATACAATTTCAGAGCGAGGGGGCCAGTGACTTCCATTTCGCGGTCGAGTGGCTCAGTGCAGAAGGTAATGCTACCTTCTAGGGCTTTAAAGGTGGCGTTGGAGGACTTTGGTATTGGTTTCCACGAGAGCTGTTGGCAACTTGCATCCAGGTAGGCTTTGGTCCACTTTGTGTCTGGCAAGGGCCACGATTTTTCCTTGCGCTGCTCGACATCAGTGGTGAATGGCCTTCTTAGCGTCAGGAGCACAGGCTCCTCCTTGTCCCATCCATTATCCGCACCTTTCAAGAAGTGATCCAGAAATCGTTGTTGGAGGGCCATTCCGTACTCCAAGTAGAACAACTCCTCGTGCCGGCCGACGTGTGTTTCCAGCCACTTTTGAGTCGATGCGGCCGAAGTGAAAGCCTCAAAGTTGCCACGAGCATGAAGACCATGGCCTCCTAGACTTGCAGCACTGAGGAAGGGAACCGTGACTTTGCTCCAATCTGGAGTTCTTGCAAGATACCACTCATCTTCGAGCGGGCGAGTTAGGACGTCTTGGATTGGATCTGCTCGGTTCTGTCGCAGCTGTTCATCGTCGTAGACGTCCGGCCCACTAACTCGGTCATTTAACCAGGGGTCGAGGATGGAGTTTGGATTACCATGCTGTACAGAGACAACCTGTCGAGGGTACCAAGTCTCCACGAAACCGTTGGAATGGATCCCGCCGTGACGAGCGATCTCGCGGTAAAAGTTCGAGGCGCCTTCCCAGGGTATGATGCAAGTCAGATGTGGTGGCTGGGTAGACGCAACCAACCACTGGTTGATGGCATAGTAGGAGATTCCATTCAGGCCGACTTTGCCGGTGCTCCAGGGCTGCGCAGCCGCCCATTCAATTGCATCATGGTAGTCTTTGACTTCCCGAGGCGACCAGATGTCTAAACGCCCAGGGCTTCGGCCAGCACCACGGGAATCCACGCGGATACAAACATATCCCAAGGGAACCCACATCTCCGGGTCGGTGGTCTCCCAGTTCATAAACTCTCTGCTCGACCCCGGTAGCATGTCCGGATGGGTTTCAATGAACCACTTCCACTGGGGAGCAAACTGGACAGAGTAGGGCGCGCCTTTGGCGTAAGGACCCAGTGTCATGATTACTGGGGCTGGCTGATCGTTGTTAGGTCGAAATATATCACATTTGATTGAGATACCGTCGTCCATTGGAATGGAGACATCACGCTCGACTATGAGGTTCTTGACGGCGGTCATGCTGAGTCGGTTGTTTCTTGGAAGAAAAATGTTAAAGGAGTTTAATCCTCTTTATCCTGACCAGGCAGCCCAGTTCTGTGATGTTTGTTCCTCTGCTGGTCTCAGTGTTGTGCCTTGTGTCAAATATAAAGGACAGGATCGCTGAGTGATGCAAGTACGCATGGAGTTGCCCATGGGGCAACATATCGGGGTATTGTACAGCAGAATATCCCGACTTCGTACAATAATAAACCACTTCGTACTACGTGACTCCGCATGCTGAGTACCTTTCCATGTCGTTGACAGGTACTGCATCGCTAGGTAACCAGGTCTGTGGAGTTTGCACGGAGTGATATGTCGATATGTCGTACGAAGCTCGTATTCTGCTGTGAATATCCCGATACATTGCCGCATATGGACCGCGGCTTCAAGTCATCGGCACAGCGGGCGGTTGTCATGTTTCTGAGTGAAGTGACTCAGGTTGAAGCAGCTTCGCATCGCTTCCGAGATCCAGGAGATCCAAAGCTTGGAGAATCACGAGAGACAATTTAGAGATACAACGCATAGTCGCATGGCACCGATGGCGATGGACTCTGACAAAAGTCCTCTCTTTTAATGAATACGAGATCAAATTCTGAAGCCTTCTGCCTGTATACAGAGTGGCAAATAATGCTCAGACTGGCCTCTGCAGAGTATGGTCTTTTCGACCATGAGCAACTTTTAGCGAACGCTGGAGCAGAGGTTTTTCAAATTGGAAAGCGGATTCGCAATGCGACTTATGACTTACTCTTTCTTCCTAAATGCAGATACATATTCAGATGTTGGAACCGTTGCCCGCATCTGGTGAGATCACCTCAAAACTTTTGTCCGCATCGCAGTAGGGACTTGATACTTTCAATTGCGGTGACGAGTGACGCTGATGAGCGGCGCAGGGTGTACTGAGTCTTTATTTCTGTGAACTTCTATGCCGCTTTCTGGCTCTTCAGGTCGCTTCAATGCTAGTAGAAGCACGTCTGGTTGCTTGGAAATCATTTGTCTAGACCTTGTTGACAGTCGTCCTTACATCAGACTCGTGAGTGCATTGTACATAGAGATATCGTAGGTACCTTGATGTTCAGCCCCGGACTATTTAGTTTTCCCTTTTCCGAGAGGATACGAATACGGGGTCGACACTCCAGGCGTTATCGATAAGTGCGGAAGAGTTCGCGGCCCGTGGCCAACACGACCAAGAAAAGAATCCCGATTGTCGAAGACTTTGTGATTCTGAATCTTGCTGCTTAATCTCCTGGGTTCATTCATTGTTCTCTGTAGCATACATTCGACCTCTGCAGCAATGTCCTCCAAAAACAGCGCTCCTCTGCCTACCGAGCTTCCTCTTCCGACCGATGCCAGTCTCTCCCACGGCTCCCTTGCAGACCTTCTCCCGTCACATTTCACCACCGAAATTACCCAGTGGCTTGCAGAAGACACGCCGTCGTTTGACTATGGTGGCTTTGTGGTTGGATCAAGCCCTCGAACAGCCCAGCTGCTTTGTAAATCCGCTGGAGTTCTTGCTGGTGTTCCTTTCTTCGACGAGGTCTTCCGCCAACTAGATTGCACGGTGGAGTGGCATCATGCTGAAGGTGAATTCCTAGATCCTGCGAAATCAGGAGGCAAGATCAAGGTTGCTACAGTTAAGGGCCCAACTCGCAAACTGTTATTGGGGGAAAGAGTTGCGTTGAACGCCCTAGCCAGGTGCAGTGGCGTGGCGTCAAAGAGTCGAAAGATGCTCGAGCTAGTACGGGGTGCAGGCTACAAGGGAGTTCTTGCGGGAACGAGAAAGACTACACCTGGATTCAGGCTGGTCGAAAAGTATGGTATGTTGGTTGGAGGAATCGATGGGCACAGACACGACTTGAGCAGCATGATCATGCTAAAGGACAATCACATATGGGCCAAAGGCAGCATCACCAATGCTGTCAAGGCGGCAAGGGCAGTTGGTGGCTTTGCCCTCAAGATCGAGGTGGAAGTTCAGACCGAGAACGACGCGGATGAGGCCATTGAAGCAGGTGCAGATGTTGTTATGCTGGATAACTTTGACGGTGAGGGCCTCAAAGTAGCTGCACGAAGCTTGAAAGAACGGTGGCAAGGCAAAAGGCAAGTGCTGTTGGAGAGCAGCGGTGGGTTAACGGAGGCCAATGTCAAAGAGTACATCAATAATGGTAAGATTGCGCCTACTTTTTCCCTATGTGCATGACTGATCCTAGCCTATAGACATCGACATCATCTCTACCAGTGCGGTGCATCAAGGTGTACCACATGTAGATTTCTCACTGAAAATTGATCATTGATGACAAGGTGTTCTTCTTCTTAATCCTGCCCAACAAACTCTGTCCTTCCGATGATCGTCCTGCATTGCTCTGACTTGAACTCCCAGCCCACTCTGTGCCGAGTGTGATTCCACATGAGACAAAGTATGTTTGCTTTGGCGGGGGATTTCGGACTCTGCGCTTTTCTCATTTTCAGGTTCGCGAGATATGCCGGAGTTCCGCCGCCAAGCGCAGCCAATACTGGATGTTTCAGCCTCGTTGTATGGATATCATTCCCGACCCTCAGCCTCACGATGTTGCCGTTATGGACTCTATGCTTTTTTCACATTTGAGAACAGTGAGCCTTTTTGCCTTGGATCGCCCATCCTGTCCAATGGCACCCTATACAAATTTGGAGCCGCCCTCTCACACAGACCCATTCCTACAATAGACATGATTCCGACTCGTTGATCAATTCTCGCCCAGGAACTCTCTGTCTCAAGACAACGAACAGGCTGCTCCGCCGTCCGCCGATGTGACGGAGGGTCTCCAGTGAGATCCGATAAGTACCTGTGATGTCCCCCCGAAGTCGAAAATGTTTCTCTTCTCTCTCTTTCTCCATACCCCAATTCTAACACTTCCGCTTGGTTTCTTGCAAAAGAAACCTCCAATACTCTCAAGTAAGTCACCATACACAAGATACTTGTGCCTATTCTGACATGCTGATAGCGACCTCCCAACTTTCAACACCGCCTTCCCTCTCCTCCCTCTCTCTTCCTTGTCACAGCCCTTCCTGCAGCGTAAGCCTGACTTCCAAACTAATGTCCCCTGACTAACATCTAGACAGCATTCTCCCCGTCCCCAACATGGCTTGCAACTTCTTTGCCTCTCTTTTGGGGCACTGGCTCGACAGACCCGAGCCAGCTCCAACTGGCGAGGTCTATCGATGGCGGCCAACCTCTTAGATGGAGCGTTGGCAATGGGGTGCAGCCAAGCCATGCCCCGAGCAGTGTGACTGCTCGTGGGTCGACCCCAGGCCACTCGAGCCAAAGCGACGGGGTCCGCAACGAATCTTCCCTTGCTCCCGAGGGAGACTTGACCTCAGCAAGAGGAAGGTTCGGGTTGCAGAGGGTTTCGAGCGTCCTGTCAAGGAGGGCAGGCATTCAGCATACCATCACCCGGTATGCTATAAGCCAAAGGGGTGGAAGCCCCGTGCCCTACGCCGAGCCTAACGCAGCTGCGGACTCTGCCTTCTCGCGGCGTATCTCAGTGAATCCCTAAATCGTGGATAAGCGTCCTGTCGTGAACTCCACGGGGGCTGAGATGCGTTTGCACCGGCTGACTCGTCAGGTGCCCTGTGGAATCACTCTGGATTGTCAAGCCAAGTTCTTACAATCGCGGGAGTGGCAGGTAGACCTGACCAGCCCAAACCAGGTCAATCCTGAAAGCTTCCCCCAAGGGCAACTCAGGACGACCAAGATGCTTTCGCATCGGCTGACTCGTCAGGTGTCCTGTGGAATCACTCTGGGTTGTCAAGCCAAGTTCTTACAATCGCGGGAGTGGCAGGCAGACCTGACCAGCCATACCAATTTCAATCCTGAAAGCTTCCCCCAACGGCGACTCAGGAACGACTATTGTTATTTCGACCTCGACCACCTATGATTCCTAAGACTTCTTCGCTGCTTGTTGCAGTTGTCTCTTCCTCCGACTCCGACCACCTAAGAATCCTACGAAACCTTCTTCTCCCTTCTCGAGTCACACTCTATCACTCTCGCTCCGCTTCCTAAAATCCTAAGAACTCTTCCTTCTTCTTTCCGATACCTAGGAACACGGCTTCGAGCAAGGACTTCTTTTCGGTCACTGCCAACCAGAATCTGTCAAAATCGGTCAACACCTGCCGAGCAGAAAATCGCAGTCGGTCAAATATATGAGCATATGGAATCAATACACTCTCCATCACAAAATGAGCCACATCATACAATCAAATCATTTGATGACACTGGTTATCGATGGAACAGAGGTCACCTCATAAGCCTTGGGAATCACACTGAAGGCTTTACGAGTCAAAGTCATTCATTCAAGCAATATCAGCACATGTCAAATCCGATATCACTGAGATATTACAAACCACAATGACGCAAACGCAAGTCGTACCATTGGTGCCGGGAGACGCCATCGAGTTCAATACAAAGATGTCAACAATATAACCTCAACAAGATCAACATTATTCGGGAACACCACCGAGATTCATATCACGCCGAAGAAAATGTTCGAGAATCAAGCGAGGTTCACTTTCAGGTACTTGTCGCACGATATCACAATACAAACAAAACAACGTATCCATGATCCTTATACAAAGGGCTTCCTCCTCGCGACCAAAGCACCAATCAATGGGCGAACGTTGCTACTCTCTTTAGTCATGACAGTCTCTTCATCTCCAACCACCAACCTATCCAACACAAGACGACGTGCATCCCGAAAACGACCTTTTGGGGTGCCCCTTCCCCAAACTCCGGATCTTGCCATTTGGTGCCGGGGTACAAGATACCACTCATGCCGGTGACCCAGTAGAGAGACCCCAACAAGGCGGCCGTGGTGATCGAGTCCCTCTCCGCCGCGAGTCCTCCCCATCCCGACCCGGAGGCTTGGGCCGAGCGCCTCCAGGTGTAGTAGGCAGTCAACCCACCCAAACACAAACCCATCGACATGGTCTGGCCGTTGTGGAAACGGGCGTGGGGTGGCCACCGAGGGTTCTTGACGTGAGTCTCGTTCCAGTCGGCCAGGTAACAAGACACCGAGGTCGAAAAGGCGACGAGGCTGAGGAGGGAACGACCCAAAGACGCCATCTCACGAGTCTGAATGAGCCGGGGGGCCGGAGAGTGAATACAATGTGACTTGATGTGATATGCTGGGGGTGGAGCGTCGAGTGTTGCTCGATCGAGTCGATTCTAAATATTACGACTTCAGTGTAGTCGAGAATAAGGGTAGAAACTCTCTCACTTAGTTCACCTGTGGAGATAGTTACTCGGATTCTTGTACGGAGTAGGTGATGATCAAATGATTCTTGGGAGATATTTTGTGAGATGAAAACGACCAAAAATATTTCAGAATGAGAGAATTGATGTCCCAACATTTGGTTCATATTTACAACACATTCGAACGGAAATAGGATCGTCGATGATGATTCGTTTCAGGTGGGAAGATCGGCATGAACATCACCCGTCGACCGAGTTCTCGTCACACCCGTCTCCTGGACCTGCGCAGGTATCCTTGCTTCGAACGGAGTCCTCGTATTTCATTGCCTTTTGCGGAGTTGTAGGTCTCCAGATCTCGGATAAGTAAGTAGTCCTGAATCCCTACCAGGCCGTTCACGGCCGAGAGAAGTCAGACCGAGCACGAGACGAGAAGAAGCGAGGTGAGACAACACCATTAGATCCCCGCGACAAAGGTAAAGTAAGCGGAGAGCATCTCGGTTCGGAGGAATGGACCCTTGACATGTTCGGTCATTTCTGAAAGGCTGGGGATATAACAATCTTGACCAGGTGAAGATATTGCGGGCACGTTGTTTGACCCGTCGATGGTTGCCATCTACGGAGTTAGTCGGCATTGTGGATTTGGTGTCCGGAGTACATTCACTGGCAAGGTACAACCTCACAGGACTAAGGACTAAGAACTTGCAAGACAATGCAAAGAGCGGATCAAACAAAGCGACAGCGCTGATTGTAAAGCAAAGGAGATATATCTGTAGGAATTCTGCCTCAAAAATATGTAAGTAGAACCACTACCTAATCTCTATGGACAACATTCCTTGTACAATTCTTCTGTTTTCAAGACTTCTTCCACGGACACATCCCAACCTTGGACAAGGTTGATTCCCTGAATTTCTAAAACATGAAGTAGATGATCCTCATGGGCAGACTGGCATTCCTTCTCTTCTCTTGTTCCTTACGGTGAGCTTCCCAATCAATCTCTCGTCGTCCCGAATCCAGATCAATCTGATCGAGTTTCAACCAACCTTCGCGCTTCCAAAAGTATCCACAAGCCCAGAAAAACATGACGACCGGCAGGGCAAGGTAAGCCTTGAAGAAGCCCTCGGCGTCGTTGACACCACCTCCGGGGGGCCAGATTGCAACGTAAAACTGGGCGATCAACACCAACACGATAAGGCCGACACCGATGTATGATCCGTAGACACCGCCGATGGCCTTGAAGGGGATGTCGTCGAGGGAGCGGCCTTGGTGACGCCACGCGTTTCGGAAGCGGACATGTGCCAGACAGATGGAACCCCAGGTGAACAAGGCCGCGAGGCCAGACAAGGCCTGGAGCCAGTCGAAAATCTCAACGCCAGACTTTGCGACACCGAGGTAGGCCAGGCCACCAAATGCGATGATGGTGATGGTGGAAATGAGCGGGCGGCCGGCGCGGTCCACGTAGCTGAAGATCTTGGGAGCGTAGCCTTGTTCGGCGAGCGCAGTCAGTGTGCGGCTGCCACCGTAGACACCGCTGTTGCCGATGGAGATGACGGACACCAAAATGACAACGTTCATGAAAGAGTCGAACCCGATCAGCCCAGCGTCTTGGGCGGCAAGCACAAACGGCGAGGCTTGTGCGTCGATGTAAGGGTTGGCACCAAGGAGGCGTTCGTCTTCGGAGCTGACAAGCAGGCCAACGAAAAGTAACGCCAGGATGTAGAACAAGGTGATCCGCCAAAACACTTGCTTGACCGCGGAAGGCAACGACTTCAGTGGTGTCCTAGACTCAGCTGCAGCCAAACCGACGAGTTCGGTTCCGGAGAATGCAAAGGCGGCGGTGACGAAGACCGAGCAGAAACCCTTGAACCCATTCTGGAAGGCGCCAGGGTCATACCAGAGTCCTGCAGAATGTCAGAGAGGGAGATTCGAGGCACCCAAGAAAAAAAACACTTACGAGCGCCCCAGTATTTGTCGTAGATGCCGTTACTTGGCCCTCCACCACAGACCAGGACGAGGCCAATGATCATGAAAATCACAATCGCGGACAGCTTCAGGGCACTGGACCAGAATTCTTCCTCACCATATCCCAGGACGCCAAAAACATTGACAAAAATAATGACTAGCAAGAACATGGTTATCCACACGGCGACGTGAACGTCTGAAGTCCAGAAATATATCGTGAATGAGGCCACTGTTATTTCCAGAGGTAAGACGATCGCCCACTGAAAGACACTGCAAAAGGTTGTCACTACACGCATTACCCCATTGATGATTTGGGTACTCACTAGTTCCAACCCATAGCAAAACCCCATGCGGGATCAATGAATCGAGTCGAGTAGGTATAGAAACCGCCAGAGATAGGATACATGATACAAAGTTCACCCAAGGCAAACACAACGTTGAAGATCATGATACCGATAATGCCATAGTCGAGGAGGAGTGACGCTGGACCACCCCTTCGGAGAGCTGAACCAGTACCGACAAAAAGGCCAGCGCCAATTGAGCCACCTGGAGCTAAGGTTAGTGATCAAGAGCACAAAGTAGGCCTTCTGAGAGGAGGAGCTTACCAATGGCAATCATGTGCATGTGGCGAGAGCGTAGGGTCTGGTTGAGCTGGTTGTGTTTGTCGGTACGACTTCTGCGCTTGAATGAATCTACGGTACATCCCATTCGTGTCCAGAACGGTAACTTGTAGAATTCTTGATCGTCACCAATCTTGACGTCGTGAGGTCCATCACCCTTTTCTTGAGGTAGACCGGCGGCATCCCTCTTCTCGGGCTCAACCGCCGACTCGTCATTGTAAACTGGTTTGCCGTCCATGGTGTCGGAGCTCAACTGAGAGTGCAGGGACAGCGTGAATCTGATCCGGGGTTCGACGCGACCGGAGCACGGTATTTAACCATGATCGAACCAGCAAAGGCTCGGCCAATATGCCATCATGTATGACTTTCCTTATCTCTTGGGTGTGATTGACAATGGACACGCGATGATACCCTGCAAAAGTCAAGATGAGGGATCAGACGACGGGGCAAGATAAAGGAGGGATTGGTCCAAGGTGCTCGATGGTTACCGATTCTTGTCTAGGACATTGCTCCGTGTTGCCATGGGCGGCCAAGAACAGCTGCTGATCGCCATCTTTGGACGGTTGCGTGACGAGACTCCGCCGGTACAAGTTCCACTCACGTATTTCGTAGATCGTAGGGGACTGATATCTCCGCGTTGAAGAAGTATGGAGGCCACATAGATCGACCCATAGTGTGTTATACCAGGCTTTGCACATGAGTTGGACGGGCCATGCTAAGCGAGACTCACATTGATCGAAGGAGAATCAGTGGATTCGGTGACGATATGAAAATTCCTTGATGTACTGGGCGCCGAGCGGCCAAGGCTGGGCGGAAGTATTGCCAAGATTTCCCGCTCCAACACTTCTTATCGTGGTAGCCATGATTGGGGACAGGAAACCCTCTGTCAATTCTCGGCAGCTTCTTGTCCTGCTTCTTTGCGTAGCATCTGTTGTGGATGTTGTTTGGATGGTGATTTGACTCGCGGGTGGCTCAACTTCAGCATTAGGGCATCTCCCATGTCCACACATTCAATAAACAGCCTTTGCTCCAGTTGTAAATCACTCTGTACGTGAACGAGAAAGTTCCCAAGCCTGTCCACTCAGCCACGTCTCCTTTACATTTCAGCATCTCGGTTACCCCGGTCTTGGCGGGGACATCCATCGGTAGGGGGTGTTCTTCTGGTAGAACTTCTAGAATGCTTCTGTTGCTCCACACAATCCAGTATAGGCTATAGCTCCGAAGGGACTGGTCTCTCGATTGAGTGCTGTGTCGTGAGAGTGCATTTCAGGGACAGATTGTCAGGTAAATGCTGTTTAGCTCAGTGTTGAGAACTTCGTTTTCAACTTGTGATAACGAGCACGAATGCAAACGAGCTTCGACATTGCCTTACCTATCGGTTTACACATAGAGATGCCAATACATGCTAAGCAGTTAGTATCATTGCTCGCGTGAGTGCGGACAACATTCAGCTTGCGTCAGTGGCGGCATGAACGACGTGGTCTGTCCCTGTGCGGCTTCAACGGCATGATATCAGGATGGGATTCAGTGTTTGTGGTGCATGCAGAATCGGAAAGATCGACATGTGGTTTCTGCTCATGTCATCATATGTTCATTTTTTGGATGTCCCAAGATACGAGCATTGTTGAAAATCCGCTTGAGTAGATGCAAACAGATGGTGGTGAGTGGAATTAAATAAAAATCCTTTGCGTCACACCTCGTCGTCTGAAGTTCTTATCGATAAGAGATGGTGGGAAAAGCTTTCCCGAGGTAAAACCGTCCAACACCAACCGCAGCTTCACGCAACCTTGAGATAATATACTGTGTACTCCGTAGTGCACACGTAGGTATTCGCCCAAACTGCTTGACTCACCTGCAGCACTTTTGAATAATTACCATGGCCATGGAGGCGTCGCATAGCACTTCAACGACAGAGAATGACTCTGTTCCTGTGACTCCCGCTTCCGTACACCAGGGACTGTTCACATACCCTTTCGACACAGACCCAGAATACCAAGCCGGACTGGCAGCCATTCTAGGGCACCCAGACACTCCGGTAACTCTCGAAGAGTTGACAGACAAGAAGGAGCTGGTGCTACAAGCACAGTCTTTCTATTTTTCAAGGTAGAATTGTCCCGAACCGTCACAGGCTGAAAGCGTGTACTGAGAAACATGTCGGATAGGAAGTTCGCCCTCCCACCCATAGATGTCGTCGCATATTCGTCATGGCTGCTCTCTCGTTCCCCCACCGATTCTAGCCAGCATCCCCCAGTGCAGCCGCTTGTTGCACCGCCCACCTCCTCATCGACAGAATCAGCCCCGTCCGTAGGCCCTCAAGCCAATGCATCGGCGTCTGAACCTGAACCGCCGTACCCAACGTCCTTCGCGCATATAGTCGACCTGATAACCCGCAATATGCCGATTCCTGGCATCGAAGAAATCCCCAACACTGTACTCGAACCCGGCTCCAGCAAGATAGACAAGAAGCCACGGCGAAGGAAACCTTGGGAAACCGACTCAGACCCTGAAAACACCTCAAGTACTTCCGCGGCGCCACGGACAACTCCACCAACTTCACTTCAAGCAGAGACGACACAAGATGATAATACAGTCGATCTGAATGGTCATAGAGAGACGGGTCAAGGGGTGGTGAACATTCTCAAACCAAACGCAGTACCAGACAGTGGCCTTCTGAGTAAGGATTGAGCATGGCACTGATGATTATGTCATAGTAGATGTGAGTGTGAGTGGTGGGCAGCGTCGACGAGGAGCGTCCTATCCTTCCCACGTTGTTACCTATTGAAGCTTTCGTCAGCATAATGGCCATCCGTGAACGATGTCCTCAGACTCTTCAGGGCAGGGAGCAATACGATGAAGAGATGACCATAAAGCGGGCGATACAGGCTGAACATGAAATCCCCGTACCGAGTGATTAGTGCGATGTTGAGTGGGTTTCATGTTTGCTCGGCCAGACGTTTCCCACGCCTCAGAGAATTTGACGTGCTGGTATCTGCTCCAGGGGAATCAAGGACGCCCGGAATCTTTGCCATTGATATATATTTATGGCGACCATGGGCCACCTACGATCTATCGCTGCCACCAGGAATGGTTTGATCATGTAAAGGTGGACCTTTGTTCAGGTATCATGGTTCTCTATTTACTAAGTTACCTAATCGCCATGGTCCATGCTAGCTCTAAGTACATGCTTGAGTGTCCACGTTGCCGCTCTGCAGGACATTGGTAAAGACATGACTGATAACAGTCTTTTGGTGAATATGAAACAGGAGTTGGGCCAAACCTGCAGTTCTGAAATGCCCTCCTTGCACCCGACACGATACGTGAAGTTCAATTTTCGACGCCTTTCGAGTTTGATCTTGACTGCATAGAAGAAGTTTGTTTGCGATACTGAATTTGCTATCGATATGAGAAAGACATACAAGCCAAGAATCTTGCGAGAATCGTTCAATAAGAGGTGGATGTATCTGAGATGAGGAGGCCAACGCAACCCAGCCAGGCAATGACTGGAGTGTTGTGGAGGGTCGTGATCCCCATACTCTTCATTCAGGGCGGTATTCCAAGTAGAGGGAAGGGCCCTCGAGTATCGGACAGTCTGTAGAATACGTGCAGTTTGACATAAAATGACTGGTAAGTAGTAGATGAAAACCTGGCTCAAAGTTCCACGAGGGGGCAGTCTCGTTGCTTGAACGATAGCTTGGTTCAGCGGAATCGTGGCCACTGGCTTCGTGGTTGGCCTGGAGCACCAAACGGATTGACAGAAGCGCCAGGACCAGGACGAGTGACCGAGTTAGGGTTGCAGCACAGCATAGCAACACGGGAACCAAATTTCGAACCTCTGAGAGACACCATGTGCTTGCGGATATGAATGGCCACTTGTTCGCGCTGATGATGGTGGGTGTTCATGAGAATCCATTGGATCAAGTAATTGCCGTATTGGTCGCCCGCAATGTCAATGAGAGGGATGCGTGGACGATCAGGGTGAGCAGTGGTGATAACCCCAAGATAACGATCCAAAAATTCCGAACCTCCAATCTTGAGGCATTTTTCAACAACTTTGGAAGCAAATTGGTCAATGCTGTAGTTGTAGGAGTTGGCCAGGATGTGGTCAATGACACGGCGCTTGTCTGGAGGGGAGCCGTGCTCGCACAAATGTTGAATGCACCAGTTGCCGAATTGTCCATGGGCAATGAGGTCAATGTTGGTGATGACTTCTTCGATGGCCGGGCGTTTTTCCTCTTCGATACAATTCTCGAAAATGTTCTGGACGACGAGGCTGCCGGTTTCACCTAGAGCAACTTCATGCCACATGCCTCGGAGAGCTTTGTTGACTTCCAGCATGATCTGTGGCGGCTCACCACTCCATCTGAGCTCAAACAATTTCTGCCAAACGTGGCACGCATATCGATGAATCACAGTGTCGGGAATCCGGCGAAGAAGTTCGCGGACCATGGCGGCCTTGTGATCCTCTGGCACCGAATCGAATGCCTTCTGTATAACGTGACAACCGAAAGGGTCCATGCTGAGAGCAATCACATTGCCGTGGACTGCGTTCGCAATAGCAACGACCTGGTCAGGAGTACCATGTTCGAAGCATCGCTGGACAAGAAAGTTACCGAAACGATTGATCATCAACGGGTATGCTTGCGCCACGATAGACTCGACGATCTCGAACTTCTGCTCAGCTGTGCCGACCTTGAGCTTCTGTTGGAGGAAGATGCTTGCTTGTTGGTCATTGTTACAGACGATCTTGTCGACAATGTACTTCCAGTCGCATGAGACTGACTTATCAAGAAGGCGACGATAGTTCATCGGCTCTAGAGGAGTAATGTAAGTTTGTCCATTTGCTCCAGTAGCCTAGCAATCAATGTCAGCGCCAACATTTGGTGGTGATGGACATGCTGTAAACTTACCGGAACAGTCCACGGGTTGCTAGTTCCTGGAATACCATTGACGGGAAATTCGGTCGACGGTGGAGACATTGGACTTGTAAGAGCACGTTGGTAGCTGAACTGCGCAGGCATGCCCAGTGGGCTGATCGGGGGAGGCGTCAGTGCTGAAGCAGTGCCAGAAAGGTTGCCATATTGAGCTAATGGGTCAACCAGTCCTGGATTGATTCTCAGTTGTCCGTTGTTGCGTCTGACACCAAGAGAAGGGTTGAACTGCATGACATCATTGCCTGGTCGCATGTCGTAGCTGAAAGGAGCGGGAGGAGGGGCGAGGTTGCGAGGCGGAAAAGCTTCAACAGGAGATATGGTACCTCCGTAGACACTAGGATACTGGCCAGGGGCACGAGCATCGCGGGGGTTGTTGTATCCAAGAACAGAAGCATTGGCATTCAACACGTCCGCCATAGAGCCCGAAGTGTTGTTCCAGATGCCTCGGCCACGTCCAAAGTTTGCAGTACTCAACACCTCGGCCTGGTCCTGACGTTGTGCTTCTTGGGCAGCCCAAGACTCATTGCGAGAAGTGAATGGCCGGGCAGAAGCATTGAAGGCACTCTGGAGATGGCCAATCGTTTGCTCGCTGATGTCATTAGGAGCACCGAAATCAACTTCAGAAGGAGGACCCATGGCCTGATCCATGGTGTGCTTGAGAGTGCGTGTTTCAGCAAGCTCCTGTTCCTGGCGGGAAATGACTGATCTGGCTGCCTCAAGTTCTTGCTTGACACGCATCAAATCTACCATGTCTACCTTGCCGGTACCCGAGGATTGCGGGACTGGCTTCTGTGAACCGGAAGCATCGGTGTTGGGGGTGTAGATAGTTGAACCGGAAGAACGGTCACTGGCTTTGTTGCTTTCACCTTCTGCCTCATTCTTGAGTTCCTTCTCTTGTCTTTTCAAAGTCTTGCTCTGGTCCTGTAGATTGTTGACAAGTTTATCAAAGATTTCAAAGTCAGGTTTCGGAGGCTTGGTGTCCGTGGTAGGAGGGCTGACTTTGCGAGAATCATTGAGCTTGAGACGGCAAAGAATATCTTCCATAGTGCTCATAGGTTTTGCTTCAGTGCCCTCAGATGAAGTCTGGAGATGAAAACAGGCGTCAGTAATTGGGCAAGACAAAAGGGTGAGGTCTGTGAAAAGAGAGGACCAAGAATAGCGGGACTTGCCTTATCCTTGGATTTTGGTTGCTGGATGTTATTGACCTTTTCTGAGTGTAAGACAGCGAAAGGTGTGCGATTTGCTGAGGCAGAACGAGTAGCTGCTGAGGTCTGAGAGAGGGTTTAGCAAAGCAAAGACAGTGACCAGAAAGTGAAAACTTACAGTGAGTGGGTTCAAGTTTGTGCCAGAGACTCTGTCACCTTCATCTCTCACTTTGATACTGGGAGTCGACTTTCGGCTCATTTTGGGGGACCCAGTTGACATCAGAGATGCCATCAATAGGAGGGGGATCAATCAATGGAATACAAAAGTGATATTGATGTGGGAGAGTAGGATAATGCGTGAAGGTGAGAGTGAGAAGGTGATTGACAGGACGACAATGAAGAGAAAAGGTATCAGCAAATGTGAAGATCCGCCGAGATGGACAGTGTAGGTGTGAGAGAATGAAAGTTGTTGGCGAATGGTAGAAGAAAGAACCGGAAAGCCAACTTGCGTCTGGTGAGAGATTGAGAGTTATAAACAAGGGCACCTTCTCCTTCTCTCATATAGAACTCCAATGGAAGTGGCGCAAAGTTGTGTAGAGCAATCGCCAGGCAGCGCCGTTGCACTTACCAGATTTGTTTCCTTGTGTCCAAAGTCAGAGATCGACATCATGTTATCATCTGTGATTCCAATGTGAGAAGAAGCACCATAGTGAATCAGCCTCCTTGAAATCGATAGCTAGTAGCTTCACTTTACATCCTTTCCCATCCCTTCACTCTGGCTAATTCAGGGTATATATGAAGCAGATGATATTCTCCAATCACGATCGAGGAAACCCATCGCAACAGCACCGCCAACGCCTTTCCATCTGGCCTCATTGCCCAAGATCACAAAGTCAGGTTGTCCAGCCCCGGTCAGTGTTGGAATCAGCCTTATTGCTTGTTGCAGACCAGCCTCGTCATGACCCCAGACCACCAGCTCCAGTCGCTCTTGAGGAAGAGGACGTAACCATACACCGCCCATACCTGGTCTCAGGGGAATAGATGCGGTTTTCGAGGACCCTGTTGTCAGTAACAGCCTATCGTGCTCCACTGAAATAGGGAACCGGGGCATGGCACATCGAGGAATAGTTCTCCCAAGCCCAATGGTGACAATGTTGCCCCTTCTAGTCAGTGCCTCGGCATACTCTTCCCGGTAGATTATATTTGAGTCGGCCCCAAAGTACTGGAGAAAATTCCTACTTGCCTGAACTGCGAGGTGAAAGCTTGTATTCGAGCACAAGACGACCTCGAAGACGCCTTCGCTACGAAGTATTGCGTCTAATGCACCTCTTTGACGGCCGTATCGCTTGTCCAACTGCCTCCAGTCAAGGGCGACTTCCCAAGCCCAGATGTTGGCTTCGGTTTGGACAAGGGACCTCGATCTCGTTTTGTTTGTGAGATGAAATACATGAGCCATGTCATCAAGCATCACTTCAACCGGGGAATTGGAGATCTGGACACCAGGATCAAAGTGCAGGCGATGTATGTTCTGCGTGCTTAAATGCCAACGAGTGACCGACCCCTTTTGGGCAACGGAGACTTCGATATGACCCGCTCTGTCCGGTGAGGACAATTGGTCGACAACAATACCATATTTGGGGCCCATATCATGAGAATTCGGAACTACAAAAGCAAAGTCAACAGGCGCCGTCGACACAGCATCGGCATCATTCAAATGGGCTAGATAGAATTCCATCATAGAAGGTGTGGTCATGGTTCCATCAATCCAGTGACCGGTTCCAGGCATCTCGGAGTATTTGGCCGCGATCCCCGACTGATAAAGCAAGGTATTCATCAATCGGGAGTGATAGACAGGAACATTATCATCGGAAGAGCCATGCTGTTGGAGGATTGGGATCCCTGCAAAGTTCTCAGCCAGCAATTCGTGACGAAAATTACTTCTTGCAACATGAAGGATAGCATTCTGGAGGGGATCTGCTTCGGTCCAATGGACATATGGGACGTAGTTCTCAATGGACAAGTACCCCGAAGCTGCGGCCGCACCAAGAACACGATCGGGTTGATGCGAAGCAAAGTACCATGTTCCTTGGCCGCCGTTCGAATGACCCGCAACCAGAATTTTCGAAGTATATGGATCTGGACCCTGCCACTCGACAAGATCGATCCAGTCTAGGATGGCTTCAACCGCGGCTAGAGCATCTGCAAACCCCCATGTGTGCCAGTCATCGCCGCTCCAGGATGTCATTCCAGTTGGAGTTACAATCCATGCCGGGAGATCAGGCGCATCATCAAACATATGGCGTGCTAGATCTCCGTCCGCATCGACTCCTGCGCCATGGAGATTCAGGAGTATGGCAACTTCCCGGTCAACCTTTTCTGGTGGAGGCCTTAGCGTTGCATAAGAGACTGCACCACTCGGATGAAGAAAGGTCATTCTTTGCAAAGATGAGTGATTCGCAGGCCTTAATTGAGCCTCACACACAATCCTGTGCGAGCTGGCGTCTGGAAGTTCATAGTCAAACACAAGTTTTATCGACTTCGTCAGGTTTCTCAAGTTGTCAATTCGCATCCTTACTGGACGTGATTGTCCTGGAGAAATCGTCAAATTTTGTTCAAGGACAACGGCAGATTGCTCGTCAGTGATGACACGGACACGGTTGATGTTGATCCAGACGGTTGCTTGGTTTCTGACGATCACACTCCCGTAACGACCCACGAACCGGCCTGCTATCACGTCTGGCAGCAGTATACTGTCATGATCTACGTCGAGATCCGCGGCCACCACCTCGGCCCGAAGCAAGACATGCGCCGTTGGCGAGGAAGAACCGCCCATCGACCGTACATCGCGGATGAGGCGCACATTCACAACATTGAAGCCTGGCGCCAGTTCGAACACAATAGGTGCACGTCCAAAGGAATAAAAGTCGCCTCCAAATATGTGTTTATTGTTCAACCAGAGCTCGAGGATCCCTTCAGGATATATGCTCACTCTACGGCTAGTACCGCCATCATTCCAGACGCCGCCCTTGAGCCAGGCTTGATATTGAAGTGCGGACCATCCGTAGATTTTTTGTGCGATATCCCAATCGATTTCGGAGAAGTCGACTACCAGGTCAACAGTTGTTGATGCCTCCGACACAATAGGGCGGAACGTGCGCGAGTTCCACCTGACAGTTGCATTTCGAGCAAGAGGGGAATGATAGGCAGCAGTGTCGTTATCATCGAGCTGAAATATACCACCGTACCGTTCTATTGGATCAGCGCCCCATACTGCTTCTATGTACATGTCAGCAGACGGCTACAATATAGAGCCAAGTCTCAGCACCGACCTCGAGTCCCGATCCTGAAAGGACCCAGGATGCTCCATTTGTCTAAGAACGCTATGGAGCCGTTGTTAATGAGTGCATTATTGTGAATGACTTCTTGAAGAGTAGCTTCGACAATATGAGCTCTACAAAATAAGATGATGGTCAACACGGTGGACAGGATGGCCAACCCCATCGCTGTACATTGTGAGGGATCCTACTCTGGGTGAAGATGAGACGGAAGGGTGTTTACAGGAAATTAGGATTATTGTTGTTCCGATGCGAAGCTCTGCGAAGCTTTGTTGTAACACCGCCTACTGATTTGGGCTTAGCGTACTGGGGCCGCGCAATAGTGTGATGCAGCACCGGACTGCTCCGATTCATAGCGTCGTCAAAGTGCAACAGTCCTGTTTGATGGAACAAGCAGGATTACAGACATTGCTGATCGCAAGCCTTTTGAACTTTCCTTGAGTTACATTTCTACGATCTCACAATTGTTGTAGAAAAACATGTCACTTCTTTCAGACGCTCCGTAGAGCACCACGCTGGCAGATGCATCCTAATGGCAAGGAGATCATTGTCATTTCAATCACAGCATGACTACTACGATGACTGAACCTCCTGAGTTGCGATCTGACGCTCAACACCGCTCGCTATCCCCTCACAAAGGCGCAAGAGAGTCGACCTCTCGGGAGAGATTTCCTTCTTTCGACGATACCCTCCCAAACTTTTCGTTCAACCCTGGTGCGAACGTGGTTGCTGAGAGTCCCCTGGAAATAACACCTGGTCAACTTTCGAACCACGAGATCAAATGGCCAGCGAGAAGAGAGAGTCAAAGATTGCGCAACGCAAGACCTGCTGGAATATATGGACATCGGCCTCGGAGAAGTGTCAGTGAGGCATTAAACAAATTTCGGACACGACAAGGTAGTGTGAGCGAAAATGCGCATGAACTGGCTGAAGCACTGAGAGCACCAGTGTCCTACAAACTCATTGTATGTCGCTTGTATAGTGCATGGTTGCATGGCTAATGAACACGACAGGCTCTTTGTATCGTCTGGTACATGACGTCGGCTCTTACAAACACATCATCCAAATCCATTCTCAACGCCTTACCCAAGCCAGCGACACTCACAATTGTACAATTTGCCTCGGTCTCATTCTGGTGTCTGGTATTGACTGGACTGTCATCGACGTTTCCCTCCCTGAAGAGATCCATACCTGCACTTAGAAATGGCCTGAGGAAACCGTCTTGGGATGTGTTGTCAACAGCATTCCCACTGTCGATTTTCCAACTCCTAGGGCATCTACTCAGCTCATATGCCACATCCAAGATTCCAGTCTCACTTGTCCACACTATCAAAGGACTATCGCCATTTTTCACGGTACTAGCGTACCGGATTGTTTTTCGAATTCGCTACAAGCGAGCTACATACTTGTCACTTGTACCACTCACCTTGGGTGTGATGATGGCATGTTCTACGGACTTTTCAAGCAATTTCTGGGGAATTAGTGCTGCATTGGTGGCAGCAATTGTTTTTGTGAGCCAGAACATCTTTTCGAAGAAGCTTTTTACCGAGGCAGCACGCGCAGAAGCCGATGGGCAGTCTCGCCTGCCGAGAAAGTTGGACAAGCTCAACCTGCTGTGCTACTGTTCTGTCGGTGCCTTCCTACTCTCCGCCCCTGTCTGGATTTACACCGAAGGGTTTGAACTCGTAGAAGAGTTATGGAAGGATGGATCTATCGACCTCTCGACCAAAAGAAATGCCTTGGATCATGGCGAGCTGGTGTTGGAATTCATCTTCAACGGAGTGTTCCACTTTTTCCAGAATATCATGGCCTTCGTCTTGCTGTCGATGCTCTCGCCAGTCTCCTATTCTGTGGCCTCATTGATAAAACGGGTCTGGGTTATTGTGGTTGCTGTGGTCTGGTTTCGCAGCTCGACTACCTCGATACAGGCCCTCGGCATTGGACTCACATGTGTTGGGCTTTATCTCTACGATCGCACTAGCATGGAAGACGCCGCCGAAAGACGAACCAAGTCTGACCATTTCCGTCATAGAGCAGCTTTGTTGCCTGTGACCGAAGTCAATACCCCGGGACTGCAGCCAAGCCACCCGATGAACTTGGATCATGTGGGTGAGATGTCTGCTTCACACCCTAAGAGGGATGATACTCGAGGTCGACCACATGAATCTCCCCTTGCATCTGGATGGCTGCCCCCTGGGACCAAGCAAGAAAGCACCTGGGAAGCTGCAGACAAAAATGAAAAGTCATAGGATGTCTGACATGTAACAACAGTGAAACTATGGAATGGTGCCTGGAGTTGAGTAGACCTTACACGTTTTTACGACAGGGATCCATGCAATGTATGATCGATAGATAGACTAATCGTGCCACTGCCAAATGCAATTGACAGGCGCTTCTCGAGAATAATTAATAAATCTTGAAAAAAAGTGCGAGTGTTCAATTTGTAGCGACCGTCGGTAAGGAACCGAAACATCATTGTAATCTTTTGCAGAAGCAAAGAGTCCTAGCCAGCTCCAGCTACGGCGCGTATATTGATCTCGGATCACGTTGCAGAGGAGAAAGAGAAAGTGCCTAGAAGCAGCCCTGGCTCCTACAATAAATCATGTCCGGAATGAGTTTTGTACTGAAGAAAAGGAAAAGAAGGAAAGATTTGTTGGAGCACAAAAAAATGTCGAAGTTGTGACGGAGGCTGTGAAGACGCACTAAGGCTCGAAACGGAATGGCGCCAGTTTCCCGGGAATCGCGGGCGAGGCGCAATGCTGAGTGAACAACCGGCGTCCATGTTCTCAACTGGTTCTCAACTGCGCTCGAAAGGGACTTGTCAGCCTTCGCTTTTATCCTTTCAGACGCGTTATTACTTCCTCGTCTGAGACCAACATCCGCCATCATGTCACAAACAGACGTGGTCCAGACGGACTCTATACACGAGGAAGATCCTCACAACGAGCCTCCTAAGAAACAAAAGAGCCGACGCCCAGCCAGTATTGCCGCTTGCCCTCCCCTGCATTGAAGTTTTGCTGACGAACGACTTGTACAGACACCGCCTTTAGACAACAACGGCTGAAAGCATGGCAGTGAGTTGCGCCATGTTACTCTCCACGAAATCGCAAGGGTCTGACTTGTTTTAGACCGATCCTTACTCCCAAGACGGTGCTTCCCATCTTCTTCGCAATCGGTATCATCTTTGCTCCGATCGGTGGACTGTTGTTATGGGCGAGTGCGAGCGTAAGTCGCAGAGACCTCTAGGCCGGAACGTGAAAGATGCTGATTTCTGTCGCAGGTTCAAGAGTTGGTGATTGACTACACCGATTGCAATACCACTGCAACGACCTCATTTACGGCGATTCCCGAGAGCAAAGTCTCAGCTTCGTTTAAATCATCAAATTCCACTGCCAGACCCCAATGGAGAAGGACGGTGAACACTACTCATCCTCCCTACAGCGTCGAGTTACGAAATACGCCAGTTTGTACGCTGCAGTTCTCGATTCCGAATGACATTGGTCCACCTGTCTACCTGTATTACCGATTGACCAACTTCTACCAAAACCATCGAAGATACGTCAAGTCGCTTGATACCGATCAACTGAAGGGGAACTTCCTGAGCAATCACACGGTCGACAGTAGTTCATGCAATCCTTTGAAATTGGATCACAATGGAAAAGCATACTACCCTTGTGGGTTGATTGCCAACTCAATATTCAACGACACGCTCAATTCCCCCGTGGCAGTCAGTACTTCCGGTGGACAGGAGAGTCAGCAATACCGCATGACAAACGAAGGCATTGCCTGGAGTACAGATGCGTCTTTATACAAGAAAACCAAGTACAAGAATTACGAAGTGTCCCCGCCACCTAATTGGGCTCTCCGTTACCCGGATGGATACACAGATGCAAATCCAATCCCAGATTTATCCCAGTACGAAGAATTCCAGGTTTGGATGAGAACCGCAGGATTGCCTACTTTTAGCAAGTTGGCGTTGCGCAATGACAACGAAACCATGACTGCAGGCACTTATCAGATGGATATCTATGATTGTAAGTGGGTTCAATCCGTGGAATGAGGCACTCCTCTAATGCACCTAGTCTTCCCTGTCTCCATCTACTCTGGAAAGAAGAGCATTCTGCTGTCAACTAGGTCGGTTGTTGGTGGAAAAAACAGCTTCTTGGGCATTGCCTATGTGGTGGTTGGTGGTCTCTGCATTGTCCTGGGAGCGTTATTTACTGTCGCACATTTGATCAAGCCAAGGTATGTTCTTTCGTCGCCCTTTTGTGTGTATTGTAGCTGACATGAGCAGAAAACTCGGTGATCACACTTACTTGAGTTGGAATAATGACGGTACTTCAACTGGAATGTCGACAGGCCGAGAGACGAGACCTGGAGGTGCCTAGAGGCATGACCACAAGTGTATGATTTCAACGATGATGTGTATTTTCTGTCGGGACGGCTCTGGCGTTGATTGAAATATAGGGATGTGAGGCATACATCTGATCGAGTTCCCAAACCAAAATTTGCAAAGCTGCACTTCCTTTTTCTGGCAATGTGAATTTGCAAACATCGTCATCGAGGATATTAGAGAGCAGCAATATGGCATTCCACATTCCTCGTTACCATCGCAGCACCATGTGTGTGCGTGTATGAAGCGATGTCCGTGCTCCATGCATTGTGTTGATCAATTTTTTACACAATTATCAGCATCCTCCACAAAAGTTTTGAACTCGGAAACTCCTCTTTGGACGCTTCTATGGTCAGTCGTTGATGATTGTTTGTTTTTGATCATGCCCCGGTCTTTGAATCGTGGTTTTTTATTGTACCTAACCGCCTCGATCTTGGGGTTGGTCGACTCAGCTGTCGTCGCGGCAGGTATACCAAGATACAGACCTATTTACCGATCATGTGGTACATCTCATCCTTCGAGCAACTTGACAGCCACTCATCAATGGTTGCAAGAGAGTGAAAGGTTGGAGAATGATCTTTGGAACTCTACAAGTATACAAGCTCGACAGCATCATCGAGGAGATGTGCACGACGGTGATGGATCCGGATTCAGGTCTGGGGGAGGAGGATGAGGTCCTTCTGGTCATCATGGCGACGACATCCACGATCATTCTCACAGTCACAATCACGACCGTCGTCAAGCTCCGAGTCCGTTGTACACCATCGACACTTATATTCACATCGTTGCGGATTCGTCTACGGCCTCACCTTCATCTTCCGACTACGTCAGCGACACCATGATCCGAGACCAGTTTACTTACCTCAGCAACGCCTACACCAACGCCAGCATAGGGTTCCGACTTGCGGGAATCGACCGGGTCGCCAACGACACTTGGGCCCGCAACGGCGACGACACCGGCATGAAACGTTCGTTGCGCAAGGGAAACTACTCTGCCCTCAACGTCTACTATCAGAGTCTGTTGCAGGCCAACGCCAACACACCGGGTGTCCCCGCGGGCAGTACGCTGTTGGGGTTCTGTACACTCCCCGTGTCCGGTATCGTCGCCGGTGTGGATCCGTCGGCGTACGTGATCGACGGGTGTAACATCCTCAGTGGTACCATGCCGGGTGGGAAGTACGCGGGCTACAATCTGGGAGGGACCACCGCCCACGAAGTTGGACACTGGAACGGCTTGTTGCATACCTTCAACGGAGGTTCCTGTGACGTTTGGGATTTTGGTGATTACGTCGCCGACACTCCCCAGGAGAGGACGAGTACTAGTGAGTTCCTTACCTTTTGTTGTTCCTTTTTTTGTTCCTTTTTTCTTCCTTTTGAGAACGAAGAAAATCTTTCCCGGTTGGTGTTTTGGGATTGCTATCGTGGTCGTGCATTTTTGTATCCTCTTTAAAAAATCTCTGGCTAACGTTTTGAGCTCATTAGACGGTTGTCCCTCGACCGTCAAAGATAGTTGTCCGAACTCAGGAGTTCCAAAGGGGTACGATGGTATCGGTACCGAACCTTATGGACCCCAAGGGTACAGTGGACCTGATCCCGTTCACAATTTCATGGATTATAGTAGCGATGCGTGTTACGTCGGCTTCACTCCAGGACAGGGGGCTAGGATGCTGAATATCTGGAGGATATACAGGGAGGGTTTATAATTCTTTTACCTCCCTTTTTTTGAGGGCGTGAGTAAGTAGTGATTGATGAGGATGAAGATGAAGATTGAAAACCCTCTTATATGAAAAAAGGGGAAACATGTGAAGATGGTTTGATGATGTGGAGGCAGTTGATGAATTATGGAATATCTACTCCCGTAGCGACGAGTTAGTCGAGCCAGAATGTTTTTCTTTTTTTGGAGGAGAGAAGCGTCAAACTACTTTTCAACAACCAATATCCCAAAATGTGGAGCATCGAGATATCCTTCCCAAAAGTCCAAGTCGACACCGTATCCGGTTTTACTCTCGTCGTTTGTCCTCGGGAGTTGAACATCCACCCACTTCAATTCTCCTTCCAGCCCTCCATCCCTCGCGGCATTCTCGTACACTTCTCTTTTGAGATGGAAACTTTCAAAAGAGATCTCTCTCGGTTTCACGTGAGCCGTGACTTTGGCCCGATACCCATGACCACCCGGGAGTTTTGCGGTGTACTCCACGGTGGCTCCGTACTTTGCCCGGTCGCGGTTTTTCGTTTTGGAAGGGTCGAACAGTTCCGCAAAAGAGTCCAGGTCGGTCGCCGGGTGAGGCGTGACACCGACAAAGTGACCTCCCGGTTTGAGGTGGGAGGATACATTTCCAAACATGGACACCAAATCGGAAGGTGAAGAGGCGTAGTTGAGTAACCAAGCGCCGAGTACGATGTCGAATCGTTCTTCTTTCTCCGACCATGCGTTTTTCAACGAAAGTGGTCGAGAACAGTCTCCGACCAGGAATGTCAATCTTGACGAGTCCTCGGATTGTGACCTCGCCGCCTCGATCATGGCGGATGATATGTCGACGCCGACCACTCGCGATGCACCCCAAGACAAGACGAGGCGGGAATAGTAACCCGTCCCGCACGCCAGGTCCAGCACGCTCACCTCTTCCTTTTCGTCGTCATCGTCACGGTCATCTGGATGTGTCGACGGCCGTCCTCCTCGTCGTGGTGATGATAACAACAATGGGGTGATGACGGCCCGGAGGTTGGCTCGTTCCACCAGGGCCGCCGGCTGGGCTTTGAGGGATTCGTACGAGAGACCAATCTCGTCGTATTGTGATTGTGATGACATTGATCTTTTTCTTTTAAGGCTGCTTGCTGCTGCTGCTGCTGCTTGGGTACGGGTAACATGTAAAATCCCTGGTGGACAAGGTGTATACCTAGGTAGGAATGTACTCCGTACAGGTAACGAGTATTTGAGGAGAAGTATTCGCTTATAAGCCAATCGGAAATCTTGAAATGGTCTGTCGTCTTTCTCCTCAGTATCGATGGTGGTGTATGGAGTGTAAGACTGACATATTGAATCTCTGCCCAGTGGCGTCAGCTTCAGAGAAAAATCTAGAACAGATCAATACGATGCAAAATGGAGAACCACGACAATGTAACAAGGGACAGACAGAAACATTGCGAGAAATGGACAATGTTTTCGTTTTCGGACAGTGCAAAAATATGCCATTGAATAAACCATGACTGTACTGCGCCTTTTTTAATCATCATCGTCGACCCTCGCTCTCTTTCTGTCTCTATGACTTGGACCGGCCTCTTCCAATCCATATCGCTTCTTGCCCTCACCAGCTTGCTTTCCTGTTGGAGCGGATCCAATGAAACTGTCGTTGCCAAATGTGTCATCTTTGTCCTTTTCAAACTGCACAGGACCACTCTCTCGTTCTGCCCTGTCGGCACCTTTGAACCCTTCTTTCGGTGCTCTGCCAAGATCGCCAAACCGGCTGGACTTTCGAATCTTGTCCATCGCCGCATCTGCGTCGCCTTCTTCATCCTCTTCCTGGTTCACCGTGGGTCGGTAGATTTTGTCAATGGCATCCGCAGCCGCAAACAAGGGCTTGTCGTACGCCTGGTCCTCGTTGAATCCTGAATCAAACCCAGAAGTCTGGTTGAACAATCTAGAATCGTACATGGTCTCCTTGTTTTGTGTAGGCTTGGCCAATCCGAGTGCAACTTTTTCGGAAATGTCACGGTTTTGTTCTCTGGCCATCATCTGGATGCGTTTCTCTGTTCCCATTCTGCTCTGTCGCAGTTGTCGTTCATTCTCCTGCCTCCGTTCTCGTCGAGCACGTTCTCGTTCCCTGGCAGCCTCTTCCTCACTATCAGATCGCGAATCATATGACGAACCAGAGTATGACCTTGACCGTGAGCGTCGTCTCGAGTCCGAATCTCTCCTCCCACCACCGCCGCCAGCCGCAGCTTGTCTTTCTTCTCTCGCCTTTCGAGCCATTTCCCGCAGGTGTTCTTCCTTGGCCAATTTCTCCTTTTCCGCGAGCTTTTGCTGCATCTGTGCGCGGAGTTTGACTTCTTCGCGAGCATGTCGATCGGCTGTCATCAATGCTTCCGCAAACTGCGCGTGTTTATCGCTTATTGTAACATCTTGCAGGCCCCGTCCATCGGCAGCCAACCGCTTGTCCAGCGGTACGGTATAACCCTTGGGATTCTTCCAATTGCTGATCGGTGGAGGGATTTTCCAGGCTTCTTGGTCTTCTGCCGTCAATTTCCGCGGTGGCGAATGCATGACTGGCGGAGGCGGACTAGGTGGTCCTCGGGGGATCTTCTTCTGTTTGAACTTCGGTGGCGCCATTGGATCTTCCTGTCGTCGGGCTATCTTCAAAACGTAATCATGCTTTTTGGAATTGTCGCCCATCTGATTTGAAGGTGTGTATCGGACATACGTAGCTTCTTCTCGGTTGACGCCTTTGACGTTTTTTGGCTTTTGAGCCGCCACGGCGCCCGACACCAATTTCTCCAGAGCGAGCCTGGTCTTGTCCGCGGTCGCCTGGACTTCTTCCTGGCTGGGCCTGTCAAGACTCAGGTCGCCTGCGTCTGCCTGCTGTCGAAGCGGTATCAAATCCTTGAAACTCGAGTGTATGATCCGACTGTCACTGTGACCACGTCTCGCGAGTGCGTCGTATTTGACCTTGCCTTCTGCGTCGACTTGGATCGCAAGAGCATTCGAAGTCGATGACGTTCCTTTTCGTCCCATGTCGAGAGGGTATTGTGCAACTGCTACTTCTGGAAACGCACCCCCATCGCCGAAATCCTCGGCCGAACGAGGTCGCCATCCTGATCGTTGGCCGTAGGGAGGAGGTCCAGAACGCTGTGGAAGAAAAAGAAAACGAGTCAGTACGAAGTCGTGGCGAACGATGATCAAAAAACAACTGACCTTCAGAACAATTTGCGATTCATCGATCACACCAGGTCCCACGATTCGAGGACCCTTCGGCTGGGCATGTAGAGGGACTTCTTCATGCTCACCGGTGTACTTGGGTTTCGGTAAGGAGGCGAAAAGGCCGGTAGCCATGGCTGTGGTGCTGTGTTTACGAGTTGATATACGGACGTCTGAAAATAAACTTGTCCCGCTGCGACCAGCGGTTGTGAAATCATTCAAATCTCGAAATTGTAGTACGGGAATATCTGTATCACCGTAGTTGGAGACACAGCGAAGAGTACGGTGAATTATTAATGCTCCGAGGAAAATGCATCACCAATGGGCCGTGTCTCTCGTAGAACTCCGATCGTGTCGGTAGTGAACGGTGCAACAGCCGAGATTGCCCTCCAAAGGTCAAAAAGAATCCTCTTCCCTCAAGGCCCAAGGCTTTATACCCCTTCAAAATCCTCTGGATACAAAATAAAACTCGAAATTCACTGCAAGTATGGGGCCTTCACGAATCTCAAAAGCTTTCCAAGGCTTGACGATAACTGGCCTTGCATCGGTCGGCGCATTTTTCGTGTGGACAAAACACTGCCATTTCACACCGGCCGATCAATTCACCCCAGCTACAGAGCCACTGTTCCAGAGTAGCTGGTACAAGAAGTTCAATCCGCTACAGAACCCGACGACGCACGATGAATGTGTGCGACGGTTGCCACTGTTCAAGCTACGACCGGAGCTCGTCGAGGACGCCCAAAAAGGGGGGTCCAAACTGGTCGAAGCATTCAGTCAAGGAATCTGGGGAGGTCCTGGTATGTTCTGTTTTCATCATCCCCTCGGCATTTTCGCAGCATGAAGATTATCCTGGACGAACGACCCCTTTGCGTTGTTCTTCGAAAGGCATCACGATACATCCACTTGGATGTTGATCCAAGGAGAAAAAAATATATACTGAACACGTGCCATAAATCGCCGCATGATGTCTGGGGTTGAACCTTTCAACCTTTTCTGACACCAGTTTTGTTTCTCCTTGACCCTGAACTTGGGGACCGATCTAACCCTCTTGATGGAAACAGGATATACCATTCAAAGACTATACTTGGAACGGAAATGGCGAAACAACACTACGACCGCCCACCAGCTGTGGGATCCTAAAGACCTCAAATCCTCAACTTACGACAAAGGCACCGAGATAACAGACCATTTCGTCGTGCTAGACAAGACTCCCACGTCGATACTCATCCGGTGTGGAGACTCACCGTTGAACAATCCAGACGCCAACAGACCGAGTGATGGATTATTCGAGATCAGTGCAACTACGGACTTTGATAAGGGGTTTGCCGAGTTCAGGCTCAAGAGTATCTTCTATCAGGGTGATCCTGAGATCAAGGACAAGACGGCTGAACCAATGCCGCCAACTATGGCTTATTTACACCAGCTATACACGAAGTTGTGGATGGAGAGCGCCATGGGACACGTAAAACAATGATCTTATGTCACAACATATTACTTAACGGTATGTTAAGCGCAGACAGCTCTGGCTTAATCATCTCGAGTTGACTGAGCAATAATATGAAATACTTCTCTCAAGGGCTCATTATGTTTGGACCGAAGCGGTATCTGGGCTTGAGCTCTGTGACTAGCAATTCTGCGAACAATGATATCAACCGTGCTAACCAAGATTCATTTGCACGAATCGTCCTCTCTCCCGTGGTGGTTGAAAGCGCACTTGTCACCGTCGCTCTTTTGCACGTTGACTGCATATCACATTGTATGTGATTGAGTTCTCCCCCATCCAATACCCCAGACATGGCCTCTGACTCCGCTTAGCTGGAGTGGCGAACGTAGTAATAGTAGCCGCTTGTTCCATGGCGCTCCCAATGGCCTGGTGGAAAGTCACCCTTCAAGGTATCGGCGTATTCTCTCAGTGTCCAGCTTCCGTCCAACTCTTTGCACCAGAACTGCGGGCTCGAACCAGGTTTGTATGGAGCAAGCATGGTTGGTTGTGACTGCGTTGCAGCAAGATGGGCAGCGAGGATTGTGTTCTGGGCCTGCATCTCGGCGGTGGTGGCTCCAACAAAGAAGGCAGGTGCATTTGGCATTTGTTGAAGAGCTGCGTTAGCGGCAACGGCTGCGGCAGCTTGGGCCGATGCCGAGGTCTGCATCCAGGGTGCAACAGTGGCGGTCGGGATTTGGTAAGGTGCTGTGTAATATGGTGAGTAGCCGTACGTAGCACAGAAAGGGCTGGCAGCAGGGGTATTGGAAAGTGGGTAACAGGTGTAAGGCCAACCGGATGTTGCTGTAGGAGGAGCCGTCCCGTAGTAGAGACCATTCGCGTAGTAGCCTGCGGGAGCAGACGAGTTACCCTGGGTGGAAGTTAGCCAGGGTGAAGGGAGGGAGGGGAATTCTGGTATACTGACGGCAAAGTAGTACATGGCTGGCTGAGCAGGTTGGTTCGATTGATAAACCGGTGCTGGTGGGTGAATGCCCTGTTGGGTTCCGTCAGCAGCTGAGACATAGTAAAATGTACGTGGCCAGTCGGCAGGATCTTCCCAGTGTCCGGCAGCGCTTGCGCCGTTGAGGGCAGAGGGATTGAGGCCTTGATAATTGTAAAAGTTCGGCATTGTCTCGCACTGTCGTCGGTGATGTTGATGGTGTAGAAAAGGCGTAAAGATGTCGGGTATCTAGGTAAGATGGGTTGATGGGTTGATGAGGAAAGAGTGAAGGTTCCGGTTCATAGTACGCAAAAGACTCGAGGAAGGCAGGTGGTTCATTCACTCGTCACTTACAGTGCGACGATCCTCGTAGAATTCAACGTTGTCGTCGAGGAAGATGTACTCTTGCTTGACAGGCTCAGCGGCAAGTTGCAGATGTCGAGTCCAGGGCCAGCCACCGCAGGCGAAACACATGATGGGAGTTGATGTTGATTTGTTGGGTTTGAGTCAGGAAAGATACCAGGCAGGACTAACAAATGGTGCTGGAAAAGAGACTCAAGTAATGTTTGGAGCGAGTTGAAAGGTGCGGTACAATTTAAATACCAGGAAAGCGCGGACGGTGAATATGAATTCGAGATCGAAACCCACAAGTCTTAGAGGTTGGACGGTTGATAGCGACCAGTGAATGAAATTCGATACTCCTCTCTTTTGCTCAATGTCTCGTGCTATTGTTTTACCTCGGATACCTCATATCAAAGGTACCCGGGATTCATTGATGAATTCAAGATACTGTTACAGCCTCATCGCAACTTCTCTGCCGCTGACACCGCAGTTATTGATTCTCAATGATCCCCGATCAAACGAAGCGTTAACTGCTTCGGCATTTCCAGGATCGATACGGCGTGCACCGGAGGTGAACAGTGATCTCTCAAATGCCCAGATCACCACAGGAAACAATACGAAAGTAGCAGTGGCTGATGCTGAAGGGACAGCTAACACTGTAGGAATCTAGACACATATAGCTTAGGCACGACAGCATCAATAGTTGCCACATAATCAATACAGATCCATGCTGAACTACAATGCCTTGAGATTCAAGACTGGCTGCAGCTGAGAAAGGAGGTTGATGTTGTTGGCTGCGGAAATGATAGTTGGAAAGTGTGCCGAGCCCAACGCCTCGCTTGAATAATCTTATCAAACTTGAGAGATACATTTCTCGACCTCGTACATCCCTCGAAGTTGTGCGATAGTTTCCCAGGCATGGAGGAATCGCTCGGACTCCATCGTGCTGTCCGATGCTATGCGCGTTGTTTTTGGCCAACCTGACCAGGCTTTTGGTTCTGGACACTTGGTGTCTAAGTCTTAATAGGCTGCCACAAACGTCCAGTCAAGTGATCACCCTCTCTGGATCAACGCTTACGTTCACCTTCTGAAGCAGAACGAACATTCCTTTCATCAATCCACAAGTCGAGATCCTCAAGCTCGAGAGCCTATGGAAGATGGCTGTAGAAACTGGAAATGCCCCAATTGCGGCGCCAACGTTCACCATCGATCTAGATCTTCCACCGGAAGAGAGGTATAAGGCTCTTGCAACGGAGTACAAAGATCGCATTAAGAGCCTCTCAGGACTGTTCGACAGCTTGCTAGCAGACATTGGTCTGCCTTCCCGCTATCATAACTCGGTTAATGGTCTCGCTCGATTGCTGTTGAGACGGCTCAATTCCCCCATTGAAACAGCCGAGTTGCGTGGTATTGCTGAAGTGGTCGAAATTCCTATTTATCTTCTGGTCGCTTTCAACACAATCCTAGACCTTCTCATGGGTTGCACTTCTGGTGCTGTCAAAACAATGGAGCCTGGTCAGCCCAGACACGAGGCCAAAATGCTTCATTTCCGCACCCTTGACTGGACTATGGATCCTCTTCGGTCTGTCATCGTACAACTCGATTTTATTCGGAGTAAATCTGCCCATCCTCGGCAAGTGCTCGCTAGCAGTGTATCCTACGCCGGCTTCGTCGGCGTCTTGACGGGTGTACGTCCAAATTTGAGCATATCGCTCAATTTTCGAGCTCTACACAACGCCGACAACAAACGAGGACATTTCAGGTTTTATTTCCACCATCTGCTTGTTCTCCTGGGTTATCGTCAATCGATATCCAGCATCTTGAGGAGCCATATAGTTCCAGAACCTAACATCGACAGTCAAGCCAAGTCACTAGCGGAGATAACAGATGTATTGGCCCCTCTCCACACGACAGCAGCGTACCTTATACTCTGTGATGGCGACTCAGCTATTGTCATTGAGAAAGACTATGATACTGGCTTGATCCGACGTTCAGATACATTCGTCGCCGCAACAAATCATGACGAGCTGCGACACCGTCCCGAATCTGCGATAGCCACCCCTGCCGCGAAAGCAACCACTGACTCTCACTCTCACAAAGCAATTGGACTGGAAGAACTTCTTGAAGAAAGCCGGGAGCGTCTAGAGTGCATTTCGGCGAAGTGGAGATCACGTGTACGCAAAATTAAACGGCAATCAAAACGGAAGGGTGGCCTGGACTCTGCGGAATCTGAGAGACTTACCAGCATAACACAATCGGAGGTGATTGAGTGGGTTTCAATGTACCCTACGACCAACGAGCAAACACACTATGCCAGCATCCTCGATCCAAAACGAGGCAAGGTTACCTGGACAGGGATTTATCCTACTCCTCTGAGCAGCGAGCAATAAGAACCTTTATGTTCCTTGGTGCGAGGCCACAGCATAGATTGTGACAAGAATGCACGATTATCTGATGGCGAACACCACTCCGAAATCTCATCAGACGAAGGAGCGCAGACCTGGCTAGAAAAGTACCATTCCATGGCGTACCAAAATGTGTCTGGCTGAAGCTCCTGCAGCTTCCTTCGGCCGTTGTGGTAACACATGCCACGAGTTCTTTGTGTGGCTGGGGATATCTTGAGCATGTCCAACATCGATGCAGTGTTGCGTACTCCGTATTGTGGTCCATCCCGGAGAGAAGGTGATTGCTTCCGCTACTGCCACTGTTGCCATTCGAGGCGAATGTGTTTTAGCAGGATGTACTCTGTATGCTTGGCTGACGATCAATAAGCCTAGCTCGACATCAGACCCTAGGATGGCGGATCCCTTGCTCATGAAGTCTCTCGAGAAGGCCTGTGAATTAAATTAGCTAGCAAGAATCTTGGCTCATTGGGCCTCCAGGCTATCGTGCTCAACGTATTCGGCCGCTATTAACATCATTCACGATCAATACTAATGACTGCAAGTCTCTCATCAGGATGCAATCTGAAGCTTGGTCGAACACAAATAGAAAACATGTCAATTATCTGTCGTCCGTATGTAGAATATGCGGGTCTAGCTCGGCCAACCGTGAGTCCGAGGCAATGAATGTCATGTGAAACTCGGCCATTACGCGTCTCAGCAGAGGTCAATCTTGACAGCTCAGAGTCTTGGAACCTCTCAATGAAGGGGGTGGACCAGGGAGTGTGTTGTGTTGCAAACATGTCGTACGAACCCAACGTAGGGGGAAATTTGGGAAGATCAGGCCAGAACCCACCGTGCCGTAATAGGCATTCATACAACTCCAAGGCTGTTGTTCCTGTGGTAGAATGAGGATCGTGAGGTCGTACGAGACCAGACAGATCAAATGCTAAGCATATGTTATTGCTGGGGTCATCAAAAGGCAGACAGGTTGAGAGGATCCCGCATGCTCAAGTTGAAGGTTTCATGAATGATTGCCCAATGGCGAACAGTTTGTAGCACGGCCACCGAGGATGTGCATTAGTTCCCACTGGTGAAGAGCGGCTAAGGACTTGACAGGGGATTTAAACGAGGCTCGGAAAGGCGCAGTGGGGGATGAGGTCGAGGCTCCGCCACCTACGGAAGAGTGAGAAGCTTGAATCAGGCCGGCGGAAGATCTTTTCATACTCCGTACTTGTATCCGCACGAGGAGAAGTTGGACTCGTAGGGATTGAGAACCCGGGTATGTGAGAAGTGTTGTTGAAGGGGTGTAGATGCACATAGAGATGATGTACAGGATGAACTTTTGAAGACACAGCGTATTTGTTTTGCCTCCTCCCTGTGTTCTTTGTCGACTTTTATTGTTACTCAAGATCTGTACTGTAGGGAGATCTGACAAGGCAGCCCAAGATTGGTTTGATACTCAAGAGGAGGCCTCGTAATGGAGGGCATGGGAGGCCTTGCCTGAGCCTTGTCCTTACATGAATATGTGTGCTGATGCTCTTGATGCGGTAAAGATTCATGTCCATCGTGACGATCATGCAATAACATCTCTTCCATCAATCCTGCCATCAAATCAATCCCCGGTCTTGTGAAACCCCAAAATAGCATCTCCTAAAGCGTGCCTTCATGCAATCCTGGCTCCTTTTTCCTGCCTCATTGTTTTATCCATCCCGTACTGTCTGTACGAGTACTGGTTTCGCTCCCTATGGCCCTTTTCTCGTTATTCCGCCACAGCCTTGGAAAATGTCCTGCCCTCCCCCCAACCCTGTCTGTTCGCTATATCAAGTCTAGGCTGTGTCTTGGTCCTCGATGTCCTTAATTTAATGCTCATCGGACTCGCTTCAGCATGTCAAAATCCACAGTAAGATCCCTCTAGTCGATTGGTTTTCAGCTGTCCGTACGAGTATATTGACACTTTCCATTCCTACCATTCATACGGAGTACTTCCTATCTACTTGTTTTATATGCACCTTTCTGCTCGCCCTTCCCCTGGCTTGTCTGTTCTTTCGATCTCTCAGGCGCTCTTTCCTCTAGAAAGTCTCAACGTGAGACCGACCTTCGTTTCAACCTGTGGCGGACTTGGGTTTTTTTCACTTTGCTTTCTCATTCATCTCGTCTTGACCCTGCTTTATAAGGTCTTATCATATCACAATCGTTCAATATGACCAAAACACTATTATCTCTCTCTATTCTAGCACTGTCGGCCATCCTCTCGGTCGTCAATGCAGCTCCCAAACCATGGGGGCCGACTCCCCATTTTCCCAACATCGACAGCTGGAACAACGAACGCTTCCCTGGGAAGTACGAGGCATGTACGGATGACAATGTCAAAATCCGCAAGGACTTCGACTCCATGGCCCCCCAAGAGCGCAAGGCCTACACCGACGCCGTCAAATGCATCATGGCCCAGCCATCCCAACTAGACCAGACACTCTACCCTGCCGCCATCAACCGATACTTCGACTATGCAGTTGTCCACACCAACTTGACCGAGATCGTCCACCTGTCAGCCTACTTCTTGACGTGGCATCGATACTACCTTCACCTGTTCGAAGAGGACTTGAGACAGACGTGTGGTTACCAGGGTGCTTTCCCGTATTGGAACTGGCCTGCCACTGCGGACAACCTCCATGGCAGCGCCGTCTTTGATGGCTCTGAATACTCCATGTCTGGTGATGGTGAATATGTGGACACAGGGCCCGTCATGCTCTCCCCCAACTTCTCGCTCCCTCATGGCTCGGGCGGAGGCTGTGTCACGAGTGGCCCATTTGCCAACATGGAAACTACCATCCAACCCATCTCGATCCAGAACCTCCTCATGGGTGCGCCGTTGCCAGAAAATGCCTTTGCTCTCAACAGAACCTGTTTAACACGCGATCTCAACACATACGTTGCTCAAACGTGGTGCAATGAAACCGCTCTGTACCAGGCACTTGAGAGTGACGATATTGCCACCTTTGATACTTTGATCAATGGTGTCGCCGGCGGTGGTTCTTTGGGTCTTCACTCTGGTGCCCATTTCGTTGTTGGGTCACCGGGATCCAATATTTTTGTATCTGTACAAGATCCGATCTGGTGGCCGTTGCATACCTTCCTCGACAACTTGTACACTTCGTGGCAGGCTCGTCATCCCGATCTTGCCAATGCTGTTTTCGGTACCTTGACTGCCAACGACGCACCACCCAGCGCCAATGGAACCCTCGACTCTCAGCAACCCGGTTGGGGTTATTTCGAGACAAATCCTTACACCATTGGTGAACTCATCAGCACTACTTCCGGCCCTTTCTGCTACAAGTACGACGTTTCCCTATAGGATGTGAAGCGACCATGTACGGACAAAGGCGGGCGAAAATGAATCGGCCATGGGCATTAATTGATTGATTGACTGGTTTGGGCATGCTTGGAGGGAAAATGGCCCCAGAGGAGAACTTTTGTGGCTGTTCATTTATTACTGGCGATTGGGCTTCTTCGCATGCATCAATGTGTTAATTGGGAGGGACTGCATCATACCTCGGTCGCGCGCAGTCACTTGAAAAGTGGGGGAGTTCTTTGTTCTTTCTTCATGACTATAATGACTAGACAGACGGCTAGGCAGCCCAAATATTAATAAAGGGGAAACACTGGTACTTTCTTTTTTGGAAATCCTATCATTCTGTGTATGACCCAGTAGTAAGCGATTATGGCAACGACAGGGCAGTGTTGATGGAGCGAAGAAGACAGGGGGAAGCTGGGGGGCACGAGGTTGAACATGAGCAGTAAGGGAGTTAAAAAAAGGGCGGAATATGTACCCTCATGGCCACCGTATGTGTCGTGTGCAAACGTGCCCAGGTACAAGGGAGTGTAAAATCTTTCAAATTTTGTTCATTGCTTCATTTCATTCACTGATGATGGGGTCCATGGCAGATATTGAGTCGAGAACACCAGTCGTACGGATCCGACACCTCGCCCGACCTCTGCAGACCAGGATAGATCTCGTAGAGACGAAGAGACATGTAATCACTTCTTTTTCTTCCTGGTCTTGTCTTCAAAGACGATCCATCTTCTATCCACGCCTCTCCTTCCGAGTTCCTTTTCCACCACGTCCCTCTGGTCCCCCTGCACCAAAATCTCCAACATGCCAGGCTTCCCACCGACGTGTTGGCCCACGCTGGCGCTGCCCGCACACTTCTTCTGGAGTTCGGGACCGAGGGTGTGAGGGTTGACGCCGAATGTTTCCAACCCCGAAATCTTGGTGGCCGTCTTGGTTCCGGATCGCTTCTCCAGAACCACATTCACCTGCGGCGGCGGTCCCGCTTTCGGTCTCAATATCGGGTCGGGATTCTCAGAATCATAACTCTGATCGTTCCGGAGGAGAACCCAGTGCGGTAGGCACAGGTGTGAGTCGTCGAGGACCCGTTTGAGAAGAGCGTCTCTGGCCATCTCTCCCGCTGCCATTATCCGTGAATCGCCGCCGGAGAGGTGGGAGGAGAGGATGTTGTTGGCAATGAAAGGGTTGAGCTTGACGAAGCGTGGTGAGGACGTGCCCGTCGTCAGCTCGGGGCTGTTTTCGATATACCTTTTCAAGAATGCCGACACTTGTGACGCCGTATAAAATGTGGTCTTGGACGGTATCAGATCGGGCACGAGTTTGCTGGAAGCGCGGTACACCGTCTGTATGCTGAGCTTCTGACCTACAGATGGATCGCCACCTCCGTTCACGGCGAGCTTGGAGTCCCCGTTCGCACCGTTACAAGGTTGAGGCTTCGGCTTCGGTAATCTGTAGGGAGTGAAATTGCGGATTTTGTCATCTTCAAAGTCAACATCCAAGATGACGGTTTCACCTCCGTTCCGGTCCTTTGATTTGACAAGAACTGCTTTGTCCAGGTATTTGATGAATTTCTTGGTGTTCTTCCACGAGGTCTTCTTGATCGTGTAATGTTGGTTTTGGAAACGCAAGTGAGGCTGGACCATGTTTGCTATCAGGAACGAAGGCTGGATAGGAAAGTCTATGCCATAATGTGGCGGCTCGCCATTCTTCTTTGCATCGTACACAGCGTAAAGAAAGGCATCACGGAAGGCATCATCGACTTCGGCAGTCGTTGGCTCTCGCTCGGGTGCTTCTTCTTCGGCCTCGATCGAACCATCGATTGGAGTGTTGCCATTCTGCTTGACCGTTGCCGGCTCGAGCGCGACACCGCCTTCTTCTTGAGCGTCCTCATCTTCATCCAGATCGAGACCCGCCAATCTTTCTTCGGCACCCTTGAACTCGAGTTCCCAATCTTCAATTCTTTCTGGTGCAGCTCGCCCGCCACTACCTGTAGAGCTCCAATTCCAAATCTCGTCACCGTCCCAATGGACACCTTCAACCGCTGCACCCTTAGTGCCCTGCACCCGTCCCAGACTGGATATGTCAATCTTGCATGTTCCGACCCACACCGGTACACTTGGTCTTTCCAACCCAGCGACAGCCACGACGGCACCTGTTTTGGCAGCCTCCGGCCAGGGTGGTCCACCAACGAGGCCTGGGGTCATCAGATCTGCGCCTGTTTGGAGTTTCTCTATCACAAAGTCCGGAGTATGTAGTAATGGCACCAAGCCTGGATTGTGCCATAGTGTGTACACGGTAGGATACAATTTCGCATCTTTCCCGTACTGGATCCATAAGATTCGCTCTTCCTGTCCGGGATGTGCACCCACATAGACTGTCCCTGACACCAGTGTAGCATTAGGCCCGGCATGGGTCGAAAACCGAGCAGATAGGCATGTTTCTGGGACTAATGAGGTTCGCGTAGAGGCGAGAGCAGGCGTGGGGTTGTTCGAAGACGCCACTGCCTGGGCTTCTTCGCTGGAGATCGTTGTATCAATTTCTTGTAGGGTAGGGATATGAACTTTATAGTCTGAGATTATTTGATCTGCTAGTTTTCGACGGTCGGAAGATCGCAGAGGAGAGAGGTTCTTGATCTGTGGTTTCTTCTTGAACATCTTGTTTTAGAGACTTGTGAGGGTGGAGGTGGGATGACTCGAATGTAAAAGTAGTTGTTGATGGGTAGCTGGAAGAGGCCAACTTTGGGCGCTGCTGAATGTTTGTAACAGAAATTGAGATAAGGCCGCTAACAGAACGAGGGAATGAAACAGTTATAGAAAAATGTACAATGTTAGTGCACACTGAATTGAAGATGTGCGTGAATTGATGCACCGAGTCAATCACGAAGCACCGAGGATGAAAGACTGCGACGACTACGTCATTTCAATTTGTTCGCTTTTCGACACATCAAACACCTGACTTATTTGATCTAGACACTATCGTCCACTCTTCTCAATACCTTGTATGATGGAACTCGGCAGTCGTCAGTCTGGTGTCGAGCCCAAGGCTTCTCAGGCATAGAGTCCTTTTTTCTCCCGCTGTGCTTCCTTCCACCAGCTGTCGGCATTGTGAGAGATGCCTGGTACGGGTATGTGTTCTCTCAACTGTCGTTTCTTCGGCTGGTCGATTCCTTCTTCCTTGTTCCTCTGGGCCATCGCTTCGTCCACATTCAACTGCTCGAAGCCCGTCAGGGAGCCCATGAGTTTGGGTTGACCCAACGGCAAATCGTGGCCCTTGTCAACTTCCCAGAAATGGTAGAGTTTGCCATATAAGCCAACAACTTCCTCCATGGCTTCCGTCTCCAATTCATCCCACGCATCCTTGCGACGACGATGTGATTCTGGATATGGAAGAACAAGCATACCTGACTTGACCTCGAATTCATGGGAGTGCCCTGGATCATTTGAGTCAGGGAACGCCCCGACGAGAGCTAGCTGACTTGAAAGGACATGATGGGTAGTTTAACGGCAAACTTACAATACTTTTGTTCCTCGAGATCGAGCTGTTCGTACCTCTCCTTCGGAATCATGAATTCGACACCAATCAAGCGTGCGTCGGGCTTGCACGAATCGTATATCAAGCACTGACGAAGATCTAGGTGAACGCACACCAGCTTTTCTCAGTGCTTGATTCTAAAATCCGTCGATCCACTTACCTTTTCTAACATGAGAGCAGAAATGATGAGCACTGACCGTCCGCACCTCCCCACGTCTTGCCTCATCTGTATAGATGTGTAGAGCATGTAGGTATTCGCAGACGTTGTGCAGCGGCTTCATTCCAGGTTGAGTCGTCGTTCCGACATGTGTTTGGACTCCCAGATAGAGCAGCCACGACTTCAGCCATGCAGAGGGACTGAATTTGAGCAGCCTTGCGGCCAAAGTTGATATGCCTGGACCGGCTACTTGATGTTGACTCATTTCGCCTTTGTACTTGTATGACCCGAGTCGACTTGAGATTTCCTGCTGGTGAGAGGCGATGAGAACACACAAATCAGAGAATTGAAGGACAATAGAAACCCATGTAGTCACCGTCAACATTCTTGAATATTTGTGCAAGGATTCGGGGACCATGAAGCCGTGATGTCATATTGAATAGACGCATGTTTCCACCACAGCCAACAACTACTTGTACTTAAAATCGGATTATCGAGTCCGATATGATTTCGCTTGACTATCATTTACGTATGTGAAGACAACCAGAGAACGGACAAGCATAACAAGAACTATCCAAAGATGATGTACTTAGATCCTCAGACTTGGTCGCCGAATGCAAATTGCAACCTGGATGTTCTCTCGAGATATACGTCCGGATATGACTGCCGGCCGGACAAGGCTGCGCTTGGTGGACACAAGGCTGAACTTCATCACAAGTAGGTAAGTAATCAAATAATACTAGATGTGTGCACGATCGTGATCTCTTGGATTTGATGATATAATTGGAATGCTGGCTGTGATTATAGGGTAGAAGATGGAACAGATGTTAGATATATTCCACGAGTACGGAGTAAGAGGTACAAATACACTTGGCGGCAAAAGTCATTGTGACACCCTGATCTCACCCAGACCTCGTCGCTTGTATATACTCGTTCTTTTAAACGTTCACTTCTCTTACCGTCATTGTCGACGGACACGTTCCCTCTATGGTCCTAACGCATCTCTATGCCCTCCACTCGGCCAGAAACCAGTATGCGCCGTCGATCAACATGTCCGGTTCTGTGCCCTTTCTAGTTCTACCAGACGCCAATCTTTCTGGACGAGTCTACATATCCATCACACCAATTCTTCAACTTCGCCGGATGGATTCTTGGTATCTCTCACATCTTCGCACATCTTCTTGCTTTAACATACGTCGGCACTCTCTCCGGCAACACCTTCATCATCTGCTCCAGCCATTTCCTCGTTGTGGCCGGATCGATCACACTGTCAATCTCTGCCGCCATGGCCATGTTCAGGGCCCTCCCTTCGTCGTACATGACATCGATCATCTCTTGCTCCTTTTGCTTTCTTTTCTCAAGATCCTTGATGGCTTCCAACTCCTTCCTGTACGCAAGCCTTACAGCACCTTCGATGCCCATTCCGCCGAAGACGGCGTTCGGCCACGCCACACACATGCTGTTGTTCAAGCTTCCACCACCGAGCATCGCTTGCGCGCCCAGTCCGAACCCATTTCGCAGAACGAGCCCTAGGAAGCGGCCGCCGTGAAGGGCAAATTCTTGTGAGTTGCCGAACCAGTCACCAAAGCAGCGGTATGTGCTTCCGGCGCCTTGAGCTTCGGTCGACCGCTCGAAGTCGGGGCCGACCATGAATCCTGGGGTATCGCAGAGGCTGAGCAGATGCATGCCGCCGAGGCGAATCAGGAGGCGGAGAAGACGATTGACCTTTTCTCCCGATGCGACATCGATAGCACCTCCAAGCGGAGACGAGGAGTTAGAAGCTATGATTGCGATCGCGCGGCCGTTGATGCGCCCAAAGCCTGTGAGCACAGAGAGTCCCCACTCAGGACAGAACTCGATGAAGCTGTCGTCATCCAACAGGAAGTTGATCACACGGCGAACGTCGTAGGCTCGACGAGGAGACGACAGCGGTGGCACCGCGGTGCGTAGGCGAAGAGGATCCGACGTGTAAGGACTCTTCGCCGGTGGCAGCTGCGGATGTGTGAACAGAGCCACGATCTTGCGGACAAGCGACGCAGCTTCGACCTCAGTGTCTACAAGTACATCGATGCCACCCGAGCGCATATGGACATCGACGGGACCAATATGTTCGTGCTCGAATCGGCCCAGACCACCACCCTCAATCATCGCTTGGCCACCCATGCCGATGGTGGTAGCCTTCCTCGAAGGCGCATCTTTTGACCCGCCTCTTGTAGCGATGATGATGTCGCATGTTCCCAAAAATGCAGCGTTGCCCGCAAAGCAGTATCCATTCACTACTGCAACCGAAGGTATCCCTCTTGCCTTGATTTCTCCCATCAGAGCGAATGATGGTGTCTTGAGACCCGCCATGCCCAAGTGATCTGTGTCACCTGGTCTTCCACCTCCTCCTTCGGTATAAAACACCAAAGGCGCAGGATGATTAATGATTGATTGGAAAATGCGATCTAACTTCTGATGGTGGAAATGCCCTTGCGTGCCGGCAAGAACGAGGTAATCGCCAATGACAACTGCGATAGGGTGAGATTCCATCTTCGCCCAGCCCACGATGATACCATCTCCGCTCGTCCGAGCGATGAGATGGGACAGGGGGTACCGTTTTCTCTGTGCCGCAACCACAAGGTCTCCAATTTCGATAAATGAATCCTTGTCCACGAGTAAGTCGAGGTTTTCCCGGCCGGTGAGATACCCGTTTGCATGGCGCTTGGCCACGTCCTCTTCGCGGGCAGAGTACCGCAGAAGGGCCTTGCGTTCATTCAGCTCCTTCAGCTCCGGCCGCAGGTCCTCTGGGTTCTCAGTTTCTGTTAGGTCTTGTGTAGTGGAAGATGAGCTGTCTCCATCAGCGATGATGAAGAGAAGAGGATCGCCGGCATTTATTTGCTGTCCCGTTGTCACGGCCACCTTTGCCACAATACCATTGGACGCGCTGCGGACGGAATGTTCCATTTTCATCGCCGCAAGAATGACCAATTCTTGGCCAGCAGTGATTTTGTCGCCTTCATTTACCTTCAGGGAAAGGACAACTCCCGTGATATGCGCGAGTAGCTCTTCAGAGCCTTCTGGTCGCTCAACTTTTGTCTGGTCCTTCATTGTTTCGGCAGCTTCTTCAGAGGTGCGGTCAGTTTTAGCTCGCAACTCATCTTCGAATTGCTGCGTGGTGCTGTACAGAGCCTCAAAGTTCTGCTGGATGGTCAAAATATTGCTCCTGCCTTCTTGTACGGCTTTCATATCCAACACAGCCATTAGGAACGCCTGATTCGTCCTGCACCCTACGATCCTTGTCTCATCGATAGCCCAACGAGCCAGCCGCAGTGCGGACTCGTACGAAGTTGACGTGACGATGAGTTTCGCCAAAAGGCTGTCGAACAAGGGGCTCACGGCATACCGCCGGCCTCCTTCAAGTGCCGTTTCGACTCGCACGCCTGCTCCTGTGGGGAAATATCCTTGTCGAATAACACCCGCTTCAGGTTGCGCAGTACCGTCTGGAATGAAGCTCTCGGCGTTGATGCGGAGCTGTATGGATGTAAGTCGAGGTGGTGGAGGTTCTCGCGTTATGGACAGGTCCGCCAGCGTTCTCCCCAAAGCCACCTGAAGTTGTAGATCCACCAAATCAACGCTATTAATCTGTTCGGTGATGGTATGCTCGACTTGTATCCTGGGATTCGCCTCCATGAAGTAAAAGTCTTCGTTTGCTGTGTCGACAAGGAACTCGATCGTGGTGAGACTTCGCAGCTTCACTGCTTTCCCTAGTTTCACCGCAGCTTCGATGATGGCTCGCCTTAGCTGCGGCGAAATTGATGGCGAAGGTGCAATCTCGACGACTTTCTGGTTCCTGCGCTGTAGCGAGCATTCTCTTTCCCAGAAATGGCAGACTTGTCCCTTGCCGTCTCCGAGAAGCTGGACCTCGATGTGTTTAGCACCCTGTAGATATCGCTCCGCGAACAAGCTTCCGTCGCCAAAGGACGCCTGTGCCTCTCGCTGACAGGCTTCGTAAGCCTGACGAATGGCCTTCTCGTCCGTGTTGTCGTCGATGATGCGGATGCCGCGCCCTCCGCCGCCTGCTGCTGCCTTGAGGATGATTTTGCGACCGGACGGCCCAAGACTCTTTGCAAACGCCAGGACGTCTGCGATGGAGGAACCTCGATCACGCGTGGTCTTGGTGCCAACCAGAACCGGAACTCCGACGTCGGCGGCCAACGACCTCGCGCTCATCTTGTTCCCCAGTTGCGCCAACTGCTCGCTAGACGGGCCGATGAACGCGATGCCCTGTTGCTCGCATAGTCTCACGAACCCGGCATCTTCAGACAGGAACCCGTATCCCGGCGCGATACCCCAGCAATTTTCCTGTTTGGCGACATTGACAATATTGGCCGCGTCGAGATACGCTCGTGGCCCTTCTTCCGGGAGCTCTACCGAGGACGTGGCGAGACGCACGTGTGTCTGATCCTTTTCCGAGGGAGTGAACAATGCCACCGTCTGGATGTTAGGGTAGAGCGAGTATGTCCTGATGAGCCGGCACGCGATTTCCGATCGATTGGCTATGAGAATCTTGATGGGTTGAGACCGAGACGGAGACGACGGCGAAGACATCCTGGGAAGCCCAAGAACCAAGAACCAGAAACCAAAACCCAACCCGGGTACTACTTACTCAGTACCTCGTACCTGGAAATATCGATGAGTAGTTTTGTTTTCTGCGGAGTATATCAGCGCACATTCATCATCGATGTGTCTAATTTGTGTCTGCAATAAACAGTTTATATGAATTGGTGAATCTCTCTTCGTCCCAAGAGAGACCTGGAACAATAGCATTACCGCGGCTTTCTAAATCAACAGCTCGGTTCAATTCGGTTAAACAACCCGTCGGCATAACGACGTTCTTGGGTTCCCGCAGCCTCGCCTCGCCTCCGCACCCACCGATTCAAATGATACGAGAGGTTTCCACTGAGGGGAACTCTAGGGATGGAAAACATGGCGACATCAATCTATATTTCATCTCAGAGGAGCCCGAGAGACGAGCAGAATTTCTTAACCCTCAAAAAGAAACATGTCTCGAAATCACTTGTTTGACTGGAAACTCTTCCAAATCGATCTCCAGTGATTGCCTAGGTAGCTTGGCGGGCGACTATTTACATGATTTTCTGGGCCTTTTGAGCAGTCAAATACGTGACCCTCTACGTACAAGACCGCTTCTCATTTGGAAACTTCCTCGACATGGGTCATGGTCGTTGCTGATTTTGCCACTCCATCATTCATGGCCGCCGCGATGCGCCTCTGTTCTGCTTCAATGGCTTCAATCGGTCGCTGCTTTCTCTTGGCTGCTTTGCTTGAGATGGGAATGATGGTTGGATTTCCCGAGTCCTTGTCAAAGTAATCGTCGAGGTCTTCCAGGGTACGATTTGCAGTCTGCATTTTTTTTAGATTAGTCTGTGCACCAAAAGCGACAAATGAGCACCACTAATTACCTCTGGATACAAAAAGTAAACGATCGGAATGAATGCCAAGTTGAAACAGGCAAATACTAAATAGCAAGTGTCAGTCGGATCATTATTACAGGAGACTGTGGATGGCTACTCACTGATATAGAACCTGTAACCGATATTCTTAATCGCCACAGGTGTAAATTGTGTACAGACAAAGCCAAAGAGCCAGTTTGTAGCAGTGGCAGCAGCAGCGCCTATTTCCAAGAATGAGTATGGTGACGGATGAACAAGTCTTGGGTCATCATCATATATGCCTTACCTGGTACACGTCCTTGAAGTGAGTTTACCTCTGCTTGATAAACCCACGGAACCATTCCCCAACTGAAACCGAATATGGCGTAATAAAAGAACAAAAAGGTGATGGCCACCGCTCCCCACTAAAGACACAGTCAGGTAGGTTAGTCAGTGTACTGATACATTAAGGTATTTGCGTCGACCCTCAAAGGCGTGTGCCCGGTAACATACCTGAGATGGAGCATGTGATAATAGAGCCACCGATATAGCAACCATGACATAGGCAAAGAACTGCCAAAAAGCTCCGTTCATCATTAGAGACCTCCGACCGACCCTGTCAATCAACCAGAAAGCCATGGCGGAGGAGATTGCATAACTCGTGGCGTTGCAACCGGTCAAAATACGTGCCATGAGCTCTGACATGCCCAGAGCATTCTCCAAAATGGTCGGGAAGTAATAGTTGAGGCCATTGATACCTCCGAATTGCTGTCAAACAAAAGAGACACGTAAGAAAGCGTCCCAGAGGATTTTGGAGTAAGAGAAAAGTGAAGGTCTTACCTGCATGAACTGGGTGCCACAACCTAACAACATCCTCTTCAGGTGACCAGACCTGTCTTTTCTCAGGATGACATCCTTGAAGTTGATTCGAGTCTTTCGTTCAATGGCCAATGCACCGGAAATGGAAGCCAACTCGTTGAGGACAATGGGATCGTTCCTATCGAGGTTTGTCCCCAGATATCTCCGGAGAGCCTCATGTGCCTCCTCGTGCCTGTCACGAAGAAGGAGCCATCGTGGAGAGTCTGGCAGAAATTGTAGCATGACGACCAGGACGATACAGGGAACGAGCTGTGTGTGAGTTGAGTGTTAGGAGATACAAGTTCCGAGTCCAAAGTCTCTTGAAGTGAGTGCTCACCTGCAGAGCAAGAGGTAAGCGCCACTGAACACCATTATGGGCGAACGAGCAGCCCAGAGTGAGCCAGCTTGCAGTCATGTAGAAGATCACATTGTGAAGAACCACAATGACACACAATTTCCCTCGACGATGACTTCTCACTGACTCTGCCTGGTAGACTCCGCATGTGCTACTTGTCATTCCTGGACAGTGATGAAGGTGAGCCGGGTGAATTTTTGTTCTCTCTCACAGCTTGAGGAGGTCCATACCATTTCCAAATCCATTGATGACTCGCCCAATGATGAACTGAGGAAAGTGCCAGGAGAGAAATTGAAGGACAGCCCCAATCGTGCTGAGTGCCGCACCGACACGCAAGGTATTCTTCCTTCCGAGTTTGTCTCCGTAGAAAGCTGCCAGAAGACATCCCACAAGGTTACCGAGCTTTTGGATTGTTTGTCAGACATTGAAGAAAGAGAAGAAGAGCCCTGCATTTGTTCAGGAGACATCTTACCGAAAAGCAACTTGCAGTTATTCCTTGAATGTTTGCATTCCGAGTCTGTGGGAATGTGTTTATAAAATCATCGCCAATCAAGATGCCAGATATGACACCCTATATACACAACTGTTAATTGTTTGTCCATGCTGGTGACCAGACACAGTGCAATATCCTTACCTGATCATAACCATACCAAGCCTGAGCAGCCGAGTTGGCTGTTGTCAAGGCAATCTCGAGAGCTTTGCCTTCAAGCATGGCTGTAACTCGTCCACTTTGGCCGATCAAGTATCAAGTCAGAGACTTCTACCGCCTTTCTCTACAAAAAGACAGCTGAAGAAGAGCACAACGACCTTGAAGAGATCGGATCCATCTTATACCACATGGTTTTACCAACTAACCAACCAACCAGTCTCTGCGTCGCGGCCTTTCGCCTTTCCAATTCCCAGGTCAAAGCAGGAACGATGGCCGGGGAGACGAAAGGTGGAGGTGGATCTCATTGACATGGAGTCGTCGTACGGGGCTCCTCATGCCTAAAACAGTTGTCATCGAAGCTATTGATTGGATCCAACTTTTGGCTTACGGGCCGTCAATGCCCATGAGGAATGCGACAGATTGGACGGTTACGGTGTATCGGGAGTACGGCACCAAGTTAGAGGCGCAAAAAACCCCCCCGGGGGGGGACCGAAAGTTCAACGGCAATAATTGACTACGATGGAAGGGGTGATGATCTCTTCTAGAGGCCTATCAAGAGCTGCATTTGCTAGAGTGCGATGGATGTGTCCCCAGGCCACTTCGACTCCGATAAAGGCCCCGGACTCCCCTCCGACTTCAGGTTCTGGGGAAAAGGACAGTTGGGGGGTTTAATTAGCCCCCTCGGCTTCGCACCAGTTCCCACTCTACTACATACGGAGTACCAAACTCCTTCTTACTCGTTACTGTCGGGTTCTATACGGAGCGTGAACTATTCTCCATTGCGTAATTGAGCTGCACTTCAAAAAGAAGCCAGAGACTATTCGGCCCTCGTCGCTTGATCACGAGCAGCCGGAGTGGAACCCCCAAACGTTGGTACATGGGTCATTCAATTGACGGGCCATGTATTTCCCTTTCCCAAGGATTCTCTCCTTACAACCCAATACCTCTGCAAGCGATCACTATGGAAGTTTCTTCTCCCGACCAAGATCAGCAACAACAGCGGAGTAAGACCGTGTAAGTCTCACCAGCAAGACATCCTCAAACCACCGGGAGTTGGACTGACCTAACCCAAAAGCTGCACAACGTGTCGCCAGCGAAAGGTCGGGTGTGATAGAAGAATACCAAGTTGTGGTTTGTGTAACAGGAATGGATGGCCCTGCGAATATGTGGGCAGCCCAAAGAGGCGCGGTCTACGTGCTGGTTATGTCTCTCAACTCGAACAAAGAATAAGTCGGTGTTGGCTCTTCTGTTTTCCTGGACAACGTTGGAAACTCCTCCTTTACTGACGGTATAGTCGATCTCGAGAGTCGTGTCAAGATTCTAGAAGCCGACAAGAACAATAGTCTGTGTGTCCTGTTCTAGCCACAGGTAAAGATGCTGACTGCTCTCAGGCTCCCCAATCCTACAACCAGCACCATTTCCGGACGTACAGCAGACGCCTCTTGACCATTTCGAGCCTTCTATTGACTCCTCTATCAGTCCCAACAGCAACCTCAGTGTCGCATCAACCAATTTCGATCCTCTGTCAGCGACCATCGTGAATGAGTTATGCAATACCTGGTTCGAGAAATACCATCCATGGTTTCCCATCCTGCATCAGCCGTCTCTTCTCGAGGCATTACGAGCACATCCTTCCGTCGAGACGTCGACTCATCAGCTGGTCATAAAGGCCATTGCCTCTGTGACGGTACCGTATTGCGTTTCGGTTCCGTCTACGCCATCGCAGAGGCAACAATGGTCAGACACTCTTCGTGACAGAGTCGTCATGGATGCCATGAAGCAAATATCTCTACAGGCCGTCCAAGCATTGTTAATCCTCAGTAATATCGATTATGGCGAAGGAAAGGTCCATGAGTTTTGGAATCTTGTGGCTCTTTGTAAAAGGTGAGTGACGCCTGTGACTGAAGGCGCACTCCTGATCCTGTCCGAACAACCAGCTCACTTGGCGAGACTAGAATGAATACGTCTCTGGGTATGCGGGATCTAGTGACCAACCAAGGCGACAATTTCAACAAGATATCCACCGTGCCACCTAGGATGTTACCCCTCCCAAACACCATCATCGACCGAGAGGAACGCATCAGGGCGTACTGGATGACCGAGATCTTGGACGGCGCGAGCACGTTGGGAGTGGCCTGGAACCTGGGAATCTCGCCTCCCGAGGGCACTGCCGTCCTGCCGTGTAGCGACTCGATCTGGAAGTTTCCGAGCCACATCATCAGCGTTTGGTCCTTTGGTGACTTTCACTTCTCGTCTGCCTTTTCACTCTGCATCATCCTCGTGGCCAGCGAACTGT